TGGTATTTTCAAGATCACAGATCAGAGGAGAGAGTCCACAGGCGGGGCGGGCATTTGCATTGGCGGCAAAGGCCCTGCCTCAGAAGAGTTCAGATAATCATCGAGAGTGAAGTCAGGCGACATAAACTCATCGAAATTGAGGTCGTTGTTGTCTTGAGGTTCCGGGTCCAGAAGAGATGGTGTCAGGGAACCAAACGTTTGCAAGACGGGTGCAGCATTGAAGTTGCTACCGGCGGCCTCTGCGTACTGATAGCTGGTGAGCGAATCATTAGGATCCAGAGAGAAGAGGGGGATGTACGGCTGGTCTTGCGCCAGCTGCGAGAGAGCGGAAGGATCAGACTGTTCGGCGGGAACTAGGGCAGGATCGTACAACGGAGCGACCGCTGACTCCTCCCTAGCACGGCCATAGCCCATGTGATGTTGTCCGTCGAGATAGTACATAGCAGATGTATCCGGAACTTCCCCAGGCATCGAAGTGACTAGTTGGGCAGCGACTGTTGTCTCCTCCGTAGCCAAGCACTGCCGTTTCGCTGGACGGCTGTCTGCATTAGCGTCCGCGATGGTGTGCTTGGCTTGGGAAATCTGACTGCTCACAGAAGGAGAAGACTGGACAGCGCCTGATTGTTCGCCATTCTCAGCTGGGGGTCGTTGATGTCCCGGTGCGCGGCATTTGGGAGCGTACTTATACTTGGGATGAATGATCGAGTGAATCTTTTTCATCTCCTTGAATATTGCCTGGAACAGATCGCGCTGATCTTTTGTGAGCACGTTGCGCCAGACAATTTGCGTATACATCCGGAGCGAGGTCTGTCTGATGTTCTCGCCCTGGGATACGCAACGCTCAAATGCACGCGCAAATACAAAGAAGCTGTTCTGGGGACGTATCTCTTGGTATCCTTGTTGGTGGCATCTCTCGTCAGCGTTCGGAGCTGGCCGCTTGACCTTGCAGCTGTACAATGCAGAGACAAGGACGTCAAGTGCATAGCCGCGGTTGCTCGTATCAGCGGCGCGCAGCTTGTTCAAGAGATTCTGCAACTCGTCGCGAGTGAGGTGCAGCTCTTGACGCGCGGTAACCTTCTGACCGCTTTCCGCCTTCTTGTTGCATTTCTCTCCGTGTTGGCCAAGAGTCTCGTCGATCCATTCTTGCTTGATCTGGCTGCGATCCGGGGAGATCAAGAGAATGAGGTGATAGATGCGACTCAGGTGACGAATGCGATTATAGTCGTCCAGCAACTCTGCGGACTCGGGGATGTCGAGCCGGCAGTCGGCGAGGACTTTCTGCATCAGGGGAGGGTACCGAATGCTAGCATCTCCAGAGGCCGGTAGGATCTTCGAGAAATCATCGATATAGATTTCTGCTACGCCTCGCTCTCTTTCACCCGCGTAGTCAACAGACATCAACTGCGCAGGATAGATCGCCTTGCAGATACGGTCAAACTCCGGCTCGGGCATCTTTTTGAAATTGAGCATGAACGTCTGAAGGCGGTCTTCATAAGACGCCGAGGTGGTTTTCGCCTTGCGGCCAGACTTGTTCGTCTTCAAGAACGGAGGCTCCAAGGGGTTCGAGTGGTCTATGACTTCGTGTCCTTGAGGGCTTCCGTCCGAGAGATCAACAGGCTGGGATCCCGCAGGCACCTCGGCTGAGGCAGTGTGGGACTCTACTACCTCGTCTCCGGCGGTTCCAGGAATAAGCTCCGGCACAGCAGGAGCGGGAGCGGGATTCTCGCCCAAGAAGTTGGGAAATTGCTGGTGCTTTTTCACCAGCTCTGTGATCACCCTACCAATAATCGTGTTGGGCCTCGGAAACGTGACTTGAGTTCCGCCAGGCGGCAAGATCAATCCACCAACGTCGTTGTTGACAGGGGCGGGGGGTGGCGTGCTGCGCTGGTTCGGTTCAGCAGCAGCAAATAGAGGTCGGAAAAAATTGGCTTCCATGGCGATCACAGAAGTCGAAAGGTCGGAAAGGAAATACGGAAATTCAGAAGAGGAGAGGGGGGGGAGAAGAAGAGGGAGAAGGAGAACAGACGGACGAGGCCATTGATATAGCAAGGCAAGAGTCTCCCACATGGGTTCTGAAAATAGCAGGACTTTGGTGTGATTTAATCAGGTATTGGAATCAACAAGGCTTTGGTCGTTCAGCAAAGGAAGCCTTGTTGACCTGACGAACATATGGACGGGCCATTCTGGATGCCACTGGCCTAGTTGCTCGTTAAATCTGTCAAATTTCACTGAACTGATGGACGACATATCATCAGAACCTTGATAAACCTGCTATCGAGGCACGCAGAACGATAAGCAGCCGTGCCTCTGGCTGTTCGCGGTGTTCGTGAACATGGGAACGATCGCGGGAGGAGCGAACAAGGGACTGCGATTAAGGTTTTGGCAGGCTACCACGCTCCTTCTTCTCCCACGGTACCCTTACGACCAGCAAGCCAAATGCTTCGATACCTCGGCAAGTACTTCTGCTTTGATTATCTCCTACAGGCAGATTTATGTGGATCAGATAGGTGGAAGATCACGTCGTCGTTGAATTGCAGAGCATTGGGAATCAAGAGTGGACACTAAAGCCGTGATCTGTTATTACTGATCGTGCCTCGTCTTCTATACTACTTCGCACCTGCAAACTTATCAACATGCATCGCCAATAAGTACTCATAGACTAACCACACTTTACAGACTCTCTCAATCATTTCGGTTCCCTCAATGAAGCAACAGATGGTCTGCACAAGCTGAAAATAGGAAGGCCTCTACGTCTACGTCATGCGAAGCCGCACGAGGCTCAACTTCTGGGTTATCTGATCTTTGATGCCCGCCCTGGCTGGAACGTCTGTTTGCTGCGAGGATGACGGTTGTGTACTATCCACAAGTTGGACTGGCCGATGGCAAGATCAGCTCACTGCTGTACAGATAGAAGACTGGGACCGATTTAGAGTGAGGTGCTCTGACTTGATATGCACGTTGATGAGTTCGTACTGTCTGTTATTGCCTACGTTTCTGCTGCTTTGATTCTCCTACTGCGATAGCCTCCGATGTTCAGAAATTTTGAACACTGCCTATACATGAAATAACGAAGAATGCTAAACCGTTGAATTGCGTTGAGTTAATTGCACCATCAAGTCTGATATACTTACGACAGACGTGAGAGATCTCGTACGGCATAATGCAGAACAGCATCATTGCGGCAACGCCTGTCCGATTCCCCCACATGCCTGGCGGTCTGCCAGCCCGCATCAGAAGAGTTGATAGAGTCCCCTCCCGGACGTCTATAAAAAGGCCCCCTCCCGCCCTCTCCTCCCTCTTTCCTTTCCTCTCCTCTTCACACACACTTCTCTCTTCTACAAGACCGAGAAGATCCTCTCCTAAGATGATAGCCTCTGATAATCATGGGAAGCATCCCTTCTGATGTTTCTCCATATGAGCGATGAGTTTCCTCCCATATTTTGCTAACCATTTTTCTAGCCATGCCGGTAGTCGCCGTGATCTGTTTCTCTAAATTTCTGCATTTCTCTGCAAAATACAAAAAACGGCGACACTGGCTGGAAATTTCACGTCTTTAGCGCTAACCACGACACTCATCTCCTGAGAATCGCAATACTGGCCGGTCTAAAAGCATGGACTCAACCTCCGCTCTCGCATATTCGTCATAAATCATTTTCTGACGGGGGAAGCTTGAGGACGAGCGAGCAAGCCAGCTCTGCAGGAGCACATGTGGGCGGACCGGCTGGTTGCTGATTTGAAGGACTGAGTGAGTGTCTGCGGTAGCGCTAATGAGCCTTTATAGTTAGGGAGTTAACTATAGCCGGCATTCTGCTACTTTACTTCGACTATGACTTTGTCGGTCTGTAGCTATAGAGGACGATTTGATTATGATAAAATAGAATGATTTTTGTATAACTAGTAATGATAAATATCTCTATACAGGCAACAAACCTCACTGTAAATTAGTTAGCTGTAGCCTGCCTACCAGTAAAGACACAGAGACAGTAGAGTAAGCTGGCTCACTATAGTAAATTAGTAGAATGCACTCCAAGTAGCTCATCACGAGACTACGGGATATTCAGGCATCGAGTTGCTAACTAATGAGCGTCCGTCCATGCTCTCAGATTGTATACCGCTATTTCCTGTTTAGAAAATGTGCATGTTTGCACCATAGTTACATATCAAACGTCTTAGTACGGCTCTCTCTTCAATGAGGGCCAGCCCATTTTTTCAACAGTACATTAATGAGAAGATTCATTACACGGCCAATCTTGCCATCGATACCAACAAATAAGAGAATTAGAAACTCATTGTTGCGCTATATATATTATTACATCACTCAGCAAACTGACCTACACCCATCAGCACGGAATATACAAAATCGCACACCTACGAAGATCCCCCAAAGAAATCTCTGATAAGCAAAAAAACACCAAGGACTACTTCCAGCTAAAAAAAAGGAACCTCCGCTCCTAATGCTCTAACGTAAAACAACCACACAACCACTCCCTACTAATACAAAAAAAACACCAGATAATCCCCGAACGGTACAGCAAGAGCGAGAGGAGTCAACACGGAGCATCATATACTCAAGCTTCATGTCGGCAAAAATAAATAGTCGCAAGCCAGTGAAGATATTACATTTCGCCGTACGCAAATAACGTAGACGAGCTTCGGCGGGACCAGACCATAAAACAAACTCCCAAACAAAACAAAATGATGAGGGGACAGGACACACAAAACGCAAGATGCGGCCAAAAAATATATGCGATACAACTCCATTAACGAATGAATAACAGCGCTTGATGTATGCCATCGAAATTCATACAGCGGTCGCCATCAGCTCCTCTGAGTTTTCCATGAATTATCTTGGCGTAGACCGTCAAGTATGACGGAGGACTTGAGCAGAGAGCGGGATCAGTCGGGGCGGGTTTTAAAAGACCTGAATACACAAAATCAGCTGAAGTCACATAAACAGGCCTGTAGGGAATATACACCGATGAATCGAATGAAAAAAATATAGAGTAAAATGAAATGTCAATTTTGAACGCGGCAGTAATTTTATGTACACAGATCTCGAGTTCCATCCCAAAGCTGAAACAAGAGCCTTCACGCTTGTGTAGAATTTTTTACAAGGTAAACCTCCCAATGAAAACAAAACAGAAAAACTAAAACGCCAAAATCAAAAATGAAAGTGTAATCATGACTTTTTTGCAATTCGATCCATCATGTGTATATCGCCATAGAGGTCAAAGAAGAAAAGAATTCTTTGGTAGAAAATGAGAGGCCACTTACAGCACCATTAGATATGAAGAGTCGGCTCTCTTCACGCTTCACCCACGCAATGATCGAATCCATACCCTGCGCAAGAGTAGCTTTTGATGTCGAGGCACTCGCCACGCAGTAGACTTCGAATGAATGAGTTGCCCAGGCGAGCGCTATCCAGTTACCCCGGCTGACGTACAACACCTTCAAATGTGTATGCCGCGTGTGGATGGCGGCATGAAGACGGCGGTAGAGAAGCATGAGCTCGTGTTGTGATTTCCGATCAGGAAAGTGCGGCTCAAAGTTGGGCATCGTGAACTGCACATTTCCACGAGATTTGTACAAAAAGTGTTGGATAGCAGGCACGCCGATGTCAGCGGTGCGATATCGTACCAGCTTCACAGCCAAATCGATCGGAGCGAAGCATTTTTCCGTTTCAAAATTCTCGAGAATATCCTCTTTTGACTTGCGTAGCTCGTAGAAGGAATCCTTATTTGCACTTATGAGTACAAGGGCAACCTTTGGACGGAAGAATACTATATATGCATGTAAAAACCCTCGGTTGTTGAACTTTGGTAGACAGATTGGAATCCAGTGTTCTCGGCCGTCATGGAAAGTGTTGTTGTGGAATAGCATTGAGAATATCACTTGGAGATCTGCAAGGAAGAATTAGAAAGCGAAACTCATAACGGGGATTGTATATACTTCAGCAACTCACCTGGAGGATGTAAACTGTGTCTCTTGGGTCTTATCACGCTAACCAAACGGCCATCAGCCACAACTAAACCGTATAGCAGTGATGAAGTTCGACCTTTGAGTAGAGCCATATTTATCCGTTCGCGGACGCTGCTTCGCAAACGAACGCATTCGATTGCATTCAGCAAGATTGCAGGAGATCCAAAGGCCATCTCGCGCGCCAAAGCACGCAGGAAGGTTTCAGCACCTGATGTAGAGTTAGTTTTTGATGCGCAAATTGCAACTCTGGGGGTCAAGACTTACCACCTAGCAGTTTTCGCAAATCGAAGTTGGTTCTACCATTGAAAACCTTCACTATCTGCGCTTTCGTAAGGGCAGACAACAGCTGAGTATGCAGAGCATCCAGCTGAGTCCGTAGCTGGCCCTCAGTTTCACCAAGTTTGCTTATAGCAACAAGAATCAGAGGGTCTTCGACGGAGACAGCAAACGTCGTGGTACCAGCAGTGAAGAACCGGATTTGGTCGGGAACGGTATCAGAAGCAAACGATTCCTCTGAAGGCTGCTCGAAGCCGGCAACTAAAGCTTGAATGATACCCATGTGCGCCGATATGAGATCGTCGGACCCATGCATGGAAAAGATAGGCTTTCCAGCAAAGGATAGGATGAAGTATTGCTTCTTCTGAGAGAGGAACCGCTCCATTTCTCCCTCTTCATCATCTTGATCAGCAATGGAGCTCTCAGCGTCCACACTGTAGCCGTCAAAAACTGTGATAGAGTCGTCATCGATGTCGGCATCTATAAATGCATTGTTGTATGTGGAGATGTAAGGTCTTCCAAACGGGTCATGATCTTTGAGGATTTTTCCCAAGAGAGATTTGATGTCTGGAGCCCCTACCGAAGAGACTATGGCTGGTAGAGGTTGATGTGAGGCAGTCTTTGACTTCGACTTGGATTTAACGGAAGAGCCTATGCTGGCTGTCGGCGCCGATGATACGGAAGATGCAGGAGAGGTGGAAACGGTACTTGAGAGAGCACTGCTGGTAGCAGTTGAGGAGACAGAGGTGGATGTGGAGGCGACGGAAGCGGCACTTGGCGGGACCGAGAAGGACGAGAGAGCGGTTGTGGCCCGAGACTGGAGCCGTATCGGGAAGGCTTTCGAAAGGCCGACAAGGTCTGGTGCTAGTTGAGCAGGCGGAAGCAGACTTGCTCTTCGGGGGGTGAGAGGTGGAGAAATCGGACGAAGGGGCTGCTCGATTGTCTCCTGCGAGAGAATGTATTCGTCAACAACAGGAAGCGACACCTCGTCGACGACAACAGGCGGGTCTGTTGCGGCGGTGACGGCTAGTTGTTGCCGGTCAACAGCAGGCTGTGGCGGCGAGTGGGCAGCCATCAGTGAGCAATGGCTCTCATCAGCCTTGAGGTCTGCTGTAGAAAAGGGCACTGTCGACAACAAAAGCGGAGGATGGACTGAAATGGGACGGGCTTTAGGGTCGCGATAGAGATGGCGGGCGGCGGCGAGGCGAGCGGTGGCCACTGATTGCGAGGCGGGAGGCTAAACCTAAATTTCTCTGTGCGTGCGTAACAGCGGCGAGAAAACTGCAGGCTGGAGACAAGTCGATGGAGTCTTTGCTGTGTGGATGTGTTTGGAAGAGAGATTACGAGCTGTTGATTGATCTAAAGAGGCCATTTTCTCTGATAAAGCAGTTGAAGGACCAATTGCCTAACTGGGCGATTACTAATATCTTACATAGCAGACGCAATCCGGTAACCAGGTCGTCCGAGCTCTTGCTCGTGCTCGACCGAAGCCGCCTCCGATTAGTCAACGCGAATTAATGACGGATGAGAAAGATCAAATGGGCAGTGTAGATATCTGTAAACAATTGCGACTACTTGGAAATACCAAAATCAGTAGTTGTTCGTAGTGAACGCAGACAGTCAAAGACGTCGACTTGTGCGCGATAAGCGACCGCCTTGCTCCAGTCGTCCCAACCCAAGCGACGCTTCCTCAACCGCAACCGGGCTTTCTATCGCTTTAGGCCTCCCTTCCTTCCCTTCCTCCACCCAATCCACCTCCCCATCCTTCCATTCCTATCTTCTTCTCTATCAAACCACTCCACGGCTTTTGCAACAACCTCTGCTCCTGGCTATCGTTCAATCAAGTGATCGCCGCGGCATCTGCTGATCTCCGACCCGCCGCTCCTGTCCGCGTGTCGTCGCCCGCCTTCGTCCGGCCCCCCCGCTTTCTGTCCTGAGTGGCTCGACTAGGCCTTGACCATGGCTCCCTCCGCCCCCTCCACCTCGTCTATTCTACAGACAATCTCTCCCTTACCGTTCATTTTGTCTAAATCCGAAGACTGTGAGTCCGCATTGGCTCGAATGCATCCTATCTTATCACAAACGCTCGTCTCTAACTCTCTCTCCCATCTCGCAGCTGCCCGCAAGAAAGATCCAAAGTACAAACGCTATGCCGCAAACATTGATCGTGCCCTGGCTCTGTTTGAAAGTGTCGAAGAATGGGCTGATTACATTTCGTTTTTGGGCAAGCTCTTGAGGGTAATTGATCAGCCATTACTTCCACATCTTGCTTCTACATCGCCTGCTGACAGATCGTATCTTCTTTAACTAGGCACTCCAATCTCATACAGCTGAACAGGTCCCTTATTCACCTATAATTGCCAATCGCCTTGCCCAATCGCTGCATCCGAACCTTCCCTCTGGTGTCCATCAGAAGGCTCTTGAGCTTTATGGCTACATCTTCAGCATGCTTGGGGTAAGACTTTACCAATCTTTCTGTTTTATATACCGTTTTCGGAATTGAATCTAACATACTGGCCAATTGTAGAAGGACGAGCTGGCTCGTGAACTCAACATCTGGATTCCCGGATTACTCCCTTTGATGGCATATGCCAGCATCAACGTCAAAGTATGTCTAATCTCCTTTCTGTCGCGGCCTCCCCGTACTAACCAACTCTTATCTCTAGCCACACCTCATTCACATACTGGAAACTTGTATCCTCCCCCTTCCCGCCGAATCTCTGAGACCAATCGTTCGACCTCTGATTCTTTCGCTTCTTCCCGGAATCGACGACGAGACCAGCGAGTCTTTCAACGCGGTCTTGACATTGATTGATAGCTTCCGAGCGCACATCGGCGATGATCAGTACTTTTGGCAGTGTTTTTTCCTGGTGGTCTTGAGCTCCGCCGATCGCCGCCTCGGTGCCGCGATCTACGCAGCTAGAAGATTTCCCTCAATCAACACGGTGCCCAGCGACAAGACAAAGGATGAGCTTCTGCAGATCATCTCCGATGATGTCAAGGCCATTGTGACTCCAGAGCCTGGCCTACTCGTCCGGGCGCTTGGAAAGGGACTCGAGGATGATCAAGTTCTTGTGCAGCGTGGATTCCTGGAACTACTAGTCCGTAACGTGCAACTTCAAAGTGGTGCCGTTCAGACCCTCGTCGCCCCCCATGACCTCATGCTGCTTATGATGTCTGCATCCTCCGTGGTTCTTCGTCGAGATATGTCTCTCAACAGACGACTTTGGACCTGGCTCCTGGGACCCGAGCCATCTCCAGACCATCCCGCTACGACTCCACACCTTAGCCGCTCAGAATATTTTCAGAAATTCGGCATTACTCCTTTGGTGAATGGATTGAACGAACTAATCGCCTCTACGTCTCCTGATCCTGTTGCTCGTGCCAAGCCGTACCGGATAGCTCTGAGCTTGATGGATCGCTGGGAAGTTGGTGGCGTTATCATTCCCGGCGTGCTACTACCCATCGTTCGTAGTGTCAGGAGATACAGGACCGAGGCAAAGACTGACGCCGACTACCAAGAGGTTCTCCGCAGTGCTAGTGCGTTTTTCGATGGTGTTGAAGCTGGCAGCATCTGGCTTGATGGTTTCCTTTTGGTCAACCGAGATCACGATCTTGACCTTTTGCTTTTTATCATGAAGACTTTCAATGTCCGGGAGGAGGAGATGGTGATCGTTCACCTGCCACTGATTCTGATCTCATTATTCATAATTCGAAAACGAGGAGTGGAAGTCGACAAGAAGGTCTGGCTAGAGCTCGCTTCCGAGGTTCTTAGCGTCATACCTGCCCGTGCCCTGCTCCCTACAGAAAAGTCCGAACTGAGCACCTTCAACTCTGATGAAATTGTTGCCAAGATCTCGCAGTTCTACAATCGCTCGCCTGATGATCCATCCACGCCGCCATTCCTTCCAGCCACTATCTCATGGCTCCTATTGACAGCCACTGCTGAATTATGTACATCGACTCTGAAAGAGCTCGACCCCGACGCGGGAGATATCTGCATCATGCTTGTGAATCTTCTCGCAAAGATTCCCGGCGAGAAGACATGGCGCAACGAAGATCTGGTTGCAGCATTGCTATCTCTGAAGCCCGGCATTCAAGTCCCTTTTAAAGTTCTTTACGGTGCAACTAGACTGCTGGGTATAGTTATTGAGCGAAACGGAATGGAGCGCCAGGAAATTGACATCTCTATTCGGAACTTTACCGAGTTGGTGAGTTAGCTTCACGTCGTCATCAATAGATTTAACAATTACTAACGAATTATATCATTTAGCATTGGGGATACCTTAGTCAACCTACCGGAAAGTTCCATGTCGAGTCTGTCACTTCACTCTGGGATCTCCAGAGTAAATGCAAAGATCATAAAATCGAAGCAGCAATCTCCAACCTCGTGGCTGATGCGCACGCTCATCCAAACTCTGGCTACGCATTCATCAACCTATGGGCACACAGCGTCGATTATGCTAACTTCGAGGCTATCCTCACCCGTCCCCTCTTGCTGATGCTGGACTCTTTGGAGGATAAATACTCTCCTCTGAGATCTGTGTCCTTGGCCTGGCTTGATATGTTGGCTGCCACGTCTACTACGAACAGATTGTATGGAATTTTGGTGTCACGAATCCTTAAACTACCGTTCTTGAGACGCCAGGTTTATTCGTTCGGCGAGGATGATGACCTAGAACTCTTCCTTTACTATCTCAAGACGCTCACCAACATTCTTGATATGGGCCCTCCTAGTTTGTGCGCCAGTCTGGCTACCGATATGATTAGTGTGGATGCGTCGCGGAGCAATCTGCTGCAGCATATCGGGCTAGAAGACGGTGACCCATCATACAGAGGCTTCTTTATTCGAGTCATACTGCGGACTTTGAAGTACGATATCCCTCCTGATAGTTCACCTCAGCTACAGGAGAGTCTTTCAAAGGTTCTTCGAGGAGCTCTACAGCTTCTCGACGTGATTCTCACCAACCCTGATCGGCCGATGCGGCCAGAGCTCGCTGTAGAGCAAGCTCTCACTTCTCGATTGTCATCAAGCACCTTCAAAAATGATATCTATACACAGACGTTGATCCTGGATGTGCTTTTCCGAACTCTCAAGGTCAACTACGGAAGCTCCAGAACCGACAATTCAAAGGTGCACCCCGATAGCGTGATCAAGCTGCGCGAGTCGCTTGATGTCACTCCAGCAGTTGATGGCCAGGGTTCGCGATCTCCCACATCAAGCCTTATACAGTGTGTCATCGAAGGGCTTTCGACAGATGAGAACCAGCCCGTTCTGGACTCGTGGGTGAAATTTCTGATCGACTGTCTTCCGTTTTTCTCGGACGTCTTGTTCCAGATTCTGATTCCAATGGTTGAGTGCTTCTGTACTCAGATCAAGACAGACTTTGAGGACCTCAAGGTTGTCTACAGCTCCAAGTCGTCTAGCGGCGTGAAGATAGGGGCCTCAGAGGGTGCTTTGTTTGCTCTGATGCATGGTTTGGAACATCTGATGGTGGCAGCGCATGACAAGCTGTTGGACGAAGAGCAGAAGACGATTAACCCGAAAACACCCTCTGAGCCTGGATTTTTTGGTACCGTCATCTCAGGCGTGTTCTCAGTAGAGTCACCTCAAGCTCGCAGTGCGGCAGCAAACAACAGATTGACAGTTCTGTTGTGCTTCCAGGATTGTATCAGGATCAATCACTCCATTTGGCTGTGGGGCGAAGAGATTGCTAAAGGAGCGAAGAACAAACCCGATTCGGCATCTCACGAATCGTTCATGTACATTTCGTCGAGAATGAAGTATAGGGCCCGTCGCATCCTAGAGCGCTTATACTTGTCTGAAACGCTTGAGAGCTTGGAGACTTTGGTTGATATCCACAAACAGTATCCTGTGTTCAAGCTCCTTCACGTACTTGACGGATCGCGACCAAAGCTTACTTTCCCGTTTGTTTTGAACGCGATTTACAGTCGGATCAATCCCATGGTTCTCGAGCAGTCCTACCGGTCTACGTTGACTACTGATCTGACTGACTACCAGCTGGTCGAGTTCCTTGTCGACTATGTGAGCTCGCTTGATAATGACGCGATTGAAGAAATCTGGATGGACTGTATGACCTTTGTTAAGGATGTGCAGGCCAATATCAGTCTATACCGACACGTGCTTCCGAATGTCCTTGTATTCATTTCTATAATTGGCAGCAAAGTCGACTCAACGAACTTTGGCGAGCAAAGAAGGCTGCGAAAGGAACTGGCGGTATGTTTTTTGATTGATTTATATCTAACTTATGTTTTTGGTTGAAACCCATTCTAACCTTTTGTGATAACAGGACGTGTTCTTGAAACTTCTGAACTCCTCAGTAGCTTCCAGACAGGTCACGGGTCTTGCGTCTCCCGAGCCTTCTGCTCTTTCATCAGTTGCTGAGAAGGACAAGTATGTTGATTCAGACGAGTCTCAGGCTCCTTCATTGGCACAGTCAACTGCTACAACACTTGTGCACTCCGATTCGGTACAAACACTGCGAACGGCGAGCTCGTTCCAAGCACTCCCGTCGCTTGCTACGATCGGACTTGATAGCGGTTCCAGCTCCAAGCCAAAGGTCTCGCAAGAGGAGCTGTGTCGTGCTTTGGCTATCATTGTGCCCAATTTGCAGAAAGTTCTGCTCGAATCGGATCGTGTTGCTGTCGCGTGCACTATTATTGGAGCTAGTGTGATTACACCTGCGCTAAAGTCGAAGGGTTTCCCCGCTAGTGCGTCCGCGCCCGTGCTCGAGGTTCTGTACCAGACGTCTCGGGTCCCCAACTCGCAGAAAGCTTGGAAAACGTCAGTCACCGACGCTTACTACGACAGCAAGTTTTTCACTATGAGTGAGGCTTTGCGACCGAGATGGCGAGACGTTATCAAGCAATGGCTCGGAAACGACAAAGAGCGGATTCCGGATTTGATTTCTCGTGTGTCTGCGCATTCTTCTACTACCAACGTGGTGTTTGGATGGTCAGACCAAGAGTCGATTGCTCGTCGGTTGAATCTCCGCCGCCTCGCGTTTGCTTTTATGTGCGGCGAGACTGATCAGTTTCTGGTCAATCTTAAGGAGACGCTCGATAAGCTTTCCGAGCTAGTGAGTTCGTCCGTCACGGAGTCTATCCGTAGCGATGTCTTTTTGTGCTTGAGAGCGATTATTCTGCGCACTTCACCTGTGCATCTGCCGCCCTACTGGACATTTATATATACCGAGCTCACCTCTATCTTCACCGCGCTGACGAACGAGGACCCGAACACGTTGCGGGAGAATAAGCTGCAAAACATCTTTGCGGCTGCAAAGCTGTTGGATTCTATCTTGGTTTTGGGCCCCGAGGAGTTTCAGCTTCACTACTGGCTATTTATCAAGGACTCCTTGGAGGCTGCATTCCCTAGGCTGGAAACGTCGCCGCTGCCTCTTATTGATCGGCTGTCTCTTTTGATGGGAACACCGATGGAGACGACCTCGTCTATTGATCCCGCTAGCACTTCTTTGACTCAAAAGGTCAAGCGCACACCTATGCTCCGTGGTCAGACTCTGTCGGGCGTATCAGAGCTCAAGCAGTTTTTCAGTAAACTCAGCATTACTACATATGAGTGGGATTTTAATCTAGGCGAGCCAGATATCGAGGCTTTGGAGGAAGAGGTGTACGCGGATATCTTCATGTAAGAAGAGTGTGTGGTGAAGATGATACTTGGTATATGTGCTTTCTGCGACTCGCACAATCTGGTTATATGTAATGTAAATGCAAGAGAGTGGTGCTTTGACTCGACTGCTCCATCCGCTTTAGATTTTTCTTTTCTTTGTTGATAACTGATTTTCTATTCCTTTTCGAATTCATGGATGGTGTGAGCATTGCTGTTTTATAATGTACCTATTAACAATTTATCTAAATCAAGAAAAAAAAACGCCGTGATCCGATGCCAAAAATAATCGTACATGTCTACTCTATCTGCTAAATCTCCAAATGCTCAATATCTCCCATCTGATTTTTCTCTCGCCAATTTTTTTGACAGACCAGCCACGATCAGTCATTGCCTTGGCTACCTCCTCGGGTTTGTTTCTAAAGCAAAACAAGATATACGCCACTCCGCGATCTCTCATTACAAAGTCTAGTTGGTCGAGAACAATCTTTGTGACTTGCATGCCGTCCTCGCCGCCTAACAAAGCAAAATCAAGCCAGTCATCCGACTTTATCGAAGACTCATATGATCCAAGATTATCAGCAGGGACATAAGGCGGGTTGAACAGTAAGACGTCCACAGTATTGGGCCTCAGTCCGTCCCAGATATTGGTGCGCAGGACATCAAAGTATCTTGTTCCGTTATTCGCCCGCGATGTTTCAAGCGCGGTCTTGCACGCATGGGGATTGACGTCTGTGCCTAGAAACAGTGCCTGAGGCAGAATGTAGTTGTGGAAAAACGTCGTGATAATTCCACTGCCGAGTCCTAGCTCTAGGACAGTGGGAATCCCCAGTTTCGACGAATCTGAAAACCGTTCCTGGATGAACGACCGCTCTTCTTGCAGCAGATCTAGGAAGAGAAAGCTGTCTTCTGATGGCTCGTAGACCTGGTCGTAATCGACATGTGAAGTCGATGGGGTCGGAAACATCGCCCTTTCTGCATCTGCTCTGAGCAACAGCGATATCGAAGTTGAAGACGCAAATATTCAATTAACCTGACGATGGGTGTCGTGAATCACGTGATATTTCGGAGGTTTTTCGTGTGTCGCACGCGTCATTCAACAAAACCGACGCGCGCTTCAAACTTCCGGAGTCGAAAGCTTCACCTGCCCGTCTCGGTGTTGCCACCTTCCGGGCTACTTAAACCATACAAATCGCCTTTTTATGGCCTGCGAGGTAACAACATCATGGTGCTCATGAAAGCTCACTCAGAGCTCGCCCTTTCTTCTGGCAAGCGCCTCAGCAGCAAGCTTCGATTGTCGCACGAGGCCAATGGTTTGATACGTAACTGCAGATCTACGCTTTTGGCTCACAATTACCGCACGATTTATATAAATGAGCGCTCAGGATTAAGCTCATTCGAGACAGGACGGACGATTGTCCGTCGGTTCGCTACCGCGGCACCGGTGGAGAAAAAAACCTCCCCAAAATCAGAATCTGTGGCAAAGAAGCCCCGAGCGACAAGGAAGAAGACGGCGACCAAAAAAGCAAGCGTCGAGGAGCCAGTGATCATACAGGGCTTTGTGCCTGATGAGCAGATGGATTTGGACGCCTTGGCTAAGGCTTATGAGGTGGTCAAGACCTACCCGACGGTTTTACAGCAGGCGAAGGATAATATGGAGCGTCTCCCAAAGTGTGTTGTCTTGACACGAGTTGGGTCGTTTTACGAGGTCAGTGTTGAACACATACAGTCTATGAGCTTCACAGTTGTCTAACTTAATTGCTATTTAATGTACAGTTATACTTCCATCAAGCCGATGAGTTTGGTCCACTGCTGAACCTGAGAGTCGCACAGAAGAAAACTCAACACGGTCCTGTATCTATGGCAGGATTCCCTTTTATGCATCTCGATCGATACCTAAAAATCCTAGTACAAGAATTGCATCAGTATGTTGCAATCAGCGATGAATTCCCAAACATATACGCAAAGCCCGGGGCACCGCAGCAAGCTGCTCTCGCAAAGAATCTGGTGAACCCAGAGGATTATATGGACAAAAATGAGATTGGACAGAAGACTGCGAATATGTTTATCCGTCGAGTCTGTCGGATTATCACTCCAGGTACACTCATCGACGAGAAGTTTTTGAATCCGACAGAAAATAACTTCATCGTGGCTATCTCTCTCCGGCCGAAATCCGATCAACTGGTCGCGCAGTCTGACGGTACGGACGATGCTGATGCTGAGCATTTCCATATCGGCTTATCGTGGCTTGATTTTTCTACAGGCGATTTCTTCACACAGGTAAGCTCGAACGCAACGCTGATCAGCGACATTGCAAGGATTGCCCCGAGTGAGATTTTAGTCGACAAAGGTTTGAACAGTGGACCAGCACGCCATATATACCGGAAGCTAGAGGAGCAGCAGTATTTCATCACTATGGAGAATTTCCCTGAGCTCAACGAAGAACACGCTCAAGGAGGCGAGTCTAGTGAGATGGACGACGGCAAGTTGAATGGTCAAAAAAGAGATTTCTTAAAGGACTGGAATGATTTGTTTGAGTCTGAAGAATCTGCGCCCGACATGATCAAAATATTGACCCACGACGAGTTGAACGCATGTACAGTGCTGCTTCGTTACATCCGAGACAAACTCCCTGAGACGTCGATCAAGGTTCAGGTGCCGGTCCGCAGAGTGCCAGATGACAACATGCTGATTGACGTCAACTCACTTCGCGCTCTTGAGATCAAGAAAACTTTGAGAGAGCAGTTGACCAGTGGTAGCTTGCTCAACACGATCAAGCGTACAGTGACAAAGTCTGGAACGAGGCTGCTTTCGGATTGGCTGTGTATGTATATAATTTGGAGTATTGATTTCAGTTCAGGTTCACTGATTTCTGTGTTATCTAGCATCTCCGACTACCTCTATCGCTGTCATCAATCAGCGGCAAAACCTGGTAGAGTCGTTTTTGAACGATGATCACGTTCTCCAGATGGTAATCTTATATCTCAAGCGGACTCACGATGCCAACCGGGTGGTGCAAAGGCTTGCGCTCGGTCGTGGAGATGCAGAGGATATGATTGCGCTTCTCCAGTCGATCCAACAGACCGCTAAGCTGCGCGAACTCCTGGCTGATTACGTCCTCAACAAGACCGAGGAAAACGAGATTGCAGGACCGACTTTCCAGCAGATAGTCGATCGGTTAGCTGACCTGAGCGACCTGGAACGGTTGATTGTGAATGCGTTTGACCAGGAGCTGGTGTTTCAGCGTTTGACCGCCGAGGAGCAGCGATTGGCTGACGAGATGGCGCGCCTAGAGCAAGGGGTTGCTGATCTCAACGAGGTTGGCGAGATCAAGAAGCCCAGTAAGAAAAAGCCACAGACTCGGAAAGGTGCGCCGATTGAAATGATGGAGATTATGAAGCGAAAGTAAGGCCCCTTCCGTTTTGTGTACTTGGACAGTAGACACCAACTAACAATATGACAGTGCGTCCCGGAGTCTTATGAGACTACACAACTCTTTGAGGAAGTCGATAGCCGAAAGAGACAAGATGGAGCGTGATTTGAAGGAGCAATTGGACGCTCCGACTATTGATCTTCGATGGGCTCCAGGCCTAGGCTTTTACGTTCATGCTGCAGGCAAAGATTTCGAAAAGTTCGAAAGTGTCGAGACTGAGTACGGGAATACAGAGGCGAGATGCATCATTGCACGGAAAAATACTAGGTCTTATCATCTGGACGTACGTATCCTTTGTGTGCTTTTTGGTGACAGAAGTCTTTGGAAGCTAATAACTGAAATAAACCGATAGCGTTGGACCGTGGTGGGAAGTCGCATCGACTCGTATAAAATGATGATCCGAGTAGAGGAACGAAAGATCTTTAACGACATCAGGCAGCAGGTAGTCGCACACCTTGCACCGATCCGAAGAAACGCCCGGGTGTTGGACGAACTAGATGTTACCTCGTCATTTGCCGTGTTTGCTCGAGAGCGTCAACTGGTGAGGCCGGTCGTGCATAACAGGCTTTCTCATCATATTGTCGCGGGACGGCATTCGACGGTCGAGTACGGGCTGGCGAAAAAGGGAGTAGCGTTTACGCCGAATGATTGCTTTTTGGATGAAAAAGAGCGGCTTTGGTTGATTACGGGGCCGAATATGGGCGGTAAGAGTACATTTCTTCGACAGAACGCTCTCATCAGCATATTGGCGCAAGTGGGATCTTATGTGCCAGCGGATTTCGCAGAGCTGGGAATCGTTGATCAGATTTTCAGTAGAGTGGGATCAGCTGATAACCTGTACCGAGACGAGTCGACGTTTATGGTTGAGATGCTTGAGACGGCAGCTATCCTGAAGCACGCGACACCGCGGTCGTTTGTGATTATGGATGAAATTGGACGGGGAACGACGCCAATGGAGGGGCTTTCGATCGCATATGCTGCGCTGCATCATCTGTATCATGTCAACAAATGCCGCACGCTTTTCGCTACTCACTTCCACGACTTGGGTGAGATGATCGAGGACATGCCCCACGCTGCGTCGTACTGCACCGACCTGAGTGAAAACGAGCTGGGACTCTACTTTGACCACAGGCTGAGAAAGGGAGTCAACCACCTGTCTCATGGAATTCACGTTGCACGATTGGCAGGTCTTCCAGCTGCTGCGCTTGAAGTCGCAGAAGCCACTTTGATAAAGCTGGATCCATTGGGTTCGGCTGCGCGAAACGGTCGTTCTGATGACAGTGGTGCGGGCTCGACACATACCCATGAACCGGAGAGACACGAGTCGGTTGCTAGTGTAGCTTAATAACTAACGTACGCAGTTTGCAATTGCGCTCTAAGCGTCTAGGATTATGCTCTATAACAGTTGTTTTGCTTATTTTGCTACCTCGCTAAATACAAAATGATAAAAAAATCCGTGACATCTTCTTTGTACATAATTAAAAGCCGTAGTATAAACTCAAGAGAAAAGACATACACACAGCTTTACTCTTTCTTCTTCTCGTCCTCAGTCTTTTCCTCAATCTCCGCAACCTCCTCGCTGCCCTCACCGCCCTCCGTAACCGGCGTATTCTGCTTCGCCATTTCCTCCTTCAACTTCTCGAGCTCGGTAATGAACCATGTGATTCCCGCCCACAAGCCGAGCGCGATAGCCGTCAGGAAGAAGAAGTGCTTGTTGAGCGTCGAGACGCACAGCGTCACGAGCGTCACCACCAGCGCGGCGAATGAGTAGTGAGTTGCTTTGACAAGAGTGGGTGTGGTGCCGGGAGTGAAGATGGACTCCCATAGGTCGCCGAAGAATTGCGACATTGTGTGGTGTGGTGTGGTGTGGTGTGGAAAGAAGTGTAGATTATTCGTAGAGCACGGCGGTGGGAAAGGTAGCCTCGGAAGGAAGGTCGTTCAGCACTCAATCAGGTTACAATATGTAGTGCTCGTAATATTTTTTCTCTTTGCAAATACAGAGAAGAACAGCGATATCCAATTGAGCTGTGGATTGCAGGCAATGATGATGACAATAGAATATGGAAGGTGGTCGACGCGCGCCAGCTTTCTTTGGTCGCTCGCTATCGGGGCTCAGCAGAGATGCGCACCGCCACTCTCTATCTATCGGTGTATGTGGCGGTGCATACGCATCGCCTTCTCATCAGCCTACCCCTGAATCAGATCTCGAGCAATCGTCCATTCTGATCTCTATCCCTAAAATTACAATCAAGAACACCGTAATATGATACATAAATCCCTCTCTTCACTAGCAGTCACCAGATCTCTCGTTTAACCGCTATCACTACACCGTCTGGGTCCGCCGTCGATACGGTTTTCCCCTGTATTTCCGAAACTGCCCTCTTGCCGCTACTTTGGTCGTCGCTCTTACTGCTTTCGCTGAACTCTTGGGCCGTGCCGATGCAGAGCCGGCTGCTGCTCGAGACGATGCGCTGACACGCGGTGTGGTCGTCTTTGGTCGCGTTCCTTTCTTGGGAAACTGCATCGTCAGATTCTTAAGTCCAGACAAGAACGCGCTCGCTTGACCTCCAGTCTTGAGGTATGAGGACGCGAAGCCGGCCTTGTTGACAGATGACATCTCCTTCAACGCGTCTACAGTCACAAGATGATGGAATATCCGCTCGATATCTATGCGGTCCAGACCTTTCCCGGCACCGTACCCTTCGATACCATCGTGGTTTGCGTTCTGGATCTTGGCGGTCTTTGCACCCCGGAACACGTCCATGCAGTATAGCATCGTCACATTCTCATTCTGAAGCTGGCGAACCACCCGTATAATGTTCTTCGCAACCTCTGTCACATCACGGTCCTCGTAGTCGGTAGAGTTTGACGATCGACAGTTGTCACAAGATTTGTGGCACTCGGCACTATCAAATGTCTCGTTGAAATACCGTAGAACTTGCAAGCGACGGCAATCAGTCTTGTTCTCACAGTATTGCACAACTTGCTTCAAAAACGAGCGCTGCTTCTCCTTCGTTTGGAAGTCGCATTCGTCGCGGTCAATCATCGTCATCATCGTGCTCGCATCGCGGTAAGCATAATATAATATACATTCAGAATACAGCCCGTCGCGTCCAGCACGGCCGGTCTCCTGATAATATCCTTCCAAATTCCGCGGTAAAGTGTAGTGCACCACAAACCGTACATTGGCTTTGTCGATACCCATGCCAAACGCAATGGTAGCGCATATAGCTTGCAGGCTTCCTTCTTGCCATTTCGTTTGCACGTCCATGCGCTCGTCGGGTGTCATTCCCGCATGGTAGTGCGTCACCCGAAGTCCAAACTGCTGGAGTTTGCTCGCAGTTTGCTCGCACGACATCTTCGAATGGCAATAGATAATACCCGATTTTCCTGGATATTTAACTGTCAACAGGTCTCTGATTTCCGGTAGAACATCTTTGCTCTTTTCCCTGACCTCATAGAACAAGTTCGGGCGATTAAAGCTCTGCTTGAAAACCGCAGGATTCTTAAGCTCAAGGTTATGCATCACATCAAGCTGTACACGGTCATTGGCAGTTGCCGTTAATGCAATCATTGGCACATCAGGATACTGCTGCTTAAACATCTTGAGTTCCTTGTAATCCGGGCGGAAATCATGTCCCCATGAACTCACGCAATGCGCCTCGTCAATCACAATCCGCGCAAGCTGTCCATTAGAGTGCAGTCGGGATATCGAGCTCTTGAGCTGACCACTGGTGTTGAGCATCTCAGGCGAAATGTACAGCAGCGAGAGATCGCCGCTGTTCAGTAGTCTGAACATACTCTTTCTGTCATCAAGATCACCTCTTGAGTTTATCATGCCTGCGCGTATTCCTTTCTCAATCAGATGAGCGACTTGATCTTGCATGAGCGAAATCAGGGGTGAAATAACAATAGTGGTGCCTTTCGTTTTGCCGCCAAAAACTAGCGCAGGTAGCTGATAACAGAGAGATTTACCGCCTCCCGTCGGCATCAAAACAAACACGTCTTTGCCGGAGAGAGTCGCGTTGATAGCCTCAAGCTGATTTTTTCGAAACCCTGGAAGTCTGAAAACGTTGCTTAGCACCTGGCAGACTTCTTCTGACCAGGGATACTGCATCTCTTTGTCGCTTCTATCGTACACACCACCGTGAGTCATTTGCTTCGCTGGGTTTATGTACTCTCCGCGTGCATCATCATCAATCAGAATTGGATCTTTGAAGAAATTGTCCATGTCTTCATCAGCGATGTCCTGTATCATAAATGTCAGCAGCAGTACATATATACTAGAAACCAAGTCAAGTAACCCACTTCATAGCCTGAATCCGTATTGTAGTAATCATTCGGGGTACTCCGCGTCTCAACAGCTGCATCAACCTCTTGCACAGGCGATAGCTGTCGCGTCTCGAATCTCTCCCGCTCATATCCAAAGTATTTGCTGACCGTGGCCTCCTCCTCTCGTGCTGCCGCTTCATACGTCGTGACCTCAACACCATTGTACCCGCTATATGAGCTGCCGGATATGTATTGTTCACGAGTCTCTCTGACATCAAAGTTGATGTCCGGTTCCGGAAGCGGAACTAGATCATTCATGTAAATGTCATCTCTCCTTGTGTTGTCAGAGGCTTGGAAGTTTTCAGAGTACGCGGACACATGTTGGTTTGTCACCGAGTTTGGAAGCACATCACCATGTTGTTGAGATTTCTGATTGGCCGATTGCACAACAGTCAAGCCGCTATTCTTGAGCTCTTCGAGTAGTTCAAGACCGCGTTCATGTAGTCTGCTGAGTTTCGCAAACTCCGGGGCCTTCAGTGCACGTCTGGCGGCCTTGACTGTCGCTGAGAGATTCGTATTTTCTTCAGTAAGCAGACGTTCTTTCAATAAGTCTATAAGACCGTTCGAAATCACAATGATCTCGTTTGTCAGCTCGTTGCTGGTCATGCCTTCGAAATAATCGTCATAGTTTGGTTCGCTCATAGATGTACTGTTGTTGAAAGAGCGCTCTGAAGACGACGAATGCATTGGAGATCCGGGGACATGGCTTGGAGTGCTATGAACCTGATCATCGGTAGTATTGATCGAAGTGCTGGAAACATTAGTTTTTGGATCTTCCGGGGAAGCGCGACCGACAGAAGACCTCTTATTCTGCGGCTTTTCCGGTACCGGAGGAGCGACAAACTCAGTTATTCTTTTCGAGGCGTATATGTTAGGCTGTGGTCGCCCCTTCCTCTGTTTTTGAGGAGGCTCCTGCAATGGCACGATTTCCGACTCTGAGCCGTCGGAATCTGAGAATAAGCCGTTCAAGTCCTTCTCGGTCTTTTCGTCAGATTTTGCAGCCACATGATCTGGGTCTAGCGAGTCCGGAACCACAAATCCGGTACCATCGTCGTAGGAATCATCGTCGAAATCCTCATATTCATCCTCGCCTGTAGCCTGAATTTGAGACTCGACGCTGAGTGATCGCTCGAATACAACAGATATTTCTGGCTCGTCGGAGCCCTGCTGTTCTAGATGTCGAGGATTTTTCACTGTAGATATCGGAGTTCGTATGGCATCTTCGGAGTTTGGTAGATGCCGCAATCGCTTGCTGGGAGATTTTCGAGGAGAGAGATCAGAGTTGCTGCGACGTCGTTCGCGCGCGCCGCCAGCGGAAGAACCTGCCGCTGGTTTTTCCTCATCGCTACTTAGATCAATCGCGTGAGAGAGCGGTACATCAGGAGTCAATATAGAGCTGGCAATTTCTTCGGAGTGCAAACACTGGTCAGTAAATCAAGTTTATGGCGCGCGTATAGCAAAATGGAATCAACATACTGCGTCTGTTTATTGTCGGATTAGCGCTGACTGGAGTCAGAGGAGCTTGGCCACCGAGATTGTTCAGTCCAATACTAGATGTCTTCGAGAGTGTGCTGCGGGAGGTGTCTGGGGTACCAGAAGCTGCAGCTGGTGCCGAGCGCCTGGGAGTAGAATGTTTTGGCGTCGCAGCTTTGTCGACCGACAGCAGGGGACGCATCGAAGGTTGAGAACCGCTCGAGAAAGAGCTATCTTCTACTGCAGCCGGTATCAGTTGTGCGATAAAGCTAGGAAGAGTGGCTGTGAACCCGATACTGGGGGGGATGCAGTCTGCTTGAGGAATTGCTGCATTCGACGATACGAGCCAGCGCGTGTGTGTTGCGAGGTTATTCTCTGGGGTGTTGGCGTGCCATTCAGCAAACATCTAGCATTTGAAGTATAAGAAGCCACCGTCTCTAGCCACAGAATAACAGCAAAAGAAGGTGCACTCGGGCAGACTTTCTGGCTTTGATGAGGAACCTGTGGGTTGGTGGGTGAGTGGTAGAGCAACTGTTTACATCCCAAATTCAAAGTTTCCAACGCGCGCGTTCCAGTCACGTGATATTTATGCACATTAATATGTCACGTGAATGCCCTAAGTGTGCAATTGTTTTTGGCATCTGTGTCTATCGTGTCAGCTACGCCGTTCGGCTTCGTTCTAATCCACAGCTTCCCCGTTCACACACTCTTCGCATCAAGGAATCCGGTCGAAAGAAGATACAAGATGGATTCAATTGTCAACAGATTTACTGCTCGTCCTGAATTTGACGAGGCCGTTCTCTCGGAGGAGGAGATCCGCGACTGCATGAAACCGCAGTCGGTCCCTACACTGAGCCTGCCCCCGATCTCACAGGTGAGGCCAATTCTGATTGATAAACGCGTTGTTGGGATGATTGTACTGATATGTTTGTATTCAGCCTACCGCATTTCTACGAGCACATACAGACGATGCGTCGAATCCTGATGCACGGATCAAGATTGCCCACGGTACCACCACTTTGGCCTTCCGATTTCAAGGAGGAATCGTATGTGTCTTTCTCTTTTGCATAGCGATTAGATAGCCTGATGGCTCGATTTTTGCTGATTCTAATTACTTTGACTTTTTTAGGTCGTTGCTGTCGATTCGCGTGCCACCGCGGGTGACTGGATCGCTTCTCAGACGGTGAAGAAGGTGATTGAGATCAACCCTTACATGCTGGGGACTATGGCCGGTGGTGCTGCCGACTGTCAGTTCTGGGAGACATGGCTGGGTATTCAATGCAGATTGCATGAGCTTAGAGAGAAGAGCCGCATCAGTGTTGCAGCTGCGAGCAAGATCCTGTCGAACCTGGTGTACGGATACAAAGGAATGGGTCTTTCCATGGGAACTATGATCTGCGGCTATACCAAGAGCGAGCCGGCTATTTTCTACGTCGACAGTGACGGTACTCGTCTCAAGGGTGATTTGTTTTGCGTTGGATCTGGTCAGACTTTTGCGTACGGTGTCTTGGATAGCGGGTACAAATGGGATCTTACTGTCGAGGAGGCGCTGGCTCTAGGAAAGCGAAGCATCTTGGCTGCAACTCACCGGTGAGTCCCTTTCTATCTTTTTGGTTTGCTATGAGTTCTTGTTGAGGAAGGTGACTAACAGATGTTGTTTACAGTGATGCTTACTCGGGAGGATCTATCAACCTATACCACGTCGAGGAGAAGGGATGGACATATCACGGCAATCACAATGTGGGCACAACATTCTGGGAAACTAAGGAGGCTGAAGGCTCGTTCAACAACGTTCCTACGGAAATTACTGCCAATGTTTAGAAGCAATGAAGACAGTGTATCTATTATAATCAACATTATTGGTTCTGGTTAACTAAAGTACTATTAGCGACATGTCCGTGTGATGTCGTGTGCATTAATCTTTTGTTGCAAAAGTTGACTTGGACAATCCACACCAGAGATCATGACAATACGTAGTTTAGACCCAAGTCCTCTGATTAAAGAGAGAATCGGTGAAATCTGAGTAGTAGAGTAGAATAGGTGCCAGTCAGCTCCAGCCGTGCCAAATGTAAGCATCAAGGCTCTTGTAGCGTGACTTCCTGAGCACTCCACGAATTAAGAACATTCCACTACGATACAATTCAAGGCCTGATCGCATCATCTTCCCCGTTCAGTGCATTCTACTGTCGTCTTGATTCGTGTATATCTGAAAGAATACAAACATGGGTGGCTTTTCGTTTGACAATTACCAGCGCAACAAGTTCCTGACGGCGAAGGGATACCCCGTGCCAACCGCTACCGCGACCGGTACTACTATCGTCGGATGCCGATTCGATGGCGGCGTGGTGGTATGTGAATTCTTCCAGCTTTGTGATGGCTGGCTGGTGATACTTAGGAGAGATGGCTAATGTAGATTTGATGTGCAAACTAGATTGCTGCTGATACGCGAGCGACCGAGGGAGAGATCGTGGCTGACAAGAACTGCGAGAAGTTACATCGGATGTCGCCCAACATTTGGTGGTATGTGATCTATTTTTTATTGGTTTTAGAATGATAATAGCTGAGACTAACGACTTAATTATAGTGCCGGTGCTGGAACTGCCGCTGATTGCGTAAGTTGGTGATCTGCTAGTCGCAGAGAATAACCCAATGTGCTAATACACATGTCACTTATAGGAAATGGTCACTCAGCTGATTTCGTCCAACCTCGAACTTCACGCCATGAGCACTGGACGAGCACCAAGAGTCGTTACTTGTCTGACAATGTTGAAGCAACACTTGTTCAAATATCAGGGCCACGTCGGCGCCTATCTGATTGTCGCTGGCTGCGATCCAACAGGTACGAGATTCCTGCCCTACTGCTTTTTATTTGTTTCATCTTTTATCGGAGAGTGCTAATCTCAATGCAACTAGGACCGAAGCTTTTCTCAATTCACGCTCACGGATCAACTGACGTCGGATACTACCTGTCCCTCGGATCTGGCTCTATGGCTGCCATGGCCACGTTGGAATCAAAATGGAAGAGCTCGATGACCAAGCAGGAAGCGATGGATCTCTGCGCTGAGGCTATCGAGGCCGGTATCTGGAACGATGTATGTTTGCGTTTGTGTATGTGGCTTGGACGACGAGTCAGGTGGCTAACTGTGTTTCTCCGTTTTAGCTTGGTTCTGGTTCGAACGTCGACATGTGCGTTATGGAGGTTAACAAGGTGAGTGCTGTTCAGTCTTTTTTCACAACAATCTGCCCCGTATAGTCCAGGATGCTAACATGTTTGTAGCCCGCTGTCCTGCACAGAAACTACCGCACCCCCAACGAGCGATCGATCAAGCAGAAATCCTACGTCTTCCCGCGAGGAACCACAGCCTACTTGAACGAGAAAGTGAAGCCGATGATCAAGCCTGTTGCGTACGATATATTCGAGGAGACCGTGACGTCGACGGGAGGCGAGCAAATGGAGATTGATGGTTAGAGCTTGTTCATACTTGTTGTTTTTCTTGTTGCGCTCTACGGTTTATTTGTAGGTATTACTGATAGTATATGAAAGCTATTATCCGGAATCATCCCATTTTGTCCAAATCGCAAAATTTGTAGATGTTGTATTGCCGTAAATCAGATGAGATAGTCTTTCTTGGGTTGACTGTGCGGCTCGATGCGGCGACCTCAAATTTCACAAATCTTCAAAAAAAGATTGGGTTATTACTCTCGCTGTAGATACCCACCCCGCCGACCCGATTCGAGAAGAAGACGCCAGGGCGCAGATCCAAGAATGCAGAAACAACAGCAGCTACCGATCAAAGAAGGTGAGTCGGTCAATGGTCGATCAATAACGGCCAGAAACGGCGACAGAGGATTTTGCTAACACGTTGGGAACTCATCTGCAGTCGAGAGCAAACTTCTCAGCCGATTCGCGGAGAATAAGGTCACGATTCTTGTCGGTGAGACCGGTAGCGGTAAATCGACTCGTAAGTTCATCTTTGACTTTGTGGAGTCGTTTTGGTAGGGACTGACTGGGATATATTATGAATGCAGAGGTGCCACAGTTTATATGGTCGATGGATCGCAGGAAAGAGCGGATTGCGGTCACCCAGCCCCGACGAGTTGCTGCTATCAACCTCGCCAAACGAGTGGCGGAAGAGACGAAGACCGAGCTTGGGCAGGAGGTAAGTGCCAATCCATGCCGGCAGGGCTGGCCGAATGCTGACGTTTTCTGTTGTTGGGTAGGTCGGTTACACTGTGCGATTTCAAAATATGAGCAGGCTTCAGACGCGGATCAAGTTCCTGACAGACGGTATGCTCCTTCGTGAGCTACTGCTGTACCCCAATCTTGAGCAGTACACGACAATCATCCTCGACGAAGCCCACGAGCGCACGGTGGTGACCGATCTGTTGATGGGATTTCTCAAGATCCTGGTCGAATCGAGAGACGACCTGCGGCTGATTGTCATGTCTGCCACTTTGGACGCCGACCGGTTCAGTCGGTTTTTCAACGGCGCGGAAGTGCTGTACGTGCAAGGACGGAAGTTTCCCGTGACGAGGATGTATCTTAATAAACCGGTCGAGGACGTTGTCGACGCTACTGTCCGCGCGGCTTTACAGATCAATATCGGAGAGCCTACGGGGGACGTTTTGGCATTTTTGGCGGGACAGGAGGATATTGATAAAGCGGTAGATATGCTTAATGAGTTTTCAAAGAGCATGCCGAAAGGAGTGCCTGAGATGGTCGTCTTACCGCTCTACGCGGCACTTCCCCAGAACCAGCAACAAGAGGTGTTTGAACCATTATCAGGCCACAAACGAAAGATCATCCTCGCCACCAACATCGCCGAAACCTCACTGACAATCTCCGGCGTGCGCTACGTGATTGACAGCGGGACTCACAAGGTCAAGGTCTGGCGGCACGATCTCGGACTAGATAGTTTACTCACCGTGCCGATTTCAAAGTCGAATGCCGCGCAGAGAATGGGTCGAGCGGGTCGAGAGGGGCCCGGAAAATGCTATAGGTTGTATACCGAGGAGGATTACTTGGGATTGAGGCCGCAGAGCGAGCCGGAGATTGAGAGATGCGATGTTGCGTTTCCGATTTTGACGCTGAAAGCGGCGGGTGTCAAAGATGTTTTGGGATGGAGCTGGCTTGAGAGGCCCACAAAAGGCGCGAGTAAGTTGTTCTCATATTTTTGGTTATCGGGAGAAGCTTTACTGACGACGAGGTAATTAGTCATGTCGGCATTGACACAGCTATACGCATTAAAAGCCTTGGACAACAACGGCGACATCACCGATCTCGGTCTGAAAATGTCTGTCCTTCCTCTACCGCCCCACCTCAGCGTCGTTCTGTTGCAAGCACAAGAGATAGGTATCGGCGACGCAGTTCTCGACATTGTGTCGTGTCTGTCGATCGAGAATCTGCTGATGAACCCGCACCCGGACAGAAGAGACGAGGTGAATGAGAAGAGGCTGCCGTTTGTGACTGCGAGTGGCGGGATGGGCGATTTGATTGTGCTGAGGAATTACGTGCAGCATTATCGGAGTTTGAAGAATAATGAGGAAAAGAGGGAGTGGTGTAAAGAGGTGTATATAAACGCAAGAGCGATGGCTAACGTTCAGGTGCGTACAGCTTTTTTGTTCTCAGTGGGGAAGGGTGACTGCTAACACAAATCCAGGACGTCCGCAAACAACTAGAACGATACCTGAAATCCAACGAAAAGAACGTGACGCAAGACGCGCAAAACGGCGAAGACGAAGAAGACAGCAGCGACCGGACAAAGCTATACGCACCCACGGACTTGAACGAGCAGATCGTGCGCTGTTTCCTTTCTGGATTCGTGACGAACACCGCGCTTGCGATGCCGGGAAAGACGTTCAAGACTATAGCGACAGGGCAGACGATTAATATTCATCCGTCGTCGTCTATGTTTGGCAAGAAAGTTGATGCTGTGATGTATACCGAATACGTAAGTTTTCTTCTGCATATCTTGTCTGTTTTTTGAAAGACGCTGATTTTGTTCTTGGTGTAGATCTTCACGACGAAAGCGTATGCCAGGATTGTGAGCCCGATAGAACTAGAATGGCTACAGAAAATCGCTCCGCATTTCTTGGGACGAAGATCTGCAGGGAGCGAAGAGTGAATAGATTCAAAACACTGTTTGTACAAATACATACTATAGAACTCAATGATCTTGAAAGCAATAACCAAACTCCGTATAACCAAACGCCGTAATAACAATTTTTCTCAATGCAAATCGCTAGGCATACACCTTCAAACACCTAGTCTCCCTATGCGTATCTTCGCACGCCATCGAGCAATACCGTGCTCTGCATCTGACGCAGGTAATAGGACCCCAATACCCGCACACACTGCAGATCTTTCGCGCAGGATAAAGCGACGCGCCCGCCATCACGGCCGCGACCTCACTCGCGCCAGCCTCGTCCTCATCAACCAAATTCTGCAACACCTTCTTCGACTGCAAAAGCTTCCTCACGCCCGGCGTCCTACCCGAGACACTCGGCCCCGCACCACTGCTGCTGCCCCCCTGCCGCTTCGGAATATCAATCTTAACAGCGTCATTGTAGTTTTCGCGCTCGAGATCGGCGATGCGTCGCGCGATTGCGCGCTTGACGACGGCGGAGTCGGCGGGTTTCGCGTTCGCGGGGTGGTTGGCGGCCACTGCGCGCTTGCGCCCGACGCCGGCTTTCTTGACGCCGGCGGTGCTGCCGCTTGCTATTATTTCCACCAGCGGCATCTCCTGGTTCTTGATTGAGTGGTGGAGAGGAGTGTTTTGATAAGACGAGTAGAGGAAGTTGATTGAGTTGATGTTGTGGGTGGATTATAAATCTTTTGCCACGTGACCACGCTCAGCTCAGCTTATTTTGCAAAGATGTTGCTGACCTGCTCTGTGTTTGTTCATCATCTACAACGAACCTGATCTGAGTGAATAGAAATTTGTTTGCTGTTTATATCTATTGTACGATAGAAGCAGAATATAGAAATGGCAGGGATTGCAACGCAGCAGCATTACAATCAAATGCACGGCGGCTACGACAACAACTACGGCAATCCATACCAGCAAGATCAAAACAGCTATCAACAGCAGCAGCAGCAGCAGCAGCAGCGGAATTGGCAGCAAAATGGGTCGTCGTCAGCACAGGGACTTCCGGCGATGATGGCGGCGGCGGCGACAGTATCTGCGAGCCAAAACAGCTTGTACGGCGGTAACGGTGGTGGCGGAGCCGCGTCGACGGGCGCGACGGTGAAGATCTCGGGGTCGATGGGGCATTTTTCTCGCGATCCTTCTTCCGATTTCAAATCACGGTCTCTTGCCGAGCGCGCGCTGATGGCGACGGCCGATCCCGGGCAGAAGTTTGTGTTTGAGCAGTTTCTGCGGAAGGAATACCAGTTTGGCATCGATCCCAGCCGGCCGATATGTAAGAAATACGTGCAAGGCAAGTGCGAGCTCGGGAACGCGTGTCCGGATAAACATGTGATGCCCTCGGCGCCGAATCAGGTGGTGTGCAAGCATTGGCTGCGAGGGCTGTGTAAGAAAGGCGAGTCGTGTGAGTTTTTGCACGAGTATAATCTGCGCAAGATGCCAGAGTGTACGTTTTTCGCGAGAAACGGGTTCTGCACGCAGTCGCCAGACTGCTTGTATCGGCACGTCGACCCGCAGTTGCGGATCCCGCCGTGTCCGAACTACGAGCGCGGGTTCTGCAGATTAGGACCCGAGTGCACGAAGCGACACGTGCGAAGGACGCTGTGCGAGTTGTATCTTGCCGGGTTCTGTCCTAGGGGACCCGAGTGCGAGAAGGTGCATCCGAAGTGGAGTTTTAGCGAGGCGATTAGGATACGAGCGAAGGGGGAGGTTGTGCAGAGCAAGTTTGGGGAGGATGATGGGATGCGGGCGGGAGAGGAGGGGATGGGAGGGTATGGAGGGAAGAGTGGGCGAGCAGATGAGGATGTTATTAAGGTGCTCAGCTGATGCCATTGTAAAAGTGAATGGCAGATGAGGATGTTATTAAGGTGCTCAGTTGATGCTATTATAAAAGTGAATGGCAGATGAGGGTATCAAGGTGTCAGTTGATGATTGCTATATATTATCTACTATTTACATGGAAGGAGTTGGGAGTATTGGATTCATTGATGTATTGACATTATTGTACAGTTAAACAAAATGATAAGCATATAATCAGTAAGAAAACACCAAAATCATGTAGACGCCTTCCTCTTACCGCCAAACCTACTAAAGAAAGACCGTCGCTTCGAAGCCTCTGCGGTTTCTATATCGGGAAACCGCTTGTACTTGTCTTTGTATATCCATTGCGTCTGAGGCGTATTCAGACCGAGATCAGCCGCCTGTCGATAGAGAGAAGCGGCTTTGTAGAGATCCTTTTTCCTTCCCAGACCAGACTTTGTCCACAGCTCGGCGGCGGCACACATGGACTGGGAGTCGCCGAGATGGGCGCCGATTTCAAAACAGGCCATGGCCATGACCTCGTTCCGGTCGCCTTGTTTTGAAGAGTACGATTTCCCGAGCTGTCTGGCGGCGACAGAAAGTGGCATTTTCCAGCGGGGACTGCAGAGCGGGCTGTTGAGGATCATGCCTCTGCTGCTGGCGGCGTCGTCGGAGGAGGAGTGGCAGGTGGCGGTGGAGGGGGAAGGAGGGATGTCTGCGACGTCGACTATGCTGTTGCTGCGGCGACAGAGGATGTCGGCGGCGCGGGAGAGCCAGGCGGTGGACTGGTGTGGGTCGGGGCGGGTGCCCCAGCCGTGGCGGAGGTAGAGGGCGTAGATGATCATGGCGGGGATGTGGTTTGCGTGGGCGGCCTCTTGGAGGTGGTAGGCGGCCTGCTCGAGCTGGTTTGTTTCGTAGAGACGGACGCCGAGGGTGACATGCTGTGCGGGAGAGAGGTCTTCGGAGAATTGCAGGGCGGCGAGGTCGGGGAAGGGGGAGGGAGAGGGCGAGGCGGGGAGGGAGGTGGAGTGGACGACGGGGGCGGAGAAGGCGCGGTGGAAGGGGGGAGGGGAGGGTCTGCGGGCGGAGGAGGAGAAGGAGTTGGAGATGGAGGAGTCTGTGGACTGGCGGAAGGAGAAGTTGTCTGAGGAGGAGATGGAGGAGGGGGAGGAGGAGGAGGAGGAGTGGTTTTGGTCGGAGCGAACCGCGATGTCAGAGGAGAGGAAGGGGGGCGGGTCGATGGAGAGGTTTGGTTTGGGCATGACAGCAATGAAAGCAGATGTAGAAGTAGATGCAATAGCAAATACAATAACAATAACAATAACAGCAAATGCAATACAATAACAATAACAATACAAATACAAATACAAACACAGCAGCAGGCAAAGGGGCTCTTAAATCTGAAAAAGTTGGAGCGCTCGCTTAGTCGGTTCGAGCCCTAACCCACAATGAACCTCGCCAGCGTAGCCGTGTTCGGGGTATTAAACGCCTCTGAGTGTTGTTGGTGTGGTTGAATACAGCAGAAGAGGGAGGTTTTGCTGTTATTGCAAATAGCATTGTATTTCTACAATAACTGCTCATTTCAACACTAAAGCACTCTTCTCTCTCTTCTGCGTCTGCTGCTCAGTGCTGCCACCCGAAATTAGCTGCTTCTAAAAATACTCCGCCCTTGCCCTTAATACGCAAATCACGTGCATTTAGACTTCGCCGCTAATTGCCGCTAATTAGTCTGCCGCTTTCGGATTCTTCAATTGACAATTACCACAATTAACACCGTGTAGACCTTCCAATACCAATAACACACACAATAACACATTAACACAATAAACACAGAATGAACACAGAATAAACAAAACAATAACAAACAAACAAACTACCCCATCCTCTCCCGCGCCCTCATCAGCTCCAACCGCCGCATCTGCCGGTTCGCCTCCCCGACCCGGCACCGCTCCAACCACTGCTCTCGCCGACTCTCCGCCACCCTCACCGCCTCGGGCAGCGCCTGCAAGTCCGCTGCAGGCACCTTGATCTGTGCACTCAGCTTCTGCACGCTGTCCTCCGGCCACTGCCCGAAATCAACCATGCTCCCGTACTCCTCCTCCTTCGTCGTCAGCTCCTTCACCCCCTTCACCCCATAACTCACCGGCACCAGCTCCCGCCAGTGCTGCTTGAACCACTCTGTAACATGTAAACTCAGCATCTCCACTATCGGCGACACCGGCAGCAGCTTCGCCAGACACTCCACCCCGCGCCATATCGCCGTCGCCGTCCGCGCACATATCTTGCGCGTCACAATCACAATCAGCAGGTTCTCCATCGCATTATACGACGTCGACGACAGCGCCCGCGCAACAGAAAACACAATCCTCGGATGCGCAAACCACTCCGCCGTGTAGCTTCCGCAGTAGTCCATCAGCGGCGTCAACAGCTTCTCTTCCCAGTCGTCTCTAAACACAGACGTCGCCGTGTTCAGCCGTAGACTGTATATCCGCAGGTACAGCGGAATCACCGTCTTGGGCGACACCTTGCCCTCCACGTTCTCCACCAAGTCCTGCAGCACCTCGTCCGGCAGCGCCAGCAGATTCCGCTTCCACAACACAGACACATTCGTATGTCGCGACATCCAACTCATGCACGGATCATACAGCTCCCGGATTTGATACTGGTGTCCTAGGTTTGCAATCCCCGGCAGCAGCTTCGTGCACTGCGCTCCCGTGCACGCAAACCCGTGGCCTATCTTCACCAGGCATCCAATAATCCACCGCTCGAGCGACTCGATCTGCAGAAACTTGGCCGACACAAGCACGTCTGCAAATATATCAAAGATCTCCTGCGTGGGCGCATTGATATCGCTCGTACACTTTGTCGACGCAATATACCGCGAAAAATCCGTCCACTTCCACGAAAACAGCAAGTCCGCGTCATCAAGGTATATATACTGTGCCACCACCGCCAGCGACAGCGGCGTAAAGTACTCCGCCGACAACGTATGCTCCGACGCCGTCGCGTCCGCAAACGCTGACCGGAACATCGTGCTGAAATACGGCGCGCGTAAGTCCAACAAGAACTTGTGAATCCTAAAACTCACTTTCTCGCCTTCCAGCAGCAACGTCATGTCCCCCGCATACCGCTCTGGGTCCGCGTTGCTGTTATTCATCGCGGCCGATAGCGGCGACGAGCTCAAGAGCGGCGAGGAAAAGAACGTGTCTGTGCCTTGATCCGGAGGTGTAGCGTATCCATCTTCTCCCGACATATTTATAGGCATCGTGCCAGTTTCTGCCCCGTCGCCGCTACTTCCAGGCGTTCTCCCCGTCGCCGCATGCTCGCGCACAATAGCTGCGTTACAAGCCAGCAGCACACCTTCATCCAGCGCCGCCAGCATCTCCCGCTTCCCTCCCTTTTTCTCCCACAGCCGCCTCAACACAACAGGTCTATAGCACCCCGCCACCAGCTTCCGCACCGCAAGATCGTTCTCCGGCGCAACCTCCACGACAGCGTACTCGAGCCCGCACGACGTCTTCGGCGATAATCCAAGCCTACTCCTCCCCGGCTCATACGACGACGAAAACATCGGCCCCAGGCGCTCGAGCGGCTTGGGATATATGACTGCAAGCAAAGCCGAATGCGCCCATATCCTCGTCGGCAGCGGAATCGTGGCCTGCTGCGCGCGCGCAGACTTCGGCATTAAGAAGAGTACGTCGGCATAGCTCGGCTCGGGGTGCTCGTGAAGTGACTGCAGCTGGCTCTCGAGCTGGAAGTCGTCGGAAGCGGGCGTTGGTTCTGGAGAAGACATGTTGTTCTGTATGTAGAGTAGTTTCGTAGTGGTTTGTCGCCGTTGTCGCCGTTGTCGCCGTTGTCGTCGCCGGACACAGCTGCTACCAGCAGACGAAGTGTAGCTTCTTGTTAATGACCTGGGCTCTGCTTGATCAACACTGCGCAAATGCCAGTCGCAATCCCACCCGGGCTGTAAATACTATCCTCAGTCTATTACTCGGACTTCTGAAGAAACAAATCTAGAACAAAGACAACTTCATCTGCTCTCGTGATGGCTGGCTCTCTCGAGATTCGCCCTCTCAGCCAGCCAGCCACTTTCGACGTCATTGGGATGATGGGGTTAGGGTACACTATTACGGCAATTCATAACTACATTGTCCGCCTCTATTGCAGATAGTAGCCATACATAAAGCCTAGCTGGCGTCCGACAAATCAGCCTTGCAGAGCAGGCATATTATACTCGCCTCCTTCATCTCCCCGCTCATACTCTTATAGTACGCCTTCGCGACCGCCTCTCGGTTCTTGATCTCGATCGTGACCGGGCACTCTGCGCCCTTTAGCATTTTCGCCGCTTTCTTTGCCTGCGCGCCTTTTTTCCCGTACCCGTCTGCCTTTCTCGCGGCCTTGATCGTCTCGACGTCGGCAATGTCGTAGCTGTAGCGGTCGAGGATGTCGTCGATTATGCATTCTTGGTGTAGACGTTTGTAGCAGCTTGAGCACCAGATCATGGCGATGTCGGGGTTGCTGAATTGCATACATTTGCAGTGCTGTCGCAAGGGCTGTCACCGAGACTGTCAGTACCATCATCTGATGAAGAACATAATCATCAGCATCTGCTCACCAAGAGTTCGTTGGTGTACGACAAGTACAGTTGTCGCCAGTACAGCTCTCCCAAAACGTCACCGTTCGGATCGTCGCTTTCAGTCCAGTGCACCACCGGTGCACGCGTGGAAATAGACATCACGTCAATAACGTCTTGATGGCACGAGGCCACGAGCTCTCGTTTACCATGATACGGCCTAAATCATCTCTCAGCCCAGCCCTTGCTCTGCCGCCTTCACATAAACAAACACAACATACCTCCGACCACCAGGTAACTCATTCGGCCAATACATCCAGAATATACGAACGTAGACACGCGTCGGATCCGTAGCTCTGATCTCGAGCACGCGACCGACCCAGAACTGCATCTGATCCGTGATTGTCGAAGCTACCGTGCTCTGCTCGTTCTTCACAAACACGTACTCTCCAGTTTTAAATTTCTCGTCCGCGACTAACCAACATTAGCCCAAATTCTTCTTCAAAAAAAAATAGAGATCTAAAGAGATACCTATAAAATTCCTGTAAGACTGCATCTTATTCCACGCGCTTTTCGGCTCGACCTGGTAATCCGCCGAATCCGCAGGTTCCTCGTACACCGGGTAGTCTTCGCCCTCCTTTGTCTGTGCTGATTTCCGTTTCCGCGATTTCTTTGCGAGCGAGCCGCGATATACTACTTTGAACTGAATCGGTTCGTCGCTGGGGTCATCCTCCTTTTGACTCTCGTCGTCCTCCTCCTTCTCCTTCTCCTCGTCCTCGTCGTCGGAATCCCCGCTGTCGCCACTCGCGCCGTTTGCTTCCTCATCATCTTCATCCTCGTCGTCTCCGTTACTGTCGTCCTCGTCCTCGTCGTCATCCAGCTCCGCATAACTCTTCTCACTCCGCGCCCGCGTAGATCCGTTCACACCCCTCCCACCACCACCATTCTGCTCGCTCTCGGATGACTGCCGCGGGCCCGCGATCCGTGCCCTTTTCGCTGCTGGAGTCATCCTCGCAATTCAATATCTCGGATATCAAGACTCAAGCCAGGGGTTTGTGTTCGCGCTGGTTCGGGAGTTGTTCTTCTTCCTCTGTTACGGCTATCTCGGCTCGCTGATGCGGTTTGGTGTCGAGATCCGGCGTAGGAGTTCTTCGGTAGGTTGGTTTGGTCTTGCAGAGATGAAGACTGGGCTCGCGGTGCGGATACCTGCTGGAAGGGGATGGTGGGAGGAGGTTCGGATCACCCACGAGCCCTAAAACCTAATGCCGATTAAGGTCTCTCTTTACCAGGCACCTCCATCAAACTTGATGCTCAACTTCCCAGATATTTTATTCTATCAACATGTAGATCATAATCCCGCCGTCTTCTTCTCCAGCTCTTTCACCCACTCCTCAACAGTTTGTAGATTACTCTTCTCCCGCTCCTCGAGCGCGTCAAGCCGCTTTTCCGCCCCGTCCACCGCGTCCTTCCACTTCCCAACCAACCCCTCCGTCGCCGTCATCTCCTTCCTCAGCTCCTCCACGCTGCCGACAACGTTCCCCGCCTCGGCGTGAATATACCGTAGACTCATCAGCCGGTCAAGCAGACCCGGTACTATCGTCGCCAGCTTCTCCACGTTCTGCAACGACGCGTAGAGCTGGTCTATCTTCTCCCGGTACTCACCCTCCGCCGCGTTGCCGTAGACGTCCCCGCTCGAAGGCCGTATCGTCGTCGTCGTCGTACTCCTGCTCCCGCTACTGCCCACCACCTTCTTCTCCCTCTCCGCCGCACTCTTCTGCTGCGCATTCACAGTCTCGATAAGCGCGCTGATTTTCTCCGGCGATGCAGTGAACGCCGACACCCGCTGCGACAGCGACAGCAGCGTGGGGATAACCGGCTGCTCGAAAACTGTGGTCTGGAACGTGTTTGTGAATAAAATGCTGGAGGTGCTGCCGAGTGCTTTTTCCAGCGTCGCGAGGCGCGCGTCGAGATCGAGTAGTTTGGAGTCGGGGATCGTTGGTTTGGGGGGTATGCTCTGTTCCTGCTTGACGTCGTCAGCACTAGTCCATCAGAATATGACTGTAAGTTGTAGACAGTCGTACTTCTCTGCTCGGGAGGACAGATCCCTGTGTCTCAGACGGTTCTTCAGCGCTCTTTGCGCTACTACCACCGCCAGCAAGCTCACTCGCAATCTTCGTAATTAAAGACCCGCTCCTACTCGCCTCCATAATCGTCCTCATCGCCTCATTCATCTCCGCAACTTCCCTCTCTCTCTCCCCCTCCTCCTTCTTCCCTTCAAGCGCAGCCGACACCTCCGAGATCTCTTTCCTCAGCCTCTCGATCTTCATCTCGAGCGACTCCGGTTCCCGCGCAATAAACCCTCCATTGTCGACGGCATCGTCGTCGGGTTTGAACGCGCGGTTTAGAAATCGCTCGCGCGCGGCGTTGGGCGAGATGTTTGTGTAGTCTATATCCTCGTTTTCGGGCTCTGGCGCAGCGAGCGGTATTGAGTCCTTTGTTTCGAGCAAGGTGGACGTTAGCACTTGATCTCCAAACCCACGCAGCCCAAGAACCGTAGAAATAATCACAGGATCTTTGAAACAAAATAAAAAGACAGAATCACTTACAGACTCAGTATTCGGTCCATCGCCAGTCTCAAACACGTCCGGCGACCACGTATCCTACACCGATTCATCAATAAACTCCAGCTCGCTCGCTAATTCTCTAGACAGCAGATAAACTCACAAGCCCCGGAAGCGACTGATATTTCTCTGTGATTGGCATCTGTCTCCAGCGCGTCTTTACTTGTATCAAGTATTTAATTGAGGTGAAATTCGGCAGTGGGAGAGCGTGGGGGGGGTGTGGAGGAGGTACTCGTCGCGCGCGTGGACTTTAACTAAAACACACGCGTCACTCTCCTGCGCGCAAAGATCCCAATCTTCAACCCACTGAGAATATAAATCTGCCAACTACCCACACATTTACGCAAATCTACAATTTCTTATAAAATATGTTCAGTTCTTCTATTAAATCCACAAAAAACACATGAACATCGTCAGTCCTTTCCGCCCAGCTTTAGAAATCAAAGCAAATCAAGACAAACAAATCAAATCAAATCAATAAAAAAGCAAAAAAAAACTCGCACGTATGAATAGGAAATAGGAAATCTAGAAAAAATAAAAATGAAATATAAATTGGAAATTTTAAAATAATGAGCAGCTGAATGACGCCGTTCGTCATACTACGTCAGCTGAGTGGATAATGGAAAGAAGAGAGGGTGCTCTACTTCTCTCATGACTACTTAACGATCGACCTCTCCAAACACAAGGTCCATGGTTCCGATGATGGCAACAGCATCAGGAAGGAAGTGACCACGCGCGATCTGGTCGAAGCCACCGAGATGCGCGAATCCCGGGGCGCGGATCTTGCATCGGTATGGTCGCTCGGTGCCGTCGGAGACGACGTAGACACCCATCTCACCCTTGGGCGCCTCGATAGCGGTGTAGGTCTCACCGGCAGGGACGCAGTAGCCCTTGGTGAAGAGCAAGAAGTGGTGGATCAAGCTCTCCATGTCTTCCTTCATCATGTTGCGGGGAGGAGGGCTGATCTTGAAGTCCTCGACCTTGACGGGGCCGGCGGGCATGTCGTTCAAGCACTGGAGGATGATGCGAAGCGATTGTCGGAACTCGGCCATTCTGATCAGGTATCTGTCGTAGCAGTCACCGTTGACACCGACGGGGACGTCAAAGTCAATCTTGTCGTAGACCTCGTAGGGCTGGTTCTTTCTCAAGTCGTAGAGGACACCGGAGCCGCGCATCATGACACCACTGAAGGAGTAGTTGAGCACCTCCTCGGCAGACATCACGCCGACACCGATTGTTCGCAGCTTCCAGATACGATTGTCGGTAAGCAGCTCCTCGACTTCGTCGATTCTGTCGCCAAACTGGGTCGCCCACATGTAGATATCATCCAGCAGACCGGCCGGCAGATCCTGTGAGACACCACCGGGTCTGACGTAGGCGGCATGGAGACGAGCACCAGACACGCGCTCGTAAAACTCCATAAGCTTTTCTCGCTCCTCCATACCCCACAAGAAGGGAGTCAGGGCACCGACGTCCATAGCGTGGGAAAGGACCGACATCAAGTGGTTGAGGACTCGCGAGATCTCGGCGAACAAAACACGGATGTACTTGGCGCGGACGGGAATGTCAATGTTGAGAAGCTTCTCGGTCGCCAGCGCAAAGACCTGCTCGTTCGACATCATCGAGACCTGCGTGCGCGTCAGTATTATAACTTTTGAGAATGATTGGCCTAAATCTGGAGAAACGTACGTAATCGAGACGGTCAAAGTAGGGCAGAGCTTGAAGATACGTCTTGTATTCTAGAGAGAAGAGTCAGTATTCCGCAATCCATCACTCCAAGCTCTCTGCAAGAAGTATTTACCTATCAGCTTCTCGGTTCCTCTGTGCAAAAGACCGACGTGGGGATCCGAGCGAATGATCTCTTCACCGTGCAATTCCAAAATCAGACGCAACACTCCGTGAGCGGCGGGATGCTGGGGACCAAAGTTGACGGTGAAAGCACGAACTTTTCTGTTCTTTGCCTGAATGATATCTCTCTGGGTCTCTGTTGATGAAAACAAGCGTCAGTTCGCGTCCCGAATGCACTGTCTGCGTCTCTCCTTCCAAACTGAGATCCAATACACTGAACCGACAGCACACGTACGCTTGTTGAAAGAGTTGGTGAACAACTCAGCCGGCATCTCCTCGAGTCTGGTCGCGGGATACTTTGGCATCGGGGCACCAGGGTAGAGCGGTTCCTCCTGCTCGTAGGCAGCCCTCGCGGCGGCGCGGAAGGCACGAGCAGGGTGCGCCAGGCGCTTGACCCTGTTAATCGCAGGCGCCCGTCTGATGATGTGAGATGTCCGCAGCATTGTCGTGTCGTGGCGGTTGCTTCTGGGCTGCTGCTGTCGCGATGCTGGTGCCTTTTTGTGCGGAGCGGTCTCGAGACGAGCGAAGGTGTGAGCCGAAAAAGCGCCGTGCCGATTGGCTCCGCATAACTGCATAGAAGTCACCTGACTTGTGCACAGTTACCCGGATCAAATTCAGAAACCCAAAAAACTCCCAACGGCGGCGGCAGGAAAAAATCTCAAAATTTTCTTTGCTCTCGGCTCACAGCGACAACAACAGCAGCAACGTTGAGATGGCAGAGAAGAAACCGAGGAACAGGGTCGGCATTGAGGCCGACCGAGTGACGGACGTGAGTGAGGAAGTTGCTGGGTTTGGCTTGTTGTGTATTCTGACGCGTTTTCATCAAGGTGTCGAGCACTGATTTCCCTGGATACTATCCCGGCGAGGACCATTCCTGGAATCTAGAAAAGTTCCAAGAGGTAACTACTACATGTCTTGTCGTGTAGAAGAACACAGCTGCTAATACGATTTATAGAACCTCAAAATCCACATCGAGTACATCAGCGAGCTCAACGCCGAGTTCGATCTGATCGGTGTCGATGCCTCGATCGCCAACGCCTTCAGACGGATAATGATCTCAGAGATCCCCACCCTTGCTATCGAATACGTTTACATCGAGAACAACACTTCTATAATACAAGATGAGGTCCTGGCCCACAGACTGGGTCTGATTCCGCTCAAGGCCAACCCCGACTACCTGCGATGGTTCAAAAGTAATCACTCTTGTTTCTAATTATAATCGTCTCCTTGATCTGCTCTAACTTTTTCTCACTTCAGAGGACGATCCCGATTTCGAACCGACTGATTACGACACCGTTGTCCTCCAGCTATCAGCAAAGTGCACCGCCAACCCCAACGCTCCAGAAGGCACGACCGATCCCAAACTCCTCTACAACAACGCCCACGTCTACGCCCGTGACATCGTGTACGAGCCGCAAGGCCGTCAGAGCGAGTGGTTTCCAGAAGGAATCGCTGCGACCAACCCCGATATCCTGATTGCCAAGCTGCGACCGGGCCAGGAAATCGATCTCACTATGCACTGCATCCTCGGCATCGGCCAGGATCACGCAAAGTTCAGTCCTGTGGCTACCGCTAGTTACCGGTTACTGCCCACCATCGACATCATTGGCGAGCCCATCACTGGTGAGCTGGCAAAGAAGTTCCGCTCGTGTTTTCCCAAGGGTGTGATTTCGATCAACTCCAAGGGCGAGGCGGTTGTCAAGGATGCCAGAAAGGACACCGTTTCTAGAGAAGTTCTTCGTCACCCAGAGTTTGAGGGACGCGTGCGCCTCGGCAGACAGCGTGATCACTTTATCTGTAAGTAGTGCTGTTAACTATTCTCTAATATCTTATGATTGCTAACCTTGCGTGCAGATACGGTCGAGTCGACGGGAGCTATGACTCCGGATGAGATCTTCCTTAAGAGCGTCCAGCTGCTCAAGAAGAAATGCCAGATTCTTCGGAAGTTCAACTTGGCTGCCTAAACCAATGTGATTTAATGCTGCTGGCCATTTGAGCAAAAGTACATAATTTGTGTTTATTTTGGGATGATTTATAGTTATTTTGCTGCATACTAGATAGATGAGGCATTTCTTTTTTGTGAAAGAGCCCGTACAGACTCAAAGATGAGGAAGTCAGTCGTTGTGTGTACCATATCTCTTGCGTTTAATCGGAGTTTTTTCTTTCTTTTATAGAGACATCTGGTAGATTCTTATAGACTCTTCTTTGACTAAAAGCATAAATCGTATATTGTAGTAAGACTACCACTGCGGAAGGGCTCCAAGGTCTGGTGTGTTGAAGTATAGGTAAATCTGCAGACCCGAAAACTCTCTTGCGCCTTAAACCAATGCCGATAACGATTCTGTACTATACATGTGGAGAAATTTGTTGCATGCGCTCAGGTGGCAGCAGCAGTGGTGGCAGTTGAATGCACTGATCAGACTTGTAGTGCTTATACTGTATCGTCGTGATATACAAATCTGCAATTTGTCTTAGCAATGACTCGAAACATCAAATCATATAAGAAACTCACCTAGTGTTCTTCGGACTTATCGGCGCATGAGCGACGTATCTAGCGTCATCTGGGGGTCGTTCTGGGATTAAGCAGATCAGTCAGCTTGCGATTTGATTTAGTACTTGGATGAATGTGCTTACCGTTTCTGTCGTTACCGGCAAGCATAGACTGGATAGACATTGCAACCGAAGCGACGGTCTGTACTGGGGACCATCCCGAGCCTAGGACATCTGCGTTGGATACTGGTTAGTAATGCAGGGGATCATCGATGGTTGAGAGGTGATAGCGGGTGTACCTAGACAGATATGGCCGTTGCTGTAGATCAGACGAGATGATGTGAGTAGCTGCCACTTGATAATTACAAAAGAAGAAGAAATATGAGCAGACATACCTGTAAATATGTGGGTGGACTGGTATCTCGATTCCATAGGATGCCACGAACTGCACTTCTGGTGCTTCTATAGGATACGACGACGCAAATCTGAACTGCAGCCGAAAGGTCTTGCCTGCATAGATCGGATTATCGTCCATGACCTTGATATCGATAAGCCATATCCGGAAGTCATTGGCTTGGAACACAGAGATGCCTAGAACGAGCCAGAGTAAGCTGACCTGCAGTAGCAGTTGTGGGTCGTAATCGCACCCACGAGGGCTGACATACCGACTGCAGGGTTATTTTTCAGATCATTGAGCTCACGTCCGAGACGTTTTGTAAATCCTCCGATCATGGCGGGATCAGCGATGCTGTGCTGTGTGAATGGGTGTTTATGTCGAGACGAGCGACGGCTGTGGAGATGCCGGGCGAGCGAGTTGAGTCCATCGCTGAAGACCAAAACCCTGCGCTCAGTGAATCCGATTTAGGCGATTTGAACTCCCAACTGCTTTTGCACGTCTTTTGGTGTCTTTTGTTTGCTTCTTTTTACTATTAAAAACATATAAAGAACAAAGAAGTAGAGGCTGTTTGTTGCTCCTGCTCGATCTTGTTCCTGCATCCTACGCTTTAGTCACTCGCATGTCTTGACTACAGAGTACTTGTAAACCCGCTTCGCGCACCCCGCACAGTCTACATCCAAACACACTGACGCAGTATCAATCCACTCGCCGCTGCTTCTGCTTCTGCTTCAGATCACAGTATCTGCTTCTACCAGCCGGCCAAGATCCTGAGAGATCAACACCCGTTGCGAGATGCGACATTGAAGACGCGAGATGCGGGATGAGTGTGCCATCTAACCGATGCTCGTCCATCTCCGTCCACCACTTCCGCTCCATGCCCTCTTCCCCAACACCAAACACCCTCTTCCGCCAGAACACCGCCGTAGATCGCATGAAAATTGCTGCCCCCGCTTCCAGAGACAATCCCCCACTAACGTCCACCCCCAACAGCCAGACTGCTATCGTCGAATGTGACGGGCACGTGCATCGAATGTAGTCTCTCAAGCCGCTCGAGGGTAGGGGTCCAATAATTTGTTGGCGTCCAATTAATTCTTTTTTCTGTATTATTCATATTGATCACCAGTCTTTCTCTTCTCTTGCTCTTCTACACTTTATAGCCTACAGGCTGCCCTCAATTTCCTCGTCTCGTTGTCGCTCTTAACCGTTCCGCTGCACTAACCACTGCGGCATTGACTCGCATTCGGCTACCATGAGCTCCACGCAGGCGCGCAAGTTCCAGCAGGAAGAGCTAGTTGAACAAGCCGTGAGTGCTTTCTTTCTTCTTCTTCTCCTTCTTCTTTACAGAAGAAATAACATAACTAACTCTCTCCTTCATACCAGTGCGACTCTTGCCGTCGTCGAAAGCTCAAATGCACAAAAGAGTACCCCGTCTGCGGCTACTGTCGCCGCCATCAGCGCGAATGTGTATACTCGCCTCGCGCGATTCGCTCTCCACTGACGCGCAAGTACTTGACCCAAGTCGAGACGCGCGTCGACCGCCTCGAAGCCCTCATCAGCGAGCTCATTCCCAATGCTGATATCGACAAGCTCTTGGCCATGTCTTCGTCGTCGTCTTCCCGGCGCACAAGCGAGGACGCATCGCGAGGATTTGCGCGACGAAGTGTTTCCGACTCGAGCGAGTCGCCAGACATATTCAAGCGGAAGTTTTCGGAAACAGATGAGCAGCTTGATATCAGCCCTGCCATGCTCGAGCTGGACGCCCATGACTCCAACGAAGACCCCGACGACTGGAAAAGCGAGAGGTCGGTGCACGATCATGCCTGGCGAAAGAGTAACGGCAGTATACCGGGAAAGAAATCGCAAGATGACGCGGCCGACGCCAAGGATGAGCATCAGCCGATCGCAATACAAGAGACCGTTCCCGACGAAGCTGACGGGTTCGACTGGGTCGAGCAGGATTTCACCCACAACGATCTGTCTGATGGTATGGCGGCTTTGTCGATAAATCCCCATGGCTCCGGTTATTTCGGATCTGCATCAAGCGCAGTACTTTTGCGTGCGCTTCGCATCAACCCATCCACTGGTATCAACACGAACCTCGAGGGAAGCACAGAGTTGTGGGGCCTTCCAATCTTACCACTATGTCCGTCTCCGGCGCCAAAGCACGTCGCTGATGCCCTCTTGGACGCCTATTTCTCAATCTACCACACATCGTACCCCTTCCTGCACGAAGAGACCTTTCGCGCTCAATACGAAAATCAGATTGCACGGCCGGCAGAGAACGTGTGGGAAATCTTATTCAACACGGTCCTCGCCCTCGGTGCCTGGTGCCTCGTCAACGAGTCCTCCTGTGCCGATATGGCGTTCTTCCAGAACGTGAAGATAAGGCTTACCGCTGATGTTTTTGAGACTGGAAGTCTGCCGCTTGTCCAGGCTCTTATTCTTCTCAGCAACTATGTACAGAAGCGCAACCGGCCAAATACGGGCTGGAACTTCCTCGGACTGGCGCAGCGAATGGCTACTGGTTTAGCTCTTCACCGCGAGTTTCTTGGCTGGAAATCGAGTCCCTTGAAGCAGGAAATGCGTCGCAGAACCTGGTGGGGACTTTTCATGTTTGATTCGGGAGCTGCAATCACATTCGGACGACCGATTGGCTGGCCTGATCACGGCGGCATGGATGTCAAGGAGGTGTCGAATATCAACGACAGTGACCTGACCTTTGACACAAAAGTGATGCCTCCCAGCAGTGATCTGGATATCACAATGTACTCTGGAATGATTGTCCAATGCCGATTCCATCTGGCTACCAACAATCTCTACAATCGAATCATCTCGAAACCTCCATTGTCCGCCGAGCAGACACTCTCTCTTGCCTCTCAGATTGACAAATTCGTCGAAAGCCTGCCGGTGCCATTTAAAGAGGAAACGCCCGTCTCGCCAGACGCAAAGGACTGGTTCGTGTTTGCCAGGTACCGGATATACTGGCGCTATCATAACCTCAGAATCCTGGCATTCCGCCCCTTTGTGCTGCAGAGAGCTTTGTCCGTCAGTGGAGCTTCAGAGAAAGTAATGGCCTCTATAATGTCAACAAGATCAAGCACTCCTCAAACAGCAAGGGGTGCCACTCCGGGTGCGGCAGGTAGTGTGCCGCTTCCTGAGCCTCGCGTTGCAACGAGTCCGTTATTCCGCGCCGAGGTCACTCAGCAGCCGCCTGGAAGTCCACGAACAGCAACCGCGTCTGATCCTGCACCTATCTCGTTATCGATGGGCGCGAACGGAGCTATTAAACCGCATGTCAAATTTGCGTTTGAGGAATCGGAAGCCGAAATTGCCTGTCGAAACCGCTGTATGCAGGATGCCCACGCGACTATTCTGTCGGTTGAAGATTACATAGCACATCGCAAACCATTATCAACCATCGCGGTCTGGTATGCCTTGTACTTCCTCTTCCAAGCAGGGCTTATCCCTCTTCTATGCTATTGCTCTGAGCCCAACTCGCCGAAAGCGTCAGAATGGAAGCAGGATCTCGAACGCACGAAAGCCGCGCTGGCCGCGGTTAGTAGTCGCAACGCTCTTGCCGATAAATTCTTGGCTCTGATCGACGGGCTCATTGGCTCTGTGGTGCAACCTAACGGGGCAGATGCTGATACTGTCGCGGGCCCAGCAGGCACTAGTGCAAACGACATGAAGCCTTTGGATAATCTCGAGCTACTCGGCTCCGAACCCGGCGCTTTTGTTGATCCTTTGAGCACTGGTGCGAATGCGATTCCTGGTTTGACTATGGGCGACTTTGAGATGCGTACCGGATGGCTTAATGACGTATACTCGCTTCTGTACGAGGACCCCACGAGCGCAAGTCTAATGACTGGCATAATCCGTGACCAAGCTGCGGACAATCAAGACCCGCCGGTCAAAAACGAGTTTACAGAAGACGTCAGTAGCATGTTTCTAAACGTCGACTTGAAGCCCGAAGACGAAGAAGATCTCGAGACCTCAGCAACAGCGGCGGCACTAATGACAGACAATCCAGCGGGGGGTAATGAAAACGCAGTGAATGACGCAGACGGAAACGCAGAGTTGGATGTGAATGATATGAAAAACGAATCTACTGGGAATACGAATGGGGGCGCTACTTTTGGATCTTTTGATATTTGGAATTGATATGTTGCAGGCTTTTTTTTAATAGAACGGTTTATCTAAAGCTTACCAGAGATCAATTAGTAGAGTATTAGTGTTCGGTAGATTCCGTATGTCCCGTAGGGGCAATACTGCCCTGTCAGGGTTGCGGTTATCTATCAACATTCCACATCTACGTCTGATCGCAGTTCTACCCTCTGTTAAACGACCCCGACTGGAGTAACCCACATAAGCAGAGCATGAGCCCAAGTTCCTTTAGACTGATTGAGAATACAGGATATTATTCAAATCTAACAAACGTCTTGGATGGGCTGGAGAGCGCTTGATTTCACATGTGTGCGCACGATCGCAATCTGATGCGTGCTTCTGTCCCCTTTCTGTGCTGTCCTGGTTCTTCTAAGTGGGATTTCTGGCGTCGTGTAGAAACATGCTGAATTGTATCAAGAAATGTTAGCTGTGTGTGCTGTGGTTCAAAAAGATGTCCGTGTCTTCGATGTGAGAGGTCGCATCTTTTGCGATATCTGCTGCGCGCGCCGTGCCGGCCAGTTGAGCTCGCAGGAAGGTGTTATAAAATTGTACTTGACTGTCTGTATATCTGTAATCAAATAAACAACTCCAACATTATCTATTTTTGAGATTCAGTAACAAAATGACTCCGGCTATCCTGCGCTTTTACTGCCAGTGTGGCATTAAGCTGGCTAAGTGCAGTCGAGACCGACCCCGAACGATTCGTCAGTCACGGGACTTTCTGTTTGTTCACTCTGCTGAATTACTTTTTTTATTTCTCGTATTTGTTTCCATGACGTAGCTTGTGCGAGTGTGATAGAAGGGTGGCAAATGGACCAAAACGGAAGCCTTTGCGCAGACACCGGAAATGTGAGGGGGTAACATGTGCACATACTGGTGGTGCTGCGGGCTTCAGTCTGTTGATATTCACTGCAACATCGAGGACGAAAGAGGCGAAAATACAGATGAAAGTCAGGAGAATATGACGGCTGATCGTGAGTCAATGATCTTCAGGAACGGCGGCTGTTTGCTGCTTGTTCCAAGCAGGGACCAAAGTGATACAACTCGTGGCGTTCTGACGTTCGCGTAGCTCGTTAGTTTCACTACTAAGGCACGCGGCAATCTATATCGATCTAAAGCTCTTGGATCGTGCTTATCTCTGTCAAAAGAACCGGACTAGTCTGTGCATGTTTGAGGAATATATTCTGGCTTGAAGCTGCTGTTTTGCTCGTCCAGGAAGCTGTATTGATCTCATACCATGACGTAATGCTCGGATGATTATTTGCATTCCTAGCATGTATAAAATTCCTTCCTGATCAGGAGATGGATCCTTTTTTGCTTTTCCGCCGTGCGAGTACCGTCAAACCCGCGTGTAACTTCTGTACCTCTGGCTCTCAATTAGGAAATGCATCCCTCTTTTTTTTTCAAATGACCAGGGTACACGGGTGAGAGATGTAGGCCAGGGAAGTTTCGGGGTCACGCGGGATGTCCACATGCCTGGAGGTCTGCCAGGCCACATCAGAAGAGTTGATGAAGCCCCCTCCGGACGTCTATAAAACCCCCCCCTCCCGCCCTCTCCTCCTTCCCTCTTTTCCTCTCCTCCTCACACACTCTTCTCTCTTTCACAAGAACAAGAAGCTCCTCTCCTCTGGACAAAAGATCTCTTCATCATGAACAGGACAACTTTCAAGCCTGAACAAAATTTCTTTACTTCTTCCCGAGATCCTTCCAATTTTCACCACATGAGCGATGAGTTTCTTCCCACATTTTTCTATCCAAGCCGGTAGCCACCGGAACCTCGTTTTCTGAATTTCTGCATTCTCTGCAAAATACATCAAAAACGGTGGCATCGGCTGGAATTTTCAAGACTTTAGCGCTAACCACGTCACTCACCGTCTGAAAATCGCATAACCGACCGGTCCGGAAACATGGGCATAACCTCCATTCTCGCATGCTCGTATTCCGCGGGCCCGCCAGAGAGACAAGGTAGCATACTCACAGAGAGAGAATAGCACATACCGCACCGGGTAGCATTTTCCTAGATGAAAATAGCATATACCTAGAATGGTGACAATCTCATAGAATGGTGCATCCCGCGGCGACGTCAGAGAGTAGCATATGCCTATTTGGCAGCATTCTCATTTATTGGCGTCCGCCGAGCATGCGAGGACAGCCTGAGGGCGAGCGGGCAAGCTAGCCGTGCGGAGCTGCATGCGAAAGGACCGGTGCCTGCTTGTCGATTCAGAAGATTTGGTGAGTGGCTGTGGTAGCGCTAATGACTCTTCATAGACCGGCAATTTACCTATAGCGGGCAAATTACAACAGCGATCAGTTCGTCCCGTCTGGTTTGTATGTGTTTTTGTGGTTTGCTAACGACAATCAGAGACGCTACTTGACAACGACGTTCACTATTCGACGACTACATTCCTCGTTCAACAAACTGCACAGACTGCACGCTTCACTACAACAGCTTACAGTCCGTACCTATCTATCTGTCAGTTACCTAGAGCTCAGCTAACTCTCACTACACCAGAAACTTCGCGCTGAAGACACCACTCGACACCAAAACTGCCTGTGCTTGCTGCCTGTGCTTGCTACCTGTATCTGAGATACTGCTACCTGAGCTACTGCTACTCTACTCCAACCATGGACTTTGCCGGTCTATAACTATATGGGGACGATATGATTATGATGAGATGGTTATAGGGGGACGATAGGACTATAGTGAAGGATTATAGGGGAACATCAGATTATATTGAAGGATCATAAGGGAACATACAATGATAAATTTCTTATTATACAACATTACGCATCACTATAACTCGTAGTTTGCAATAGCGTATAAGTAACCTACAGTGCCTGTGGCGTAAGCTGCCTCTCTACATTTGGATTCATACTATGTCGCTTTTCACGAGACCACGGAAACTCCTTATGGACGCGTTGCTTTCAATGACTATCCGTCCACGCTCTCAATCTTTCTTCAGTCAATACCAATCAAGACAAGACTTTCTTCAGCACCATCATTATAGCTAGGTTACCAAAGTCAAACATCTCAGGGCAGACTCTCTACGCAACGATACTCCTTTACCCATCTGCTTCTTATTGTGATTGCTGTAAAACCGCTCTCTGATCAGTCCCCTGCGCGCTTGTCGATTACTGTAACAACATGAGAGCAAGCAGCAACTATTTCTCCTGTCTCTGCGTTCTGCGCATCACTACGACAAACCGCGAAGGCATAACAAGATAATATAATATAAAGATAATATTCAACGCCAACAATGATACAAAACAAGATAATACAATACAAATAAACCTAACCAAGAAGAGCCAAAACACCGAACCAAAATATGAATAAAACAAAAAGAAAGAACTGTGGTTAGAGAGCCGACAGATCAGAAAACCGAAAACTCCCAAAACTCCCAAATGCTCATACCACAATCTCAGCAAAAACGGAGAACAGGTATCTCAGAAAGCCCACCGAACGAACGAAACAAAACAAGAACACAGCTTCACAGTCGACAACTTTTTTTTTGGATTTTTTGGTATTTTCAAGATCACAGATCAGAGGAGAGAGTCCACAGTAGGGGCGGGCATTTGCATTGGCGGCAAAGGCCCTGCCTCAGAAGAGTTCAGATAATCATCGAGAGTGAGGTCAGGCGACATAAACTCATCGAAATTGAGGTCGTTGTTGTATTGAGGTTCCGGGTCCTGAAGACATGGTATCGAGGCACCAAACGTCTGCAGGACGGGTGCAGCATAGAAATTGCTACCGGCGGCCTCTGCATACTGATAGCTGGTGAGCGAATCATTAGGATCCAGAGAGAAGAGGGGGATGTACGGTTGGTCTTGCGCCAGCTGCGAGAGAGCGGAAGGATCAGACTGTTCGGCGGGAACTAGGGCAGGATCGTATAACGGAGCGACCGCTGACTCCTCCATAGCACGGCCATAGCCCATGTGATGTTTTCCGTCGAGATAGTACATAGCAGATGTATCCGGAACTTCCCCAGGCATCGAAGTGACTAGCTGGGCAGCGACTGTTGTCTCCTCCGTAGCCAAGCACTGCCGTTTCGCTGGACGGCTGTCTGCGTTAGCGTCCGCGATGGCGTGCTTGGCTTGGGAAATCTGACTGCTCACAGAAGGAGAAGACTGGACAGCGCCTGATTGTTCGCCATTCTCAGCTGGGGGTCGTTGATGTCCCGGTGCGCGGCATTTGGGAGCGTACTTATACTTGGGATGAATGATCGAGTGAATCTTTTTCATCTCCTTGAATATTGCCTGGAACAGATCGCGCTGATCTTTTGTGAGCACGTTGCGCCAGACAATTTGCGTATACATCCGGAGCGAGGTCTGTCTGATGTTCTCGCCCTGGGATACGCAACGCTCAAATGCACGCGCAAATACAAAGAAGCTGTTCTGGGGACGTATCTCTTGGTATCCTTGTTGGTGGCATCTCTCGTCAGCGTTCGGAGCTGGCCGCTTGACCTTGCAGCTGTACAATGCAGAGACAAGGACGTCAAGTGCATAGCCACGGTTGCTCGTGTCGGCGGCGCGCAGCTTGTTCAAGAGATTCTGCAACTCGTCGCGAGTGAGGTGCAGCTCTTGACGCGCGGTAACCTTCTGACCGCTTTCCGCCTTCTTGTTGCATTTCTCTCCGTGTTGGCCAAGAGTCTCGTCGATCCATTCTTGCTTGATCTGGCTGCGATCCGGGGAGATCAAGAGAATGAGGTGATAGATGCGACTCAGGTGACGAATGCGATTATAGTCGTCCAGCAACTCTGCGGACTCGGGGATGTCGAGCCGGCAGTCGGCGAGGACTTTCTGCATCAGGGGAGGGTACCGAATGCTAGCATCTCCAGAGGCCGGTAGGATCTTCGAGAAATCATCGATATAGATTTCTGCTACGCCTCGCTCTCTTTCACCCGCGTAGTCAACAGACATCAACTGCGCAGGATAGATCGCCTTGCAGATACGGTCAAACTCCGGCTCGGGCATCTTTTTGAAATTGAGCATGAACGTCTGAAGGCGGTCTTCATAAGACGCCGAGGTGGTTTTCGCCTTGCGGCCAGACTTGTTCGTCTTCAAGAACGGAGGCTCCAAGGGGTTCGAGTGGTCTATGACTTCGTGTCCTTGAGGGCTTCCGTCCGAGAGATCAACAGGCTGGGATCCCGCAGGCACCTCGGCTGAGGCAGTGTGGGACTCTACTACCTCGTCTCCGGCGGTTCCAGGAATAAGCTCCGGCACAGCAGGAGCGGCAGCGGGATTCTCGCCCAAGAAGTTGGGAAATTGCTGGTGCTTTTTCACCAGCTCTGTGATCACCCTACCAATAATCGTGTTGGGCCTCGGAAACGTGACTTGAGTTCCGCCAGGCGGCAAGATCAATCCACCAACGTCGTTGTTGACAGGGGCGGGGGGTGGCGTGCTGCGCTGGTTCGGTTCAGCAGCAGCAAATAGAGGTCGGAAAAAATTGGCTTCCATGGCGATCACAAAAGTCGAAAGGTCGGAAAGGAAATACGGAAATTCAGAAGAGGAGAGGGGGGGGAGAAGAAGAGGGAGAAGGAGAACAGACGGACGAGGCCATTGATATAGCAAGGCAAGAGTCTCCCACATGGGTTCTGAAAATAGCAGGACTTTGGTGTGATTTAATCAGGTATTGGAATCAACAAGGCTTTGGTCGTTCAGCAAAGGAAGCCTTGTTGACCAGACGAACATCTAGACGGGCCATTCTGCATGCCACTGGCCTAGTTGCTCGTCAAATCTGTCAAATTTCACTGAAGTGATGGACGATATATCATCAGAACCTTGATAAACCTGCTATTGAGCCACGCAGAACGATAAGCAGCCGTGCCTCTGGCTGTTCGCGGTGTTCGTGAACATGGGAACGATGGCGGGAGGAGCGAACAAGGGACTGCGATTAAGGTTTTGCCAGGCTACCACGCTCCTTCTTCTCTCCCCGTACCCTTGCGCCTAGTAGGCCAGAGATACTTCAATACCTCGGCAAGTATATTTGCTTCAATTGCTTATATCATTTCCTACAAGACTGGCTATCTGTGGATCAGGCAGGCGGCAGACTACGTCGTCGTTGAATTGCAGAGTGTTGGGAATCAAGAGTGAACACTGAAGCCGTGATCTGTTATTACTGATCGTACCTCGTCTTCTATACCACTTTGCACCGGGAAATTTGTTTACAGGCATCGCCAATAAGTACTCATAGGCTAACCACACTTTACAGACTCTCTCATCCAGCTCGATCCTCTCGATGAAGCAACAAATAGTCTGTACAAGCTGAACATTGGCTTCTACATCATGGGAAGCCGCACGAGGCTCAACTCCTTGGTTATCTGATCTTGGATGCTCGCCTTGGCCCAAACGTCTGTATTCATCAACCGCTGATGTACGGTTTTGCTGCAGGGATGACGGTTGTGAATTATCCGCATCTTGGTTTGGTCGATGACAAGATTAGCTCACTGCTGTGCATTTCGAAGATTGAGAGGCCATTACTTTTTAGTATTTCAACTCGATTTGCACGCTGATGAGTTCGTGCTGTACTGTTATTGCAACATCATTGCGGCAACACCTGTCTGATTCCCCGTATTTCCTATTCTGCCAGCCCGCATCAGAAGGATTGATGGACCCTCCCCCTCCCGGACGTCTATAAAGCGCCCCCCTCCCGCCCTCTCCTCCATCCCTCCTTTCCTCTCCTTTTCACACATTCTTCTCTCTTCTACAAGACCAGGAAGCTCCTCTCTTCAGATGATGACCTTTATTCATCATGAGCAACATCTCTTCTTACTTTTCTTTATATGAGCGATGAGTTTCTTCCCACATTTTTCCAACCACTTTCTAGCCATGCCGGTATTCACAGTGAACCGTTTCTCTGAATTTCTGCATTTCTCTGAAAAATACAAAAAACGGTGACACTGGCTGAAAGTTTCATGTCTTTAGCGCTAACCGCGACACTTATCGCCTGAGAATCGCAATACTGGCCGATCTAAAAGCATGGACTCAACCTCCACTCTCGCTACCCGTCATAAATTAGTTTCTAGCGGGGGCAGCTTGAGGACGAGCGAGCAAGCCAGCTCTGCGGGAGCACATGTGGGCGGACCGGCTGCTTGTTTATTTGAAGAGCTGAGTGAGTGTCTGCGGTAGCGCTGATATGAAGAGCCATTACGGGAATTACCTATAGAGGGTGTTCTGCTACTTTACTTGGACCATAGACTTTGTTGATCTTAAAGTATAGAAGACGATTTGATTATAATAAAATAGAATCATTTTTGTATTAAATGATAGTATAAACATTAAACCTCACTGTAAAATAGTTGACTGTAGCCTACAAGTAAAGACGCAGAGACAGTAGTTAGAATAAGCTGGCTCACTATAACTTGGTCGAATTAGTATATTTATCACGTGACTACCCGAAATAAATAAAATTTCATGATCGACGCGTTGCTAATTAGGTGACTTTGACGCGTTAAATTCCATCTTCAAACCCGTGAGCAGAAGCTGCGTCAACCACGAATGTCTACGTGCCGAGTACACGAAAGAAAAAGCGGTCTCTTTTGCAGCATGCTTTGTTTTGGAAATATATAAGGCAATTTGAGTGAGCTATTCCAGCATTTATCAAGCGGTTTAGATTGTCGCCACACGAAAAGCTATTGGCAACACACGGTGAATTGCCACTGACGAGCCGGGGATGACGATGGCTCCTTCGACGAAAACCCCGACGAAAACCCCGGCGAAACAAAAGAAGCCGACACAGTCTAGTATAACTGCGTTCACAAAGAAGTCTGTGGCTCCTACCAATGAGCAGCAGCAGTTGGCGGCGAGTCCAAATGCGCCGATTGAGATACTGTCGAGCAGTCCTGGCTTGGGTACTCCAAGTAAGCAGAGTAATGGGAACAGACTGAAACGAAAAGCTCAGCCGTCGCAAAGTACCGGACGCGCGCTGAAGATGGCGGGTGTCGCAGCGTCGACTCCAGGACGATCGAGTCGTCGAAGTTTGAGTCGGGCGGCTGGCGGCAAAGGAGCTGAAGGTGGAGCGCTTTTGAAGTTCTTTCGAAGGATTCCGAAGAGGAATGGCGGAGGAGAAGATTGCGATGGACTGTTTGTGCTTGTCGATGGATATGACGATGACGAAGATGGAGAGACGTTCACTATGTCCGAAGCGCAGTCGTATATCAACGCACTTGAAGAGAGCGAGGCGATTAGCGAAGCAAACGCCTTCGACGGAGCAGGAGAGGAGGAAGACACCGAAGAGGGAGGTTTGATGCCATTTGAGATTGTGATGGAAGAAGAGGAGGTAGAGGTTGAGGAAGACGAGACGGTCGGCTATCGAGGTGAATCGATGCCCACAGAACCAGAAACGAAAACCGAAACAACAACGCAAGACACCACACTCGTCGAATCTACACCTTCTTTACCGTCTACGAAAGGCGAGGTCAAAGCTGAAGAATCTACAACGATCGGGAATATATCAACAGAGTACCAAGTATGCCCTGTATGCGGAACAGATCAAAAAACAGAGGTATGTTTGAATCCTTGCTATGAGTTAGATTCCTGCTTGCTAATATGCCCGCCGCGGAACAGACGATTGATCAACATGTCAATGAATGCCTTGACGCAGCGTCGGTAAAAGTAGAGCACATTGAGACTTTACCGACAGAGATAAAGCAAGAAAAGCCTGATGCCGCACCATTTGCGTCATCAGAGTCTTCTTCCAAGACTGCTAATTCATTTACACCAACGTCAGAGAATAGTCTGACTACCCCCAAAAACGCTTTCACCAAACTGATTGCGAGCCGCAAGGAAGCCAGCAAGTGGGCCGCTGCAGAGACGAAAACGACAGATGAACACGCGCGTGTACCGTCTGGAAACGGCGCGGACGCGGAGAGCGGCAAAGGTCAGCCGAGAAAATGTCCGTTTTACAAAATCATGAATATATCGCCCGGAGTTGCGGTAGATGCGTTTAGCTTTGGAGCTGTTCCTGATGTGACTATGTATTTTCTTTCGTGAGTTCTCCACGTGTGCATTTGCTTCTTTGCGACGGCATATCCCGTTGCTCGGTAATATTGCTTCTATCGATCACTAACCAAGTATCAAACTTAGGCATTACCACTCCGATCACTACGGTGGGCTGTCCAAGACATGGACGCACGGAAAGATTTACTGCTCGCAAGCGACAGGGAATCTCGTGATCCAAAACCTGAAGGTTGATCCCGAATACGTTATCAGGCTGCCGATGAACGAGCGTATTGATCTTGGTCAGTTCTACGTGACCTTGATTGATGCAAACCAGTAAGTTTCCCTTTGTCTCGAGCGTCATCTGACCATGGATCGCGGTTTGGTCGCTTATTTAATTTTTTTTATTATAGCTGCCCAGGGTCAGCGCTTTTCTTATTCGAAACGCCACGAACCAGGATTCTCCACACGGGCGATTTCCGTGCTTGTCCCGTGCAGGTTACGCACCCTTTACTTGCGGGCAAGAGGGTTGATGTCTTGTATCTCGATACAACTTATCTGAACCCTAAATACGCGTTTCCCGACCAATCCGACGTGGTCAACGCGAGCGCCGAGGTCTGCAGGAAGTTGACGGACGATCCAGCGGAAATTGAGCGAAGACTGGGCTCGCGTGAAGGCACATCTGGAATAAAAAACCTTCTTTCAAAGGTCAAAGGTGGTGGTGGTGCTGGCCGGTCGTCGGCTACGGCTGGTCGGTTGCTCGTTGTGGTGGGCTCGTATACGATCGGGAAAGAGCGCATGGCGATCGCGATTGCGAAGGCCCTGAACACCAAAATCTACTCTTCGGCTCGCAAACGCGCGACCTATGCCTGTCTGGAGGATCCGGTGCTAGACTCTTTTTTGACTGCGGATCCTCACGAAGCACAAGTACATCTTGTGGGAATGCAAGAGATGCGACCGGATGTAAGTGTACATATCATGGGTTTTGTTACCGTTTTTGGCGTTACTCGACGCGGGCTAACAAGTTGCTATCACTCGTTTCACCATAATAGACTTTGAAGGAATATCTAGAGCTTTTTGAGTCGGACTTTGCCCGAATCGTCGGATTCAGGCCCACGGGATGGACGTTCCGCCCTCCACAAGCGCACGTTGTCGCCAAGGGCCAAAGTGCGCCGTCGGTTGAGACGGTGATCCAAAGCTGGAAGGTAGCTTATGACGAGGCAGCGATGGTTCCCGCACGTGGATCGAGTGAGCGGTATATGTATTTCAACGTACCCTATAGCGAACACTCTAGCTTTCGAGATCTGTCATGTTTCTGCACGGCTCTGAATATCGGGCGCATTATCCCGACTGTGAACGTTGGATCGCCAAAGTCAAGGGCGTTGATGAAAGAGTGGATTGATAAATGGGAAAAGCTACGCCGCAGGAGCGGCGGAACCTACACAAAAGTCGTGCCTGGACAAACCAGGTGGTGACTGCGTTTTCTTACACAATCGGAAGGGCAAAACAAAAAAGGAGTTAACGGTGGTTTAGGTACACAAAAGCAATGAAAGAGGAAAACCTGCAGAGAGTCAGCGGATGTTCATAACTCATATGACCAGGCGGGACAGAGGGTTGTCTCAGAATTCTCAGATCAGGCGCAGGACAGGACGCTAAGCTAAAGAAAGGATTGCCCGCAGTTTGCGCAAGTGCAATCCGAAAACTTCGGATTTCAACGCGATCTTAGCAGCGATGGAGGAAACGTATTTATCTTTCTGCTGCTCCCGACCGTTAAGTTCTTCAGAGAAGAAATTAGAGCCGATGAGCTTCCATCGTGTTGCCATATATGTGCTCATATACTGTATATATTGTCTATATTTAATGGTGTGGAAGGCTGGCTGGAGGGAATAAACTACTTTTGATCTGATATAATAGAGTCTGTAGATGATCTTAGATGATTAATTCTGTCATCGATTGGGTCCAGATTGCGCATTATATAGCCTGTCAGGATAGAAGGTGGCATACGCCGACCGTGTCGGAGTTCTGCGAAGGCCGAACCACGAGCAGCCGATATGTATTTCGATGCTCTTATTTGTAAATTTATCTTTATGTCCCTTATTTGAAGAGAAGGCTGGCCGGACAATAACCGGGGTTTGGAGGAGGCTGGCTGCTCGCAATTATCCCCTGCTCTTCTTCCCCCAGACTATAAACCTTGGCCAGTCGAGCAGATATCCCCTGCCTCCCAGCCCCCACGGCATCGCTCGTTTTTTCCAGTTTTTATATCTCCGACAAGCGCACTCAGAAAAAAATAGAAAACAAGAAAATAAAAATACTGCAGCAATACAGGCAAAAAAAATTGGTAATCTGGAGTTGTTTGTTATGGTCTCTGGCGGGATCGAACCGCCGATCCTCGCGTTATTAGCACGATGCCTTAACCAACTGGGCCAAGAGACCAGATTACATTTGAAGAAGTTGATCTGGTCAAGTTTATTCCTCTTTTTTTCTGCATATGCATCATATTATGTGATGATTAGGGCTATAAAATCTGTGCATGTGAAGATTATGCTGCGATTACTAAACAAATTTACTGCTCAAAAGGGTATGTAGTCACGTGAAACCACTCCATCCCAGCCCCAGCAGCCCAAGATGCGCAAAGAGAGGCGGAAAGAGGCGACGCGGAGGCTGGCTGGCTGGCTGGCTCGCGATGGCTGTCGGATGCGTGCTCAGATAAGCGGCGATAGCCGGGCCGGTGGATGCGAAGTCACGCGGAGGGAGGAACAAGGGCTAACAGGGCTAGCGTGCCAGCGAAGCGCCCTCTCGAGGCCATACCCATGTTCGCACCGCCGCGATCGTGCGGCGCCCGCCGGCCATCATGATAGCCAAATTGGGTAAATAGATTACCTGCAACCTCCCACCACTGCCCTCTAATATACTTACCGGTGCTACTTCCCTGACTTTGTGCAGTTCGAGCCTTTGTCTTCCGCAACACCAGCGATGGCTTTCTCGCGAATGTCCGGCACTACGCTTGCTCTGCAGTCCTCCGATCTCGACGAGCTGCGCGTCCTACATCCAGCTGCATCCACAAACTCCTCCTCATCCTCCGTCGCCCCGTCGTCGTCATTGTCCTCCATTCGCCCGTCATTCAATGCCGTAGCTGCTACCGAATACTTCCTGGGCCCTGAATACTCCTCAGAGTACCCGGATCTGCTGACGGACTACTCAGTCGGCGAGTCCTACACCCTCTCTGACTACGTGCCTGCGACCAACTTCGAGCCGGCGCCAGACTTTGAGGATCATCAGTTCAGTCACGACATCTCGGCGCAGGCTTACTCAGTCCCGTCCACGGCTTCTTCTGTCTTCTCTCCGCTGCCACTCACGCCCGTGTGCGAGACCGCTCAAACGTCTTCGACTTTGCAGCAGCAGCAGTCCAATGTTCTTAATCGCTCGCCTTGTCTGAATACTACAACTGCAGCTGTAGCCGAGGAGATCGCCGCCTCGACCAAGCGCGTGCGCCGTCGCAAGAACTCCATCTCGGAGAAGGCTGCCATGATCAACCCCGACATTCGCCCCCCGCTGCACACAATTGGCTCGCGCAAACCCCTCGTTCTTCCTGAACTACCACCCGGGAAGACCAAAGACGATCTCGCGCCTGAGGAACTTGCAAATTATAAGCATGTTCACCGGCTGCTGCGAAACCGTATTGCTGCCTTGGCGTCCCGCGAGAAGAAGCGAATGTACATCGAGCATCTCGAGTCTGAGAACGAGAAGCTTGAGGAGGAGAAGCGGTATCTCGACGCGCGAGTTGCCGAGCTTGAGAAGCAAGTGTCCATGCTGGAGAGTCGGGCACGTTCTGACACCGCGGAGCTCAATCCGCAGTCCCTAGTCAAATCGGACGCAAACACAGACTGCCAATTTCTGAAGCAGTCACCTCGCGTCGGGCACTCATGCTCTGCACGACTCAGCCAGGACGAATTTGACAAGATCACCATTGCCTCGGGCCTGCTGTTCGTGCTTTTGTACATGACGTCTTCCATGACCTACCCGTCATTGCTCACCATTCCGTCTCTGCTGGCGCCCCCGTTTGCAACAACCGTTCAAGACGAATCCACTCTCTCGGCCCAGATTTACAAGATCCTGAACAGTCCTGCACCAGCAACCTCGCAGGGCTATATCCAGCTGGCTCCCAACGGTCCAAACACCACAAAGCGACCTCACCAGAGGATGATGTTTGTCACTCGTGCTGGAATCCCAGACACTCTTCGTGAAGGCTCGGCCATGAGTATCATCACGCCCGTCGCTTCTAATGATGCTGAGGCGGCAGCGGCTGAGACTCAACTGCCTTCGCCTCCATCTCCCGGAGCGCTGGTTCGCGAAGCCACCGAGATCCGACGGCGTCGGAGATTTGGTAAGAAGCCAGCCAGCGTTATATCCAACGATGACCCTCCGAAATCCAAGAAGCGTGCTCTGCTTGAGGAAATGGAAGTAGTCGTCAAGCGCAGGCGGGTCTTTCTCCCCCGGCCGATTTGATTTTCGAGCCGTTTACATCATCATGATCCTTACGAACTGTTCTTACGAAGATATCTACTTCTATGATGGCATTTGTACGGGAGCGTTAATGATTTTATTGCAATTTTCAACGATGATGATGATGACGACGATAACGATGTCGACGACGATGATGATGATTATGTTCAGAATGATGATGACGATTATTTGCTATCGGTCCTATTGTGTTTATGGTATTATGTTGTTGACGTTCTAATTTGCTGATATGATTTCTATTCTTATTTTTTTGATCTGTCCTTCCGAGTGTTTACTGTTTCTTACGCCTATTTGATTTTTTTGCCAATATTGTTTATTCTCTGGTTTCTCTCCATATTTTACTATATTAATCATTTATTCTTTTTTGGAGCCATCCCAGTTTTTTTCTTAACGATATTCTACCGCATCTTCATTTTTTTTCATATTTTCCTCTCACTTGTACGTGATTGTCTTACTCGATAATCAATGTTATTAAGCCTTAGTTTCGTAATTGGTGCTCGTAGCCTTAAATTCTGAGATCAAGCAGGACTCGTGTAGCTGTCGCCAGGCTGGCTCCTCCAGATCGGAATGATAGAATATTGACGTACTGGAACCTAGAAGATGAACAGTTCAAATCATGAACAGGGAATTAATCCAAATCCTCGATAGAAAGACAGCCAAAAAAGTAACAGGATATAATACGTTCGTAATAGCGGTAAGCTAAAGTGCTAGCTTCCTTCCAAGGCCGTATATAGATACAGCACTATATCTCAGATATAGAGAAGTGTATGAGATTAGGTATGGCCAAGAACATTTAGGTACAGTGTGGGCAGCGCACTCGTCCTTCTGTTTGTAGCGGCATGTCAGATATATATAAGCACAGTATGTGATTAGTTCAAACCCGACTAACGATACGCCGTAACTCCGTCCAGTATCAGTATTGCCATGCTCGCACAGAGCAAGTATGCTAACGATAGGTAAGACCAAAAAGGAAAGAAACACAGATCAGAAACCAAAGATTATCATAAAGAACATACTGGAGATGAAGTCTAGACTTTGATGTACTCAGCGTCGCCAGTAAACGAGGAAGTATCCATATCTTCTTCGTCCTCACTCTCATCAACTTGATCAGAATCAAACTCAACATCATCCATATCACCGTCGTCGTTATCGTCGTCATCCTCATTGCTGTCGTCTTCAGACTCGTCAAACTCAATCTTCATCGCCTCCGCCTCGGCATCTCTTTTCAAGTGCTCGCGAACGTTGTTGAAAACGTCTTCAGACAAAGATCCTGCGTCAGATGCACCAGCGTGATCGTCAAAGAAGAGTGAATCAGATGGCGGTGCGTCGTCAACGACATGCTTTCCAGCGCCAGCTCGAAAGACGTGCTTGAGCTTGCACCCTTTCGTCTCAGCCTTTGAGCATTTTCCTGTCCTTTCAAACTCAGGACACTCGAAAACGTGCCGGTCCTTACATTTCGCACCTTTGTCGCAATACCCAGTTGTCGCAAAGTCGTTGCAGATCTTTGCATCTGGTGCCAGTTTCATATGCGAATATTGACAGTTGGGGTTAGAGCAATTTCCTCTCTGGAAGTGATGGCAAAGAGGCGCGTTGTGAGGTGTCGGATTATGCGAAAGATCACAATTTGGATCCTTGCATTTGTTTTGCAGATAAAGCGGACAGAGCGCGACATGCGTAGGTGAATGCGTATATGGACATGAGAGACCACGTGCACAGGTGCCAGTCATTGTGAAAAATCGACAAGGCGTGTCGATCTTCTTGCGCTCGCGACCTTTGTTTTGCACGACGCCTTTTCGCCATAGATTACCATTGCGACTGCGGAGGAATGTGACACCGCCCACGACGGCTTTCTTTGGGGAATCACCACTTGCTACATCATTCATTGCGTTGTTACCTGTCAAGTCAGTTAGCGTTTGTTCATTTTTTTTCTTCAACACCATAGTTGGCTTACCGGTGACTCTTATCAGCTTGTTGCCGCCTCGCTGGACCGCGTACTTCACGCCGTCAATTTCAACATTCTCCATTGCCCCGACAACGCTCTTCGCCCTCTTTTTTTCTTCAGCGCGTTTCAGCAACTTTTCCGCTCTCCGAGCCGCTTTCTTGGCTGCACGGTTTTCAAGTTTAGACTGCTTCGCCAGTCGTGTTTTTTCCAAAGCCTTCGCGCGCGCTTCAGCGAGATCAGAGTAAACAGCCTTGTTGATCAGCTGCATGTGTCTGTCCCGCTTCTTCACATATTGTGAGCTGGATGACTCAACAGGGTCTTCAGAAGATTGATCACCGGAGCCAGAGGTAGTCGGTTTCGAGTCTGAGAGAACTAATGTGCGATTCTGGTGGCGAGCATGGGGATATGATCTGTAAGCGTAACTTGATGCCCGGCCGCGTCCTGCATTGTAGATTTGTGAGTATCGAGATCTTAGATGACAAGGAAATTGTTTAGACGGCTGTAAATACCTCTTGATCCTCTTGATCCTCTTGAATTGGGGTAATATGAGCCGCGAGTAGGATATGGTGCTGCACTTTGTTGTGCTGGGATTTGTTAGTACAATTTTATCAGTTTTTGTCAGTTTGAAATCATAGATACATACTCGAAGTTGCACCCTCGCCGTTCTTATGTCGATTTATAGCGCCTATCAGTTTCACATGCGGGTTAGTCTCTCTATCGAAAATTTGTAAAAGTTATGTTGCGGTAATAAGTTAGTACTGACCTGCAAGAGAAGCGATCTGCTTCAATAGTTCTGCGTCCGACATTGTATTGTTGCTCAGTCGGTATAAAAATCACTCAAAAATGCAACTAATAGCCGGTACACAACAGCAAAAACCAGATAGATGGTGGTTGTATTCAAATCAAGCCGTTATTGTCCGGTATGTAAGCTGAAATATGTAAACATGATCGGACGGTGGTGACTATTGAGTAAAGCTCAGAATCTCTCACGTGACTTCAGATGGTTGCCACAGATTCATCTCAAGGAGACATTTGGCCGCGCCAACTTAAACGGAGCAGCAGGCAGGACTGCAGCACCGAGCATAACACGTCCCAGGCAGGCTGCGATACCTTGAATGCGAGCAAATTTTTGCAAAAAGCACTGAATTGCGCTGATATAAGTTTCTACTTCTTATTTTGAGTGTTTATTTCTCCATCAGCTATGGCTTCAAAACGTCGCGACTCGCTCGATGACGTCGATATGGAGGGCGAGGACATCACCGGCGACTACGACCCGCATGCCTACGACCGGGATGTCCTGCTCCAGCAAGACTACACGGAGAAGTTAATACACGACTCTTCTGTTTTGAGAAAATCTGCGCTGTCGTCGTCGCGGAAAAAGGGAAAGGGGAAGAAGTCTGTTGGATTCGATGTGGCAACTAGCGGGTCATATCGAAAGCTGAAGGATGCAGATATTAGTCCTGAAGGAGAGAGTGAGAGCGAGGTCGAATTAGATGCCGAGTCACATTTGAAGTATTTGAAGAAACGGGTATGTTTTGTTTTAGTTAAATCGCCTGCTGAGGTATGCGTTTGCTAACTGAATTGTTACAGCAACGACGCAAATCGTGTTTGAAATCGTGCTGCTTCTTTCTGGTTTGCCTGCTTGTGATAGGAATTGTCGGTGCAGCAGGATACATTGCAGTCATCAAGCACAAGTTTGGAATATCAAGTCTGAACCCCTTCAGAAACTCGTCCGGTTCAGAAGTAAGTACGACTACGAACTCGACGTCGAAAGCAGTTCTGTCCAACGGCACGCACGACTTTTACCCCACGACCATCTTCATTTCATTGGACGGATTTCGCCCTGACTATCTCACTCCTGAGTATACTCCAACCATGTGGGAAATGTACTCTTCCGAGTATATGGCGCCGTTCATGTATCCTTCCTTCCCATCCGTGACATTCCCGAACCACTACACGTTGGTCACCGGCTTGTATCCGTCTAGTCATGGAATTGTTGGCAACACGTTCTATGATCCCGACTTGCAAGAGGAGTTCAATTACCACGACCCCAGCCATTCTATACAGTCCAAGTGGTGGGGCGGCGAGCCTCTCTGGGTCACAGCGAGCAAGAGCGGTGTTAGATCCGCTATTCACATGTGGCCCGGAAGCGAGGCTCCATGGGGAGACTACACTCCTGAGTTCGTCGACAAGTACAATGGCTCAGAAACTCTTGATAGAAAGGCGAAGCGAGTTTTGGGATGGCTGGACATGGAAGTGGACGAGCGGCCGGAGTTGATATTGTGCTACGTACCCACGATCGACACTCTTGGTCATAAATACGGAACCTTGGGACCTGAGATTGATTCTGGTCTCAGCCAGGTTGATTCGTTGATTGGGTCCATCTTCCAAGGCATCGATGATCGGAATCTGTCATCGGTGGTTAACGTTGTTATTGTCTCCGACCACGGAATGGCTTCGACATCCAACGATCGTTTGATATTTTTGGATGACCTTATTGCGCCAGATAGCGTCGAGCATACAGATGGCTGGCCGTTATTCGGATTGCGACCGTACTCATACAACACCACCAACCAAATATACAGCGAGATTGTTGATTCTAGAGAGGAGATCAAGACGCTCGGTACCAATGAGACTGAAGGCCTTGATCACTGGGAAGTGTACAAGCGCGATAGCATGCCTGAGGAGTGGCATTTTGGCGGGCCTAGTGGTGGAAAGTACCAGGACCGGATAGCCCCGGTTTGGATATTGCCCGAAGCCGGGTGGGCTATATCTACCAAAGCCCGATTTGCTAGGCAAAACTACGATTTCAAGCCTAAGGGTCTTCATGGGTTTAACAATACTCATCCTCTTATGCGCGCCCTGTTTCTGGCGTCTGGACCCCATTTCCCGTCTGGGTTCCAAGCAGAGCCGTTTTATAACACGGAAGTATACGACATCATCTGCGCATCATTGAATATCACTGGCGCGGACACAAACGGAACTTTGGGTGGTGAGCCGAACGCGTTGCCGGATGGATGGATGGATCCCGTGCAGTTCCCTACTTATATCCCCAACTACGTTGCATCCTCCACATCTTCGTCGGCTGCTCTGCCATCCGCGACTGCCAACCCCGCCGAAGTTGACGCGGATAACTCGCTTGATGGCGGGAGCAGTATAACCGACGAGGCTGGAAACGATGACGAAGCTTTGGATTATATCGCAGACAAGTTAGACTCGGTGACGGTCGACATCAACTCCTGGCTTGACGGCATGTCTGACGGCGATAGTGACAACGTTTAAGTTGATGGATAAAAACATGCGTCTGGGTTTTACGTTTTTGATAGCTATAAGAGAAGTGGGAATGATAATTTTGTGCGTGAGGTTTTGTTGCACACAGCGTCGTCGATTACAAGTGCAGATAAAGGATAATTGGGGATCATGATATATACTGTTTTTTTCGGAGTTGATTGTTTCAAGCTTGCATTATTGTACGGCATATATGGTTAATAATGAAACCGCTTTTCACTAGATTCTCGTAAGTGGTATTGGATTTGCCGTCTCTAGACATTTTTGCACTCTACAGCTTTGCTTTAGCAGGGTTCTTCTTGGTGCTTGCAAGCCATCCAAACTCCTAGATAGTAGTCGGTCAGTAAAGAGGAGCAGTATTGCGGCGGAACCATGTCTCAGAGTACTTACAAGCTTAGTTTTTGCGCCCGGATCGATAAACACATTCACGACAGCGACCTTTCCACACGTGAGCGCTTTGACAGCAGCCTCCTTCAGCTCCTGCGGTGTTCTGGCGACCAAGCCGATACCACCTACAGCCTGACTGATTAGATCATATCGGGTCTCAAAGCCAAGGGCGGTGCTAGGTAGTGGCTTTTCGGATTGAGTACCGTAGGCTTCGGGATCGACGCCGTGGTAGACGCCGTTGTTGTTCATGACAAAGATGGCGAGAGGCAGGTCGGAGCGGGTGGCGGTCTCGAGCTCCATTGCTGAGAATCCAAAGGCGGAGTCGCCCTCGATGCAGACGGGGAGACAGTCAGGGCATGCGACAGCCGCAGCAATAGCGTAGCCGATTCCGACGCCCATGGTGGCCATGGTACCAGCGTCAAGTCGTCTACGCGGGTCGTCGACATCGAACGCATTGCGCGCGGTGTCCATAGTATTAGCGCCCTCCGAGACAAAGATAGGCTTTATCTTTGCTTCGGCGATTGCCTCCTTGATAATTTTGTAGGAGTGCTGATAGGTCAAGGGGACGACCGCGTTATTCGCCTTTTTGATTCCGGCCGCGGTATTCTTCTCCTTATTAGCAATGATCGACTTGGGAATCGACGAATACTTGTAGCCCTTTAGTTCAGCGACCAACTGCTTGACCACCAGGTCAATATCGCCAACAAGGCCATATTCGACATTCTTGGTGTTATTGTTTCCAATCTCCTCGCTCTCGATATCGACTTGGATGATCTTGACGTCGTCGCGGAATTTGGGAGCTTCGCCGTAATGCAAGATCCAATTCAGTCTGCCTCCCAAAAGCAAGATGACATCCGCGCTCTTCAAAACAGCACTGCGCGCAGCAGCAAAGTTCAAGGATGAAGAATCAGGGACAACGCCTTTTCCCATCGGCGTGGGTAAGAATGGAAGCGAGGTAGAGTCGACGAGCTCGCGGATGGCAGTCTCAGCCTGGCTGTAGGCGGCACCTTTGCCGATCACGACCAAGGGCGAAGACGCGCCTTTGATCAATGCGGCAGCTTTCTTGACGGTGGCAGAGTCGGCCATGAACTTTGGCGCCTGAAGAGCAGGCTTGAGCGGTAGAGTCTCGGTCAGATCGACAGAGCCCTGGATGTAATCTGCCGGAAGATCAATGTAAGTAGCTCCAGGACGACCAAAGTAAGCTGTTCTGTAGGCTTTCTCAAGTGTCGAAGGTAAAAGACTTAGAGAAGGAGGCCTGGCAGCAAACTTTGTCATTGGAGCCAACGTGGAAACCTGGTCAATCTCTTGGAAGGCGCCTTTGTAGACTTGGTGAGACTCTGAGGAGCCCGCGAGGAGTAGCATAGGGAAGCAGTTGTGCGTCGAATTTCCAATCTGGATAGGGTGATTAGAATAAGGTATAGACCTGTGTAGTAAGGGAGTCTTTGCTTACACCTGCGATAGCGTGAAGAACACCAGGACCACCGACGACTAGACAGACGCCGGGCTTGCCGGTCAAATATCCATAGGCAGTAGCAGCGTAGGAAGCCGACTGCTCGTTTCTGAAGCTGATGAACCGGATTCCTTTAGCAATGCATGCGTCCGCCACCTTGAAAGCAGTCAGTACAAGTCAGTTGTGACGGAAGGGCAGACAGTCGGACAGAGAAATACCTCAATCACAGGGATTCCGACGATACCGAAGACCACGCGGACGCCGAGATCGTAAAGCGATGAGGCGATGAGCTGGGCACCGCTGACTGTGTTTGTAGACGCCATGGATGAGTATCGACAGAGATGGTGTATGCAAGAGCAGGAGAACGAGCAGGCGTCGGTCGTTATCGGGAGCAGCGAGGAGAATGGGCTCAGATAACCGGAGCCGATCGCCGAGGAGCGCGGGGTTTTGTATACGTGATCTTTGGGAGGTTTAAGAGTTAACCCCTGAATTTTATATTTATTATTCCATCGCCGGACTACTTTCAGCGGGCGAAGAGGATTATCTGAACTGAGTGAATAAGTAAAAGATTTGTATATTATTAGAGACTTATTTCGTATTCTCGGACAATCTGGTTATCTGTCTTCTGCTCTGCTGTGGTCAGTCTGGTAGCTCCTCGAGCCTGCCTGACTCAAGTGCCGTCCGAACCGGATTTTGGGCACTGATGACACCATTCTCTCGCAGTCTAAAAATCACCGTCGTCAGCATATAATCTTCGCATCGAAAACCACATCTACCCAATTAACAGGACTACGACTTGTAAATAGAACGTACCTCTCAAAAAGAACAAACAACCTCTCCGCTTCCCGCTCCTTCTCCTCATCAGTCATCTCCGCCAGCGACGGTCTGTCGGCAAGCTCGGCATCCAACCTCTGGCCCGTGACCGGGTTTATCCCCACACTACGCTGAGAGTCCAGATACTCTTCTGCTTCGCGCAGCGAGTCTTGCGGGATCGCGATCTTGTGGTTGATGAGGAATCCGGCGGCAAATCCGTAGCCGATTTTACTAATGAACTTCCTTGCTAATTACGTAACGAGAGTTAGCGATGTTACAGATATGCTATGAAAATCATGCACTTACCATCCTCGTCGCATGCCTCGAACATCATTTGGTATATGGTTTCCCGACTCTTCTCGAGGTTGGGCCGCGAAGCAGTCTGTAGAAGGAGTGACTGGAAAGATGACGAGGTCCCTAGTGGTTTATCGCGCTCCGACTCTGAAGGCAGAATTTTGGACTGAACATAATCTTTGACGGCGGTCGAGTTTGTCGACTTAATAGCCGAACGCAATACCAAAAGAGCAGGTGCAATGCTATCGTCAAGTTTGGGGTCGTCTAGGCCGTTTAAGCGCATCCGCGACTCGACCATTTCGAATAGTAAAGCAATGACAGACAGCGGTTCCTCCTTTGGAAAATATGTCTCCTCAGTAGCCGGAAGTTTCAACAGGCATGTGACCACTGAAGAAGTCGTCGGGACCAATTCACGAGGAAGATGTCGTAGTGCTTGAACGAGGTACTTGACTAAGTGTTCGTATTGGCTGGCCGTTTCTGAGTACTTGCATAGGATATTGAATAACAGCTTGCATGTCTCTACTACTGCAGCTTGTTCTTTGGAGTTCATCAATTTACCAGAGTGACGATGTAGAGACTACAATTGACTGTTAGCTTGGTGCATCAAAGCCTCAAGAATAGTACACGCTTACGTTGGTGATATACTCATTGAGAGTCTGATGTGTCTTTTGACTGTAAAGTCGCGGTTCTTCGATAGTTGAAAGAAAGAAAATCCGGCCAGTAACAAATTCTTCGTCAACAGTAGGATTCTATCAGTCAGTCAGTTCTGATTCCCAAGTATTCCTCCACAAACTCCAGTATTGGAATCTGACCTTGTACTGATCAACAAACACCGACACGCCATCCCAAGACTGTCGAAGCGATCGCGAGACCAGCAAAGCATTTGCGATTATGCGAAGGGCTTCGAGGCGTATTTGCAGATCCTGCTTGTAGTCTGCATATTTCGCCAAGTTATTGAGTACCTAGTTGTTTCCTTGTTATTCATCGTCTCTGAGATTGTCTGAGATATGTGGCGAATACTCACTTCGGTGTCGAATATGCTGATGTTTTCCGGGTTTCGACCAATGATCTTTAGGTTTTCGAGAATATGGAGGATATCTAGATGGTGATCCCGTCAGTACAGACCTCACTCAATTGCGGCATCATTGTTCATTACCATCACGACGCAGTGGTTTTGCTCCGCTCAGATCCGCGCGTAGTCCCTCGATCAAAGAGACGGATCGCATTCGAGTAGTTTCCAGATCCATAGCGCTCATATTTCGTCCGGTGTCTGCATCAACGTTGTAGTAATAGCCAGGCTAGCAGAAATAAGCCGTACTCTGAGGAGAAATTGGCACCAGATCCTTGCTACTGGGTCGGGGGGCTTTATAATTGAGCGTTTCGGATTTTGAGGCCTTCTGATATTGCTGGATTCGAGCAGTTCGGTCGTGTCGTCATCGCTGAGATTTAAGGTTTGGGTGGTTTCAGGGGTTGGGAATAGTTGTCGAGTGCCCTTCGAGGTCAGCCATCATCTTCTGTGCAATTACATCATTTATTCAAGACGCTGGATGGAGTCAGACAAGGCGAAGAAGCCGCCTGCTAGTGCAAATGGCTTTGGTGAGAGCGAGGTGATTGCCAAACTTACCAAGAAATTCAAGACCGCCTTGAAGAAGGAGCGCGAAGAGGATGTTGCCCGAACTCAGCAGCAGATACAGTCTCTTCCGCCCAAAATCCTTGCTCGGCGGGGACTAGCTATCTTGAACGTTTCGGTATCGAGCGTGAGAACAGCACTAGGTGGGGCGACTGTTCTTGAGTTGGAACCTGATCTTTCGACTGCTACTACAGAGATCGAGAAGAACTCGATCAAAACGGGTGATATAGTGGTAAGTACAGTCCTTTCCGTTCGTCAGAGATAGACTCTAATCGAGTATCGTCTTATTCAGGCAGTAGAAAAAGTCCCATCTGCAACGGAGAAAAAATCAAAGACTTCGAGTGGCAGCAGGGTCGAAGGAGTTGTGCTGCGACAGTCGCCAAAGCAGGTGCTGATATCAGTCGACGACAAGTACTCCGAGGCAGTTCTAACGCTGGAGGGGAGACTATGGATAGTCAAACTGGCCGATGCAGTTACATATGCACGGTATGAGCTCACTTGTAGCATGTGTGGGTAGTGCAAGAGTTAATAATTTTTGTAGGATGGATGAGACGATGGAAGACCTGAGCAAATTGACGTCGCCCACCAGACTACAACGGATCGTGATAGGAACCACCAAGCCGACCAAACCGAAACAAAATGACGAGCCTATCCAATATTTGGATGACACGCTGAATGGGTCGCAGAAGAAAGCTGTGGCGTTTTCTCTCGGTGAAAGCGAGGTTTCAATCGTCCATGGACCACCAGGGGTATGTTTTGCCGTTTAAGAAAAGTATGGATTACGGGGCTAATTCGAATATATGCAGACCGGAAAAACATATACCGTGATTGAGATTATCAGACAGCTAGTTGCCAAAGGCCAACGCGTTCTGGTTTGTGGACCCAGCAATATCTCGGTCGACACCATTCTAGAGCGACTCCACGGCCTTTTACCGCCAGACAATCTTCTCCGCATAGGCCATCCCGCGAGACTGCTTACCTCTACTCAGCAGCACTCGCTCGATCTTATACTGAGGACCTCTGAGCCGGGGCAGATTGTACGCGATATTCGGACCGAGATTGACGAGTCGTTTGCAAAGATCAAAAAGACGAGATCTGGGCGGGAGAAGACGCAGATTTTCAGAGATATCAAAGATCTTCGGAAAGAGTACCGCGCACGAGAGAGGAAAGCGCTGAATGAAGTATTGAATCAAGGACGGGTTGTTGTATGTACTCTTCACGGAGCAGGAAGTAAGTTTCTCTCTGGGATTGAGTTCAACACAATCATCATTGATGAGGTATCTCAGAGTCTGGAGTCGCAATGCTGGATCCCGATTCTGAATCATCCAGAGGCTGAGAAGTTGATCATTTCTGGCGATAATAAGCAGTTGCCTCCTACGATAAAATCGGTGGGCAATGAGAAAGTATTGGGAGTCACACTGTTTGACCGACTAGTAGCAACACACGGGGACAGCATCAGGAATCTACTTAATGTCCAATACCGAATGAATGATACCATAATGCAGTATCCTTCATTGGCAATGTATGAAGGGAAATTGCTCGCAGACGATTCCGTTAGAGATCGTACGCTGGCAGATCTAGAATACGTCACAAAATGCGAAGAGACAGAGGCAAAAGTTCTATGGATCGATACCCAAGGCGGCGAATTTGGCGAGAGCGTGAGCGAGGAAACCGCAAAGTTCGACCCGGACGGTGGTAGTAAGTCCAATGACCTGGAGGCGTGGCTGGTAGTGCAAGAGGTCTCGGATTTACTTGATCGAGGCGTTAAGGTGTCGGATATCGGAGTCATTTCGCCTTATAACGCGCAGGTGTCGCTGATTGCTAAGCGCGTGGAGACATTTCTTGAGAACCGGAATATCGGGCTTTCTGAAAAGGAGGAGAATGTTTTAGAGGTCTCATCAGTGGATGGCTTTCAAGGACGAGAGAAGAATGCTATTATTATCTCGATGGTTAGGAGTAACGACAAGGGCGAGGTTGGGTTCTTGAAAGAGGACCGACGACTGAATGGTATGCTGGCGATTGCTTTACGGCTTGTCGATCTCAAATACTAACCAGTCTCACTTCTTTAGTTGCGATTACTCGACCGAGGAGATATCTCTCCATTATCGGAGACTCGGAAACGCTCTCGCGAGGCTCAAATTTTCTAAAAGGATGGGCAGATTGGGCCATGGACAATGCTGAGATCAGATATCCGGATGTAGGCGAGGTCCTGGAGTTTGCGATGCGAGCGAGTTGATGTTGTAAATAGCGGGTTTATAGATGTACATTATCAATATAGTCACACGCGCCAAGAGGTCGATGCATATTCCTCTTTAAGGACAAAACGAAGCAAGAACCACAAAAAAAAGTTGACATAAAATATGAAAACCCCCGAAATCATAGACAATAGTATACAAAGCTTTTCCGCACGGGACACTGGGAAACAAATAACAAGAATTTGAATTTCAGTCTCTCTGTCACGGTTGCGCATTCAGCGAGCTCACCGACCGCCTGCCTTTGCAGCCTGCGCGGCAGCTTCCTTTCGTGAGGCATCCTCTAGGAGAGTTGTGTCGACGACGGCAGCTGGAAGGTGGACATAGCGAACGACGGATCCACGGATAAATATGTTTTTGACTGATGACTGTAGGTAGGAGTTAAAAAAGGTTAGCTGATTAGGATCAACACTCTGTATGATAGACGGGAGATACATACGAGGTGGGGGTATTTGATCTCGTCGAGAACGCTGATGTCGTCCAATTTGATGTTCAAGAATTGATCGACGGACTTTAGCGTCCCACGCACCGACATATCATTTTTCAGCTATGGATAGTGTTAGTAGTTGAAAAGAATCCAGCCAGCCTGACTCAAGAGTTGAGATTGAATCAAGAAGAGAAGCATGCAGGAGCAGCAGAGGATTATAAGATTCTTCTTACCTCGACGATAACCTAGTAAAACTGTTAGTCAGATGCACAGAACGTGTATGTGTAATTGCAAGCAGAGTACATACCACCTCATCAATGAGAGTTTTGTAGAAGGAGAAGAACAGCATCGTTGCGGGTGACCGAATGTGCAGACTATTTACTGATGAGATGCTCTACAGATATTTGGTCTGCAGAAGCAGTGCTATTAAGTTTGCTGACTAGTATATTACTAATACACGAGGTAGTGATTACTAACAAAGCAATATCATTCAAACACTGCAATCTGCCAGTCCACAATCACCCAACAGCGCTCTTATTCTCAACTCACTGCTGTTAATCACTGCAAACAAGAGCAGATCCTCTCTAGACAATGCTCTCCTGCGTCGACCAGTTATCGATAATGCGCTATCCTGCTCGAGTCACGTCCATGCGTAGATCCCAGTCCGCGCGCACGTGTGAGCCCGACCCGCAGATCAAACCCCAGAATAGCAGACGAGGCCTTGTCCGCGTTGGGCCGTGTGCTCCGCCATACGCTCGCTCGCCTTCTCACTGTCCAGCTGAGCTCAGTCGACTGCGATAATCCCATCTGGTCCACTCTCTTTGCCACCTTCTCTCCTCCTCGCTCTCTGCACCTCTCGATAACCGTTGCAATGGCTGTTGCGCGCGACTCTACATCTTCCACACGGTTTGCGCAGTTCAAGCTTGTGCTGCTGGGTATGTCTCTCCTGCTCAGAGTGGCGGCAACTCGTAATGCTCTTTGGCTGCCGTAGGACTGGACAGCTATATGCTCCTGTCTCTGCTCGCCGACGGGCGCCTATTTCGTCTGTCTTGTCAAACGACCGGATGTACTGACTGTTTTGCTTATCTAGGTGAATCTGCTGTTGGAAAGGTTCGTTCTTTCGCCGCCAATCTGCGCTGACTTATCCGCGCGCATTATATCTGCTGCATCTTTGCCTGTCTGAAATGCTAACCAATCTGTTTCCTTTCTTAGAGTTCACTCGTTCTACGATTTGTCAAGGTATGTGTGCATATGTGGTGTTCAACCATACGGGCCAGAGACAGTGGCCGAGGGCAAGACAGAAGATTAACCTGATTTATCATGTAGGATCAATTTGACGACTACCGGGAGTCCACCATCGGTGCCGCTTTCCTCACCCAGACCATCGCCCTCGATGAGTCGACTACGATCAAGTTCGAAATCTGGTATGATGTGATGTTTCGCTATCGAACGCAACTGAGTCCTGCTTACTAACATATACTCTTCAGGGATACCGCCGGTCAGGAGAGATACAAGTCGCTAGCACCCATGTATTACAGAAATGCCAACTGCGCTGTCGTCGTTTACGATATCACACAAGCTGTAAGGAGGTTCTTCATCGTTACCAGCTTTATGAGGACTGTCAAGCTAACTGACACGTTATCAATCAGGCGTCGCTGGACAAAGCAAAGTCGTGGGTTAAGGAGCTGCAACGACAGGCCAACGAGAACATCATCATCGCTCTCGCTGGCAACAAGCTTGACTTGGACGCAAAGAGACAGGTTGAGACAGCCGTACGTTTACCTCTTTAATTATGCTTAGTAGCTATCAATCACATACTAACCATCTCCCATAGGCCGCCGAGGCTTACGCCCGCGAATCAGGTCTCCTCTTCTTTGAGACTTCCGCCAAGAGCGGCGAAAACGTCACCGAACTCTTCACTGCGATCGCCAAACGTCTTCCTCTCGAAACTGCTTCTACCCGGCAACGGACTGCGCCGAAGGGCGTCGACCTCAACCGGCCAAACCGACGTGCCCCCGCGGCCAGCAACAACGGATGCACTTGCTAAAATTCTATGATTTTTACGGTGACGACGTGGACCTGGTTGTGGGAGTCATTTGATTACAGGATTATTCTTTAATTGTCCCGTTTTTATCGGATAAGCAATTAATGAGCATTTATAACGAAAGGGAGCGGCGGAACTACGTCTGATGTGAGTGCAGCAGAATGAGTGTTTAGGTATTATATGCAGAGAAGTGAAGAAGTTGGAGAAGAAGAAGAAGGAAGATGAAGAGGAAGAAAAACCGATACAACAGGCAAGAGCGTGTATAAAGTCTCACTAGAGAACCTCTCTTTTGGTACATATGCATTCAATGCGTCATGCACCCTCTTCATTTTTTTTATTATTTCGACCGGTGATTGTTTTCATGGCTGTGGTGTTTTCTAATTTTTATTTGTTGCCTCTCTTATTTTCGCTGCTTTATGTCATTTTGTGTTTTTTTCTTTATATTTTATTTGTTTCCCTTCCCCTTTGTTTACTCTTTCTCTATACTTTGTTTAATCTTCTATTTCTTTTGTCTGGATGGAATGTTCTCCATCTGTCTGTCTGCGTTTTCATTGTTACTCTCCATCTCTGTCTTTTATCAAATAAACAGAGCCTGGCGGATCGAAAACCAAACTACTTTTTATACTCTTCTTCTTGTTCTTCCTACTCGTGTTTTTTCTCTTTTTGTTAATCCTGAAGTATGAAGGAGAGTTAGGCAGCAAGGATATTCGTATTCACTGTCAATGGGAGTTAGAGAGAGAGAGAGAACAGGAGGTGCTCACTGTCAAGCTTTTCTTATTTATATTTTATTCTTCAGTATATTATTAGGAGTGCAATGGGATTATTCATTATAATAAGTTGCTTTGGTTGTGATCCTGTAACACAAAGTGATGAAGTTTGTGATATGAGTAGGAGGTAATGATGCTACAACAGGCGTATGTTTCTGGTACAAGGGGTAGTGAATGCTTCAGTAGAATATGATATCAGCTGGATGCTCGCCGATCGCCTGTCTTTTCATAGCGTAATAAGTGATGAAAGATGCGACCAACCCGACGACTACATACGACATCAGCCAAGAAAGATATCGCGCATGCCATGCCCTCGTCACAACCGGTGAAGGGTATTGCAAGGCCGACTCAGACAATGCGCCAGACTCCGTCTTGACGACCGCGAGCTCGCTGGATCCAATCGAAGCCGATCGATGGCGTTCTAGCGCGGTCGTGGATGTGGAGGGACTTATATCTTCATAGTCTGAGCCGCCTGGATCGTCGTTGTCATAAGATAGATGGGAGGTATGTGGCATCAAAGACATGTTTGATGACTCGGGGGGTTCGTGAGAGACTTGTGATCTCCAGAGAGAGAATAGGCCGGAGATTGAATCAGTTACCGAGGATGATCGTGTGGCGGAGGTGGGGGCGGAAGATATCGATGACTGGCCAACTGATCCTGATGATCTTTTCCTGCCTCGCTCAATGTTCACGCCTATCAGATCTAGCAGACTCTCGGCAGTCGGACGCTGATCTGGATCAGGCGACAGCAACTGCGAAAGCAGGTCGTAAATCTCGGTCGGCAGATCGCTTCGGAGGTGTAAGACTTTCGACCTATCGAACCCGTTCCACTGTATAACCTCGCTCCGCAGAGCATCAAAGTCGGACTCGAACTCATGCTGGTATGGGAGCTGTGAAAAGCAAAGAAAATAGAGAATCATGCCGAGAGAAAACATGTCGGTCTTGAACGAAAACTGCGGCAGTTCGCCGGAATGAGCATCCGGTATCAGCGTCTCTGGGGCACAAAATCCCACGGTTCCAGTCGCGCCGGTAGCATCGCGCTTGGCGCCTTCGCGCTGGCCTTCTCCAAAGTCGCTGACGAGTACTTTAGGAAAAGTGGAATCCAGGTCGAGAAGACAATTTGACGGTTTCAGATCGCGGTGAACAAACCCGTTTTGATGAAGATGATTGAGTCCTGAGGTTATATCGATGAAAAACGAGCCAATCTCTTCGAGAGAGAGAAAGCTTCTTGGTTGCGCCGGCGGTTCTCTTTTGTGCTTTGATCTCATTCTCGCTCGTTTCTTGAGTTCCTCGACGTCTAGATCATTCCTTTTGATACCAGACCGATTGTTCACGTACTCCTCGAGCGTGCCGCCGTCACAGTACTCCTGTAAGATGAATATACACGGGACTTTCGGACCGAAACTCGTCAGTTGAGCGTTTTCAAGCCATACATGATTGTAGTTGACCAGGTTCGCGTGAGTTATCCGGAGCAGATCAACTTCTCTTAGAACTCGCTCCAGCCACTTGTGGTCGTCTCCTACCGGTATCTTTTTGCAGGCAAACCTTCCGAGAGAGACTCCATCCAGTACGTGCTCCACTAAATATACTGCCCCTCTACCTCCACGACCAAGCTCCCTTTCGGTCACGAAAAACCGCTCAAAATACCCCTCGCTATAGGCTGATGATGAGATACCTATTCTGTCTGATGAGGGTGACGGTGAAGTATGGGAATCTAAGGGTTCTGACGGTTCGCGAGACGCACGGTCGGTACTGGCATCTTGCAAGAGTCGAAAGTAATTGGCGTCCACGAACGTGCGTCCCCGCAACCCTGCCCCGTTGAGCCCACTTCGACTATATCTGTCAGGACTGGATGGCAGAGGCTGTTGACCAAAAAACCTCCGGTTTTGATTGTTCACCGGAACCGATCCTGGCTGCTCTGCCAGCGGTGGAGTGGCTCCTCTGCCACAGTAAGGACAGGGGCCATGGTGGTGGTGGTGGTCCGAGAGATCGTGTGTGGGTGTGGCGGCGTCCAAGGATGAGTTGAGCGACAGATCGCGATGGAGTTTGAGCTGACGGGAGTCGGCGTCGTATACGACAACTGCGCCGCGGACTGGATCTTGTCTTTAAGCACACAATCAGTACCGTGTCAAGATATTTCTACAGAGGGCATAGACTTACAATACAACGCTCTGGTTCTGATTGTATCGGATCACTGACATTGCAGGTTGAACAGTAGCGAACGAGCCGCCAGCTTCGCACGTAGATGTAGTTTATTAAGCAGCAGCCGTAGCAAAGACAGATCTTAGATGTTCACATATCCCGAATCGTCCTGGACCTCAGCTGAAGAACCAGACCGAATCCTGAATGTGTTTGCTGCGATCGAAAACACGGGATTGATCTGGAAAACTCCCAATTTGCTGACACTTTGAGTGTTTCGTGTCTATTAAACTTTAATGAACAAACGCGTGACGCGACACGTCCAAATCGCGCTAAGCCGAATTCGACGCGTTTCACGCGTAAATTAATTTTTCGGGTTCCGCAAAGGCCCTGGCCTCGCTTGCTTCCTGTCCTCGTCCACAGTCGCCCTTCGTTCTCCTCCTCCAAAGCTGGGCTGTTCTCGCGGGATTCTTGCTGGCATTCGTCTTCTACTCGGCCAATCTGCGGTTTACATGTGCTTGTCAGTGCGGACCAGCGCCGGTTTGAACCTATAGAACTACTCCCTCCCAGAACCCCCCTTCGCTCGCCAGTATGCCGAACGAGGCCTTCGCACCCACTCCGCTCGGTCAGGCGCACACCGATCATGGCGAGTTCTCGCCGCCGCCAAAGAAGAAGGGCCAAGCCTGCGAAGTTGATCTGCCGTCGTCTCCGCCGGAGATGTCGTCGCCCGTGAAGACAAAACGCGTCAACTTCTCGCTGGCGCCAACCTGGATGGAACCCGGATCGTCACCAAAGATCCCACACCATTACTCAGAGTTCAAGAGCAAATCGATCCTCAAATCTCGACCACCTCAGCCTGATTTCTCGTCTTTGGATAACCAATCTGCGATTCCTCTCAGTCTTGATGCGTACCCCTCGTTCGCGGCCATGCTCGAGACAATGTGTAACGCTCTGGCAGCTGACGACTCACATACTAAGCTTGATATATACATCATGCTGAATAACGCAATCAGGGGACTGAAGAACTATCCTGATTCAAATTCGCTAGAGAGGAATCTCGACCTACTCGTTTCTTACATCCGGCGTGATGTGGAAAACCCGACTGATCGAATGGACGGCTGCGAGTCGCGAGTCAAGTTGCAGGCAATCAAGCTTTTTGTGGCTCTGGCTGCAACTGATAATCTTGCAGCTCGTATTGATCCGCAGGTTGTCACTTGGATTTTGAATCTAAGCATAACCTCCCTGGAATCTGCAGATGTCAAAAAAGTACTTATTTCCACACCCTATGGTTAATATCGACTGAGGCTGATCATTTTCATTCTAGCACACCATTGTCACTTACCTTACGCTTCTAGGTAGTCAGAGGTTCTCTACTCGACTCATCTCAGCTGACCTTGTCGATCGGATATTTTATTGCGTGTTGCGGTTGCACTGCAGATCGCGAAACGTCGAGGCGCAGTGCTTTCTAGTCCTAGACATGCTTCTTCAAGTCAACACAGAATACATGCTCGAGCATGCGGACGAATGGGTCTCGCTATGTTTGCGTGGGTCGTTTAGTAAAGTATGCGTCGTCCGTTCGAAAGCCATCCTCCTTCTCAAAGCCGCTGCGAGACTTCCAAAAGACCAAAGACTTTCAGCAACCGTTCATGCCGCGTTTGAAAAACTTGACGAAGGCTCGAGCGTGTCGCTGTTTGATTCTTGCTACGGAAACCTAGACGAACTGTTTGAGAACAAGGAAGAAGAACACATTCTGGCTCTCTGGGAGACGGTCGTCATCCTCCTGTCGTCATGGGGCAAGAAGAGAGAGCAGAGACTAGATCAATGGAAGTACTTGAATAAATGGCTCGACGTGTTCCGCAGAAGCGCTACATCTGCGGATCATGGCATCAGACGTCTCGCTATTCTGAGCTGGCAGAAGCTGGCCTATGCATGGATCACAGGACCCGTTGTTTCGTACCAGTCTGAGACCTCTGTCAGGAGAATGAACATCATTCTCTCTATCTTCAAATTTTTCAGTGATAACAGAGAAGAGACCGTCTCTGCACTTTCGAGTACGTTTATCAAGATTACATGCATCATTCTGACAGTCGCACGTGTACCATCTATAAGTAATCCTGCCGAACACGTTATCAACCAGCACGACTTTTTATGGAAACATCTCGTTGAGCCAGTGATCCAGGACATTTGCTTCCGCAACCCCTCTCTACATGCTCGTGGTGCAAGGATGCTCTGCTGGCTTTTGGCTGCATCAAAAGCGCAAGAACGATCGAGTAGGGAAATCTGCTTCAACAACCTAGGCTATGCTGATATTCCCCGTCTGAATTCAAAATGGATCCGGTCCAACTCTTCGCCGATCCTGCGTCTAATCTTGACTACATTCAAGACCTCGCAGACTGACGAGATGTTGGCGACGGCGTTCAAATGCTGGACTGCGTACTTGGAGCATATCAAAGCTGCGTCTAGCAGAGAAGTTCGAATGTCATCCGAATCGATGGCGTGCATCACAGTCATATTCAATTTCTTGCTGGAATGTTTTGAGTCGCTTCCTGAAAGGCCGAGTAAGTTTTATGACGTTATATGTTCGCAAATTATGTTTTCTAACGATACCGTCTTTGATATTTAGGTGTATGCAGCAAGCTAGCGGCAACGACTCTCCGGTACTGGAGTAGTGACGAATTTCTTCGCCCGACTTTACTCGACAAATCCTCTTACTTCACCACCGGATCTCCGTCCAAGGCGCGTCCAGGGAAAGCTCCGTTGGTGAGAATGCTCCAGATCATGATCACCACGTCATCGCTCGACCAGCGTACAGAAACAGTTCAAGCGCTTGACGACATTCTAAATTCTGTGCTAGAGGGTTATGGCATGGACCCGCCGCTGGCGCGGGCTTTGATTGACATTTGCAACACAATCGAGACGGAAATGAGCAGTCGCAAAAACACGCCCTCGGTCATGTTTTATGGGACTACTGCTTGGTCTCTGGTTGCTAAGAGGGCGTGGGTAGCATTGTTCATGCTGCATAGAAATCATTTGCACTCTGAGCCGGCTGCGAACCTTTGGAATCAGCGCTTGATGAACGCAGTACTAGGATGTGGAATTCGGTGAGTTCTTTTTTTTCTTTCGGAATATAAGCAGACACAGCTCTAACCTTATACTACAGAGCTATGAGCGTGGCCGATCTGGTCGCTTTGATCGAAGGGCTGCCGCCGGTGGACATGCGGGAATTCATGAAGAATTTATGTATGCCATTGATCTCGACTTTTGTTAAAGAGGTCCCCAGCGGAGAAGAAGGCTGCCTTTACAGGTTCTTATATTTGGCTGTAGAGAGAGCCATGGAAAAGTACAGAATGCAATTTTTTTTTTCTGTTCGGTATAGACTGAGACTGACGATTTATTCTGTGGTTCTAGATCAGACCCTAGTTGGGATACCCAAATCGCATCTCTCATATTTTCGATGCTGCAGAGATGTGATTCTCCCTCGTCCCAGGGCGCCAAATCTTTTTGGATTATAGCATCCGAATTCATCTCCAGTGTCAAACTGGCAAGTTTCAGACTGTCGTTATATAATTATTCTTTAAAATTTCGCGACCAGTATTGTCGGACACCGGATGCGCTTGCTTCATTAGCTGAGCAAAACCATTACAAGTTTCGGGTGCATGTCAGTTTTTGCGAGCGATGGATTGAAACGCTTGGTACTAAAAGTTTGAATTCTGGAGATGAGTATCTCTTAGAATTTTACTTGAAGTGCAGAGTTGAGCCATTTTCGTCGATAGTGTTCGATGGAGTCTATCGCAGTGCACTCGAGTATGATCACAAAGAGCTGTTGGCAATACTGGAGCCTTACTGCGAGGAGGCCAGAAGACGGAAAGAGGCAGCTAGAAAGCGGAGGTCGGATGCTGAGCTGATGCTCGAAGCTATCTCGTCAGATGACGACGTTGAGCAGACGGAGGACGAAAAGTCAGATGAAGAGACGGGCTCGGATACTCTGCCGATAAAGGATTCTGTGATGGAAGGAGAAGTGGCTCCTGCTCGGGATCCGGAAAGTATCGAAGCACAGGAAGCTGCTTCACAGGCAGTCGGCGAGCAGGACGACGATTCTGAACTCGGTCAGCAGATAACAGATCCTGTTGAGATTGCAGAGTCGGATGCGGATGAGCCGGTAGAGTGCGAGTCTGGGTTAGTCGTGCAGAGTGAAATCTCTGAGGAGATGGAGGTCGTGACCGTTGAGTCTGTACAATGCGAGGATCCTCAGTCTGTGATAGACCAGGATGAGCAGATCGAACAGTCGGATGCGGAGCTTTGCTCGGAATCTGCGGAGGCGACTAAGATTACTGAGACTCCGATTTCGGCTGATTCGCAGAATATGGATGACACGATTTCGATTGAGGAAGACGGTGTCGAGACTGTCGAGCTTGAGAATGCTGTCGCAACTGTTCAGTCCGAGGGGTCTATGATCTCAGAGATGAGTGGGACGCTTCTGATTGAGGAAGACGGTGTCAAGACTGTCGAGACTGTCGAAGCTGTCCAGCTCGAGAGTGATGTGGTGACTGTTGAAGAGTCTACGGCGTCAGAAATGGAGGACACTTTGCCGGTAGAGGAAGAGAGCAGTGCGGGATTGGAAGTACGCGACTCAGAACTCATCACTATTCAGACTGAGTCTGCAGTTATTGAGTCAAGCGTGGCTGAACCATCCAGCGTTGCTGAAATTACCGAAAGCCAGCCGACTGAGGACGAAAAAGATGGCATGATGGCGAGTGCAAATGACGACGAGCATCAAGGAGAAGACGACGCATCGACAGACTCGACTCCTTCGTCAACGCCGCCGTCTTCTCCGCTCCTCGAACCCGGGTCTCTGTCTTCTGGTCAGAGCGGCGCGTCTGATACTCAAGTGATTGAGCAGGACACGATTATCGTTGATTTGCCTGCGTCTTCTGTCGGCGATAAATCATTATCTGAGACTTTAGGAGTAGCGCCGGTCGCTCAAGCAAAGTCAACAGAGTCGTTCTCAGCAACAGAGTCGTTCTCAGCAACAGAGTCGTCCTCAGCCGTATCTACGCCTTCATTACCAGCGCCGGCGGGTTCGTCGGATTCGAACTCGGGCAAGGGCAGAGGAGCTCCTGTGCGCATTATGAGGTCAAAGATTGAGCCGGTTGATAGCAAGGAAATGGAGAGTGATGCGATGGTTGATGATGATACAATCGTGGTCGCGACTGCGCCTGTCAAGACTGCTTTGAGAGCCAAAGGTATTTTTCATTTGTTTTCTTTGTCTAACTGTGCGCGTTTACTGATTATCTTCGTTTTTGCAGGATCCAAAAAACGGTCGCGTAGCGTCCGTAGGACGACATCCAAGTCAATTACTGCTTCTCCTTCAGGTATCTTCATTTCTAACTATTCACGTCTTTGATATATGTCTCGCTAACAATCCATAGACACCATTATCGACGATGGAGAAGAGCCACGGACTCCTCCCACAAAGCGCCAGAAGTCGTCGTCCTTCGACGCATCGAAACTCTCGAGCGTTTCTTTACCGCGTACTCCTGCACCACGACAGCGGTCGAAGGTGGTCAACACCTCTTCTGCCGCTAAGCGACGAGCTGTTAGTGAGGTAGAGGACAACGAGGAAGAAGACGAAGATGATGAAATCCAGGTTTCCAGCTCGCCGATAAAAAGGTATTCTATCTCTTCGACTTATGATAGGAATGGTATATACCCTCCTATATATACCATCCATACTTGTGGACACGATATACTAACTTGTCTTGATATAGTGCGCTCTCTCGCGACCGGGTATCAAGCTACTTCTCCCCTCTCTCACTCTGGAAGTCGTGGCGCGGATCGTCTTCCGCTTCAGCAGCATCTGCTGACGCAGTCTCATCCGGTCCCGGCAGAGAGGAAGAGAAAGGGAGAGGAGTTAGAGCGACCAGAGCTGTGCGCGACGCCCGCGCCTCTCGACAACAGTCAACGGCAGTGCTCGCTGCTCGGAGTAACGAATACAGAGTCGGCAAAGCAGGCAGGTCGCAGGGTGTCCAACACCGGACATCATCCTTCAATGGACGACGAAGCGCGGAAGAAGAGGAAGCATACGACGAACTTGCAAGCACGCCCAGCCGCGCGCGAGGTCTCGCCTACGTCCTCGAGAAAATCGGTCTCAGACTTCCTTGGCAAAGTTGAAGCGTTTGAGCGCGCGTGTGACGATGACGTTGACGATGAGTTGTTGGCGGCGATGACGGCGGAGCAGAGGAAGAAGTTGCAGGGAACACTGCTGAAGATGATGATGAAAGTGCATAGGATCTGAAGCGAGGGGATAACCGGCGTTATAAGTCATTTTATTTTAGAAAAAGCTGTTTTATGTTTTATACCTGTATCTATGTTTGTTTTAGTTTAGACATGAGGTATAGTGAAATGTGTGCATTCGGAGAGGGATAATATAATAGCATGTTTTCCAATTTCTCGATTGAGTAGTTTAGCAGGTTCTGACGCACTGTGCGGCGCAGGGCACGCGCGTGTGTCGAGGGAAAATAAAAGTTTGAAATGTACTGATATCCAGCGATAAAACTACGCTGTTCATTATCCCCCGTATTCAAGCGCATGGAGATCCTTGCGCTGCGTCAACTTTGCAAACGACAGAATTAGTTTGCGCGGAGGAAGATCTTCCAAGCGGAATTGATAAAACACAGAAGAAGAAGAGGAAGAACGGTGCGAACGAGACGAAAGCGAGATGCCAAAGTTCAGTAACTTGTTTGGCGCGAGGACATACGCGACCAAAACCCGGACATACTCTGTAAGTCTTACAAGACTCAACTCTTTAACAAAACAAGTGTATATGTGTGGGACCTGCGCTGACATTGCTGGGGTGGTGATAGGATGCGATCGAGGCTTTGAATTCGCTGCAGACTAATTTTGCGACGTTGGAGGCGATTCGCAAGTCGCAAAAGAAGTCGCAGGCGCTCGCGATTCCGGAGATGATTGAATGGACGAGACGGATAGGGTATAAGGTATTGTCTATAAGTGATCATGAATATATGGGGAGACAATGAACGAGTTGGCTAACAGAGCTGGTAGCCGTCTGACCTTGATAAACTAAACATCATCCACGTCACCGGAACGAAAGGTAAAGGCTCGACATGTGCGTTCACGCACTCAATATTAGCCCGCTACGTTCCGTCAGTTCTCTCAAAGATCGGTCTATACACCTCGCCCCATCTCAAGTCCGTGCGCGAGCGAATCTCAATCAACGGCCGTCCGCTGCCGGAAGAAGCCTTTGCGCGGTACTTTTTCGAGGTCTGGGATCGTCTTGAGAGTTCGTCGTCGCCGTCGCCGGAGGAAGATGAGCGGTTTGCAGCGATGGGAGCTGGCATGAAACCCGTGTATTTCAGGTTTTTGACGTTGCTTTCGTTTCATGTGTTTTTGTCGGAGAAAGTTGATACTGCGATTTACGAGGTCGGAATCGGAGGGGAGTATGATTCTACGAATATTATTGAGCGGCCGACGGCGGTGGGGATCTCGAGTATTGGGATAGATCATACGAGGGTGCTGGGATCGACGTTGACGGAGATTGCGTGGAATAAGGGAGGAATTATGAAGACGGGGACAAAGGCGTTTAGTGTTGAACAGCCCAAGGAGGCATGGGACGCACTGCAAGGTCGAGCTGACGAGAAGAAGGTAATTTACTCTGATGCAGAATATCTGGGCATACACGGTTGATTAACAAAAGGTTCTGTCTAGGTTGAATTGGTAGAGGTACCAGTCCACCCGATCGTGAAGCAAACAAAACTAGGCATCGACGCCGACTTCCAGCAGATCAACGCCTCGCTCGCCGTCTCTCTCGCCCAGCAACACCTCACCGTTCTCGGACACCCTCCGAGCCCGGCCTGCGACGCGACGTCGTTAAACGACGAATTCCTTGAAGGTCTCAAGACCGCCTCATGGCCCGGTCGGTGTCAGACGATAATCGAGCCGGGCGAGAAGAAGAAGCTTGAATGGCTTATCGACGGCGCACACACGGACGAGAGCATCACGGTCGCGACCAAGTGGTTTGGCAAGAAAGCGAGGAAGGACTCGCGCAAGGTGCTGGTGTTTAATCAGCAGACGCGGGACGCGGGGTCGCTTGTTGGCAAGCTGCATTCGATTTTGGGAACAGATGTGACTTTTGATGAGGTTGTTTTCTGCTCGAATATTACGTGGTCTTCGGGGGATTATCAATCAGGTGTGTTTTTTTCTGCTTTTTATATCGGAGTGGAAGTGGCTAACATGCATATGCACCGGCAGAACTGACGTCGATGAACACATCCGAGCAAGAAGTCCGTGATCTGGTGGTGCAGAAGCAGCTCGCAGAGCACTGGGCCAAGCTTGATCCTGGCAGTAAGCCGACTGTCGTGCGCACGATCGAGGAAGCGGTCAAGTACGTGCGCGGGCTGGAGTACGACGATGTGCAGGTCTTGGTGACGGGCAGTTTGCATCTCGTGGGTGGGCTGCTTGTGGTTCTTGAAGGACGCTGAGATGGTTGTACGATAGTAATTAATAATTAATGTAGAGCATTTCTTTTATTTTTTCCGCTTTTTTTGGTGCTTTGATTATCAGCTGGTGTGGTAGGAATAAGGACGCAAGGCGTAGCTCCGGACGGGGTATAATCCCGCAGGCAAGCCGTGCTGGATCTCGGTGACCAGCAGCTCGAGACCGGCCATGTGGAAGATTGAACGGAAGGAAGAGTCTGATCTTGTTACCGAGCTGTCTGTGCTGTCGAATTCGTCTTCGTCTGTTGATGTATTGTTTTCCTGCAGACGAGATGGTCAGTCAAATCTATGTCGTGAGCAAAGAGATAGATCATCAAACGCCCTACCTTGACGAATATCAACCCCCCCTCAACCAAAGCCTCAGAACACCGCACCAGAAAAGCAACAAGATCTGTATCCTTGAGCTGTCCAAGACACCACTGGCACCACACGAGCATGTACGAGTTCTTTGCGGGAAAGAAATCCTGCATGCCGACGCGGTGCACGTCGCCTAACTTTTCGGCTGCGCCCGCGTGCGCGAGCTCGACAGCGATCTGGTCCGCAAATGGGATGACGGGCTCGACGAGGTCTACTTTGTCGCAGACCTGGGTGAGCACGTCGCGGGTTACGCGTCCGATTCTGAAAGGGCGAGAGTGCGTTAGTATATCGAGCTCTCTAGTAAAGACAGGAACGAGAGATAAAACATACCCGGCGCCAACGTCGCAGCCACGCTTAACAACCGCAGCATCGCCCGCGAGTGCGTCAAAAGCAAGCACTTTCCTCCGCACAGAGCGGATGAACTGTAGAGATCCGCGGACGTCGGTTCGCGGCAGGGAGGTGTGGCCGAATCCGCCGAGAACGCCGTCGACGGTCGCAGGGACGGTTGTCCAGTAGTCAATCGCGTCGGAGTAGGAAATTTCAGTGTCTGGCGCTCCGTCTGCGCTGTTGTTGTTGTCTTGGGTGGACATGGTGGTGAGTAGTTGTTGTTGTTGTTGAATATATTTACAATAAGAGAAATATCTGGCTTTGAGGAAAGCACCGCCACGACGCGGCTGGAGAGTGGCTGGTGCGAACGTTTCGTTCTGCCGCGCTCTTCTCCTCGACTCGCTCGCTGGCTGATGACAATACTCCCTGCTCTGTGATCCCGCACACTTGTCCTGGTTTTATATATTTCCGCAATCATCTTGTTTGAGAGATATAGTCAGCTTTACGTTCTGAAAGAAGAAACAGATAAGCTCGTCTGCATACGGAATTCAGACAGACAGGAAGACACGTCAGCTTTAGTCGTTTGATATAATCGTGGTTTCTCGTTGAGCATCAGCCGATCTTGATCTAATCCAATATAATCGAAAACAACAATGTCGAGTACGTTATCGTTTGCTGGGATTCGTTGATTTGATGAACATGGCTAATTGGAGTTGTGGGGTGCAGATAGCGCAGGCTTTGATCGTCACATCACGATCTTCTCGCCCGAGGGACGGTTGTATCAAGTTGGTATGTGTATCTTGAATACTCTAGGTATGACTAGTGGAGCGAGGGCTGATGATTTGATTTGTAGAATACGCGTTTAAAGCGGTTACAGCTGCAAACATCACATCGATTGCCTTGCGAGGAAAGGATTGCGCGGTCGTGATTTCACAAAAGAAGGTGCCTGTATGTAATCCATAACGCTTGATGAGAAGAAGATGGAGAGGAGCTAACGATGCTGTATTGATACTAGGACAAATTGCTTGATCCGGAGTCGATCAGTTATATCTTTCAGATTTCCCCCGGCATCGGAGCCGTCTTGACGGGACAGATCGGTAAGAATACAATGACGCTGACGGCAGCATTACACAGAACCAAGCTAACAAAATCTAGCTGATGCGCGGGCTGCGGTGACGAGAGCACGGTCAGAGGCCGCGGAGTTTTGCTACAAGTACGGCTACGAGATGCCGGCGGACGTGCTGGCGAAGCGGCTTGCAAACATCAACCAGGTGTACACACAGCGCGCGTACATGCGACCGCTGGGGGTTGCGATCACGCTTGTGTCTGTGGACGAGGAGTTTGGGCCGCAGCTGTACAAGTGCGATCCGGCGGGGTACTATGTTTCGTACAAGGCGACGGCGACGGGACCGAAGCAGCAGGAGGCGATGAATTACCTGGAGAAGAAGTTGAAGAAGAAGGAGTGCGCGGAAGGGGAATGGGAGGCTGTTGTCGAGCTTGCGATCACGGCGCTGTCGAGTGTGCTGAGCGTTGATTTCCGGAAGAACGATATCGAGATTGGGGTTGTGGTGAAGGGCGACGAGGGCGAGGAGAGCCGGTTCCGGAAGTTGACGCCGGACGAGATTGACGAGCGGCTGGTTGCTATTGCCGAGAAGGATTAGTTATTGTTGTTGCGTATAGTTATTGTCGTTATTAGATAAGAATGAATAAGGGACAATGATCCTGACCGCTACCAAGATGCTGGGATCCAGTTAGGTTTAAAGGTTCGTTGTAGCCTCATTCTGCAGAGAAGAGGCCGCGGTGGGGTTTTCCTGCGTTTTTAACGGTCTTCATAGCAGTGGAGTAGTTTATAGAAAAAGAATTGAGTCATAGGATACGGTGCAGATAGAAGAGGCGAGTTTGCATTAATCAAATAGTCGAAAATGGCAGCTGCAGCAGCGGGTCTACCGAGACAGGTGGTGCGCGTCATGTATGTATGTGTATGAGCAAACAGCGTCATGCGGTGTAGAGTTTTGAATTACAAAGCAGAAAGATGAGATAGAAGAGTAATGAATTAAGAAGATAGCAAAAAAAGACATATGAAAGACGGGATCATCGGGTGGTAGCAAGAGCTGTAGCAACGGAGGGCGGCGCGGCGGCGGCAGCGGCGACGACACGTCTGCGGCCGCCTCGGGTGTAGAGTAGCGGGCCGCGGATATTTGGGAGGATCTCGATGCGGGGGAATTCTCGGAGCGCAGGGTCTTCTTCGTTTAAGAGGAAGAGCTCGATTTCGTGGACGAGGGCGCGGACCTGGGCGAATGAGAGCGCGCAGGGTGTTGTGCGGGTGGATGTAGAGGAGGAGGATGAGGAGGAGGAGGAAGACGGAGGAGAGCAGACGGAGTCGATGTATGCGCTGAGGTAGTGCGCGTGCGGAGAGGACGAGCGGTCGAGCGCATCAGCAGCGACGGGGGTGATTCGGGGAGCTAATGGCGGGCTGTCGTCGATGCTGCTGGTGGAGGACGCGCTCGAGCGGCGGCGGACGAGGCGGGGCTGTTTTGGCTGGGTGCGGGAGACGGTGAAGTTGAGGACATGGCCCCATGCTTCGAGCTTGTCGAGTTGCAGGAGGACGAGGCGGGTTTGTAGGAGCGGGAATTTGTCTTTGCGGTAGGATTCTCTGGAGGATGTGTTAGTCGTTGGGAGATTAAAAGGGAGGAAGAGGAAGAGAGATACCTTTGATAGTGACGCCGGCAGACGGTGACCCAGACCGAGTCCGGGATAGCGAGGGTCTGGCGCTTATTACGGCCAAAGATGTGCGAGATGACTTTGCGGTTCGGGCCCTGAGCCGGGGACTGAGCGAGGATGATTGGCGAGGGCGAGGGAGAGTTGAGGGAGTTGTAGGAGGAGAGGACGGAGAGCGGGTGGATGTCGACGTCGTTGACGATGTCTTTGATGCGGATGCAGGAGTTTGAGCTGGAGAATGGCATGGCGGAGATGGGTTGCAGGAGTGAGTAGAGGTTGGATTAGAGAATGATGAGGATGATGAGAATAAGAGGGGGATTGGGAGAGGAAGGGCATGGCGATGGATATAAAAGATGAAAGAGTGGATGAGATGAGATACGAAGCAGCCTCATATTTGGCCAGTACAAATGCCGATACCAGCGCCAGCAGCACCAATATTTGCAGCAGCGAGTACAAATAAAATGGATATGACGTATAATTATTTCGTCTATTCAAACAGCATCTACTGGTATTATAATCAGTGGCATCCACGGGGAGATCAAAGAGATATCAGAAATCATCTGACGAGGCCCACTACGAGGACGTCGAAGCTGCAGGATGCGGGAGTACTTTTAGACTCTGCTTCCCTGCTGCGGAGAACCACCCGCACTGTGGGGCCCTCTCCCTATTCTCTACTGCTGCTGCTGCTGCTGCTGCTACTGCTTAGTGCAAACAGAAACTATCAGAATCATGATTTTATACACACAGAATAATCCAGCACCAGCTCCCCATGGATCCTTGAGATCAGGAAGACACGATAGAGACTGCGGATTAGGGGACGCTTACAGTTCGGCTAATTAATAGTAAAACCCGCCTCAGCGAACAGACCCACTTTAGTCCCTGGTTCTTATCCTTATCTATTTTCCTCTCTAATATTTGACGATCCCTTTTCACTGTTGCTGTTGTTGTTGTCGTGTTCAAAAGTGCACTGCCGGGCTCTTCTGCTACACTGTTGCGCTGTTCGTCGCGGGGCAGTCGTGCTACTGCTGTGGTACCGTGGTACTACTGTAGTACTGTGCATGCACCTGCGCTGCACCCTCGCTGCACCCACACCTGTCCTATATCGATCGACATTTACCTTTCATTCTTCTCCTTTTTGTTTACTTAATTCCGCTTCGCTTTTAATTTCATCACCCAATTGCTCCTCCGCCGACGATAGATAACCAACTAGTCGAAATCACAATCTTGAACTACACTAAAAACTTAACTAAACACGCTACACGCTCTCGCCTACTCGCTAAACCAAATCCAACCTAAACTCATACGCGCTCGCCACTCTGGCTCCGCTCCTCCAACGCCCGCACGTCTGAAATCACAAACCCACACACCGCCCGCTCAAACACCTCAGCGATGTGCGCCACCACCATCTCCGCCCGGCGCCCGCCAATCGACCCTTCGCGCGCACTCACCTGCCGCCGCGCCTCCCGCAGCGCGAGCCCGTGCTCAAACATGATTGCCAGCACCTGCACGTACTTTGAAAACGGCCCGTTGAGCACGTCGTCCCGGATCTTGGTGCTCACCCGCGACATCTCCCGGTCCATCACGTTCACCATCCCGTTCGGCATGCTTATCTGATTCGGCGCGCCCTGCGGCTGCGGCTGGCGGTAGCTGCTCGACTGCATACTCGTCGCGCACGACGACGACGACGACGACGACGACGACGACGACGACGATCCCCGTGACTTTAGCAGACTTCGCCAGCCGCTGCTGCTACCGCTGCTCGAGCCCGACTTCTTACGCGGTGGCGTGGTCGTGATTGACGAGGTCGGCGTCGCGGGCCCGGCAACACCGCTACTACTCCCACTGCTCACGCTGCTGCTCGACGGGGTACCCGCCGACAACATTGCCAGCTCTGGCCTCGACGACCCCGCCTCTGCTATACCTCCAAATTCACGACCGTAGCTCGATCGCGCTCGGTTTGAGTAAAGATCGCCGGTGGAGAAACTACTACCTGTCGACTCGCGGCGCTTCGCAGCCGCCGCCGCCGCCGCTCCAGCAGTGCCCGCCGCCGACGACGATGACGACGAAGACGAAGAGGTTGAGAGCCGCTGACCTGCCGCCGAAGCCGAGGCCGCGCTGCTGCTGCTGCTGCTGCCGGATTTCAGTCTGCCGTTCAAATGAGCCTCAATCATATCGATCACGCGCTCGACTTTTGTCAACCGCGCCAGCGAGGGCTCGCTCTCAAACTTGAGCATCTCGACAATCACCAGCTGGCAGCACACGATCTTGTCCGCCATCGCGGGTAAGCTGCCCGTCTCGCTCGTGAGGAAGAGCTCGGGCGACAGCCGGAGCGGTCGGTTGGCGACAATCATGCCTCCAACAGGTGACGTCAGCGCATCCAGGATCTTCTCCATCTGCCAAAACTGCCGCTGCAGCACGCCAAACGTCGCAGGAGGAGGCTCCAGCACAGTCGTCATTGTCGTCATCGTCGTCGCGCCCGCGTCGGATGCCAGCAAAAGACCCTTCGCGCTCCCGCTGCTGATACTGCTGGCATCGTCGCAGCTCGCGCGACCCGAGCTCACGCTCACGCTCGCGTCGCCGCCAAACGTCATCCGCGAAATGTCGTCGAGCAAAGACCGTCTGACCTCTCCATCCGATGCCACAGAAGCCGCCGACGACGTCGTACTCGGCGACGCGTTCACGCCCGAGCCGGCCGTCGCTGACTGCGGCGGGACGGCCGCCGTCCTCATCACGCGCAGGGGGAGCTTCGCCTCCCGCCGCGGCGTCGCCAGCAGACTCGAGTTCTGCAACGAGCGGCCGCCAGCCGGCGGTGGCGGCGACGAGGACTGTCTGTGCCGCGGCGATTGAGGCGGGAGCGACATGCGGTAGCTCGAACTAGTCCCGCCTGCCGCGCCCGCACCCCCGCTTCGTCGGTAGCGGTGCGTGTCTTGCTGCTGCGGGGTGCTGGTGAAGGAGGTCGAGTAGCGGTCTTGGAATTCTTGAGAGGGGGTCGAGAATTTGGTGAGGCTTTCGAGCTTGTAGGATGCCTCGGTTGAGCCGGGGGCGGGGAGGGGAGGAAGGTCGCGGTGGCGCCAGGCTGGATCGGTTTGCGTTGCGGGAACTGCGTATTTGGGAGAGTCAAGAAGGGACTCGTTAATCTGCGACATGAAGAAACGTTAGTATGAGCTGATTAGAGATCTAAGACAAGAAACTCACCTTGCACGGAGAAGATGTCTTGCTAGTAGCAGCGCTCGTGATCTCGCTGCCGGCAAACTCATCCCCGTTATCATCAGAGTTGTAATCCAGAATCGGACTATCATCAGTCGACGACTTTGACCTCGTCTCCAAGCTCGTCTTTGACCCGTCCGCCGTAGACAAATCAGCAGTCGCAGCAGCACCACCAGCAGCAGCTACAGGCGGATGACAAAACCTCGCTTTCGCAATCTCGAGCTCGAGATCAAACTCCGTCATGATCTCCTCATGCGGTAGTTGCTGCTGCTGACGATCATTTCCTGGCGCGGCGGTTTCGTCGGCGATTTCGCGCGCGCGGTTGTCGAGGTAGTTGAAGAGTACCTGCGGATTCTTGCGCTGCGGGAAATCAAGCGGGTACAGTAACTTCTCGTCCGCGTCCTCGTCATCGTCGTCGTCGTCGTCGGCGGCGGTGGCTGGATCTGCGTCTGCGTCGCTTGCGAGCGAGGCTTTATCGCTTGGGTCGTAGAAGATGGAGGGCGAGTGCGTCGAGGATGGTCGCGCTGGCGTCACTGCTGTCGTAGTCGTTGTAGTAGTAGTAGAAGTTAGGGTGTCGTTGTCGTCCGGGGAGGGAGTTGGCGGGGAGTCTTGCTGCGATGTGCTGCATGTGATTTCAAGTTCTCCGATGCGAAGCGCGTAGACGTCGAACTGCACGCTGTTGTGTTAGTTTGTACTGTAAATGAAGTGAGAAGAGAGAAGGAAAGAACGTACGATGCTGCGAAGGCGTTCGCGTTCAGATGTCTTGTGCGATTGCTCGACGACGAGTTTTAACAGCTTGCAGGCTTCGATGTATGCTACCCGCGCTGTTTCATAGTTTTAGTCTCAGATCGATAGATGTGTATAAGACGAAGAAGAAGGGTGACTTACCCTCATGGGCTTTGAGGTCGTTATCGAGAACGACGGCTTCGTTTGCTTTGCGCAGCGCGCTCAGTAGGAGTTTTCGATTCGCGGAGGGTGAGGAGGAGGAGGAGGATTGTTTTGCGTTGGAAGTGTAAAGAACCGGGGAGGGAAGAAGAGCGCCGTCGGCTGGGGTCTGCAGTTGTTGCTGCTGCTGCTGTTGGAGGAGGATCATTTTGGAGAATTGGGAGAGAAGGGAGGAGTCTGATGAGGAGAGGGTTGAGGTTTGCAGAGAGGGAGAGGAGGGGGGGATTGGCTGCTGATCTGAGAGCGGAGCCGTTGCAGATGCCATGTGTAGAGACTGTATAGGAGTGAGAAAAAGAGAGCGGAGGAGGAGGAGGAGGAGGATGAAGGGCAGGCGCGCGGGGGCATGGAATTAGATATCTATATGCGAGCAACAGACCCGATCAGAACATCCCAACCACCACAAACCACCACCATCAACCCAGCCCTTAGAAAAGGGTAAACAAAACAGCCAAAAAGTCAACAAGACCGGGGCAAAAACAGTCGCAGAGGCCGTCGGGTAGAGTTGTCTGAAATGTGCAGGAAAAGGCAATTTGGTCGAAAGCGGAAGTTTTGTGAATCTGTGAATCTCCCCGGGGCGCCGATGCCACAGGTTTTCAGGGGGTAAGATTAAACTTTAATTGGGGGGGAAGGGGGATCTGGGATTTGGATCTGGTGGACGGGGAATAGTTAAGCGACGATTAGTGCTTTGGATCTTTGTGGATTGAGAGATAAGTAAGGATAATGATGATTAAGAAGATGATGTTGAAGTAGTTGACAATAAATCAGACATTCAAACAACAGCAAGAAGGGCAGAAAGATAGAGCAAAGACGAGCACACCCCTATTCAATCAAAAATCTTCCTCCTCTCCTTCTCGTTCTGACCGCACTCACTCTCGAGCTATAATTCCCGAGAAGAACGAACCCACCAGGCGCTGGATCACAACTAATAACTAAAACACTCATTCGATAGTGCTGTTGATATGAAATGCAGCTAATCTATCGTCGGTTATGCTCTCTCTCTTTTTTTTTTTATTAGATTGTTCTTGCGTCGGTGTCTTTTTGCGGTGTGTGAACGGAAAGCGTAAATGTAAACAGAGCAGCGCACCGCAGGTAATCTTTGTTTTCTATCTCTTGCGTTGGAGTATTTTGCATCAACCTCTCTTACCAGCTTTTTATCCGTCTATCTGGTTGTCAACATGTCATTGTCTTGTGTTTTTTACATCGCTGCAGGATATCCACTCTGGATCCGAAATCTCGAATCTCGGATTCACACAGATCTTCATCATCTTCTTCGTCTTCTTCTTCCCTCTTTTCTTCCTTCCGCCTTCCCTCCTCGCTATTCATAACTTCATTGCGTTAATCTAATGCACTTCGCATTGACCCGGGGGTACGCTCAGCTCGCGCTCTCTGCTTCAACTCACAGCGAATATCACACATCGTATCCCTCCCTTTATTTACATATAGTTACAAACCCGGCCTTCTTCCCCTTGTTTTCTTTATCTCTTTGAATCTTTCTCTTTCTCCGTGCTCGTTTGTGAATTCAACTCACAGATGGTGATCTAATTTCCGGTGTGTCAGAGTATACAGTCAGATCCAGACATCCCTCTCACCGCCCCTGTCTCCTTCCTTACTCTGCTGCATTCACAAGATCGCTGGCTAGAAGTACCTCGTTCACCAACCATCTTTCAATCATCGCATCCGCTTGCTTACTCACTTGCCTCTTGCACTACACCCGTGCTTGGCTCACTCACTACACATGAAACCCATACACTTTGTAATCTCGATCTCGAACTTTGATAATCGAAGCGTCTTTGATACGCCCCCTCTAAACACAGCCAGCATCTTATAATTCAATATATCTATAATACAATACACACCACAGATAACTAAACGACAAAACAACAAAACAAAATATAAAATACTAAAGGCGCGCCGGATTCATTCATTCTATTTACCCACCTTCTCGCTTCTCACTCCCGCATCTCAGCAGCAGCAAGCTCTTTTAAACTTGTAAGACAAAAACCAATCCAGACATGGCACCAACTCAACAGAAAACACTCTACTCCACACCCTAACTACTCTCCTGCGTCTTCACCCGTTTCCGCTCCGGCACCTGCACGATCTCGCCCTCGCTCTCGGAATCGCTGTCCTCGAGCTCGCCCTCCAACAACTCCGTGACCTCCTCAAACTTGCCGTTCATCAACTCGTTGATATTCTCGATCTCGGTCTTGATCACGTTCCCCAGCTTCTTCTTCGGGCCCTTGCCCGACGACCGGTCGCTGCTGCTGTTCCCGTTCCCGCCCGCGCCAAAACCACTGCCGCCGCCGTCCGCGCCAGCAGAGGTCGCGGAGTCGTAGGAGTACACGCGCGAGTTTTTGTAGTACCAGTCGATGATGAACTCGTCCATGATCGGCATAATCGGATGCAGCGGCTGCTTGCCCGCAAACGTGATGCTCGTGCGCATCCGGCTCCGCACCTCGCGGTGGCCGAGCAAGTACACCACGCCCGCGGACGCGTCGCCGACGGAGATGAAGGCGAAATTCTTCGCGTCCGATAACTCGAGATAGTTGTCCCACACGTATATACACAGGTCCTGGATCGCCGCCTGCGGATTCAGCCCTTCGTCGTCCTGGTCCGTGTAGTGCTCCGGCGCGTTGATGTCGACGACGCCGTACCCGCGCTCGTACGCCCACTGCACGTACTTGCGGCAGCAGTCGAGCATGTACGTCTCGTGCAGACTGATCTCGCCCGTCACCGAGTCCGGCTCGGCCCAGAACTGCGGCGGGTCGTGCACAATCACCACGATCGTCTTCGTCGACTGGAACCCGGGCGTGCACAGCACCTGGTCCTCGAACGAGCGCGAGACGCGGTCCCGGAAAATAGGCAGCGCTGTCATTGAGAAACTCGTAAACAGCTGCACGGCCTGGTACCGCCTTATAACGTCGTGCAGACGCTCGGCTGCCGGCGCACCCGGCAGGTCCTTGATCGTGCGCCCGATCTTCATGCACCGCCAGTACTGCGCCTGCATCTTAATCACATTATCGACCGTCTGCACAGCCTCGTGCTGCGCGTACATGTTTGTCAGCGGCAGCGGCGCGTCGCCAATCAGCACCTTCACCACCCCGAGCGCAGAGGTCGCGATCGAGTCGAGATTATATCCACCCTCGAGCACGACCGCGAGCTTTCCAGACGCAAGCGACTTGAGCATGTGCGTCATATGCCCGTACGCTGCCGGCGTCACAAAGCACCCGCCGAGCTCGTCGCCGGGCGCGGCGTCGAACCCGGACGACAAAATCACGAGATCGGGATTGAACTCGAGCGCGATCGGCATCACCACGCGCTGGAACGCGTAGATGTAGTCGCCGTCGCGCATGCCCGCCTTGGGCCACGGGATGTTTACGTTCCTGCCTTCGCCCGGCCCTTCGCCGCACTTGTCGTAGTCGCCGAACGGCGTGCCGGGGTAGAACTTGCCGCCGTCGTGGCGGTGGAGCGAGATGTAGAGCACGTTCGGGTCGCTGTAGAACGCGCGCTGCGTGCCGTTGCCGTGGTGGATGTCCCAGTCCAGGATCAGGATCTTCTTGACCTGCTCCGGGTACTCTTTCAGAATCACGCGCGAGGCCACCGCGACGTTGTTGAACATGCAAAACCCGGCCGGCTTGCAGGGCTCGGCGTGATGGCCGGGCGGCCGCACGACGGCCATTGCGTTCTTGACCTTTTGCTCGACGACTGCTTTGCAGGTGTCGATCACGCCGCCGCAGCTGAGCTTTGCGCAGAAAAACGAGTCGTTGTTGAAATAGACCGAGTCGCCGTCGCGCGTCTCGTCCAGGAGCTGCACGTTCGACATCGCGGCGGTGCTGCGGATGAAGTCCCAGTGCTCCTTGCTGTGCGTCAGCGTGACTTCTTCCTCCGTGGCCTCGCGCGCGGGGATCGGCTGCATCAACTCAGACTCGATGTCGGCGTTGCCGCTCGCGCCCTTTTGCGAGACGAGGCCCGCATCCGAAAGCGCTTTGTAGATCCGGTACGTCCGTCGCGGGTCCTCGGGGTGCGGGTCCGTGTAGTCGGATTGGGAGTTGACGACTTTGGCGTGGTACCGCATGCGCACGTCGTAGCAGAGACCGGTCTTGAGCGCGACAAAGGGGAGCGGGTTCGGTTTGTTGGATGAGGATTTGAGTTGCAGCGCGCCGGAGGGGCGGCTGTGGCCGACTAGGGAGGTAGTCACGCTACCGTTCGAGGCCGCCATTGTGTGGGTAGATGTGTTCTCTGTTCGAAGAAGTGAAGATGTTTACTCCTCTGAGTAGAAAAAAGAGTTAGTAAGTGCAATTGTGAGATGGTGCGAGGAACATCCGCTTGCGTTGATCTCGAGATGCATCGACGCAGATGCACCCCTCGTTATGTGGAGAACAGTCAAGTCAACTGCACTATAACAGCAACAGCAAGCAACAGTAGTCCAGCAGATCACTTCACATGTCCAAACCACCAACGGCAGAAAAGAAAGCGAGCAGAAATCAGAGCGACACTCTAATGTAGACACTTACTCGAGGAGATCAAAGAATACGGCAGCCCACGCGTGAGAAGCAATAGACCACTGTTCAGTCCTGCTGCAAAACACAGAAAGCAAAGTAAAGCACTCAAACACACAGTCGCAGTGCGTGTATATGTACTCGCGCTGATGGGTTCTATAAGAAACTCGCGGGGGCGGGGATAATGGGGGTTCAGGTGGGTGTGCGGAAGAGAGAGGAGGGTGTGAGAGGATCTGAGGTTAGAGTTTGGTCTGTCTCCGGCGCCGCATGATTATTAAGTGGATTAACCACCGGAGAACACCATCGACTTACTGTTGACTATAACTGACTTCTAAAACATATTGTACTTTACGAGAATGAATATAATATAATAAGAATATCTGCTTTTATTTTTCCATTGTTTCCAGCTCTTGAGCTTCCATCACGACACATCCGACCAGCAGACTGAATCGTGATCTCAAGTCTCAAGACACGCTGGAACCAGACTAAATCTTCTGGACTAAACAAAAGCAACTCATGAATATAAGTAGAAAAAAAAGAGAAGAAAAAAGAGGAGTGGAGAATCGAAGACGATCGATAGATCGTAGGTAGAAACTTGATCTCAATTCGTTGTTAAGTATATGTGTGATGATTATTTTTTCTTTATATTTTGCTTGCGAGACTATCAAAGCCGCGACAGACATTCAACGAATTGTGAAGAGGTGTGGAGAGAGATTTAGGCGCTGTCGACACCAGCGATGTAGACGAGCAAGTCAACAACACGGGCAGAGTATCCGTACTCGTTGTCGTACCACGAAACGAGCTTGACGAACTTGTCGTTGAGGGCAATACCGGCCTTGGCATCGAAGATGGAGGAGTGGGTGTCGCCGACAAAGTCCTGGGAGACGACGTCGTCCTCGGTGTAGCCGACGATTCCCTTGTAGTTGGTCTCGGAGGCCTTCTTGATGACGGCCTTGATCTCGTCGTAGGTGGCGCCCTTCTCGAGACGGACGGTCAAGTCGACGACGGAGACGTCGGTGGTGGGGACACGCATCGACATACCGGTGAGCTTACCGTTGAGGGAGGGGATGACCTTGCCGACGGCCTTGGCGGCACCAGTCGAGGAGGGAATGATGTTGCCAGAGGCGGTACGGCCACCACGCCAGTCCTTGTGCGAGGGACCATCGACGGTCTTCTGGGTGGCGGTGATGGAATGGACGGTGGTCATGAGACCCTCGACGATGCCGAAGTTGTCGTTGATGATCTTGGCAAGGGGAGCGAGGCAGTTGGTGGTGCAGGAGGCGTTGGAGATGACCTCGTACTCGGTCTTGTAGGCGTCAAGGTTGACTCCGCAGACGAACATGGGAGCGTCAGCGGAAGGAGCGGAGATGACGACCTTCTTGGCGCCACCAGCAAGATGGGCCTTAGCCTTCTCGGTAGTGGTGAAGACACCGGTGGACTCGACGACGTAGTCGGCACCGACGGAGCCCCAGGGGATGGCAGAGGGGTCACGCTCGCCAAAGACCTTGACCTTGTGGCCGTCGATGACGAGGGTGTCAGCCTCGGCGGTGACGGTGCCCTTGAAGCTGTGGGATTGTTAGCATATGTCTCGATAAAGAGATATTGCTCGAGGAGAGGGAGAAACCCTAACGCAATGCGTGGCTGGCTGCATTGATCTGCATAGGCTTGCCCTATGAAGTCAATGCGGAGCAGAAGCAATGCGCCCATGATGAGGATCACAAAGATCACAGATCAATGGCTCGGATGAGATATAGAAGATAGAAAGAGGAATTGATACGTACCGGCCGTGGGTAGAGTCGTACTTGAACATGTACGCGGCGTACTCGGGATCGATGAAGGGATCGTTGACGGCAACGATCTCGACGTCGTCACGGAGAAGGGCGTTTCTGAAGACCTGGGAGGAGTTAGAGAGGGTTGAGAGAGGGATTGAGAAGGCGATTGAGGTGTGTCGAGGGTGCATGAGGATCAAGCAGGCAGCGACGGCAGCTCAAGTGGGGCACAGAGAAGAGAAAGAGAGACTTACGATACGGCCGATTCTGCCGAATCCGTTGATTCCGACCTTGACAACCATTGTTTAAGATAGAGAAGTAATAGAGAAGAGAGAGAGAGAGAGAGTAGAGAGAAGAACAAGTCTGAGGAGGGAAAGAGAAAAAGAGAGGAAGAGAGCGAGAGAGGAAGGCGAGAGACTAAATACGCGGCGGGCGGCGGCCTGCGGAAGGGCAAAGTGAGGTCATTCGCACCGCCACATTACCCATCACCGAGGCGGTGCAGGAGGTCACCCCCGCCGCACCGCGCGACCGCCGCACGCATCCGAAGGCGAGAAGTGGACGCGGTTCGGCGGGGTCGAGAGATCACGGAGCCGATGAGGAGATGATGAGATACTCAGCCAAATGGAGGAGAGGAAGAGGAGGGGAGAAGGAGTGGTGAGGGCAGCAGTCAGCACCGCCGCAGAGAGCGAATGAGCCATAAAGTGCGCCACTCCACCATCGCGAGTTGGCTCAGGCTCAGTGCTGATTGGCCGTGGTTTTAGAGAGACTTCCTTCAGTTAAGAGCAGTCAAGAGCTACGGTGAACTACATAGTGAAAGAGATTCAGACATCTTCTGCAGATGTTCTATGAGATCTCTCATAAAAGACAAATCTACTAACCGCAGACAACAAACACCGGCGGATCCAGCATTCACCACGCCGGCAGCATCCGACGCAGCCAATCAGCACCGAGCACTGCCCGTCGCCAGCGGTTAGTTTAAGATTGCAGCAACAATTTTCAGATAAACAAACCCGCGCTTGCGATTCGCCGGGCGCAGACTGAGAAATACTCGAGAGAAGTAGCTCGCAGACCAGCCCAACAGAAGGAGCACGGGCACTGGTGGTTGATGTCAGCCTGGGGTTTGTACTGTGTGTGTCTGAGTGCGAGCTCTCTGCTGTGTCTCTGCTCTGTGACTGTCGGCGGTGGTGCTGACTGCTGACTGCTGCTGCTGCTGCTGCTGCTGCTGACTGCCGACTGGGGTTTGTGTGATTACTCAGCGGTCAGCAGCAGCAGCAACAGCAACCGCAAGAGCAAGCAGGAGCAGAGCAGAGCAGGTGCAGAGCAGGAGTAAAAGAGCAAAAGAACAACAGAAGGCAGAACAGCGGGCAGGCGGCAGTTAAATAGTCGCAAGGCCGTCCGCCCGCTCAGAGGCCGGGTGCGGGATCGCTGCCTCTCCACCGCTTCCTCTCCCGACGTCCTCGGAACGGCACCGGACGCCTGTCTCTGTGCACTCTTCCGATGTCCGTCGGCTGTGTGTGTGCCTCTCTCTACTCTCTCCTCTGCTCTCACCCCGCTCTGATTACTTTCTTTACAGCTCCGACTGCCTTCGACTGCCATCGCGGCTGATCGACGATGCCGCGTCTCGGCTGGACTGCTCCCACCTTGCTCTCTCTGCTCTGTCTTCTTTTATCTACTATCATCATCTGCATCTGTCTACTATCTGCTCTGTGTTGCTCTCATATCATTACATCCGCCATCAATCACTGTGTCTGTGGGCATCAATCCGATCATTCTCGCTCCATTATCGTCCTCCCCGCCCCTGTCCCGGCCAGGCCTCACAACCTGCTCATCTCCACATCTCCACATCTCCACCTCCACTCCACTTCACCTGCCATCCCCGCCTTGTTCTCGCTCTGCTCTCCGTCGGATCTGCGCTTTGTCTTCTCATCTGCTCTGCTCTGCTCTGCTCTGCTCTGCTCTCTGCTCTCCTCTGCCCTGCTCTACACTCTACCCTCCTACACCCCACCCCGCTCATCCTCTCTCTCCTTCTTCATCTTGTATCGTCGGCTCGCCGTTCTCCTCCTCTTTCGGCTCCTCTGCTCTCCTGACTGCTCTCCTGACTCTCCCCGCTCAATCCTCACTCACTCACCATCTCACCGCTCTGCCTCGCTCTCCCGACAATCACCCCGCACCCCGCCCATTCTCTCCTCCCATCCTATCCTCCCAATCCACCTCCTCGCTCGATTCGATCTCCGTCCGTCACCCGCTGTGGCTAGTGCCGCTCCCTCTCCCGCCTTCGTGTTGTTCTCTTTCCCCTTCCTGTCTTGTTACTGTTACCTGCCCTTCATAGCCAATCTTCTCCTCCTCGTCTGCTACCCGCTCTCTTCCGGATATCCTCTTTCTTCTCTTGTACTTCCGATGTCCTCTCCACCCCACCTACTATTTTTATCTGCTTTTTATCTGCTGATCTAGTTGTTCTATTTACCGTATGCTATAATGGCCGTAATGGCATATATCTTTACTGTAAATACAGCTTACATACCCCGCTGTCTACTTCCTCTCTCTAACTACTCTCAACTACTCTCACAACTCTACTCTACTCTAACTCTCCAATACAATTCCATCTTCGCATCACATATCGTAAACCTCCATTCACCATTCAAAACACTTCAAGCAATACTATATCAAGCAACACACCCACGCAGCATACAACCACATCCCATCCAGCACACTAACAGCACAGATGCTCTACTTCCGAATTAGGAAGTACCCTCGCACGCACCAGAACGCAATGCAGGAGATTCTCGCAAAGTTTTACGCTCATTTCGTAGTTGTCGACATACTGTATAAAGTCATTGGAAATAGCATGCTTTGACTATTATTCAGTCTGAGGGTCAGCAGAGACAATGTGAGCGTCTTCGTTGCTCTGACTGAATAGGTAATTACAGCTTATATCTGTCAAATTGCAATCCGCACCAACAGCAGACGCACTTGCTTTATATTACAGACAGCCTATCGTCCTCGGCTCTAGTATATTCCCTCAATTTTTCATAAACTTGAAAAAGACAGTGAAGAGAGTTATTCGCAGCAAATTACGACTAAAATGTTGAGAAATCATCTTATACGCGCACTCGCATAATCAGTATAATAGATTTCATTTATTAAAATAGCACACCATCCTCATCTCCACAATTTTCTCTCGACCCTCATATCCTCAAACTAAACAGCGACAACAGTCAACCACAGCAACTTACCACAAACAATCACTACATAATCCCAGCCTGACGAGCAAACATCGAAACTCAAACACTACAAACTTTAAACCACTCGCCGCAACAAACCTGCAAAAAGTCACGGTCGCGAGTAATTCTGAAATACAAAAAAGTAAATCAACCCTCATTGTTTTCGAAACTACTTGCACTACAAAGAGTCTGTGGGACACAGCAGATATTCTTTGATTGTGAACGATCAGAGTAGATATTCTACTGTAACAATAAAATGGCGGGTCTTGAGATTGTCATCGACGAGTTGCCAGAGGAGGAGACTGAGGTTTGTTTATTGATCTGTCGTCTGCTTCTTTTCTTGCTGGCTTGGGTTCTGATCGCGCGTCTGTTTAGGCATTTGGATTTGCGTCGCTTGGAAAAGATGCGACTGTTAGTCTGGAGAATCCGCTCGTTGAGCCGGAGTACTCGTCTAAATTACTCGCGATCGCCAACGGACGCGGGGTGTTTGCCGTTGCTGTCGCTTCCGGTACGCGACTCTGCTCTTTTTAACTATGCAATTATTATCTGGCTAACGGCGTATATAGGATTCATTATCGGCGACGTCAAGTCCATGCGCGCGAAATTCCTCGAATCAAACAAGACATATACCGCGCCTACCGTCCCGATCTCAAAAAAACTCAAGCATATCATATTCACTTCGAGCGAAGAGTTCGTCATCGCCGTCGACGTCGAGGGTTCGATAGCTTGCTACGCCGTCGACGAGGTGCAGACGACTCCTGGCGCGGCACCGGTGTGGTCTACCACCGGTCCGGAGATCATTGACGTCAAGGCTAGTCCGGGGATTGGCTCTGCTGTGGCTGCTTTGACGGCTGAGAATTCGATTTATCTGATTGATCTACAGCAGAAGCAGAAGCAGAAGATTGGTGATGGAGCATCCACGAGCTGTAAGTACCTCTAGCTTATCTGGTTTATAATTGTACTGACAGCAGTCTAGTTGATTGGACGGTCGACGGAAGTGGTCTGGTAATTGGCTCAAAAGAGGGCGAGCTGGTTCTTTACGACTTGCAAGGCAAAGCACAAGCTACGATTCCCCATCCCGGCGATGACGTCCCGCAAAAATACGTGTCGATGGTGTCCTGCATCAAACCTGATCAATTCCTAGTAATCTACGCCAACCCACCCGCTCCCGACGAGCACGAGTACAGCTACTTCACCGTCACAAAATCAGCTACTTCAACCACATTCTCAAAGATCATCGAACTATGCCCCCCCTTCGGCTTGACCTCGCGCAAAGGATGGTGGTACTCCATCCTCCTCAACAACTGGGCCCCCGAGCTCGCGCACATCCTCATCCTCGCCGCGACCCCCTCAATTGATCTCTCGCTGCTCACTCCCGAGCACTCATTCTTCCTCGTCGACGACACAAAACGCGCGACCTTACCCCTTTTCGATTCCGCAGACACCTCGCCCGCCGGCCTCGCGCTCGATCTCACCGCAGCCGACAAAATCCACGCGCCGCTGCCGTCGATTGACGAATGTGCGCCGCAGCCGATGGTGTGGTTGTTGAATAACCAGGGCCAGCTCAAGATCTGGAATTTGATGTGGTATGATGGGATCAAGGCGGGAAAAGCGGGGGTTGAGGGGGTTATGGAAATGTGCGAGGAGCAGATAAAGCAAGCAAAGAACGCAGCGCCGCTTTCGCTAGCAGTCGAGCAACAGCCGACAGCGACTGACGAGGGAGACGTGAACTCGACAACGACGTCGCCGCTGGGAAGCGAGTATGTTGATGTCAGCAAGCCTGGATCTGAAGACGAAAAGACTCCCGCGGAAAACTCCCCCGTGCTCGAGAACCCTGCTCCAGCACCAGCCGACAGTGAAAAGAGCCCAGCCGCCGCAGAACCAGAATCAAAGCCTAAAGATACAACCCCAGTCCCCGCCGCGAGCGAAACCACAGAAAAATCACCAGCGCCGGCGTTAAATCCGCCCAAATTCACGTTCCAATCAACAACCACGACGACGACGCCGGCGACAACAACAACTACAAGCAAAGCCGAGACTAGCCTCTCGTCGCTGTTTAACGCGACAAAGATCGGAGCCGACGAAAAGAAAACACCGAGTTCCTCGCCATCGCTGGGCTCGGCGCAGTTCAAAAGCACGCCGTCGCCGGGGTTGGCTGGCTTAGCGGCCGCGGCTTCGGAGTCGCCCAAGTCTTCTTTGTTTTCGAGGTACGCGGATGCACCCCCTCTTGGCGCTGGATCATCTACGACGTCGTCGGGGGCAAGCACGCCAGCGTTCGGACAGGGTGCACCAGCATTTGGCCAGTCAGGATTCGGCCAACCTTCACCCTTCGGCCAACTCATGACCGGCGGCGGCAGCGCGCCTGCGTTCGGCCAGGCCTCGACGATAGGCCATGTCTCCTCCTCCTCCTCCTCCACGCCTGGGTTCGGCCAGTCCTCTGGATTCGGACAGAAGCCGGCGGCGAGTATTCCCGGGTTCGGAGCGAGTCCGTTCGGACAGGTTGGCGGGAGCACGTTCGGTAGCGGGTCGCCGTCGCCGTTTAGTGCGGCGGCGGGGAGTGCGTTTAGTCAGTATGCGAGCGAGAATAATCCGCTGGCGAGTTTGGCGAAGAGTAAAGATAAGGCTGAGAAGGAAGATGCAGCAGGGGAGGGTGAAGACGCAGCGACGACGAAAGAAGAGAGTGCGGTGAAGGAAACTGCGCAGCCGAATCTGTTTAGCATCAAAGGCGCGGCGGCGACTTCGACTTCCACTCCATCTTCGACCGCGCCGGTGTTCAACTTCAACAAGCCAGCAGAGGCATCATCATCATCATCATCGACGCCAAAGACTCTACCATCATTCAAAGCCCGCACTCCAGCATCATCCGCAAAGAAGATCGGAAAGGAGAAAGCAGGGAACCAGTCACCTGGCGCGAAGAGACCTGGGGTTGCGCAAAAGCAGGGATGGGTTCATGATGAGAGCGAGGATGAGGATGAGAGCGAGGATCCTGATTATGAGTATGAGAGTCAGGATGATGTTGAGGAGGAATCTGGGGATGATGATGATGAGGACGATGAGAAGGAAGATGCGTCAGCGGCGGAGTCGACGGCGGGTAAGAGCGCAGTGAAAGAAACTGCAGCAACGCCGGCGCAGGCAAATCTGTTTAGCATCAAAGGCGCGGCGGCGACTTCGACTTCCACTCCTTCTACGACTACGCCAGTGTTCAACTTCAACAAACCAGCAGAGGCATCATCATCGTCATCGACGCCGAAGAACCTACCATCGTCCGCAAGGAAGATCGGAAAGGAGAAAGCGGGGAACCCGTCACCTGGCGCGATGGCGTTCGGAGCCAGACTTGGGACGCCGAAGCAGGGGTGGGTTCATGATGAGAGTCAGGATGAGGATGAGAGCGAGGATCCTGATTATGAGTATGAGAGTCAGGATGATGTTGAGGAAGAATCTGGGGAGGATGATGATGAGGTGGAGTATGAGGATGAGGATTATGACGACGAGGAGGAGGCTGACGAGGAAGATGATGTGGATGAGGAAGAGGGGGAAGAGGAAGAAGAGGAGGAGGACGCGCTAGCTGCGACCATGAAGAAGACCACAATCGCCCCCGCGAAATTTACAGGATTCGGCACACCAACGGTGCCGACGCCCGCCAAAGCACCGGGCCAGACCGCGACAAAAGAGCTGTCATCAGAGAAGGCGACTTCCTCGACTCCGGCCGTTTTTTCGTTTGGAAAGACAGCAGAGGCGGTGGCGGCTAAACCCACTCTGTTTTCTTCGTCTACTCAACCACCGGCTGTAAACGCAAGTACTGCAACAGAAGCAGACCCATCTGAGACTAAACCAACTCCCAGTCTATTCCCTTCATTGTCCTCTCAGTCTGCGGCCACGAAAGCAACCTCCGGCGCACAGAGTACTTCGCTGCCCTCGCCATTCTCGATTCTCAAACCGGCTGGAGGAGAGGAGAATACTATCGATCTGAAGAAGACCGATGAGACGAAGAAGGAAGAAATCGCGCCGAAGTTGCCTGGCTTTTCGAATCTTTCTCTAGCTCAGAGATCTGCGACGACATCGGTCATGAAGGATGCGTCGACGAGTCCGATTCTGCCGTCAGCAGATGAGGAGGAAGAGGAAGAGGAAGAGGAGGAGGAAGAGCCCGAGCCAGAACCGGTGCGCGAGAGTATACCGATCGTGCCGGAGTTTGTGGGTATGCACACCCGCCCGCTGACGGACGAAGAAGAAGACAACGCGGGAATGACGCGTGCGTTTGAGACCGTGTACGCGGATACCGAGTATGAACTCGACATTGTGCGTCAGAACGCGGAAAACCTGGCGACGTATGTGCGTGCGCACTCCGAGACTGCTCCGGCTGAGGACGAGGAGGAGGAGAAGACGGTCGAGGATCTGGCGAATGCGGAGGAGTGGCGGATGGGCGAGTGTGGTGCGATTACGGCGATGCTTGACGACGCGCTTGCGAAAGTGCGGGCGGAGAATGAGAGTTTTCTGGAGAGCGAGCGGACGCTTTATAAAGTTGCTACCGGTCTTATCAAGCGTATGTATCTTGATTATTTTCTGCTCTGGTGAGAGTTGTGCTAACGTGTTTGGGATTATAACAGTCGACAAGCGAATGCTGGTTGCAAAGGAAGTCACCCAGCAACGGTCGGATGAGAAATACCTCGCCCGGCTCAAACCCCGCGCGCTGCCTCCCGACGCGCAAGATCTGCAGCGCCAGATCCGTCAGAAAATGCGGACAGTCTACACCTCCCTCGAGAGCCTAGAGAAATCAAACACCGAGGCAAAGTCCAAGCTAAGCTTTGCGACCGCGCCGGGCTCGCCAAAGTCGATTAGCAGCGGTGTCGTGAGCGGGCAGCCGTCGATCGAGGGCGTGCAAAAGTCGATTCAGAGGATCACAAAGTACGCGCAGAGGCGGGCGCAGGAGGTTTCCACTGTGCAGAGGGAGTTTTCGCGGTTGACGATCGAGGGCAGCGCGACTGCGAACGCAGCGGGCGAGAACTGGGTGGGTTTCTCGAGTCCTAGTCGGTCGTCGCCTACCCCTGCTGCGCCGTCTACGCCGCTTTTGCATCTTAAGCTGAGCACGCCCGTGCGGGAAGTAATGGATGCTGCGGGGGGAAGTACACGGCGCCAGAGCATGTGGCTGTCGACGCCGGGGTCGGAGTCGCGCGGGGCGAAGGAGTCGCCGGCGAAAGTGGCGGTTGATCAGGAGATGGTGGATGAGTTTACGGCGCGCAAGAGGCTGCGGAAGAGGTTGCGCAAGATACTGGAGCAGAGAAGTGAGGAGACTTTGTTTACGAACGAGTAGGTCAGGTACATGCCCTATGACTGGATTTATTGCTATCATAGCCCACGACTATCAATAGATTTATCATCATCATCATCATCATCATCATCTCATCAATAAATTGTTAAAGCATCTCGAAGCACCATCGATATAAGCTACAGAAAACCCTAACCTCGCTCGCGTACTGAATCGCACTCGAGCGCGCGCTCTCCGCATCATCGTCAAAAGTCCGGAGTAGGTTTTGTAGACACAGAATCAGGAATTGTGCAAAGAGCGCGGAATCAGACGAGGACAATCAAGGATTGTGGATGAGGATATAAAGGATTGCAATTGGACAGGAATCGCAGAACGAGGCACGGGATCGCTTCAGAAGAAAGAGGGAAGAGAGAGCTTATCGGGAATCTAGGGAATTTAGCAGGATGGCAGGTAAAGGAACGCAGGTGTCGCCGTTACTCGCGATCTGGAGTAGTTTGAACCTGGATGCGGCGGAGGAGGTGGCTGCGGAAGGGATTAAAGAGAAAGTGCTGCCGCTGCTGCAGGAGGGTGCGGGAGGAGGTGATGCCGCGGCGGAAGCTGGATCGTTGAAGGAGAGCGATATCGATGATGTTTTCAGCAAGATGGAGCCGAGGGCTGCTACCGTGCCGTGGATTGTTGCGATGTAAGACTCTGGTGTGAATTGTTGTGGGTGTGTTGCTGAGCTAACAGCCGGTGGTGTAGGAACTCGCGGTATTCGACAAAGAGCACGTTCGACACGACGGAGTTCTTCGCGTTGGCGGGGAGGCTGTTTAAGGAGTACTCTGCTGCGCAGGCAAAGTTGGTGCCGGAGGCTTGTATGTTTGATGAATTGTGCGTGTGGGTGGAGAGGATACTAACGGTGGGCTTGATGTAGTTGCGTCGCTTATACGACTGGTGGTTGATACATCTAATGCGATGAACGAGGTGGGTAGATTATTCTGTTTGTCAAATTGCAGGTGATGTGTATATGCTTACAGTTTTTGTGCAGCCGACTCTTTCTCTCCAACCACTGCTCGATGCCGCGCTCGGTTTCTCAGAAACGCACGACACGCTCTCGCCCGCGCACAGCGCGTTCGTCATACAATCCCTCCGAGCCAAGACCTACGACCCCGCCGACGCGCTGCTCGCGCACCCTCTGACAAACTTCGACAGCAAGCACGGCGTGAACTACCGCGACCACCTCGCGTACCACTACTACGGCGGCCAACTCCTGATCCACACGCGGCAGTACGCGCGCGCGCACGAGATGCTTTCGGTCGTGTACTGCACGCCTACGATGAACTTTGTCGCGTCCGCGCTGCAGGTGGCGGCGTATAAGAAGATTGTGCTGCTGGAGTTGGTGGTGTATGGTAAGCGCGGGGTGAAGCCGAAGGCGGTGAGCGAGTACGTGGCGAATATTTGCCGGACGCTGGCGCAGCCGTATAATTTCCTTGGACAGGCGTTCGAGACGGGGGATGCGGAGATTGCGTCGATGGTGTGGGGACAGGTTAAGTCGTATTTCAAAAATGTGAGTGTGTTTGTTTCTAAAGCTACTATTTGAAGTTAAGTGATGGCTGACGGAAGTAGGATGGGAACGAGGCGCTGGCGATGGAGGCGGCGAGCGCGGTTCGGAAGCATAAGATCCGAAAGCTGCGGAAGACGTTTATCACGGTTCCGTTGTCGTACGTGGTCGAGCTGGATCATGATATTACAGGGGCGGGGCCGGATACACGGAGTTTGATTTTGGAGATGGTGAGTGATTAATACTACTACTGATCTGATCTGATCTGATGTTAGAAGAGCACCGGCTGACTTGGTATAGATCGAAAACGGCGAGCTATCGGCGTCGCTGTCGGCGGATGATCCAGAAATCCTACGGTTCACAGACACGCCACTCACGGACGGCAACCTAGACGCCCTCCTCCTGACGCTCGAGAAAGTACGGAAGCTAAACAGCCAGCTCGCGCAGGCGGACCGCAAGGTCGGCATGTCGCGGCAATTTCTGCAGCTGAAGCAGCAGAGCGGGGGCATGGCGAGCAGCGCGGGTGCGTATAACCCGCACATGGTGGTGCCGGAGTACGACGGGATCGGGGAGGAGGACGTGTTGATGAAAATGGGGGACGCGATGCGGTACGGGGAGGAGATGGCGCGGAGGGTTATGGGGGGAAGTACGGCGGGAAGAGGCGCGGGGAGGATGGATATGGATGAGAGTTTTAATCAGTCGATTGACGACGAGGATGAGGAGTCGGATTGATTGAGGGTTGCGTAGTGCATTCTATATACAGATATTAATAAGACATTGCTGAGTACTAACTAGTAGCTGTTTTCTGACTCTCAGCAATTTGTCTATCAGCAGTTTGACTCTGCGCAGTCTGACTCTGAGCAGTCTGACTCTCAGCCTGCTGCTGCTGCTGCTGTGTAGAATACCCCGGCAACCCCAGATTCCTCCACTCATCACGCCGCATGAGCCCCCGTTCCATTCTGCAATTGAGGTAATCCTGGGCTCTGAGGCGGCAGTCGGGGGGTATCCGAGACGAGCCGCGGACGGTTTGGATGCAGGACATGTATGCGAGCATTGGTTCTTTGCATTCGCCTGGGGGAGTGTTAGTGAGGGGGTAAGAGAGGGGAGGAGGAGGAAAAGATGGGGGGGGGGGGGGGGGGGGGGGAGGGTACCGTCGTGGTCGAGGGGGAAGGAACCTCGTTCGGGAGGAGTGGGTTTGATGAAGGAATTAGCTGTAGAATATCGTGAGCAGATGATCGTAGATGTTAATAGTAGTGAGCGAATTGACAAACCTCCGCCGGGACCGCCGAAACTCATATCAACAAGAAGAACAGAATTAAAACTAGAGTGAGATGATGGTCTTTCGACAAGGTAGAAAGAAAAGAGAGGAAAGAGATGGATGAGATGAGAGCGTCGGTGATGGCGACGTGATTTTTCGAGAATTGGGAGGACGGTTGGATAATAAGGTTTATAGTAGTCATCATAGTAGTAGTAGTAGGAGTAGAATACTATTACGACAATTTAGTCTCAAAAAATGAGCTGTATAAAAATGAGAATAATTGCTATTGTTTATAGATTTGTGAATTGTATCTAAATCAGCGGTGAAGAAGAAGGTTGCTTACTATGTTTACTAACTCAGGGCAGTAAGAAAATAAAGTTCAGTCGCGTCGGGAACAACAAAACAGTTGTCGCTCGCGTCTGCGTCTTTGCACCACAACAACAACGCTCTCTCCATCACATTCAGACACAAAGAGGACAGAAGACAGGATGAGTAAAAGCAAAAGCATAGGATCAGAAGTCACGCGATACCTGCATCTCGCGCACACGTACCGGCATGCACAGCACGACGGGAGTAGGGTGTATAGTGAGACCGAGCTGGATCGGGTTATTGCGCAGCTCGAGAATAAGGTTGAGGCAGGGCGGCGGGAGGTTGAGAAGTTTAGGGCGGAGGAGAAAGGGGATGAGGGAGCGGGATGCGTGCGTGCTATTGTTGCGGCGCGGAGGTATACTGTTGATGATGGGGGGGAGGAGGAGGAGGAGGAGGATGATGCGGAGAGGATTGTGAGGGAGTTGGAAGGGATGGAGAAGTTTGAGGTTGCGAGGGGTGGGATTGAGAGTTTAGAAGGAGCGATTGCGAGTGCGAAGAAGGAGCTTGAGAGGGAGGAGAAGACGCGGGAGGAGTTGCGGGCGCTCGGGAAGCTGCTTGATGCGCGGCAGGAGTATTTACGGGAGAAGTACGGCCGGGGTATGAGCGAGCGGACGCGGGTGGAGGTGCGGGAGGTGCGGAAGGCGAGGGGGCGGGAGGAGGAGAGTAGGAAGAAGATGAGGAGGTTGATGGTTGTTTTGAAGAAGTTGCTGGATACGCGGATAGCGGAGGTGTTGGTGGAGGAAGAGAACGGGGCGCCGGTGGGAGGGTTTGTGGGGGAGAAGAGGGGCGGAGGGGTGGTGAGGCCGAGGAAGTTGGAGGAGCATTGGACGCAGGCGCGGAGCGAGAAGATTGCGGCGGAGGCGAAGCAGTTGGTTGAGGTGGGTTGCGAGTGATTTATGATATGAGAAGGTGATTGAGAGCTGACGTTGGTGATATATGATATAGAATCTACTGAATGAGGCGTTTTTGCCGGAGCAGGGATGGGTGGAGTTGGAGGACGCGGACAGTGTTGTTGTGCGGTTGCTGATTCGGTCTGATATTGCGGTGCTGAGGGCGAATGACGGCAGGTATATGAAGCTGCGGGAGTTTGCGAGTTCTTTTTAGCGTGCGGTTCTTAGCGTGAACAGGAGATAGAAGGAGGAGCCATGTGGTCAATAGCTCCTAGTCGATAGCCAATAAAGGCAGGTGTGAAGGAACGTGGACTGCGCCTCTGTGGATGGAGCTATAACGGATAGAGTAAGGTGTCGAGAAGAGGGGATGTTCTTGGCAGGAGAGTAGTGTTATGATAGTGGGGAGTATAATTGATCATCATTTATAAAGCAGAGAAGGAAGGAAATAGGGACAAAGAACAGGGAAAATGGGAGAAGGAGGAGGATGTGGGGAAGCTGTGATGACTTGCTGGTTAGGGTTAATTGAGTCGGTGATCAGACACGATGAGAAAGAGAAGAGATATGGAAGAGATATGAATGAGTTGATAGAATAGAATAAGAGGATATATAGAATATAGAATATAGAATAACAATAATACAATAACAATAACAATAATACAAAGAACAAGATCAAGATCAAGGTTATCACGGTCATGTGCCTCTGCCAAGCCTCGCATCAGCGATAAACTATCACAAATCGAAGCCTTCCTGATCGACGCCCCACCTCTACGTCATGAGGAGAGCTGTGTTATTCTATTCTATTGTATTATGTAGTGTATGTATGTATTGTGTTGTGTTGTGTAGTAGTAGTTAGTATATCTGTATTCTATATGTTGTGACTATATGTAATCTATATGAATACTGAATAACAGCAGAATCACATGTTCACCCCTTACGCCCCAAGCGGAGCGTCTGTCGCGGAGATGCGCGTCTTGTTGTATTTGTTGTCTATGATTGTGGTGTTGTAGTTGTAATAGTAATAGTTGTAGTTGTATTAATTGTAGTATCATATTCTACTAATCCTTTACTATTCACTATAACCACAGAGTACACTATCAGAAGATGAGTGCAACAGTGTAGATAACAGAAACAGAAACCTCTCTGATCGGCTCAGTCCTTCTCTGGTCTTTATAAACCTTCACTTTCTTTGTCTCAATATTTATATCCCCCGCCCTCCTCTCCTCTTCCTCTTCTCCTTTTGTTCTTCTCTCTATCCTTCTTCTTCTCTTCTCTACTCTCTTCTTCTCTTCATCTACTCCTCTCTGCTCTATTAGATAAATATGACCTCCATCTCATCCTACCAGCGTCGCATGTCCGGCGGCGGGCAAGGCAACGGATCCCTCGGAATGCTCGGCCCCTCCAACGGCTCTGCCTACACCGGCTCCTCCTCCGCCTCTTCCACCTCCCCGACCCTCAAAGCCAGCAGCGCGTCCCTCTTTGGCTCCGTCTACCTCCGCATCGTCGACGACTCTTCGACCGGATCTACCTACCAGTACCTGATCCCTCTCGTTGAAGTCAGCAGTTACCCCGTAAGTCACTCTTATACCTTCCTGCTAGCTCATACAACATACTAACCCCCCAGAACCTCTTCTCAATGGTCCAGAAACTAAACACAAACAAGCGCATCTACGAAGGCGAAGCCGCCTTCTCCGTCCACGTCGACGAAGACGGCAAACCCGGCGCAATCATCCTCGAGCGCTTCTGGGACAAAGTCGTCCGCGACGGCCTCCGCGTCATCGTCGTCTACAAACGCGCTGTTTTGCCCATCGACCGCTCGCTCAGCAGTGGTCTGGGGTCGCTCAAGGATCAGGATGATTCTTTTTACCCTCATTATTCATAATTATGATCTTTGATGATGTGCTTTCTGTCTCATGATCTGATGATGTACACTTTGTCTATGCTGCTCTTGTTGTTTATTACTCCTGCGTTCATTATCTTCTCCAGTAAATTGTGAATATATGCATGATCCGTCTCGTCTTAACATCTGCGCCACTTCCTCTGCGGCGGCTTCTCGCTTCTAGAAGCAGCTGCTCATAAACACTTGTATCTCTGAGAATATTCTATTATAAGTAGATAAAAGAGATCGCTCTTATTCTACTGATTCGAATAATAGTATCATATTAACAGCATTAATAAAATACTCCGTACTTAATACACTGACCATCATCATTTCCTCCTTCTCCTCCAGGGCAAGGGTTATCAACTTTCTCAATCTTCTTTCTTCCTCGCTCTCTTCACTTCTCTTTTCATCTGCAGATCCATCTCATCCTATACAGAACATGGCATCTAGAACTACTCTTTACGTTACTGGTATGTATATCCACAGATAGCTCTTTTACTTATCGTGTACAGTACCAACACCTCCTTCTCTAGGCTTTGCATCCGACGTCCGCGCTCGCGACCTCGCCCACGAATTCGAACGGTAAGATCTTTTTCTCTCTCTATCGATCCCACGCGGAGTCTTCTCTAGCACGATGTCCTCCTTCTCCTCCCTCTTTGCGATCTCGATCCATCATCCGACCCTTGTTCTTCTTGTCGACTGCTTTACCTCGCTTTCGTCGATCTGTCTCGCACCTTTGCGCCACCCCGACGTCGCTATCCCAGCCTCCGAATACCTCCTGACTACTTGAAAATATACTGTGCAAGTACTGCTACAATATCTTTTCTGCTGGGTTGCTGATTTAGGATAGGCCGGCCGGCAAGAGACGAGTATATACGATATCCGAGCGAGATCACTGGATCACTTTTAAGTACTTCATATTGACTTCTTTCTTTGTAGATTTGGACGACTTGTGCGCTGCGATATCCCCGCTCCTCGCAATCCTTCTTCTAGACCGTGAGTGTCCTTGCACTTCAGATCAGTCCAACACATACTGACTCTCTACAGCTTTGCGTTTGTTGAGTATGAGGACCGTCGTGATGCCGAAGATGCTTACTATGACATGCACCACCGTCGTATCCGGTCCGGCGATATCCTAAACATCGAGGTCGGTCCCAATCATCTAAATCTCTAGTGAGTTGACAACTTACTGACTTTTATAATTTTACAGTGGGCGCGCAACACGCCTTCCGCCTCTTGGCGCTTCGAAGACCGTCCTCGACGACGCCGGCCTTCATTCTCGCCTCCTCCCCGCCGCGGCCGCGATGACTCTCGTTCGCCTCCTCCCCGCCGCGGCGGCCGAGACGATTCTCGCTCGCGCTCCCCCGCTCCTCGTCGCTCGCCTAGTCCTCGTGAGAACCGGTCGTTGAGTCCCCGTCGCTCGCCGCGCGATGACGACGAGCGTCGGGACAGCAAAGCTAGCGAGCATGCTGAGCGAGACCAGAGTCCGTACGGAAACGATAAAACCGATGAGCCGAGTATGTTACTGTCAGTTACATAGATGAGTGTAACTTCTGCTAACTTGATTATAGAAGAGAGATCTTACGACGACCAGGACGGCGACGTCGCCGAAGATTAAACATTTACTTACGTATCTAAACTCCTTGTTTTCTGCTTTTATGTACTTTGTTTTGCTATATATGTTGTGATTTTGAGAGCTGTATGTACGATGAAGTGACATCGATTGTTGTTGTAAAAAGTTGGCTTGCTACTTTTCGTGATTGTTGTATCTAGAGCGCCTCACACACTCACTCGCTCGCGTCGTTTTAAGAGCACCAAACGGCGTCGATCGATCGATCGATTCGAATCGTGTCGGGTATACCTCTGAACCGTCGAAGGATTTGAACAGGTTTGCTTTGCGACTATCGGCATCGAGACCACGACGACGACGAGTTACGATGACGACGACCGCGACTACGACGACGACGACGACGGCGACGGCGACGACTACGACGACGGACGGTTTTGTTTGAGTATTTGTGAAATAGCTAACTGTGAATCAAACAAACTACTTCCTAAAAGCAACAAGTAAAACAATAAATAGAAGAGTAACTGAGCCGACGTTGAGTGCACGGGATCAGCAGCAGCGATAGTGACGTGGATTTAAACCTTAACCGATGGTCCACCCGCCGAGTTGGCCTGTTGCGGTCGTGAATTGGTCTTATTTACCTTCCTGCCCTGCTGCCGGCATCCCCGCTTGTAGCTGACGACCTGCGTTTGTGTGCGTGTATTGAGAGAGAGAATAAGAGAGAGAAGAAGGAAGAGAAGCAGGTTTAGCTGAGACTGAGAGATTGAGAGAAAGAACGAGCGAGGGGCCTTGTTCGAGCACTGTTTTGAGCATCAAGCAGCCCGGCGTGAACAGACAGAGGTTTGAAGCAACATTTCGCTGTTCGTCTATCTTTGACTGCGTGCATTTCCTTGTTTGATGGAGACTAACTGTTGTTTCTTTCAGAACTCATTGCAACTACTTACATCACTGCTGATAAGCATCATTCGTCCTTCCGACTGGTCATGTACGCCTATATCGCGTCTACTCTGAACTGCTACTAGTTTCCCCACTAGTCCACCCATTCACCAACAGACCAATACAGCACCAATACAAGCAACATCAAGAAAGAATAGAAGAAACAACAACAAGAAAATGGACAACGCTCTAAAAGCAGAATGCGAACGCATCCTCAGCGATCCCACCGTTCTCGACGAAGAGCAAACAGATCAGATATCCGGCATCATCGAAAAACACTACGCGCAAAAAGGACAGCTTCTCACCGCTGCAGATCTTGACGCGCTCGTCCTGGATACATTATGGCGTCACCGCGAGGGCTCCAGTGGCGCGAAATCGTCGTCGTCCGCGTTCGGCAAGGCCGCGGGCGGCGGCGGCGGCGGCGGTGGTGGTGCAGGGGGCACGATCAGGAAGAAAGTTATAAGGCATAAATTTCCTTCACCGATTGCGGTCGTCAGGCCGCCGGCGGTCGGATATTCTGCCGCCGTGATGAGCGCGACCGACACCGGCTCCTCGCTTCCGTCTACGCGCTCGACCTCGCCCGAGTCCATCTTTGGCAGCACCGGCAGCGCGGTGCATTTCGCCGGCAGCGGCTACAGCTACACTGGCGGCGGCTTCAGCAGCGTGATGGAGAACAGCGCCTCGCCGAACTCGTACGAGCCCAGTTTTAGCCAGGACGAGCAGGTGGGTAGCAGCACGCCCGAGAGTCAGGCGAATGCGGTGCTGGCGGATTTGACGAGCGAGTTGGGCGGGTTTGATCCGTTCGGACGGAGTGCGGGCGCCAGCGGCGTGGGTGATGACGATGACGATTATTTGTATCGTCCGCTTACACAGGCGCAGAAGCAGCAGCTTCAGCAGGAGCAGAAACAGCCTGATCAACAACAACAGCAGTACTCATACCAGTACACCGACTACGGCGACAATTCACCGTTTGAGAACTATGAATCATCGCACGCGGTAGTGGACCCCGCAAGTCTGATGCCAATCGCCCCTTCAACCGGCTCGTCCGCGTCCTCGCCCTCGACAGTAGCCTCATCATTCACAGCCCTGGCTGCCGCGAACGGCGCGGTTTACTCCCCTGCCGGAAGCCACACGCCGCTCACCTCGAGCACGCCCACGCTTTCCGCGTCCACCCCGACCGCGCTAGCCGACGACGTTTCCTCGCCGTTCGAGCACATCCGCGCCGCGCTGATGCTTCCTGCGGCGGCGAATCTGCCGGACTCGGCGATCGTGGCGTCGCTTGATCGGAATGGGTATGATATCACGGTGACGCTTAACGAGTTGTATGATAAGCTGTCGGGGAGGGTGTCGTCTGTCGCGCAGAACGTCAAGGTGCAGACTATCGGGCCGGCGTATAGCATGCCTGTGTCTAGTACTTCTGGAAAGGATCAGGCTAAGATCCCCACCGTCTGCCGTATGTCCTCTTTTCTAAATTTCTATCTATAATCTCCATGACACTAACACCGATCTAGGATACTTCCTCACCACCGGCCAATGCGCCCGCCAAGACTGCAGATTCGTCCACGACCTATCAGCAACCGTCTGCCGCTACTGGCTCCAAAACTCCTGTCTCGCCGGCAGCACCTGCGTCTTCTTACACTCGATTCCGCCCGAGCTGCTCGCGCGCCTCGAAAGCCGGGCGCAGGGCGCGGCCACGATTCTTCCCGGCGCGCCGTCGCCGCGGCAGGCGTCCTCGTCGTCCTTGTCGGGCGGCGGCGGACGTAAGAATATCACGCTGGCGGACGAGAATGAGTTCCCTGCGTTGCCTACAGAGGCGATGGCTACGCCTACGCGGAAAGCGTCGGCAGGGAAACAGCAGCATCATGCGGCGAACCACAGCAATAGTAATAGCAACAGCGCGTTGCCGTCGATGAAGGCGACGATGGAGGACTTTCCGGGGTCGATTCCGATCAAGTATAAGCCTTTGAAAGGGTCCCGCAAGCACCGCGGGGTGTCGAATGGGTCTAAGGAAGGGCAGGGCAAGGCTGCGGGATGATAGTCTAGATAATAAAAAAATCAGTCAAGAAATAAGCAATTGTAAGTAGCGATTGTAATCAGTAGGTTGTAAACAGCAGAGAACAGTGCTCTTATGGGGATCAGAATCAGGAGCCATCGTCAGTGCGCCCCACCATCTCTACTTCTACTCGCAGCCTGTTCTTGCGACATTAGAAGAACAACAACTCATTCGAAGCGGCAATGAAGACACTACTTCGATCCGCGTTGCTAGCCTGCTTCAGCAGCGCGCTGCTAGTTTCCGCAATCAGCTACGACGACGTGATCCAGGCGCCGCGCCGGTCCGAAGCCGTGCCAAACAAATCCGGCACGCTGGCAGTCTACACCGAGACGAGCTACTCGTTCTCGACGCGCGCGTGGTCCGGCGCGCTGAAGACGATCGCGCTCGAGGCCGGGGCGGAGCCAAAGACTGTGATTGCGGACGCGGCGGATGTGGGGGATCTTGCGTGGGCGGGCAGCGACGATGCGACGGTGCTGTATCTTAATACGAGCGGGGAGTATACTGCGCTGTGGTCTGTTGACGTTGGGTCGGGTGCGAAGGCAAAGATTTACGAGTTTCCGGGATCGGTGTCGTTGTTGAAGACGCATGCGTCGGCGGCCGGCGTGCGCGTGGTGACTTCAGGATGGGCTACGCCGGCGGGCGAGTTATTGTCTCCCGACGCGCCGGCGAAGGAGGATACGGGGTTGCTATACGACTCGACCTTTGTGCGGCACTGGGATTACTGGTTGAGCGAGAACCGCAAGTCCGTTTTCGGCCTGCTGTTGAGCGCGGATCTGAAGACGGTGAAGGAGCCGTTGACGAATTATCTGAAGGGCCTGGGGATCGAGTCTCCGATCATGCCGTTCCCGAGCGCGTCAGACTTTGATCTCGCGGCGGATAAGTTGGTGGTGAACGCCAAAGCACCCGAGCTGTCGCCTGCGAATAACACGGCAACGTATTTCTACGTGCTCAAGTACACCGACACCAACGAACCCGGGAAGCCGCTCAACAAGGCCGGTTTGGGCGCGTGCTCGTCCCCCGTGTTTTCGCCCGACGCGACAAAGATCGCGGGGTTGGTGATGCTCGAGAACGGGTACGAGTCTGACCAGAATATCGTGTATGTGTATGATCTCAACGACGGCGGAGCGGGCAAGAACGTCACCTACGGACGCGCGTTCGATCGCTCTCCAGGGGCGGTGATGTGGGCGCCTGATCGGGAGGATTATTTGGTGCTGGTAGGCGAGGATGTTGGTAAGGAGGTGGTGTGGACGCTTGATATCTCGACGCCGGGGTTGCTTCCGCAGAAACTGAGCACGACGCACTCTGTGTCCTCTGTCGCGTTCATCGGCTCGTCGACGGCCAAGTTGCTGCTGTCGAGCAGCGCGATCGTCAAGTCTACGTACTTTGAGATTTACGACCACGCCACGGACTCAGCCACCCTGCTGCTCGACGCGCCGACGACGTTACCCGAATCTCGCGTCGGGGAGTTTTGGTTCACCGGCAGTCGCGAGGTCAAGGTGCACGGGTTCATTGTGTATCCCGAGAACTTTGACCCGAAGAAGAAGTACCCGCTCGCGTTCCTGATCCACGGCGGTCCGCAGTCGGCGTGGACGGACTCGTGGTCTACGCGCTGGAACCCGGCGGTGTGGGCGGACAACGGGCCGGACGGGTACGTCGTCGTGACGATCAACCCGACCGGATCGACCAGCTACGGCAAGGAATTCACCGACAAGATCCAAAACAACTGGGGCTCGTATCCGTACATCGACCTGGTTCTGGGCTTGGAGTACTGCTACAAGAGCTTTGAGTTTATCGACACCGAGCGCATGATCGCCGCGGGCGCGTCGTACGGCGGATATATGATCAACTGGATCCAAGGCTCTGCGCTCGGCCGTGTGTTCAAAGCGCTCGTGACGCACGACGGCGTGTTTTCGACGCTGAACCAGTACGGCTCCGAGGAGCTGTATTTCCCCGCGCATGATTTCGGGGGCTCGTTTGTGGAGAACACGAGGGGGTATTACAAGTTCAATCCGATGAACCGGATGTATCACTGGGCGACGCCGCATTTCATCGTGCACAACGCGCTGGATTATAGGTTGCCGGAGAGTGAGGGGTTGTTGGCGTTTAACGTGCTGCAGGAGTTGGGTGTTCCTAGCAAGCTGCTGCATTTCCCTGGTACGTATCCCCTCTCTTTCTTTTTATCATAGCGACTTACTGACTTTTTGGTAGATGAAAACCACTGGGTGCTCAAGCCCGACAACTCGCGAAGATGGCATAAAGAGATTTTCGAGTTTATCAACACGTACTCCTCCGCGTCTGCGTCGACGAAGCGAAGTGGAGCGGGGGAGACGAAGACGGCGGCGCAGATTTTGGAGGAGGTGGTTGATAACGTGGAGAGGGAGATTTTCTTTTAAGCGTGCGCATCGTGTAGAGTTTAGGATAAAGTACAGAGTTGTATTCTCTTAGAATATACATCCAAAGCAAGTAGCAGTAATTATAAACTCCAAAGCATTGAGCTACCGTTTGAGCAAGAAGTTTAGTCGTCTAGATGTAAACTCCGTCGGTTATCGCTGGTGATGGGCGGGAGAAGTAGGTCGAATTCGTCGCTCGCGGCGTCGGATGAGATAGCGATTATATGTGTCTGTGTAGATGTTGGATGGTTTGCAGGTCGACTTTCCTGCTTGACGGGGATGTCTTGTTGCTGTACAGCTTCATGTGAGGTCAAAGTTGAAGAAGGTGAGTTTCGGTGGAGATAGGCTTTCAGATCGTGCATTTCGCGGGCGAGGAGTTTGATTCCCTGATCCGCACTATCGATGCGTTCGCTATTAAGCGCGATTACGCGGCGCATATCTGTTAGACAGACTGCTAAATCTTGGTTTATCTGCTTCACTAGTACCATCAACAGTCGTTAGCAACAACAGCACGTCCGAAACCGCGATGAAGCACAGAGAGAGAGCAGGAAATTGCTTTCAAGACAGAATAAAGACAGGGAACAGACGCTCGCTAGCTTGACCTGCCACTTCAGCAATCGATCGTCTGAGGTCGTCGACGGCGGCTTGGTTTGCGCTGATGCTGGATTGCATGATTGTTTGCCAGCTTGATTCGGTAGTCGCTAGGCGTACTGCCGCGGCTTCGTATTTCTCGCGCGCTTCCGTGGCTTGGAAAAGGAGTTTTCTTGCCCAGACTGAGGAGGAGGATGTTTGAGAAGGTGGGATGAGCGAAAGTGGCGGGGCTGGAGCTGGGGCGGGGGCGGAGAGATCGTAGGGTGGTGGGTCGGCGGCGGGGGCGGAGGAGCTGGATTCGATGGATGTGGGGAGACTTGCTATGTCGTCTGCAGACAGTTGTTTGGAGCGGGATGTTGTGGATGAGGAGGAGGTCAGTGTTTTTCCCGTCGGACGCGTTGTAGCTGTAGCTGTAGCTGTAGTTGGAGCGGTGTCATTTTGCGAGCTGGAAGGAGGTACTTGAGCTGAGGTGGTGGTGGTATCGTCTACCAGATCGATAGATTTCGGCAAGAGTTTTCGTTTCCCTGGTATATTCCGCGCCGGAGGAGACTTTGGCTTTGTCGGTTTACTCGTCGACGGGGACGATAGAGTCGTCGCTGGTTTCCTCTTAATGATGCGGTTTCGCGATGCGGGGACGCGGTTGACAAAGTCGAGTTCGGCGGGGTTGGAGTAGGTCACTGGTGTAGTCAGGTCCAGTGTGGAAGTAGATGTGTCGAGCGAGAGGGAGGTGTCGTCGGCGGGGAGGGGGGAGGTTGTGAAGGAGGATGGGGAGGTGGGTTGTTTGAGGGGCGATACGAAGATCATTTTGCGGATTGAGGGGGGTGATGTCATTGTGCGTGCTTCTCTTACAGACGCAGCAGACAGAGGCGGGTTGTTTGTTTAATGAGTAGCAGACAAGACAGTAGACAGCAGACAGTAGTTTGAGGGAGTGAAGATGGTGAGGGTGCAAAGTGAGGATGAGCAACGCGTGTTTTGGGCGATAAATAAAGTTGGCGTGCACGCTTCTGTTTTGGTGCTCGGTATTTCTCTGCTTTCTGCACAGCGACTGACTGTGATTAGTTTTAGATGATATTTTTGTGGTTTGGAGGGGTTGAGTTGTAGAGTGTATAAGAGTGAGATTTGTAGTTGGAGGAGGGGTGCGAGGGGAGACTGGCGAGGTTGGCGTATTCACGGTTTATGTCCGGAGATGGCGCAGGATAGGCCGTCGCAGATTGCGTCAGCGCTCTTTCTGAGAAAAAGTATTAGATCTTCTCGTCCGGAGTTTTTGTTTAGTCTGCCTATACCGTTGTTGGAATGTATGGAGGGAATGACGACCGCAGTCATCGTAGAGTGCTCATGACAAGTCATAAACGAGCGCTACAACAACGCAACGCAGCCTACGACAATTCTGATTTAAACGCTATTCAAACCAACTGAGGTAACAATGACAAGAGATTATGTATGTACAAAACTATCTGCCTCCTCATCCGCCAAGAGGTTTCTTACGACAAAACACATCCGGGGTGATCGACGACTGCTCTTCTTCGAGCGCAGGCCTTCGGAGTCCGACGAGCTGTTTACTGCAAATTGGCACTGTAGACGATTTGTGTCAGTATTTTTATAAAATATATAACGATGTGATATCCACAAAGGGGGATTACCTCTCCTCGCCGTATCGCAAATCGACCCGCTGCTGGTACTTCATGAACTTCTCGCCGCAGGTCTTGAGGCACTTCTCCTCCTTGCCAGAAAGAGACTTCGAGGTCAAATCGTTGATGCAGTGCGTGAAGCATCGGCCGACCATGCTCATGTAGATCTGTAACCAAGAGTCATTAGTCTGTCTGCGCTATAAAGCATTCAATTCTCTTTGGTAAACGCACTCCGGCGATGCCGTTCATCATGAGATCGACGTTGATCTCCTCCAACTTCTTCTGCTCCTTCGGGGTGGGTGCTCCTAAATGCTCCATTTCTGTTCTTCTTGTTTGTATCGATAACTACCGCTGTCCTGCTTCGATGGTGATGATGTTGATGACAACGGCGATGAATGAAAATTTGTGAGGAAGCCTCGATAATGAAACGTGTGGCTGTGTTTTGTGGCTGGTGTGGCTGTGCAGCTGCTCCCATCGCCGCCTCGGCCAAAACAGCAGCCAGCTGCTCGGCAGCACTCGAACCTGTTCTCCGCTTTTGATTCTGCAATTGCTGCTCGGTCTGACTTTGGTTTGGTTGGTAGTTGGAGCTGCATTGAAATAGGAGAAAAGAGCTGTCTTGCGGATCCAGCAAGGTGACTTTTCGCGCTCCAGACAGACGCTGATGGCATCGGGCGTGCGTCGTCAGATACCCAGACTGGACTATGGCCCTTTTTCGACGATGACTGAACCTCCAGATTCTAAGCATATCAGCAATGGCAGCAGTAATGGTAGCAGTGGCAATGGCAGTAACAACAACAGCAACAACAGCAGCAGCAACAACACCAACACCAACAGCAAACCAGTCGAGCCATCGCTACTCGACCCCCTAGATCAGACAGACTATGACCCCGTCACCCATCTCTCCGAGATCTTTGCCGCGCCCGAGACCTTCTCCGCCGTGCCGCAGGTGCGCAAGAGTCTGCGGTCCTACTCGCGCGGCCTGGACGACAAGATCGAAGAGCTGCTCGCGGCGCAGACGGCGGCCGAGCCGAGCGTGCAGCGCGTCGCGCAAGCCCACACGGAGCTCTCGGAGATCTTTGAGCATATCGAGACTGTGCGCAAGCGCGCGGTCGTGGCCGAGGACGTAATCACCGAGATGACGGCCGATATCCGCAAGCTGGATGAGACGAAGCGGAATCTGACTGCGTCGATGACGATGCTGAAACGGCTGCAGATGCTCACGACCGCGTACGAGCAGCTTGGCCTGATGGTCAAGAACCGGGAATACAAAGACGCCGCGCAATTGCTAGAGGCGGTCACCGAGCTCGTCGGATACTTCAAGTCGTATCGATCGATCACCCAGATTGCAAACCTGAGCAAGAACGTCGCGAGTCTGCAGTACAACATCGCAGAGCAGGTCTCGGCTGACTTTGAGATGGCTGTCGACGGTCGGAAACCGGAGTTTATGGGCGACCGCTCGACGGTCTTGCAGGAGGCTTGCGCGCTCATTGACGCGCTCGGTGAGTCCTATCGCCAGAGACAGATTACCTGGTACTGCAACGTGCAACTCCGCGAATATCGAAATATTTTCCGCGGAAGCGAGGAGGTAGATCCTTATCCTTCATTTCTATTATTGATGAATATACTGACTGATACGCGCAGGCTGGATCACTGGACAACATCTCTCGTCGCTACTCATATCTCAAGCGCATGCTGAAAAGCCTCGAACCCCAAATCCACCAAATCTTCCCCCCGCACTGGCTAGTCGCCGAGGCGCTGTGCCGGTCGTTTTGCGAAATCACCAGGGAGGACTACAAAGTTCATCTGTCGCAGAGCGGGCGTTCGCTCAACGTCGATCTGCTCCTGCAGGCGCTGGAGGAGACTATGGAGTTTGAGCAGTTTTTGGAGAAGAGGTTTAGCCAGGCGCGGTCGTCGATCGATAGCTCGGAGGCGTCTACTGCTGCCGCGGACAAAACGTCGTCGGTGTTTGGCCGCTCGATATCTGAAGTGTTTGAGCCCTACTTGGGTCTATGGGTAGAATCCCAGGACCGGAAACTGTCGGCGCTGGTATCGCAGTACAGCAATCAGATGATCGTCCCCCCGTCAGCCGATGACGACTCGCCGCAGCAGGTGCTCCCGTCCTCGGTCGATCTGTTCCTGTCCTACCGCAAGCTTCTCGCGCAGTCGGCCAAGATCTCGACCGGCGTGCAACTTTTAAACCTGGCAAAGATATTCGCAAAGTATCTGCAGCAGTACGCCGACCGCGCGCTGTCGGCCCACGTGCAGGAGCGCGCGGCGACGGAGAACGATGTCCAGCTCGCATGCCTGATCATGTCGACTGCAAACTACTGCCACACGACCGCCGACCAACTCGAGCAACGGATCCAGGACGTGATTGACGAGGAGTACAAGTCCCAAGTCAACTTTGACCGGGAAAAGGACGCGTTCATGACGGTGACCAACAACGCCGTGCAGAGCCTCGTCCGCAAGGTCGAGGCCGAGAGCAAAAACGCCTGGCGCGAGATGCTAAACACAAACTGGGGTAAACTCCACAGCGTCGGCGACCAGAGCGCGTACGTGACCGAGCTCATCAAGATAATTGAGTCGAACGTGCGCTTGGTCATAAAGCACTCGCCCAAGGAGATGTTTGTCCGCTCGTTTTGCGACCGCGTGCTCGAAATGACCGTCAGCACGTTCCTGCCCAACATCGCGCGCTGCAAACCGCTCACCGAACTCGTCTCCGAACAGCTCCTGCTGGATTGCTACGTGCTCAAAAAGAGCTTCTCGCGACTTCCTGTCATCGACGCGCCGCCTGACGTTCAGGCTTCGGCTTCCTATCTTAATCTGGTAGCTAGGGTCATGTCGAGGCTCGAGTCGGTGCTCAAAGCTGTGCTCACTAACGAGTCTGATGATTTGCCGGATAACTTGAAGATCTATCTGCCGTCGACGAATATCGTCAAACGGGCGTTCAACAATGAAAAGTTTAGATGGCGGACAGAGTAGCCTGCATGGGAGAGCGATAGGGTCATAGATAGTCATTTTATTTTAATTCTACATTGGGACTTTACGAATGGAGTTATGAGCAGAAAATCCTTTCTTTTTCGTTAACCTATATAAAAAACCTAGCGCATCTTTTTTTCTCCAAACTGATGTATATTATACAATAGCCATCCGGACAAACAGCACACCATTTTTCCTAACTAGTTTAGTCGAAAAGACCGAATCCCATGTCGTCATCAGACTCGTCAGCCTCCTCAGCAGGAGCCTCCTCGGCGGGAGCCGACGACTCAGCGGCGGCAGCAGCGGCAACGGGGGCAGCGGCGGCGTAGGCATCGGGGTTGGCAATGCGGTCCTTAATGGCCTCGGATCCAGGGAAGGTGTACTCGGTCGCGACAGAGACAGCGAGGACCTTCTTGTAGGTGTTGATGAGGTGGTGGATGACGGCGGGGAGGGTGGGGTAGTTGGTCGCCAACGAGATGGCGGTGACGGCAGCGATGGCGGACGAGAAGCTGGCAAGGAGGGTGGACTCCTCAATGTCGAGAATCTCGGGGCTGAAGATCTGGCCCTGGTCGTAGACCTGGGCGATCACCATACCGTAGGTGAAGGGAGAGATGTTGAGCATGTTAAGGAGGGTGGCCTCAGAGGCACCGACCTTGCTGCCGGCCGAGACGACCTGGACATCGGAAGTAATTTCGATGGTACCACGGGCGATCTTGGTGGGGACACCGAGGGCCTGGAAGAACGAGGTCTTACCGGGCTCCATACCGGTGTTACCGGCAGGGACCCAGACGTCCATAGGAGCGACGGCACCGGCACGGGCAGGAGCAGCGACCTTGTTAGAGAGAATGGACTCACGGATGGTCTTCAAGTCAGCGTTGGTGAAGACGAAACCGACGTTGCCTCTGACGAAGGGAAGGATGCGCTCGAACTCGGGGAAGTCAGCGAGGAATCCACGGATGGCACGGCGGACCATGGTGTTCTTTCCCATAAGAATGACGGCCTCACCACGGAGACTCTTACGGATCTCGTGCATCTGTTGGGTTTGTGTTAATATGTGCTGTGCTGTAGATCGAGGGTAGAGGATAGAGGGAAGCGTACCTGCTGCGACGAGACATTGTCGACACCGACAATGAAGATGCTCTGGTACTCTGTAATTCATTGTTAGATCTAGACGAATGACGATAGTGCAATTAGGAACAGCGCATACCCTCGAGGAGAGCACGGAGCTTGACGAAGTATTCGGCTTTCTTTTCACGAGTGCCTCCCATTTCGACTCTTATAAGGAAGATAGGATGTTTAAAGGACTGGCAAAAACAGAGATCAATTAGTCCACTGAACGACGACTGATAACGACGACAACAAAGAGCAGCAGCTTACCTCGAAGGTGGTTTAAAGGGTGTTGGGTGGTGAAGGAATCCAAGCTGCAGGCTGCTGTGCACGACGATGCCCTCGCAGCGGTGTGGAAAATTAAGGTTTCAAGAGTCCTCTTTGAAGAGAAAGCAGTCACACTCAAAAGATGAGCCGTCACGTGAATTACTAGCCCTACATTAGCCCTAAGTAGTAATGCATTATGTAACAATATATTACTAACATCGTACTAGTAGTATGACTACATGATGACTGTGATAATTCAACCGCCGTCAATCCCACCGCTGCCACCGTCTCTGCACCTTATAAACACACCCACTCGCTCGCAACACCTCATAAACAGATCCAAACCCCTCTGCTCCCCCAACACAGTCACAAATACCAGAAAAGCCGGACGCAGCGGTGCGGGCGGCGAGCGGGTGGCAATAAAACCCAATGGAATGTCGTAGAAGGAGGCGGAACAAACGCGAAACGAGGGTGCGGCGCCCGAGAAAAATTAGCTGCGGGCGCGTTGGAGGAAAGAGCATCGCGGAGGACAGTCGAGATAAACCCATTCAGGCCTGGTTTTGCTGCTTTGATCTCTTTTACTCCTTCTCTACTCCTTCTTCTCTTCCTACTCGCATATCACAGCTGTATCCACAATGGTCAAAGAGACTAAGCTCTACGACGCGCTCGGTACGTGCTTCCCGTCAGCGATATCCCTCTCTAGACCAATACTAACCCTCTGCAGGTGTCGCCCCCGATGCCAACGATGCCCAGCTCAAGAAAGCCTACAGGTGTGTTATAGATTGTTATTCTGCTGCTGTGTCTGCGCGTGTGTGCTGTTGCGCACGCAGACATATCCTCGTCGACTATCTGCTAATCACTGATCTCCAGACTGAACGCCCTGAAATATCACCCGGATAAGAATCAGCACAACCCCGAGGCCTCGGAGAAATTCAAGGAGATCTCCCATGCGTATGCTCTCCCTCTCTCCGACATACTTATTCTCTCTCTGTCTTTGTCTTGTTGACTAACCCCTGATTCCAGATACGACATCCTGTCCGACACCCAGAAGCGTGAAATTTACGACAGATATGGTGAAGAAGGCCTGAACGGTGCCGGTGGCGCTGACATGGGCGGCATGAACGGCGCCGAGGCACTCTTCTCGCAGTTCTTTGGCGGCGGCGCTGGTGGTTTCGGTGGTATGTTTGGCGGTGCCGGCGGCCGGCCCAGCGGTCCGCGTCGGAGCAGAGACATCGTGCACGCGCTGCGCGTCACCTTAGAAGATCTGTACAAGGGTAAGGTCGCCAAGCTTGCGCTCACGCGAACAATAACATGTCAGAAGTGCAGCGGCAAGGGCGGCAAAGAGGGCGCCGTCAAGAAGTGCAGCACTTGCAACGGTTCCGGTTCAGTTACGTTCCAGCGAGGAATGGGTCACATCATCCAGCAATTCCAGACTGTCTGCCACGACTGCAAGGGCGAGGGTGAGATCATCAAGGACAAGGATCGGTGCAAGACCTGCAACGGAAAGAAGACCATCAGCGAGAAGAAGATCCTCGAGGTTCACGTCGACAAGGGAATGTCAAACGGTCAGAAGATCACTTTTCCCGAGGAGGGCGACCAAGGTCCCGATATCCTCCCCGGTGACGTTATCTTTGTCATTGACGAGCAGCCGCATCAGAGATTCACTAGAAAGCATGACGACCTCTACTACCACGCCAAGATCGATCTCCTCACCGCCCTTGCCGGCGGCAGCATCGCCATCCAGCACCTCGACAACGAGTGGCTCAAGGTCGACATCATCCCCGGTGAGACCATCAAGCCCGGCCAAGTCAAGGTCATCGAGGGCCGCGGAATGCCTTCGTACAGACTGCACAACAACGGAAACCTCTACATCGAATTCGAGGTCGAGTTCCCGGCCGACAACTTCACCACCCCCGACAAGCTCGCCCTGCTCGAGACCATCCTCCCGCCCAGACCGGAATTGGAGCTCCCCGCCGACGCCATGGTGGATGACGTCGTGCTCCAGGATGTCGACCCGTCGCAGCAGGGACGGGCTAACGTTCGTATGGACGAGGATGACGATGATGACGAACAGGGCGGAGAGCGCGCTCAGTGCACTTCTCAGTAAACGATGTTGAGCTGTCTTCTATCGCGATTTGTAAAAGGTTGTTTTTCAAATAGGGCATGAATAAAAATTATAAACTACCATTGATTACCTTTATAAGTATGGTTCTAAATGAGGAAGAATTAACTATCTTATAAGTTCTGTAAGCTATAAGTATCTTCCATGCATTCAATAAACATAATAATGCAACTCAAGAGCAATCTATCTTCACCCTCCACCATATCCTCTATATACACTTTACTCCATCCTGCTTCCCCTCACTTGACCTTCCGCAACGCCCTCTCAGCCCGCCTCAACTTTCCATCAGAATTATCAACATCATCCTCCAGCATCCCAATCATTTCACTCTGCAACTCAAGCTCGTCGTTAATCTCGATTCCCAACTGCCGCTGCCTTGAGAGAATCTTGCTAAACTCCTCCAGCGAATCTTCCTGTTCTTGCATTTTCTGCGTCTGGAGACTGAGGAGACCTCGATTATCGAGCTGTCGCGTTTCGGCGGTCTCGGCTAGTGGACCGAGCACGCGTCGCGCAGAGGAGGTTACCGTGCCCAGCACGGTTTTTCCACCAGTCAGAAGCGCGTTCCGGTCAGCGTCCAAGTCTGGGTCGTCGGCTGTGCTGCTTGCGTCTGCTCTTGAGGAAGACGCAGCAGCATCGGCAGCAGCCTGGTTACGCGATGCCGTCGACGCCAGGCTTTCGATTCCTTCCCGCTCTTTCCGGACTAGATTCAGCATATCGCTGCGCCGCCGTAGCTCTCCCTGCCCAACCGAGTTTGCCAGCTCTTTCAATCCGCGCTCGAGCATGACGATCTTCGAACTCGACTGCACCAGGCACTTTTGCGCTTCCGAGGCCGCGGTGCGGGCTTCCGTAGCTGACATCTGGTCGCGGTCAGAGATACACACTCTCGCGTCGTGCAGCAGCGATTTGACCTCGTGCAAAGTATCCATCCACACCACCGGATCGCCGACGTTGCGCCCAGACGGCATTATCAACGACGCGTTAGACGACCCGCTCGAGAGCAACGAACTGCCGCCGCCGCCCGCACCACCAGCCTTGCCGCCCGCTCCCGGGAGGCTCATGAACTCGCGCCATTCGTCTGTAAGTCTCCATCTTGAATCCGACGACTTTTGAATCTCCTTCAAGAACTGCTCGAGCCCTTCCCTGCGTTCTTCGACGATGTCGAGGTTGGCGATCGACTTGTTGAACAGGTGTTTTTTCGGCAGCTTGAATGGGATGTCGTCGCCGACCGCGTGCTCGAGTTGGTTCGCGAGCGTGACGAATTCGGAGTACCGCTTCATGATGGTGTAGGACCGTAGCGGGAGGCGGACTTGGATGTGGTAGACTGTGTGGGGCTTTGGTGTCGGATTGGTCGAGTAGGACCGAATCGAGATCTCGACGTCTGACATTGCGCGTCTTGTTTCTTCTGTTGGAGTTGTTGGTCTTTGTTATGTGCTGTTTGCTCTTTCAAATACAGTCGACTCTGTAGAGATTTGTAGCCAGTTGAAAGCAATATCGAGCGCTTGATCCCGCTCTTCGGTAAGACCACTGATGTGATGTTGAATATATCAAATAACCGCACCCTATCTCCAACAACACCTCAATGAAGCAACTACCAGCAATAAACTGCCACTAATCAACTCTAGATACACTAACAATATCTCACAACCCAACTCTCTGCGTATCTCTCAACAAGAACCTGGATGTTCAGCAAGTACAATACAGAGTGTGTGCGTGGAAGTTGAGAGAGCCGGCCGTGAGGCGCGAGGCTTTCTTTCTTTTGCCTTATCGTCGAATTTAATGGGCGCGAACCGAGACGAGCTGGCAGCCCCTGAATGGGGATTAGAGGGCGACGGGTCCAGACCAGACCGCTTCGTAGGATGGTTTTTGGAAAATGCAGTGAGTAGTGTGGATTTTTGATGGTTTTTGCGGGAAGGATGGAGGAGGGATGAGGGAGGTCTGCTGTGTATTTTTATAAATAATTCTCAGTAAGACGGTTTCGTGTGTTCTCCGGTGCTTGAATCATCAGCAACAATCATAAAACTCCATCCAAACTTCCTCAAACCAATCCAGATCAAATCAGAAACAGTCAAATACACGAACACTGTCAGGTCATAAAAATCTGCCATTCCTCCATCATACGCTACGCTCTACGTCTTCACTGCCGGCCTGTTAATCTTTCGCTGCAGTTAGTTATTAGGGAAGTCTTGGTATATCGAAGGAGTAGTGGTGCGCGGACTGCGTTGTCGTTTGTTTTTCGGGTTATTGGCGAGAACAGCGTTTGTATGGAGATCAGAGGATTCTCATCGGAGATGTTGATAACGACCCAGGGAACGTCAGACAAGACCCGCTAACATAGCTGTCTTCCAAACACACGCAGCATAGATATGTCTCCATTTTTGTCATTACATCTATACCGAAGGAATATCCTCAATGAGAACATACCAACATGGCAGATCGGAACAGTACCAGAACAGCAACTCGCACCAGCAGAACTCGCACATCGTTATACCCCTCGAGGTTTCTGAGATCAACCGCTGGCGCACTCGAACTGCACGATCTGCTCAACACAGAAAGTCGCGTTTCGGAAGGTCATAAATGAGGCGTACAGGAAGGACGAGGCAGGTGAGTTGCTTTGTCGCGGAGCGGCGGTAGTTTAGTCTCGATAGACTCAAGATCATCTTCACGTCAGTCGTCGATACAAACCCTCCGAAGCAGCACGTAACTGCAAAATACAATCCCTCCCACATCTAGATATCAACAGCACGTCAGGACTGACAGCATATGACGAACGTCATTCACATCTCCGCGTTGTGATTCTGATCAATAAACCATCCCTCATGACGTTTCCCGCGATACATAGGCCAGCCAGGCATATGACGTTTCTCGCGTCATAATGAAGTCATACTCTGATGCGTCGAGTCCCAGGGTTCATGTATTGATGTACCGTCCTGCGATATCCTAAGCAATTGCAGAGAAAGTCGCGGGTGCACTTGTGATATGCTTTTATATAGCATAGACACTTTCGTCATGCTTGAGCATCTGCGGGTTTCGTCAAGTGCTTATACACCATCCGCTCATCCCCGCGAGAGCAGAGTTGCGCACTCGCCGCTCGAAAGTATATTCAGCACCGAGCAAAACGACATCACGCCCACCCCGCCATTGACATCACGAAAAAAGTGGAGAATCAGCAGGGGGTCCATGAACTCCTACACAGGTCTCAACAAAGACCAGACATCATCGGCATCCGGAACAGGATGCGTCCGTAGTCCCGTCCGGCTTACGCCGGCTCCGGATCAGGTGTGATATTCTTTTTCCGTTTTGGGACGGATGTGTCGCTGTCAACCATCTGCATCTGCCCAGAAAAGATTAAATAGGATAAAATAAGATAGCTGAATGGGAAAAGACGAGGAATGGGCATGTGAGAACAACCGGGACTCTGGAAAAGGTTTATCTTTGAAAGCGGCGGCGATACCAACGAAACGGAGTGCCAGCATACCACACGCATGCTGAACAATTTGCAGATTGACCTCTATCTCCATTCAATAAATCCCCATCTCTCTTCCAAACAGTGCAGAAATAAAGAACGCACGCAGCGGAGATGTGTACCGTCGCGAGAGTTTTTGATTAATTTGTTCTTAGAGGGGGTGCGCGTGAAAAGTGATTTATTACAGAATATACAGGGGTCTTGTCCATACAAACAGGGCCACATCAGCAGGCGGTGTGTTGAGACAGGTATATTAAGTTAGATTCTCTAGAACGGCTGGAAATATGCCGCCTCGTACCTAATCTATATGAATATAGAATACTATTCGGATTGATATGACCGGACTGGACTGTCTGAGGCGGTCTACGCAGGGAACCACAACGCAGATACTGAGACTCTTGCAAGCTTGAATCTGAACGCAAGCAGCGGATTTGCCCCTTTCAACCCGCTTATGAGGTCTCGCTTGCCGCCGTTATTCATCTCACAATGCCGAGCCGTCGAGACGACGTTTGTCTTTTTATAAAACGGATTTATACAGAAAGAGCGAGCAAGACAGAACAGGATCAAATTTGTAAGATTTCATTATCTTATGTGAGGCTAAAGCTGAAACCGTCAGTTGTATTTAAAAAGAAAAGTGAAGCATTCAATAGATCAAGAAGAAAAAGCAACGAGCGGATCGCAAACGATGCACACCCCCCCCATCTCATCTCCTCATCCTCGTTTTTATAGTTCGTAGCAAGAGGCAAACCGGTGGGCGCACTTCCAGAGGTCTTACAACACTCGCCCGGGGGAGTCGCACGAATCCGGAACCCCTAACAGCGACGGAAAAAACGTGACTAATATATAATCCACGTGACTAAAGCTTGAGCCGCAGGTGGAGAGCACGAGGAGCCGATTACGATGGGCGACTGATACGAGATTTTTTTTGATTGTTGGAGTTCGCCGCTGACTCTTCTTTCATTCTTTGAGGTCAATTCGCAGGATTTCGAATCAGTCCTGCGCTCTGCATATACGTACACACACAGACGAGATGTCGGACGACTTAAACCGGATCCTGGCGATATCGTCGCATGTGGTGCATGGCTACGTGGGCAATCGGGCGTCCACGTTCCCGCTGCAACTCCTAGGCTGGGACGTGGATGTGCTCAACACGGTCTCGTTCTCGAACCACACCGGCTACACGCAGTGGAAAGGCGAGCGTGTGACGGCCGAGATGATCACCGACATATACGAGGGCCTGAAATCAAACACGCTGACAGACTACGACGTCGTGCTCTCCGGCTACCTGCCCGGAGCCGAGGCCGTCCGCGCGGTCGGCCGCGTGGTCGAGAACCTGCGCAACGATCAACGCACGTCGCAGTACGGCCGCGACCAAATCATCTGGGTCCTCGATCCTGTGATGGGCGACGAAAATAGGCTCTACGTCGCGCCCGAGGTCGTGCCTGCGTACGAGAGCCTGCTGCCGCTCGCGACCGTCATCACACCGAACCAGTTCGAGACAGAGCTGCTGACCGGCACAAAGCTCTCGAGCGAGACCGACATCTTCACCGCACTCGCGATCCTCTACGACAAATTCCACACGCCAAATATCATCATCTCCTCGGCTGTGCCGGCGCAGTCAGAAACCACCACCACCACAACCTCATCATCCGAGTTCCTGTGCGCGGGACAGACGCTGCGGCAGGATGGCTCGCTATGCCAATTCTACCTCCGCCTGCCCTTCATTAACGCCTACTTCACCGGCACAGGCGACCTCTTCGCGTCCATGGTCGCCGACAAATTCTACAAGCACACGCAGCGGTGCAAGCAGACGTACCCCGCCGGCACCGCCATCCCGGACGAGGACCTCCCGCTCGTGCGCACGATCGAGGACGTGAGCGCGGTCGTGCAGGCCGTGCTGCTGAAAACGGCCGAGAGCGTGCAGAAATACAACGAGCGCGCGGACAGAGAGGCCGAGGTGTCTGGTGTGCCGAGGCCGGAGAAGGGAACAAAGGAGCGCAGGATCGCGGATATGAAGCATGGCGAGCTACGACTGACGCAGAACCAAGAGGTGTTTAGAAGCGTCAAGACTACAGTCAAAGCTCAATTCCATAGACAATAACATAATAGACTAGAAACCGTGCTCACAAATAAAATGGAAGCAAAATAGTCTTTTCGAACAATGGCTTATCTGTCACGCTTAAGTTCCATGCCTATAAAGACCCTCTTTTAAATGACTTTGCACGTTTATACTTGCTTGGATATACTACTTGGTTTGATATAATGTAAAAATTAGAAGATTGTAGATTCAATTGCGCGACTCCCATTTTTATAATTATATAAAAAAAAAATGCCAGAAAATACCCTTGAACTCCTAAAGTAGATATGTATACATATGAGAGAAACCAAGTCCAAGGACAACAATAAAGGAATGTGCCGACATAAATCTTAACCAACGAAACCCAGATAATACAAAAAGATACAAATACATATAATTAATCCTGTAAGATTTCACCTTTGACAATAGACCCAAACGCATATTAGATAGCCCAACCAGTAAAAGAAGATCAATCAGCCTTGACAAGTCCATACTGGATAGTATTAGGCAACGAATAAAAAGACAGTGGAGATTGACGGTAGAAACTTGTAGATATTTTCGTGTTTATTTAGAGATTCCCCGGTGGATGCGCTTATGCCGTCGCAGGTTGGAGACGACGCTGAAGCGACGGCCACACGAGTCGTGGTCGCACTGGAACGGCTTCTCGCCCGTGTGCGAGAAGATGTGGGTCTGCAAGCTGCTGGGTCTGGTGAACCGCTTGTTGCAGACAGGGCACTTGTGCTTCTTCTGCGATCCGGCCGAGGTGCGCGAGCTGAAGGTCGACATCAGGCTCTTTGCGTCCTTCGACGGCAGCGCAGTATAGCTCGCCGACGTCGCGAGCGCGGAGTCGGAGCCCGAGTCTGAGTCGCACGGGCTGTCGTGGCGGTCCCGCGACGAGAGCTCGATATCTGAAGCCGACGAGGCGTGAGGCTGGTGTGCGAGGACGTCATCCAGATCGTGGAGGAGGCTGGCGCCGCCGGCGAGATCGCCCATGGAGGCACGCATGCGGGGCTTGGAGTGCATGTGCGACATCTGGTCCTGGTTTTGCTGCAGACGCACGAGGCCGTCGTGCGTGTGCGTCATTGAATCAAAGAGGAGATCGAAGGAGTGGTCGTCGACCAGCCGGGGGCTGTATGAGGCCACGCTGTGCTCGTCTTTGAGCGCGTACTGCGGGTCGTGGGGAGAGCCAGAGTCATCGAGGAACGAGGAGGCGACGGTCGAGTGCGAGGTCGACGACTGTGGCGAGCACGAGTCGCCGCGATCGCTCGCGAAGCTGTTTCGTGATGTCTTCCGCCGCCGGGCGTAGAGAGGGAGGGCGGAGTTGGAGGGGGAGGTTGCGGAGCCAGGAGCGCGGATGTCGTCAGGCATGCAGAGCATTGGCAGCAAGCCAGCGGCAGCAACGGCGGCGGCAGCGGCGTTGTCAGAGTGGGTAGAGTCGATGCCAAGCGCGCCGACGGAGGCGGAGTGCGAGAGATCGAGGGTGAGAGGAAGGGAGTTGTCAAAGACCTGCTGCGAGTGAGGGCTGCTGCTGTTGACGACCGTGGAGGCGGGATCAATGGAGGAGGAGGAGGAGAAGACGACACCTTGTCGGTGCGAGAACGGGTCAGCGGCGGAGTAGGGATCAGAGTCGACGGAGGAGGCAGAAGCAGCGGCGGCCGCAGCCGCGGAGACGAGGAGGTCGTCTTCGGGCGGGATGGCGGAGGAGTGGGGGAAGAAGAAGGGGTTGACTGTGGAAGAGGAGGGGGTAGAGGAGAAGTTGTGGGCGGACCAGGGGAGGGAGGGCTGGTCGAGATCGGAGAGGCGGCCGGCGGAGAAGGGGTTGCGGAAGGCAAGGCCGCCGGGAGTGTCGAGGCCAGGAGTTTCAGCGAGGGAGAACATGGAGACAGAGGCCATTGGGGAGGTGAAGAGGGCAGAAGAGAGAGGGGGAGGGGGTTAGGACGAGATATACGAACTAGGCGGCGAACAAGCCGGTGGGCAGAGCATTCAATATAAAGACGATGCGAAGAAGGCCAAACCCCGCCCACGCGTGCGCCATCCCAAACACGAATTTGATGGGTGGGTTGGGCCGGGTACAGAGCGAGGCGCGGTACCTGCCGGCCCTCGGTATTCACGGCCGCTCACGTCTGAGCCACAGCTCATCTTTTCAAACTCGGAACTGACCTCCAGATTGCTGGGATCGCCGCCTGAGCGGACAGAGTTGATGGGCAAGGGCATTTCCGCCCAAGATGCGGCGCTGGCAGCTGGCACTGGGCTGGGGTTGGACGTGCGCCACAGCGTGTGATCTACGAGGGAGAGTAGGTGTACTGTTCGATAGAGAACTGCAAAAAAGAATTACAGAGCACTGCAGAGAACTGCAGAGAACTGCAAACAATCAAGATCAATACAGAGCACATCACAGCACAGTTATATCGACAGCTGCAATACTCTCATACATATATCAGAAGAAGGGTGGGCAAACGGAGGAGGCCGGTGGGAAGAAAGCCAAAGCCAAAACTGAGGAGGTGATTGGCCACGGAGCAGTTGTCCGCAGTACCATCGCAGCACTGACCACTGTTTAGCTGCCAGAGCGCTCGATTCGGTTGGGGACCTGGCTTTTAATTTACTGTCCGACTTGGTGCTGACTATGCCTGCCGAGTGGATGTTGTATCTGACTCTGGTGATGCTGTTCTGTAACTACAAACAACTGCTACTACTACTACTACTACTACTACTACTACTGCTACTTCTCTATCTAATCCACGCTCTCTTTCGCCGTCGGATGCCTGCTGCCCGACGTGCGGCGCCGCCCTTCCCCCCCTGCTATTCGCTCGCACCTCAGATCCGCTGCCCTGTCCTTTAGACTTCGGCACTTCCATCCTCACCAACTCCTCTGCCACGGATAAAATTGCCCTCGCTGTGCTCTGCAGGCACCTCGACAACTACCCGAGGAACATGCCGAGGCAAGGCTTGTTTTTGTCTCTCGCGCTAGAGAGTTGCGAGCTCGGCGGGCCCGCTGCTGTTCTGCGAGATCGATAGTCATCATCACCATACAAACGGTCCTTATTCATCTTACCCATCTTACTAGCATATTGTACGTCTACCTAATCCAGTTGTCCTTGGGAGCAAGACTTAGGGTATTCCGCGAGGAAGCGAACAAAATTCGCCCACTATTAAAGCTTGTCCAGGTCTACAACAGCGAGCAGAAGAAGATATGCAAACTGCCTCCCGTTCTGACGTCACCCTTCCGTCTTCTGTGTTCTGTCGCCCTTCTCGCTTTCCCTCGCTCCTCGCTCGCTCCCCTGATACTACCCGCCGCCCACTACGGTGCCGCTTCCTGAACCCTTCTTTTCATCTCGAGTTTGTCCCATTGTAACTATTCTCGCCCGACAGCCCAACATAACGGTTGGGTATTCCTTGTTTATTCATCCTCTTAACTACTTTCGTAACTGTTCTCGCCCACCGCCGGAGAACGTACTTCTTCTGTCTGCCCTTTCCCTCTCCTGTCCAGCTCTAAGCGTATCTTGCACATCCTTCACGGAAAAACCTGCTGTCATTTGTCAAAATACGGATGCGACTGTCCCGATGATTCTCTTCCATGTCTTTGTCTGCGACTGTCATCTTCCTATCACGGACAACTGTCCCGCTATCGCCGTCTCTGTCACGCTGTCCCTCCAGCGTCACCGCGAGAAGAAAAATAGATTACCGCTAAGCAGCTATATCGCGGGTTTACCCGAAACTGAAGGCCATGTACCACCCTGGAATCACTCAATTATACTCTCACAATGCTGACGACGATCGACGTCACTCATCTGGAGAACGTGGAGAACTACATGATAGCGAATGTGCTATTAATCGCAGTTTGACCGTTTGTTGTTCGTTCAGAGGGTCTTTCGGAGGTTTAGGCAGGCTATGATATGAAATGCATTCGACCCTTTGAGAACATTCAGAACATACTGATAACGTACTGCAGATACTTCATGTATTGCAATTATCGTGAGCATGACCGGGAATACAACTACCTCTTTCCAGATCAAAAACAGACCTCGGCCGAAGAATAAACTACAAACTACAAACAATGAGCCACTGAGATCCACAATGACACCTGCGATGCGATGATGTCAGAAGTAAATGTCCAGCCGCCCTCAATTCATTTGTTCTATAAGCCTCTCGTATTAAAAGTACCATGAACCTACTCGTCTAACAACGGAAAAACAATCGTTCGGAAAAAAAAAGTTGTAGATCTAGAGTACTGTACGGCGGTGGAAGACAGCATCACATGAAGATGAGTGAACCGTCATTGAGCGGAACGGTCCCCCAACCTTAACTTGACGTCACGCTCTCGCCATCAGCAAAGATGATGAGTTAACTTATTCGTAAGAAGTGAATTGCAAACACTGAGAAAGCCTTCGGCAATAGACTTTGCCCTCGAAACTAGTCGGTCGTAGCCCACAGCCACCTGTGCAGAACGACCGATTGGGAGGTCATCGCCCGAGAACCAGCACCTTGGAAGTACGCCTTCTTTGGGTGATCTCCCTGCGGAGCCACAGCACACTTGCTTCCGCACATAGACTAGCGCTTAGCGCGGGTTGTGCTTCTGTGGATGCGTCTTCTGTCTAATCGTGACAGGCTTCTGTCATTCCGTACTTTTTCCTCTGCTTCGTTATCTTCGCTGCCACATGGGCAACAGGGCCTGGGTGCCACCCTCCCCAAAATTGAATTGTTGGGATTAATCCCTCCTGTGACGAAGTAGCTTGGTCGAGAGGGCTGGGGTTCTATATTGAGCGATAGTTGAGTAAGGTTTGCAGTGGAAGCGTAATAGGTTGATTAGGTCAAAGATGGGTTCAAGGAAGCTGGCTACTCCGGCTTCCTTTTATATCTACTTCTTATCTCTTTCCCCTGCTCCTACTCTGAAGGATTGCCAGATCCGGCGAATGGTCTAATCCTGGCATCGTATGATTTGTAGCTACTTCCAACTTCCTATCTATCCGGCCGAGGCCTTGTGGGGCCGTCTGGCTGTCGGGCGATAGAAGTCGGTAAGGTTCGCGAGGTCAAACCAGAAGATAAACCTTAATTAGTCATCTTCGTGACACTCCCCCCTCCAGGCGATGTCTAGTCTTGCGACATCGACGGCACGTTAGTAGGTTGTTTCTTAGCGTCCCAGAACAGGATGGCTTGTTCAGGTACGTATCGAGATTCAGCCCAGGAATTGTCAGACTCTGGAGCGTTTTTTCATTTGCATAGAAAACGTCGACCATTGTTGATACCTGTGGGTTCTTCAGCGATGATTTCTTCGAGCTCAAAGAAGTCGGAGGGATCACGCAAGTTCCTAGCTCGTTTTAAACGAGTGTTGTAAGAGGGCGCGGGGTCCGCGGCCTCGGGTTCGTAGTATTTCTTAATGCGCTCGATGTTAATTACGTCGTGGCGACGGCGATCCTTAAAGTCGAGTGGCGAACATTGTTAGGCGGTTCGAGGGAGAGGATCGTAAACGGTCCGAAGTACGGGTCTTCGAAGGCAGAGAGATGTGGATCAGTACGCCGTACCAATACCTTTTCTCCTACCTTGAAGGTCGGTGGGGAGGTTCTATGACGATCATACGCCAGTTTCTGCTTAATCTGAGCTTCGTGCATAGAGTCTTGGACGCGGGCCCAGACACTTTGCAGGTCGTCAGTATAGTGTTGATCTTTTAACGTTGTTTGGGGAATGATTCCATGGAACGAACGTGGAGAATATCCATAGAGCGCTTCGAATGGGGACATCCCAATTGATGTATTAGGGGCTTGGTTATACGCGAATTCTAGCAAGGAGAGGTATGAATCCCAGTCCTTTCGCTGAGTGCGATCCAAGGAGTGCTTTATTAGGTTCTTCAAGATTCCAATTGTACGTTCTGACTGTCCATCCGTTTGCTGATGCGAAGCGGTTGACATCAAAGGCGTAATATTGAATTGGTCACGACATCGGTTAACAAAAGCGGAGGTGAAGGCGCTATCCCGGTCTGAGACGATCGTGTCAGGAAGGCCGTGCTTTGAGAACACATAGTCGATCAGGTCGTCAAAGATTTCGGCGGCTGTGCGAGTGGACTTCATGGGGATAAAGATTCCGAACTTTGTTAGGCGATCCACAACCACTAGAATTTGATTGTTACCGTTAGTCGTTGTCTGGGCAATCACGGCGAAGTCCATACTGATAGACTTGAACGGAACTGCGGGAATAGGCATTGGCTGCAACAGACCGTAAGGCGGTTGGTGCGGTACTTTGGTTCGTTGACAGGAGTCGCACTGGCGCACAAATTTCATGACATCGTTGTACATGTTTGGCCAGTAGAAATCTTTGGCTAGTTTCGAATGTAAGGCGTGAATACCGGGGTGTCCTGCTGTAACGTAACAGACGAGTGGTATTCTTTGAGGAATAGTTTCGGTAGGCGATTACCCGGAATGCAGAGTCGCCACGGGGCAGTCTCCTGCAAGCGAAGGTAGATAAGGCCCTCACGGTAATCGTAACGCGACAAGAGATTGTCGGCCACATACGTTTCCGCGTTGTTTCTCTGCTCTAGTTGAGCAATGAGATTCTTCCATTTCGGAATGCTTTGGTATTCGCTTCGGATTTCATTCAAGCCCACAGGGTATTGGATAGTTTAGGGAAGTCGCGTTGACGTGCGAGACGTCGTCGACTGGGATCCTTGAGAGTGCGTCCGCGACGACATTCTCCTTGCCTTTTCGGTAGTGAAATACCGGGTGATAATCGGCGAGCTTCTCGACCCACCTCCGTTGGCGGTCGTTTAAGATGGATGCGTTGGTAAGTATAGCAGAGATTTGTGGTCGGTAAAGACATCAAATTCCTGACCAGCGAGAAACGGTCGCCAGTAAACACAAGCTTCGACGATAGCAAGGGCCTCCCGATCATGAGTCGGATAGTTCCTCTGATGCCGATTCAGTTTCTTGGAGAAATAGGCCACCGGGTGCCCATCCTGCAGAAGCACGGCGCCGATGGCAAGCAATGAGGCGTCGGTTTCGATAGCGAAACGCTTGGAAAAGTCAGGGTGGCGGAGAACCGGGGCGGAAGTGAGAGCTTTCTTCACGACCTCGAAGTCAGCTTGAAGCTCAGGAGTCCAACGGAGCGTCCTTCCATTCGCGGCTGCTGAGGTGAGTCGGCTCGAAAGTTGCGCATAGTCTCGCACGAATCGGCGGTAGTAATTAACCACACCCAGAAAGGATTGAAGGTCCTTAACAGTGCGCGGCACCGGCCGATCCAAAATCGCAGACATGTGTCGGGGGATGGGCAGCAGTCCCGAACCGGAGACAATATGTCCTAGAAACTCGCAAGACGCAGCACAGAGCGTTGTTTTCTTAGGCTTCACAACCAGAGAGTTGTCAGAGAGTCTTTTCAACACTGAGCGTAGGTGCTGCAAGTGTTCTTCCATTGTTCTCGAGAATACAAGAATATCATCCATATACACGATAACGAAATTATCGAGGACGTCGTCAAAGATACTGTTCATGAACGTTTGAAATGAAGCCGGCGCGTTGGTGAGACCAAACGGTAGCACGGTAAATTCATAGGATCCGTAGCGTGTAGTTATCGCCGTCTTATGTTGATCCGCAGGGTGCACCGGTATCTGCCAGTAACCGCTGGTGAGATCCATTTTGGAAAAGATCTTAGCTCCTCCGATTCTATCTAAAAGTTCGTCTAACCGCGGGAGCGGGTAGCTGTTGGGAATCGTTTGTTTGTTAAGTGCGCGATAATCGACGCACATCCGAAGGGACCCATCAGCCTTCTTAACGAACAGGACTGGGGCGCCATACGGACTCTTTGATGGTTTGATCATACCTGCCTTTAGGAGGTTATCGATCGTTTTCCGTAACTCCTCGAGCTCACGCTGAGAGAGGCGGATGACTCCTTTGCGGGGGGGGGGGGGATGAGCATCCTCTCCTGGTTTCAGCTCGATTCTATGTTGAAATTCGCGGCTAAGGACTTTGCCCATGGGAACCGTCTCCGTAAAGGTGTCCTGGAACTCCTTCACCAACTTCTCCATTTCGGCTTCAAATCCCGCCAGGAATTCTGTCTCGACGGTGAGTCCCTTAGCGCTGTCCGGAAGCTCGAAAGGTACCGCCGTTTCTGACACCTGAGTGCCGTTTTCGTCCTGCCTGACCGTAACAACGAAGGCTTGGACATCTGGGTTCAACGCGCGTTTCTTAAGATGCTTCTTGAACTGCTTCATCGAGCATAGCTCGATAAGTTTATCTGCGCTATTAACTTTGGGGTGCTCTTTGGCGAAGGGAATCGTCAGATGATTCAGCTTCCCGAGTGTGAGCGTTTCATTTTCTAGGTTCAGGATTCCGCCCCATTTCTTCAGAAAGGGCATGCCTAGCAGCGGATTTCCATCCAGGCTGGGTAAGACATAAAAGCGGATGGAGAACTGATGTTCTCCAAAAGCGAGGGTAAGATCGACTGTTTTGTGCGCGACCACAAGTCCGTTAGGAGTTGCGATAAAGCGCGGTCGATCGAAGTGATGGTTCTTGGGTTTCAGATTATGTTCTGCACAGAAGTGGGCGCTAATCGCGAACGATGAGCAACCAGTATCAATTGTGACGAAAATGGGTAGGTTTCCGAACTTCATTTGAACATAGACAGTGTCAGCTTCTTCGGGTAGTTCAGATTTCTATTCGCCGTGGTACTAACGTTACGTGCACTAGTAAAGTGGAGACCACTAATGAACAGAGGTTCTAAAGTTTCAGGGGGAGACGCTGAATCAGGGTTTAAAGGAACTGTATTATTATCACTAAGACCATTGACACAATTACCATCACTAGCCACGTCCTCACAATCCATCACATCAGCTGATTTAGACTCAAAAGTCTGCGCGCTGTTCACCTTACCGAATCCGGCCGAGTCTGCGACATCCATCACTTGGACTCCTTCGACTCTCTGGACTTGGTGAGGTTCTTCTTCTGTGGATTGAGGAGTGTTAGCGTCTGCTTCTTGAACTTTTCGCAACTTTGGGGAGTTTCTTACCCATTTCTCGGGGAACTTGGACTTATCCTTATGCCAGCACTTGGATTCGGAGTGCTTCTCCGCGTGGGGACGACCATGATCGAGGCAGTATTGGCACGGGGCCTTGTCCTTGCTCGGGGTTTTGTCGTCCTCAGCAGCTCGCTTGCCAGCGCGCGGTCTCGGTCCTTGTTCCGGTCCATTTCCATTCTTCTGGTAGTGTGCCAGGTAAGTCGGAGAGTCGTCGTTTTCGTCGTAATTGCACGGTCCGTTGAAACGAGTCCATCCTCCAGTGCCGTAGTAGGACTCATCCGTCAAGTCGGCACAGACAGCCTTCATGACCTCAAAGTCCCACGTATTCGCCGACTGCTTGAGCTTGCGGTACAAACGCGGATTCGTACAGTGGAAACGCGCAAGCTGGCACAACCAAACACCAAGTCCACGCGGAATCTGGTCGTTGAGCTTCTCCAGACGAGTGAGCCACTCATAGGGCGGTTCGTTTTTCATCTGGAAGGCACCGAACACGCGACCAATCGGATTGAGATCGTCCTCTTCCTCAAACTCCTGAGCAAGGAAGCGGTAGATATCCAACAAAGTAGTGTCCGGGTGGATTCGCCAGGCACGGTACTTCGCAAGCTTGCTCTGCGCCATGCCAGTAAGGCAACTCATCAAGGTCGTCTTGATCTCGGAGTTTTTGTACTTCGCGAAGTGGTCCTCGACGTGCGTAACAAACTCGAAGTAGAAGGCGTAAAGGCGCTCCCTCTTCTTCGTCTTGTCGTTGCTCTTGCGCTCCCCCGAATACTTCAGGGAGGCAGGGACCTTCATCGGCAAATGGTTCCTCGATTCGTGATCCTTCGTGGTGATGGTCGTATCGTCGCTGAGCGGCTGCTCCTCACAAGGCGCGACGAATTCCCGGGGGAACCATGATCAAGGGGATCATCGGGGGCTTGGACGGCACCACCTGCTTCTTCGCCGGCTGCTTGGATTTCTCCGGAGCGGGCGGATTCGCAGGAGTCGACTTCGACGCGTCGTCGACCTCCATGGCTTCCAAGGATGCTTCGAGAGATTCAATCTCCTCGACGGAGGGATCCGTGGTGAAGTCGATCGTGATATCGGGCCCATTGGGGGACGAGATAGTCAAGACCTGAGGCACCGTTTCGTTGGATGGTGCCTGGGTCGTGGCTGCATCGCTACCATGTGACGAAGTAGCTTGGTCGAGAGGGCTGGGGTTGTTGGTGGAAGACATTGAGCGATAGTTGAATAAGGTTTGCAGTGGAAGCGTAATAGGTTGATTAGGTTAAAGATGGGTTCAAGGAAGCTGGCTACTCCGGCTTCCTTTTATATCTACTTCTTATCTCTTTCCCCTGCTCCTACTCTGAAGGATTGCCAGATCCGGCGAATGGTCTGATCCTGGCATTGTATGATTTGTAGCTACTTCCAACTTCCTATCTATCCGGCCGAGGCCTTGTGGGGCCGTCTGGCTGTCGGGCGATAGAAGTCGGTAAGGTTCGCGAGGTCGAACCAGAAGATAAACCTCAATCAGTCATCTTCGTGACACACACCCTGCCCGCGTCCGAACTACGACAGAAAACGCCCGCACGCGCAAACATGCAACGTTAATTTTTAAGGTTAACCGTCTGAGACTCTCATGTCTGGGTGTGCGCGGGTAGGAGCGTGGAAAGATGGGGGAAGCTGTCTTAGACATGGCGCAGCGGTGTGGAAGATGTGGTAGTGTGGCGAGGGTATCTGAGCTCGGTGGCAAGATTCCAGCTGTGTGAGGGGTTGGTGGGCGCGTGGGCTAATTCACGAAAACATCACAACCAAGCACTGCGCGCCATACACATTCGCTCTCTCACCTTTCCATCAAGAGATGGGAAATAGAACAGGAGGATGGCGAGCGAGGTGTGGCAAGCCATCGTACTCGTCGTTACACGTCTAAGATTTAAGGTTAAGTTATTAAAGCTTCGTGCGGCGATCGTAGGGAAATAGAGGAAGGAAAACGTGGGTCTCGTCTGAGATCAAAAGTCTAAGAAAGGGATAAGCTCGGCCGAGATTCGAGAGTGGCAGTCGCAGCAAGCCCAACATTCTGAAGATATCGCTTCGTCTGCTTGTGCAGTAACAAAGCGGCCGTTCAAACCAAGAGCCCAAACGTGAAAAAAAATAGGAAATCACGACAGACACGTCTGTCATAGTCTGTGATATCTCTTACGGCTTTGTCACCTGCACCAGCCACTGCAGCCAAGCTGGCAAAAGAAACGAGACGGCATCTTCCGAACACAGGAGGATCTGAGGTTGTCTACTTCTTTGCGCCCGGAGCCTTGGCCAGATTCTGGCCAACTCTATTACACGCTCATGAGCCAGGGATTGCGCGTGGATACCTGTTAAGGTTCTCGTAAGGCTCGTAATTCTACCTAGAATAGGACAAGCTGCAAATCACAGTGGATCGGTAGTCTCCTATCACTTATCACCCACCCGTCGAGGCTGATTTTTATTATCTTCCTCCCACGCAGATGAGGGTGGGTGGGAAAGGCACGCGGGTGGCTTCACATGGCAGAATACGACGGGAGAAGATACCGCTTCCGGAGTTGGCCCACCCAGACGCAAACTAAAACTCTGGGATCCGGACAGGATCTGGTGGGTTGACAGGCTCAGGCAACACATGGGGGGGTGAGATGTTTCACCGCAGTTCAACGTATATTAAGGGCAGGAAGCAAGAAAACGGGGTGTCTTACTGGCAGTTCCTGGAGCCTAGTCTGTATCGTCGGTATGCAGGCACGTCGTCGTCGCGGTGTAGAAGAACAGCAAAGTAGCAGGGTGACAGAGCAGTGACTAAGAAAATAAGTAAAACGGGCCCGAGCGCGTGCTGAGCCACGTACTATGCTTTCTAGCTTCGTCCAGCATACCTGGCGGGCACACCCATGCCTCTGCCAGCAGGTGCAGCGGTCGACTGCTTTAGTCGCCCTTAGCTCTCAGTTGAATTTAATGGTCTTACCAGCTTCTGTCGAAGCCTGTCTTCTGGGATGTCGTGCTGTCAGACACGGTGAATCATGTCTGAAGATCTATCTGATCTGATCTGATTTAGATCTGGATCATCTAGAGTTGCAGATGGTGCTCATAATTGCTTTAATATGCTCGCTCTCTCTACCCGCTGGCCTCCCTTACCAGCCGCCGCCATGCTCGGATGTCAGATAGTGCTCAAAAGGGGGCTAGTTGAGTCACCCGCGCAATAACTATGGCATCGAGCAGATCGCGCAAAGGCAAATATACGCGGGAGTCCTGTCAAGTCTAAGATGAAAAATAAGCATTTGGCGTGTTTGTTTGGTGCTTTAGTTCCATATCGTTGCGGGAAGTACCTAGCGACGGGAGCTCGCTCTCCTTATTCCCGTACTTCCCTCCGTATCCTTGCTCCAGTAATCTCTCTGAGTTTGCAGTTCTACATCTGCAATGCGCAAATAAAAGGACTCTTCTGACAACATCCAGATACGACGTGCACCGCGTGCACCGCACAAAAAGCACTCTCGCCCTAACTGCATCGAGGACGTATTTGATGATAGCGCTTCTCCCATGGCAGCGGTCGCGCTCGCGGACTTTAACCGGGGACAATTCGGGAACATCTGCAACGCGTGAGCCGCGCGTGCCCGTGACCAGAGAACATGGTCATGGACATGGACATGGACATAAAGAAAAGCGCGCGAGAAATTGTCTAAATAGGAATAAAATAACACATCAAAATCAGGACATGAAATGGTAGTCTCTTCATGGCTGTTAGGATGTGAAGCGCGCGCCGTCAATTTCGAGGCAAAGCCACGACGACGGCTGCGCCTGCGGCAATCAAAACAGACAAACTCGATATCAGCAACCGCCGCAATAACCGCACAAATATGTGTAAATAGATTGCCAATAGACCGTTCATAGTGCATGCATCCTGCGATTAATGGTAGCAAAACACAGTTCCTCTCAGCACCCAGCCGGCTCGGCGCGTGGCGACATCGCGCGCACGGATCTCGCGCGCCACAGGCCAATAAGCCTCTGTTCGTCACGCCCCGCGCGCGGGAAGGGCAGCTACGAGATGTGGCGCAGCAGCGGTACTGCGTCCAAAAGCCTCTTCAGGAGGCCCACCCGCGCGCCCTTCGCGTTAGTTCGCTTTGGGCTAAGTTTAGTTACCCTGACTTTGCGCGCGCGCTCGAATCTAGTTTTGGGTAAACGTGTCTCAGGCTGAGACCACAGTCCGCTGTGCAACAGGCCTCGGGGCTTCCGTTCTGGGGGCTCGCTCTCAGCCGCAGCATCTGGAGATATAAGAGAAACCCATCCACGGTGGGCCTAAAAGGGTGCATCTGAAGCGAGCAGCACCCATCCAGATCTACGGCCACATGACTCGTGATGATCCTTAGCGATATCCTCTGTTTCTTCGCCCGAGAGCGTTCTCGTTCTGGTCGTCTTCCCCGGACTGGCTCTTATCGTGTACCGTCTCCCGTCCTCGCTCTGGTGGACCAAGACTGCGCGGCTGGACTGACTTCCAGCAAAAGCTCAGCAAGAGCTGAAAACGGTACTTCACAACCCAACTCTGACGTATGATTTAATTTTCTCAGTCAGTCTGTCAGTCTGTCAGTCTGTCATTCCACGTTCCACTCTTCTATAGAAAAATATCAGGCAGAAAACTGAATGCGAGCGATGGCAAAAATCCTTGGCGGTCGTCGAAGTCCAAGCCGCACGTTTACTGCCATGAGACGAAGACCAGGTGGAGACGATGTCTTGTCCTTCGCTTAAACTACCGCTGGGATACATACACTGTAGAAAGATGACTGAAGCTCGTATTTCTTATATACATAGAGAAGGGTTATTGTTGATCTTTTGTTAATTCGCGCGACTGCTGTGCTCGATATGAGAATGAATCCGAGAAGCATGAGAGGAAACGGCTATGGGCGGGCGGTCATTGCGTCTCTTGATTGCTCGTGCACTTCGCCTTCGTATCTGCATCGCCGTCTCCCCTACGGAAACGGGGATGGTGGCAATTATATTAATAGCTAGGTACTTGTACTTCTCCCGCGCTGGTATGAGAAAAAAATGCGTGCGACGGCCCACCTGTTCGAGCTTTGACATGGCCCACACGCGCAGCATCGACGGGCACGTTGCGAACGTGTCGTGAGTTCTGGGATGGGAGAAGAAGTGCGATAGAAGACTAGGTTTAAAACACAGCGTAGTAGGTAAACCCTGGAGATATTGCGGCTTGTGTGGAGATCCTTAAAGTTCTCGCTGGTTTCAGGGAAGGATATATAGCATGAATCCTATGAAACGATATTACGAGTGTTTAAGAGTGTCTTATGAAGTATGATGATGATGATAAATCTCTGTTTTAAGTCTTATGAAGTATGTGAAGCGGGTATGAACTCGTATGAAAGCGGCGGTATTCGCTTTCGCAGATGCTTTCGCAGAGTAGTGACACTTCAGGCAGCTAATCACCCATCTCTCGTTCCGAATCCACAATCACAGCGAGATATGAAACTAATTTCGAAATCTGATATTAAAAAGACCACGTCCTTCTTCATATTCATTTCATGACATCATCGTCGGTAATCCTCAACCGCCTCTTTTTTTCTTGGTCTTGTTCATATAGCTAGTAAAATACCAAGTAATTAATCAGATATGAAACTGAGAGAGCGACGCAATATTTTCCTCAAGAGCACCCTGTGATTATTCCTTCCATAATTTCCATGGTCGCACGATTAGCGTTTGCATATATTATAATCGAAGACGGTGAAATGGGCAGAAGCCTGAGGCAATTGGCGATTCTGTGACGAAGTAGCTTGGTCGAGAGGACTGGGGTTGTTGGTGGAAGACATTGAGCGATAGTTGAATAAGGTTTGCAGTGGAAGCGTAATAGGTTTTAGGTTAAAGATGGGTTCGAGGAAGCTGGCTACTCCGGCTTCCTTTTATATCTACTTCTTATCTCTTTCCCCTGCTCCTACTCTGAAGGATTGCCAGATCCGGCGAATGGTCTGATCCTGGCATCGTATGATTTGTAGCTACTTCCAACTTCCTATCTATCCGGCCGAGGCCTTGTGGGGCCGTCTGGCTGTCGGGCGATAGAAGTCGGTAAGGTTCGCGAGGTCGAACCAGAAGATAAACCTTAATTAGTCATCTTCGTGACAGATTCCGCGTGCTCAAGAGTCGGGCGAATGCCACTCGTTTTTGCTGGATTCGGCAAAGTTAGTTCTCTCTCGCCCGCGCAGGACACGCGTGTCTGCCATTTCGCGAAATACTCTTCCTGCTTCCTCAATCTTTTTCTCGTATTGTGAATTATTGCTGAGACTGCCTTGACAAGTGCGGGTGGATGTGGGGGGCCGATGGAGGATTCAACCCTGATTTCCTGATTTGGCACTGCGTATATCCGCCTCTTTACGTATTCGCGTCATATTCGCAAAATTTCATACTACAGACTTTCTCTTCATCCCAGCAACATCAACTATCCTCCTAGTTTTCACATCTGGTCAATTGAGCTGATTCTAGAGTCTACGACCTCGATATATGCATATGAATTCAGTGCTCAGGTGCGCTTCATCCACTTACGCGAAGAATATCCGCGTACACGCGATCTTAACACCGAAGCTCTTGGCTATCGACTCATACATCCTTGAGTCCTCTCGATTCCTTTCTCTTTGCGACTAGACTGATCACACTCTCTTTCTTCTTTTAGGAGCAAGTATGATTTATGCGGAATCCGCGTTGGAAGTTCGTCTTCACCAGCTGATCCCAGATCACGAGTTGTTCATTTATCGCCATATGCAACAAGGATAGATACTTAAACCTCCACAGCTTCTTCTACACCTCGTCAGTCATCTGTCTCAGAGAAGTCTTAGAAGTCGGAATCTAGCCAGCCCTTTTGCGATATATGTTGCTTCTTGTATTCCGTTGGAGCTTGTATTTGTAGCACCTGTGGTTTGTAGCCTGAATAAAGCTGTTCGTACACCTCTCCTGCACCTGCGCGTTCTGTGCATAGCATCTTGCATTAACGCCGAGCTCAAGTGTCTCACCTCTCTCAACTCTTCACCCACCATTCAAAACATAAGCAAATTCCCAAGACCTAGAAAGTAGAAAGAAGAAGTCTCGTATTGTCGAATAGTGATTACGTAGCACCCAAGCCTTGCCTTCATTTCCATCACGTCAAACCGTTTCATTCGCAACCTTGATTTCTCCTGGGCGTGGCCCCGACCCCGATCAAAAGTTCATTTTTCCCCGATGACGCATTTCCCCCTCCTCCTCCGGCAGCCCCCCCCCCAACCATCCCCCACGTCTACGAAATTTTCAGATTGCACCTATGTCACAAAAACGAGACAGCAGCGGGCCAGGCACAAATTGGCAGATACGAGCGTGTTCTTTGGTAATGAATGAGAGCTTAAAAATATGCGGACTTGCGAGTTGGCTAATACTGAAATCGCGCGATCAATGGACTCGATGGACCCACTGTGCAGCACTGACATGAGTACAGCCCAGCCTGGCGCGCGCTCGGCCGACAGTTATTGACGGAAAGGATGTGATCTATTGCTCTTTAGCTCTCTGAGCGTGCGAGCTGGAGGCAGGCACCCCCGCGTGAGTTGTTCTTCGGCGATTTGGTATGGTTTGGTATTAAGATATCTAGTTTTACGAATAGTCGATTTCCTAAAGTACAAGCTGCTTTCTGAAAAACCAAGAGGTATGAACCGGAGATTGAAATGGAGTTGGTGCTCTCTGGTAAGGTCGTCCGATGTACTTCTTGAGAGCGCAAAGCGGGCCGCGAAATCTGTTCGAGCCAGGCACGAACTGATCGCGACGTGACCCTGCGCTGCCGTCGCAAGAACAGGTACTTGTTCTGCTCCGTTCGCCCCACGACCGCAGAAGTGAGATAGCAAAAGCAACCTCAGACGGGGATAGGAGTGAAACTTCCGCCAGAGTTTTGGATGGACTCGCCGACTAGGTGTACCTAGATTGCTGGATAGTTGACCTACCTGATCTCATCTCCAGTCGGCTCGTCAAACGCGTTTCTGGCAACACCGACCACGGCCGCGAAACACCTTCGAGACAGCACTCCCGTCTTTCAATTCGCAGATTTATACAGCCAGACATATTCATAAGTAACTACTTCAAATATCTGTGTTTTCTGGGTTCATCGAACTGCAACAGCGCTTCCGATTCGCGGCATGGTGAAGAACGTGTAATCCTCCACAAGACGCGCGAGTGTTCAGATACCTTGTAACTCCTCCTAGCTCTCTTATTAGCTCTGGACAGTAGTTACTGACTCTATATACTCTCTCACAGCTAAGTAGTTATCACCCGATACTTTCCTGCATGAAATTACCACGTCCGCTGCTTTGACCTGAAATCCCACAGAGACTGAGAAATTGCAGACTACTGTGCTGATTACTAGACCTCGCTCTTATTTCTTGCTCTGAATATAAATGCATGACGTTAACCTTTGCTTCTAGTTTCTCTTCGTAGCTCCGTATAGCGCGTTGATCGGTTTATCACAGCCCTCTCCGACAACATCTATCTCATCTACGGTATCCTCCGAGACCAAATACATCCACAACTACCCATTGCCCACAAACGCCAACAAATACTCTCAATACCGATCAGTAATCTAGCACAGATAATCTCACTAACGTCACTAAGCCTGAGACCATATAGCACGATCGTGATCAAGCCCGACGATGCTTGCTAGCGAGTTAATTCGCAAACATCCAGCCAGGATCGCATCGAAATTGCTTTTGTATAGCATACGGCCCCAGTAATCTCGATATCCAATCTCTCGTTTTTCCTAAACACTGCTGTCGATTTCCATAGCTCTCAATATCATTAAACTCGCCTTAAAAATAAGGAAGCAAGCACCACGAAATCTACAACACCACCCTCGTCGAGTCCGCATCGTCGCCTACTGATTTGTTTTATTTCTACGTTCACAGACGGGCAAGACATCCCATTACCAAATAAAGTTTCTCAGCGCTCTCCTGTTTTTGTTGTAAAATAGTGTAGGTGGAACGTAAGCGCAGGGTAAATACACCACGAAAACTTCGCGCGCTTTTCAAGCGTACAGCAGAAGCGCGCGCTGTACTGAAAGTCAAAGCTGTCGAGAAGAATATATCTTTATAGAGGTCTCAGCCACTACTCCTGCATTCGCGTTCGGACGATATTACAGAATAAGAAGTCTGCTTTGGATTTTATGAGGATTTGGACGGAGGTCAAGGAGATATAGGTTGATCTGTTTGTTTTTCGGATTCGGCAGCTGGCTTGATTGCCGCTAGCTCTTGCAATTTACTCCCCCATCGCCAATTTCCGTTTCACGAATACTCCCGTCACCTCTCTCTCTCTCTTTTTGCTTAGATTCACAAAACATATCGGCAATTGATATATCAAAGATTCAATGGCGTCAGCATTCCGGAAAGCGTACCAACACGCACAGGCGAACCAAGGTACACTAAAGTACGCAGGACGAACGATCGCGATCGCTTTGACATGGGTGCCAGTCGTGGCCTACGTTGCGAATCATGTGGTGTGGATCGGAGTAATTGATGGGTCTTCCATGACGTATGTTTTCTTTTCTGATGTTTTGGAGAGTGGATTACTGAGCTGATGGGTTGTGGTTGTTAGACCTACGTTGAATCCGGAGTCGAACGGGCTGAGAAGAGATATTGCATTGCTATGGAAGCTGGGGTTGAAAGAGTACAAGTCATTTCATCGCGGCGATGTTGTCGTACTAAGGTATGCTATCAAGTGGATCGAGATCTTGAGACCTCTTGACTCTCTCAAAGAGCACTCTCAACAGAAAATTACAAAGGACTGACGCTTGATTGCCTGTGATTAGAAATCCACGAGATCCAGAGACATCGGTCGTGAAGCGGATCGTTGCGCTCGAGGGCGAAGAAGTTCGGACACGGTTCCCGTATCCTGAATCTACATGTCGCGTACCACAGCACCATTTCTGGGTAGAAGGCGATAACATCCATTCTGTCGACAGCAACACCTACGGACCGGTATGTATTCCTTTCTCCGGAGACTTATCGTACGAGTCTCTCCGACCGTATCAGTAAAGATGGAAACTAACCCTTGTTTCTCAGGTAACCTGCGGTCTCATCACAGCACGCGTCACACGCGTCCTGTTCCCGTTCGGAAGAGCAGGCCTAGTGCCAAGGACAGGCGGTCGCGATCCTCGAGAAGTACTCGTCAAGAGCGAATTACCGTTCAGCACTCCCCCGCCATGGCTGAAAGGCGGGAAGAAGACGGAAAAGGAGTAGCTGTGCTGGATGGTGTAGAGAGGTGCGCTGGTGTAGGATGCGTGGATTGGCTTTGATAAGCTAGATGTACATAGTAGATTAGCATTATATACAGATTCTTGATTGATCGCTGATATTGTCCAGATTATCAGACACTAGTGATGATTAGGCTGACACAGTAATTGCACTGCCATATACAAGTATATATCTTGAAGTGTCAAAATCTTGATCTATCAAATCCATCCCATTCCGTTGGCCGAAGCCACTTCCGGACAAATCCCGGAGCCAACCGATGGTGCCCTGCCGCGCCACCTGCTCTTCAGATGTGATATCCCATCACTTTTATGGTATTCTTGTCTCTAATATCCTGTTTCTGAAAGCATCTGCTTTCTAATAGACGTGAATGTCATGGTGTAGGAACGGTGTGTGGATCGGAGTTAAGACCCGATTAGATGAGGTCGCGCGAAATACAGCGGTGGTCCAGCCAGACAGCATGCCACTTCCACAACGCCGATTCTACTTTACAAAAATTCTTTTGTAAGTTTTTTCTGATTTTCATTTTCTATTTGCATTCCAATCAACAATTATTGATCTAGAGGGTTTATGTGGTCAGTCAGATAGACATCGGATTGAATATCTGTTAGAATTGATTTCAAGCCTGGCGCGGCTCGCGCCCAAGCTACGATCAGCTAACAATAGCGCCGAGTTACCGACCGACTGAGTCCTACGGGTGCTGGTGCGTACACAGGGCAGCAGCAACAATGCTCATCTCTACAAAAACCGCAATAACAGCCTGCACCAAAAGGCGAGATTCCCTGCCTCAACTACACCCAGCAAGCGTACATGTTTGTGATCTACCGCCGCCGACCTGCTTTCGAACTGAAGTTGAACAGCAGTGGCTAATGACCGGCAATGAATGGAACTAGGCGCTGTCCCGTTAGATCCATAGGGCGAACAGGGGGAAATTCCCTATTACCTTTTAAATTTATAAAAAGCTAGTGTCCTGTTTGGGAAGAACTGCAGCTTGCCTTTTCGATACAGCAGAGCTGGCATAATCTTCCGGGGGAGAATCGAAGGTAGTGTCATGCAGATATCTTAGCCTGTGGTTAGTCGTGCTTCCGACATCCTGACGGCTGACTACAGCATCACCGCCGCCCTTGCATGATGTCACCCACCCCCGTGCCCGGACATAGCCGTTTGGCATTTCCGTCCGACCGTCAAAAGTCGGCGAGGATAAGATTCCAGACCTGCGCAAGGTATTCCGCGAAACCGTTAGCTGTGGCAGGCCGGGCAGCCACGAACTACGAACTGGAGTGATCACACAGAGGTGGGCTCAGGTGGGCAGCGTGTCTCCAGGCCACCGACGAAACCCTCCCGAGCGCCGAGCAGACCGGTCCACTTTGTGAAAGTGAAATCAAAACATAACTGACCGCATTTTATCTTTTGTTTGTTTCTCTTAGCGGGAAGTCTAAACGATGGGGGTTGCTTGTTGCAGCAATTAGCCACCGAATAGCGATTACTTGCACTTCTTCACTATCCACGCCAAAGGTGCAGACAGCCGCGACTAGTACTTCTCCACGCTCGCGAAATAAGTCATCCCAGATTCTCCACCTTCAAACACAACCACGAGGTCTCGCACGACGAGAAGACTGAGCAGCTTTGCTTTCTATGATTCAACAGCGGAATTCAGACGCCCTGCCTCCTAGCGAGGCAAGACACCGCAGCTCACGGTCCATCATACGCGCGGAACCGCAGACCATACCCCCGCTCCGCACCGGTAGCCTGTACGCCCAACGCACTCGACTGCTCAAAGCTCAATTATACTTCCTCTGCAATCCCGGATTGCCAATCCGAGCCTGCTCGCATTGCTAATCGAGAACTTAGCTAGGAGTGCCCACAGAATTTTCTGCATGGCTGGCAGATTTGTCCGCGAGCCCTGCGATTGGGCAAGTCCCGGAGCTTGCTGCCGTCGCCATCGCGTGAGCGCGCGCCCGCCCAGGTATATGTTCTGCCGCTGCGATGGACGGGGATTATGGAGTGGAGAAGCTAGGATTGATTTATAGCGCTGCCTAAAGTCTCTTATAGTGTCTGAACGCGCTGGATCAATGGCGGTGGAGACGGTCTCGTCCCATCTGTGCCTGCGCACAACAATGCTGACTTGACATCGTACCTCTCTTGTCGAAGCAGAGCTCGAGGGTTCGGACAGCTCTACCTAAAAGAAGCGACCCGATAGCCTTGAGACATGCCGAGCCAAATCCAGCTGTCTTATCGTCATCCTGCAGCTCGCCAGATCTTGCAGTTAGTCGCGCCGGTGGGCGGTATTAATACGCAGGCAAGAACAAGGTGGGCGCGTTTTCATCCAATCCAGCCGTTTTTTCCCCTCTTTGCTCTCGATTCCTCAAGACGGTCGATCCCCGAATGACTTTTTGTTGTGTACTGCAGACACCAAGGTTCGGTTAGCGGGTGTCTTTACCGCTGGGGAATGCAGACTGTGGCTTGAGAACAAGGCTTTTGTATGCGTTATTTTGTCTTCTGCCCTGTTCGTACAGAATACGATGGTTCCCGGGAACGTTGGAGGTATTCATTGTTTCCGCAAACTACACCTTCATTTCACCAGTATCCGAGCAAGAGAAATCGCTCGAACGTCTTTATATCTCCTCCACTTTCCTCTTATTGACAATCGCTTGCCGAAGAAACCGATTAACAAAGAACGTAAAGACGAAAAGAAACTTCAGGGTGAGGTAAATACTCGCGACCAGTCGTGTTTAGTATCGCGAACACGCGCGACGCGTTGGGTGTTCTCGAAATGTCTCTACCACTCCGGCAAATAGCTCCGTTAACACCATATGCCCACTTCAGTTTTTATACCTACTCCTGAGAACTCGCTTATAAGGCAAAAAAATAGTATTGACGAATCGGTCATTGAACGACAAGTGAACGAAAACAAACAGGTACAAAAATAGAAAATAGAAAATAATAGAGAGAGTTAAAGCGAAACAATAGAAAGACATAAACAACCTGGCCTACAACACCGTCCTGAACCAATCCTACGCCGATATATAAATTTCCAGTTAAAAGTAAAAAAACAAAAATAAAACCGAACATAACAGAAAGTGAAAGCGCGTTCACCTAATCCGCGACCGAGCACACCATTGCGTTAGTGGATCAGAGGCAGGAATAAAGGTGAGCGAGCGAAAACACTAGATAGATTCCGCTCAAACCATTTGAACTTGTCTTTTGTCAATCTCTCAAACATACTACACAAGTGTTGAAACGTCATGAGGCTTCCTTAACCAGCCGTTGAGGCTGATAAAACGTTGAGATTGGCGAAAAACAGTCAAATCATTCGGAAAGACTATGGGATAAAATCAAAACAAAATATAAAAAAAAACGGCGAATCGATAGCTCGTGATAAATAAGTATCAAATCGTCTCATGAGAAAGCCACTCTGGACTGCACTACACCCGCTCCCACGACGAGGTGAGGTCCTGGGGATTGGACTCAGTCTCAGAGATGTAAGGCGAGCCGCTCACACCGCTAGAGAGCGGGGAATCAGGCGCCTCCTCAGGAGCAAGATGCGTTCCCGAAGGCTCCGTTGCGGATCCCAAGGTCTCCATATGCACAGTACGGTAGTAGCTCGTCGTGTCATATCCGGCACGCGTAAGACCGAGCACCCACTCGACCGCCAACTCTGGGAGAATGCCGCCGAGGACGTAGTACATCAAGCTACCCTTGCCAACAAATTGCATGCGGCAGAGCGCACTTCTGTCGTTCGACGTGAGACAGTCGAAAATGGCGTTGTTGAGCTCGCTGATGGGACTGCCGGACGAGCGCTGCGTCGAGGTCGCAGACACGATCGAAGAAGCAGTGCCACTGATAGCACGCGCAGCAGAGCTATAAGCACGACCGTATACATTGCGAATATTCTCGGGCCAGGAAAGCAAGTCTGCACGGATATTGTTCGCAGCCAAACGGGAGGACGCAGAAGTTGCAGGCGAGTACGAACGCACATGGGACGGAGTCGAGGTTCCACGTCCGCTCTCGGGCGCCATGAATGGCGACTGCGGAGCCGAAGAATAAGTAGACTGAATAGGAACCGACATATCGAACGAACCGAGACGCATGTGGATGAAAGGGATACCCTGAGGCGCAAGCTCTCTCTGCATGCACAGCGCGAACGACGACAAGGCAGACGCCGTCACGCACTCGGCCGCATGGAAGGGCGGGCACAAAGAAGGTAATATCGAGGGCGTCAGAAGTAAAAAGCGCGCGTTATGACGGCGCACAAGGGGAATGAATCCCTGGGAGAGCAGAGCGACGGATCCAACAATCTTCGTGTACAGGATATCTGACCAGTCATATGCGCTTATCGATTCAACCGGGCCCGTGGGATAATACAGATCAGGAAGGATAATCACACCAGCGAGGTGCTGCTGGCGGTCGATGAGATCCGCAAATTTCTCAACCACAGCATTACGGTCCATAGACTAGAAAACACAAACTCAAGTCAGCACGCCAAACCTCGTAAACTAGAGTGGCCAAATCACCAAAGGGAAAACGTACGTCAGGACTGGGCATGATAAGAGGACGGATATCAGCACTGTCTTCCTTCAACACTAGATGCTCTTCACCTGGCTGAACTGTCATGAAGACAATAAATCCACGCCTCTCCAAATCAGCCGCAATGATCTTGGCAATCGGCTCCCGAGGAGAGCTCGCAAGAACTAGCAACAAAAGGTTAGTGCTGGGAAGAAGGCATCATATTACACAAATAAACCACGTACCAACAGCTTCAATTCTGGAACCGTTTGCAGCTTTCACCGCGCGTCTCTTTCGTTTCTTAGCCTGCAGACGTCTGCGAGAATAGACGTAGCCGGCGCCAGCGGTGCCGGTGACACCCAAAACAATAACACCAAAAAGTATTTTGTTCTTCGAGATCCATGATGCAGCACGGTTAAACACGCCCGCTTCAGCCTTAGCGGCCGGTGGAGCAAGAATGACCTGCTGCCTGACACTTCCGGGCAACTGCGGCCTAGGGATGTCAGGAAGCGAGTTCACGGTGTCCTTCAGACGATCACGCAAGCGAATCGCAGCATCAGTTGCAGACTGCAAGTCAGTGTTCTCTGCAATATCGTTGACGGTCTTTTGGATGAAATCGGTGGCTTTGATGTTGAAGCCGTAGACCATATCCATCAAGTAGGACACCGGATCAGGGGGAGGAGTAGTAGCCATGAGGACGAAGAGCTTGTCACACTAATAGGAGTTCGGAGATTGTACGAGAAAACGTCGCTGGTCACAGCAAGTATGATAAAAACAGCACTCTGTCGTATCTGAATCTTTCTCAAAATCCGATGGATCTAAATGAAGGTGAGTCGATGCTAGAGCGCGATGGATCGTGGAGCTGCGGTAGTGTGGGATGAGCAAGTTGGATGATGCTGCGCAGATCGTGTAATCCACCCACGCGTTCGCAGATGTAAATCGATCACCAAATTAAGCTTCCAAAAGCCGAAATTGCGCACCGTCGGTGCCTCAAATACCCTACAATAAATCTAAACTCAAACGTCTCTGGCTTTTAACGGGCTGTTCCTTGGGAGTTCCGACCTCCCACTCACGTGCTCACGCGAAGATTTGAATTGAAAATTGTCAACGAGTTCAGCAAGCGGTTTATTTCACAAACTCGAGATTCCATACTGGCGGGTTCAAACTGGACATGTTTGATTGCAGAAAGTTGTTTTGACGCCTCTTATATACTATTATGAATGACTTTGAATAATGGCGAAATTCAACGTCTTGATGAAAAAGCAGTTGAAGCCTAAGCATTATCACAACAAGACAAATTGGTTTAAGAAGAAGCTGCCCGTTATCTTGAAAAAAGTTGATAATGTATGTCGCGGATCCTTTCTGTCTACCCTTCAATTGTATAGACTTTGACTAAAATCTGTATTTACGCTTGTTTTTAGGCTCGATTATCGAAAATTATCGATGATGTGAACAGTCTTTCTCCCAACTTGAGGTTCCCGCTTCGAAAACAATTCCTCGAGTGGCGGAATGTCGTTCTCGCGTTAAAACCGGCCAAGCCCTCACTAGATCCAGATGCTCGTCTGATATACGAGGTGAGATCTACTTATTCAAATCAGAGGGAGTGTCAAGCTAATGCTTTCTGACAGGACGTTCTTAATCGATACAACTCAATGCTCAAGAACAAAGTCGTGCTGAGCCTCGGGCAACCGACCGTCAATGCGATTGAAAACTTTTGGAGCGTGGATCCTCAATCGAATAGCAATGAACCGTATCCACGGAACTCTAAAGAGATGTCGCCTGAAGCCCTTGAACAGCAGAAGAGACTCACAAGTCCGCAGCTTGACTCCAAACAGTCGAGCGCTTCAGTAATTGCAGATTTCCTAGAACTCACAAAACCTGTACAGCAGAAGAGTGTGGATGGAGAGAGTGTCGCAGGTCCACCGTCTAGCTCCGAACGATCGGGCACTTCATTGATTGCAGATTTCCTTGGAGACGAGATACCGGTGCAGCAGAAGAGTGTGGACGGAGAGAGTGTCGCAGGTCCACCGTCTAGCTCCGAACGATCGGGCACTTCATTGATTGCAGATTTCCTTGGAGACGAGATACCGGTGCAGCAGAAGAGTGTGGACGGAGAGAGTGTCGCAGGTCCACCGTCTAGCTCCGAACGATCGGGCACTTCATTGATTGCAGATTTCCTTGGAGACGAGATACCGGTGCAGCAGACGAGTGTGGACGGAGAGGAATATAAAGGTCCGTCGTCTAGAGGACCAGGTATAGGCGGGGTCAACGACTCTATGAAACGTGCAACCAAATCTTACAATGGCAAAGAGAAAAGAGAGCGGTCGAAATCCAAAGACAAACGAGTCCTACACGAGCTGCCGTTTCAAGTTCTAACCGGCCGAAGCGGGATTTTGAGCGGCGGATTGGCGAAAGAAAAGCGCCGCTGGGAAACCCCAGTTTCTGAGAAGCGAATGGCAGTTTTACTGGCAGAATTGAATAGAAAGGGTCTCCTTGAGTATCGCGACGAAGACTTGTACTGGTCTTTCAGTGCCCGCAAGTTTTGGACAAAGTCAGAATTGATACCATACAAGTTCAATGGCCCGGAACAGTTAAAGATCAAGAATTACAAGTAAGTGTACCGTATCGCGGTTGTTCATTTGGTCTATGTCTCCCCTCTAACATCCGATATCTATTCAGCGTAACAATTGGAACGATGTATGAAGTCAAACTTCTCCAGACAGCAGGAACAAATCTGGGCACTGTGAGGGTCCAATTTTCCCGGCTGGACGAATTATGGATGGCACATGCTGTTCTTCTCGAAAGACCCAAGTTCAGAGTTAAAGATCCAGAAAAGCTGCTGTTTGCACATCCTCTCAACAAAAGTAAGAAGCTTCCCATCATAACACGACGAGTGCCGTCTGGTGAAAATGTCCGCTTTCTGGCCCCGGGGCACTCCTATGAAGATAGGCAAATATGCTCGATGATGCCTGAGTATCAGTTTGAGCCCGCGTACGACTCAGATGGCTACTGTAACGAGAAGTTTGTCCCCACGATGTCCGGGGTAGGTATCTCACTGTGTAGTAGTTCTCGTCTATCTTTGCTAATTCTGACCATAATAGGGACGCCATCGGTTTGCTCTGGAAAAAGAGACCCTTACAAAGCTCAAACTCAAAGCAAGTCTGGAGCTCAGGACATTTCCCTATAAAGGAACTGTTCTTCTTTGTCCCGAGACTGGCGATATAGTCGAGCGTGTCAGAGTTCCATGCTGGTAAGTATCCATGCTTTTACTGCTGATTGGCGTACTCACACTAACTAATATAGGTCAACCGTGCCATTATCGAATACCGAATCATTGTCGTCGCAAATACATCCTAAAATTGGCAAAGGCGTCCTCACACATGACCCTGACGGTACGTCATCACCGAAGCGAATCATCGTGGGCCATCCCATCGAACCAGGCTTGGATTTCAGGAAGTTCCCGCCAAAGTATTCCGATATCCACACTATCGAGGCTCTGCAAGATAAAACCGGTTACATTAATGAGGATACAAAGTCTAGCAAGGTTTGTCATAACTGTGTCGCTCCAGCAATATGAGTGCATAGCTAATTCTCTATTTTTCTACAGTTTACTTTCTCCAGTCAGTTCATTCGTCTAGCTCCTATCTTGGAGCATGGAGTAAATCATCATCCTGATCTGCGCTTGAAATACTTGGCTTGCACCACCAGAGATTTAGAGACGACTATAGGTCCAGCGTTTGACTTATCATCTCGAATCTCCGGAAAATTTCCGGCTGAACATATTCTTCGCGTTCCAGAGCGTCCTCCGAAAATCCCCTCAGTGCCCAATATGAAGGGGAAACAGTTTGTGTATGGAGAAGAAATGCCCAGTCTTGCCGAGCAGACCGATGAGATAGTGAGTGAAGAGGTGGACGCTCGGCGTTCGCTCGTGCTATCGGAACTCGCGTGGAAGAGGCGTCCGGGGATCACCGACGAAAGACTGCTCGAGTTGTTCAATCTGCATATAGAATCCTTTCGAACTATGCAGCAGCACTTTTATCACTTTATCGGGAAGAATCCACACGGAGAGAAAGTCTATACGATCGATTTCTCGGTGCTACGTCTTCGACCACACGAACAATTGATCCTATATGAGCTTCAGTATGTTATCAATCATGTGAACGAAGACATGAGAGAATATCGCCTTTCAGCAGCACACGATCGGTTGATGTTTTTCTTGGAGAATCGGTTATTCAGAGAGTATTTCCAAATAGTCAGCTCAGAAATCATAGATATGATCTTGAGAGAGGACGTTGTATATCGCCATTCGAAGGACAGGTACTCGTTCTGGGACTCTCCTAGAGGGTACACTCTTGCTGCTGTCTATTGGAAAGTCGTGTATCTGCTCGATCGTTTGCTGCATCCATTCTGGCCTCTGATAACAGAAGTAAGTCTAACCCCGTTTTTCGTTCTCCGCTATATATACTGACTAATAGCTCTAGTGCATGAACAATATAGATGAGAAGGATCCATATAAACCTATGGCTTGCTTATTTTACCCGTGTACAAATATAGCAGCTCCGGACTACGATCTGTCCAAGGGCTATCCTATCTTTGTCTCGCCAAAAGAAGACATCAGATTCAAAAATCCTGACTTGGGAATGCCTGTCATCTCCGACGTGGGCTTTATGACAAAAGATACCACCGAAGATTTGTCGATCGTGTACGAGGTCTTGAAGGCTTTCCAATACCTTCGCTACGAAAGCAGGAAAAAGATTCTCGAGAAAAATGCTCAGGATCCTGATTATTTGGTGTCCCCCAAAGATAAACACCTCTTGGTTACCAACCCGATCCTCGCAAGCGAGTCTATCGGGTCGGACAATGTGTATCCGGATTACAACTATCAAAACTTCTACAAAGACAGAGGGGGAGATACCTCTAGAATTGGCATTATTGTGCTCAAGGGATACGACCGGGATAGCCCGTTGGGCAGGCTTCTTGGGGTGTACATGGAGGACATTGCTCGTCGGGCACAGCTTGCTACGATACAGATACTCGGTGACGACCAAGGGCTGTCAAACGTGATAGTTTCTTTTAAGATTGCAGATTCTGCGAGCGTTCATTTGGTCTCAAAGCTCCCAAGTTCAAGCAGCCAACCGGAAGCGGAGTCATCGACATCAAGCGGCCAACCCGAAGCAGAGTCCTCAAGCTCAAGTAGTCAGTCTGAAGCAGACTCCTCGACATCAAGCAGTCTACCTGAGGCAGACTCCCCTCCTCTCAAACAATTGTAAATAGTATAGACAAAATTGTACATAATATCATGGACGGGATAGATCGCTAAGAAAATGTATAATAAAAATCATTTAAAATTTTCTCTATAGTACAAATTTTACCCTTTTAAATTTCCACCACGTATTCGTGATTTCTATCATCTTATTTTCCGGCTAAACGGCGCGCCCTGACGTCCCGTAGAGCGCGGCTACCCGAAAGAAATGCGATCGGGGCGAGGACCGCGATCTGGGCAATCAACTTGAAGATAGTTGAGCCGGCGTAATACTGCACAAATGCTGCCTCGATCGAGACGATTGAAATGAAGAAGCCAAATGAATAGAGAGGATTTCCAAAGCTCAAAGGGGTTATGCCCAGATAGAGCCACTTAAAAGATGGTTGTTAGTAGCTACACAACAGATCAGATTATCGGGGTACCGAATGCTTACCACTCCGAGAAGCAAAACTCCCAATGCGACAACGGAAAAGCTGACTATCGAAGCCACAGACTCGGAGATGTACCGGGGATCAGACTTGAAGATATGGATGATCTCCGGCCGGGGACCGAATCTGAGAGGCGAGGGGGATGGCTCGCCTTTGAACTGAGGCACGATCGTTCCGATCTCAGCGATCAACGACTCCTCGGTTCCAAATGAGCCGATTATCAGCTTGCAAAGAAGAGGCTTGTCGGGTCCCAAGAGAGCCTTAGGAATAAGCTTGTATTCCTGAACATGTTGTTAGCAGCAACTCTCGTCTCTTGGCTGCGCCCACATAATGGAATCAAGACTCACTATGTCCACGCGAGAACGGCCGTTGTCCCGGACATCGGCAGGGAAAGAGGTCTCCAAGCCGGTCGAAGGATCAGAGATCTGGATGTATGTTTGATGAGGTATTGATCGTCCTCCTTCTTCGCTTTCGATAACGAATCGGAATCGCGCAGTAGCGGTTATTGGCAACGAAACGGCCTCGGCCAGTTTCTTGGAGGTTGAGAATCTTGTACCGCAGAGTTAGTCTGTGGTCATCCAAAGAGAGTGAAAGAAAGCGACATTGTGTTGATATATACTTACGACTCGGTCTGAAGGGTGCCAGCTTTCTCAGTGATCGAGAGCGACGCATCCTTAAATGTCCACGCAGACACAAGGGGAGCCGCCAAACCCGCGGCAGCAAGTAACTGAAAGAAGCGCATGATCCAATTGAGACAGTATTATCAACACCAGGGTCTGAATTGCGAGATTGCAGAGTTAAATGGTCAAGAGCTGATAGATCAGACTGTAGACCTGGACTTTAACGACACGTCGGCCATGGCGCGTAAGATGCTGAGATGTACGCTGCGGTTCCTGGGCTTCCCTTGTCTGAACCCTAATCGGCCATCGCCCTGTTCACAATACATTTGACCTTGCTCCCATTCATCACTCCGTTCGATTCATCGTCACTGTCTACTTTTTCGTGTTGCTGAACCAGCGGTACTGATATTCACTAAGCTCGCTGCATAATTTGCTCAAGTTTTTGGCCGCAAGTCTTCTCTTGCGCTTACTCTCAAACTGCTTCTATACCTTTTCACTCCGTTAGCACCGTTGGTCATCATGCCGGTATGTTCACAAGTATCCATGTTTCTCCCTTAGGAACGTTCTGACTCTCTGTCTTTAGTTTGTGGGACGATTAGTTCATTACTCCGTTGATCTGGTTCTGCTGTCAGCCGTTCTTGCTGGCGTCAAGCGGTCTACCGGCCTGATGTAAGTCAAAATCTGAATAGATCACGTTTTCATCTTCACCGCGCTCACAGTCTCCCGCAGGTTCAAAACCGAATCCATCGAGTCCAAGGACGTTCGGGACGCGGTCACAAAATACTTGGATGTTGGAGAGTGGGTGCTCGATACCAGTGTCGCGTTCATGAACAGCTCGCCATACTTTGTCCGAAAGCGCTAAGTCACGCCAGATGTTTGACTTTAACGCGTCTCCACATTCAGCAATATTACAAGTACAGCTTCTCTCACTCGCTCGCGATATTTCAGTCTTTGCTGGCATGCTTTCGTACTGATCTTTAATCTCCACTCTGCCATATTCGTCGAAACTTATAATCTGTGTCATACATTCGTGTCTTTCGTATGACTGCAATTCTCTTTATACTATAGTCTATTTGACGAGTACTCGGCATAACTAACTCGCTGCAAATAGACAAGTACTGGCGTTGCTTGGGTTGGCGCTTTGCGTATTGGGTATTTTGTTTTTTTCTTCAGTAATTGATATTCAACTTTCTGTAATCATCGACTTATATTTAAATCACTTTCTCATCAGAAACAATGTCCTCGGCCGCTGCACCCAACAGCATATCAACGCCCAAACATATCCCATAATCAAATTGCCAAATCTCGCTATCCTTTACGCCTTAAACTCATCTCCGCACCACTTTGATCCTGATTCAGTGTATCATGAAAGCATTTTAGGTGATCCTAGCCCTCCAAATCCTCAGGCTTCCAGCATTTCTTGGCCAAAGGACTGCTAATCCTCGGCGTGTGAGACGGACTATGTAGAGGCACGCGATGAGCTGCTAAAAGATTCTGTCGTTAGCAGCTATAAAAATAATGCGAAGAGAGTAGTCACTTACATTGATGGGCGAGCTCTGCAGGTGGTGTGCTGAGCGAACTCACGTTGGCACTGGTAGTAATAGGGTCGGAACTCGGCTCAGCTTTCTGTTGTAGGACTTTCTTCTGTGGAGTTACTGGTAGCGCCTTCGGTTCCAGGGATTTTCGGCGCTGCGGAACTAGTTAGCTATGGGTGAAAACATCGAAAATCAAGACACGGCATTCGACCTACTCTGTGATGCTTATACTTCGCTCCAGCCTCAGCTTCGACAACAAAATCAGACTCAGGGATCCGCTTCTGTTGCTTATTGCACTCAATGATCCATGAGATCGATAAGCAGCTTAAATTCATCTCCTGAGCTGTGTGTAGCGTCTTTGGACTACCTCTCTTAAATACGATATGAGTGACTGACCGCGAAGGCTGTCTCACGACCTTAGCACCCAGTTTGCAAAGCATAGACTTGAAAGTCGCCGACGCGTCGTCGCCCTCATCGGTTCGAATATCAAGGTAAGCCGTGACGCCAGAGAGAGGTTCAGTAGTTTTGGCCGACTGAGGTTTTGAGTCTCCCGCTTTGGGCTTCACAGAAGTCTGCCTATTCACCACCATTCGTGGTAGCGATGATCCCACTGGCTTTCGGGTTCCCGAGGCTTTGGATGTAGAGCTATCTTTCGAGATTGAAGCTGTCATGTGTGGAGGTTTGATCGGAACCTTTGTGGTAACATCTCTGGCTGTAGATCGATGCCTGACAGAGTCTTCGTTCTTTGTTCCATCTTCCTCCAGCTCCTTTCGCGTCGATGCTGAGCTTTGATCCTGAATATTCAGTCTGTCATATGCCTGCTCAAGCAGTGCCGTACTAGCAGAGTCGTGGTCTTTCTTTGTATCTGCTTCCGAGATAACGTCCAAGGTGCCTTTCTCATGTTTCTTGGTTGGAGTGTCGAGATTCCTCGCTGGCGTCATTCTGTTTTCATCATTTTTCTGACCTCCATTCGACCGCGCCGCTCTCGTCGGCGAGGAATTGATAGTCCGTCGATCTGTTGCTCGAGAGGCAGAAAGAGGAGCCATTTTGGGAGGTGAAAGAGAGACAGAAGACAAAAACACAGAAGACTTGTTACTCGGAGATTTTCTTGCAGACTTTGATATCACGCTCGAGTTAAGCCGACGAGCGGGAGACTTAAGACCAACCGGCAGCTCAGTGGATCTATCCAGATTCCCACCCAATCGAGGTGGTGATAAACCATTCCGTCTGACTACCCCACCTCGCCTTTGAGTCTCCCTACTCTCACTCATGCACAAAAGACCTTCACGATTTCTCGAAGCCGACGCAGGAAAGAGTCGCTGGGGTTTACCGAGTGCTGATCTCGACGGGGTCATCATCGAAACCTCAGCTTCTTTTGTCTTCTTTGCCGAGTTTGCCATTGCAAGCTGATTATCCCGCTGTGGCTTTATCTTCAGTAAAGAATGAGCGTTATGAGGCTCTCGAAGTTTTGAAGGCGAGACCGCGACTGCTGGTCTCGACGGTGACTTGGCGCGAGTGGGTGAAACGGCAACTGCCAGTTTGCGATCGGAAAACAAACTGCAATTGGCTACACCGTGATTCCTAAAAGACGGGGTAGACACCAGTAGAACTTTTCTGTCTGATTTCCCAGGGCTGACTTGTACATCTTGCTGAGCCTTGCGCGAAGGTGTAGATAACGGGTTCGCGTAGCTGACGGTTGATGATTTGGGCGACTCAATCATCACCCGCTTTCTGCTGCCCGTGGAGGCCATTGAGCTGTATTAAATAAACCGGTAACAAACGAAAGGTATAAGCTGTGAGGTGCCGAAGTCTGCTTGCGTGAGGAAGAGGAAGAGCGATCTCCAGGCTCGATATAGACGTGCGGCGGAGGGCAGACACAAACAAATACTCTAAAAGGGTTATCGCAGATTTGTTTACTCCTCGTCGTCCGGGCAACACATTCAAAAACACGTGACCAGCACTCAGAACAACCGCGAGAGCTAGAGTTTGCAAAGTTCAACGCCGAGCTCCCCGGGACAAACCGCACCTAAACACTCGTCCTGAACAAAGTCTGCGAGCCAATTGAGCCATTGATAGCCATTCACGGCTAGTATCTGATAATTGGATCTGGTACTTGGCTGTTTTTGGAGAGCGATACGTTTTCTTGCGGTTTCTGGTCAAGCGCAAACTGCTAGTCGTCGACCTCGATAACTATCTGCGAATCTCGCATTACAGAACGAGAGCTGTTGGCAGTCTTCTCGGCGAACTACCAGTTTGAACGCCATATGTTCTGACACCCGACCTTGATATTATTTGTCTACCAAACATTTGACGCTCTAGTACCATTGCTGGTGTGGATGAGGTGATTTCAAGCGACAGTAAAGGACATACAGCAAACTCGAAAGGAAAATGAAGCTCACCACATCTAGACTGCTGATATCAGCAGTCCTGATGCGAGTAGCCTTCTTCTTTTACGGTGTCTACCAGGACGCGAATGCCGAAATTAGATTCACTGACATCGACTACTTTGTTTTCACCGACGCTTCCAAATTCACAGCGCAAGGAGGCACTCCGTACGACAGAGACACTTATCGATACACGCCTATCTTGGCATGGCTACTGCTGCCTACGACGCAATACTTTTGGTTCGGCAAGCTTCTTTTTGCTTTGGGGGATATAATTGCCGGATGGCTCATGCTCAGAATATTCCATCTCCGGGGTCTTGAATACGACCAGGCGCTGAAGTTCGCTTCGGTGTGGCTGCTGAATCCTATGGTTGCTACTATCAGTACCCGTGGAAGCTCAGAGGGCCTGCTCGGAGCTATGGTTATTGCTCTTCTTTGGGCAGTCTACGAGCATAAGACGGTGGTTGCTGGATTGCTAGCTGGATATGCTGTCCATTTCAAGATATATCCAATCATTTATATCCCTTCGATTCTATGGGCTATGGACGATAGCCCCAGACTGCTTGGGAATGGTATATTGAAATGGGTCAACAAAGATCGAGTTAAATTTGGTATAGCCAGTCTGCTATCTTTTTCGTTCCTCACCGGAGCCATGTATTATATGTACGTACAATTCTGCTCGGGCCAACTACTTTGTTCAATCTACTGACCAGTCTCGTCGTCTAGATACGGAGAGCCGTTCCTAGTCCACACTTATTTACACCATTTGTCGCGTTCAGACCATCGCCATAATTTTTCTCCCTACAACATTCTACTATACATATCATCATCACCCAACGTTGAGATAAAGTCTCCTTACCCCTCACTTGCATTCGTCCCCCAGCTGTTCATCGCCGGCGTGTTCCTTCCGTTCATGCTGGCCAAGAAGGATCTCGCAAAGACAATGTTCGTGCAGACCTTTGCCTTTGTTACATTTAACAAGGTCTGCACCAGCCAGTACTTTATGTGGTACATTGTCCTGCTGCCGTTTTACCTGCCGTCGTCGAAGATGCTGAAGAACAAGAAACTCGGCATTGTGGCCTTAATATTATGGACCATGGCTCAGGTGTGTATATCTATCTTCTAAGATTCTTTTGTGTAAACACTGTAACTAACTCGTTGAAACTAGGCGCTATGGCTGCAGCAAGGATTTGAGCTAGAGTACAAAAACGTCAGCACCTTCTTCCCAGGAATCTTTGCCGCTACGTTGATATTTTTCTTGGTGAATATCTGGATCCTTGGAGTCGCAGTTGAGGATATTTAGAGAAGTGCGTGTAATATGAGCGAGTGCTGGGTTCAAAAGGCTCGTGCCTAGAAGTTGTTAATATAGAATGGAGGTAGGATCGTAAATTTGAATATATGCACATAGGCTTTCGTCTCACTGGGACATTTGCGTTTCTGCGAACTTTGGCATTCTTAATAGTAAATACAAACTATTGATCTCTCTGTCATTAAATCTAATATTTCTACAGTTACTTTAAAGATTTGATTCGACAGTCAGACAGTTGGAAATGCTGTTACAGCAACCACACACAAAAACAAACGATTATAAAAGAGATACAAAAAGAGATTAGTCGAGTAAGAATATAGTGTACACAATGAGAATACCAACAACGGCAAACGACAATCCAAAAACCAAGAAGGCGTTGTTGGCCGCTGTCTGGGGCACGAACTTTGTCGGGAAAACGGTCTCGATGAACTGGTCTACTTTGGCGCAGGCGACGCTGATGCGCACGTACATGGGATCCCGGGGGGTGTTGCGCGCCTGGATCTTGTGGCAGTACTCTTGGAAAGTGTCGTATGTCGTACGCACATTGACGGCCTCGAGCATAAGCTGAGTCTGGAGTTAGCAGTCGCTCACTTCTCAAGTAATTTGGGTACTCACTTTGCATGCCAATCCTTTCCGAATCTTCACATGACCAGTCAAAACCTTAGGATTACGGTAGACAAGCTCCAGAGTAGCGATAGCCATAACCTGCGGGATAGTGCAGAAATTGAACATCGACTGCTCTTTGATACCAGCCAAATAAAACAGACAGTCAGGAACATGCTCGATCGCGTTCGCAACCATCTCGGACAGACAGTCGAGACCGGCTGCCTCGTTCTCGGGCTTGGCAAAGTCATCGAGGCTTTTGGCGTACTTTTGCCAGATTTCCTTGGGCCAGAAACGACGGTTGTCCATCAGGTCTTCGTGGTAATCACGGATGATATTTGTTTTCTGTAGGAGAAGGCCCATTGACTCGTACCTATAGATCAATTGTGGTTAGCTCCCAATTTGTTACCCATCGCTAGTTTTCAAAAACATTAGAACACGTCAAAACCACGTACAATTGAGGATTGTCTAGGAGCTTAGGATTGGCAACTCCGGCCTCGACTCCGAGACGCGTAAGACCGTCGCCGATAATTCCGGCAACATAGTGGCAGTAAAGATCATAGTCCTTCACAGTGTCGACTCCCTTCTTGTTGAAATCCTCGTTCTCGCAGTAAGAAGCCATTCCGTGGCCCATTTCTTTGGTGATGTCCTTGATGACGACCTTGTACTTGTCCTTAAGGTTCTGGTATTCGATGATAACTTTGTCGAATTCTCGAAGGACCACGGCGTCTTTCTCCTTGCCTGTAACAGGATTAGCTACCACATGTCAAATCTTTGCAGCTATAAACCAATTGACATACTGTCGTTGTAGGTCCAACCCGGGGTGTCAATGACTTCGTGGAACGAGCGCAGGATTGGCAGTTTCGTCGGATTGGGAATGGTCATGTCATCTTCGATGGTATCCAATCCACGTAAAATCAGATAGAAGATTGCAATCTGAATAAGCAGAAGTAAGCATGCTGCCTACTTTATCGTCCCGACAATCATATAAATCGATGAGAAACAACAATGGGACTTACAACGACACGCAATTCAGGCGAAAGCTCCTGGATAACGGCAGAGAAGCTTCGGGAGGTATAGTTCAAAAGCTCATAGCAGCGCTTCAAGTTTTCCGACTCCTTCTCCGGCTCACGGGGATAAACCGGGTCGTGCCAAACCGACCTACAAATTGCGATCGAGAGGTTAGAGAAACAATACAAGCCAGTGGGCAGGAGGATGAAGATGAAATAAATTCCAGACGAACCATTGGATAACAGCGCGCAATTCCGACGGATGGGCAAGTAGCTGCAAGTATTTTGACATCGTTGAGAAATCAGAAAGCCGAAAAGATAGAATTTTAGACTTGCAGCTTTATCAGATGTTATCTTCGACTTTGAAAGAGGATGTAAAAGGCCGCGAAGGAAGAGGTCAGTGTGGACGTGGGCCCCGACGACCCTCGCGTCGAGGGATGCCGAATACGAGGCGCGATTAAGGTTTTGTCCTACCAAACTGTCAAAACCCTCGCTTCTGTATTTGAATATGGATGATAATTGCTCATATGGTCTTGAGAAAAAGAGTGCGCAATTGATTAAGATGGCTGGGGATGTGCTCATGACTATCAGAGATTCACACTATTGTAGTATCATCTGGGTTGCAGTATATTCATAATGCTCTGATCGTTAATTTGACTATAGTACAAAAAGGGAAATCGAATCCGCTATATAATGCATGTTCGTAGCTCAGTTATTTCCGTCGCGATTGTTTTACAAGAGTTTCCCACTTAGATCACAAGCCAGCTATAGCTGCAAGCCTGGGGCTATATCAGCCATGAGGGTGCATATTTCGGGTCGTATTTCAGAGCAGCATTGAACAGCTCAATGAACTGGTCGCGATAAAAGTCAGTATGTTGAATTTCGGTTTAGTCTATCGAGATCCGTTACTCACCTCGATATCACTGTCTTCCTTTCCCGCAGCAAATTGACCGTATTCGTGGAAAATGCTAGCCAAACTCCATCTATGGAACCAGAGTCAGTTTCAACTGCCGTAAACTCATCAGAAAAGTTTCATCATACTTTTGAAGAAGTTTGCGCATCGCTCCAACAAGGACGCCTACTCTGTGCTTTCCTTTGTTGGAGTGGATCAATATGGGAAAGTTCCGGGAATCTGAAAATCGTCATTAGAGAACAAAGGTCGGCAAGCGTAAGAATCTGCACAAGTAATAGCATACCAACTACTACACTCAAGGCAGCTTCAATAGCTTGAGGGTCATTCTCAACAAATGGCAACTTGCAGCTCTCCATCCGATTGTGAATCACCCGTATTCCATTTTTCGCTGCCCATTCAACATTAACTTCCCGCAGATCTTGTTCGCCCAGAAATCTATACGCAATGTTAGCGCGATCCACCTAGAAATCAACATACACAGCAGATATAGCGGGTGCTGTACATTATGGTCTTCAACTTCAGTGTCTCTAGAAATGGAAAATTGATGGGCAGAGGATGTCCACTCCTGTAAATGCCCGAAGCCACCATTGCGAAATTGAGCGGCGGCACCAGGATCTTCTTCTCGGGACGATCAAAGAAATTTGCGGTTGAGCTGATTGCGCTCATTCGGCTGCTCGAGACGTATTCGGGTATGCTCTGGTTGCTTTGCGAGTAATGGTCGTAAGGCGTCTTTGACGCATGGTCGCGCGAATAAAAGTCACCCGAGTGATCGGAGTACTGCTGGCCAGGATTTGTAGGATAATAGCTGTCTAAAGCAGCATTGTTTGCTAACAGAGCAGCATTTCTTTCCATCGCTGAGGGAGTTGAGGGAGGCGACGCAGCTGTCTTGTCATATTCGACGTCGGTCCCGCTCTGATCCATCTCGGCTTCTGTCTCTGCCTCCTCCAAATCTGCCTCGACTTCTCCCCTGAAATGGTCGTCAAGAACATCTGTCCGAAGAGGAGGAGGCGAGAGAGGAGAGCCACTTAGCAGGAGCTGTGACTCGATTGCTTTCCGACGCGTTGTCTCTTCGAGTTCGTCCACGCCATCCTCATTGTCGCCTGGCCTATTTAGCTGGACAGAGAAAACATATTTGTTGTCCTTCTTTGATTCGGACATCAAGTGCGATGCGGAGATCCCGTCAGAGCTTCAAATCATGCAAACAGCCACCAAATAGTCGTGTTAGAATAATGACAACAGAACAAACCAAGAACAGGATACGCCGGCTGCTGGCTCGCGATTACGCGTTTTCACGAGGCCAGGCTGTGGAGGGCTTTATGGATGCCTAATTGATTCGGTTGACGTATTGTAGGGATGTTATTGTGGTGCATAGAATACTAATATTCACCAATATTTATTCTGGAGATATATCCCCACTTTACCCGGCTTATCACGGCGCAGCCACAATTTTCCCGAGCCCGCGGTTGCCGGCGGGCTGCGCTTCTCTTCATCAATCGAAAACCCACGTTTCCACTCATCCATCACTCTCGCCACTCCCTCATCCGTCCCTCATGGCCATTACGAAGCGTGCTGGCCGCAAAGCCCAGGGCGGTGCTCAGCCTGCTGCTGCTCAGCCGGCTAAACGTGCTGCCGTCAAGAAGGCGACCTTCGATGCAACAAAGCGCAAGGAAGTCGGTGTTTCTGATCTGACCCTTCTATCCAAGGTCTCCGAGGAGGCAATCAACGAGAATCTCAAGAAGAGATTTCAAAACGGCTTGATTTACGTAAGTTGAATTCTTCTGGTTTTATGCAATTGTCTCGGTGAGGCAGGTGGCTGACTTTCTCTTGCCTTCTAGACTTACATTGGTCATGTCGTAAGTACCGATATTTACTCTTACGGAGCTTCGGCTTGGTTGATTCTATTAGCTTGAAAGGCTATGTGGACTAATGCTGCTTATGCTTGGTAGTTGATCTCTGTTAATCCTTTCCGAGACCTCGGAATCTACACAGACGCCGTGCTGGAATCCTACAGAGGAAAGAACCGATTGGAGGTAAGCATCAGTGTATAAGGATTTCTGATTGCCGGAGTGTTACGTGCTAACTCGCGATTTGTACAGGTTCCTCCCCATGTTTTCGCTATTGCTGAAGCCGCATATTACCAAATGAAGTCTTATAGCGAGAACCAATGTGTTATCATTTCGTAAGTAGACTAGCTGATACAGTTCATCGTCACAAGCTTGCTGAACTCGAATTATTACACTAGGGGTGAATCTGGAGCCGGAAAGACTGAGGCTGCGAAGCGAATCATGCAATACATTGCTTCCGTCTCTGGAAATTCCTCCTCCTCCATTCAGGAGATCAAGGATATGGTTTTGGCCACCAACCCCCTCCTCGAATCGTTTGGCTGCGCAAAGACTCTTCGCAACAACAACTCCTCTCGTCACGGAAAATATCTACAAATCCAATTCAACAAGGTGGCCGAGCCCGTTGGTGCCAACATTACGAATTATCTACTCGAGAAGAACAGAGTCGTCGGCCAAATTGTGAACGAACGAAATTTCCACATCTTTTACCAGTTCACCAAGGGTGCTTCTAACAAGTACAGAGAGCAATTCGGAATTCAGCAACCCGAATCGTACACTTACACTTCGGCCTCCAAGTGTACGTCGGTTGATGGTATCGATGATCTTGATGATTATAAGGAGACTGTCAAAGCTATGGAAATCATTGGTCTCCATGAGAGCGAGCAGGACAGTATTTTCAAGATCTTGGCCATCATTCTTTGGCTGGGAAATCTTGACTTTGTTGAAAATGGCGAAGGAAACGCATCAATCCGTGATCCGTCAGTTCCTAACTTTGTCGCTTACTTGATGGGCGTTGACGCCTCTTTGGTGGAGAAAGCAATGACCATCAGAATTGTGGAGACCTCTCGCGGCGGTCGTCGGGGATCTGTTTACGACGTTCCTCTTAATGTCACGCAGGCGCGAGCTGTGCGTGACGCCCTCGCGAAGGGTATCTACTCTAACCTTTTTGACTGGATCGTCGATCGCGTGAATGTGTCCATGAAGGCGCGAGGAGAAGTGTCCCGCACGATCGGTATTCTCGATATCTACGGATTCGAGATTTTCGAGAACAATTCGTTCGAGCAGATCTGTATCAACTATGTCAACGAGAAACTACAGCAGATTTTCATTCAGCTTACGCTCAAAACGGAGCAGGATGAGTATGTTAAGGAGCAGATCAAATGGACGCCTATCAACTACTTCAACAACAAGATCGTCTGTGATTTGATCGAAGAGAAGCGTCCCCCTGGTATTTTTGCTGCTCTCAACGATGCCGTCGCGACTGCGCATGCCGACTCTGGTGCTGCTGATCAGTCCTTTGCTCAGCGCCTATCTCTTGTGGCGTCAAACCCTCATTTCGAGCAAAGACAGGGCAAGTTCATCATCAAGCACTACGCCGGTGATGTGACCTACCGCATCGAGGGAATGACCGACAAGAACAAAGATCAGATGCTCAAAGATCTTCTTGATCTCATCGCAGTTAGCGGTAACCCGTTCCTGAAGACTCTTTTCCCTGAACAGGTCAATCATGACTCAAAGAGACGACCGCCCACTGCCAGTGACAAGATCAAATCGTCTGCCAATGATCTAGTCCAGACCCTTATGAGCTGTCAGCCTTCTTATATCCGTACCATCAAACCGAACCAGACCAAGTCACCTACCGACTACGATGACAAGGCGGTCTTGCATCAGATCAAATATCTTGGTCTGCAAGAGAACGTTCGCATTCGACGCGCAGGTTTCGCTTACCGCCAGACGTTTGAGAAGTTTGCCGAGAGATTCTATCTGCTCTCCCCCAAGACTTCATATGCTGGTGACTATATCTGGCAAGGAGACGCTCACTCCGCGTGCTTGCAGATCCTGAAGGACGCATCGATTCCCCAGGAGGAGTACCAGATGGGAACTACAAAGGCATTCATCAAGACCCCCGAGACTCTCTTTGCACTAGAGCACATGAGAGATAGATACTGGCACAACATGGCAGTTAGAATCCAGCGGGCTTGGCGAAACTATTTGAGATACAGAATAGAGTGCGCTATCCGTATTCAGCGAGCATGGCGCCGGACGTCGGGCACGAACCAGTTTGTTCAGACTCGCGACTATGGTCACCAGGTTCTTGCCAACCGCAAGGAGCGTCGTCGGATGTCGATTCTTGGATCTCGTCGCTACTTGGGTGATTATATCGGTATTGGAAACTCTGGCGGCCAGGGCGAATTCATCCGCGGCGGTGCGAGCATTTCGTCGAAGGAGATGGTGCATTTCTCTTGCCGTGGTGAGCAATTGATTGCTAAGCTCGGAAGAACCAGTCTGCGAATGCCTCGTGTGATTGTGTTGACAAACAAGGCTTTATACCTTGTCTCGGAAACTATCGTGAACAGACAGCTCGTCATTCAGAGCGAGAGAGTCATCCCTGTTGGTCAAATCAAGTCGATCGGTTTGTCTAACCTGCGCGACGACTGGGTTGCTCTGGGCGTCAACTCCTCGCAAGAGCCCGACGTGTTCATCTGGTGCTTGCTGAAGACGGAGCTTGTGACCAGGCTGAAGATGGTTCTTCCTTCTATTAGCCTGAACATCGGCTCAACTGTTCAGTACGCAAAGAAGCCTGGCAAGAGCACGACTGTGAAGTTCCAGAAGGACCCTAGTGTTCCCAGAGACGATGTGTACAAAAGTGGCACGGTCCGAGTTCCTCCCGGAGAGCCCGCAAGCAGCCGATCGAGACCCAACCCGAGACGGAAAAACAACGTTGCGGCAAAGCCTGTCGGACAGGGCAAACTTCTTCGCCGTGGTGGTGGAAATGCTCCAGCTGGTTATGAGCTTTCTTCCAAACCGACACCGCAGGCTCACGCTCAGCCTACTGCTACTCCTGCAGCACAGGTCAACCGGGCAGCCAAGCCTGCTCCTCCTCCTGCGCCTACACAAAACGGCGCTGCGAATGGTCATTACGGTGGTGCTCAGCAGCAACAGCAGCCTCATCACTCGCAACCTTCTGCAGCTGCGGTATCGGCTGCTGTAGCTGCTACTTCAGCAGCCACGCGCAAGCCAGTTCCAACACCGCAAGCTTCTCCCGCTAGGGCGAAGCCCAAGCCTGCTCCGGCGCGACCTCAGAAGGCGCAGCCCGCTCAGGTGCCTCAGGCTGCTCATCACGCGCACACCGCCTCAGCTAGCAAGCCTGCTCCGCCCCCACCTCCTCCACAGCCTGTTCAGCCAGCAGCGCCTGCTGAGCCGACCTACAAGGCTCTGTTCGACTTCCAAGCCCAGGGAGCGAACCAACTGTCGATAACGAAGGGCGAGATCTTGGTCGTTCTCAACAAAGAAGGAAATGGCTGGTACCTGGCCAAGAGACCTGGTACTACCACTGAAGGCTGGACGCCGGCGTCATATCTGGAGGAGGTTCTCACCACCCCCGCTGCAGGCGCTGTACCTCCGCCTCCTCCTCCGCCTGCTGCGGCCTCGAACGGCAACGGCTATGCCGCGCAGCAACAACAGCAGCAGCCCGTCGCAGCAGCACAGCCGATGTCGGTTGGCGCTGGTCTGGCAGAGGCTCTGAAGGCTCGACATACCCGGATGAGATCTGCGGACGAGAGCGAGGACGAAGATGACGATTGGTAGATGTAGGGCGACTGTAAGTTTGGAACCCCAGTGGCGATAGACGCGCTGCACCTCTCTTTTGGTGCTGGTCTATATAGGTTACCGGGGAGGGGTTAGTTTGTTGTGACGTGTACACTGTGCTTGTTTATTTTTGTTGTAAGTCTTTATACATAAGTTTTAGTATTCTGATGCTTGTCGAAGTCCGCAGTAGTCAAAATACATTACATAATTTTGTGATTATGGATGACGTACGCAGAGGTTAGGGCCTGGTGCAGCAGCGCAATGTGCTGCGCGACGCCTAAACGGCTTGAAGCTCGCCAATCCGTTGCTGTGCAGGAAATAGCAGAATTGAAGAGCAGTTCCGGCCATTACAAGTCACCGCAGATTCGGGATTCGAGATTTTAGTGTTTGTTTTGATTGAAACTAGATAATCATGGTAAGTCAAGTGTGCGGTCGGGGTAGTCAGTTATCGAAGAAGCTGGCTGGACGAGATGACGAGACAGACAGACGACTGATTACGATCCACATATTTAGGCTGACGAAGTCAATGCTCTGCGGTTCTCGCTTTCGGGACATCCTGTCGCTTTGGGATTTTTTTTGGGCTTTCGACTTGGTAATGGAGGATCGAGTGTGGATGCATGAAGTGCTGAGAGACTAACTTGATTTCTAGCTGCCCTGTTGACGTACATTTTCGGGCTCATCTTCACGAGCAATTTGTATGTCGCTCTGCTATATATATCTGTGTTAGTCTGTGTGCTTTATGATTGTACTAACATGATAGTCTAGCGTGCTGATTTTCATCATTGTCATGCTGCTCCTGGCCGCTGACTTCTGGAACACCAAGAACGTTTCTGGTCGTATTCTCGTCGGTCTCCGGTATGCATAGGCTGCTTCATCCATGACATTCAGAGACGATCCGACTGACAATTAATTTTCCAGATGGTGGAACGAGTCATCAGCAAACGGAGACAGTGTCTGGGTTTTCGAGAGCGCAGACGTATGTACATCATCGAAATGGGCAAGAAGGAAAGTGAGGGTCACTAACGGGATTTACGGAAATACAGCCACAACGCCAGATCAATGGCACTGATGCTCGATTCTTTTGGACTACTTTGTACAGCACACCCGTGATTTGGGGTCTTTTGGCCTTGCTCGCGATTCTCAAGTTTGAGCTGATCTGGGTATGTTTTCTCTTCATTCGATACAATTAAGCTCGTTTTGATTGAATTTAACTAACATACTATGGTGTTATAGCTCTCCCTAGTTGGTAGGTTCAAAGAAATATGCGATGCTCGACTCGATCAGCATATTTGCGAATATAAAAGTACTGACTATTTGTTATAGTGATTGCCGTCATTCTCTCGTCCACCAACGCCATGGCATTCACCAGATGCGACAGATTCGGCAAGGCGAACGGTATCGCCAACAGCATGTTTGCCAGATCATCTCGCAGCATCATGCAGAGATTCGGTGGCTCTATTCTTTCCCGCGTCTATGGAGGTTACAGTGGTTAAATGGTTGCAACAGTCTACACAACTTTAGGCGGTTAGAACGATAGTGGCTAGAATACATGCTTATATCCCTTTGGAAATTATGGTGGGAGGTGGCAATGGCATGGTTTAGTGGTTGACGTGTATCCTCGTGCGAAATCCACGTACAGAGGATGTAATGCTTAGAGATGGAAGCAGATTTCCGTTGTGGGATAGTAATTCGAGCTGAAACAGCTAAATATCTTTCACAATCTGCTCTCGTCATATTCTCATCTCATAGAAAGGCTTCTCTGGGAGGAACGGCTCAGAAGGCACTGCTACTGCTTATTCGTAGGATTGCTCTTGCAGCTTTTGTAGAGATTTGTTATGGCAACGTGCCGTATAGCACAAACTGTAGTTGGGTATACATCACAGGAATCTAATCTAGATCCACGTACAGGATGAGACAAAGACAGAGTACAAGACATGTGTCTTTGCCAAATATCTGCTCTCAGACCTGTGCAAATAGCAATGAAGTTGTCTTGGTACCTCTCGACCCCGCAAACGTGCGTACGAGGAGGTCGTGTAGAGTCAAACCACGCTTTTCAGCACTATCTTGCTGCAGCAGCAATCAATCTAAATATACGCCTGTGCAAATAGGCTGAAAGGGCAAGCACATCCGATCTGCTCTGGAGAGGTGCGCCAGATATGTCAGAACCAAAACAAAGGTACCAAAGCCACGGTTGCTGACGTATGCCAGGTCATAGGGTTAGGACTATCTCTAGCACAACCCTCACAGATACATAACGCTTAGGGTGCTTTCGTGTGCAAATTGGCGCCCAGACTTGCAAACCTTAACTTTACCTCGGCCAGAATACCACGCTTCTTTGTTTACATAGACAAGAGCGTGTTCGACTGCCCGCATACCTCTCTCCTTTCCCACGGCCGAGTCGCTTTCTCTTCACCTGCTCCACGTTTGCTTTGTGCTGTGTGTTAGGCTTGCTGCTTGAGGGTGTCGCAAGTGTTTTTAGTGCTGCGCGAAGGACCGGCTTATGGCGTCCGAGAACAGCGTGTTCTCCGATTCCCCTCTAGGTGTATATCTTAAATGTATGCGCGCATGTTGCTGTTCTACTTCTCTCTTTTTTCCAGACGATTCAGATCTAATGAACCTATGATTTTTAGCTGTTGGTGATGACATTGTTAGTGAAAGCGACAAAGAGTGCGCGTCCTCCGCGGACTCGTCTACATCTTCTCAGTATGCTCCTTCGCTTCTCACGTCCATGAGGAAGGTACGCCAGTCGGCGGCCTCGACAACCGCGTCTTCTTCCTCCTCAATCTCTAGACCTTCTTTCCGAAGTATCTCCGAAAGGGGTCAGGCTCATGGTTTCAGAATGGGAAAACCTGGGCTGCGAACGTTTTCGCTAGGAAACAAACGAGTCATGCGCAAGCTTAGATTTCAGTTTCTGTTCTCTGTACGTTTGTTTGATTTTGACGCGCAATCATGATTTGTTGAGAGATCAGTACTGATGTTGATAGACCCCGTTGAAAAAGCGGCTAGGACCCCGCGAGAACTCCCAGTTTCTAGAGCGATTCAGATATATCCTGGTTACTTCCCAACTGCTCGACGAAAATCCCTCGGTAGCAGGATACGGACAGACAGAAAACAGTTCATCCCAGCCTAATCCTCAGAACCCATTTGACAACACTCGGACTAAGAATCGGCGATTTGCAGGGATTGACGGTGCGCAGAAATACTGGGTCGGCAGCGGCGGTTGCGTCATTGTTGTTGCGATGCTGTTTTCGTGGATGCTGCGATCGTCCGATAAACAGGCTGCTATCGTGGCTGCGAAATATAGGGTGGTCATGGCGCTCATACTCTTCATGATTGTATTTTTATTTTTGCATGCACATAGTTGGAGGAAACGGTTACGGTCAACGCGTCGGACAGCTGTCAGCTATGCTTCTCAATTTGTGAAGAGTAGCCACTCTTTTGATGCCAACGTGTCAAGGACGATTGGGATCGTGCAAGAAATTGAATTCATCTCCAAAGGATTCAATCTACCATCTCTAGCGTCATCGCCGGCATCATACAACACACCAACATCGGGTCCCTCGAAACGACGAAGATTTTCAGGAGAGGACAGGAGCTGTAGGAAGCTTCGAAGTCAGATTGTTTCAGTTCTCGACCTAAGTCTATCACTGTGTCTGCGATCTTTCGAGGGTTTATCGGAGCTATGTGATCGTACTGATCTGGAGAAATATTTCGAAATTTATGATCTCAACAATGCTGTTGCTGAGCAGCTTGAGAACGACATGCCGTCTCCTAGAGAATCGGAACCCGTTATGCATTTTGGAGATTTTGAAGACTCGGATGACGAGGATGAGTCGAGCCGGATTGAGTCGCTATTTCAGCTCAAGCAGAAATTCAGAAAGCTACATCACACGCGACGGAAACTGATATGCTGCTTTCTGGCGATGGATGCGAGCGGGGGCTTGAGTGATACAAAGAAGTGGAACTCGATCGTGCAGGAGCTGGGAACGTTGTCTGAGATGATTCACCGGCTGTCTGAAGAGCTAGCTGCATCACTGCTGCACAAGGATGTACTAGGTATGGTTGAATTCTACGCCAAAGCACAGCAAGGTGATGAAGAGATCAAAGAAGGGGGAACAGTAAAATCGGATAGCGGCAGGATAAATCGCCGCTGGTCGCGTTCGTCGGCCGGAGAATCGATCACGTCTGAGAGCAGATGGCGGTCTCACTTGCAGACTCTTAACAGTCTTTCTGCGACATTGCGGAATCTCGAAGCTAAGATGTATGTCTTGAGAGAAGACTCGTCAGCGCTTGAGCGGCAGGATGTGCGGTGGTCGCAGCAGCGTGGACGGACTTCGTCTCCCGTCAAGACTGCTTCCATTGATGGATTTTTGGAACGGTCGAATTCAGACATGTTTGGATCACCATCAGGGCAGCAGTCGGCTCAGGGAAGCTCAAGCCAATTTCAGTATGTCGACAACGTTATTAAGCAGTATGAGAGTATTGGGATGGACATGAGGACCATGCTCCGAGAGTGGGAAACTGGTAAAGCCAAACTCTACGAGGCCATCCAGCCATTCACGGACCGACGATCCGGTCTTTTTCAAAAACGCAGCAGCGGATTATGGCAGCCGCTGCGTCCGAATGACGAGCAAGAGTCCACATCGCCATCGATGCAATCGATGTCCTCGCCAACGAGCATGGCATCTATAGCCACATTCGACGGCTCGGTCGCCGCAGAACGCTACCCGCCTTGGTCACCACAGTCATTCGACGGGGCGAACGGTACCGATCTAGCTGGGTTCACGCCGCGGGTGCGGAATCCGGATAATGACGACGACGACGACGACGACGACGATCTGATACTCGAAACTGAGGGGACGCCGTTGCCGTTGCCGATGAAATCAAAGATGGTGGATGAGATCGCGTCGGCGATGGTGAGACAACAGGACCGGATTTTGAGAGCACAGCGGATGAGGGAGAGGGATGAGGATGAGGATGAGGAGTGATGGCTGACGCATGTTTTGTGGTCGATTAGGTGTTTTTACTTCTTGTTACTATTTGTATACAGTTTTCTTGCCTAGTACCTTTTAATTCTGGAGTTTTGCTTGCGTTTTAATTAATACTGTAAAACGACCGCCTGGTCAAGACTATTCTTCCATTTCTTTTATTTATTAGTAGATATGATATAAGATAGAAGCGGTGACTAACAGCAATCAATGTATCCTTGAAAGCTTCACAGTAGTCAAATTAATATCACTCTCAACCTTAGTCGACTTATCCCCCAGCCTTTCGATATACGAAATCTGCGAATCAAGCTCACTTCCAATCGTCGACGCAATCGCATTCAATCTCGAACTAGCAGCACCAACGCTATCCAGCGTAGACTCAATATCGTTCTCGAGCTCAAAGTCCTCGTCGTCGGGTTCGAACTGGTACCGTGAGGCCGTCGTTGTTCGCTGCTGACCTTGCTGTCTTTGCGGAGCGCGTCGGAATTGCGCGCTCTTTGCGTCGTTGAGTCTCGCTCGCGACTGGGCTTGCTGCGAGTTGTTCAGATCGCGCGCCTGCTGCTGCGAGGCGAATGAGTCGCGGATCTTTTGGTCGCGCTCTTGTAACCTGCGCTGTGAGCTCCACGGCTTGGAAACATGCACGGCGAACATTGACCGGTTGATCGTACGAAGCTCGTTGACGTGGCTATCGCCGATCTGGATCTGACTTCCAGATACGGAAAGCGAGTTATCGATACTTCCCAGGCGAGAACGTTGGTCGTCTAGCCGTTCCATCGTGCGGATCGCAGAGGCTTCTGCTTCTTCGGCGGTCAAGAGCGCGCGCTGGGCTGTGCTTAGCGAGTCAATTTTAACCTCGCGGATCTGTTTCCGCAGACTTTCAACCTCGCGCTGCTCGTCTTGCTCGCGCAGGTCGTCAAAGTCCACGGTAGAGCTGGAATTTGCGCCGGAGGTGGTGGCGGACGGTGTCTCGCCGTAGCGGGCTGCGCGCTCTGCTTCTGTTTCCATGATTGAGGGGTCGTAGGTGCTTGATTCTGGTTCGATATACATCTGCGTCTGCGTCTGGATCTGTGTCTGTGTAGGGCTCTTGCTCGGGTAGTTTGCCAGTGTCCTGGGTTTCTGCCGACCATTATCTACTCCTCTAAACAGTTCCCGCCTGGTCGAATCCGCGATCGATACAGTATCATCTTCCGGTTGCTTCGCGGTATACCCTGACCGCGCTGTCGTCGCTGACTCGGAGGCGCCATAAGCATTGCCGCCGTAGCTGCTCGACGCAGAGTAAGACGTCTGAGAAGATCCCGACGACCGCGGCGGTAATTGACTTGTTTGATATGCCGCCGACGAGCGGGAAACATCATACGGATTAGTGCGCGGCTGCGCGGACTCGTATGGATTCACATAACTGCTCTCGTTCACACTCCTACTCGAGTAGCTCGAAGCGTAGGGATTATAATCCCCGTCGCTTGCCGAGGAGCTGTACTCATCAGCCTGGGCGTACGGGTTGTGAGCATTGACAGAGCGCGGCACGGGAGCCGACGCGGCGGTGGTGTACGAACTCGCGGTGTCGGGCTCCGGGGCTGATATCTGCGACGGGGGAGAGACTGTGGAATCTCGCTTTGCGCGACCTATGAATTTCTTCATTCTGCTATCTGTTGACTGAAAAACAACGCTGAGTAGCTGTATGGGAAAGAAGGAGGGAGTCGGAGGAGGAGGACGGGGTTAAGTAGTAGTCGCAGACGCTGTTCAGCTTCTTCTGAGCCACTTCAGCTGTGATCGGCTAAGACGATGCAGGTCGTTAGTTTGTCTCTGCAGAACTAGGACGCTTCAGTGATTGTTCTATGCTATATCTTCCTATCTGAGATATCAGCAGGTTCGATAAGGATATAACACAGCTTGTGGTATTAATGAGGTGGTGGTGGTATGCTCTACCGCGTCCAGCAGCGATCTCGGCTCACAGCATGGCTTGATCTGCCTCTGCCTTCTCTCGCCTGCTCTTCAACTTCCGGATATAAAAACCCTCAATGATCTAAGTAATTGTTGACTGCCATCGCGGTATCCTGCACAAGCAAAGAAAGCTACGTCGGATAGACTAAAGATCATCGCGGGATGATGAGATAACAGCGCTGTAATTAAAGCTTTCCTCCCATCAGAACTATAGGTCGAAATATCCCATTGCCTCACTATTCTTTAACTATCTACTTGCTAAACTACCACATAACCATTTCTGATCAACTATTTACAAAGAGAGAGGAATTTTCTTTTTTTTTCTTTCTTGTTTTACAATACGAACCGCCCCACACGCACTCTTCTCCTCCGTCAGCCACCGCTTAAGAAAAACAGCAACCTCCCGCACACAGCTTAAGAAAGGTCCGCAGACACAATTCACAGCACAGCACAGAAAAGACAGAACAGAAAAGGCGAGCGTAAAACGGCAGGTGCCAGGATCGGGAAGAATGCATTACGCATACTCTTGAGCAGAAGTTCACCTTCTTTCCCCAAGAGTTATGTGGGACTCTGCGACCCGTCTCTCTCGAGGTCGCCATACCCACTAAGACCCGACCTCACCCTGACGACAGCTTGGCCACTGCCGCCCCGTATTGATGGGTTGTCAAAGCTGTCGCATGATCCGCTCGTCTTGCCGTCGGAAGTGTCAAGCACAAGGCCCCCCCTCGTGACAAGTCGGCTGGTCGCGCGGACTCTCTTTCCACGACCATCGCCACGGGCTCCGTGCGATGGCGCGGCGTGCCAGCGCGCAGGTGGGAAGAGACGCGACAGCACAGACGTTTTAAATCCGAATGAGTAACCTGGCTAAAGAATAATCTCATCAGATTGGTGGCCGTCCCGACCAACAGCGCCTACGCGGCGCCTTAAGGGACGGCCTGCGCAGAAGTATCCGAGCCGGCAAAGGAGCATCGTCTCCTCGAGCATAACCGTGCTCGCTCGGGTTCCGCGCGTGCGGAGTCAGACTGCTAGGGCAGCTGCAGGCCTTGCCAGACCGTGATCCGCTCACGTGCTGTCTGGCGGCCATGGTGGATGAAGCAAGTGCGATAGCTGCAGTACGCGACAACTCTCCCGGCCAGTCCGCATGACATTTGCTCTCTCAAGAGCCGGCTTCGCTCTCCTCTCGCGTGCGCGGTACAACGTCAACTCGAATGAGAATGCTACCGTGGACGGTATAGGCTACTCTCTGACGTCTCCGCGGAGTGGTGCCACGGAATGCTACCTCATCGGTATAGGCTATTCTCAGAAAGAGCTGCTTGTAAGGCATATGCTCTTCCTGAAAATGCTACCTCGGTACAGGTATTCCATGACATCTCCGCGGTGGTACCATCCACGCGAGAGGGACGTAACCATGTTGCAGATCAGGCCGAACCGCGAGCTGTCCTGTTAAAACGATGTAGTTAGCGATAAAGGCTCAGGGTGTAAGATGTAAGCGTAACCCATCGCCCATATAGAGATCTTAAGAGCAAAGAGTGCACATACCGTCTGCTTATTGCTGATCACACTTGCTTCCCCTAGAGTCGACCAACTTTCTCACCGAACGACTCCGCGATCGTCGATGGCATACACGTCCTTGTTTAACAAAGACGCCGGTGCAGCAGACCGCGCTATGAGTATGCGCGTCTGCAAGTTCGACATTAGTCTTTCGCTTTCTATCAAATCAGACAGCTGTGCTTACTATATTGTGCCATGGTAGAGATCAGACCCAGGCGGGCCGCTTGGGACGGGGTGGAGCAGCCGCCGTCGTATCGTCCCGTATCGCACGTTGGGTACCTATCCTAAACCAAAAAAAACACAAGCCAAACAACCCCGTCCATATAGAAAGCCTCTGAAACACAGAGATCTTCTATACGGCCAGGACTGCCTGAGAAGTCAGCAAACACCTCCGCGTTCGCAGAGAGGTACACCAAAAAACCAAAAACCAAAAAAACCAAAAAGTCGGAGACGGTGGGAAGTCGCTCTGATCTATTGCTAAAAAATAGAGCCGGAATGGTGCGCAGGGGGAGAGATCAAGGATCAGAAAAGTAGTGATGGGGAGGGGGAAAGAGAGGAGGAAGAGGCGGGCGCTGGGGGGATTTGAGGGCGGGCGGGCGCGTGGGTGGTATTGGGGTTTTCCCGTTCTGGACGAAAGTAAACAGATTTCGACGCGCCGGCCATTTCGTAATTTTTTTACTTCAGCCCCCGTTTCGGGAAGAAAACTGAAGCAGCGGATAATCCAACAGTGAAGGAATGCTTCTTTGTCTAGTCAAACGGTTGGCGATCTGTTTTCATCGAATATAAAGGCCGTCTTGTTATATTCAGGTGTCTAGGAAAACAAGCAATTGCTCATAGTTTTTGTAAATCATAGTATATGTATATATTCATAACACGACCAGGTCTAAGTACAGTACAAGAAACCACACAAATGATGCCTAAAAATGAAAAACAGAAATACATCGATAAATCCATTCGTCAAGATAAAGTTGGAAAAAACGCCATGCACACAATAGAAAAGACCCCGAGCTTATTTGATCTTTGCGAGTCTGGAAGTATTCAGATGAACGTTAATCTCGACCTCCTGCGTCTTCTCATTGAGCTTGTTCACCCGCTTGTTCTGAGACTCAAGCTCGGAATTCAACGACTGCGCCATCGAGTGCAATCTTTGACTCGCGGCTCCGACGTCGTCCAACGTCGCGTCGATGTCGCGCTCGAGCTCAAAGTCCTCGTCGTCAGGCTCGAACTGGAACCGCGACGCCTGCGCAAGTCCCGCTTTCTGTTTCTGCATTTGCTCACGGTACCGCAGCTCGGTGTCGGTTAACTGCCGTCGTCGTTGGCCGGGAAGGTTACCCATCGCCTCGCCGATGCGCATCTGCGCTTGGTACTGCACGCGTCGGTTGTCTTCGCGAGCATCTTGCTGACTACTGAACGTATCGCGGATTCTTTTCTCCTGCTCCTGTAGCCGGCGGCGGGAGTTGAACGGGTTCGACACGTGGACGGCGAACATCGAGCGGTTCAGACTCTTGAGCTCTTTCGCGTAGTCCTCCGCGAGCTTCGTCTGGTTCTCGGTGACGGCGAGCGACGCCTCGGAGTTTGCCAGCCGGTCGCTTTGTTCGCCGAGCATGGCTAGCGTTCGAAGACCAGAGGCCTCTGCTTCTTCGGCGTAGCGACGCGCGTTCTGGGCAGAGCCTAGTGACTGGCCCTTGATGTACTTCATCTGCTGTTTCATCTCCTGCACCTGCGCTTCCTCTTCTTGTTCCTGCTGTTCTCTCAGCTCGTCGAAATTGACAGAAGATCCGTACGCCGTTTCCGCGTAGACATTCCCGCTGCTACTACCGGGCTGCTCGCCGTAGCGTGCCGCGCGCTCGGCCTCGGTCTCCATGATCGAGGGGTCATAGTCGCTCGACTGCTCCGGCATGAACGTCTGCGCCTGCATCTGACTCTGCTCGTCCTTGCCGCTCCGTATCGACGGCGTCTTGAGCTTGAACCGATTCCGAGCCCCCTTGAAGAGCTCCTGTCTGGTCGAGTCTGCGATCGAGACCGCGTCGTCTTCTTGTCTGGCCGGGAGAGTGTTCACACTCGTCGTGCTGCCGTAGTGGGACCCCGGCGCACTGTGATAGCTCGGCGCGGCATCGCCGTCGTAGGAGGCGTAGTCTGGAAGCGCGGTGGTGGACACGGGTTGGTAGGAGCCGTACGGGTTATGATCGCGGCTCGCGGCAGGGGCAGGGGCGGGAGCAGCTGACGATGCCGAGAGCGAGTGCTGCGCCTGCGGTCGGCCACGAGCTGGCGCGTACGAGTTTGACGGGCGAGACGAGACTTCGTATGGATTGTGTGGCGCTTCTGAAGACTGATATGGGTTCGCATCGCCACCGCTGCTGCTGCTGGAGCTGGAGCTGAAGCTGGAGCTGTTGCTGCCAGGGCCAGAGGCGTAAGGATTGTAATCGCCTTCTCCAGACGAGGACGCTGGTGCCCTGGGCGCGGTGTTGTATTTCCCGTCGTTGATGGCGTATGGGTTCTTACGCCCTTCGGAGCGCTGGGTGTAGTCCGGCGAGGAGGTGTAGGGGTTGCCGTAGTCGTTTGCCGAGACCGACATCTCTGACGGCGTCGGGGACGAGCTGCGCTTCGAGCGGCCAAGGAACTTCTTCATTGCGAGTGCTTTTCTAGATCTTTTAAGTAAAATAGAAGCAAGCAGGAAGATGGTCGGAGAAGGTCTTCTTCTTATATCAGGACCGCTCGGGGGGCGCAGGCGTGATTGCAGCGGAAGTTTGCCGCGCGCGGCGACGCGTTTACCCGGCTCTGAGCCGCACTTCTATTAATACTCCTAATTAATATGATTAGTCATAGCTTAACAATGATATCTTAGACCCTGGGTAGTGAAGTATTCCAGCCGGATGGAAGATTTGGTTGTAACTCTGATAATGATAACTCTAACAATGCATTATATTATTGATACAAACTAATCACAGTCTAATAAGAACGTGGATCATGAAACGTGATTCTAACCATAACGAGCAAGTCTAGTGGTGTTGAGGTAGACACCAACCTCTGTATCCTCAGTCTTCTTTGACAGTTTTGCGATCCGGTTATTTTGATCTTCAACTTCTGACGATATCGCCTTTGCCATCGAATTAAGTCTCGCTGATGCATTGGCGATATGATCTAATCGCTCGTTGACATTTCGCTCATCTTCAAAGTCGTCGTCGTCAGGCTCAAACATGTATCTTGATTTTTCCGCCAGCTTGGCCTTGTTGTCCAGCATCTGCTGCCGGTATTTAAGCTCAGTCTCTGTGAGCTGCCGTCTGCGTTCGCCTGGTGCGTTGCCCATCGCTCTCGCGATATTCTGCTGCGACTCGTACTGTAGTCTGCGCGTCTCTTCGCGCGTTTTCTGTCGCTGCTGGAAGTCGTTCCTCAGCTGGAGATCTTTCTCGGCGATTTTCTTGCGCGAGTTGAACGGATTAGAGACGTGAATGGCGAGCATGTTGCGGTTCAATGCTTTCAGCTCGCTCGCGTAGTCCTCCGCGAGCTTCGTCTTGTTGGCCGCGATCGCGATCGAGGACTCGGCGTTTCCAATCTGATCGCTCTGCTGGCCGAGCATCTGGAGTGTTTTCATTCCGGACGCTTCGGCTTCTTCTGCGTAGCGTAGGGCCGAGTCAGCCGAGTCGATCGACTGCTTGTTCAGGAACTTGATGTGGTCTTTCATGGCCTGGATCTCCAGCTCGTCGCCGTCTTTGTATTCCTGCGCGTAGGCCTGCTCGGTAGATAGCTCGCGGTCTTCAGGAATGACAGTCTGATGATGCGACTGCTGCGCTGTGCCCTGGCGTTGCATCGCATATCTCTGCTCGCGCTCGGCCTCGGTCTCCATGATCGACGGATCATAGTCCGGAGACGCCGGCCTGAACTGGGGCAAGTTCGCAGTCGACTGTTTCTTCTTCTGCAGCAGTTTTTGCCGCTGCACCTCAAGAGACTCTGAGGGCTCGAGGCTTTCGTACGGACTCGTGCCTTGCTGGTCCGAGAGCGCGGGGTTGTAGACGATTGGGTCGGAGAAGCGCTTCTGAGATACCGACACGGGCTCGTATGGGTTTCTTTTGCTGTTGCTGCTGGAGCGTGAGCGGCCGCTGGAGGAAGAAGTCGAGTTGAGACGCGGGGTGCCGTTTAGACCCGGCACGCGGGGCGGAGAGAGAGGTATTGAAGCGGACGAAGGCGAGACGGGGGATATCCGGGTATAAGGAGCGGGCGAGGTGGAGTAGTAGGGCGAAGGAGGAGGAGAAGCGGAGGTGGTGGGGGTGAGAGCAGGAGGAGTAGGAACAGGCCGCGCGGTTCTGCTATAAGCAGACGCGACCGAGTTGTAGGGATTGCTGCCGATGGCGTAGGGATTGTAGGCAGGACCGGGGCTGGCGTCGGTGGAGGCGGGGAGGTCGTCGTCGGAGAGCGAGTCCGCGGCGTCGAGGTCGTAGTCGCCGTCCGAGCGAGAGCGCGCGTGGCCGAGATGGGCCTTTCCGAGTAGTTTCTTGACGAGGGTCATTGCCTGCTGCTAACAAACAGAGATCATGAAGAGGAAGAAGAGGAGGAGCAGAGGAAGAGGCGGCCACATAAAAGGCAGCGTGGCGACGGCCGAGGAAGCGCGTGACGTAATCGACGTCCACGTCACGATCTCCGCGCCGCACATTGGGTTAGGGTCCGAGTTAGCCGGACAGCGGCCTTTTTGAGTGCCGGAGCCGGGAGGGAGTGGTCGGCAGAGGAAGAATAAGTAGCAGAAAACTAGGGAGAAAAGAGTATATGTCTTTTGTATTTATACCGTAGTATTCACAGACTATCGTCTCTATCTACAAAACACGACCGAGCGCAGTGCACAGAACGCGGTGAGTAAATCACGTGACTCTCTCCAAACTCTGTTCAGCAAACGGCACCTGCAGTCGCCCAAAGGCTCGCTCAGCCAAGAAAGGCGACGAGATTTCAAATATCCCCGGTTCTTCCCCATATCAGCCTCCACCTCTGTTCAGCTCTGCTCATTACTCCAGACAGCCTCTGCAGAGCCACAGAGTAACTGTCTACTCTGCCCTGCCCTGCCCAGCTGACTACTGCCGCCAGACAATGGCGCGCGCACCCAACCAGAGAGCCCCCTCTGATAGGCAGTACCCGCACTCCTTTGTAAACCCGGACGGCTCCCCCATGAGCTCTCAGCGCAGCTCTGCCTCTCTGCGCCGGCGTCGCGCTGCTGTCCAGCTCGAAGACGACTCGACCACGACCAGCGGCAACGACGAGCTCAGCGACGGCGACGACGACGACGACGTAAGCGACGCCTTCGACCACACTGACGACGACGGCGGCCGTGGTATCAGCAGCAGCGGTAACGGTCGTCTAGAAGCCAATCTCGGGAGCAACGGCCAGAGACTTACGGCTGATGAGCGCTTGATTGTGAGGAAGCAGGAGCAGCGGTTCAGAACTTTTCTGGAGCGGCAAAATCGCATCTTGGCCGAGAACTCGGCGAGTCTTTTCGCTGACCTCTTGCCTATGACATCTCAGTATGTCCACATTGTTTGGGATCAGAATACAGTTACTGACATGCAACTACTCTAGCGGCATGCCGCCAATACCTGGATACTCTGAATCATACGACAACACAGCGCCCTCGGCCGCCAGCTACACCAACTACAACAACGACAGTCACGTCGGCACCACCACCAACATCAACATCAACAACATCAACAACTCACATTCAGCCTCAGCCACAAACACCGCTGTTCCGTCGAGAATGGCCAGTCCGAAACCAGTCGTCAGCGAGCGCAATTTGAAAGGCCTCATCAGTCCTGCGCAAAACGTTGCGCATATGGTCTGCAAGGTACCAAAGATCACCAACTGCACTATACTACTTGTATCTCGAGCTCACTATTTGCATGCAGGCTCTCTCTCTACCTCCAAGCTTATACGGCGTCTGGATCTGTCTTCATGAAACATGGAAGCTCAAATCCTCTCCTGATTTTTCGTCGATGGGACTTGAGCTCCTACTCGCTGCGCTTTGGGTACGCTCTACTTCTGACTTCTGCTTGATTCGCTTGCTAACAATGACACACACCAGGGCGGAGTATCTGCATATCTGTCATTCGCCTTCATCGATGGCTTGATGCTTAGATGGTCAGTACTTTTGTTTTTAGCCTACCCGCTCTACATTATCTAACAAATACCCAGGCTCGTAATGTACTCCTCCCCCGCAACAATCGTGCGCCTGCTCTCGATCAACGCACTGATGACCGCCCTCATCAAAATCATCCTCGACTTCTTCGCCCGCGACCCCGCAAACCTGCTCGCGACCTGGATCCTCATCGCCTGCGTCCTCACCGCCGCGTACGCGATCCAGAACTTTGTCACCAGCAACATCGCAATCGAACCGCGCGCGCGCAGAGTCGATCTCTACAACATCGCCGTCTTTGCTGTCGTGCCGGTTGGCTTTGCGAGCTTTATCACCATGATTGGCTTGATTCGCAGTTTAGTCGTTGTGCGGGCGCAGCAGTGATCTTTGTTCTACTATTTTGTGTTATATTTTTGGCAGTTGCATCTTGGAGTTATCTGGCGTTCTATTGTTTGTCCTGTAAATAGAGCTCGACAATCACTTACTAATCCATCACATAACCACATCCAAGTCACGTGGATAGAAGCCACCGCGAACGCGTAGAAGGTTCTGGTACCGTGGCTTGAATGTGCCTGCGCCACAGGGGCTGTGCACGTGATGAGGTCATCCGGCGACAATCGCGTTATTCGGGCCCGCCTTAAATCAGAAACCATCGCCAGCTGCTCTTGTTGCCCTCTTTGTTTAGAAAGAATTACAGACAATTGGTTCTGAATTGTATATATATCTGGTCTATGCCTCGATATATCGCAGGTTCTGCTTGAACTTATAACTACTACCACTACACCACTTCTTATTACATCACGTCTTTCTGCTCGGCAGTTTGCCGATAAGCAATCATCTATCTCCACGAATATCATGGACCACAACAACAACAACAACAACACTTCTAGCAACAATGGTGCTTCTCAACCCCAGTCACCGCCAACCTTCCCTCCAAACGTCTTCTACGTCAATTACCACTTCACCTTTGCTCCATCCCCCACCGCGCCCGCCACCCCTTCGCCTGGCTTCCCGCCGCCCGCTACCGACGACGCAGCGCAGTCGCCACAGCAGCAGCAGCAGCAGCAAGGCCCCGCGAACCCGTTCCAGGGATTCTTCTTCTACACCATCCCCGGCGGCGCTCCGGTAGCAGGCCAGGCCGGACCCGACAACAACCCCTTCGAGTTCTTCGAGGAACCGCCCAAGCCACGTGCGTCGAAGAACGCAGTCGCCGCGCTCAAGGACGTCGACCTTGACGCGATCCCGGAGGCGGACCGGACGTGCTCGATATGCTTTGAGCCGTACAGCGCTGGGAAGAACGGACCGAAGCAGGCCGAATCGAAATGTGCTCATGACGAAGAGCACGACGACGAGGCGAAGGCTACGGCGGATGCCGCCGCAACCGAGTCTGCCGCCCCAGCCGACGAGAAGAAAGCAGAGGCAGAAGACGACCACGCGCCGCTTCAGATGCCGTGCGGCCATATCTTTGGCCGGAGCTGCTTGAAAGAATGGCTGGCGTCCTCGACGACCTGCCCGCTCTGCCGGACCGCGATCGAGGCAGAGGCGCAAGAGGCGCAAGAGCCGCGACAGTCTGCGCCGCGAGCGACGTTTTTCTTCCAGAACGGATTGCCGTTCTTGGTTGGCCCGCTTTTCAATATTATCGCAGGCGCAAGAGGTGCTCGGCCCGCTCCTGCTTCCGCCCAGAATCCGGGTCAGACGGGTGCGGGTGAGAATGCTTCGTCTGAGAGCTCATCTGAGGCCACAACTCAGACTCCTTCCGGCACCACGACCGCGTCCGAGGAAAGCGGCGCATCAACTCCTGCATCTCAGGATCAGCGAGAACCGTCCATCTCCCGCTCGCTAAGCTTCACGCTTTCGGCGCGTAACCGCAACCACCCCTACCTCCGCCGCTCCGCCCCCAGCAGCTCCACCAATCTCTCGGAGCCACCTACGGTATCGACCACCGCGTCCTCCACACCAAGCAGCACCACTCTCCCGCCACTCGCGACCGTGCTCGCTCGACCCGATCTCGAATGCGGCTCGGCGCCAATGGGACTCTGCGAGGAGTCCGGCGCGTACATGCGTCTGACGTGCGGCCACGGTTTCCACGAAGACTGCCTCCGCAGCGCGATGAGATCGCACGGCGACGCGGACATTCCGAATCTGCGGAGCGACGAGGACGTGTCGACTAGTGACATTGAGCGGCCGCAGGTGCGTCGCGAGGTGTGGTGCATGAGATGTCGACGGTACGTCGCTGTCGATGTATAAGCGACGTCTCTCCTTTTTTATTCATTGTGGCTCTTCTTTTAGTTTTGTATTGTTTTGGGATAGCTTCATCAACAGGAGGTGTTTTAATGTTTCTTTATTTCTTTGTTTATTCGTCTTTGTTTTGCTTTTTGGGTCGTATGGTCTGTACATTAGTATCTCATGGTTGTATTGTTTTTCCGGAAGAGCTGCGATCTTTTCTTTTCAACGCCGTCATCTGCAGGCGTTATGGGCTTTCATTCACCTTTCTTTAGCCCTTCATATTTGCCTATTTTGCATAAATATACACTATATTTCTATATACGATAGAGTCTGGGTCGGTGGTTTATAGGGACTTGGATGTTTGTGTAGGGTTTGTAATTATGTAATGTATAAATAAATCATCTGTTTAATTGATCCGTGACGCGATAACCTGATAACTGACATTTCGACCACGACCTGATCTGCTCAAGCTCTAGAGATGACCAGCGGATCTATTTATTCTGTTTTCCGTTCAGGCTACGCTTTGTAGAGGGAGAGATGTCGTTCCATCTCTCTGAGTTTGTGGTGGAATCACAGGCGGTCTCGTTGACGACGACGGATGTACGCGCATGCTCTAGTTCTCCGTCGGCGGGGTCGGGGTCGGAGGGTGGTGGCGGTGAGAAAAATGATGATCGGGTTGAGATCTTGACTGCGGATCACGACGGCGGACGAGCTGCTGCTGCTGCAGGTGCAGGGACGAGGACCGACGCGAGTGTGGTGTGTAGTCGATGTCGACATGCGAAGCCGCGGAGTGAGTTTGTGAGGTTAGGCAAGCTGCTACGGCGGTGTGCGCGGTGTCGGGGACTGAGTTCGCAGTTGAAAAAGCAGAAGGTGAGATCACTTCTTATCCCCCCCGGCTGGATTGACGATGTTGACCGAGAGTGAGAGGTATAGAGACAACAGGAGGTGTTGAAAGCAGCAGAGGCAAGCGCGTTGGTGCCTGATCTTCCAAGCTATGAGAATTACTACCTCTTCACGCGCGATCTGCGACGGGACTTGATTCGTTTCTCGCCTGCGCTGGTGGGATCTTTCCCTCCGTTTTCTTCTTCCCCCCCGACACAGCTGGAGAGTGAGAGTCCGACTGTTGCGCATGAAACGAACGCAGAGTACACACTCGGTCCGAACCTCACGCTTCCCAATCTTCTTCCCCCGTCGTCTGATGCACAGATCACCAGCACAAACACGATCTCGACACACCTCGAAACCGCAGCATCCGAGCTCGAGGAGCCGAAGGAGTTATTCGCCGCGCTGATCGATGCGGTTTACGAAAGTACGGGGTACCTGTTTATCCGGCGGAACACGAAGCGCAACACGCAGAAACGGACGGTTAAGGTGTATTACATTTGCTCGCGGTCAAAGGAGAAGGCGAATCTGCCGCACTCGGAGGTGTCTTCTAAACGTACTCGTATGTATCAGGTTTTTGATATTGTGTGAAGATGAATTGATCTTGAATGAAGAGAGGCTGACGATTGACGATGAAGATCGGAGAGAGCTATTTGACTGTAACGGCAACCTCTCGATCCGAGCAGATTTTTCGACGCGAAAAGTGCTCGTGCAAATCAGACACAGCTGTATCCACATCTCGGCCGAGCGCAGACCTCTCAAAAGCAAGAAACAGCGCGAAACGCTCCTCTACCCTGCTCTCAGCAGCAGCACCAGCTACGACGACACTGAGCTAGGTGTGGAGGCGACGTACGAGAGGTGCGGTGCGCATCCGAGGTGGGAGCAGATGAAGGCGGTGTTTGCGTACCTGGGGGCGAGCTGTAATGATGATAATCGGCCGTTGCAGGATTATGTTATTGAGCATTTGGGTGGGGAGCGGTATTTGGATGAGTTTCTTTCGCTAGCGGGGGAGCGCTAGAGTATTACTGAACGGAGTTTAATGAGTCTAATATGATTCTAATATGATTCAAGTCTAGTTCTACTAAATATACATTTAAGCACACTCGTTCTCGAGAATGTAGTCAAAACCAAGGTTAAGAGTCTGGAAATGACCACCGTCGGTAGGCTGAGGCTCGATGAGGGTAGCGTCAGCGCCCGCGGTCTTGAGCATTTCGACCATTTGGCGAGATCCAGTGAGCGAGGTAAGCTGATCAGCCGGGCTGTGGAAGATCGTCACTTTCTTCCCCGTGATTCCCTCGATCTTTGAGAGATCGCCAAGGACAGGCCAGGGCTTTGTAGCGAGGGCGGCGCCAAAGATCTCGACGCAGGAGTTTGCGTAGCCGACGATGCCCTGGCGGTAGGCCTCGTAGTTGACGTATTGCCAGCCGAGGGCCTCGATCGGGTGAGTGGCGAGGAACTCCGCGTCACCAGCGGAGGAAAAGTTCTTCATGTTCTCAATGACGTTGGAGCAGTCGGTGATGGCATCGGCCGAGGCGATGAGGTTGTAGTAGAATTTCTTTGGGTTGGTGAGCGCGAGCTTGTTTGTGGCGGCCGCGCCGGGAGAGACGTCGGACCAGGACTTTTCGTCGTCAAAGTATCCCGCGGGCCCGAGGCAGTAGACGGAGCGGATGCGGTCGGGGAAGGTCTTGAGGATGGCGATGACGTGCGGGCCGCCGGCGGAGAAGCCGACGAGCATGACCTTGGTCTTGATCTCGAGGTGGTCGAGCAGCTCGCCGACGTCGGAGACAGCGGTCTCGATCACGGTCTTGCCGTCAACAGGGAGGGAGGAGAAGCCGTGTCCCGGGCGGTCCATTGCGAGGACGCGGATGTTTTTGTCCTTGAGCGAGGCGCCGATGGGCAGGACGCGGGAGCCAGGGTTGCCGTGCTCGTAGACGACGACGTTGTCGGAGTCGGCCGAGCCGTACTCAGCGTAGGATATTGTGCGGCCGCTGGAGGGGGAGACGAAGGTGTGCTCTGAGTTGGCGTAGTCGGGGTAGGAGGAGGTGGGCGGGTTGGAGCGCGGAGAGGATTTCTTGTGTTTGAGGTACTTGACGGGTTTGGGGAGGGGGATTGTGCCGGTTGCGGTGAGGGCGGCGCCGATGAGGGCAGCTCCGGCGGCGGCGGCTGCAACGGAGAAGATGATTTTCTCTTTCTGGGAGGGCATTGTTGATGATAGAAGAAGAGTGAAGATGGTGAAGGTAGTAGAGGAGGAGGAGGAGGAGGAAGAGAAGGGAAGGGCTCGGGAGTAGATGGCGGTGTGGCTGGGCAGTGGCTGGTGGAGAGATAGCAGGCGAATGAAAGAAGGGAGCGACCCGAGCTCAGACTGCGAGAATCGAGTGTTGAGACCGACGACGCAGAGGAGTTGTGCTGTTTGCTGTTATTTGAGTCGAGTCAAGAGAAGAGCAGTAGAGTCAAGAGTCATGAAGAAGAAGCAAAGAATAAGATAGGAGGAGTCAAATAGATGACTAATCACTTAGTCATATCCTTATCAGCGGTCGGTTATCGGCATAGTCGTCTGTGACCGTGACTCAGACTCAGTGGACCTTATCTCCTGCGTACAGCTGCTGAGTCTTGCAGCAGCCATGGAGGAATAGCAGCAGTATTATAGCAGTATTACAACAACATTATAACAACACTATTATAACATAACATCACACACACTCTCCTCTGACTCTTTAACCTGCGTCGGGCGCTGTCTGGCGCTGCCGGGCGCTGCCTGTGCGTTCTGTGGCGCACAAGCTCGGAAGGTGCTCGGCGCACCAAAACAACGGAGATTCGTTAATCCCTCGTCTTCCTCATATCCAACCTTCTTCCTCTTTGCTACTCCTTCTGCTCCTGCTTCTTCGTCTTCTCTGCTGCTCTGCTGCTCTGTTAGTATTCTATAGCGGCCATGGTATCCGCAAAGTCTTCTCTTCTGCAAGATACGGCTGCCACCCCGGCGCCAAAGGTGAAGCAGTCCAAAAGCCGAAATGGTATGTATCCTCCGTCGCTTGCCGCCTCTTCCACTCCTCCTTATTCTCTTCTCTATTCTCCTTCTATACGTCTACAGTAACTGACTGCTCTTCTTCTGTATATTAGGCTGCGCAACTTGCAAAGCAAAGCGACTGAAATGCGACGAAACAAAACCCACCTGTCTTCAATGTACGCCATCAACCTCTCTTCATCTTCCCCCCCCCCCTCTTCATCCCCCCTCTAACTCCTCTCAGGCCGGAAACGAAACGTCGAGTGTGGCGGCTACAAACGCGACTTCAAATGGCGTCTCTTCGAAGAGTCCTCCATCACCAAACGGAAAAAAGGCGACCCGTCTCCCGCCACTAGCTCGGCTTCCTTCGTCGTCGTCCCCACTCCCTCCCCCTCCTCTTCCTCACCCGCCTTCTCCCGCCATCCCTCCTCCACTTTCGCTCCACCTACCTCCTCCATCTCCCTCTCCAGCAATACCGACGACGCCCTCCTCTCCCCCCTCCACCCCTCCACCGAACAGGCCGTTCTCAGCAGTGGCGCGAACAGCGGCTTCTCCCCACTAACCGCCCCCGACGACGACTCCGTCCCCATCCTCTCCTTCGACTCCTCCGGCCAGATCATCTCGCCAAACTCAGACATGTCGGCCCTCATCGACCCCGCCGAATACCTCCAATCCACATACACCCCCGCGCTCAACCAAGAGCTCTCGAACCTGACCGCGTCCATGGCCTCGCTCGGCAGCCATCCGCTCTCCCTCCTCTCGCCCAACCTCATCATGTCCTCTTCCACCACCAACCCGCTCGACGACAACAGCCCAGACAACCTCGCCGTCAGCCGGCGGCAGTCCTCGTACTTCATCGACCCGACCGGCCCCGTCAGCTCGTCCGACGTGCTCCTGATCCCGTCAATGCCGACCCTCGACCCCACCACCCGCACCGCGCTCTTCTTCCACACCGCCACCGCATCCGTCATGTCGATGAAAGACACCCCCTCCGACAACCCCTGGCGCACCCTCTTCTGGCCCCTCGCGCACTCACACATGGCCCTCTACCACGGCCTCGCCGCCATGGCCTCGTTCCACGCCGCCGCCACCCACCCGGCCTACCGCATCGACGGCGTCGACCACATGCGTCTCGCCATCTCCGAACTCGTCAACGGCCTCAACAACAACATGCCGACCGACGTCGCGCTCGCGACAACAATCACCCTCGCCTTTGCCGAAGCCTGGGACAGACACATCTCGACCGGCATCGCCCACCTGCGCGGCGCAAAGATCCTCATCCGCCAATTCGTCAGCAGCCGCCGCGGCCTGCCGTCCTCCGTGCAGCAATCCCCGATCGAAACCGCTAGGCTGAAGAGGTTCAAGAGCCTGTACAATTCGTGGATGTACATCGCCATGATCGCGAAGCTAACCTCCGACGACGACGACGACACCGGCGGCCCGGTTGCACAGGACGAGTACGAGATCTTCTCGGCCGGCGGCTTCGACACCGTCGACCCGCTCATGGGCTGTGCACAGACTCTATTCCCCATCATCGGCAAAGTCGCCACGCTCGTCCGGCACGTGCGGTTATCCGGCCGCGACGACATCTACGTCGCGGGCGCGATCGCGCTCAAGGAGGAGCTCGAGATGTGGCAGCCCTCGATCCGGGAGCCGTATAACGCGTGCGAAGACCCCGCGTACGACAGCTCGTCCTGCATCGCGACCGCGCAGGCGTACAAATACGCCACACTACTCTACCTCTACCAATGCGTGCCCTCGCTCGCCGAGTACTGCCCTCCGCGGCGGCCGAGCGAGACCGACGACATCTCGTCGCCGTCGAGCGTGATCGAGCTCGAGCTCGGCGTGCAGACCGAGTCGCCGACGAAGGTGATTACCGCCAAACTACTCGAGATGCTGGCCTCGGTGCCCACCACCTCGCGCACGTGCGTGGTGCACATTTTCCCGCTCCTCTCGGTCGCGTGCGAAGTCGACTCGCCGCAGATGCGCGCGATTGCGCGGAAGCGGTGGGCTGATCTGTCGCGGCTGCTGCAGATGGGGAACGTGGACCGGGCGTTTGACGTGATTGAGGAGGTGTGGACGCGCAAGGACGTGATGAAGGGGCAGTGGAAGCTGAAGGTTGGGTTTACGCATTGGAGTACGGTTATGAGAGAGTGGGGGTGGGAGGTTTTACTGGGATAGTGAGATCTTATCTTTTTGTTTTTTTTTGGTTTTTGTATTCTATATCATGACGAGCAACTAGAGTAATAGATAATGTATTTATACCACCATAAACAGTACTCAACAATATCGACGAAAAATACCATAAACGGTAAATCGTCAACACAGAAAATAAGCTCATCTTATCAACTCCTCCCAACCCACCTCCAGCATACCCGAGCAACGCAATGCCGCGACTGAAGCTACCGCCAGCGAGAATAATCTCTCTCGACGCGTACGGCACAATCTACATCCCAAGCCCGTCCGTGTCCGAGCAGTATTCCAATCTATACAACGACTACCGCTCGCGTCTGCTGCGTCACGACATCGACAGCAACAACAGCGCACCACCAGAGCTCTCAGCAGCACAGATCAACCTCAACTTCAAAAAAGCATACAAAGCCCGCGCGGCAAGTCATCCGAACTACGCCGGCGGCGAAACAGAATGGTGGATCGCAGTCATCAAGGATACGTTCGGGTTTTGCCCTTCTACCACCGTCGAGGAGGATGACGGCGGCACAGATCGGTTCGCGAGAGAGGTTTATGAGAATTTCAATTCAAGTAAAGCGTACGCTGTCTACCCCGACATCATCCCCTTTCTATCAACGCTGCTGAGGAATAATTCCCCGCCTAAAATCGGGGTCATCTCAAACTCAGACTCGCGCTCGCGCACGATCCTCAGGGGATTAGGAATCCTCTCTCCTCCTCCTCCTCTCGAACAGAATCAGAAAGGAGAAGACGCGCGATATTTGATTGCGAACGACAACGACGTGATTCTTTCTGCAGAAATCGGTTTCGATAAACCCGATCCCCGAATCTTCAAAGCTGCAGAGTCCAAATTGCTTCCTGCTGCTGCTGCTGCTGCTGCTGCTGCTGCTGCTCCCTCCGCCAAGCAACAAGCAGCACAGACAGACGACGACGCCATCGCTGTCGCGCGCGGCCTTGCGTATTGGCATATAGGCGACGAATATGACAAGGATATCGCGCCTTTACTCTCGACTCCCGACCTGCGCACCTGGGGCGGTATCTTCATCTCCCGTCTCCCCTCACCATCTCCCTCTTCGTCGATGGATAAACCCGAGTCTGATGAGGAGAGAAAGGTTACGCTGTCGGCAGGGGGGAGGGTACTCACGGTTTCTGATCTGCGTGATTTGTCTGCGCTGTGGGGGTCTACAGGCGTGGATGTCGTTATTGCAGAATAGATTTGTCCAGCTGGACTGGATCATGCATATCTAGATTTATATCAATAAATACTTTCTTGAGGTTTGAATAAACAGAGAAGAAGATGGAGCTATTCAAACAATCAATTATATATAAACACCACTGAGCAAATCACTGTTCAAAGTACATTACAATACATACAAACATACAAGCAAGCAAAGTCTGTCTGATAAACGAACGTCTCTCTCCTCCTTACAAAACAAGCGACAAAAATGATAGTTTACCAACAAAGAGAAAAAAGAAGAATTACAGCAAGTAAGGAAGCAAGCAAAGCACGCAATAACTATTCACAATCATAAAACTGGAGGTTATCTTTTGAGGTACCGAGGCGGCGATATAATCAAAAACCAATGCAAATTAAAACATACAACGAATAACTAATGGCATACACTTAACAAAAACCAAAGATTCCTGCACTGAAAGAACACAAATGGATAAACAAAACCCGCTCACTTCTTTTCCTTCTCCTTCTCCTTATCCTTCTTCCAAAACCGCTTGTTGTTTTGTGACCCCGACGTACTCCTGAACCGCGACAACCCGCCCGATCCTTCCTTCTTCCCCTTCATCTCCTTACCCCCGCTTTTCTCGTTAATCGTCACCGGCGGCGATGCACCCACCGGCACCGAATTACTCTTCGCCAGCGCAGTCGCTCCAAGCGGCGTGCTTCCCCTCCGAGGCGGCGGTGGCGGCGGCGGCGATTTCTTGGTGGTAGCGTTACTCGGCGTCGTCGTGGTGGTGGACAACGGCGGACTGACGTCCTTCGTCGCGAGAAGCTTGCGCTGCGAGTCGTTCGCTGCCAGCACGGGGTTCGTCAGGCCCGCGGCAGAGCTCGCAGAGCTCGCGGACGAGATCGGCGTGGTTGATGACGAAATCGTCGACGGTGGCGTCGATAGCGTCGGCGCTAGCGGTGTACCTCCAGTCGCGGCGGCAGTCGTCGTCGTGTTGTTATTCTCAACAATTGGCTTCTCGGGGATAGACGAGGAAAGAAACGGGTTTGTGATCACTCTCGCGAGCTCGGCGCTGTCCATGGCCGACGTGGTCGCGGCCGACGCGCTACCGTAGCGCCTTGCGTTTTCGTAGTCGGCCTCCGAGATCTCTTGGTAGAATAGGATGTAGGCGCACGCAAGACCGGGCTTGTCGCCAAAGAAATTGGTCACGTAGTCATCGTCCACGCGCTCGACCATCTCGTCATCGTACAGAACCCAGCCCGCATGCTCGGTCTTGACGATCGAGACGTAGTGGCCGTGGTATGGTCCGCCGCCGATATGCACGACGACCGAGTATAGCTCGTAGAGCCGATCTGGATCCTGCACGTCGTCGGTGGTGTTGAACAGGCGCAGATGGTACGGGAAGACGACTTTGTGGAAGAGCTTGACGTTGCGCTGCATGTCTTCTGTGAACTTGAACCGTTTCAGATGCAGTCCGAGGATCTTTGGCAGCCGCTTGATCTTCATTCGCTTCTCGGCCTCTTGCAGCCCACCGCAGCAGTCGCAGTGAAACTTGTTTGACTCGCACAGCATCTCTGAAGCCGAGAACTGGCGAAGACACGACGTGACAGACGAGTGCTGCTCGAGATCGATCGAGAGATCGAGAAAGGCCTCGTCTCGCCGGGAAACGTTCTCGCACGTCAAACACTTTGTCTCAGACGTGAGCTGGCCTTCAAACAGCTCGTGGATCCAGCGCGTATTGAGCGTGTAGTCAGGGTTTTTGGCGGCGAGTTGGAATTCGTGCTGCTCGACATTGTCGACGACCTCGTTGAGCAAGAAATTGAAAAACTCGTGCGCGTCCTGATGCATCGACGACCGAAACATCTCGTTCTGCCGCTTGAGCACCTCGACCAGTTTTGCGGGCGACACGATGCCGGTCCGCGATCGGTTTTCGACCATGGCTTCGAAAATGTCTTTTAGTGTTGTGAAGAGGGATTCCTGCATGCCGTAGGTCTCGTTCATGCTGTGATCCATATTGATAATCGGACCGTTCATCAGTGCGGCTTTTTTCTTTTGTTCGGGGGTCGCAGAGTCGTCGCCGCGGAGGGGGAGGGAGTTGGAGTTGAGAGGCTGCGGAGAGAGTGATGGCGGGTTTCCGTTGGTGCCGGGGGAAAGCATTCCGGAGTCTCTTGAGAGTGGGGGCGAGGACGAGACTGTACCTGAGCTCGGCGAGCTGACGCTGTTGCCGTTCGACGCACTGTTTGATGACGACGAGGAGAGAACAGACATGACTGAGTTATTGCGCTTGGCCTTTGTGCCCTTTTTGGATTTATCGTCGGCTTTGCCGTTTTCGGCACGTTCGAGAGCTTCCCGCTCTGCTTGAGCCTTGAGGGCGAGGAGAAAGGGATGGGGAGAGTTGCCTTTGACGGAGGTGCGTCGTTTGCGAGGAGTGCGAGTGGGCGGGTAGTTTATGATTGCCTCGCGGAAGGGACGACAGTAGAAGAGGCATTGCAGGACCGAATTGCAGTAGCAGGTGTATCCAAACTAGATCGATCGTCAGAATCGTCAGAAAAAGAGCGATCGTCAGAGAAGAGAGAGAAGAGAAGAAGAACGTACGTTTTCCATGCCAAAGAACTTATCGCTGCCATCGCCTTGATCAGGCAGCTCCGAAATGGAAGCAAACGGGTTTCCCGCGGCGTCAGTCTGATTTCCCGCAGCGAGAGTGGAGTAGCCCAAGTTTCTCTGCGGAGAAGAGCCCACAGCGGGCGCGTTCTAGAGTTGCGATGGTTAGATGAGAGCAAGCGGGATGGAAGGAACTGAGGAGAACGAAGGAGGGGAGGAGCGTACAGAGGAGCCACTGCTGGTGCTGCTGCCGCGCCATCTGAAGAAGGACATTGCAATAAACAGGCAAAAACAGAGCAAAGAACCAGAGATCGATTCGAGACCGCGGAAGTCGAGGAGCAGCGGTCGAGAAGCGGTCGCGGAGGAGGAGCAGCGAGCGTGTGGGGAAAGCGGCGACCGGTAGAGCAGCGAAGGCCTCTGGAATATATTAAGAATAAACCCTATTTCGTATCTGCACCGCCACACAAGCCACCACAGCCATGGATATGTCACGTGAAATACCTCTCGCTGCAGCTGGCGGGGTCTGTGGGGGTCTGGAGAGAATATGTGAGAGAAGAGCTGGTTTGGAGGAGATTCTGCGGTCTGTTTTGTAGGTTTCTGCTGTTCTTTGCGCGTGGCCGGGCTGAGGGTGCGGTGGGAGGGGAATTACCCGATTCGGCGCGAACAAAGGACGAGTACTTTAGGCTGAGCTGCTCGATCTGCTGATGTTAGAACTATTATTGAATGAGAAGCTGTGATTATCTATAATATCTACATTTACGTCTACATCTACTACTACTTCAACATTACATCTACATCTACAGCTCAGCAGCAGACCAGAGACACCAGCCAGGCTGTCAGCGGTCGCAAAGCAACCGCGCTTTCGTCATCACTTCACTTCACGCGTCCGTCATCGCGAAGACGCCTTCTCGAATTCAATTTATCCGCCTCGAAAACTCACCTCGGGTTCGATCTCACCATCGTCCTCGTCTCGTCCTCGTCCTCCCTCAATTCACTTCAGAGCGCAATGAGTCGCTTGTTGACGAGAACACAGACATCCTGGCTGCGAGCTGCTCCCTCTGCTCTGCTTGCTGCCAGACTGTCCCCATCTGCGCTCAACCACCGCCCTCTCATCTCTTCCTCCTCCTCCTTCTCGACTACCTCTGTCGTCCGCAGTGCCCCCCATGACCCCTCCCAGACAGTTGTCTCGACTCTGACTGAAATAACCGCCTCTTCTCCCGGACTCCCCCCCTCTGCATTCGCCTCCTCTGCCTCCTCTGCCTCCTCCGCCGTCTCCAGCTCTTCCGCTTCAGACACCTTCCTCTACCTCGGCACCAAATTCACAGACCTCCTGCACTGGATCTTCATCCACACCGAACCACTCGGCCAAGCCTCCTTCAAAATCTTTGAGACCGTGCACTCCCTCACCGGCCTCTCATGGGGCGCCGTCATCCCAATAACCTGCATCCTCCTCCGCCTCACACTCACCCTCCCCGTCGCCCTCTGGAGCAGACAAAACAGCAAACGACTAAGCCGTCTCTCGATGCTCTCGCGCTCAATCTCGACCGTCATCGGCTCCGGCGTGCGCAAAAACGCAGTCAAGCTCCTGCCGAAAGAACTCGACCTCGAAACCGAGCTGCCGCTCAAGACCGCGCCGCGCGAGCAGATCAACGCGTTCGTCACCGCGCCGGTCTCAAGCGACCTCGCGAGATCGTCGATGATGAGCTTCGTCAAGGATAACGCCGCCGAAACCCAAAAGCTGTTCAAGGTTCATTTCATAAAGTCCTTTGCCGTCGGCATCGCGCAGATGCTCATCCTCTTCTTTGGAAGTCGCGGCGTCGCCGAGTATCGCATGCGAGTAGACATGGTCGCTTCCTCGGGCGACACTGCAAATCAGATAAACGAGGGTCTTCTCTGGCTCTCGAACCTCAGCGAACCTGATCCGCTCTTTATCCTTCCAGTGGTATTCGCCGCTACCACGTTTGTCAATCTCGAGGGTATCCGAATCGAAAGCGAAAAAGTTGCTGCTTACAGAGGAACTCCTAGCGGACCGATCTCGTTGTTTTTTGGAATGTTTGCCAAAACCGGCGCGTTCTCTGTCTGCTTCTTGGCATTCTTCTACCCTGTCGTGAGTTGCACCTTTTCCTGTTTCTTTTTGTACAAACCAGCTAATTTGCTCTGCAGTCGTACACGGTATACTGGCTAGCCTCAGCCCTCTACTCTCTCTTCCAAAACGCCTACCTGCGGCACTTCTACCCGTTCGTACCAGACAACAAACTAGCCACCCCGCTAAACAAGCCTCTGAATTCGCACCAGATCATCAAGGACCTCGACGCAGACAGTCTCTTGAAACTAGCGAAGAGCTCGAGATTACCGTGAGCTGTAGATGAGAATGAAGGTGCCTTTCGGCTTGTATTATAGACGACAATGCTCACGCGATGTCAATTGTATATATATATATAATTAGAATCAGAAACAGATTCATACTCGAGTCTACTACTAAAAATACAGTTGCTCATGAAATAAACCCTCGCGAGATGCGGTCCATATGCCGGTACTGCTCCAGCATCAACAACAGCCGCAACCGCTCAAGCCATTTACTTTCAAAGTTCTCTACCGAAAACCTGTCCGCTGCCTTTTGCGCCCGCTGCCGGTACTTGACCGCCTCGTCCGCAGACAGCGACAGAGCACGGTACAGCATCTTGCTCATCTCCTCCCTCTCCTCTCCATCATCCGCCGCTTTCCGTTCATTCTTCTCCTTCTCAGTCACGAAATGAAACCCCGTCGGCTTGCCATCGACCTCGACCGCGATATCAAGCTTCGGCCCGCCGCTATTATGCACCACCGGAATCAGTCCCGCAGCCATATACTCCACCACGCCGATCCCGAAATGCTCGTTCCACATCGCGTTCACACCCACCGACGCCGTCCCGAGGTACCGCTTGATCTCGTCCCACGTCGCTTCGAGAATAAACTCCACCCGATCCGTGACCCCCAGCTCGCGCGCCAGGATCCGCAGGTCATACACATGTTTCTTGTCGCGGCTGTCGCGCACCGACCCAATCAGCACGAGCGTCGCCTCCGTCTCGCCCCCGACGCGCTCGACGTACCGCGCAAACTGCTCGAGCATCAACTCGTGCCTTTTCTCCGGTCTAAACTGCGCGATCGAGAGCACGATCGGCTGCCGTACCGTGTCGACCGGAAAAGCCTGCAGCTCCTTCGTCGCACATGGCGGGTACAGGATCATGAAATCGAGCTTTTTTGAGCGGTCGGCAATCACCCGCGCGAGATTGTTCAGCCACCACACGCGTCTGATGTGGTTGTACGTCCATGTGCCGTTCGCCATCACGATGTCGGCAAACATTCCCGCGAACGCGTACGCGAGCGCAAAGAATCGCCAGTACACGTATTTGGGAAATTGCCGGACGAGAGAGAGCTGGTCAAACATGTCGGTGGAGATCATTGGGTAGTGCACGTATGCTCCGACGGGGATGTCTAGCAGCATTGAAACGACGGGGTAGGTGAATGCGTAGCCCATTGTATCTAGATACGATTAGTATCACTTTTGTAAGAATCCAATAAATCTTCACATACCAACAAAAACATCCGGCACCAGCTTCGAAATCGCCTCATACACCAGCGGAATCGACCCCAAAGCCTGTCCAAGCAACGTAAACCTCGGCCACCGACTGGGATCCACCAGTATGCGCTTATTCAAAAACACGACAACCACGCGGCTGGTCTCGAGCTCGATCTCGAACCGCTGCAAGACTTTCTCCATGATCTCGTCCTTCGTCACGTCTACGTCGCCGGTGTAGATTGCGCAGATCGCGTTGGGGTGCTCGCGTTGCGTCGCGCTGACGGCGGTCCAGAGGACGCGTTCGCCGCCACCTCCTGCGTTGCTGTAGTTGCGTTAGTACGTTGCGTCGAGAAAGAAAACTAGCAGATCAAAGCAAGACTAGGAAATGACATACCAATACGGATGGAAAAACCCAATAATAATCGGCCTCTCAGCCGGATCCTTTGCTTTCTTCTCTCCGTCCTCGATACTTGCAAAATATCCGTTGATAATCTCCTGCCGTATACTCTCTGATTTCTTTCGCAGCCGCGATCCCATCACCGCGCTGACGGTCTTGCAAAACAGATAAGTGCCTACGACAACGGTCGTCGCGCAGATCAAAAACAAGCACGCGTAGACCATTGCCAGGCGGCCGAGCTTGGCGTTTGTAGGCGGCATGAATGTTCGGTAGAGCACAGTTCCCAGCGGAGGTCTGACGGTCGCGGGCTTGGGCAGCGCCGACACGGGGACGTAGTTTGAGAAACTGGCGGTCGAGGTCAGTGACGACGTGGCAGTTTGGGTGGGTTGCAGGTTGTCCATCGGTAGGCAGGGTCCCAGAGGCGCGTGTACACAGCCAGATACGCAGACAAAGCCCTCGCTGTTTTCTCTTACACTCGCTCGATGGCTATTCCGACCCAGTAAACAACCAATTGCCGACGACAGATTGAATATCAGAATCCAGATTTCTTCTCGGAGCACAGAACTTCCACCCACGCGTGCGGCTCACGTCAACTCTGCTCAACTCTCCGCCGCCTCTGCGCACCACACTCGCGCCCTTCGCAGCATCCCGTCTTTCGCGCTCCTACTACTTGCACAATGTTTGGTCTCGGGCGTTTGTTCTATGGTGCGTTTTTGATACTGCGACTGCTGTTGAAGTCTGCAGTGCGTTGGTTCTGGTGAAGAACGGAAGACTAACATCGATAACTAAAAGTGATACTGCTGCTCATCAACTCGATAGCTGTCCTCAGCGAAGACCGATTCCTCTCTCGAAGTACGTCAATTCTCCTCATCTATCCTCCATCTGCTTATCTCTCTGCGCTATCTAATACTAACCTTCTTAATTTCAACAAGTCGGCTGGTCTTCCGCACAAATCGACAACGGCGGCTTCGGCGCCCCGGATTCAGCCAGTGTCAAGAACAGACTGATCAATCTCATATCTGCCGTTCGCACCCTCATGCGCAGTACGTCCTCTCTTCTTCTTCTATCTTGATTCTGTCGTGTGGTCTGGTCGTTATATGCCATCCATCACCCTTCCATCACGCCGCTTCGATCAACCGACTGACTAACCCCCCCTCCTTCTCTCATCATAGTTCCCTTAATCGGCATAAATACCGTGGTTATAATCTACGAGCTGCTACTAGGCTAATCCCTTCTCTCTCTCACATCGTCACCTCCTTCCTCATTCAATCCGTTCATCAACTCTGCAGTCACACTCTGGAAGATGAGATGAGATGAGACGAGACGGTTTCAGCACGGCTTGCGGGTGACTTCGTTTTGCTTTTGCGGGCAATTGTATATTACTATCATTATTACTGTATCTATTGGAACAATTGAAGGCCTGGTTTTGCGTTGAATGAATGTTTCGCGTTGAATGAATGAACTGTTTGCGGTATATACAAGTTATCCTCCCTACGTAATCGTCTATCTCATCCCCTTCAGATAACACCCCTCTACTTTCTCAAGCAGGATCTACTAATCATCATAAGATTATTAAATTGTCATTGCTAGAACTACACAAAACAAAAAAACACAAAAGAAGTCGTATACACAATCGTATACCATATACATATACAATATACCATCAAATCCATCATCATCAACATATATATATATAACAATAATGCCCTCCGACAGCTTCTGATATACCATAATAGAAAAACACTTTTTACTTCCCTCCCCATCATTCTTCTGATTCCCCGCCCCAACTGCACCTTCTGCCGCCAAACATTTTATACAAAAAACCGCATGCATGCCCGATTAATACAAAGTGTACATAAACCAACAAAGGAAAATGAAAACCCAATACAAAAACTTTTGCACCAGACACCCGGATCTTCTTTCAAAAATACATCGTTCTTTGCATATTCATGACTGCAGAAATGCAAGGACGGGGAGGGGGAAGCAAAAAAGAAAAAAGAGAGGACAAGAGAAAGGAGAAGTATAGAAGAAATAAAAGAATTTTTTTTTTCTCTGAAACTCGCTCTCTGCTCGAATCAACTTTTTTTTCCACAAGAGTAGAAAAAGTAAGAACCTTTCCTCTCTGTAAAACAATAATAAGCAATATAACAAAAACGCTAGCAAGACTACATATGTTTGGAAAAATCATATAAATCCACTGACTGAACGAAATTGTTGAAATCATCGCTTACATGTACGGAATCCACATGATATATCCATCAGTTCACAATTAACGATAAAGTGTTGAAACATCGTAAATCATAATTATATTTTTTTCAAACACACCATTTAGGCGTACTTGGCACGGAACTCCTTCGCGGCGTCAACCATGTTCTGGAGCGACGCACGAGTCTCGGTCCAGCCACGGGTCTTGAGACCGCAGTCAGGGTTGATCCACAGGTTCTCCTTGGGGTAGACCTTGAGAATCTCGTTGATGCGCTGGACAAACTCCTCCTTGGGGGGAACACGAGGGGAGTGGATGTCAAACAGACCGAGACCAATGTGGTTGGGGTACTCGGAGAACTCCTGGATGTAGTTGGGGTCATCCTTCTTCGAGAACTCAATTGACACAACGTCAGCGTCAAGGGCCTTGATGTGGTTGGGGTCAAGGTCAGAGTAGCAGAAGTGCGAGTGGATCTGAGTCTTGTCCTCAACACCCGAGGTCGCGAGACGGAAGGACTCAACAGCCCACTTGACGTAGTCGTCACGCTCGGCACCAGCGCGGAGGGGAAGTCCCTCACGGATAGCGGGCTCGTCGACCTGGATGACGTAGACACCGGCGGCCTCGAGGTCCTGGACCTCATCAAGAAGAGCAAGAGCGAGCTGCTGGGCCTGGATCTTGTTCGGGATGTCGTCACGGGGGAACGACCATCTGAGGCAGGTGACGGGACCAGTAAGCATACCCTTCATGGGCTTCTTGGTGATCGACTGGGCGTACTTGGACTCCTTGACAGTGATCGGGCCAGGGCGCGAGACATCACCAACAATGATAGGGGGACGAACGTAACGCGAACCGTACGACTGAACCCAGCCGTTGGAGGTGAAGACGTATCCGTTGAACTTCTCACCAAAGTACTGGACCATGTCGTTACGCTCGGGCTCACCGTGGACGAGAACGTCGAGGCCAACCTCCTCCTGGAACTTGACGACGGAGGCAATCTCCTTCTCGATGAACTTCTCGTACTCCTCAGCCGAGATCTCACCCTTGGTGAACTTGTTACGGATGATACGGATGTCCTTGGTCTGGGGGAACGAACCGATGGTGGTGGTAGGGAAGAGAGGGATGTCGAGATGGGCCTTCTGGGCTGCAAGACGGACAGCGAAGGGCGACTTGCGGGTGATCATCGAATCGGTGATCTTGGACACACGCTCGCGGACAGCGGGGTCGTTGGTGATCGAGGACGACTCACGGGCAGAGATGCTGGCAGCGTTGGCAGCAAGGACATCAGCAACAGAGTCGGCACCCTCGGTGATGGCCTTGGCGATGACGACAACCTCGGAGAGCTTCTCGGTAGCGAAAGCGAACCAGTCCTTGATCTCAGCAGAGATCTTCTTCTCGTTGGCGAGAGTGACAGGGGTGTGGAGAAGCGACGACGAGGTGGCGACGATGACACGCTCGGCACCGACCTTCTCGATGGCAGACTTGACAAAGTCAATGGCCTTGGCCAAGTTGCACTTCCAGATGTTACGGCCGTTGACGATACCGACGGAGAGGATCTGGGTCTCGGAGAGAGCGGCGACAACGTCGTCGAGCTGCTCGGGAACACGGACAAAGTCGGCGTGGAAACCAGCGACGGGGAGACCCTTGATGGCCTCGATGTTGGGTCTGACATCACCGAAGTAGGTGGTCAGGAAGAGCTTGGGAGCGGTCTCGGAGACAAGGAACTCGTAAGCCTTCTTGTAAGCGGCCTGGACCTCGGTGGGGAGGTCGAGGACGAGGACGGGCTCGTCGATCTGGACGGTGTCGGCACCGGCCTCCTTGAGCTTGGCAAGGAGCTCGGCGTAGACGGGGAGGAGCTGGTCGAGGAGGGTGATGGGCTCGAGGTCGAGGTTGTCCTTGTCAGCCTTTCCGAGGAAGAGGTAAGAGACAGGTCCAACGAGGACGGGGCGAGTGTGGATGCCAAGGGCCTTAGCCTCGAGGAACTCGTCGATGGGCTTGGAGCCGTTCAGCTTGAACTCGACGTTCTTGGAGAAAGTAGGACGGACGTAGTGGTAGTTCGAGTCGAACCACTTGACCATCTCCTGTAGGATGAGAAAGGGACTGTGTGAGCTTCTTGCGCACGTACCAAACAAGGGAACAAGCAGATAAGAGATAGACTTACTGTGGCAGGGACATCGACAGCGGGGGCGGAGTCGGTGGCAGGGCGCTGGAGACCACGGCCCATGGCGAAGAAGGTGTCGATGGGCGCGAGCTCGTACTTTGAGTAGCGCTCGGGGATGACGTTGAAGAGAAGGGAGTGGTCGAGGACATGGTCGTAGAACGAGAAGTCGTTCGAGGGGATGATGTCGACACCGGCCTCCTTCTGGAGCTTCCAGTTCTTCTCTCTGAGCTCCTTTCCGACCTTGAAGAGCTCCTCGACGGTAGCCTTGCCGGACCAGTAGGCCTCGGTGGTCTTCTTGAGCTCACGGAAGGGTCCTACGCGCGGGCGGAGGAGGTTAGCAGGGGCAATTGCAATTGCGAGACAGAAAAGAAGACAAACATACCGATACGGGGGAAACCAAGGACAGCTGACTGAACCATTTTGTATGAATGTGTAGATTGAGTAAGGGAATAAGTCAAAAAGCTGGCTTATGGGGAAGGAGAGAAAGGAGGAGGAGGAAGAGCAGCGGGCCAAAGTTATAATTTTCTCTCTGAAAAATTTTTGGAGGAGAAAAACCCTAATCTGCGCCCGGGGAGTACAAAACTCTAAATTCCGAATACGGAGCGGGCTCGGCTCTTCTGCGCTAAGCCCGATTTGGGAGACAGTAAACAGTATTCGTGCAATCACGTCAGGCCACGCTAGCCCGTTTTGAGCGCGACCCTCTGCCCACTCGTGCGCGCACATGGACCATCGACCTGATCGGGCAATAAAATGCTGGTGAGTATTCAAGATATTCAACATTATAACATATCCAAGATATTAGTTATTCAACAATGACTATAAATGATTATCAAAATGTAAAACGCCAGCCATCCATATACTGCACCCTCATCTCTTTATCTCCTCATTCCAGCTGATGCCCTCCTTGATCGCAGTATCTCCAACCACCGCAATAAACCGTCCATTAGGCGCCCCAACTCGCGGCTCTACCAAGCAACTCCGTCGGTACAGCATATGCTGATCCTTCTGGTACATCTCGTGCACGCGCGCAATCTCAACATCCAGCCACTCCTGGATCTCCGGCACTTCCTGGAAACGATACGGCACCTGGAACCGTTGCAGGTCCGCAATAATCTTCGTCGACCGCACATGCTTGTCGAAATTGATCACCGGCGACGCATCTTCGGTGTCTGGGTGGAATATCCGGTAGTCGGAATTGCCTTCGTCGGCAAACGTCAGATCGGTCAGGTAGACCCCCAGGTATGGAAGACACGGCACAATCTGCTTGCGTAGCAGCGTTCTGTACGACGCGTAGTTTTTCTCGTACACAATAATGCTCTTCAGCTCGGCAAACAAGGCATGATACCGCGGCGGCAGCAGCTCCCATGTCTTTTTCAGTCGCAGAATCACAGAGCTCTGGAGCGCACACGTCACCGCCATCAGGCAGTTGTAGTTCTTCAGCTCGAGACACTTCTCGGCCACTCTGATCCAGTGACGGATGACGTTCATGCGGAACTTGAGCGGCACGTCGCCCGCCAGAATAGTCTCGCCAATGTAGTTGGCCAGATCGGTGGATAACGACGACATAGCCTTGACATTAACCGCGATACTCTTGCCCGACTTCTTTGCAAATTCCTGGCCCAGCAACTCTTCAGGCGTGATCTGGCAAAACAGCCTCGACTCCTTGATCGTAATCTGCCGCGCAAACTCAAGCGGATCAAAGTCCAGAATCGAAGGAGGCGGTCCCCCTCCGTGGACGTTCTTGGCAAGGATAGCAAGGTGCAGCTTATTCACGATCGGCGTCGGCACGCTCGACGAATCTGGAAGTAGAATCGCTAACGAGGTGTTGATCCCCAGTTTCGACATCGACCGCGGAACAAGAGGATTCACTATATCGACAACCATCTGCGAGAGCTCCAGCAATCGCCGGTACGCAAACGGTAGCTGCGTCTTGAGCGAGCCGTTGGCAAAATCGACAATGATAGGCAGCGCCTCGTTATCTGTCTCCTTCCGCCAGTGACTCTCCATCCATCCCTTGAACGCATTGTAAACCCGAAGTTGCGCAGCCAGTAGATTTGGTTCGTCTGGCGACAGCGATGCAAACCGATGAACCAGCGCCTGCGCAAGCGCAACCGGCGTCGTAAACAATCTAAAGGTGAGGAAAAACGAAGAAACAAACAGGACGTCGGGGGTTGCGTCGTTCGCCGTCAAATGCTTCACAAGCGCCTCGATTGAGCCGCCCTGGACTTGTCCGTCAGAGTTGTAGATTATCCGATCCTGCAGAGGCGTGCGCTTCACGCGGTGTTCGTTTTCCGAAGAAAGCGCAGCACGCTTCTCAGCTTCGGCTAGTGCTAAAGCCGACATCGCCAAAGTCGGGTCTTCGTCGCACACTCGCCCGACGGCAGATGCAGGCCCTCGGTTTGACCGCTGAAGGTTATCGGCATGCGATCTGATCTGGAAATTCAGATACTGACGCTCAACCTCGAGATCAAAATCCCCGACGCGGTCGATAACGTACTTTGATCTTCCAAGACAAGCACCTGCAGAACGCACACACTCTGTGACTGCAATACCTAGCGTCTGGGTCTCAATCAGCACTGCTTGCTGATCAGTCCCGGCACCCACGACGTCTCTCGCGGAAGCAACGAGCATCGTGATGCGCTGATACATCGTCTCCTTTGCTTCCTCAAGACTGTAGATCACCGGTGACGCATGCGCGCTGATCGTCTCGACCACAGCAAGAAACTCACGGGCGGCATGCACAGCCTGTCTGATAGCAACCAGCAGTTTCGCCGGCGACCGGCCATCGATCAAAGTTCTGTTGATAAACCCTCCCAGGCGCACGAGGAGGGCGTCGTACAAGAAATTAAGCCGCGCGAGGGCAGAAACTGGCTGGTACTCAAACACGTCTTCGGCAAACGACGAGCGCTTCGATTCTCGGTCATAGACCCTGACGTCGTCGTCCTTCTCAGAAGAAGCGTATTCGAGCGAGGGGAGGGAGTCGGAGTACCGCTTCGCGGCCTCCTTGGCATTGTAGATGGCGAGAAAATCTGCAGCGCTGACGACGATTTTGTGTGTGAGGGAGACCATCTCTGCGGTCAGGCTGTTGAACTCGATACTGGCTTTTTTCACGCACGAGATCATCACAGATACCTCGGTGAGCAAACGGCGGCGAGAGCGGCGGAGTTCCTGGGATTTTTGCAGGGCGGCGCCGTCGCGGGTTAGGCATCCAACCGAGTCCTGGTGAAGAAAAAAACCGTTAGACTTTTTGTCACACTTGCAGCGACCGGTGAAGATAGCAGGAGTTGAGTGAGATGAGAATAAAAATACGTACAAGCAAAGACCTTATGCCGGATACAAGGGTGGTAGCAGCGATTTGGAAATCACGGCTAGAGTCCATAGACGGACCAGTGAGGACGGTGAGCGCGGCAGCGAGCAGTGGTCTGATTTGAAGAGTGTCGTAAGGCACGCAGTAGTTGGACGGCACCCAACCGCGTCGGCCAGAAGAAAGCGAGGTTCCATCGCCCCAGCCAGAAAAGTGGAAGGAGTGTAGGAGTATGATTTCGCCAGCTTCGAAGGCGAGACAGCCGTCGGCGGCGGACGAGAAGGTGGAAGAGGAGGTAGAGGACGGGTCGAAAGGGTGGGTTGCGCGGAGGAAAGGGTGGAACGCGTAGACGGGAGTTGCGGAGTAGGCGGAAGACGCGTCGGAGGAGGAGGTCGACATAGCGTAGTGGAGGTGGACGCGGAGACCGAAGGGGGAGAAGGGTGATGAGGGGTGGCGGAGGCAGCTAGCGGGAGACGCGAGGCATAGACGCGGGAGGGAGGTTGAGATGGAGATGCAGATGGAGATGAAGATGCAGATGCAGATAGAGATAAAGAAGAAGCAGCAGGTGGCAACAAAGACAAAGACAAAGACGGTGGCGGCAGAACAATATCTGGAACAGCAGCAGAGGAGGAGTAAAGTCGAGATAGGTCGGAAGGTGGTGGTGAGCAGGTCAGTGCGGGGCGTGCAAAGACCGGGACCAAAGTAAAATTAAATTGTTTTTATTTTTTCGATTTTTTGAATTCTGGTTGTGCGCTCTGCTCGCTCGCTTATCACCTGCTCCTGCTCTTATCACCGCCTTCCGACCTATCTCGACTGTACTCCTCCTGCTGCTGCTTGTTGCTGCTTGGTGAAGTCTACGCTGTGCCAGGAGTGTGTGCCTGTAGTGTAAACCACCAGTCTCGGCTGTTGGCTGCCAGGGGGCCTTCTGCATCGCTGCTGCCGACCCCTTCCTTCGTCTGCCTGCCAGCCCTGGCGCCCTCCCGCAGCCTTGGACCGATACCAAACTCTTTCTTCCTCGACCTGCAAACCTAGCGCTGGCTAACGCTGGCTAACTGCCTGCGTCCTGTCTTAGACTCATCCCTTGCTTTTCCACCCCGTTCGTCGTCGCAGATGCCGTGTGCTCAGCCTGTCTCACGTCCTTCCTCCGTGTCTTTGCCATCCATCCAACCCTCCTCCATCGTCTGTGCGGTCTCGCCGGCCCTGTCGTCCCAGTCATGTGGGTGATCCGTGTGTTCTGTCGATCACCTCGCCACCGTTGCATGGCGCCACAGACACCTCCTTCCTTACCAAAGCTGATGTCAGTTTTACTCCTGGCCTTACGCCGGTCGGGTACCTCCCGGTGGCTGGCCAGGGCTCCCGATCCTCTCTAACCTAGCCTCGTGCCCTTACCCGATACCCTTCGAAAATCATCGCCTCCTCGCTAAGCGTCCTTATTCCTGGTATCTAAAATATCGTCCTTCTATCTCAGATCTCCTTCTATCTCAGATCTCCTTCTTTCTCATAGATCTCGGTGATTCTCATCATCCATAGCCATGGTTGCCTGACCGTTAAGTAATAGCCACAATTCTGTCACATATATACAAAACTTTACAACAGTCTCCACCGTTGGCCGTTAGCTCGTTTTCACTAGCTCTCAAAAACCGACCTCCGCACGTATATCCACACCCGGTCCTGCACCAGCACAACCTGCTTCCACCACTCCTCCGTCTCCCAAAACCTAGGCCCGAGCGCGACCCACGGCGCCTGCATCGCCGCAAACGCCTTCACGCTGCCCTTGAACGCCCACTCGCGCGCGGTGCCAAACGCCGGGTACGGTTCTGGGAATTGCTTGTCAAACGTCACCATCACCGACACGTCCGGCGCAACGTCCCGCAGCTCATATTCGTCCTCTGTTCTGTCATACTCGATGTCCTCGCGCGTGAACGTAAACAGCGTCGCGCCAGACATGCACGTCGGAATATCGAGATGCACAGTCAGGTTTCCCAGACCGGACTGCTCCAACCCGCCATGCATCGCCATCACAGCATGTCCACCGGGATAATTCGCCGACGAAATCGCAAGCATTCCCACCGCCAGCATCAGCGTCGCCGCAACCGAAATCACCAGCATCAGCGTCGTGCCCAAGTAAACGTATCCCTTCCGCATCCGATTGCTAATCCAGCTCGCGCCCAACGCAACCGTCAACGTCAGCACCGGAACCGCATACACGATAAACCGCCATTCCTTGTGGGGCTGCGCCGAGTACAGCGCGATAAACACCAGATACGGCCCAACGGTCATCCCAATCCGGCGCGCTTCGAAAAACAGACCGACGGCAAACAATGGCACCGCGGCCGGGTTCAAAAGCAGTTTGGGGACGTGGTTGCAGAAATAGGCGTACCATGGCTGCGTGCCCCAGGCTACTGCCTTGCCCAGCACCGCGTTGAAATAAAATCCGTAGGCCTCGGGCAGGATCGGGAATTTCCAAAACACGGTATCTGTAGCAATCGAAAGCGTCATCCCCAACAGCCCGCCCTCAATACCAGCGAGAACTAAATGATACACCGATATCCGCCTTTGCACTAGAGCCGACAGCGCAAGCGGCGCGATCAACAGCAGCAACTCTGATCGAAACACGACCGTCGTGAACGCCATCACTGCAATTGTCCGCCGCGGCCGATTCGTGATCCAGTAACCAGCAGCAACCATCGTCAGCGGGAACGCAAACATGTTTGGCAGCGTCCGCGACGCGTAGTATGTTATGTGGAACTGCGAGTACTGGAACGTAGCAAACCAGAACGCGGTGGTCTTGCCAAACACGCGTCTGATGCAGCCGCGAAAGTAAACCACAGAATACCAATTGATCAGTCCCAGCACGCCACGGGCTATTAGTTGGAGATCGAACTTTGACCGTAGAGGAACGAGGAGCTGTAATGGCTTCGTGATCGCGGCTACTACCAAGGCCCCGAGAAATGTTCGTGGGACAACGCCTGGGAATTCACGGTGATCGTACTACAGCAGTCTTATTAGCATTCACCTCATATTCTTCATATAGCAAAAGCAATTAGACGATACCGAATCGATATCAGATCCATGGAACAGCATATCGTGGATCGCATGCAAATTGAACGACTCTTCGACCTTCGTGAACGGCGACACATACAAGTGCGCCATCACCAAGACCAAAAAAAGCCAGTCCAGAGAGTCCATCGTAGTCCTTACAGTCCCATCCAGGTTCTGATTGCGTCCGTCAGGCAATTGATCGCAATCAACAAACCTGCGCGTCTGGCTTCCTGTTCAGCTCTGCTGGGTTGACACGTCTCCGGAAAGTGCGTCGAAGGGTTTCGTACTCAACTTCAGCAGCTCTAATTAACGTTTCGCGACTACGATTAGATTAGCCGGCATCCTCCTCCACCTCTGCTGTCGTCTGACCAGCCTACATTGCAATTGCACAGAGACCAGCCTGAAAACACAAGAACGTCTCAAAATGTCATACGGATTCACTTTTGATGATATCAAGGACCTGTCCGGTAAGGTCGCCATCGTTACAGGGTACGTCCGCCATTGCCGAGCTTCATTCACATGCTTCCCTCCGCCTTAACACCAACTTACTCTCTCTTCTCCCCCCACAGCGGCAACTCCGGTCTAGGCGAAGTAATTGCCCGCGAACTTGCCCGCAAGCACGCAAAGGTCTACATTGCAGCGCGGTCGCCCGCCCGCGCGGAGCAAGCGATCGCGCGCATCAAAGCCGCGCTAAGCGACGTCGACGGACTCGACGACAACCTGCTCTTTCTCGAGCTTGATCTCGAGACAATGAAGGGCTCTGTGGCGGCCGCAAAGTTTTTCATGAAGCTTGAGAGTCGGCTGGATATTTTGGTGGCTAATGCTGGGTTGGGTGCTACTGTGCGCGAGTTTTGCTGCGTTTGTCTTGTACATGTCACATGCTAATTACTTTGCCATTTAGAAATCCGAGCTGACACCAGATGGATACGAACGCAACTTTGGAGTAAGATCCACAGGATAATTGAGGCATCAACTTTGAACTAACACGTCTACAGGTAAACCACCTCGGTCATTTTGCATTCATCACCACTCTCCTCCCACTGATTGAGAAAACCGCAACCGAGCACCCGGAGTCCGACATCCGGATCGTCCTGCAATCCTCGACGATCCACTACCGAGCCACAAAGATCGACTACTCCGACGTCACCAAGACATACAAGTCCTCTTGGTCTGCCCTGACCCTTCAGGAAATGATGGGCCGCTACGCGCGGTCCAAACTCGCAAACGTGTACTTGTCGCGCGAACTCTCGGAGCGGCTGAAGGATTACAAGAATATCTACGTGAACGCGTGCCATCCGGGCCTGGTGTACACCCACATCTTTGACCTCTCGACCTCGCCTTTGCCGTCATGGATGCAGTATATCGGCTCCAGGCACGCCTGGCTGTGCGGCGTCCCGCTCGACGACGGCGTCAAAACCGCGCTGTTCCTTGCAACCGACAAGCGCGTGGTCACAGAGAATATCAAAAAGGTGTTTATGTACCCCGGACCGCAGACCCCTCTGGCGGGATTTTTCTACTGTAGCAGCGTGTTCCCGAAGCCTTTGAATAGCATTGGCTCGGACGATGAGGAGGCGAGGAAGTTGTGGGAGTTTTCGGAGCAGGCGCTGGCCAAGGCTACTGCGTCGTAGGCTATTTTTGTTGAAGTCTCTTTTGGTTTGGGTGTTTTGGAATGATTTGATTAGTGGTTGAGAAACTATTTGATTAAAAAAATTGATTAATGGTTGAGAAACTATTTGATTAAAAAATAGTTTAATTTCGTTATTGTACAAAGGCTACCTGCGCTTAAACTGCTTCTGCAGAAACTCCAACATCTTCGGCACATATATCTTGACATACTCCAAATCCAACAAATGGATCTCACTCCTAAGCATCTCCAACAAGTCGTCCAATTTCAGATTTAGCTCAATCAGCGTACTGCTCTTTCCCTTGTAATGCAGCCCGATCGTAAAACTCCCCGGCATGGACGAATGCACCATAAAGTACAGATTGCGCACGCGCTGCTCGGGCACGTTGTAGACTGCAATCACGCCTTCTTTTTGCATCGCTTGCGTGGTGAATTTATAGGGGCCCAGTAACTGGCTTTTTTGCGTCTTGCTAGACTTGCCGTGTAAGTCGAGCAGTCCCCCGCCGCGGCGATCGGCCAGCGTCGACTTTTGCGCGCCGGACTGCAGGCGCACGTTTGTCAGATATGAGTTGTATGACGCGAGCTGGCCCTTGAGGTACACGTTATGTTCGGAGATTGTGGCAAGCACAGACTCGAGGCTGGAGATATCGCTGGCGACTTTCTCGCGCAGCGAACCCAGCTGCGCTAGTTCGTCCTCGATCTCGGACGAAAGCGTGACAATCATGTCTTCGAAAAGCTGCCATGAGCGCGCGCGTACTTCGTAATCTATCTGGTCCTCCTCGTCTTGTGAGGTTTTGGGCGAGCGCGCTTCTTCCCGGATGATTGTCTCGTAGTGTATAAATAGATCTTCAGACAGAGAAAGTAGTCGCAATCCCTTCAATCCTATAGACTGATCCGACGGATCCGAAGCAGCGAACTGCGCTATGAGCTTTAGGTCCAGCGGTCGGTGTGCGATTGCATGACTATCAGGCACAGATCTCAAGATTTGGACGACGACGGATTTTGCCTCGGTCAGAAGCAAATCTATTGCTGTGATATCGAGTTTCTGACCCTGCTCTTCAATCTCTGACTGGAAGCGAGAAAACAGAGGCAGTGCGATCGTGATGTTATCCTTCCGCGGAAGCACCGGCGGCGCTTGTCCCAAATCCCTCAGAATCACATTCAACCGTGACCGCTTGTCCGAGCTGAGCGCGTGGCTGTGTTTTTCTAAGAGTTGGTGCATACTCAGGATCTCGTTGATGGTAATCGACAGCTCGAGGTTTGTTTTCGAAAGCGCCACGTAGCTGTCAAACTCGAGCGACTCGTGGAAATCCGGAACTTCGCAGAGGTCGTTGAGGAACTTGTTCATCTGTGCTTTGTTGTCGTCCACAAACCCAGCAAATGACAGCATATACGGCTCCTTTGCGTACGCGGGATCGTTCGCGAGCGCCTGCAGAATCTTGGCTACCAGGATGAGCGTCCGCCGAGGCCGCTCTCCCGGCTGTCGTTCGACAAGCATGTATGAATGGGGACTGACTATCGCGGGGTTAATAAACCTCAGGAAGAAAAACGCGCCAATCAAGGAGCACACCGCAGATTCTTCGGTGGCTGGGTATCGCCGCCGCGTGAGCGCTCTAATTTGCTTGCAGATCCAGCGGATTCCGTAGGGTACCAGGTGCAGGCTGCTTGTGATCTTTGCAAAGAATGAGCCGGTTATTTTTTGCACAAGCTCAACCCGTGGACGCATAATCTCCCGCACGCGCTCGTTCGCGGCGGCAACTTCGGAGGACACCACGCGAGGGATGCCGACTGCCGACAGGTCTCCGTGCGCGGCTTGCAGCGCGTCTTGAAAGACCTCGTCGTATATTTTCAGCGGGTTGATTTCAAGGTTGACGTCGGCGTGATCGTTGACGTAGTTGATTTGGTCAGCTAGTGCTGATTTCAGATAGCTCTGGCCCGGGCCGCGGCGGGTGTAGGTAGTCATCAAGCGAGAAACTGGTGTGTTTGCCCGCAGCAGCGACGAAAATTCCGTGGTGCTTTCGAACTGGTATGCTAAAACTGATTGGAACATTGAAAGCAGGAGATTCTCTTCCCGCTGCTCGTACTGGTTGCCATAGATTGTAAACATCACAGTCTGTAGAAAGGAATCCATTTCGGACATTGAGAGGAGGGTGCATAGGGTGGCGATGTACTGTGGTTCGGTTTGGAGGATGAAAAACAAGTTGCTGTAGAAATCCAGTTTGCGGCGGTCAGGCAGACTGCCTTCACGAGCCTCATTTGTGATGCCTATGGGTTCAGACTATCGAAACAGCGCAGAGGAACAAGTCAGTGGAAAGGCAACAAAAACGCATAGTATGTCATAGAGACGTAGAAGATAGAGCGAGGCATACCTCTTCAGATGCTAGTTTGTTTTCAATCAAAAGCGCGATTCGCGAGTCCAGATTCCGCACATCCCGTTCAAGTAGAAAGTTTTCTTTTGACTGAGCCGATATCTTTGCCTTCAACTCACGAAGTCTGGCCTGCGCGCGCGCCAGATCGTCGTCGATATCGGAGTCATCGACGGAGGCGGTCAGTGAGATTGAATAAGCAGCGGCAGAGTGTCTGCTTGAGCGGTGTTGTGTCTGGCCGCTGCCGTATCTGGAAGTCGGCCGGCTGGCGACGGAGGGGACGGGAGAGTGGACGGGAGATGAGGCATGTTGGGCCGCAGTAGCCATGGTCTCCGGAGCCAAAGCAACGACGGAGCGAAGGGCAGAGGAGTAGTCGGAACAAGAGATACAGGAAGAAGAGAAAGAGTAAGAGGAGGAAGGGAGATGGAGGAGAAGCAGGGTGGGCAATAGGGGCCGGACGAGGTAGGATCACGAGGCTGCGAGGAAGATGATGCAGGTGCTGCAGCTTCCGAAATTCAAAACACATTGGGCTCGCTCTGCTTTAAGCGATCATTTTCGGAGAATCGATTTTCCGCATAAACTTTGTTCCTGAGCACGTGGTCGGTGATGTAGGGGGGTTGAATATCAACCATTTTTTTAGCTAGAGATTAGAGAAGTAGTGAGCTGTACTGGCTGAGAGTAATTCGAGGAAATTGAGGAGATGAGTCTGGTAGATTATTTTGGGGTCGGCGATGGTTGGTCTGGCAGGTTCGGGGAGTTGTGGGGCTATATCAAAGCGCCAGAACTCGAAAACCTAGCACGGTCAAGGCTTTTTGAGATAAGAAAAGACATTGGATAATTGAAATTAATATTTTATAATTAGGGAAAGGCAGTGGATGCAACTGTTCTGGGGCTTGAAATATAAATAAGGCAGATTGTGGGGTTCGAACTAAGACGAGAGAATTCAAAGTTGGATAAAGTGCGAGATCTTGCAGGAGCACTTGCAAGTAGCAGGTTGAGTCGAGTCACCGCCGCAGATTGCTATTTTTTAGTTACCTGAACACACAAAGAGGAGGTTTTTTGGGCACGAACAGACACACGAGAAACGAACAGACTTAGCTAGAGAGGATATTGAACAAGAGGAGAATATTTTTGATGACGATTTAGAGAGAATACTGCGAACTGCCGAGAAAAGTTGATTGAGAGGACGAAAGACCCACTCTGTGACTTTGAGGTTCTGAGTGCGTACGGTGGGTGGGTGACTACGATGAGTGATGAGGTCATTGAGTTGACCTGGGAGAATACAGATTATATTTACTGATAATGAATAATTAAGAAATAAAGAAAGAAAGAGGAAGAAAGCTATGGATCTTTCCAGCTACAAACAGACTGCCGACGGCAAGTTAATTGACAGAGCAAAGTAGAGTAGGTAACCGATAAGCTCATATACACTGACGAATGGAGACGAATAAAGCGAACCAACCAATCTCTAGTCTACGCTATTCACTGCATGACCCTTGCACTCTCGCTCGACCGTCAGCGGATGGGATCCGCTAGTTTAATCTGCAGACAGCAGTTGTTGACGAGAAAGGAGGCGGCGAAGCAGTCGGTCGTCAGGAGGAGGACTGTCGGGCCGATGCCGGTGTCGGGGCAGTTGCTACGTCAGTGATAGAACACAGAGACAGAACAGGGCAGATAACCAAGACAATGAACGACCGAAGCAGCGTTCGAGAACTCAGACAGCTCCTCGTTCTGGTTAATTGGACGGCAGACGGGTACGCTGAGGCCGAACGATAGTCAGAGGAAGTTAGCCTGGGTGGTTAATGAAACCCAAGAGGGATTTCAGTTCTGCGCTGCACCTTCTTCTTCTTCTTCTGCTTCTTCTTCTTCTATATATCTCTTCTATATATATTCTATATATTCTCTATATTTTTTCTCTTTTTCTTTATATCCTCTCTATTCTCCCCATCACACCGATCGATCGGCAGCCATAACTACGGCACAGTTTGAGTTTGATTCGAGGTGAGCCCAGGTTACAGTCTCGCCCTAAACCTGATCTTCCAGCACCCGTCCGCCGCTCTGCCTTTTCTTCTTCAACCTCTCCTAATCCCCTCCCCGGCTCTTCACCAAACCGCCCTCGGTTTCTGGACATTGATCTTCTATGTGCCGTGCTCTGCTGTGCTTATAGGCCTCGTCTTGCTTTTTTTCTTCTTTGATCCGACTCTGCTCGCTGCGCAATCGGTCAATCCGGGTCACGACTTCCCAGACTCGTCCTGCGACCCACTGAGATAGGTGAGCACTCGATTGTAACTTCTTCCCCATCCCACCCGCTTCATCACCGCCTCCGCCACCGCTACCTCCGAGAAACACCGATCGCAGCATACCGATCTGTTTCCAGCTCGCTGATCTACCGTCCGCTTGCTCTCTCATGCGCTCTCTCGTTCTTTTATTCATCCAAGTAACACCTTCTTTCCAGCAGACTTTGCCTCGGTGCTTAGACCCCTTCCTCACCCGCTGCTCATAACTTTGCCCTCTCGGTCTACCTCCACTTCGCAATGGCGTCCAAGAATGATCAAGACCTACTCGAGAATCGCGACAGAATGATACGTGAGAGTGAGTACGCCCGTCCGTCAGGACAACCCCTCCTTCTCCTCCTCCCCACTTTTTCACGGCAAGGCTCAGACCTTCCTTTTCGGGGTCCTGTCTTCGTTAATTCTTGCTGTTCTTCTGGTAATCAGCGTCAATTACAACGCCGAACGCCGCACTTCTTTTTTTCTACCCACTTTCTCTCCCTCTCTACTATTTACTAACCGCCCTTGTTCTCCAGTGGCGAGCTATATCTCGAGCAGCAGCAATAGCAGCTCTGGTAACGAAGATGGTTACCACAGAGAACTAGCCCAGTCGTCGCACATCGTCAAGATGAACGAGTGGAACGTAAGTGATCCTGATCTAATCTGCTTTTCTTTGTGCAAATCTAACCCGGCTCTCTAGTCATGGTGCAAAGACGTTCGTGATTTCTCAGACGGTACCGCAATCAGCGAAGACAAGATCTGCCTGTTTCTTCGGGAATTCGTGCTTTCGCGTATTCAAAGCCAGCTCAACGTTGCCCAGCAAAACCAGCAGGCCCAGCAGCAGGCTCAGCAGCAGCAACAGCAGGCTCAGCAGCAGCAGTCTGCCAGCGGGATCAATGGCCCGACTGCACAGGAGGACGCCAGCTCGGAATTGAATCCTGCAGTCGAAATCTATGCGACCCTGAAGTCGTACGTGTCGGTACTTATCGATCAATACAAGTACCAGCGCGACCGCGGCTTCAACTCAAACCCTCCTCCGCTTGGCCTGGTATTGAAAGCCTTTCTGCAAAAGTACCATGCTGCCGCACTCGTGGCTCAGCGACAACGCAAGGGACAACTCAATGGCAACGGCAACGGAAACAGTAACGGTCTGAGCTCATATCGTCCCCATATCAACTCTGCTGGCGGTCAGCAGCCGTCTACACCAACAAGTCATCAGCGGCCAGTCTCCCGTGGCAGCGGTCGCCATCTCCATCGGCAGCACCGAAGGAGTTCAAGGATGCTGGATGTTGATTACGGATACTCCGTTCCTGGGTTGAGTCCGGATATATCTGACTCAGAATTCGACTCGTACTCGGACGACGGAGCCGGAGCAGCTGAGTCTTCCGTCCGAGGCGGGAGCAGAGGACTGAATGCCAGTGCGCAGTCGATTATTGAGTCCATCATGCAGTCGAACTCAATTATAATGCGGGACAACCTGCAGTTTGTAATCAACCTGCAGAGCGAGAAGCTGTCAAAGCAGATTGAGAGCGAAAGTAACGAGATCAGAGCGATAATTGATCGGCAAAACCGGGATATTACGCATCTTTGCAATATGGTGGAGAAGATCGCTGCGTGGGCGGGTACGCATGCTACAGCTGAGTTGGCGTCCGATATCGTGCCATATCGAGAAATCTCAAATTTGACGGCAAGCGCGCAGAAACACGTCGCTGCTGCAGCGGCCGCGGCGCAGCAAGCTTCAGCAGTAAGGCAGCAGCACGAACACGGACGCGCGGTATCTCCGTCTACGGCTTCCAGTGCCACCCCTCCCGCGCAGCACATCACGCAGCCGATGTTGGTCTCGTCTAGTGTCGCGCAGCAGGCAGCCTTTGCGCTTGCTGCCGGACCGAGTCCTTCCGCGCCGACGAATCAACGGGATAGCTACAATGCGGCGGATGAGTCGGTGATTGATGAGTCTGCGGATATGTACGCCGCGTCGCGCGCGCAGGCGGCCGACGTGAATCTGTATAAGGTGGCGGCTGTCGCTGCTGCTGCTGCTCATCAGCAGAGACAAAGTCAACAACAGCAGCAGACTCAACAACAACAGCAGCAACAACAAAATCAACAAAAGCAGCAGCAACAACAGCAACAACAGACGCAGCAAAGAAGTAGCGTGCTTCAAGGATCCCATTCAGCTCAGCATATCCCCCTCTCGCAAGGGTCTCCCGTCAACGGTCCTCCTTCCCCCGACCTCAGACGCCAGAACAAAGCGCCAACGCATGCCCAGCAACACCATCTACAGCACCAGCACGAAGCAAATCCATACATGATGACCGTGCAAGGCTCATCCACACCCGTTAGTCCCAACGGCGCCTCCAACGGCATCGACCAGCTCGTTGTGCCCCGATACCGAATGTCACGCGATGTCACGACGGTGCCCGAGCTATGGCAAGAATGGACGATCGGCCTTAACGGCGGTCCCAAAGTGCGCGAGCTCGAAGAGAAGTTTGGAACCAGGTGGCGCAGTAGCAGCGCTGAGCGCAAATTCTTCTGTCTACGGAAAGTGATTCTTGACTATATCCATCGGATTGGCGAGATGCAAGGGATATCGTTGGAGGAGGCGGTGTTGCAGGTTGAAGCGATACGGAAGCAGCACGGGTTTAACTCTCTTCAGAGGCTTTCTGATTTCTTAAAGAAGCAGCGGGTAAAATAGAAGTTTTTTGTTTTCGTACTTTCCATTTTCATCTATTTATCTACATCTCTATCATTTCGTTTTATTTCTGTTACTGGATGCATATGTTGGCATATTAGCAGTCTCTTTTTTCCATTTTTTCACCATTTCATGTTTTTGTTTTTGTTTTTGTTTTTGTTTTTGTTTTTGTTTTTGTTCTTGTTTTCTTTTTTTGTTTTTTGGGTCGTCTTGTGGTCTTTCTTCCGCTTCGCCATTTCGTATGATTGATTCAAAATGTTTTAAAGTCATGATTTGCACAGGTTTTTGTTTTTTGGCACATCAAGCATCGCATATCATAAAATTCTCTTGTTCTATTTGTCAGGTGTTTGTCTTCTATATAAAAATAACAAGTTCTCTGATTCTCTTTCCCCCGCAATGACAGGCAATCTCTCTCTTTTGGTTGCCCTCCTTTTGTAGCTCAATCTGTGAGGTCTTTGTTGAGTGCCGATCTGGGTAATTTCTAGACTGGAGCGGGTTACAACTCCCCATCGGGTAAGGGTTTAACAGTAATAGCTACTCTGAGGAGAGAGAGAGGGAGCACTTAGGAGGTTTGGTTTAGCAGATTAATTGGTAATTTGATTAACAGAAAAATTTATGCGCCCGGCTGCCTTTGAATGGGTGCGATGTTGCGAGGTGAGGTGAGGTGAAGTAAGCTACGGTTTAAATGATTTTCTGTTTTATTCTTAGGTGTGCGCGGGGAGGGCTTTATTTAGAGAGTCGAGAGGCGCGGAGAGATCGGCTTGGAATTTGCCATCTCGGCGACATCATCGTGCAGTTCCCTACTCTCACTCTATCTATTTGTCCACATGTTCTAGTATATCGTTAAAACTGTCCAAATAATCTCAAGGCGTGGTGTGAACGCAGTCCAATCCGCTAGCACGCATCAATCCATCGCGAGCTAATCAAAAGCTCTAGCACTCAATCACCGCTGTTTCGTGACCTGATAAAACCTAGGCGCCGCTTCCAGCAGCCAATCTCGGTCGATCTTTGTGACCCCGTTAATGTACGTTTTCTTGCCCATCTTTACAATCTGCGAAAAGACGACCCACTCAGCCGAGCGAGAAAACATAACCGACGTCGGATGGATCCAGACTGTGCTCTTTCCGTCCGTGCTGCTACTGCTGCTGCCGTTGTCGCCGCTCAGCAATCGCAGAGATCCATCTGGTTGCATCTTGGCCGCGTTGGGGAAGTAGCCGCTTACGATGCACTTCACCACCGTTTCCGGGCTAACTGCCGCTGCCGAAGACGGGATACTGACCCCCAACTTTGTCAGATACCGCGCGAGCTGTGCGCGAATGCTAACCGCCTGCACGAGCGCCTTATAATTCAGAAACCTCTCGTGCGCCCATTTCGACGACTGCTTGCCCCGTAGCGTGAATGCTTGATAGACGTTGAAGTACGAGAGGAGGTCGCCTTCCGCGACGATGAATTTCGCGTGCTGCTCCTGTGCTGCGCGGCGGTTGTTTTCGGGGTAGTAGAATATGTTGTCGACGGACATCATTGCGGCGATGGTTAGCATTTGGTTTACGCAGCCGAAGTTTTGTGCTTGCAGGAGCTATTAGGAGAGATAGACCATTAGCAAGGTAATTCAAGCATAGTACTGGAAAACAAAAAACAAACTTACAATCTTCCCGAGCATGGGATCAAGCGGAAGCTCAGCTAACCGCTCCCCCAGCGGCTTCGTTAACTTTGCATAATCATCCAGCGCTCCCAGATTAAACAGCAGCTCGAGTGCGTCCACAACAAGCTCCACCGGCGGCGGCGACAGCATATCCAGTCTCGCCAGATTATCAATCCCAAGCGCCTTCAACTGCAGCAACGGGCCCGCGAGATTCGTCCGCTGCAACTCAGGCGGCGTGGTCTCCGCAAGCTGATCATAAGCCGCCTCTGTATACAACCGAAAACACTTGCCGTTCCGCGTCCGTCCCGCACGACCAGCGCGCTGCGTTGCCGACGCTTTCGACGCCGGCGTCACGACGAGCGAGTCCATTTTCAGCTCGGGATCATATGCCCGAAGCTTTACGAACCCGCAGTCGATCACGTAGACGATGCCGTCGATCGTCACGCTAGCTTCGGCTATGTTTGTCGAGATTATGATTTTTCGCGTGCCGTCTGGTGTAGGATCAAAGATCCGTTGCTGGTGTTCTTGTGAGAGGCCCGCGTAGAGCGGAAGGATGAGTAGCCGGGGTGCAGAGGCGGGGAGAGTATCTTGCCGATCATAGATGGCTTGGATCACTTGCGTAATCTCCTCGCGACCGGTTAAAAAGGCAAGAATGTCTCCTGCGGGTTCATTGGCGTGTATACTGAATATCGTCTCGATCGTCTTCTCGACGTAGTTCTCCGTCGGCTCGGTCAGATATAGCAGGTCAACAGGATGCATTCTCCCCTCTATACTTATGATCTTTGTTCCGCTTCCAAAAAAATTCACAAACTCATCGGCTTGTAACGTGGCGCTGGAGATAATGACCCGCAGGTCTCGCCGCCGCTTGATGATCTTCTTCAACACGCAAATCAAGATATCGGTATACGTGCTCCGCTCGTGCGCCTCGTCAATCATGATAACGCTGTACCGACTGAGTAGTGGATCGATCAGGATCTCGCGCAAAAGCATTCCATCGGTCATATATTTGATTCGCGTTTCCGGAGAGGTGACGTCTTCAAAGCGGATGGAATAGCCTACTGTTTCGCCTAGACGGCAGCCGATTTCGGTCGCTACTCGAGCTGCTACTGACGATGCGGCAAGTTTTCGTGGCTAAAAATATCAGTAAAGATTAGTTTTAGACCGGTAGTTTGACTAGAGTGTTGACATACTTGAGTGCAAGCGATCAATTTATCGTGATCTGTCCATCCCGCTTCGTAGAGATACTGTGTCATTTCTATAGTATAGGTCAGCAGCCGTATTATTCTCCGTCCTGTCGTCCTCAAAGAGAGTACTTACGAGTGCTCTTGCCGGATCCTGTATGCCCTATGAGAACAACAACCTGCGAGCTCTCAATCAAATAAAGCAGCGACTCGCCTATCATCAAATCAGCACACTATTCACACCCACACCCACCACGACCAAAGACGGGACTCACGATGAGCAAAAATCGGCAGCATCTCTCTCTGCATTTTCACAGATGCTCGTTTAAACTCGGGTGATACACTTGCAGTCCGGAGACCGGTGTATAGGCTGTCGTCGAGATCATCGTCGCTGCTGTCGATGTCGTCTTCGTCTCTCTTGCTGCTCGCGGGAGCGAACTCGACGCCGCTGAATCGGCTCATTCTGCTTAGCTGCCTTCTAAATACGTATTAATGGTAGTACCCAAAGTCCTTCCAAAGATACAGTAAACGAGTAGTTGATTAATAACTAGCTGGTGCTGATCGACAGCACTGGCGTGAGAGTGAGGAGCAGTCCTCGAAGAACGTAGAAGATAAGCCCTAAACCACAGATCAGAGGTTAAAGTTCAGACCCCTGGAAATATCAAAAGTTGGAGTTGGCGGGTTTGCTGTGAAGAAGAAATCTGGAAGCAGAAGAGAGTATGGGATGGGCGATAGAGAGCAAGGAAAATTAGAGGAAGGTATACGGCTGGAAGAGCCTGAGAATGGCTGCGCGGAGGATACCGACGATTTATCGTCGAAGATCAGGGCGCTGGAGATGGACGAGAGTCCGATTATCGAGTCGTTTGGGCAGGTGCTAGACAAAGTGCAAAATCTTTACAAGAAAGTGTCATCTGTGTATGACGGTCTGAATTCTCTGATTGAAGGCTCTTTTCATGATGGTGACTGTGATGATGGGAGGCCGGTTTGGACGCGAGGACCCAACTTTCTGAGGGCGTTTCGAAGTCAAGTCCGGAAGGAGCAGAGCGCTTTACAGGCTGTAAGTGTGCTTTCAGCGGCGACTGATTCATCTTTCTTGAGTTTCAAGTCTAACCTCATTATAGCTTTGGAAAGAAGTGAAATCATTGCCGACCCCCGAGCTCGAAGAACGTCTGCTGCATCGAATCCGGTCGACCAATTTGCCTCATCTAGAGGCCGTTTGGAACGTATTCGAGCACGGTGGTTATTCCGGTGTGGTTTCTCTCGGTTCGGGAATAAAGCCTGAAAGCAGTGGTGGGTATGCGGGTGATCTTACCGCTGCTTATGGAGAGAGCGTTGTGAAGATCTCGCGGGTGACTGTGTCGCAGTTGAAGCGGGAGATTGCTACGATTATGTTGGAGCTTGCCGATGACGAACAACAAATGTCGGTCGAGGAGATTGTGTCTATGACTGAGGTGTTTCGAGCGGTGGAAAAAGTGGTGTTGGATGTTAAAGGGAGCGAGTATTGTCACGATGCATTGGCAGACAGTGAGGGATTTCTTCCTAGATTATTGCGACCACAGAGATCAATGGAACGAGCGGTGACGCTGTTGGTTTACAACATCGGTGAGCAGGATTTGCTAGGTGTCGATGGAGAGATTGTGAGGAATTTTGTTTCCGTCATTTCATCTTCTCTCAAGATTGATGTCAGATTATTTGGAGATCATACTCTATCATTTGAAAATGACCGGTCTGCGAAGGAAATTATCGCGGCTATCATGAAAGAAGACCATCACCATTTTCTGACGCAAGTGCCGCCGATGCTCAATTTCGATGTCACAGGAGGATTCTGCCTGATTTCCGACATCACGAACCTGACTCCAGAAGAAGCTACCAGAAAACTAGACTGGCAACGCGACAACCCGCCCCCGTCTACGTCTGCGCCCGACGAGCTGTACCAAAAGTCCGCGAACGCGTTTCAATTTCTGAGAAATCAGATCGAAGCTGAAAGACAGCATCGCGTGCTGCATCATGTGTTGCGACCGCTTGTTGAAGGCGGTGAGAGAACTCTGATCTGCTCGCGCCAGGTGAGGCAGAAGTTGATTGATATGGCTGATAGAATGGGAAGCGCAGAGGAGAAGCGCCGAGCGCGACTGATTTTTCTAGATATAGACGCGCGGGATGGGTTTACGAGCAGTTGCGGGGAGTGGCTAGACAGCATACCAAAACTCCGGGTTATTGGTCCCGAAGTCGATCAAGAAAAGATATCTTCCCCAAACGAGGCATGGATTGAAGAAGGGGTTCTCAGGGTAGCACTGGACTATTCACGGCAGACGGAGAAGAGCGTTATGCATGTTACAGGGAATTTCAAGGTGGCCAAGCAGCTTGCGAAGAAGTTAGAGGGGTCGGGATGGCTTATTGTGAACTCACGAAGCTTGGCGGGAGGGTTCTGAGCGAATCGATACTGCATAGCATATACTGCATAGCATAACAGATACTCAATTGAATGGGGAACACCCCGACAGATACAGATATAGTCTTTTGATGACACTGATTCAAGACTGAGTGTCCAAGATCAGATAACGAAGCAAGGAGTCAGCCTGTCGACGTCGGTCACAGAAAGACTACAGGGAGGCGGTCTGGAGCGCTGTTCCGGCCAGGCCTTTGTAGACCGTCGCTGCGTCTCTTGAATAATTTACTACTTGTCCGCCGTAAGCACATCTGCAGCAAAACCAATTGGCTCACGGAAACAACGATCAACAGGCCAAACTCACGACAATAACGACGGCCATTCATAAAACTGATGATAAACTACGGTCTTTGTATTGGTAACAGGTGACGTGTCCCAAATCCCGCTGTGACCGAGTCACGTTATCTGGGCCGGGTAACTCAACAGCCGAACCGCCAGCACCGCCTTTCGTCTGCTCGACTTCCTCGAGTCTCTCCACCTCGCTCCTCCTTCTTCCCGCGTTCATCCTCTCCATTCCTCCTTCCGAGTGTTCATCCCTTTTTGGCTTGGTATCTTGGCTGATTTATCTGTTCTGTACGTCTTTTGCTTTTGCTTGCTTGTCTGCTTCGGCTCAATTGCGCCGGCAATGGCTGTATCAGTCCCGGCTAACAGTTCTTCGTCATTCTTCGACGAACCGTCCTCGCGATAGGCTTAAGCTTTAGATGTCTACTGGGCTCAATTGCAGAATCAACAGCTAGCGAAGCCTCTTCCATCATTGTTAAAAGCAGCCTTTTGATTATTTGATTTTCTGTTTTTGGTTGTCATTCGGGTTCATTGAAAACTTCAGACTCACTCCTTGTTCCCTCATTTCGCACGCGAGGAACATCTCCACATTAGTTTTGGCGCTCCATTTGCTTTGTGGCATCTCTTCTTCCACCTCAATCCACTTCCACCCTCCTATACTTCTCTGATTTAGCATTCTAAAGATACATCCCGTGCTTGACAATGTCTGAATCCACCAATCTGTCTCCAGCCGATCTGCTTCGCGAGAAGCGCGAAGCCGCCGCCGCCGCCGCTGCCTCGCTCGCGTCCCCGGCCCCACCCGCTAGCGTCACCGAGCCTACCGCCGTCGCCGCCGTCGCCGAAGACGGCTCTCAACTTTCTGTCGCGGACGACGAAGGCCCCGCAGATCTGACCTCGTCGATGACGACTGCCGACACCGCCGCATCCTCGCCTCCTGCGTCCGCATCCTCCTCTGCCGCCCCTTCTATCGTCGCCAGCGCCGGCGCTTCACCCGCCAAGCAGACGAAGAAGAAGGCAACAAAGGAGAAGCTCGACATCAGCTCTCTCGAAGCCTTTCCCACCCTCGGGGGCCTTTCCACCAAGGCCGCCGGCGGCCCGGCCTCCGTTTGGGGCGCTCCTGGCGCCAAATCGGCGACTGCCACCAAGAAGGAAGTTGCGCGTGCTCCCCTTGCTGCCCGATCGTCGGACGTGGTCGAGATTTTCACTGTCAACATTCCTGCGCAGTCACGCAGCCGCTCGATCTTCACTGAGATCGTAGCGAAGGCTAAGAGCATTAAGGGCGTTACCTCTATCGAGAGCTCAACAAGCGGTCTCAATGGTTCAACGACGTTCATCATCAAGGGAAAGAGCGCATCTATCCCAGAGGCTCGACGAGAGCTTATTCGTGGTCTTACTCCAAAGGTAAGGAGTTTTTGCATCGGATCAGTTTTATGTATCGTTTAGAAGCTAAATTTCGTAATTACAGGTCACGGAAACCATCGCGGTACCCAACAGCGTTCGACCATATATCATCGGTACCGGCGGACGAACCCTCAAAGGTATACAGCAGCGGACCACGACTAAGGTTCAGGTTCAGAAGAAGGATGACGGTGAATATGTCAAACCTGAGTTTGCCGACGAGGAAGAGTCTACCGACGTCACCATCGAGGGTGATATCGACGGCGTTGCACTTGCAAAGGCGGAGATTTTGGCGATCGTCAACGAGCGAACCAAGAACCTTGCTGTCAGACTGAAGACTATAAGCGCCGATTACTTCCCGTTCTTTGCTACCAAGGTTTCAGAGCTGGAGGATGGAAAGGATGTCAAGGTGAAAGTTCCGGCTGCATTCTCTTCAGGCGACAGCCTCTCGAGCTTCATCGTTCTTTCTGGTGATCGTGAAGCTGTTGAGGAGACCAAAAACAAAATGGAGCTTATGGCTCAGGAGTTGAAGAGTACTTATGTGCAGGCCTCTACTTCGGTGCCGCCAAACAGAAAGCAGTTCGTCGACGGGGCAAAGAACAAGCAGGAAATTTTCGAGAAGACTGGATGTCTGATCAAAATCGGAAGCAGCGATGTCATTGATATTCTGGGACCGCGAGAGAGCATCGGCGATGCGATCAGTCTAGTTGCCGAGAAGGCAAACTCATTTGCTGTCGACAGCCTTATAATCTCGAAGGCTCACGGCAAAAACCTGCCTCACGCAATCTCTCTGTCAAAGTATTTCGAGGCCACCAAGAAACTGGGAGCCATCGAGGCCGAAAACAGTGTGCAGATCAAGCTTTCGCCTGGCGTTTCTGAGGAAGTCAAGTACGAAATCTCCAGTCGTTCTGAGCCTGAGATCAAGAAGGCTCGCAAGAGCATAATTGATCTCGTCAACTCGATTCCTCCCCTCAGAGTCCGCACCTGGGCCAGCTCGGACCCGCTTCTTCACCGCTTCATTGCTCGCTCTGCTGACAAGCACGCGAAGAAGGTGAGGGAACAGTACGGCGTGGTCGCGATCATCCCTGCCGTTACCGGCGATATCCTCCTGGTCTACGAGGGTAAGGAGGATGATGAGTTTGGCCCGGAAGAGAATGAGGTCAAGAGCAGTCTCGAAGGTGCGAGCGCCTACTTTGATGGGCTCAAGACCGCGTTCAGTGGCGTGGCATCTAAGACCCTGAAGATTCCGGCTAAGCAGCACAAGTTTATCATCGGGCCCAAGCGGTCGACTATCAACGCTCTCACTGGATCCGATTCCGCGATTGAGATTTTGCTTGGTGTGAGCGACGATTACCCTGGTTCGACAGAGGACAGTGTGATCATCATCGGACCTTCCAGCGAGATTGACTCAGTTGCGAGCAAGATCAAGGAAATCGTTGAGGAAGCTAGCACACAGGAGATCCTTAGCAGCTTTACTGTTACCTTCCCGTTCCCGCAGAAGTTCTCAAGCCAGCTTATTGGCAGGGGAGGATCAAACATCTCCAAATACAGAGACGAGCTTGGTGTTAAGATTGACGTCGATGATTCGGGTAACGTTTCTATCAAGGGTATCAAGAACAATGTTCTTGAAGCTCAGTCTAGAATGTTGGCCCTTGCCAAGCGATTGGTGAGTGTTATTTTTTTGCTGTTCGATGGAGGGACGCTGTTGCTAATGTATTTTATAGGAGGACGAGGTCGTCTTGAGACTCGCAGTTCCCAACGAGCACCATAGCGCCTTGATTGGCCAAAAGGGAAAATTCGTCCGTCGTATTGAAGATCGCTACGAGGTGCGAGTGAACTTCCCTCGCGCGTCTGATTCTTCAGAGCCCAGAGACAAGGAGCCTTCAGAATTCATGCCGAAGAGCAAGGACGAGATCGTCATCCGTGGGCCATCGAAGGGAGCTGCCAAGGCTCGCGAAGAGTTGCTCGAGCTTTACAAGTACGAGGCTGAGAACGGGTTCACGGAGACGATGTCTGTGCCTCGCAAGGCTTTGGCGAGAGTGATTGGTCGGGGCGGCGAGCAGATCAACGAGATCATGGACGAGACCAAGACGAAGATTGACATCAACCAGGAAGGAAGCGATGTCGAGAATGTGAAGATCACGGGAACGGAGAAGGGCGTGAAGAGCGCAAAGACACAGATCGAGCAGATAGTTTCTGATGTCGAGTCTTCCACGAGCGAGACGCTTGAGGTTCCCAAGAAGTTCCATCGGGACTTGATTGGACCGAAGGGTGCTACCTTGACGGATATCGTTGCGACCGCGACAGGCGACGTGAAGAACGCGAAGAACCAGCAGCAAGGAAGAATTATCAGGATCCCGCCCGCGAGCTCTCCAGACACGAAGATCGTGGTGAGCGGACACAAGGATGTGGTGGCCAAGGTGATTGCCGAGATCAAGCGCCGCGTCGAAGATTTCAAAGACCGGGTCGAGGAAGTTATCGAAGTCGAGCAGGATAAGCACAGATTCCTGATCGGACGGGAGGGCGCGATCAAGAAATCGATCGAGAGCGAGAACGGGGTCGAGCTTTGGGTTCCGCCGCAGGGAACTACGAAGGAGGTGAAGATCGTGGGCAAGAAAGAAGCGGTTGAGAAAGCAAAGGCAAAGATTGTCGAGTTGACTACAAAGAAGACAAACGGAAGAAAATCAAAGTCGGCGACGCCGCAGGCGGAGGAGAAGCCTGTTGAGGCGTAAATTCTCCGACACAGATTGTCTTGAGAGCGACAGGAAATCCCAGACAAGAAAAACAAGCATACATGAATTCGATTGATGTTTCTAGAATACCTTGTGTGTGAGTGTTTGCAATTCCCTGTTTTCTTTTTTCGTTTTTTTATCTTATTTGTCGTTTGTTGAATCCGTCGTTCTGCGCGTCACTTGTATCTATATCAAAGTCTTTCCGAATTTTTGTCGACCCACATATCCTGCTTTTTCTCTTATTTTTTCAGCCTTTTTTTTTTCTTTTGGAAGGAGGTAACTATAGTGAAGACTTGCGGATGAAGAAAAAAGAAAAAAATCACGGTGGAACAGAAGTCTCTAATGTGCTTAAATAATGTTTATTTTCATGTCCCCCCCTCATATTCGTTTAGCGTTCTTTGTCTTTGTTTTTATGTCTGTGCATCATTATACAATATACTTGATTTTGGAATCATTCTAGTATACAAAAATAGATATCTAAAGCTCCTTGCGAAAGTCGAGATGGGGCGTTAATACTTTAATGACGCCGACCAAATCTACGGAATCGGGAAGCACCACGCCACCTGAGTTTCCTTTACTCATAATCTCCTGAATGTTATGATACACGGGCGCGGAGCCGATTCTCAGGACGAGTTTATGGATCGGGACGGCTTCGTCGGGAAGCGAAGGCGGCATGACGAGAGCCTGGAGGATCTGGAGCGGGACGCTGATGTCGCGCAGGGTCCAGAGATGGTGGGAGAGCCAGTGCAGGGCGCCGACGATGGAGGCGAGGAGGAAGGGTTGGAAGAAGTATTCGAGACCGCCTTTGAGGGTGTCCATGTCGAGGAAGTTGCGGTTGCAGGCGGTTACGGCTTGGTAGAAGATCGTGGGGACTAGGAGGGAGTAGGCCATCGGTGTGCATGATCTAGACTGAGTTAGTGTATGACTAAGGGAATCATAAGCACGGGAGCTTACTTCATGAGTTCGTCTGAGATTCCGTTGGTATCGAAAAGCGCTGTGATCCAACCCCCGAGCAGATCTAGGTTCTCTTCATTCAGCATCTCGGCAGGCTGCGCGGCACCAGACGAAGTGAGGTATTTCCGCACAAACGAGTGCTCGCCCAGCTCGCCTAGCTCGCGAATGTCGAGCTTGAAATGGTAGTAGAAGGCACATATGAAGAGCAAAATGACGCCAAAGTCTGTGTAGTTGTCTTGGAAATCTTGGGATTGGTGTGTTAGCTTGTACGGAAACTAATCGTGGGAAGGGCAATTACGTACTTGTTTCGTCTTCGTAGAGCCAAGTGTCGAGACAAGTGATTAGTGGCTTGAGAATCTCGTAAGGGTCTCGGTAGACGAGCATGAGATTCATGACCTGCGTGTCGTGCGCGACTTCTTGTGCCAGTATTCGAAGTCTGTAGGTCTCGCGCTGCTCGATCCAGGACTCAAGGAGCTGTGATGTAGTGATTAGTAAACGATGGACATATGAAATATTAGTGCTAGAGATCATACGCTGATAATGGCATCAATAGCTAGATGCTGCGTTAAACAGTCGGCCTCGACAACTTGCCCGACCACCATCTTAATCGCGCCCTCGCTATCGTAAGAATTATTGACCATCTCCATGATCAACTCCACGCTACCCGGAAGCTTTTCAGCCGACGTCTCTTCGCCCGTCATATCCTGTCCCATCCCATCGTTCTCATTAGCCGGACCACCACCAACCACCCGATCGATCGCGTTCGGTTCGATTAACCCGCATTTCACCATACTCTTCAAAAACTCGCGCCTGATATCGTACGGCGTGGCGGTGGAGAACATCATGTCGATCTCGTTCTCGTCCTGCCGGTTCAGCAGCGCCAGCGTGCTTTCGTCGATCGACAGCAGCGGTTTCCGCAGCGCGTACTCAAAAGTGGCAGATGGAAGCTCGGAGAGGTGGTTTTTGAAAATAAGAGGCAGTCTGTTGATTATGAACGCTTTCCACAGTTTGACGCGCGAGGATTCCCGGTACGTGCTGCTATTTGATTCCTGGGATAATGCACAGTGCGAGAGCGCGTCGAGCGACGACGAAGTCAGGGACGAGATTGCGACGTCGCCGCTTTCCGTCGTGAATAAAGCTGTCAGCCGGGTGGCAAAGTCGGCCGATCCAAACTGCGGACGTGGCCCGGAAAGTAGCGATTCGACCCATTCGAGTTTCTCTACCTGACCCTTTGTACGGGCGGCAGGTACTTCTTGAGTGACTAGGGCCGGTGCTGTGGGAGTTGGTAGAGAGGAGGTTATGTTTAGATTGGATGATATCGCGGCAGATAGTTTTTCTGCTAGAGGCTGATTCGTGATGTGGAGGTGATTGATGAACATTTCTAGAGCTGTTTGAAACTCGTTTTGTTGATCTGATCCGATGTAAGTAGCAAGTATTAGCATCTGCGCAGCATCTCGAAAATCAAAAGACGGATATTCAAACCTTTATTTGCAGCAGCATTAAACATCTTTGCAAACTCACTATTCGAGCTCAAAGCGATTGTAAACTCTGCGGTCACGTCTCTGATCAGCTCGACGGCGGATTGATCGCCGTTGTTCATGCTCAGGTAGACAGAGTTATTGCTCGCGAGCTGCGTGAGGAGTCTGCTGAGGACGCTGACGAGGTCGCTGACGACGCCGGCGCGGGAGGGCGTCCAGGTGTTTGATGAGACTGCAGAGGCGAGGGAACCGAGGACATCTGTTAGTGTTTCGGGGTTTGCTGAGACTTCGAGGGAGAGAAGAAGAGATGAGAGGGAGATGAGGGGCGGGTTTGCGGTCGAGGCGGAGACGATGTAGCGGACGAGGAGAGGATCGGTGAAGGTGGTCAGTGGGGGTTGGAGCAGGTCGTCTTGAGAGTTCTTTGTGAGCAGACAGATCAAAGATGAACGAACGATTAATGAAGGTACCGTACGGCATATCGAACTATCTTCAGTAGAATTCTGAGCAACAAGCTCTCGTAATAAAACAACAAACTACAGCAAGAAAGAACAGTCAGCTCCAAGTTCACTTTGAATATCACCGCTTTTTTCCATTCATTCAACTCACGTCGTCGGGAGGAACCCGTCGTCTCAGACAAAGACCAATCAGCTTCGCGACCGTGACTCGGTCCGCGTCTGTGGTCGTCATATTCGCTGTAGCCCAACCGATTAACGACAGAAGAACTGATCCGCGTCTGTGGTGTTGTAGATGTTGTTGCTTCGTGAAGCTTGTGGAGAGCGATTGGGAGCAAGGTTCCTCCTCCACGCGTGAGGCTCATCGATTATTCTCTACGCTCAACATTCACATAATCGGCGACAGACAAAACAAGCAGAAAGAGCCAATGTCAGTGAACGACAAGGCAAATGCGCCTGGGCGACGGGCTCCTGGCCTGTATGACTCGTTAGAAGCCGCCGTGGTTGCGAGCAAGGATCCGGTCGCGTACTCGAGGGAACCAACGCAGTTGACCGAAGAGGACGAGAAGCAGAAGATGCTGGCTGCAGGTAAGAATACTTTTATTGGTCTTGATGGAGAATCTACTCGGTCTCTGATACAGATTTGGATTATATAGCGCTCAAATTTCAGCCTATTCATGCACGGTCTGGAAAAACAACCGCAGCACCAGCCGGCACCGTGATCTCAAAACCGCCGACGCTGATAAACCCGTCCGCGATTCCGCGGCCACATTCAAAAGTCACTATTGATTCATTCACCGACAACAACAACAACAGAGCAGAATCTGGGCAAGAGCAAAGTCGGCCGCGACGAACGGGATACTACAATCGCCGGAAAAAACAGCGGCTGGAAGATGCAGAGAAAGGAAAGCTGGATTGGGAGGATACGTATGATCCCATGCGTCCGAACCAGTATGAGGAATACAAGAAAAGCGAGGAGAAGTTCATGGAGGATGAGGATTGGCGAAGTTATCTACTTGATTTGAAGGCGAGGAGAGAAGGAGCGGATCAAGACCGACCAGAAGCAGAGTCGAGTCAAGAAGAGGAAGAAGAACAGCAACTGGAAGAGCGACGCAGCTTTGCTCCACCCACGACTTACGACGATCCTGCATCTGACAGCACAGGCGTCACAGTATCTAAAGCTCCAGTCATGTACCAACCACCAGATCCCTCACCTCCTCCTCACTCACCACCCTCACCGCCCGGTCCCCGCCAAAAATCCGCAAAGGAAACCTTTGCGCGACGGTTACTTTCGAAATACGGCTGGACGCCGGGTACAGGTCTCGGCGCGTCCTCGACAGGAATCACAAAGGCGCTGCGGTTCTCGGCGGATAACAAAAAGGCAGGCCATGGGAGGATCGTGGATAAGAACGAGAAACGGGATGACGAGGGGAGGTTTGGCAAGATGTCTAAAGTGGTCGTGTTGCGGGAAGTGGTCGATGCCGATGAGGCCGATGAGGAGCTTGCGGGGGAGATTGGTACCGAATGCGATGCAAAGGTATACCTTTTTCTTACTTCTATTCCGTTGATAGTGGTGCTAATTGTGTCGTAGTATGGGACAGTCGAGCGGGTATACGTCAACGAAGGCGGTGCTCCACGAGTCGACGTCTATGTCAGGTTCACAAGCGAGCTTTCAGCATTGCGAGTAAGCTTCAATCTTTACTTTTGATCTAACACCGATGCTAATGAATACCAGGCAGTGAATGGACTCGATGGCAGGCTATTCTCAGGGACGAATATAGTCGCGCGATTCTACGACGAATACGAATTCGAGCAAGGAAAACTACTAGGACCGACAGATGACAAAAACAGTGGATAGATTGAATGGATAAATAATACACCAACAAAAAAGGAAAAGAACAAAAAAACACAAGGTTGACCGTCGCAGTTCATGTTGTACATCTCTAAAAGTCGGGGAAAAGATGCTGGTATTCGTCAGGACCGTTAATACCGTAATTGAGCTCCTCTTCCGGATAGTATTCAAATAAAGACGCATCACCAGCATGCCGGATTGGCGGCTCATAAGGAGTATCGATTTCGCGACGCAGTATGCGGTCCCACTCGACTTCTCTAAACCAGGGATGGTTCATGACATCGGCCGAGCCATTGGCCAGGTTGCCGAGTCGTCGGGTGAGGTCTCGTGTGATGAGACCGCTAAGGAGGTCGCGCGCCTCAGGCAGTAGGTAGTTCGGGTAGCGCACCTCGCACTGGAGGACCTTCTCGTACGTGCGCATGGGGGTCTGGTCGTAGAACGGGGTGTAGCCGGTGAGCATCTCGAAGATGAGGATGCCGAGCGACCACCAGTCGACGGACTTGTTGTAGGCCTTGCGGGCGATGACCTCGGGCGCGATGTAGTCGGGGGTTCCGCACATGGTGTAGGTCACGTCGGGGACCTCCTTTGCAAAGCCAAAGTCGGTGATGCGGATGTTTCCGCGGCGATCAAGCAGGATGTTTTCGGGCTTGAGGTCGCGGTAGATGACGTTGTGAGAGTGGAGGTACTCAAGCGCGAGCGTGACTTGGGCGGCGTAGAACTTCGCGACGGGGTTCGGGAAGCGCTGGCTCTTGCGGAGCAGAGAGAAGAGCTCGCCGCCCTCGATGTAGTCCATGACCATGAAGAGGTGGAGCGAGTCCTGGAACGTGCCCCAGATCCGGATGAGGAACGGATGATCGACGAGCTTGAGCATCCGCCGCTCGTCGTTGGTGTGCTCGACCTGCTTCATGTGCACGACCTGGGCCTTTTTGAGGACTTTGATGGCGTAGTAGAGACGGTTGTAGCGGGATCTGACGAGATGCACTCGGCCGAACGATCCAGTTCCAAGCGTGCGTTTGATCTCAAAGTCGCGGATCGAGTACTTGCCGCGGGTGACTGTCGATCGCGCCGCCGGCGTCACGGCCGCAGCAGCAGCAGCAGCAGAACCAGCGACCTGAGCAGGAATCGCGGGGATGGCGGCCGAGGCAGCGGAAGCGACTGCGGCAGCGGCAGCGGCTTCATCACCAGATTTTGCCGGGTAAGCCACCGCGCCAGCAGCCGGCTGGGCCTCGGCAGCAGGCACGGGCAATTCTGCTGGCATTTATGAGTCCAATTGCGTGAGTGCGCAGCTTCGCCGGTCGGGGATGGGGTCGGTCGGGGTGGGAACAGGAGTCGGGGTTCGTGAAGGTGGTCGGGTGCTGGTGGGTGATAGTGTTGCGGGCGGTGAGGGCGTCGGCGGAGTGGCGTCAGAGGGGTTTTGTGTGATTACTCATGTGTTAGTCATCTGGTCACATGACAGCTTCTAGGAGATCGACAATAAGTAGAGAACGGGATCAGCTCGAGACGGCCTCGATAACGATAGCGAGGCGATAGCGATAAGACTGCTTCTGCTTCTGCTTCTGCTTCACTTCCTCTACTTCTGCTACTTCTTCTACTATTACTACATTCTCTACTTTTCTACTCCTCTACTCAATTACTGCTCGCCTGCTCACGTTCTATCTATCAGCGCCGCACGCCATTCGGCTTTCTCCGACCTCTGCTCGACCAACTTTTTATATCCCACCCATCCTTCTCAACCTCCACCTCCCCGCAAGACCAAACACCTCAATGCCCTCGATCTTCGTCTCCAACAAAGTCCTCATCGACAAGGCGCTGATCCCCGCCACCGTCTTCGTCGGCGACTCCGGCAAGATCGACAATATCATCCCCGGCGTCATCTTCCCTCCTCCCGGCAACAGCGCCGCCGGCGTGCGCTACCACGACTTCTCTTCAAAAGTGCTGCTTCCCGGTCTCGTCGATGCCCATGTCCATCTGAACGAACCCGGCCGGACGGAGTGGGAAGGCTTCGAGACCGGCACCCGCGCTGCTGCCTCGGGCGGCGTCACCACCGTCGTCGACATGCCGCTCAACGCGATCCCACCCACGACGACCGTCGCGAACCTCGACATCAAGCTCGCGGCCGCCAAGAGCCAGACCTACGTCGACGTTGCGTTCTGGGGCGGCGTCGTGCCTGGAAACCAAGACGAGCTGATCCCGCTGGTTGACGCTGGTGTGCGCGGGTTCAAGTGCTTCATGATCGAGTCCGGCGTGGACGAGTTCCCTGCCGTGTCCGAGACCGACATCGAGACCGCAATGACAAAGCTCGCGGGCTCTGGCGCGGTCTACATGTTCCACGCTGAGATGGTGCCGGCCGAGGGTGAGCCCGTGCTCTCGAGCGACATGAAGACTACAGAGTACTCCACTTTCCTTGCCTCGCGGCCCGACACGTTCGAAACCACTGCGATCAAGAAGATCATCGAGGTCGCCGAGTCCGTCGCGAGCAAAACCTCAAAGTCAGATGTGAAGCTGCACGTCGTGCATGTTTCCTCGGCCGAGGTGCTCCCGCTTCTAAAACAGGCTCAGGCCTCGGGTCTGCAGATCTCCGCCGAAACCTGCTTCCACTACCTCACCTTTGCCTCCGACGCCGTCCCCGAAAAGGCAACCCACTACAAATGCTGCCCGCCGATCAGAACAAAGGAGAACCAGGACAAACTCTGGGACGCGCTCAAGTCCGGCATCCTGAACACCGTTGTCTCGGATCACTCGCCGTGCACGCCTCAGCTCAAGGATCCCGAGCACGGAGATTTCTTCAACGCCTGGGGCGGTGTTTCTGGTCTCGGACTCGGGCTCTCTGTGCTCTGGACCGAGGCTCGCAAGCGCGGTGTTTCGCTCGAACAGGTGTCGGCATGGACGTCGAAGAACACGGCCGCGCAGGTCGGTTTGCTGGGTCGCAAGGGCGAGATCGACGTCGGTCGCGACGCGGACTTTGTCGTCTTTGATCCCGACCGCGAGTTCACGGTCGAGGAAGCAAACCTCGTGTTTAAAAACAAGGTCTCGCCGTACAAGGGACTCAAGCTGACGGGTCTGGTGGAGAAGACTTATTTGAGAGGTGAAGTCATCTACGACGTCGCGAGCGGGGTGGCCGAGAAGCCGGCTGGCAAGCTTATTCTCGAGCGGTTATCAAAGTAGTAGTATATATATATATTATGTTATGGCACTAACGTCAGAAAATGCACATAGAATACAAAGCCATAGTAAAACAAAAAACTAGGAATAAACAAAGCACAACTCTAAATCAAGGCTTGCATCTGCCAGAGAAGCGAGGATACAAAGAGCAATCTCTGACAGTAAATCTGTCGCACAACCACGCGAGAATTCGCTCGGTTCCCAAACCGTATCCACCATGCGGGCAGGTTCCGTACACGCGCTGGTCGTTGAACCAGTAATACGGCGCCGGGTCGATGCCCTCGCGCTCGTAGCCCTTCATGAGCTCGTCGAGCTCGTAGATACGCATACTGCCTCCCGTGATCTCGCCGACGTTGGGCATGAGCACATCCACAGACTCGGTCACGCGCGGGTCGTCGGCGCATTTCTGCATGTAAAACGACTTGATCTCGACCGGGAACCGCGTCAGCAAGATCGGCTCGTTGATCTCGTCCGTCATCTTGCGCTCGGCGGCCTCGGCGATATCGTCGCCAAACTTGAACGCCTCGCCGTCTTCGTTGGGCACGCCGTGCTCGTTGAGCCAGTCAAGAGCAGACTCGTACGTCATGCGGCGGAACGGAAGCGTGGGCTTCTTGAAGCCCGGGTTGAGCTTTGCCAGGATCGCAGCACTCTCGGGATCCTCGAGCACGTACTCGATCGTGCGCGTGAGCAGGGTCTCGATGTGGACCAGCAGATCTTCAAAGGTCAGGAACGCAAGCTCGGCCTCGACGTGGGTGTACTCGCTCAAGTGACGACGGGTGTGCGAGCGCTCGGCGCGGAAAGACTCCTGCACGCAGTAAACGTCGCCGAGAGCCGGGAGACAGGTCTCGAGGTAGAGCTGCGAGGACTGCGTGAGATAGGCATCTTCGCCGTAGTACTTGAGAGAGAATAGAGTCGAGCCACCCTCGACCTGGGTCTGCACCATGCAGGGAGGAGTAACCTCAGTGAGTCCCAGATCTTCATACACACGTCTGAATGATTTAAGCAGCTGAGCTCGGATCTTGAAGATTCCAATCATGGTCTCACCACGGAGGACGAGGTGACGCATATCTAGTAGCTGTGAGGGATCAGCGTTCTCCTGGACCTTGTTGGTGATGGCATCGTCGCCACCGGGAGCGAGGCCGACGACCGAGTAGTAGTCGACGGCAAGCTCGTGGTTGCCGGGGGCGGTCTTTCCCTCGGGAATAGGGTGGATCACTCCGTAGACGGTCACGGTCGACTCGAGCGTCAGGGTGAGGGTGGAGTAGGCGTTCGCCTGGAGAGGAGAGAATTAGCAATCAAGTCTTGAATTCTATTATAGGAAGAGAGAGAATACGTACGAGATCACCAGCAAGGACACATTGGAGAAATCCGGTGCCATCTCTGAGGACGAGGAAAGCAAGACCCTTTTGCAGACGCAGACGATGAACCCATCCGTGGATCAGCACCCGGGTTTCTCTGTTTTCAGTTCCCTCGCGGATCTTGATGTGCTTCGGCTTCGGAAGCGAAGAGTCAGTGACGAGCACGATCTTCTTTGCATCGTCGAGCTTGCGAGCGTCGTCAGCGGCCTTTTTTGTGGCCGCTTCTTCCGCCGCCTTGAGTTTCTTTGCGAGACCCTCGGCGCCCTTCTTGGCCTTCTTCAGCATTGATGCGGAGATGGGCTCAAAGGGGCCGTCGGCGGCCTTCTTGATGTAGATTGGCGCATCCGGGAAGGTGTAGAGCGCGTAGGCGGGGGTCTTGAAGGGGGATTCCTGGGAGCCGGCGGAGGCAGCGTCGGCGCCGGTTGCGTCGTCGACGAAGGAGGTGCCGGGCGGCGGAGGGGGGATGTCTTTGAGAGAGAGCTGCTCGAGTGCTTCGGCCATTATAGAGAGATAATTGAGGGTGCTGGAGGAAGAAGAGGTGGTTTATCTCGAGACAGAGGAGTAATCCGGTCTTCTATCAGAGTCATCGCAAATAATTATTCTGCTCCGAGCCGCATTTCCGTGCCTGAAACTACTTTGCGGCTGCCGCAGTTCTGAGTCCTGTCACGTGAGTGATAACAGTCACGTGCGCAGAAGCGGATAGGCGCGATTGGCTGCTTTGTGGCGGTGCCGGGGCTGGGGGGTGTTCGGAGGCATTGCGGGCGCGGCGGAGGAGCAATTGGTGTAGAAGTTGCTGGACTGTGATGGGGAGGAGAGGGGGATTCTGACGATGTAGAAATAATGTGTGTACATGGCCGGTTGGGTGCGGGCGAGGAGGGACCTGGATGGAGAGACCAAGGGTGCAGCAGCAGCCACGTCCCACACCGCCGCCGCCATGCGCTTCCACGAGCACCGTGGACGAGGGAGAGCAGTGAGAAAGAAGAGAAGTAGATAGTAGGAATAAGAAGAAGGAGAAGAAGAAGAAGAACAGCATATAAAAGCAATTATAATAGAATAAACACACAGAACCGCTATCTGCCCGTCCTCTCTACAACACCCTTAATCTCCGACCGCGCCGCCCCAGTCGAGACAAAGCCTGTTATCGATTATCCCTCCCGTCTCTCGTCCTTCCTCATAACTGATAAGAAGCAGATGACCTCGGTCCCGCGCGCGAAACATCTCCTCGCGCCCGTCCAGCCTGCAATGAAGCGCACAAAACCGAGCCCGACCCAGGCGCCTCCCGCGTTCGCCTTCCCGGCCTCGCCCACGCTCTCCCAGGCCTTCCTCGCCGACCAGTATGCTCTTCCGTACAGCTCCTACATGGACCTCGCCCAGCTCGTCCACGAGCCTCCCCTCGTCCAGGCCTCCCGCACCGTCTACCTCGGCAACGTGCCCTCCGAGACCACTGCCGAAGAGCTCCTCTCCCACGTCCACTCCGGCCCGGTAGAGTCCGTTCGCATGCTTCCCGAGAAAAACTGCGCTTTCGTCTCCTTCCTCGACGTCGCCTCGGCCTCCCATTTCCACTCGGACGCTATCCTCCGCAAGCTCTCCATTCGCTCCCAGGACATCAAAGTCGGCTGGGGCAAGCCCTCCGCCGTCCCCATGAACGTCGTCCTCGCCGTCCAGCAGTCCGGCGCCAGCAGAAACGTTTATCTCGGAAACCTGCCTGAAGATATCTCCGAGGACGACATCCGCGAGGACCTCGGTCGCTTTGGTGCAATTGACACAATCAAGTTAGTCCGTGAGAAGCCAATCGGCTTTGTTCATTTCTTGTCCATCGCTTCTGCTATAAAAGCTGTTCAGCAGCTTCCGCAGGAGCCAAAGTGGGCCAACCGCAAAGTATTCTACGGCAAAGATAGATGGTCTGTCAATTTTTCTCTTTTATTTTATATTCTCTCAATTGTTCTTTTTCTAACGCTACTCTCCTCCAGTGCCTATGTCTCAAAAACTCAGCAGCAAAACGCTGCCCAATTTCTCGGCATTACTCCCGGTTACGAGCACCTGGTTGCCTCAGCTGACCGCGACGTAATCTCCAACGCGCTCGCGCAACAATCCGCTGCCGCCGCCGCCGTCGCAACCACCGCCGGCGGCATGGCCAACCTCGGAAACCGCACCGTGTACCTGGGCTCGATCCATCCCGAGACCACTATCGAGGAGATTTGCAACGTCATCCGTGGCGGCCTGCTCCATCAGATAAGATACATCCCCGACAAGCACATATGTTTTGTCACCTTTGTCGACCCCACCGCCGCCGCCCAGTTCTTTGCAATGTCAAACGTCCAGGGCCTAATGATCCACTCGCGCCGGCTCAAAATCGGCTGGGGTAAGCACTCCGGCCCACTGCCGACCGCGATCGCGCTCGCCGTCACAGCCGGCGCTTCCCGCAACGTCTACGTCGGCAACATCGACGAGACCTGGACCGAGGACCGGCTCCGCGCCGATTTCTCGGAATACGGCGAAATCGAGCTCGTCAACACGCTCCGCGAGAAATCCTGCGCGTTCGTGAACTTCACAAACATCGCAAACGCAATCAAGGCGATCGAAGGCATCAAGCAAAAGGAAGAGTACCGCAACTTCAAAATCAACTTTGGCAAAGACAGATGCGGAAACGCGCCCAGACCTCTCAACGTCGGCGGCAACCACTCAAATCAGCACTCGCACCACCTCGCCAACGGCGCGGCCGACGACGGTCACCCGTCCCCCGCCGCCGTCGCCGTCGCCCCCGCGGTCGTCGTCGAGGAACCCCCGGTCGTCGTCACTCCCTCACCTCTAGTCGAGATGCCGACCTCAAGCTGAACGCCCGGCTTCTCTGCACCTTTTCCCCGCCTACCTTATCCCCCTCCCTCTCTCTCTCTCTCTTTTTCCAGTTCACATACGCCGTCGCAGCGTGCGTTTCGCTCAGTCTTTTTCTTCCGATAATTTCTGCTTGCTTGCCTTGCTCATCCTGTTTCTCGTTGTTCTTGCCGCCGGATCGCATCTCAAACACCAGTGTTTATTCATGCATCCTCAAGCTTGTTCTCAATAATTTTCCTATAGAATCTACATTCTTCTCAAGCGGTTGACCATGCATATCCTGCCTGATCAATCACGTCGCAAGACTGCGCCTTGAGAGTGTATTTACCTAGACTTTTTTTGTCCTCTTTTGTTTTCAATTGCTTGTATTAGTTCTAATCTTTTTCCTTTTCTCTCTTCTATTTTTGTTATTTTCTGACTTTTTAAATAATCCTGGTTCTTTCTACCTTGTTGTTTTGTTAATGCTGACTAGTCCGCTCCTGAAGTATGTTGTGACGATACTGGAATAAAAAGTTTATCATATGCTATAGAGCAAAGAGCGAAGATTCGTGAAGGGGGAGAGGGGGAGCAGCACAGCTTTGTTTTAGTTTAGGATTACAGCTGGTTCTTATCTGATCATCGTAACGTAAGTCCAAGATGTAGCAATCGTTTATCGAGTACAGGGAGATAATTTTACAGGAAGAAGATAAATTAAACACAAAAACACCAGAGAAGAACCACATCAACGCCCTCGTCCGCCGCGGTAAGAATTACCGCCTCCATGACCGCCCCCGTAGTTTTTTCCATTGTTGTTGTAGTTGTTGTTGTTATAGTTGTTGTAATTGTTGTTGTTGTAGTTGCTGTTGTTGTTGTTGTAGTTGTTGTTATTGTAGTTGCTGCGGTTATTGTTATAGCCGCTGCTGTTATTGTGGTGATTGTAATTGTGATTTCCTCCGTTGTTATTGTGGAAATTGTTTCCCCCACTATTTCCATACCCGCCCCGTCCTCCAGGTCCGTTCCGATTATACGAGCTCCTGGCCGCAAAGAACTCGCCCTCGTCCACCACCTTCGCCTCGGCAACAAACCCCGGCAGCAGCATACTCTTATGCGCCGCCTCATGTTTCGGCGGCATCTGGTAAATCACCGCGATCGCCCGGTTGCGCTGGATGTCGACGTACTTCTTGATCTCCCCGCCGAGCCACTTTGACACAAAGTTCTCGGGACTCTTGTCCACCGGACACCGCACGAATCCGTACGGCTCGTACTTGGGCTCGGGCTTGACCTGGCCTATCAGTCCGCGCGACTGCTTCGGGTGTATCCGCACCTCTTTCTTCTGCTCTTCCTCCGTCTCGGCAGGTTTGCCGTCCGGATACAGTTTCTCGGCTAGTGCTTTGCCGAGCCATGACGAATCCGAGATGAATAGTGCCTGATTGCCGTACGTATTCCGCTCCTGCTCCTCGCCCGTCAAGAGCGGGTATCGCGAGTTGATTGCTTTCAAAAGCCGTTGCTCGTCAATGAACGGGAGCAGTGCGATCGACTTCCATTCCACAGCTTGGCCGTTCATGTCCTGCGCAAAATTCTCCGGGTAAAAGTCGATAATCTCGGAATCCTCGCTCGTCATCAGCTCGCGCAAAATAGGCGGCAAGGTATGTGCCGACGCTGAGGGCATGACACCCATCAGCTGCTCGTACGGCCGGAACGGCTTGCCCATGTCAAACTTAATCTCAAGCTCGCCGATACCAACAAAGTCTGACGCAAAAGGCGCGTAGTGGTAGGGATAGTACCAGGTCCATGACGGACATCCCTGGTAGTAGTAAAGCAGCACCCAGCTCACACCTTCCACATACGACCGCACCATCTCCCGCGCGACTTTCTCTTGCTCCTCCTTTGTCTTTGCGTGCAGCTTCAGCGCGTAGTAGCGGTAATGATACCCGGGTTCCCAGAGCCGGACGTCGTCTCCATCGCCCGTGAGATCGATGCCGTCGCCGTCTTCTAGCACTTCGGTATCGTCAAGAGGAGTATCGTCATCCTCAACGTCTCCTTCGTCGTCAATCTTGATCTTCTTGTCAGCAACGGCAGACTCCGTCTCCTCGTCCTCATCGCCATCGTTAGACTTGCGTTTCAGCGACGGCGACGATTCTCCATCGACACTAGTAGCCACCGTCTCAGTCTCGTCAGTCACAACACTAGCAGACGTCTCTGGCTCGTCAGCCGGCGCGCTTTTCTTCGCAAGCAACTGCGCTTTAAGGAAAGAAGCTGCAGACTTGTTTGCCGCGTTCGCGCTGAACGTCGCAAGGCCCGGCGCCGCCATCGGCGTGATCGTCTTTGTCGTTCCCGGCGCACCCTGCGTGGGCCGCGGGGGCGCGGTGGAACCCATCCCGATCGCAACGCCTTGCGGCGTGAATAATGGGATATCGGTCGGAAGTGCTTTCGGACCAATGTCTACTTGGTTCCGCTTCACTACCGGCGTGGCGTCCTTGGGCGTCGAGGCAGAGGAGTTGTTGCCGCTGTTGTTGTTGTTGTTGTTGTTGTTGTTGTAGTTGTTGTTGTTGTTGTTGTTGTTGTTGCGCTGTCCGTTCCGACCGGCCTGCCTTCGCATTTCGCTGTCGTGTCGCTTCGCAAAAATAGACGCCTCCTCCTGCGCATGGACTTTCAGCAGCAACTCTGTACTCTTGAGATTCACAGACCCGTCGGTAGTAAGGTATCCGCCCATAACAGCAAGATGCATTTTCCACACCCGAATAAGCTTATCGATTCCGTTCTCGCGAATCTCAAGCGACGGGATGTGAGGCAAGAAATCGTTTCCGACAAAGAAAATCATAAACACCCAGTCGTCGATCGCGCGCTCGAGGTCCCATTTGAACGGCAGCGGGCGCACGACCAGGTCCATGGCGAGGTACTCGCGCAGAACGCTCACGCTCAGCCAGATGAATGGTTTCTTCGGCTCGGGCACGTTCGGGTCGATTTCGATCGCGGAGTTTTTGCACTGCGCAACAAAATGCCCGACTTGACCGCATCGAGAGCATTGGTTGGGCTGGGAGTTGTTGAAGACATCTTCGCGCAGGACACGGAAATGCGGTTCGTGCGTCGCAAGACCGAGCATGATGAGATCGGCGTCGAGACCGTAAATCACATGGCTGGTGTTGGGATCGTGGAATGGCGACTGGCGCTGGCTGCGGATGAACTCCATGATCTTGTGTTCACCTTCTCCGGGTACTGACGCGTCCGATATTATAACTTTGAGGTCTTTCCACCCGGGTTCGTTGTTCAGCTTGAACGCGACCCAGTACCGAATTGCCTCCGCGAGCTTATCCATAAAAGGAGTGCCAGGAGTGATAACGTTCGTATCCCACGTCTTCTTCTTTATGCTCTCGTCAATGACCTGGCCCATAGCCTCCATCTGCTCCTGCACGAGCTCCTTCTGCATGTCCTTCAGATGCGCCTCTCGGGCGGACTTAAACCGTCGCGAGCGCTGCTGGTTCATCTTTGCACGCGGTGCAACGCCATCGACGGCGATCATGAGCACTTTCCGCGGCCGCGCCATGTTGACGACCCGGTCGGTGTATTTGAAAATCTCAAGAAACATCTCGTCCTCGGTCGCCGGCGGCGGGCGGTTCTCGGGATGCGAGCAAGGGTGGACGATACCGTTCATGTCAAGGTACAGGTTGTCGGTCTCGCCGTTTGGATTCGGTCGCGAGTAGTCTGCCGGATACGTGACGCCATCGATAACTTGATCCGGTTCTTCGACCACTTTTTGCACAATCTTTGGGTACTTTCGCGAAAGCCATCGGAATAAGGCTGGGACACTATTTACAAAGAATATGTTACTAATGTTGTCTCGAAGATTATATGTGTGTAGTGTAAAGTAGATCAGAAGTTGTGAGGAAAAAGACCCCGCCCGTTTCTTTGTTTGTTTGTTTTGCACTTTTCTTCTTCCATGCTTGCTTTTACAGTGAATAGAATTCGAAAAGAGCAAACAGAAAAAATATGAAGAAAGATATCAAGCGAAAAGAAACAAAATACGAGGCTTTGGTTTCTCCTTCGTCGTAGCGATTAGGAACAGGAGAAAAGCACGAGAAAAGAAAAAATTGCTATATTCTATTCATCCACAAAAACAAGCTCAAAAAAGACAGGAACTTCTTTCCCACAATCTCTCGATCTACTAATAACACAGAATAAATAAAAGAAATCAGAGAGGGAAGATAGCTAACCCCATGTTTAACGATCAGATATAGTCGTATGCAGCTTTTGATGGATATGTATTCCTATATCGCCAAACAGTTAGTCTTGAGCAAGCATAAACGTGTGTGAATAGCAGCTTCAGATCATGATAAAGCTCCTCCGTTCTGTCATCTCGGTTTCGAAACAACAATAATCAGACAAAAATAAAAGGTAGCGTGTTTTTTTCCACATCGAGCCTTTCGCAGATAACTAAATCCACTAAGGTGTCTCGAGCCAAATGCACTCTAGTCATCATATAACATCGGAAGCGGAGCAATATCATGAGTGAAAGAGCTTCAGAGCAAAGGATGTACGTACGTTACCTGGATGCTATAAAGAGCGTGAAGACAGATAAAAGTCGTCCTAAATCGTATTGCCAGCATCCAACTCGACCCAAAAGCCAAGCAGAAAGAAACAGGCAGTATAAAAAAGAAACAGTAAAAGATAACCAGATCACCGGCTCAGTACATTAACGGTTGATGGTTTGCAACTCAATGGTGACCATTGAGGTTGTGATGGCGACGAGGAAAAGGATTTACTCCTGCCACCTGCGCTTTTAAAAGTTTTCTAGAGGACAAAGTTGAAGGAGGTGTTTTTAGGGTTGGTGGTAATTTAAATTAATCTACATAGTTAGTGTTTAGTATATGCACCAGCCCTATCATACCTCTTCATCCTGATAGCATTGCAACGAACGTAGCCAGAAGTTTTGTAGTAAATCCGACCATACCAAAAGCAAAAAAATATCTTTAAATATCAGGCAAATCTGAAGACTTATGATAGGTAAATTTTTCCCAAACAAAAAAATAAAAAAATGGTGACAACCCTGGGATTCGAACCCAGGCCTCCGAAGAGATGAGAACCTTAATCTCACGCCTTAGACCAACTCGGCCAGATTGCCATTTGATACCAGAATTAGTCGTCTGTTCCATCATAAACCCCAAATTCTTGTGCAATATACGGTGTATAGATGCAGTTATTCTCAATTACAGATGAGGTTTGTAACGCAAGAGGAGTGTCTGATCGGTGTGGGATGCAAGAGAAAAAGGAAATGTGTTTCCAGCGGCTGACCGGTATGTTACCAGGGTAGCACTGCGTACGAGAAGGCGTATGGTGTAGGAACAGGGATTAGACGTGCACGCGCGACAGTAACTCAGCGCACATTCTCTGTATCCAGCGCAACAACTTCGATCTGTTTGCCATTTTTAATCAACTATCGCGTGCTTGAGAGCAATTGCTAAGCGTTAGAGTACGACCGGGAACTAGTGTACAACGCTGGACAGACACATACTAGTCATCGAAAACGATGGTTCCTTCTTGGGTATATATCTGCCCTGTCGAAAGCTTAACTATTTGAGGCATAAGGATGATCTAAAATAGACCAGCAGCTCTTTTCTTTTCCCAATGCGTATTTCATAGTTCCCAGAGCGGCGAGGCATTTAAAAAATAATCAGTAAATGAGCACTTTTTCAGCCGTAGCATCCTGCTCGCATCTCGGGTCGCAATGACGTACCCGACAGTCTCCTATTTGCTTCAAGACACGGCGGATTTGCGGCCTTCCGTTCCGTACTCGCTCTGTTTACTTGTTTACTGTTTACCTTCTTCTTCTTTGAATTTGCCATTCCGGGTGTTTGGCGGTTCCGCGAAAACAGGGCGCTGCTGTCAATGCGGTTTTCTATGCAGGGTGGATTTAGCTGCCGCTGGCCTATACACGGCATCAACAGACAATTCACCAACCAGACTGAAAGAGATACCAGATCTCTGCCCGACGAATCATCCATAAATCACAAGAAATATCAAAGATTATGCGGAATACGAAGACGACCTCAAAGAAACGCACGGCAACGGCAATTAATTAAAGAGGTTCTGTATGACAGACAGATTGCGAGATTCAATTAAGAAACGAGCACAATTCTATTTTTAGAGTTTGACGATCTCAACATAAAAAACTCCCGAGAAGAAAAAAAAAGACCACATTTATTAGATTCACTAAATACAAGCAAAAAAACACCTGAATTTTGCCTTAAAACTTTTTACAATATTTTACAATCAATTAGAACTATTCAGCCAACTCCACAACGTATTCTTTTTTCGCAAATCAGCACGCAAACAACTGAGCTTCCTCTATAATATATGTACGAGTGCAGTGATCTGCAACTTTTTGCTATGTAAAACCAGATCTCTCTATGAAACGTGCAAAACCGAGACCATTAGATGATGCAATATGTAGGAAAAAAAGAGTGAAAAAAAGAGAGAAAGTGTGGACAGTTAGGAGATGACAACAATGCGCTCTTCAGCTGGTATACCGCCGTCAAAGAACGGCGCGTAGTTAATCATCTGCACCGAAGCATTCGTCATCTCCTGAGAGCCATCGTTCATGACCCAGACGATATCGCGTCGGGTGAAGTAGTAGGAGTACACACCGTCCTCGACAACCTCGTGTTTCCGCTCCAGGCAGCGCTCGAGGTTTTCGTTGGCACTCGGGCAGATCTCGATGTCGACCGCGTATTTGTCTGGCAGGGGATCGCTGAGGGGCAGGTTTTGCGGGAGAGAGTCGGAAGGGAGTGGGTCGGCGGTAGAGAGATTTGGTGGTTGAGGGAAGCGGATTTCATCGGCCTCGTCCAGTCCGTCGAGACCTTCGTCGAGATCGTAAAGTGACGGCCAGACATCGTCGACGGCGTCCTTGGTGTCAAACACTTCGGTAGCCGAGGTGGCCGAGGATGCAGAAGATTCGAGTACTGTGAATGTTGACTGCGAGGTGCAGGTCGAGTCTGAGGCAGAGGTGGTGTAGGACTCGCAGCGGTGCTTGAAGGAGTGGGAGTGCGAGGAAGCGCTGTCCTCGGATAGAGACGAGACGCTGTGCTTCTTGCGCTGCGGTAGTGTTAGACGGGCCAATTCAGAGACCAGAAAAAGAATGATCAAAACGTACAAGCTTCAGCTTTCCAAAAACGGCAGATAGTTTGTGCATGCTTCTGCTCTTGCGAAGATTCTTTTGAGGGGAGGGAGAAGGAGTGTCCAGGCCGGCAGAGCAGTCGTCGTCAAAGGAAGTAGAAAAGGAAGGGAAGTTGTGGTGATGAAGAGTACGTGAAGAAGCAGCGGCTGACGAAAGATTGTCTTCCCCTTTGGTCTGATTCAGATGGTTGATGTCGACATCCGAGAGCTCGCGGCGCTTACGCAGACGCGCAGAGAGCTTTGGCACGGGCATTGGGATATATAGAAGACAGAGGAGACAAAAGAGGCCACGCGGACGAAAGACGTACGGTACGCAGAGCTGAGACAGAGACACAAAAAGACAGAGAGCAGGCAGATGAGGAAGAGAACGAAGGAGGAGCGTTAGACGGAATTCTTAAACACAGCCGGGATCGTCTGTCGGCCTCGCGCCCGCACGGCTGGCATGAAACTTTTGATATGACAATAAACAGAAAAACCGTAAAAACCTGTTCCAGCGCTCTCTCAGCCGAGCCACGTGGAACCGAGCAGCGAGAAAAAGGCGGCGATGACGAGCAGACTGGCAGGCAATAAACCAGACCGACCAGCCGCGTGCCCGCCCCTTCCCCCGGTCTCCAGCCCCTATGTGGCTGCAGCACGCCGAAAACCACAGAAACAGAATCCTCTGACAAACAGACATTCCCACAAACAGCCCCCGGTCGCGCAGAACAGAACAGATCAGCAGGCTGCGTTGCGAAGGAAATGGGGCATTTAGCCTCAGGAAGGGAAACCTGAGGCTGAGAAGATGCCCATCGAGCCGACCTGCGCTCCCCCAGGGCCCCAATACCAGACCATGCGCTAGTCCCCAAATGGACCAATGTGCTTACCTAAAATCACAGTCATCCACCCGGCGTACTTGGCTTCTCGGCCACGATGTCCAATTTACGTCCAATATAAGTAAAACAGATTACACCTGGATGCTACTTCGCAAGCAAGGTTTGTAAAAGGAAGGTTGTGCTCGCGCTTACAGAGGCCGAGCAGACAGGACAAAAAGAACCCGAGAGACATTTCTTAAAGCTCGGCTGGCTTCGTTATAAACCAACAATATAAGGTGCTCAGGAATTCGATATGCGTAGGGATCTGTTTCAATTAGGGTGCTTTTAGAGGATGTTTCTGTTTAATTTACGTGTTTCTAAATTCCCTTTATGGCTGTTTACCTTCTTCCCATCTATGCCTCCTCCCAACACCTTCTTTATCCGCATAATGAAACCACTTTGTACCAAACATGATCAAAACAGCAAAACAAAAACAATCACAATCACGCCGTTCGCTCAAGAGCCTGCATCTGTACAAGCTCATAGTACTTGCCCTTCTTGGCCAGCAGCTCCTGGTGCGTTCCGCTCTCGCACACCCGGCCCGCGTCAAACACGTAGATCACGTCCGCGCCCTGGATCGTGCTCAGTCGGTGCGCGACCGCGATCGTCGTCCGGCCCTGCGCGGCCGTATCCAGCGCCGCCTGCACGATCTTCTCGGACTCAGAGTCAAGCGCAGAGGTAGCCTCGTCTAGAAGCAGCACCTTTGGCTTACGGATCAGCGCGCGTGCGATCGCAATGCGCTGCTTTTGTCCGCCCGAGAGAAGGATTCCCTTGGCTCCGCACAGGGTATCGTACCCGTCCGGAAGCGACGACACAAAGTCGTGGATATTCGCCTGCTTGGCGGCCTCCACAATGTCCTCCTCCGTCAGCTGCTCGGGATCCGGCGATCCGAGCTTGATGTTGTCCAGAATGCTGCCCGCGTACAACACCGGCTCCTGCTGCACAAAGGCAATGTGGCTTCGGTACTCGTTGATCGACAGGCCTGCGATATCGTGTCCGTCAAGCAGCACCTGTCCCGCCAGAGGCCGGTAGAAAGACTCAATCAACGAGATCGTCGTACTCTTGCCGCACCCAGACATACCCACCAGCGCCGCGTACTGTCCCTTCTTAACCGTCAGGTTCAGTCCGCGCAGAACCGGCACCTGCGACCGCGTCGGGTACCGGAAATGCACGTCACGGAACTCGATATCTCCTTCGACCGTCTCAAGCACCTCGCCGTCTGTCTTCCACGCATCGATCTCGGGCACGCGCTCAAGCAGTCGCGTGATGTTCTCGGCCGCAGAGTGCGCCTTGCCCATATCCGGCGCAAACGAAAACGCAATACCCGCAGACTGCGATCCCATAATCACAGCCACGTACGTGATAAAGAACTGGGTGACAGAGTACTCCCCACTCGCAATAAACCGGCTTCCGTACCAGAACGCGAGCGCCATGATGAAAAACCCAATACCTTCCGACGCACCAAACAAAAACGCAGACTTATGCGTCGCCGGCCGCGAGATCTTGACCTGGTTCTCCAGCGCTTCGTGGTACGCGCGCTGCACGTCGTCCTCGCGCGTGAGTGAGACAACAGTGCGGATCGCGGCCGCGGCCTCACACGCCTGCGCGGCGGACTTGCCATGCGACTTTTTGATCTGCTCCTCGAACCGCGCCTGCACCGCAAAGCGGAAGTATCCGCACGAAATCAGCACGGGGATGCACGCAATGCACACGATCGCAAGCTTAGGAGCCACCGCAAGAGAAAGAATAAGGCCCGTGATCAGGTTGATTGAGCAGTTGAGAATCTGGCCCAGCGTGGCTCCGGACAAGCCCTCGATCGACTGCGCGTCGCGCGACAAGGTCGAAGTCAACGCGCCCGTCGTGTTTTCGTCGCGGTCGAAGAACGCGATATCCTGTCGCAGGATCTGGCGGAACGACTGGAATCGAATACGTCGAATCAGACGCTGCGCGACAAACGCAAGCGAGCTGTTGACGACCACAAACGCAGCGCCTTCGATCAGCGCCAGCACCATAAACATTCCGGCAAGAAGATTTACCGTGTTGCGCATATACCAAATATCGGTCCGTCCAGCCTGGAACGCGTTGATGCAGTATGCGTACAACACAGAGATCGCCGGATACGCCAGACCGTTGACGACCGCACCTCCAAAGCCAATGAAGAGCCACTTGTGCTCCGGCGCTGAGATGTGGAAGACAGACTTGATGAGCTGGCCGAGGGTGTACGTCCGCTCGGCGGGAACTTCGCGGCTTTCAATCGCCAGACTGGAAACCGATCGCGCCGAAGCATTCGTCTTCGTCCGCGCCAGCTTTGCGTCGTCTGCGTCGGCAATCGACGACGACGCGATGTCACCCATCTCGATAGCCGAGTCATCATCTGCATCATTGTGCGCCAAACCCGCCAGCTTCGACTCCTTCAGCTTGTCAATCTTCTGCGCCTCAACAAGGCTCGCATACATTGATTTCTTATCCAACAGCTCGTTATGCGTTCCCATCTCGACGATCTCGCCCTTGGACATGACAACAATCATGTCCGCGTCACGAATAGTCGACAGACGATGCGCAATCACGATCGTCGTGCGGTTCTTCGACGCCCTGTCCAGCGCGTCCTGTACAACACCCTCGCTCTTGGTGTCGAGCGCAGAAGTCGCTTCGTCGAGTAGAAGAATCTTGGGGTTGCTGACGATAGCTCTCGCGATTGCGATCCGCTGCTTCTGGCCTCCCGAGAGCAAAAATCCGCGCTCACCAACGTCGGTGTCAAGACCGGCCGGTAAGTTGTCGATAAACATCATCGCGTTAGCCTGCACGCACGCCTCGGTCACCAACGCACGTTTCTCCTCTTCCGACGCGTTCTCGTACGGAGTGCCGAGTAGACCATAGGCAATATTCTGATAGACCGAGCAAGCAAACAACACCGGCTCCTGCGAGACCAGCGAGATGTGTCGGCGGAGCCACTTCAAATTGAGCGAGTTGATATCATGTCCGTCAAGCGTGATGTTTCCACCTACAGGCTTGTAAAACCGTTCCAGCAAACCAATGATGGTCGACTTTCCCGATCCGCTTGCGCCAACTAGTGCCACAGTCGAACCCGCAGGAACCGAAAGGCTAAAGTTCTGCAGGACGGTAACGTCAGGACGCGAAGGGTAAATGAACCTGATATTCTTCAACTCGATCGCGCCTTCAACGTGGTCAAGCGTCGCGCCCGTGGGCGAGGCCGAGTCGATTGCCGACTCGCGGTCGATGGTGGCAAAGATCTTGGATGCGGCAGCAACGGCGTTGGTGACGTACTTGATGTTGGGGGCGATCGAGGACGAGTTGAAGGAGCACATCATCATCGACATCAGGACTGAGATCACGTTGGCGACCTCGAGTTCGCCACTGGCGATGTAACGGGAGCCTTGCCAGAACGAGAGGGCGTAGTTGCAGTAAACTGCAAACCACATGAATGCAATCATTCCGCCCTAGATATAAAATATAAACCGAGGTCAGCAGGAGAAAAAAAAAGAACAATCGCGTGGTGATAGGCAACTTACCAGCGCAAATCCGGCCTTAAGACCCCACTTTTCGGTAATGGCCAGATACTTGTCGTACTGAAGCGCGAGTCTCTCCTGCACTCCAAACGCCTGGACGTTGCGAACCGAAGAAATGACCTCCTCGGCCAACGTTCCGCCGACAGAGTATCCCCCGAGCGACAGACGGAAGTACTTGACCATCAGCTTTGTAATCACAGACATGACCATCGTGATGGCAAACAGCACAGACAGGAGAATGAGCGTGAGCTTGTACGAACGAATCATGGCCACCAAGATGGCGACGACGAAGGTCGACAGATTCTGCAGCATGTGCCCGACTTTGTCCGACATTCCTTCCTGCACGATGATTGTGTCGGCCGAGATGCGCGTCGTGATCTCACCAGAGCCGAGTTTGTCAAAGTACGCGATGTTTTGACGGAGTGTCGCGCTCAGGTAGTGCTCGCGGATGCGGCCGGAGAGGATTTCGCCGCGGTCCATGAGGAGGAAGGTGGAGAGGTAAGTCGAGGTGAGTGACAATATTCCAATATACACAAAGTATCTAGTACATAAAATTATCAGACTGTGGTCAAAGTAATCAGCAGTAGTAATACTTACAAAGAAAGAGTGCTAATCCGCTGGCTATAATCCTGAGGGACCATGTAGTCGTAATCCGACGTCGAGTTATAAGTCGAGTTGTAGTAAGAGTTCTCGTAGTAGTGAGTAGTGTTTGAGTACTCATAGTCGGTCGAGTTGTAGTATCCCATCATCATCGCGCGAGGGCCAACTTCTGTAAACGTCTGCGCGACATTACCAAAAACGATCTGCACAACATCAAAAATCAGCACGCAAGAACAGGAAACAAACAAGTAGTATAATAGGACTCACGGTCATCAAAGGACGCATGGCACCCGAGATAATAGAAGCAATAAGCGCGACAAGCATAATCATCTTATCCTTCCTGTCCGCATATCTAAACAGCGTGAAAAAAGTCGCCTTGATCGTCGGCACCTCGACCTGCTTGCGCAGAATATCCGCGTCATGCTCAGGCAGGAAGGCAAACTCATCCGCGGTCGTCGCGAGATCGACCTCTGTCTGCTTCCCACCCGGTGCAGATTTCAGCGGAGTCTTCTCGTTCACGACGGCCGCGTCGTCTGAGCTGCCGTCCTCCGAGGCGTAGCCTGCTTTTTCATCAATCGAGCTGCTGCTGCTGCTGCTTCCGGACGAGCCTTCAGAGACCGAAGACGCTGTTTTCGGCTTGCGGGAGAAGAGTCCCTTTGCCATGATCTCTATAGCAAAAGTGCAGAGAAATGGTTACGATCTGCGGTGATGACAGACGTGGGTGAACAGCAACAAGAGCGAGCGCGCAGGAGAAATAGACGGCCACCCAAAGAATGAGCCGTTTTGAGATTGTCGATAAGAGCAAACTCCAGAGAATCCAAAAACCCAAAAGCTAATGTGTAAACCTTAACCAAGCCTATCGCGACACTGTTCTGGGTCCGGAGTCCGTAATCTGCGCAGCTGCTGTTTGTGCGGGAACAGGCCGTGGCCGGTGCTCCAAAGGCGGGGTGGAACAAAAACCAGAATAGTGAGAGGCAGATGCACGTGCCATTTTATTGTCTGAACGTGGTCTGCGCAAGGCTGACGAGCTGTCGCGCTGTCGGGCTGACTCGATACTATACTCTTTTGGCGCGAGAGGAAGAGCGGGGGATTGTAGAGCGGAGAAGGCGGAAGAAAGGCGGATGAGTGAATATCAGGGTCGGATTGCGACCTGGTGCTCATATCGCTGTGGCCGACTACGAACCAGTAATGAACAGAAGCGAACTGTTCTCTGCACGGTGGACGTGCGATAAGAAACCACGACTGTGCTCAGCAGAACCGCAAACTATAAAAGAATGTCTCCAGTATGACTTAATTCAGACCAAACCAAACAAAAAAAGGGAGATAAACGAATGAAAAGAAAAAATGCTACGCCAGACAATCAAATGAAAAAAATACACAAAAAAATAACAAAAAGAAAAGACACGACGGTTTCCAAAGTGTGTGGCATCATAAAGTAAAATGAAACGCCATCCTTCTCTCAATAAAAAAAGGACAAAAGACCGGCTCAATTAATTCAATCACATCATAATAGCTCAATGGTCATAGTCAGAGTCAGCCGTATCGTTTCTACTCTTCTCCTCGATCTATGAATCGCACACCTCCTGCTCGCTCGCTGTTCTGTTTATGTACACCGAGACCTCATGGCCTCGTATATTGCTTCAATCCCGCATTATAGCTGTATGGTACAATGATGTTCTTTTGAGCGTTATTTTAGTAACCCTCGTTTTCGTGGAAATGCATCCTACAATTGCAAACCCGTCAGTAAACGCTCACACTCTGCACCACCTTAAACGTAAGAACTTACCTTGCTTGAGTGATACTCTTCTCCACAAACTTATCCCACCGATGCGACGCCCGCTTCAGTGCCTCTTTCCGCAACTCCTGATCCACCGTCTTGATACTAACATCATACACCCCGCTCACAGGCCTATGATCAGACACCCGCACGTCGTGCGTCCGGTACTCCACCGGCGTGATCTTGCCTGGCCCGCGGTAATAAATCCGGTCGCACCACGCCGGCGTGCGCTTCTTCTCGCTCGTGTCGTAGTTGTCTGTTCCGACGTCGTACTTGTACGTCGGCTTAAACGTAATCGGACTCTCGCTGAACGGACGCAGACGGAATCCCGGGTTACGCTTCAACTGCGTCAGAAGCTGGTCAAATTCCAAGAGCTTGTCGATCTCGCCTTTTTCAAGCAGTTTCATCACCGGTCCGCGCTGCAGATTAATCCGGTAATTCATATCCCCGTTCATAAAACAAATCTCATGATCAAGAATCATCGTCCCGTCTCCGCCGCCAACAAAGATATCCGCCGCTGACTCGGTACTGCCCATCCTCGGGCTCGGAATCTTCGACTCCATAATGTGCGCAACGTCGTTGTTCCGCGGAATTATGTGCGATTGTCCCGCCGCGAGATGGCAGTTTACAAAACACAGCGAAGTATCATCGAGCGTGAACCGCAGAATGATCGCACCCTTGTTGCCGTGCAGGCCACCGAGACCGGTCTTCACCGTCGACGACGTAAGGTTACCAATATAAGCGCGCTCCGACTCCTTCACAAACACACAGGAGTACAACCCAACCAGGTTTTCGGACCGCAAAAGAGTGTAAGACGACGAGAGCGCGCGGACAATCTCCTCGAGCCGCGTCTGCCAGGCTTGATACTGATGTGACATATGCTGCTGTATGTTGTCCTTGTCCTTGTGCTTTTTCTTCTTGAAGATACTCTCTGAAAGGAAATGTCAGTTTCCAATCTTCTTTAATAACTTCTCACAGTACTTACTCGCAGTAACAGTCTTATTATCAAGCTCAACCAGCTCCTGGAATCCAAACACAATTATCTCAGGATCATCCGCAGTAGCAAGCAGTCGTTTCAAAAACTTTGAATCAGTCGAAGTATTCTGCAAATCCGACGGCTTGGCCGCGCCCACGTTCCACGTACAGATCAATGCCCTCACGACTCTTAACGAGCAAAACTCGGCATCGTGCTCCTGCATATTGCGCTCGAGCCAGTCGTGCTTCAGCATCCCGTCCCAGACGGTCAGAACATTGTCCGAAGGCGTCATCGTCACGACCGGTAGCGCCCGCATCTTGAAGATCGACGAACGGTCGACTACAATGTTCATCACCGGACCTTCGTGCGCTTTCCAGTCCTTGAGCACAGTCCACGGATGTTGGCTCACGTCATAGACGTAAACCATACCGGTCCGAAACCCAACCCAGAGTAAGCTCCCGACGCCGGAAATCGCAGTGACCTTGTAGATCGAGATACTGACGACATCAACACAGGTCATCTTCGTCACAGAGTACACCGACACCTTACCGTCGTCATGACCGAAATACACATGCTCTGGATCCTTCACAAGCGTAGTCGCGCACGTAATCTCACCCACCGCCTTCGTTGCCACGATCGGTCTCGAGAGCGCAAACTGTGTCTGCTCGGGCGCAGCGCTCGGTTTGAAAACCGACACCGTCTTATTCCTCCCGACCCAGAGCGTATCTTTTAGTACGATTGCAGCCTGAGGCTGGCCGGGTCCGCGCTGCGTCTTGGGCGTTCCGTTCAGATTTGGCAGTCCGCCATTCGTGGCGTCTGGCCCCCAAACTTGAACTCGACCGTCATCGTCCATGGTCCACATCTCAAATCCGCATCTGTAAATGCCTTTGATTGTAGAATTGTGCACACCAAGCCTCTTACTAGTCACGCGCATCACGCTGAGATCTCCTTCGAGCAGACCGCCTTCTTTCGTGCCCATCCACACATAGCGTCCTTCTTCTTCCAAGTTTCGCGACGGCTTGAAGCCCATGGCCGTGACCTTGAAGCCTTCATGCGCAATGATGCCGACACACGTGCCAGAGCTGACACTCCACACCTTCGTCACAGTGCCAGAGGTGCATATATACTCTCCCGAAATGCAAAACATTCGCACATCGTACTTGCAGCTGATCTCGTGCGGCATCGAGCGCGTGATTGGCGGCCGCCGGTTCGCCCGCGACGAGTCGGGGTACTCGGCCATCCGCTCGGTTTCCTCAGCCGGCGGCATCATATTATCGTCTGAGTCGTCCTCCATCATCTCTGGCATTGCGTGGGCTTCCGCATAACTGTCGTCGTCGCCGCTTATCGGCAGGCTTACGGTCGAAACTGACGGGATCGAGGCGTGCGATATATATGGCTGCTGCATCTGGACTGTAGGTTGGCTGCTCACGGATGTCGGTGGCATCACGGGAATAGGAGTGCTGCTGCTCTGGTATGTCGTTGGCGCGTGATAATTCTGCTGTTGGACAGGAACCGCCGATCTCTGCGGCGGCGCCGGGGGGAAGTAGGAGGTGGCTTGGACGCTATGTATCGCATTAGGTGTGTTGACAGGCTGGTAAGCTGTCAGATTCAGATGCGAGGGCATAGACTGTGTTGCCTGGGGAAGCTGATAAATCGATTGTTGCTCCTGCGGCGGTTGTGGCACTTGCCGCTGTTGCTGTTGCTGTAATATTGGCTGTGGTATTGGCTGTGGTTGTGGTAGTTGTTGCTGCTGTACCGGCTGTGGTATATAAGTAGCTGGAACTACAGCACTTATAGGTGGAGGCAGCTGCGGCACCTCAACCGCAGAAGAAGATCGCACGAGTCGTGAAGGAGAATTGCTTCTTCCTCTAGCCGGAAGCTGAGGCGGTATCTTCGACCCCGGAAACTCACCCATAGTCTGCGGAACATCAAACGCCGTCGCTCTCTCCCCCCAATTTCCCGCATTACTAGCATTGCCAGGTGCAGGTGCCGAAGCTGGAAATGTCGATATGGCACTGTCGATCGAAGATAAATTCGGAAGGCTTGCTGGCGATTTACTTCGACTCCGCGGGGGCAGTTGCGGTACTATCTTAACGTGCTCGTCACCGGTCCGTAGAAGGTCAAATGACCGTCTTTCAGCAGACACGATCGAAATCGGTCCCGAGGAAATTGGCACCGACGCGATCGTCTGCGGCACCGCCGGTGCTGCCGTCGCAGATCGCGGAGGAAGCTGCGGCGGCGGATTCGGGAACTTGCTAGGCGCTACCGGCTTCGGATGTTGCATGATTTCAGCCGGTTGCACCGGTGCATCGTTTGGCGGAACGCGCGGAGCGGTGGGGAGTGGTGGGCGCCAGGGAAGTTCGGGAACCGCCTGTGCGGCTACTGCAGGTGCAGGAGTAGGCTGTATAGCGGGAGGTGCAGGAGGTTGGATGATTGTATGTGACTGGGGTTGTACGGCGACTGGGGCGGGGTGGGGTGGTGGTATATAAGGCTGCGGGGTTGGTTGAGTCTCGAGGGTGTCGGCCGGTTGCTGATGAGGTGCTGTAGTTGTAGTCGTCGCAGAAGAAGGAGGTACATATGGAGCAGGTGTCACTAATGGTGTAGTACTCCACGATTTCTCGGAAGGAGGAAGGGGAGGGGGGGCGGCAATAGATGAAGCAGCTGTAGTAGGTAATGTCTCGATGGTCGTACTCGCAGAGTCCTTCATCTGCCGAGATCTCGACGACGGGGGTGATCCGGGCACCCGCAACACCGAGACTGACTGCGCATCAGTCTGCGAAGACTGGGACTGGCTGTTAAACAAGGGAACTTTCTGGGAGGACTTCAAAGCTGGCATTGGCGGTCTGGGCTTGCGCGATGGAGAAGACGCGCCGATGTCGAGCTCGGCATCTGATAGTGACCTCGAGTGTGCATGGGGCGGCTGTTGAGGTTGTAAAGCGTCCGGATCTATACTTGCGACCTGCAGGATTCACTGATTAGTATACTAATTCAAAGGACTGAATGACAGAAAACAAAGAGCTCACCTTGAGTGGAGATGGTGATCTCGGTTTCGGAGCGACAGGAGGATGCGGTAGATTAGCTCGAGAGCTACGCACAGACGACGACGACGGCGACGTCTGCTTCGTCCCTGTAACAACAATCCCAGGCACTTCTAAACTCGCTCCATTGTGTGGACTACTGTCGCGAGGAGGCGATTGCGACCGGGCGGGTGTGCTGGCGGAGGATGAGAGCGTAATCAGCTGGGACTTTGGCGGGACTGCTGGTTGCTGAGAGTGTGCGCGTCCTGGGCCTGGTTTCGGGGGACTTGTAGTACTGCTATCCTGTGGCTTCAGAGAAGGCGGCTGCTTGTCGGGTTTAGAAGCCAGAGGGTGCTGTTGTTGACTGGCATTGGCACCAGCGGCAGCAACGACAACAGGATGCTCCTGTCTCGATGATCTGTCGCTGCTCTGATCCCGCTTCGGCCCAGTTTCCTGCTGCTGCTGCGCCGATCCAGAAAGTTGCTCCCATCGCGACCTGATCGATCCTACAGACGGAAACGCCGTTGGCTCTTCCGGCTGCTGCTGCTGCTGCTGCTGCTGCTCACCGTCGGACGCCATGAGAGCAGGTCGTACAGTGGCAGCTGCACGATAAACCGACTGAGCAGCACGGACGTGCTAAGAAACCAAAACAAACAAAAGGGAAAAAAGCGCCAACGCAAAGGCTCTCCTAGGAGATGGGATCTGTGTAGCTGTATGAAGTGGGGTGCGGGATGGAGAGGAAGATGAGATGGGGAAGGTGTTTTGGAACGGGCCGGTCGGCGGACGAAGGTTGTTCGAGTGTTCTCAAAACGGAGTTTTGTTTAATCTTAATTAAACCCGCACTCGACGCGCAATAACTACATAAAGGAAGTTTAATACTCTACCAGTCCTGTTGCTTACCACTGATTTTGTAATTGCTTTCTACAGTTTGTATATTTGCAGCCGATGTAATCAATTTTTGTTTTAATTTCTACCTTTTGATACTGTATCCTGGAAAATGTTCGCGTGTCGTCTCATACCCCTCATCGCTGCCAGCATCGCGACTCACCGGCCCGTCCCATCGCATTTCAAACAAAACTTTGTACATATAAAAAAGAAATTTTCTAGAGCAGTGATTTTAAAACACGCTCAATGCCAAAATGCAAGATACACAGGCAGCTGCTACTGTGCTCAGTTTGACAGCGCCCGCAGAAGATGCTGCCGACTCGGCAGTACTGGAGGGCGAGCTCGACGATGACGCCGAGGACGACGCCGAGGATCCGCGGGTAGACGTCGACGAAGACGATGATGCAGAGGCTGTCGATGCCAAACTAGAGGAAGACGAGAGGGTGCTTAGACTCGAAGATACAGCTGTTGCGGAAGAGTCTGAGAAGGACGATGAGCGGGTCGTGCTGCTTCGGACGCTCGTCGTGTGAGATGAAGAAAGGGCAGAAGAGGAGGAGTCGTGGGCGGAGGTTGTGAAGCTCGAAGATGCATCGGTTGTGCTTGTGATTGTAGAACTGGGGCTAATAGAGGAGGATGAGGATGTGATTGTAGACGAGGACACTTCGGAAGATGAACTCTCTGTGGAAGAAGCGACAGAGGACGAGCTCGCGGTTGAGGAAACAACAGACGACGAGCTCTCAGTTGACGAAACGACAGAGGATGAGCTCGCAGTCGAAGAAACCTCAGATGACGAGCTCGCGGTCGAAGACACATGCGAAGTCGAAGCAACAGAAGTGGCAGAGGAAGAAGATGAAGATGTACTGCTCTCATATGCAGCTGTGGTAGTCGACGCGAACGATGCAGCCGACGAATCGTCGTAGTAATCAGTTCCACCGGAGCCCTTCTCCGCCAGACCAACGCGGTACGCGTCACGATCAAACACAACATATACAGACTGCATAAAGACAGAGCCCAAGACCCAGGTCGTTGTGCCATTGACCTCCTGCGCCTGAATATTAGTCAGGCACCAATCGTCATCGTCGTCGTATACGCCTCCCAAGTACTGGTCGGGCGAGATGGTCCAGTTTTTAGAACCGATGGTGATTTCAAGCGTCGTAGTCGTGTTGCAGAGAAGCACGTAACTCGAGCCATCAGTGAGAACATTAGCCCCACCAGGTGTCGCAAGTGCTTGGTGCACGGTATCGGCGTCGTCGGAGGGAAGGAGCATCAATGTCGTGCCGGAGTCGATGAGAGCAAGTTTGTCGGTAAATCCCAACGCCTCGTCATCGACTACGCAGTCCTCAAGAGGTACGAGCCACAGTCCGCTCGTCTGAATGATGTCGACAAAATCAATCTCGCCGGCGAAACGAGAGGTATCCACACCTCCGAAAGTCAGTCTACCGACTGAGGAGTCATCGCCAATATCGATCTAATAGACACATGTTAGCCCAGAATGCTCTAAATGATGCAAGCGCAGATACTTACTGCAAACACCTCGCGAGAGATCAGTCCTTGACTGCTCAACTCTGAAACCACAGAGGGATAACCGTTGATTTGAGTGTCCTGACTAGCGAGTCCAAAAATTCCTATAGCAATGATCAGCATTTTATTTTAAGGTAGCAAGAATTCTAGATGAGGACTCACCATCAATAGGAAAATCATCAAACGAATCAGCAACGTCCTCAGCCGAGCCAAAGCCCAGACTAAGATTATACCCGGCAAAGGAGACATAGTCCACCGCCGAAACTCCCGAGACATCTCCCTGTCCATATGAGATCTGGAAGCTATCGGATTCGTTGATCTGTAACGTGCTCGAATCTGCAGTTCCGAGCTGGTTGTGGTCAGTGCAGCTGGTATTGGTGCATGCGTCGCCGTAGACCCACAAATCGTACGATCCGGTGTCGACGACTACTGTGAACTCGGTCGAGTCGGTGCCAAATATGATGGAGATGTAGTATGACACTTGTGACTCGTTGTGGTCGATGTTCTCAGAATACTTGATGCTGGCCTTCTTGACAGTTCCCTGCTGGCGGTCGGATCGTCTTTCAAGATCATCCACCTTCTTAACAGTACCCTGTTGACGGTCGGATCTCTTTTCAACATCAGTGACACTGTCCTTCTTGACAGTTCCCTGCTGGCGGTCAGATCGCTTTTCAACATCAGTGACGCTGTCCTTCTTAACAGTGCCCTGCTGACGATCGGATCTCTTTTCGATATCGGTGACGCTGTCCTTCTTGACGGTGCCCTGCTGGCGATCAGATCGTCGTTCAAGATCATCCGCCTTCTTGACGGTGCCCTGCTGGCGGTCGGATCTTTTCTCGAGGTCGTCCACCTTTTTGACGGTTCCCTGCTGGCGGTCAGATCGCTTTTCAACATCAGTGACACTGTCCTTCTTGACAGTTCCCTGCTGGCGGTCAGATCGCTTTTCAACATCAGTGACACTGTCCTTCTTGACGGTGCCCTGCTGACGATCGGATCTCTTTTCGATATCGGTGACACTGTCCTTCTTGACGGTGCCCTGCTGGCGATCAGATCGTCGTTCAAGATCATCCGCCTTCTTGACGGTGCCCTGCTGGCGGTCAGATCGCTTTTCTACATCAGTGACACTATCCTTCTTAACAGTCCCCTGCTGGCGATCACTCCTCTTCTCAAGCTCCTCATCCGAAACATCCGACGATCGATCCAGAAGCTTTCGGGATTCACCACCGGCAGGCAAGAACCTAACGTTCAACTCGCTCTCGAATTTCTTTGCATACAAATCAACCGAGACCAAACCTGCGTCTGCCCCCGAAACTGGTCGTAGCTGTGTCAAGGAGATCAGAAGAGCGGAGGTGGAAAGTAAGCTGAGGATCCGCATTGTTGTTTTTTTTTTGTCGTCCGCTGTGGTGTGGAGTGGTGCTGATGTTTTTTGTTTGTTGATTTTGCGGGAACGAAGAATGCGGAAGTGATCACGCTGTGCTGTCTTCTTTTCTCTCTCCTATGCCAATGCAATTCTCTATGCTCTATCAACAAAAATAAATAGCAAAAACGAACGATGGAGGGAAGGAAAGAAAGAGGAGAAAGAGCGACGACAGCGAGAGCAGAGATCTAGGTCCAAGCCGGCGAGAAGGGGATTGCCCGGTAACGAGTGGTGTTCAAGAACTCTTAAATTGATTTTAGACTTTAAAGGTAGAACTAGTCCCGAACCTTAATCTGCTCAGTGGGCCCAGAAGGAGACCTTGAAAAAGCAAAAAGGCGCATAGAATTCCTGGAGTCTGCGCTGTTGGATTCGCTGTTCAAAGCAGCTGGTTTTGTCGTAGAGACTGTCGATGGCGAGAAGAAAGGGATCGGATGCGAAACGGGAACGAAGGGAACTAGTTTCAGCCCCGGGATCTGCGGGAGTTTTCAGCTGAGAACCTGGGGGGGGGGGGGGGGGGGGGGGGGGGGCGTAGAGCTACGAGCTATCTGTGATCCGGAAGTGATCTCTACTGAGCGCACGAGATAAGACGGGTGGTGAGCAGCGAGATCGAACGAGAGGCTTGCGTGGACTCTGTGAACAAGGAGTAAGGGAGGAGGAAGCAATTGGCAGGAAGTAAACAAAACAAAACAAACAAAGCAAAGCGGTACCGAGATTCATAAGGACCGGTGTTCAGTGTGACGATCAGCTTCCGTACGCTGTACGCAAAGGCAGGTTTACATTCACAGTGGTCTTTCCTGGGATCTGCCCATCACATCATAACAACCCGCGATCTGGTATGAGGAATGACTACCAAACAGCACAATCTCTCAGATAATAGCAGAAGCTGTATGTTTTGTTGATCACCGGCGTATCCAAATACTCCATCAAGATCAACATGGATTTAATCAACGTATATATTACACAACCTACCCGCCGAATATACGCACTATTTATCCAACATAGGGACTTGGCACAATAGCCAGTAACAAACGCCGAGCACACCGCAAATAGCATCAATTACCAAAAATCTTTTCTTCTTTCTAAATATATGCAAGTTGGTTATACGACGTATAGCACTCGAAATGCAAAAATAATAGAATGAAGCCCGTGCCGGCTCTGTTCTGATTCATAGATACACGCATTCATGCAATTCTGACAACAACAACAAAACACTGAAAAATAGAGAATAATTATAAAAATTATGGTTTCTTATGATTCATGCGAATAGATGTAACTATCAACATAATTGCAAAAACAGAAAGAATAGCAGATCAAGTCTTCATAAATATAAAAATAAAACAAGTCGTAAATCATCTAAACACCACCTTTTCGAAGCAAAAAAACAGCAATGAAGAAAAAAGAATTAAAGAGCAAGAACAATTACCAATCAAAGACAAAAAATCAGAGAAATATAGGTAGATATACGAGAAACCTGGAAAGATATACAATAGAAGTCTAATGCGTCCCCTCGCCCTTGCCAGATAGGATTTCAGGGATCAAAGATCAAAGGAATCGAAGCGCTGGATGTCACCCCACTCGTTTTTCGGCCTCATGACTCCATTTTGTAGAGGCATTTGACCTTGCTGCTGCTGCTGTTGTTGTTGCTGCTGCTGCTGTTGCTGCTGCTGCTGTTGCTGCTGCTGCTGTTGCTGCTGCTGTTGGACTTGTTGCTGCTGCTGTTGTTGGACTTGCTGCTGCTGCTGCGAAGCATCTGGCATATGATTACCCATAGGCATATTCATTGACCGAGAATTGATAGGCGGAATAACATACCCCGCCCCCGACCCGATCCCACTACTCCGCTGATACTGCGGTGCCGTCTGCGGATAATATCCCTGCGCCGACAATCCCGTAGGCCGATCGCGCACCAGCGACGACCCCGAAGCTCCCGACGCCGAAGCGAAAAGAGATGTCATCTCGTTATAGTGCTGCGCCTGCGTTCGGTACGGTGGGTATGGCTGAGTCGGAGTCGGATTGAACGAATACGTCGCCGGGGCGTAGAGGCTTGCGTACTGGTTGCCCGGCTGGGACTGCAAGGGCGTTGAGTACGGAATTGGCACGGGTTGCGTGTATTGCGAGACTGGCACGCCAATCAATGACGACGGACCGCTCAGCGGTAGAGTCTCGACAGGCGGCGACTGCGAGGAAGAAAACAGCGAGTCAAAGCAAAAGCCGGAGCGGCGGAAGTTTGTCAGGTTGATGTAGTTTTCAATCTCAAACATGTGGTGGTCGGATGAGGAGGAAGAGGACGTGCCCAGGGCGTCGTTAGTCGCGTTGCCGCTGCTATCGCTCGCGTTTTTGAGCGCTCCAGATAACCCGGTATCAAACGCTGAAAGAAGCGGGAGAGGCGGCGTCGAATGCGCAGGCATTCCTGGTTCCATGTCTGCCGCGGCATCTGCCTCCGTCGACGTCTCGCCGACCTCGTAACCATACCGCTGCACAAGCCGGTGACGCGCGTCGTGCATGTACTGGATCTCGGCGTCCATGTCGAAGTCATCGAGAGGATCCTCGATCGCGTGCTCGACGCTGTTTTCGTCGTCTGATATGTTATCGGAGGCGAACATGCCAGGGTTTCCGGGGTCAGATGATGCGGACTGCTGTTGTTGTTGCTGCTGCTGCTGCTGTTGTTGTTGTTGCTGTTGCTGTTGCTGCTGTTGTTGCTGCTGTTCGCCGTGCTCGGCCAAGTAAAACATGCGACACTGCAGCATCCCCAAAATGACCTCAGACTTGATATTACTCCTCAGATTTGCATCAATCCAATCCAGCGTACCATGCACGCGCGAAAGTCGCATATTCGTGCCCCTGATCTCATAAATCCTCTTCGCCAACCGCGGCAGAATCGACGACTCCGCGCCACCGTCCGCAGCCATGCTCGCGTGCCCGTAGCTGCTCTTGGCCGAGTCGCAGATATCAGCCCAGTACTGCAACGGCCCGTTCCCAGACGACGAGTGCGGCCCGATGTCGTCGATCGACCGGCCGTAGATATCGACGCGGTGCCGGAACTTGGCGAGGTCTTCGTACAGCAGCGCGTTGTACTGCTGCTGCGTCTGCGACTCCTGCTGCGACTGCGGCGTGTGGTACGAAAAATCGGCCACGGTCGACATTTGGGTGTAGAGCTCGTTGACGACGCGCGAGCGCTGCTCTTGGGATTTTATCAGCACCTCGTGGAGTGCCATCACGGGGTGTACGAAGAGCGCTAGCGTCAGTGCCGAGGCGGCGCGGAACGAGGCCTTGAGCTGCTGCGAGCACCGCAAGTTTGCTCGGTTTACAATGTGGTCGCGGAAATCGATCGGGATGCACGGCGCGTTATTCGTACTCTGGCCGCTCAGCGAGGGTTGCTCGGAGGTAGGCGCGACCGTGAAGAGGTCGTGGAAGTAGACCGCCAAGGCAGCCCAGCAGATCGAGACGTCGGCGAGCGTGGCGGCTGGAGAGTTGATGCAGGCGACTGTCTCGTGCAGAGGTTTGAAAACGGCGATTACTATATCGAGCTTTGAGAGAAATTCCCGATGCGCCCAGCTGTCGGGCGAGAGAACGTCAATCACCTGTTGCCTGTTGACTGTAGCAGATGAGTGGTGTTAGTATGACGAGGAAGAGGAAAGAGAACGGAATGAGGAGAATGCATACTTGATTTGTCAAGCTTTGACTGGTCTGAGCTGACGACCTCGACAAGGGCCGGCATACATCGCTGCATACTGACGGCGGCTTCATACAGCGAGATCGGTTCGTTTGGCAGAAACGGCCGCAGTCCGTCTGTGATGTGCAGGTTGTTCATGTGCAAAGTGAGCAATCTCTCGGCCAGACTCGAGCGGTGGAAGTAGCCAAAGATCATGAGCATCGTCCGGATGACGTTGTCGACGAGTTGGTGACGACACAGATCGACGGCCAGTTTCTCGAAAAAATGGTCGAGCGGGTCGAGCGCGAGTAGGTGCGGGTAGCGGGAGGCTACGAGGGCGCGGATCTCGCCGTAGAGACCTTTGGCGGGGCATATGAGGGCAGCTACTTTTTTGTCGCCGATGGAGTCTATGCTTGTGGACAAGAGCGAGGCAAAGACCTCAGCGGAGGGCGGCTGGTCCGGGAACTCGTGGCCGGCATAGCAGTATGTGGTTCCGAGAGAGGTGGTGGCGTAGATAAGGAAGAAGGTCTGGTCAAAGACGGTGGTGAGGATGTCGAATGAGAGCGTGAGACTGTCTGGGTTCTGCCGCAGCGAGGTCGAGACTTTTGAGCGGACGGACTCGATTTCGTTGGGAAGTAGGGTCTTGAAAAGCAAGCCTTTGGACGGAAGAGCAAAGGAGGGGGCAGCGTATTGGAAGAAACGCAGGGTGAAGGGGTTGGAGAGGAACGAGGAGGGAACGGGACTGGTGATGATTGATTCGATGAGCAAGGTCTCAAACATTTTCTGGTCCTGGACCGAGTTTCTGTGTTTCTCAACCTTGAGCCGTCGGCCAGATTCGGCGTCGTTATTGTTTTTGAGCGTGACTTCTTGCGCGAGCTAGAGTGCTGTTAGCTATAGTTCTGAGAAGGCAAGAAGGACGAAGACGAACGTACGCGCATGCGCATGTCGGCGGGCATGCCTCTGCAATCGAGGCCATGCTTTTTGACGCGGTAGGGATTGTAGTGAGCCCATGTTGCTTGGCAGTAGTTGCAGCGGAAGATGGGAGGCGCGTTTGGGCGCTTGACTTCGTGGGCGATGGAGTCTGCTACGGAGTCGCGGGGACGGCCGGCTTTTCGCTTGGGGAGGGAGGAGGGGTGGGGTTTTTGGTTGGTCTTTTGCTGCTGCTGTTGTTGTTGCTGTTGCTGCTGTTGCTGCTGCTGTTGCTGCTGTTGCTGGAGTTGTTGATGCTGCTGGTGAAGGGGAAGGGAGATGGAGGAGCCAGGGAGAGAGTGGGTGTATGCCGAGTCCGCAGGCGGAGGGGGGACGTATGCAGAGGAGGGAAAGGCCTGGGAGGGGTCGGAGAAGGCGGGCTGGAGGAGGGGCGCAGGGGGCCTCAGCTGGAGGGTGGAGGCAGCCAGAGGCGGACGAGGGAGGTGGGGGAGGCCCTGGATTTCCGCATCCATAGGCGTGGGGAGCGAGTGCAGAGAGGAGGTGGGAGTGGGAGTGGGCGAAAGAGCAGGAAGAAGAAGAAGAGAAGAAGAAGCAGGAGGCGGAGAGGAGGAGATTCACATGATTCCCTCGAAGCCGACGCCAGAACCGAACCAAAAAAGCACAGAAACCAAAGCCGTTGCCGCCCAAAACAAGAAAAAACCTGGAATCCGAGTGAGGAAGGACGCGCCCGAGCAACGCGTGGAGCGAGACATCAGCTCACTTTGACTTTTACCCCTGCATAATTTATAGTGTTTTGTGTGACTTATGCTGTGCGGCGTACCTGTCAGTGTGTAGTGGAGGGGAAAGTACCGGTGGGAGTGGTAGTGGATCTGGGTATTTGGGTACCCAGCACACGGAAATAATCGGGTGATGTGGCAAAGTCGGACGGAACCCAGCCACAGGAATAATAATTGCTTAATAGGCGAATGCAGCGAACATCCGCTTTTCTTTCATCTCTGGTTTATTTCCTTCTCCGCGGGTTTAAAACGGTCGCTACTTTCTTTCTGGCTGTTTGTTAGTGGTGGTTTGAGTCTTGAAGACAGAGAAGGGCCATGGGTAGGAGTACACAAGAGCAGACTCGAGCGGTGCCGGGTGTTCGAGAAGCCCGACGTCATCAACAAACTTCGCCAGCAGGTCTTTAACTCCTCCTCCGGGTCTCGTCGCCTTTTCGCTTTCTTTATCATCCTCCGCCTTCTGCGCAGCCCTCGCTTGCTTTTGCTCTTTTGCCGGCTTTTGTTTAATTTTGCTTTCACTTCTTTCCACCCGACGGCCCCTCCTCTGCTCATCTATTCCTCGTTTCACACTGCCGGCTTCCGGCCCGCCTGCTGCTGTCTAATCTCGCGGCCGCTTCTGGTGCGGCGCCTGTCGACCCACCCGCTGGCCTCTGCTCCATTGCACCTTCTGCTTCTCGGCTTCGCTGTACTGTTATCTCGAGCAAACTCACTTCTGTCACTCTTTCTGCGCTGTCTCTGCAGCTATATATCTATTTGTTGGCTAGAAATCTGACGGAAAAGACAAAATATTAGAAGAGAATAGATAGTACATCTCGAGCGAGTAGCACACCTTGTCGCGATCGGGCTTTGATGCGAAAACCTACGAACGGTCTTGGCTCGTCGCAACAAACCAGGGACTCCTCGGTTTTCTCGTATAGCGTCATATAGTGGTGTAAGATAGAAGAGGTTGGATATGAAGGTACATTAACCGACAAAAGTGCATGCCAAAAGGAAACAAATTCAAGGATATATAATGCTGTTAAACGAAAGTGACATCAGAAGAGAGGGATAAATGGCTCGCTTCACCATATCGGCTCCTCTTTAGACGAGGCTATCTTCAATTTATAAACCAAGTGAAAAATACGAGCGCTCCAAAAGTCGGTATAATATAAGGAATGCCTTCGTCATCACCCTCGGCGTATTAAACGACCAATATCACAACATCTTACTTCATATCATCTGCTATCGACCCACTCAATTCACATGTCTATACATCGGCATCCCTACTCCGCTGCTACATCTTTGCATCTCAAACAACTATCTTCAGAGTGGAAATGCATTAATCTTGTATAAAAGTACATGGCAAAAACTAAAAGTAAACGTGCAGAGACTGTGTACGTATCTCTATCCTGCAGAGCTGCTGACCTCAAACCAATCCAGACAGAAAAAGCAGTTCCGATTAATTCAATAAAGCCTAATCCTTCACCCTTTATTTATTTTTCCTTCACATCTCGCAAACTGCAAGATGTTTTGGGAATGAAGATTTTCGAATGACTTTGTATATATTCATTTGCCTCACATAATACTTTCTCTCTCCCCTCTTTCAACGCCGTTGGTATGGGACTCCCATACCCTTCAACCGGTCGCAATTCTCCATCTTCATATTCCGCGCCTTCTCGTACTTCTCCTGGTCCACAAAAAACCATCCCTGGCTCTCCTCCAACCGCCGTTGCCGTACATCATACTCGTAATCGCACTTGTTTTGCAGCACCCGCACGTACGACGTCTCCGCGCGCTGGTCAAGCTGTCGCAGTTTCCGGTCGCTAAGCGTCGTCAGGTCGTTCGGGTTCACATAGTACGGAACCTTGTAGTTGCCCGTCAGACGCTCCGACGTATACGGCGGCGTCGGTGTGAACTCAAACCGCACTTTGGGCGTGAACACCGACTCGGACGAAGACCCGCTGTCAAACAGCGACGTCAGAAGCGGGAACAAAAACAGCAATATCAGAGGCAGCAGCTGGATCAGCATCCGCGGTGTAAACGACTCGCGCTCGCCATTTGCCCCGGGCGGGTTCTGCGGTGGCGGCCGACGCTGGCCGCCGCCCATCGGGAAATCAAACATGCTAAACGGCGACCCGCCAAAGGACTGCACCCTGATCCCCGGCCCGCCGCCAAACGAGCCAAAGGTCTGAAATCCGCCGCCGCCGCCGCCGCCGCCGCCGAAAAACATATTAAACAGCTCGTCCGGCGTCATCTCATCACCGTACATGCCGCCGCCAAACCCACGTCCTCCGCCCGCTGATGCTCGACTACTACTGCTTCTGAACCCACTTGGCATACCGCCGCCCCGCGAATCGGGATCTGACCCGGTGGCGTCGTATATCCGCTTCTTTTCACTATCTGAAAGCACCTGGAATGCTTTCGAGACCACTACAAATTTCATGTCGTTAGCGACTCTGTCTACTCTCGTCAAATCTATAGACACGCCCAAAAGCACAAGGTATAGATAGGTAAGCCAAAAACGCACTTTTGAAAGCCTCGTCAGCACCAGGCGCGCCGTTCTTATCAGGATGCATCAGCAGCGCGAGCTTCCGGTACGCGCGCTTAATCTCGCCATCGGTCGCCGTCTTTTCGATATCGAGGATGGCATAGAACTCGTCGTGCCGGCACCGGCGCACACGCTTTACTGACTCTGCCTGCGCGGGAGTGTATTCGCGCGACTGGCGGCCCTGGTTGTGGCTGCGGTTGCTGGCGTCGGTCTCGTTCGGCCGTGAAGATGATGATGAAGACATTTAGGTGTGTGGTGGATTGAGATGCGTGTGGAGGGTTGAGGTCGAGCGATAGAAGATGATGCTGATATAGAAATATCGAGTGCGTTCTACACAAGAGATCGATGTAGAACGACCGAGAAAAACCTCAGAGCGCGCCGTCAACAAGACTTTTTGCACAAAAGCAAGCCAAAAACAAGAAGAACCCCACGTGAAAACAGAATCTGGATCCTGTTGCAGAAACAAGGACGGTTGGTGAGGAGAAGAAGGTGAACTCGAGGCCTGATTGCAAAGAGCGAAGAAGCAACGACAGCGAGCGCGCTGCTACTCGGACGGTCTGCGCCCTTACCCTCAAACCTTAATCATTTCTCCACCTCGTTATCCACCGGGTGCTGCTGGCTATCGCGGGCAGATATGGCTGATGGGGGTGTTTAAATTGTTGTTGGTTGGTATATGGATGTGTAGCTGATACTTAGGCAAAAATCAAGACCACGACTCCGCATTGTGGGCGCAGACAGCGCAGATTCGGGCTATCTAAACATCTTCCCCGACTAATCGCCAACCCGCTGCCCGCCATATCTCCCCTTCTCCTCGCCCTCACCTCTCCTCCCTTCTCGACCACAAACCATGAGCATCCGAACTCTTGCCCGAATCCTTCCTCAAGCGCACCTCCGCTCAGCAGCCGGTATCTCCTCCTTCTTCTCTCTGCGCAGCGCAAGGCCTCTGCACGTCCTGTTCGTGTTTACTAAGCCCGGCGGTCCGCCTGACTAACGCGCTCGAGTCCCTATCGACGATAGCTAAGCCTCCTCCTCCTCCAGCTCCCGCACTCTTCTCCCCATCCCGCATCTCCTTCCGCCGCTCGTTCGCCTCCTCCACTGCAGCAATGTCCGCCCAGCTCTACGAATACGTCGTCATCATCCCCGACAAGGACGATGCCGAATGCGTACGTTGCTTGCTCTCACAATCTAGACCCGCCCTCCGCAGTATACCGACTAACCTCTGTCTGCAGGTCAACCGCCGTGTCGCTGTCCGTCAGGAACATCTCGTCGGCGTCAAGAAGCTCTTTGCTGACGGCGTCATGACCTCCGGTGGTAAGCTTATCCTCTACTCCTAACTGCCTATCTATGTCGACCTCCGCCTCCACCTCCGCGTCAGCAGACCGGGCTAACAACTCTTCCTCCACGACAGGCGCCTACCTCGACGGCCCCATCACCACCGAGTCCACCCCCTCGTTCAAGGGCTCCGTCGTGACCATGCTTGCCGAGTCCAAGGAGCAGGTCAAGGAAATCATGATGAAGGATGTCTACAGCTCCAACGACGTCTGGGACTGGGAGAAGGCCCAGATCTTCAACGTATGTCCTATGCTTTTGTTTCCCTCTTTCTGATTTTTTAGTTCACTAACGCTCTACTCGGATTGATAGTTTGCGTGCGCTGTCCGCAAGGCGAAGGAGTAAAATATGAATGCGATAGACTTATCTAAATGATTAACACACACTTATAAGTATATAAGTGCTGCCGGCTCCACCCCACCACATAACTCAATGCGTCTCTAGCTACTCCAACTCCTCTACACCTCCCATCCAAACACCCACAGTAAATCTCTTTATAAAACCCATCAATAAAACAGCAATTCAGTAAACATCTCCATCCATCCACTGTGTGTTCTGTGGCTGGGGACGTGCGGCTATGCTGTGGCGGTGCAGTCGAAGGCGCTGGTCGCTCGCTCCGCACACCGAAGCCCACGAAGCCCCGTCATCATCCTCGTCCATCCCCATCCCGATCCCTTCTGCCTCCTACGCCTGTTCTGCTTGGGGAATCTATATTCTAGACTAAAGATATACAAATGAGCGGATACGATAGAGCTTTGTCGGTCTTCAGGTACGTTCTACCCTCGTGTGCTCGTTTGAATGCGAGCAAAGGATCAAACTCGACGATCCGGTCGTGATTGCTAATCGTTTCTCTTCTTTTATCATTCTAGTCCCGACGGACACGTCTTTCGTAAGTTTGCTGTCTATTTTCTTTTAACGACGAGACCTGGACACCCCACTAACCAAATTGTCATTCTAATCAGAGGTCGAATATGCGCTCGAGGCCGTCAAGCGAGGAACCTGCGCCGTCGGCGTGAAAGGCGCAGACATAGTCGTTCTCGGCTGCGAAAAGCGCACGGCAATGAAGCTGCAAGACACCCGCATCACGCCCTCCAAGATCGCAGTGATCGACCACCACGTCTGTCTCGCGTTCGCCGGCCTCAACGCCGACGCGCGCGTGCTCGTCGACAAGGCCCGCATCGAGGCGCAGTCCCACAGACTCACGGTCGAGGACCCGGTCACGGTCGAGTATCTGACAAAGCATATCGCGGGTATACAACAGAAGTACACGCAGAGCGGTGGCGTGCGGCCGTTTGGAATCTCGACCTTGGTCATTGGCTTTGATCCGAACGACAAGACCCCTAGATTGTACCAGACCGAGCCGTCGGGTATTTACTCTGCCTGGAAGGCCAACGCCATCGGACGTAGCAGTAAGACTGTGCGTGAGTTTTTGGAGAAGAATTACGAGGAGGAAATGGATCGGGAGGCGACAATCAGATTGGCTATCAAGAGTCTGTTGGAGGTCGTCCAGACTGGCGCGCGAAACATTGAAATCGCAATCATGGCCGCAGGAAAGAGAATCGAGGTACGAATGCACAGCTACCCTATTTGTTGTTATTATCTATGATTGAAAGTAAAAGACTAACACTCTTTACAGATGCTTCCCTTCGAAAGTATCGAGCAGTACGTGAAGGACATTGAGGCCGAGAAGGAAGCCGAGGCCGCAAAGAAGAAACCAAGAGGACAGACCAGTAGTAACTAATCTGCTCTCTGTTTTCTTGATTTGATCTATTGTAATTCATATAACTACTTCTACGTGCTTGTTCTTGTGCTAGAAAAGCGCTGCTTGCGTGTTCTTCTGTATGAATAAGCTGGCTAATTTGCCCAAACAAAATATATCAAAGTGAATGTAAAAAATGGAAAATAACCATGCAAGTGCTATATATACATATTCCTCTAGATGAAGCTATAGAAGTGCTGTGTTTACTGTCGAGTGCACGCAAATTTTAGCCAAATTCGAGAGATTCGAAACTCTCGCTTAAAGAAGAACTCAAACTAATTTGGCAGTTTTCTATCAGATATCTGCACTTCCCCACCATCTTCAAAGACCCCCACGGGTCCCTAATTCCCTGAAGACACTATACTCGTATCACAATGAGCACAGAAATGCTGAATTCCGACTCCTCGGCTTCTCTCCCTGAACTAGTGTCCTCGGACGCAGTAGCGACGCCGAACGAAGACGAACTGACAGAAGACCCTTTCCTGCAGATGCTCGCCGAGACCGCCGACCTAGTCCCGGCGCTGAACCACACGACCAAGTTCGCAGGCAAGGAGTACGCGACCTCTGCCTCGGGCGTGATGGAGGCCGAGTTCAGCGGCGTGCCGGTCAAGATCGCGATCGACGGCGGCGCATCGGGGTGTGGAGGTAAGGTCTGGCCGGCGGGGGAACTGCTTTCGCGGTACGTTATCGACGCGAAGGATGACGAGTCGTCGTTGGCGCATGGGCCGGTGTGGGAGCAGTCCCGGGAACGGAAGGTGCAGATTGTAGAGCTTGGTAGTGGGACGGGACTGGTTGGGTATGATTTAGCTTGGTGGTTGCCGTGGTGTTTCTGGTACTGACCGACTTTGATATAGACTTGCACTTGCAAATGCATACAAGACAAAATTTGGAAAGACGGAGAGTGACGCTGGACTAGATATAGTCATATCTGATCAAATGCATGCCGCTGTCCCATTTTAATGTCTTTGACCTCACAGCTAACAACTGCCGTCTCTAGAAATATGATGGACCTAATGACCGAAAACATCAAGCTCAACAACCAAGAAGACATCGTCACCGCCGACGTAATTGACTGGGGCAAGCCTTTAGACGAGAAATACGTCAACGTTTCGGTCGTGCTGGCCGCCGACTGCGTTTACTTTGAGCCTGCGTTCCCGTTGCTGGAGAAGACGCTGCTGGATTTGGCGGGCGAGAATACGTTGATGTTGATGGCGTATAAAAAGCGACGGAAGGTAAGTTTCTGACTTGCTTTGGTTTTGCAGATAGAGCCGAATGCTGATGTGTTTTGATCTAGGCTGATAACAAGTTCTTTATGGTAACTATTACGACTGACACTGGTTAACCCACCATGGAGCTAACACATAACTTCACTAGTCCATCAAGAAAAGCTTCAAGATAATAGAGGTAAGTCTGCATTTATCTTCTTTCTTTCTACTGCTTCTTAGGCGCTAATTACCACTCGCACTTTACAGATTAAAAACTACGGCGACTACTACCAGGAATTCTCCAGAGATAGCGTGGTTATATACCAGCTGGTTCGGAAGCAGCCTCCTCGGTAGTAGTTTAATGGATCTTCCTGACCCTGCGACTGCTCTTGCGGTCCCTCTGATGTTGCATGACCAATCTTTGTAATAATGATGCATATATAACAGATAACTATTTATGTACAAATAAACGAACCCCAAATCACTCATCCTGCTTCTTGTCCCTCGTCTGCTCCGATCTAGCGTACTTCGTAACCACGTCCTCCTTAAACTTGTACAAATACTTTGCTTCCTCCGCCAATCCGGCCTCCACCTTTCCGGGGAAGAAGACAGCGCCAAACATCTTTGCCTCTTCCAGGACAGTCTCCTTTGCGACTTGCCGGTATATACGTGCTTTGTAAAATTCCTGGAGGGCTTGTTTGTAAGCCGCGGTGGTACGCATATTACCCTTCTTCTTCAACCACATTGTTCGTTGGACGACACTGTTCACACGATACGCGTTAGCTCTAATTCTTTTCTTGCGCACCCCCGCACGCAATTCATCGATTAACAAAAATAAAACCTACCTCTCTCCGTCCAATTGCTTGTTGTGCTGCTCAATCTTGCTCCAGTCCGACTTTGTAAACTCCAACGCATCGTTCTCCACCAAGATCTTTGGCCGCGCCAACTCCCACGGATGCTGGGTATAAAACGTCGTCCGGATCGAGTCCTCGGGAAACACAATCTTCTGCGGCTTAAACAGGTCGCGGACTTTGAAATTCTTCTTCTTGAGCTTCTGTGCTCGCTCGAGATGCTTGACCGTCAGCTTTGAATTCAGCTCCGTCGTCGGCGGGGTCTCGAGGACTGCCTTGTACCATGCGGGCTCGAGGCCGGCGGTGCCGGTCCTGAGCATCTGCGAGGTCCGCTGCAGAACCTGCAGAACGTCTAACTGTGGCTTCATCTTTATAGACTCGACTTGCTCGCTCTGATTAGACAGATGGGAAGAAGAGAGAAAGTGTCGAGACGAGATACCAAATTGACGATATTTGAAATTCAAAGATTTTTGCGTGGTGCTCTTCCCGAGAGTGCGGCTGACCCGGATTCAAATGCTGGGCCGGGTGAGAATTATTTCTATGTGCGGGTCAGAGAAATTTAAGAACGCGAGAGGTTCTTCCGCAATAAAGAAAAAAGTTGGAATCGACAATTGCACCAACTTCATATTCATCACTCTTCCGCTTTCCTCGGCCTGTTGCATTCCGTTTTTCTCAATCATCACTGGAAGAACGTCTACAGTCATTGTCTTTTCGACAGCTATCACAGAAACCCCTTCCTCATCAGTGATGGTCCATCTCAGTTGATTCTCGAATTCCCCAGTCTACAATAACCACGACATATCCCGATAGCCGTTCTACGAGCCGCGACTGCCAGAACACAGATTGATCAAGCTGGGGCGGAGTATCTCTTTTGTGCTGCTGTCGCTGCTAGGTCTACGTTATGAGGGTGCGACTGCGTGGCGCGTATGTGGCCCTCCGGATGGCTTATGTAGCGTTGACGGCGAACAGAAGCAGTCCAGCGCTCCCGTTCTTTCCCCACGTTGCCGCCGCGCACAGTTTGCTATCTTCGGAGAGAGAGAAACGATGGCGTTGCTTGGGGAATAGAAATTATAGCAACGCCCTGCTCAGTGGTATTCTGGACCAACCGTTGGATATGGAACGCGACAAACCTTCCATGAAGAGCAAGAGCGAGCCAGACGACGTCGAGCGGATGATGGAGAATGGGACAGGCGGCAAAATTCCTGACCAGAGTTACAGGATGGAAATTCTCCGCCTGCTTAATGACAAGAAAAGGTTTCCCGACCCCGTTGATGCTAGTTACCCCGTTGCCCGTAACGACAATGAGCCCAGCGACGAACCTGATTTCGATTCTCTACAGTCCTGGGAACAGAATATGGAATGGACTGAGCCTGACGATGCAGATTTTGATCCGGAAGAATTGGATCCGGAATCGCAAGTGGGTCGGGACAGCGAATCATCTTCACCATACACGGACACGGAACCTGAAAATGGGTTAATATCACAATTTCAGGAGAACGATTGGCAGACACACGAAGAGAGATATCCATATTCCACCTACGCAGAGAGTTTGGTGACCCCCTTTGGTGTTTCCGAACTGCTACTGTCAGAAGTGAGGGTCAAGACAATCAACGAATTTCGGGCACCTGCCAAAGGAAGTTTGGAACTTACTCCGGGAGAGGTCTCAGATCAAAACAGAAAGTTGGTTAAAAACATTCGAAAAAACATGAGGCGAAGCTATGTGCCGTCCGATTTTTATATGGAATTCTTCCGACGGCTGGATATAGCCTACCCCGAATACGTCGGTGCGAATGACACTACAAAGGTGGCGCTTGACAGCGTATATGAGATCTACATGAAATTCCCGACCCCGCGACCGCTTCAAATCCGATATCAAGACCACGAAAGGTTGCTGATAGCCTTCACGAGTGGCCCGAAATATCGCATAGAAACAAAGTTGCAGTTTCAGCAGATTCTTGCCGATATGGCAGAGTGCGGCATGCCGATTTCTTTTTGGGAAAAGTACGCGAACCTCGCGTACATTGCATACGCGGGGCCGTATACGAGAACAGCGTGGGAGTCGGTAACTGAAGCGATCGAGGAGTTTCAAGAGCTGGACAAGCAAGGAGCCATCCATCTCGATCCGACCCCGTACAACATCGTTATGAGTGCGGCGATCGATTGCGGGGAGTACTCGGTCTTCCACCGGATAGCGTCGGAGATGAAGGCGAGGAAGGTTACAGCGGACCGCTATACGTACGTGAACCTGATTACGTACTTTGGCAGGATCAAGGACAAGGATTCGGCGATGGCGGTGTACAACCGGTTTGTGCAAGACAACGAAATCACAGACTCGATCGTGTTGAGCGCGCTGCAGGCCTGTCTTGTGCGGTGCCGCGACATTAGGGGCGCGAGAAGTATGCTGAATTTCATCGAGGCGCGCACGACTCCGCGCGACCGGCTGTACGGGTACGAAAAGTCTGAGCGGCGGGAGCGCGTTATTGCAAACAATTTGAGGAAAATAGCATCGAACCGCCAGTCGAGGAAGAAGTTTGAGGAGTATATCCTGGACCCGGAAGAGACAGTCAGAGTGATTCCGACGCGAGACCTTTATAATCCGCTGCTAAACTATTACGCTATGAAGGGACATATAAAAGATGTCTGCGAGCTTATGGATCGTATGGAATCATACCACCTGTCAATGACACAGGCCTACATTCTTCTGTTCAAGGGGTTCTATCATCACGGAGGCCTTCCATATTCCGAATGGTCTGCGGAAAGCCTGCGCGCTATCTTTGAGCGGATGCTTCAGACCGAGGACATGTGGACTCTCACTCGCCGACTAGCGATATGGATATTGCGCGCGTTCTACGTCGTCACGTCCGACATTGACGAGGTCCGCAGAGTGTTTGAGCTACTGATGGAACGGTTCGTCGCAAGTGGCGGATCGTTAGACACGGTCAGCACGAAGGTGGTGCGGGTGGTTGAAGTTGAGGCGCCAATGTACATGAAATCGCTGAAGAAAGCGAGAGCAGAGGGGAGGTACAAGCCGCCGGTCGTGCATCCGCGTTTCAGGGCTAGTGTTTGATCGCATTATATCTAACTGTGCTTGTTGTTGATGTGTGTTTATATTTGTGGACGAGCTGCATTTGACTTGGGACTGGTTTTGTTTATACTCGCGCGCTTGACGTGTCACATTTATTATTGTATATACAGTTTGTACATAGACCTTTTTAATCATTATCAAGATATTTGCTTGCAGGCATATTGTAAACTATTATGCTCATTATATATTATTTTTCTGATCTTAAGGAAGAAAGCCCGACCCAAAACGCCAGTAACGCATGCTACGATACAAAACAGCAAAATCACAGACAAAAAACATCACGATAGCAAATAACCAGCTTTCTCATTTATCAGCCGACTTCCCAAGCGACTTGCCCTCCGAATCATCAAACGTCTTGCGCGCTTCCTGAATCTCTTTCGACAGCCGCTGGAGTTCCTCGATACGGCCGAGTTTCTTGTAGTCGTTTCGCAGCGCGAATTTGAAGTCGTCGACTTTGACTTTGTTGCGCTTTGTGGTGTGCGCCATTCTTGCTGCTTCGTGGCACTGGCGATGGGGGTTAGCTGGGGGGGGGATATATGATGAGAAGGAGGGGAGGGGAGGGGGGCGTACCATGTCGACGATGTAGTCTGTTAAAATATCCTCCAGCACGGCAACTGATTCACGGTCCGGATTCGAGACATCACCAAACGCATAAAGCAAGGCGCGGACTATTCACCGGAGATCAAAATCGTTAGCAAAATGTTCGATAATAGACGTAGAAGTCGTCTCCTTCAATGCGACGGCTTACCATCGTTTGTGAAGAGATTAGGTCTCTTGCGCTTTCTGACAGGCTCTGTTGACATTCTGCTCGCTGTTTTCTATAAAGAATGGACCAGGGAGGAGGTGGTGTGGCTACTGGTGTGCCTGTTAATGAGGAAGAGGCGAGGTGTGAATGGAGAGCGGTAACGTTTAGATTTAAGTTCGATGCGTCGCAGTTGTAAACCTCGCGGTGACGATAGTCCATGTCGAGGCTCATATCTGTTCAACAATTCCTGCAAATACACAGACCGTCGGGACTTGTCCAAGCAAACCACACAGCTGCTTAATTGAATCCCGCAGCATATCAGCCAAGAGAATAGCGCCCACCCGATTCCTCCAGCAGCTACCCTCGTCGAGGTAGATCTTCAGATCTATATCTAAAAGATGGTTCGGTGCCCCTAGCAGCTATTTTTCAGCACCGTGCCCTGAGCTAACTAATAATCTCTATCCTACCAGTCTGCGCTATTCAATTTCCAATCTTTACTTCTTGTTATTCTGTTGATAATCTGCACGGCGACGTACGCACACCAAGTCGTCCCCGCCATGATGAATCGAAATCGGCACGGGTACGTCTTTCCCCTCTCTCTCTTCTCCCTCTCTTCTTGTTCCAGAATTGATTAGCTGACAGATAGAAATGTAGTTTTCTTGGCGTGTTCTGGAAAGCTGCGAGGATAGGAGAGCGGTTAAGTCCGTATGTGTCAATCTGCTGTGTGATCATGGCGGTAAGTCGAAACGTCTTCCTTGCGTCTAAGTGACCGGGCTATCCGCTAATCTCAGTTGTTGTTACATCTAGTTTTCCTTATTTACACAGTAAACTCCCATTTGATTACTTTTACCCAGATAGGTGGAGTTACGGCCATGAAGCGTCGGACGTCAAGAACAAGCTGCGGTCATCATGTAACTGGATAACACGAGGGCTTCGTTTTCGGTTTTTTGTATGATTATTAGAGTCTGTGAAGTCGATTATTCATTTTCACGTTACATATTTGTGGACAGAGCTATTGCAGATGTTGCGCGGATCAAATGAAACAAATAATATCTACAAATATTCCTAACCTACCTACGAGAATTCAAAAATCTCGCCCGCACCAGCACACATCTTTGCAAACTTCGCAGACCCAACAATCCGCTCCAACTTAAACGCGTCCCACTTTGAAAACAAGCTCCTGACAACGATCGCGTCTTGCTCTGCGATCCCATCACTCACGCTCCTGAGCAAGAACCTCGAGATTTCGACGTAGAACGTCGGATTGTCCGGTAAACTGTACATAAACACGCTCTCGGCGCCGCGGATCACGTAGCGGCGGAAATGGTGCAGCCGTTCGGTGTAGAGCAGGACCTTATGTTTGCCGTCCTTGAACAGGGCGCGCGCGCGCGTGAGGTCCGACGTCGACGTGTACTCGTTCACGGCGCTGAATTCGAAGCCGCTGGAGCCGAGCTTGCGGCCGATCTGGTGCTCTTGCTCAAAGTAGTTGCGCAGGCGCACAAAGTCGACGTAGGAGGGGACGAATATGATTGTGCCGGCTGAGGAGGCGGAGGATTGGCGCATTAGGGAGGGGAGGGCTTTGGTTGTGAAGTATTTGAAGCGTTTGTCGGGGTCTTCTTGTGGTGAAGAGGAGTAGAATTTCATAAACGTCTGAAATAACATTAGCAGGGAGCTCAAAAAGAAGAATGCATCAGGAGGCAGCTTACATGGTTCATGGGCGTGCCAATATCACCGAGAACGCCATTATAAACCGGCAAATACTTTGCCTTCCCGCCCACGTTATTCATATGATGCGTAAACAGCGCGTTAATCTCGGGCGTGATAAACTCTGAAAAGATCAGCGTCTGCCGCAGGTACTTTGCCTCGCCGTCGAGATACCAGTTCCGGATGCGACTAAAGTCGCAGCCGTGCGAGTCTTGCGGGATCAGGTTCAGGTGGGCAAAGATGTGGAGGATGTGTTCCCAGTTTTGCATTGCGATCGCGGCGGTTTGGTCGAGGATGAGGATCTCGATCGAGCTGAGGAAGTCAAAGTCGCGCTTTTTGTCCCTGTATTTAGAAATCTGGTTAGCATGCTGCATAAGAAAGAGGAAGAGGATAAACGGGGATAGCAGACGTTTTGTCACCAATGGCGAGACGGAGACCGAGAGGACTGGCGATGATGATGTCAGAGTTGTAAAACTCCGAGTACATCTTGACTGTCTTTCTCGTAAACTTGATTCCAATTCTGAAATTATCATCATTATTGCCACTGAACAATCTTCTAAAATCCTCAGGCTTTGTATCCGGGATCGTCGCGTCAGAATGGTACTCCTGCTGGAACCGCCTGAAGTTCTCTGGCTGCGATGGCGCGGTCAGTTTGAGGATCGTCGAAACTAGTTTGTAGCAGGCTTCGCGGGTCGGCAGGATGACGAGCGCTTTCGGGCGCGTGAAGCCTTGGTCGCGGAGTTCGAGGGAGTCGTCTGCGTCGGCGCGCTTTGCTAGTTTGGCGTTGTTTTTGAGCACGGTGTCGCGTGTTCTTGGACTGTTAGTATTGAATCAGTGGAGAGGAGATAGAAAGGGGTGCATACTTGAAAATGTGATTGAGCATGTGTAAAGTATACAGGTTTTGGAGCTGCTGTCCGCTGGAGATAGTCCTCGGCGCAAAGAGCACATCTTCGTTTGCGAGGATTCTCGAGGCAACGGCCTCCTGAACGGGAGAGAATGTCTTATTCTTCTCTTGAACAAAGCCCTTGTTTGCAGCCTTAAATGGCTCCACCAAGCGTCCTTTGGTCTGTGAAACGACTGTCAGTACCATACCCATGCACCTCTGTCTAAGAGTAGTTCTTACGTTCAGTGATTCCAGCGTCGCGTCAGCAACGTTGATTTCATCCAGCATTTTCGCACCGCCAAGGGTCATGAAATTTATACTGTACTTTGCAGGCTCGCCGTCGACGACCGGCTTGATCTTCTCCGACACCCATCCTTTTGCTTGTACTCGTCCAATCAACTTTTTCAGTGTCTGCTGGTGCGGGTGCGAGAAATGGCGATGGAAAGGGTCGGTGCTGCCGCTTTCGTCTTCGGATATATCTGAAGCACTGTCGTCGTCGTCGTCGTCCAAGTGCTCTTCTTCTTCTTCTTCATCGTCGTCTTCGCTCTCTGCCTTGACTTGTGTAGTCTCTTCGTGCTTCACTTTGCTCGCGTCGTGTTCCACCTTGATCTTCTTCGTCCCCGCCCGCTTCGTCTTCACCGCAGCCGCCACCTCATGCACACTCCGCCTCTTAACAAACTTCTTATGCTCAGCCTTAGCCATCGCGTTCTCCTGCTCTTGTCAAATTCAGTCTGATAGAAAGGTCGCTGGGAGAAGCAAAAAAAATAATCGAAATCTCATCGTGCGGCGCTGTACGTGGCGGTGCTGAATAAAGCCGCGCCACAGCTGAGGCTGGTGGGAGGAGCAAAAGCGCAAAGAACAAAAATTTTCTGAAAAGGCAAGAAAAGATCAAACAGAGTCGGTTTTTGCAGGACTTTTGTTGCGTTTAGATTGTGTGAATAGCTTTTTGATTCAGCAGTTTTTTTTAAGAAGGGACTTTATTTGTTATTATTGTTGAGCTATGTCGACTAGTTCTTTTCTACACCTCGGCAAGCCTGCGAGTGCGGTCATGCAGCACGGCAGCGCGCCTTTGAACGTCATTGTTCATCCCCAGGTATGCTGATGATCGCAGAAGTTCAAGAGAAGGAAGAGGATTGGATGTGCTAACGCAGGTTGAACGATGGTTTAGTGCTTGTTTTCGATTTTGGATCATACGCTGCGCAGGAATGAGGACCAGGAGCGCGTTATCGGTACCCTCTTGGGAACGCGGTCGGATGATGGGACGGAGATTGAGATTAAGAGCTCGTTTGCTGTGCCTCATATAGAGTCTGCTGCTCAGGTGTGTTGATTGTCCTGGAGATTGAGTTGAATTTTTGATGGAATGAGGTGCGGGTGTTAACTGGGATGGTTAGGTTGAAATCGATATGGAGTATCACAAGACTATGTACAATCTGCACCACAAAGCGAACCCGAAGGAAGTCCTTGTTGGCTGGTATGGTTTCTATCAATTTCAAGCACGCGTTATGGAACGAGCAGATTGCTACGAACAAATACTGATCAAATACAGGTACGCGACATCACTAGAGCTCAACGCCTTCAGCGCGCTGATCCAGAACTTTTACTCGTCCGTCTCGGACGGCACATACCCTTATCCCGCCGTGCATCTGACGATGCAGGCCGATCCCCGGTCAGAGATCTCGGTGAGAACGTATATCTCTGCGAACGTGGGCGTGCTGCCGGATAAGATCTCTGAGAGCTGTTTGTTTGTGCCTGTGCCCCACGAGCTGCGATATGCGGAGGCGGAGCGTAGTGGCTGTAAGTATTGTGGTTTAGTTGAGGGTATGGAGGAAGTTTTGTTCTAACGGGATGATTATAGTGGAATTGGTCGCTAGCGCGAAGAACGTAGAGACGCGCGACACATCGATTGTGAACGACATCAGCAACCTGGAGCGCTCGGTGGAGCAAGTGCTGGAGATGATTGATCGCGTGTCGACGTACGTGTCGTCGGTGATTGAAGGCGGCAACCCCGGCTCTGTTGCGATCGGCAAGTTTTTATTGCAGAACCTGAGTCTGGCGCCGAAGGTTGACGCCGAGGAGCTCGAGAAGCTGTTCAACAGCCATCTGCAGGATGTGCTGCTGGTGGTGTATCTGAGCAACACGGTGAAGACACAGATGGAGTTGTTTAACTCGCTGAAGCGGACGGCTGTTCTTTCGGGATAAGCTGAGCGTGTGTGTTTTGATTTGTTTGATTTGCTTTGTGTTATAAGTAAATAGCTTCCAAAAGAGTTTTGTTAAAGAGTAGAGATGTAGAAGAGGGTCCATGCCCTGACTGCCCCGCAGACCCCTGTCGCTGAACGAGCAGCTACCGTCAGCGGGAGTAGTCACAGCACATGATTATAATAGATATCACACTCTGTATACTCTATTGAGAGTGTTAATGACGAAATAGCTCAGGAAAGAGCCGTGAAGAGAGCCGTTAATAGCAGAGGCGAGCCAACACGGCACCAGGTTAGGGTTCTATGATAGAATTTTAAGAATTAAGACGGGTTGTTCGTTCTCATCGATCTCGAACTTTTCCTGTTTGTTTGTTGTTTGTTGTTTGTTGTTTGTTGTGAATTGTGTTTGTTCTGGCTGTTGAAGATTGCTGTGTTTTGAAAAGTGCAGAAGTGAGAATACGGGAGATAGCTTTGTTTGAATATTTCGCGTGGAACTGGAACTGCAAGGTGAAGGTGATCCCGTTAATTCACCTACCGGCAGGAATCCCAGGGCGCATCAACGCTCGACGGCGCGCCTGATTCAGTGCTAGAGAAAGCAGAGGAGCGCGGATAGGAAGAGGCAGTGGTTTGAAGAGGCCGGGAAATCAGAGATCGATCGGGGATAATCGGGATTTCTATATGAGCTTGGTCCAGAGAGGTTCTTGACGTCGATTCAATTATTGAGGATTGCCCTGGTGTACAGAGGGCATAATTACTTCAGATCAGAAGATTACAGCAAAAGTACAGCAAAAGTACAGCAAAGGTACAGAGGTACAGGAAGAATAAATGAATCTGGGCTCGCTATCGTTCTGGACGTGGTTCAATGTGTTTACAAACGGGGTGTACCTGTCGCTGATAATATTGACGATTCCGCTCGCGTTCGACGTCGGCGGACAAGAATGCGGGCTCGCGTTCACACTCACGCTGGCCGTGTTTTATTTCTCGATGGCCACGATCAGGCTGCTGGGCCGCAACACACAGTTTAGCACGATTACGCATATCGTGTATTATTCGCAGCACGTGATCATACCTTCGTTGTTTATAATGTTTCTGAATATCTATTCAGACTCTGAGCATACGTACGCGGTGTGGAGCAGGATCTTGATTCCGTGGCGGTACTTTTTGGAGAACGCGACAGCGGGGTTTACGATCCTTGAAGGATTCTGCACGCTTCTCGTGATCCAGGCGGCGGGCCAGATCAGCAGGTATCTGGTGAAGCGCAACTCTGATCTGTGGACGATTATTTTGCTTGTGGCGGCAGCGAATATCGTGACATGTGCATTGTATTTCTTGTACAGGATCTACACGTTCCCGATCACGATCGGGTCCGTTAACGCGACGATGATCGGGGCGATGTTGACATGTACGATATTCCTGGGCGGGTACGGGATTGTGTCGCGGAGGGGCAACTTGATTGAGTCGAGCTTGCTGTTTGGGTATATGGTGTTTTGTCTATACGAGACGTTTACGGATTTCCATCCGAATCAGACGGAGGAGGGTAGTGGGAGCAGCGCGAGCAGTATTAGCTCGGGAGGATCAAAGACCGAGTTTCCGCCGTTTCCGCCAATAATAATGGAGAGGTCAGTATAGTTGGAAGAAAGGCAGTCTGTTTATAAGTACTAACGATAGTATAGCTATGCGACGATTGTTGCTTCACTGGCGTCGACAGTGCCGTCGAGTTTCGCGACTACGTTTGAATTTATACTGGCGGCGATGTCGACGATCACGCCGTCGATTGTGGTGTCGCTGATGTATCGGTTGCTGGTGTTGTTTGCGACGACGCAGATCATTCCAGCGCTGCGAGAGACGGGGGATGAGCGCGGGCCGGTGCCGAGGAGTAGGAGTAGTAGTGCGACGAGAGAAGGCGCGGGTGCGGGCGAGGGAGTATCAGACGGAGCAGTCGGAGCAGAGGGAGCCAGAGCAGAGGGAGATGGAGCAGAGAGTATAAAACAGGAAGAGCAGGAAGACGGGGAAGGAGCATCTACGGGCCAGCTGTTTGTGCGGGCATACGCCCCCTGCGTGCTGATAGCAGTCTACTCGCACCTGCTGATGCAGCACTTTGGGTATCTACGGTCGACGACTACGGTGGGCGGGTTCGAGATCGCGACGTGGCAGCTGTGGTCGTGGGTGAACAGCGGGGTGACGCTCGCGCTGTACGCGTCCGAGATGATGTACGGGAAGGAGTCGCGGGGGGAGAGCCTTGCGCGGCACTGGAAGATGGAGTGATTACATAAGACGAATGATTAATCTTACATAAGATCTTACATCACAGAAACGCGTTGAGTACGCGCCTCAGGGTTCAGACAAGAAGCAAGCGAGCCCGAGCGCTGCGGCGGCGCCGAGTCTGACGATTGGAATGTGGCTCCGGCGCAGAGCAGAGACGTTAAGAGATCCGCAGAGGGAAATAAGAGGAGGAGGAGGAGGAGGAGGAAGCAGAGGCCTGGTTCGATTGAACGAGATGCGATCAGATGGAGATGTGAAGATAGAAAGATGTGAGGATGGAGGATATGAAGAGTGTTGCTGGGATATCAGATATCAGATATACCCCAGCCGACTATCCTTCTATGCCGCTGGCAGACATGTAATAACACACAACGCAATACAATAAATACAATAAATACAATAAATACAACACAATAACAAACTACAAATACAATTCATCTTGAATAAAAACAAACACTGGCAAATTCCTGGCCTCGGACCAAGAACCGCGCTAACCCAATCCGGACTAGACAACAACGCGTCGACTCCTTCGTCGCGAAAACCAAATCTCGCTTCTTTGTTTTGGTCGTCGCTGTTGTTGTCTTCCGCGCTCTTCTCCTCCTCCTCCTCCTCTTCACCACCTCTTCCTCACCTCTCCTCCCCGCCGCCGTGCGTCCGCTCCTTTCTGCAACAATGCGTCCTCGTGCGCTCGTCGTGCTTCTCCTCGCGACCCTCCTCGCGTCCGCCAGCGCGTCCGCCCACCACCGCCATCTCCGCCGCCAGCCTGCGCCTGAGCCTGCACCTGCCCCCGATGCTGTCCTCGTGCCCCGCGACGAATCGGACTGCCAGTGCTCGACCTATGTTGTTGGTGTCTGGGTTGATTATGGTATCGTCCCTTGATCTGTCTGTGTCTGTTCACTCCCTTCTAACATTGTATCTCTTCTCTAGAACCCCCTAAATCCACACCCACACCCACCACCACCTCCTACTCGTCCACCACCACCGAGGTCGTCTACGTGACCGTCAACCCGTCCGCAAACTCCTCCTTCTGGTCAAACTCCTCCTCCTCCTCCGTCAAGCCGACGCGTTCCGCCTTCTACGGTTACCTCAACACCTCGACCCCCTCCGTCGAGCTCACCACTACCCTCACCGAGACCGGCACCGTCTACCTCACCCCCTCCTCCTCCTTCATCCCCGTCTCCTCCTCGGCCGAGCCCACCACCACCTTCACCGCAACCGTCCTCGTGACGCCGACGACGACCGTGTCCCTCAACACCACCCTCACCGTCACGCCCTCGCCCACGCTCACCACGACCACCTCCGAGACCGTGGTCACGACCTCGACCGTCTACGTCACCACCACCGTCAAGACAACCGTCACCCCGACCGTCTACACCGAGCTCGTCACCATCACCGCCATCCCCGGCCCGACCTACACCATCGCTGGCGTCCTCACCACCGCCGTCACCGACACCGAGACCATCGTCGTGCCCTGCTCCACCTACACCGTCTACTCCTCCGACTTCTTCGAGACCCTCGAGACCTCGACCTACTTCATCACCTACACGCAGACCTCCACCGCCACCTGGCTCGCCCCGGCATCAACCACCGCCTCGTCCGAGACCGAGCCTACCTCGTCTGCTTACGTCGGTACCCCGGTCGTAGTCCCCGCCAACACCTCGACCGTCGCGTCGTCCGTGCCGACCACCACTCTCGTCCCCACGACCGTCGCGCCCGAGGCCGTCACCACGACCTCCACCAGCAACGGCGTCGAGGTCGTCATCATCTCGACCCCTGACGTGACCGTCACGACCGACGCGACCTACTACGAGACCGTCTCCTGCACCTCTGGAGGCGTCTACACCGTCACCGGCGGCGTCGTCACCACCGTCACTGCCGATACCCTGCTCGCTGTCGCTACCACTGCCGCCTCTGCCAAGCGCCTTGTGCGCCGAGAGGAGACGGTTTTCCAGGCGGATGACAAGCCGTTGGCTGTTGCTGCTGCTGCTGCTGCTGCTGCTGAAAGCCCGAGTCGACCCTGGGCTATCTCCTACTCTCCCTACACTGACGAAGGTGCTTGCAAGTCGCCTGCCGACATTGCGCTCGACATCAACCTGATTGCAAGCAAAGGCTTCCGCGCCGTGCGCATCTACTCCACCGACTGCGGCTCTCTGACCACGATTGGCAAGGTCGCCGAGGCCAGCGGTCTCCATCTGATCCTCGGTCTGTCAATCAACGAGTCTGGAATCGAGCAGAACGACGTCCAGCTCGACGATCTCCTGCACTTCAAGCTCTGGGATCTGGTCGACATGGTCGTCGTCGGCAACGAGGCCGTGTTCAACGAGTTTTGCACCGCCGCCGAACTCGCGACCTACATTGCCCACGTCCGGAATACTCTCAGACGCGCCGGATACGAGGGACCGGTGACGACCGCTGAGACCAGCTCTGTTTTGGATTCCTACGCATCCGTGCTTTGTCCTGCCATCGACGTCGTCGGCGTCAACGTGCACCCGTTCTTTGACGCGACTATCAGCCCCGAAGACGCGGGCCTGTTTGTCAAGCAAAACATGCTTCACGCCAAGTCTGCCTGCGCATCCACGCACAAACTTCCTGTCGCGGTTCTCGAAACAGGCTGGCCGTCGGCCGGAGCAGAGGCGAACGGCGCAGCGGTCCCGGGCAAAGCAGAGCAGGCCGCAGCAGTCACGAGCATCATGTCTGAAACTGACGGGGGCAACGACGTCGTGTTTTTCACTTTTGCCGATGATATGTGGAAGTTGGCGGGTTTGTTTGGCGTCGAGCAGAGATTCGGGCTCATCGACGTCTTCTGATCCCCCTTTTTTCTCTAAACTACTCTCGGTTTTGATATCGTCTTTTCTTGCTCTGGCGGGCGAGAAAAGACTTGACGCACGCGAGGACCCTTTCTTTCCTTAACTTTCCCTTTTACTTTTTGCTTACCTTTTTGATTATAATGATTTTTTGAAGTTCTGCGGAAATTCCTTTCCCAGAGATGATTGATTGGCAGGTGACCTCTTTTTATTTACCTTTTGGTTCATTTCAGTGTTCTGAATAACCACTTACACTCCTTTACTTTACTTTACTTTATTATTACTTTTGTTTGTTTTGTGTGCTTTGTTTTCGATTTGAAACACAAACACCCTGCCAACCGCCCCACGCTCGTTATTTTTATGTGCCGAAGATGTCTCTTTTTTTGAATCAAATGTATCGTCAATGTGTCTCCGCTATGACTGAAGTCTTTATTGTATCCTTTCTTTTCCTCTTTTTTGTTTTGGTGAAAGTTATACCAATTTTTGGTTTCCTGATACCACTTCCTGCTTTCCAAATGATCTTTGTGTCTTTTCTTTTTTATCTCTCAGAGATCTTCCAACTGTATTTCTACGTCGACCTGATTGTCCTCCGACAAACGCTCTACCTCATCATCTATTTTGTATCATTGGTGTGTGTCACGATATTCGAAAGTAGAAGCTGTACTTTTATTTCTCTTTTCTCTTCTCTATCTTTTCTTTACTTTCTAATTTCCTTATTTAATTTGAATTGTACTGTTAGTTATTATGTTTAGTTTAGTGTGTAGTCTACAAGCCTCATTCCTTTCAGAATGGGGTTTTCTGGCGAACACCAACTTTGCTTTATTATTTATTTATTTATTTTATTAGCTGTCTATATTGACGTAAACACATCCCCCGCAAACATTCCAAAAAACCTCATCTACTTTTTCTTTTTCCCATGACGACTGTGGAGTAATTTGAAAATTTAAAAGCACTCGTTTAGATGTACTTGTAAGGGTTCATGATCCCGTTCTGTGAATAAGATATTAGTAAACATTTGCTCTTCCGCGAAAAGGGGCCAGCTTGTATGGAATGGCAAACAACATAATTTGCAAATGGCAACACTTACCGGGTCGTAAATCTCCTTGACCTGTTTCATCAGGTTGATCATGCTCTGGTCCTTGCTGTACTTGAGGAACGGCCGCTTCGCGAACCCGAGTCCGTGCTCGGCCGAGATCGAGCCCTGGCGTTTTTCTATAACCTCGTTAGCTCACAGTCTTTATCCGTCGATGGCAACAAGACGTGGAAGATGACTTACGGATCCACTCATAAACCCACGGCTCGAGAACTTTCTCAATAGCCTTGTCGTAGCTCTTAACCGCGACATTCAAATGCAAGTTTCCGTCGCCCAAATGGCCGTATCCGACTACCGACACGATATTCGACGCCTCGGTACCAATCTCGTAGCCCTTCTCGATCAAACGCGCGCGGCAGTCTTCAACCATCAGATACAGATCCTCGAGCGGGATCGAGACGTCATACTTGTATACGCCGCCCGTGCGCGCAAGGGATTCGGGAATTCCCTCGCGCCAGGTCCAGATGTTTTTCAACTGCGTCTCGTCCTGCGCGACCACGCCGTCGTCGATAATCTCAGACTCCATCAGTCCTTCAAGATAATTCTGCAGCTTCTCGTCGTCGTGCTCACGGTTCGAGCCCGAGGTCTCGACCAGGACGTAAAAGTTATGCTGCTCATCAAGCGGTCGGCGCAGCTCGCTGAAGCGCGCGACCTGGATCTGCGACTCGCGGTCCATGAATTCAAACGCCGAAAGCACTTCACCCAGCTCGCTCTTCGCCTTGACGAACGCCTGCTGCACTTTCTCGTACGAATCCAGACCAAAAAAGGCGACGTTGACGACCTTTGAGCGTTTAGGGCACAAGACCGAGACACCGGTGATGACGCCCAGAGTTCCCTCGGACCCGATGAAGAGCTGCTTGATGTCGTATCCGGTATTATCTTTTCTCAGCTTGCCGAGTCCATTGACAACCGTCCCGTCAGCCATGACGGCCTCGACGCCGAGCACGGATCCGTGCAGGGATCCGTAGCGCAGCAGACGGAGACCGCCTGCGTTGGTGGCCACGTTGCCGCCGATGTGGCAAGATCCCTTTGCGCCGAGATCGAGCGGGAAGATGTAGCCGTGCTCGGCGAGGAACGAGTCCGTGGCTTCGAGAATGCAGCCGGCGTCGACGACGATGATGCCGGAGACCTCGTCGAACGAGCGGATCTTGTTCATGTTTGCGAGCGAAATCACAATCTCGTCAAAGACAGGCACCGAGCCACCTAACCGAGCGTTAGCCATATTCTCAATTTTCAGCTAGAATCGAAAGAGCTATAAGAGATATAAGGGAAGAACGTACCGACAAGACCAGTATTTCCACCCTGCGGCACGACCGCCAACTTCCTCTCCCCGCAATGCTTCATAATCTTGCTCACTTCCTCCGTCGTGCGGGGCTTCAGCACAAGCCGCGACTGTCCGTTATACTTGCGCATCGAGTCGATGTTGTATCCCGACAAATCCTGGTCGTCCTGCAAGATCGCAGACTCGGGCAGGATACTCTTAAAGTACTCGACATCGGCCGCAGTCAACTCGCCGAACCGCGCGTCCCGCACGATTTCGGGGTACATCTCCGCCGTCGGACGGACGACCTTCGTGACGGCCGCGGAGTAGTTTCGACGTCCGCAGGACTGCAGCAACGCGGTCGCGGCCTCAACTCTGAAACCAGCCGCCGCGGATGCAAGAAAAGGTGCTGTTCGCAGCGCAGGCTTCGCGGTCGCCAGCGAACCGACCCGCCGCGCAGACACAGCACGCACAGCACGCAATGTCGTTCTCATGATTAATGCAGTACTTCTAGAATATGTAATAAACGTACAAAAGATATAGAGCCAGCAGTCGAGCCTAGAAAGAGAAGGGAGCGGGTGCGCACGGAAAAAAGGCTCTTACCCACAGGAAAGAACCGCGAGGCGCAATAGAGTTTAGCGGTGGTTTGTCCCTTCTTTTGATGGAAAAAACCCCAACCCGACTGCCTTCCTGGACTTCTCTGATCCTGAACTCCGTAGCATTTACATTGCTCTCGAATAACTGTTATATACTACAAGTAATACTTCAAACAATAATACACAGACTCACTTCCACCGCAGGACAAGATACAGATACATCGCTCCGACGATGCACATAACATACGCAATCCGATTTAGAAACTCCCGCTTAAACGTGCCCGGCCGCCCACAGAACCGCGCAAAGGTCTTGCTGCGTTTGAACGCTCGGTACCGCGCAAACGCCATCATCACCGGCGCGGGGTATAGCCTGAACGACTTGTCCTTTTTGTCGACGTAGCCCGCTCCGCCGGATAGAAAGTCGACGCCGGCGGTTTTCCCCTGCTTTGTAGCTTCTGTGCAGGCCCGTGATGCCGCGTGCGCCGCGACCGCGAGGGTGAAGAGAAGGACTTTGAAGTATGTCTTGAAGATGTTGAACTGCGAGGGTAGCATGCACAGTTTAGTCTGGAACGTTGTTTGCTCGGCAGAGTCTTCTGCGGACGGGTTGTACAGCGACACCATCTCGAATGCAGGGTACGAGACGCCCATCGCGATCGATAAAGACTTTACTGTATACTCGACCGCCTTGCGCGCGCCCTTTGCGTACACGTGCTCCACCTCGCAAGCGTCGTGGTCGTCTCCTGAAAACACAGCGATCGGCATCAGCCTGTCCAAGATCTCTTCAGACAGCTCTGGATCGACAACGGTCTGATACTGATACCCTCTTGAGATTGGCAGCGACGGCGAGCCCTCACGCTTAGGACCGCAGGACGCGTCCTTGTCTCTATATAACGGGATATGCGTCAGCAATATCCGCGGCAGCGTCGCGCTCGTCGTGTTTTGGATATCCTCAGCCACGCTTTCGAAGAACGTCCGCGCCGGTTTATAAATCTGCTCGTCTTTGTGGTTCGTCATCGAGTTTGTGTCGAGCACAACAAACGAGTGGTTCCCAATCTCGAGCACCCGGTTCGGATCGCCAAAGTACGCCCGAAACCGATTGAGCGCCTCGGAGCTGATTGTATCTCCAAACCCGATATCATGGTTTCCCGCGACCTCGCGCACGGTGAGCTTGCCTATCCGGCTCGGAAACACGCGGTCGAACCGCTTGTACTCGCGCACCCACTCATCGTGCTCCCACTCTCGTCCGCCGTCAAACAGGTCGCCGAGGAAGATCGTCGCGTCCGAGTCGAGATAGCTCTCGATTGACTCCCAGGCGCGATGCATGTATGTGTCGACGTAGAACTCGGTCAGCGACTGGAAGAGCAGGTTGCGGCCGGGGTATGTGTGCGCGTCCACCAGCTGAGGATCAGCAACCAGCACAACACGCTCGGGCGCAGCACCGGCAGGCTACCAAGAACAACAGCAAGAGTTAGTCGCGAGCTAGATCGTATAGAGAGCAAACTTCAATCAGCAACTTACCCAATCCTCCCAACTCGCCCAATCGCAGCTTCTAACCGCGTCTTTAATCACCCTCCGCTCGCCCCAGTACAAGAAGTATCCCCACAGCAGACAGAGCAAGTTGGACGCGGTCAGAAACCGCCGCAGACTGACGCCCAGACGACCGTTTGCGAGCAGCCGCAGGCCCGATTTTCGGCTACTGTGAGGCCGCGAGGCGTGGTATAGGTTGGGCGGGTAGGACGACTCGTAGGTCGGCATTTCAGGGAGCTGGATGCGGTATCAGAGACAGGTCTGCATGAGCAGCAGGCGGTCGAATGGGAAGATGGAGTGAGACCAAGAGAAGGAAAAGGAGGAGGAAGATTGCAGAGGACTCGATGGACGCGGACCAGGCTGATGAGATGAAGAAAACATTGGGGCTCGTGTCTTCACTCCACGCTTCCGGCCGCTACGTCACCGCACGCGTCTGTTCCTATTCTCGGAGTTGTTCTTGACCACTACTATTTTAGAAGATTACTGCTTCTACTTCTACACGCTCTCTACTATTCAGCAGCAGGAAACATACAAGAACCCGCTCGTTTGCTGAGTTCTCGGCCAGACCGAACGGTGGGATTAGAGTTCCGTCATCAGATTAAGCCCCCGCGTAGAATCAGATCTGGCATTACATCAATAGTTAGGTAATTACCCCAAACAGCAATTCGTATACAATATCAACACTACATCGACTCCCGCGGCAGCCTGTTCTCGCCCTCAGTCCACGGAACACCGGCTTCCTCTCTCATCAAGTCATACACCCACCCGCCCTCTGGCCGCACCGTATTCCCCTTCGCCAGCTCGGTGAACAAGTACAGCCACGCCGACGCGTTGCCCACCGTGTGCACCTCGTCGCTCACCGACCTCAGCGCGTACTCGGACAGCGTCTTGTACAGCTTCTCGTTCAGGAAAAGATCGTACATGTGCTTGGCCACCGCTGAGGTATCCCCAACATCGCACAGGTAGCCGTTCTTCTCGTGCTGGACCTGAAGAGGGATACCGCCGGCTCGATACGCAACGATAGGCTTCCCCTTATGTACGGCCTCAGATACCTTGACTTCAAACCCTTCGCGGTGAGAAAGCTGTAAAACGACTGCCGCGTTCGACAGCAGACAATTCAGAAGCTGGTCGCTGGGTCCGAGACGCATGACGATAATGTCACTAGCAATGCTGGCGTACTTTTCACTCGAGATCGTCTGCACAGTCTGATCATACACCACCGTCCCATCAGGATCATCTACCGCTCCATGCCCAGCAATCACAAGCTGTGGAATCTTGCGGATCGGAAGATCGTCGTCCATCATCTCGCGCAGCAGCCGATACGACTCAAGAACGTCGGGGATTCCCTTGCTGGGGTCGAACCGCGCAATCTGGCAAATATACGGCCGCATAGGAAACACAAGCTTATTGGCCTTGACTTCCTCGCATTGCTTTTTGAATTCTCCAACGTAGTAGAACGTGTCCCAACGCGAAAGTTCCTTGTTGAGACCGTCGAGCCAGTCCGTTGCCGCAGGCATCAAGCCCACCTTCTTGATGTCGACAGCATCAGGTACAAAACCTTTGACCGGATGAGAAATAAAAACATCCGCATCCTTGATTCCAGAATTCCACAGATAGTCCCACACGCCTTCCTGAGGTGATCCTTTCTGCTTGATCAGATCAGACCGCACCTCGATATGCGACCGGTAAATGACCTTGATCCCCGCCGCCTTTGCCTTTGGAATCAGCCCGACAACCTGGGGATCGTCCATAACCGCAATATCAACCCCCGGCGGCTTTTCAGAGTCCAACGGTCCCGAGCTCCAGTACCGCTCAAAGTTCGACTCGATCCATTTCGTGAACTGCTCCTTTTGCGCGTCGTTCAGTCGCAGATCTGGATCGGCTACGCCCTGGATTATATTATGATTGTTCTTTGTGATCCGGAACACGCTGGGATTAGGCTTGGGGACGTACCATGTAACATGGAGGTCAAATAGTCGAAACAGTCTAATCAACGCATGTCTCATAAGCGCTACTCCGCCGCCCTGCGGAGTCGCGTTAAAGAATGCGACGCGCACACCCTTGTGGCCGTTGACTCTGATAGTCTTGAGTTCTTCCGCCAGCTTTGTAAAGCACTCCCATGTCTGCGGAGACACAGACCTTTCATAGTCGGCAATATCAACCATGTGAATAAACCCGTCGTCGTCGACCTCGACTTTATTCCTGTACCCGATCGCCGTGCGCGGCAGGCCTTTTGGCCCGAAGAACATGATCATCTTGCGCGCGAGCGAGTCGGCGATCTCGTCGCATGTCGACGAGTTGGCTTCGCTTTCGTTTTCGTCCTCGTTCCCGGACGCGATCGCGTCGGGAAATACAAACGGAAGGATGTCGAGCTCGCTCCACAGCCGCGAGCAGAGCAAAGGGCAGAAGCGCTGGATCGCCTGGCGGAAGCCGACGGCGACGAATTTAGACATGTGGTCGGTCGAGTAGGCTTTGATCTCGCGGAGGATGTAGTCCGTGATACGGTCGGGGTATTCAGACGGATCAGCATCGGCTGAGATTGGCTCTTCTTTGAGAGCAAAGTCGGTTGAGAAGTAACCGTCGTGGATCGAGAAGCCGAATGTGATGGACTCTGTGTGCTCGCCCGGGTCGGGCAACATAATGTCAAGGCCCATAAACATCGACTAGTAGTTATTAGTCTTTGCCAGTCTAGAATATGGAACAAGGTAACATACCGTGAGAGAATGAATCCATGGCTCCTTCTTGAACCTCGGCACCGGCAGCATCAACTGATCTCTAAGCGTCGTAGATCCCGAGACACTAAAGTCCGTAATCGAGACCGAGCTCGTGCGCCGCTTACAAGGCGCACCCGGTGGACAATTGTCATCGGGAGCATGGTCAAAGTCGACTGCGTTCTCGTTCGCAGCGAGCGAGCTCGAGCGGTAGTCGTTGCTGTAGATGTTGTTGTTTTCGAAAAAGTTCGAGGTTGAGGAGTTGATCGACGACGACGAGACGTCTTCCTCCGAAAGCTGGATCAGTCTTGCTGAGGCAGAAGGCATTGTTGGAAGATTGTGAGAATGATCTTTGAGAGCGGAAATACTAAAATCGACAATCACATCACATCGTTAGAGTCTTCCTGCATTGGGACGTAAGAAGAGATGCTTCATACTTACGAATATCACTACACAGTGCAGCAGATTAAACTACCAAGTACATCTGCCACGAAAAAAGGTAAACGGACGAGAGAGAGGCTTTTATGGCAATCACTGGATCAATCCAGACGAATGCGGAATTCTCTGGATGATCGATGGTTAATCCCGGGGTAGCGAAGGATCACATGACGTCATTGGGAGCAGCCGCACGTCTGTCGGTGGCTTTTAATTCCACACGCGAGCCGAAGAAGACGAGATGTACCAGCCAGATCCGAGATGTACGCAGGTTGCTGTGAGTAGAAGAGCCATACAAGGGGAAAACATCGTCAGAGGATATGGAGCAATGAAAATTTGTTGAAGGTGATCAAGACTGCGTAAGAAGACTCACAGCGCAGATTCTGTGGTATTCTAGCTCGTCGCCCGTTTAGCTTTGCAGAAATAACCACAACCGGCGATCACGAGCGCGGAGCCTGATGTTAATGACATAGCAACTGCAAGCGATATTTCTCATTACGCGTTGACTGAATTTCTCAATTACCGGCCTGGAGTGACTTATAATTGATCTGCTGCAGCCAGTGCTTTCGAGCAGCCATTTAATAACGAGCAAAACAAAATCCGTTTCTATTCATCATACAAAAAAAACCATGTAATGATATGTACTGTAAAACCACGTATGACGAAATGATGTGCTCTAGTCTAATCTATCCCTCTAATCTACTGCTGCTGCTCCTGCAACTCCTTTTCCTTAAAAGCCTTCTCCGCCAACTCTGTAAGCACATCAAACTCCCCACTGCTCTCGCACATCCCTCTAAAAATTCCATTTTCTTTTGTAATAAGCTCGAACGGCGACGCAAACTCGACAAGTCTCCCCGCGTCCAGCACGAGAATCCGGTCGTAGTCTATGATACTCCGCAGACGATGCGCGATCGTCATGATTGTCGACTTGCGGAACTCTTCGCGAATCGTCTGCTGCAGAAGCGCATCGGTCGCGTAATCGATCGACGCAGTGGCTTCGTCTAGGAAGATGATCTGGGGCGACTTCAGAAGCGATCGGGCGAGGCACATCAGCTGTCTCTGGCCTTGGGAAAGGTTGTTTCCTGATTCGGCAACAGGGGAGCTGAGATCTGTGAACACGTTGAACTGGGCCTCTTCCGACTGTGTAGATGACGAGGCACCGGAAATGTCAGTCTCTGAGTCGACCAAATGGACGCGGCGAAGCGTTTCAAAAATCGCGGCGTCAGAGTATTGGTTGAATGGATCCAAGTTTGAGCGAATAGTGCCGGAGAAGAGAGTAGGATCTACAAAACGTTAGCAAACTATACAAGACCAGAAACCGCGAGAACAACTCACCTTGAGGAATGATTGCCAAAGCCTCGCGCAAGTCACGGAGACCAATAGTGCTGATATCAATTCCATCAATCACAATCCTTCCCTCCTGCGCCTCCAAGAACCTGAAGAATGCCGACGCGATCGTCGACTTTCCGGCTCCCGTGCGGCCAACAACTCCGATATTCCAGCCCGGCTTGGCCTCGAACGTCAGCCCGCTAATCACCTTTGGCAGCTCAGGTGCATACCGAAGCGACAGATTCTCGACCTGGATCGAGCCGGCGTGGGGCCAGCCCGCAGGAGGACGTGCGCCTTCGATGACAGCAGGAGGTTCTTGCTCGATATCGATGTACTCAATCACGCGCTCGACAGAGTTCATATTCATCTCGTTGAGCGTCCACACAAACACAAAATAGACCATGCTCTCGGAAAACGAGATCGCGTAGGCCAGGATCAGTCCCGCAAAACCGGGGTCGATTCTGTCGCTAAGCCAGATCAAGAGGAATGCAGTGGTCACAGCAACCAGAGTTCCAATCGACTGCGAGCAGAATGTCATCCACCGATTGCATACCCAGACGATAGTGTACGGACGCATGTTGTAGTCGAGAATAGACATATTCTGGTATGCAAAGCGCGATTCCTGGCCGTAAGCGCGGATCGTGGCTAAGCCATTCAGAGTCTCTCCAAAATGCTGGTAGATAGGACTCTGCGTCGTGCTCTGCAGCCGTCGAAGTTCGAGCGAGGACTTTGAGTACAGGTTTGAGATAAAGTACACCGCGCAACCAATAACAAATGCAACGATCAAAAACTGCGGCACGACAGCCGAGATGATGATCAAGACAGTGACGAGCTCGGCAGCGTGCAAAGCCACGTATCGCAGCCAGGTCGCGATCTCGCGATCGACGGTGGCGATGTCCTTGCCGAATCTGTTTAGGATGCGACCGACGGGGGTGATGTCGAAGAAACGCGGGCTCGCGTATATGATGGAGTTGGTGATGTCGTTGAACAGTTTCCGGGATGCCATGATGCTTCCGTAAAACAAAAGCACTTCACGAAGGTAGGTAATGAGCAAGAAGACGAACGAGATCAACGCATAGACTGAAAAATAAAAGAACGAGCCATGGTCTCCGCCAATCTTTGTGACCTCAATCTCGCTCTCGACCGACGCCGTGGTGTCAGACCAGTGACTCACCCACAGATTCTTACTAGCCTCCGCAAGCTGCTGCAGGACGCACGCAACGACGAAGGTAAGCCAGAACCACTTGCTACCCATATACTGGAAATAAGTCAAGTAAGTGCTCAACTTGATCGATCCCGTTTGCTGCGACTCGGCGTTCTGGGGCGCCTCCGAGACATCCTTCATCTTGATTGAGGCCATCAGCCTCTTAGCCTCTTCCTCCGTGTCTTCTTCGTCAGCCTTCAAAGTCTCCGTTTTTTGCAGAGGATCCACATTCAAGGATTTCAAGTCAGTCGTCGATGGGGCAGGTGTATTCCTGCTCGAGATATTCCTCCGCAAGACATCGTCGTCACCAAACACGTTCTCCTCCGAGGCTTCCACCGGCGTTCCCTGGAACTTGACCCGTCCGTTGTTAACCGAGACGATAAAGTCAGCATCAGGAACACTGAGTGAGATGTTATGCGAGACAAGAATACAGGTTCTACCCTCCATCATCGGACCCTTAATGCACTTTTTGTAAACCCAGAGCGCAGAGTGCGTGTCAATCGCGCTCAAGCAGTCATCGAGCAACAGGTGCTTAGCGTCAGAGTAAACCGCACGCGCAAGCGAGATTCTCTGCTTTTGTCCACCGGAAAGCGAGATTCCTTTCTCGCCGACTTCAGTCAGATCGCCGTGCTCCAGAATCTCGAAATCCCGGACGAGAGCACAGGCGTAGACGGTTTGACGGTAGCGAGCCTCGTCCATCGGACGACCGAATAGGATATTGTTGCGGATAGTGTCGTTGATAAGCCATGCCTGCTGCGCGCAATACGCGACCGACTCGGAAAATCCAGTCTCTGGATCCCGCGCCGGTTTGCGACTAGTGGCAACACCAGGGAGGTAGACAGATCCCTTCAAGAGATTCATCTCACCCAGCAAAGCCATAAGCATCGAAGTCTTTCCGGCACCGGTGGGACCAACGATGACGGTCAATTTGCCGACCGGGAAGTCAATCGAAAAGTCAGAGAGAGTAAACTTCTTTGCACTCTTTGAGGAGCCCCAAGTGAATGAAGCGTTCTCGAATCCGATGTATGGAGAATCAGGTCCGCGAGGCTTGGATAGCTGGCTGTACTTCTCAGTCGTCGAGTCATCATTAATGAAGTTCTCAATACGATCCAACGAGACTTTCGCACTCATCACCATCGTCAACAAAGACGACACATTCTCGAGCGGCGTCTTGATAACATTAACTAGAGAGATTGTTCCAAACGCAAGAGAGGCCGTGAGCGGGTTTCCAGTGACACCGATATAGGTACCAAGCAAAGCCAGCGTCATGATCAGAGGAGTGCCGAACCAAGTCGCACCGCCGGTCGTGGCGAGGAGACAGAACTTGATAAGAACGTTGACTTCCTTGTTTCTGATTTCCATGAGCTTGTCTTTGAACATGGATTCCCAAGCTAGATAATTCGGTCAGTAAGTTTTGTGAATTAGATCACACTGGGAATGTAAGACATACCGAAATATTTGATAATCTTGATATTCTGCAGAATCTCATTCGTCATACTGACTCTCTTGTCAGTGATCTCCATAGAGTCCTTGTGGTTCGTCGCCAGAGATTTGGAGATCCACACATTCACCGGAACCAGCGCAAGAAACGCGATGATTCCAGCAATAGCACTGACTCCGAGCATCTTGAGCAGTAGGTAAAACGCGAAAAACACAATGATGATGGTCTTGACAAGGATTCCAGCTTCTGTGAACGCGTCGGAAATCCTGGTGGCGTCGATTGCCATCAAGTTCACGATCCGGCCGGTATCTGTATCGTCGGATTTCGAGCCTTCGGAATCCTCGTCGTCGTCACTGACAACCGTGCTGTTTAGTTTCGCGGCAGCTGTTTTGTCGTCATCGGCCTCCTTCGACGAAGACTCGTTGTCGACCGCACTAGTGATTTTCCGACGAAGAGCTTTGGCGTAAATCTCAGTGATCAAGATAGACCTGTACGTGTTTCCGTTCTTTCGGAATCCCCAGGAGCATAGAGAGTCCAAAGACGCAGATGACAGCGAAGTGAAGAATAGCACCAAGACATACAGCCACGCCATATGTCTCGGAGTCTCACTCGGGTTTTCAATGTAGCTGACAATCAGTCTGAGACAGATCGTCGGTCCAAAAGTGAGCATCGAGGAGACGACTGCGATGCAGATGTTGACAATGAACGGCGCGACGCAGAGGTTGAAAAGCGTCCATCTGAACGACGCAGTTCGGCGGACCGCTCTAAATCGGCGGCTCAGGTAGGGTGAACGCATTTCTTCCGACAAATCCCACAGGGTATCCATCTTTAGAGGTGTGCGACGACCTTCCAGCAACAGAGGCACTAACCAGCTGAACGTCAAAATGGACGCAAACGAAGCATACGGCTCAGGCATGTAGGTCAGACCCTTGTTGACCTTGACATATGCAGGTGTGACTCCCAGGGGAGAGCAGAGCGCGATGACAAAGAGGGCGGTAGCGAGAGCGGTGTCGAAGAAGGTAACGATTGAGAAGAATTTTGAATGCTGTGAGACGAGTTGCGAGCGGAAGTCGATGACCGAGATCACCCAGTATATGGTAAAGAGGCAGGCGAGGTTCGCGCTCACTCTGTATGAGAGATCGTATGATAGTGTAGTGTTGCGGTAGAATGTGAGGAAGAGAATGTAGGACTGCAAGATGATGTTAGAAGAGACTCCAGCCCCATAATAATCGATGATGAAAGGGGAACATACCCAAAACAAAACGGAACACGCAGATCTATAGACTGACACGTCCGAGGCCTCGTTGAACGTAGCGATAACACCGCCGACCAGGTGAAGAACAATAGCCGCGGCCACGAAGACGCGCTCGAGAGCGGCGCGTAGTCGGACGGCGTTCGGCGGGAGAAAAACCAAGTCGGTGTCTTCCTTGTGCTCGTCCTCGCGCATGAGATAAGAGTCCTCGATGCTGTCTTCCTCGACGGGAACGGGGAGGACAGAGCCGCCGTCGGTGGATTCGCAGTGGTCGGTGGTGCGTAGACGGTACAGTCCGCCTTCTTCATCCTCGGCGTCGTATGGACTGCTGTGGTCGGCTATCAATGAGTCGTCGGTCCCGAGATTTATACTGCCGGTAGACTTTCTGAGTAGCGGAATAACGAGACATGCCGATACTGCAATGGAAATGAGTGGTAATATGATATGCAAATAACTGTGGTGGAAGAAAGGTGTTAGTAGAGCAGGCAGCCCGCTTGGGTATTATCACTGGGAATACTGACTGTATGTCGACGCAAGAAGTGAAGTCTGAGTCGACCCACGCCGGTCCGCGACAGAAAATACTCGGAGTCATGATGCAGAGTATTTCTGTAATTGCAATTTCTGGTTTATTCAATTCGGAAAAAGACAAAGACAGCGGCCGAGGTGTATTTCTATTCTGGTGGGAGAGGTCATTGAAACTTTTTTTGCGAGGCCGATGGAATAAAGTTTACTGATTAGAGTCGGTGGATGCGATGGGAGTGTAACCAAGTCAAGTGCGCCAAGCGGATCCACAGCGACTCAGAGTTGAAGACTCTTACGCTTAGTGACAATATGCACAGTGTAAGCAGCTGGTGCTCGCTGACCGTGCTGCGGTGCTCGCTGAAAGACAACTTGGGCCGTCTGCGCTGCGTGCAAATCCCCGTTATCTCTCTGCCTGGTCGGTGTGTACACCCTCCTCCATTCTCTCTCGTCCGGCGCCGGAGCTCAACTCACTCGCTCGGCTTACGTCATAATAACCACGCTGGTGCTGTTGCTCAGCTTGAATCTCAGAAAGAACGGTGAGTCATAGTGACTCTTACAGCCGCGCCAATGTCATCTTTTAAATGAATCTGCGGTGCACTTGCTGAGCAACTTATGTCTGGCTGCGTCGACAAACGTCTCTTGTTACCGTCCAATTGCTCTTCTGGTTTTCGTAAACAAACCACCAAAGCCAGGAAAATCAAACAGCAAAACTCGCCCGGGCCTCGGCGGGCCAAGTTCCCTCGTTCGCCAAACTTAAAGGTGTTTAAACTTCCCGAGCCGACTCAATTGGGACAGGCTCTGGGCAGCTTGCTTTCCCAATTCAGCAGCCTAAAAGTCCCAACTTGCGTTGTTATAGAAAATCCCAAACTGTTGCATTCTTCAACTTAAACATCAAAACACGTCTACTACTTTTACTTCTTTTGCGAGAAAGACTGCTCCGCCATCTCCCGAAGCACGTCAAACTCCCCACTACTCTCACACATCCCTCTAAACACGCCGCCTTCTTTCGCTATAAGCTCAAACGGCGTCGCAAACTCCACAATTTTCCCGGCATCCAGCACAAGGATCCGGTCGTAGTCTATGATACTCCGCAGACGGTGCGCGATCGTCATAATCGTCGACTTGCGGAACTCTTCTCTGATGGTCTTTTGCAGGAGCGCGTCGGTCGCGTAGTCTATCGACGCTGTGGCCTCGTCGAGGAAGATTATCTGAGGCGACTTCAAAAGTGATCTCGCAAGACACATCAACTGTCTCTGACCTTGCGAGAGATTGCTGCCAGACTCTGAAATAGGAGAGTCAAGATCTGTGAATATATTGAACTGTGTCTCTTCAGTCGTTGCAGATGAGGATGCTGTTCTGTCGGAACTGGAGTCGATAAGATGTACTCGTCGGAGAGCTTCGAAGAGCGCTGAATCAGAATACTGATCAAACGGATCCAAGTTCGATCTCACCGTTCCACTGAAAAGCGTGGGGTCTAGAAATACATTAGTAAGTCATATCAAGCAAGTATACTGGCATATAACGCTCACCCTGTGGAATAATCGCCAAAGCCTCGCGAAGATCATGAAGTCCGATCGTGCTGATATCAATCCCGTCAATCACAATCTTGCCTTCATCAGCTTCCAGAAACCGGAAAAACGCAGTGGCAATGGTCGACTTTCCCGCTCCGGTACGACCGACTATGCCTACATTCCATCCCGGCTTGACTTCGAACGTCATGTTCTCAATCACTCTTGGAAGATTAGGCGCGTACCGTAACGACAGATTCGTGACCTCAACAGATCCCTCGTGCGGCCAGCCAATAGGTGGACGCGAGCTCTCGATATGAGCTGGTGCTTCTTGCGCAACGTCAGTGTACTCTACCAAACGCTCGATAGAATTCATGTTCATGTCCTTCATAGTCCACATCAAGACAAACATCGACATGTTTTCCGAAAACGTGATTGCATAAGTAAAACAAAGCCCCGCGAACCCAGGATCTATAAAATCGCTGCGCCAGATCAAAAAGAAACCAGTGAGGATCGAAACAACATTGCCAATTGACTGGCAGGTAAATGTCATCCATCGGTTGCTTGCCCACACGAGTGTGAACGGACGAAGACTTCGATCAAGCGTGCTCATGTTTTGAAACGCAAATCGCGCTTCGTGGCCGTATGCTCGAATAGTACTCAATCCACCAATCGTCTCCCCAAAGTGCTGGAAAATAGGACTCATTGACACACTAAGCATCCGACGGAGCTGCAACGATGTCTTTGTATAGATCACCGAGATCTGATACATAGCCACAATGATCACCATAGCGACAACCCCAAACTGCGGGAGAATCATCATCACGACGGCAAAAATCGTCACAATCTCGGCAAAATTGAGCATCGTCCCAAACAAGACACCAAAAAGCTCCTGGTCAACAACGTAGATATCCTTGCCGAACCGGTTCAAAAGACGGCCTACAGGCGTGGTATCAAAGAAGCGTGGCGTCGCGTGGATGATGGACTCAACCAGATCTGTGAAAATCCGGCGCGATCCTCTGATGCCACCGAGAAGACCAAAGAGTTCCAGCACATACGTGAAAATCACGTAGACAATCGATATAAGCACGTAGATTGAAAAATAGTATGCTGTACCATGACTGGAAACATCCTTGACTGCCTCATCCGCCTGCGCGGCTTCTGACCAGCGTCCGACCCAGGAATCCTTAGACACCGTGAGTCCCTGCTGCACAGCATATCCAGCAATGATCGCAACCAAAAACCACAGGCCTCCAATGTAGTTCAAATAAGAGGTATATGACCTCCATTTAATCGCGCCAGTCTCTTGGGACTCTTCATTACCTGGTGCCTGTGACTCGTGTTTGACTTGAATCTTGTATAATTCCAGTTCTTCACTTTCTGCGTCGTCGTCGGCGTCTTCTCCTGCTGCTGTGCCCAGGGGATTGGAAGAAGAGAAAGAAGACTGATTCTCGCCAGTTATATTCCGTCGCAATGCCTCGTCATCTGCAAACAAGTTCTGCTGCAGAGCTTGCACCGGACTTCCCGCAAACTTGATCTGTCCGTCGCCCACCGAGACCACAAAGTCCGCACCAGGAACAACCAGCGAGACGTTATGGGAAACAAGGATGCATGTCCTTCCTTTCATCAACGGTCCGGTCAAACATTTGTTATACACCCAAAGTGCAGAGTGCGCGTCTATCGCACTCAAACAATCGTCGAGAAGGAGATGCTTGGCACTAGAATACACTGCACGTGCAAGCGATATTCTCTGCTTTTGTCCGCCCGAGAGCGAGATTCCCTTCTCACCAACCTCGGTCAGGTCGCCATGTTCCAAAATCTCAAGATCGCGAGCCAAAGCACAGGCGTAGATCACGCGACGGTAGCGGTCCTCGTCCATCGGACGGCCGAAAAGGATGTTGTTGCGGATCGTGTCGTTGAGGATCCACGCCTGCTGGGCGCAATATGCAACGGACTCGGTATATCCGGTTGCAGAATCAATGGCGGGCTTACCGCTAGTCGTGATGCCGGGTAGATAAACAGATCCCTTCAGCAGCTTCATCTCACCAAGAAGAGACAGAAGCAAGGAAGTCTTTCCGGAACCGGTAGGTCCGATTATGACTGACAATTTTCCGACCGGGAAATCAACACTCAAATTCAACAGCTTGAACTTTTTTGAACTCGCCTCAGTACCCCAAGTGAACGAAGCGTTTTCAAAACCAATATACGGAGAATTCTCCCCACGAGGTTTCGAGAGCTGCGCGTATTTCTCAGTTGTATGCGTGTCATCCATAAACTCTGCAATACGATTGAACGAGACCTTAGCAGACATGATCGTTGGAAGCGTATCTGAAAACTGGGCAAGCGGCATCTTCAGCACATTGACAAGCGAGATGGTGCCAAACGCGACCGATGCCGTGAGTTCGTGGCCTGAAATCAAGGTATATGAAGCCAAGAGAGAGCCTGAGATCAGCAAGGGAGATCCAAACCAGCTGAAGTTGCCCAAAGCGGTAAGTGCTTTCAAACGAGAAAGCTGGAGTAGTTCCTCGGCGCGGAGCTTAAATATCTGACTTAAAAACATATTCTCCCAGGCTGTGAACTCAACGTTAGCATATGTCGACATAAACAGTCACTTATCAAACGAGCACTCACCAAAATACTTTATGATCTTGATATTCTGCAAAACCTCATTTGTCTTTGTCACGCGCCTATCGCTGATCTCCATAAGTCTCTCCTCATACCCCGCGAAAGCATTAGCAAGCTTTGCGTTCAGCGGCACCGATACTGCAAAGGCGACAACTCCAGCAATAGCACTTTTTCCCAAAAGCTGGAAAAGAAGACCAAACGCGACAAAGAAAAGCACGAGGATCTTAATAATCATGCCAAAGCGAGAAACCGTGTCGCATACTTTCAGGGCGTCGGTGCTCATCAAGTTCATGACCATTCCGGTGCTGAACTTTGGTTTGGGAGCGGGCTCGTCTGTGTTCTCTTGCTGCTCGGTGCTCGACTCGGCTGGCTGTGTAGAGTCGTCTTCAGCGCCCGCATCTTTGTCTCCCTCGTTGGGGTTAGAGCTTTTCTCAGGCTCGGCCGCGCTCACGTGGCGCTGTAAAGCTTTGCTATAGATCTCGGTAATAAGCAGCGCACGGAGTTCGATAGAGATCTTCCTCAGACCCCATAGCGCAACCGTATCCAAACATGAAGTCACAAGAGAATTGAACAACAGCAGGAAGACGTAGAACCAAGCCATGTTTCGCGGTGTGCGGCTGGGATCTTCGATGTAGCCGACGATAAACTTGAGCAAAATTGTCGGACCGAATGACATTGCTCCAGAGATGGTGGCAATCGTGCTGTAGATGATAAACTGCGTAAAGCGAAAGCTAAGCAGAGATCTTCTAAATGAAGTGGTTTTTCCTCGATTGAATGTATGGAACATCCGGCTGACTGTCAAAGACCGGGAGCTGTCCGGCAAATCGTATAGATCATCGTACGTGAGTTCTTTATGCCGGCTCTTCAACAGGATAGGAAGCACCCAAGCCATTGAGAAAACTGAAATCAGAGGCGTAAATGGCTCAGGAGAGTAGTCAAAACCTTTGATAACTTGAATGCTGCTGGGGATATATCCAAGAGGCAACGAAAGAGCGATGACAGACACTGCAGTCGCAAGCAGGAAATCAAAAGTCGCGGCCACGGCATAGAGCCGCGAATGATCAGAGATCAGAACGGATCTGAAGTCGATAGCAGAAATAGGCCAGTAGGTAAGGTAGACAAAAGCCAGATTAGCGCAGGCTTTGTATGAGAGATCGGGGGAGCGAGTTGACTTTCGATACAGGGTTAAAGAGAGAGCGTAAGACTGGTAAAATATTGTCAGCGCTAGATACGAGCAATAGGGAAAATAGCACTCTGGAGACATACCCAGAAAATGATCGAAAGCAGCGACGCTGTTTTAGATAGATCCAAAACTGTAGAAAACAGAGAAAGCCCAAGCTGGACAGTATGGAGAACAATCTGAGCGATCAGGAACGCTCGCTCTAAGGAAGATCGGAGCTGTAAGCCATGAGAGAAAAGAGAGACTACCTCAGTATCCTCATCCAAACTCATGTCATACAAAGCCTTTGCAATAAAGCTGCCATATCTGAGAGCAGCGGGAGACTCTTCGGGTGAGAAGGTCCCGGTGCTGAGAGTGGACGCGTCATCCTGGTCTTCGGTATCGCCGAGTCGATCTGTACGGCGAGTGAGGAGCACGTCGTCAGAGTCTAGAGATAAAGGACGGTATCCATCCTTGAGCGACGGAAGAAAAAATGTAAAAGAAAGAGCGAGGATTAGGCAAGGGAAAATAAGGTGAAGATAGCTAGATGACGATAATGTGAGATAGGGATCAACAGTCAAAGATGTATTTACAAGAGCCTACTTTATATCAGCGCAGGTCGATATGTCGCTTTCATCCCAGAAGGGAGAACGACAAAAGAAAGAGAGAAACATGCTACTGAACCGAATATCTCCACAGACCCGGAATCCGAGTCCTTTTAAGGCCCTGGATTCAAGGTCAACTTCCCAGGCGGAAATGTTTAAGCAGAAAACAATGAACGCCGCATAGACGGAAAAGAAAAAAAGCAAAGAGCCAGTTCAACCGCGTAAACCGTAATCAAGCTTTATGAAATTAAACGTTAAATAAACAACCAAGACAATGCTCACCGCTAGTAACATGTACGCCCTCGCTCGACGATCCAAGACAACCGTTTGGTTTTGCAGAATCTTGAGAACAAGTGGACTTCATCTGCTTAAAGCAAACGAAAGATCTCAAGAACGCACAAAAATGATTTTCGGAAAAGCTCAGGGCGCGCAACTCTGCGTCCGCATCTTACCGCACCGGAATTATAAGAGTCATTTTACATCTGTAAGAGTCATAATTAGCTTTCCATCTGACTGTCCTTGAAAAATGTGATATTTAACATTTTTCCCCGAAGGGAACTAACAGCGACCGGATCTCAAAGGAATGATATAGGTAGGAGTAATAACAGGATTCAGTACCAGAACTAGAACTTTTAACCTTCTCATCCGTCTGATGATCTCAAATGGCTGCTTGAAGGTCCGGTAGTGCTGTCAGCGTGGACTCAGAGAGGCGACTATATCTCGATGGCACGGACCTCGAAGACAACGCCCCACTTCTCACTCATGTACGCCCTCGTACGGCACCCGGACCATTCAAGCTTTAATTCAAATTGGAAATTGGAACGTATCTCTATATAAAGACAAGACCATATGTCAGCGGACTTCTAAACCCCGAGTGAAGAAAGCTCTACCCCAGCTCGGAACTATCCACTAACCTGCAATCTGCGATAGGCTTTAGAATCACCTAAAGGTTTTCTGATATACTTCCAGCTCTCCTCCACCAGTTCATAATCCTCAACCATGGGACAACCCTGAGAACCTGACGCAGTCTCGGAAACCTCTCCTCTCAGTATCTCTAAGCTCGTCGCCTGTCGTTCTTTTTTCCGCCAATCTCGGTGCAGAATCCAAACCCCAGAGATAAAGTCATCAGTTGGACGCGCCGTACGCTGGTCAAGCTTTACCTCTTTCCGGCCATTGCTATATATCCCCTCAATCGTCTTTGACAGCATATTCCAAACCACGATCAAGCTGTGGGTCGTAGCAGCTATGTATTTCCCATCAACTGATACGTTCAGTCTCGTGTAGCTTCCAGGCTGAGATTGTGCTTTTGCGGTGATTTGAGCCGGCTGCGGCAGCACGTACAGAGGCCTACCCTCCCAGCGGTAGTTCCAAACGTAAATCTGATTATCGGGTCCGATAGAAACAAGATGTGTATCCGTCACGACAAAGTTAGGATCCCGCAACGTGATCTTCACTTGCTTGATCGTAGCGTCCAGAGGGAAATAAAGCGGGCCAGCTCCTCCCACTACTGGAGAAACCAGATCGAACGACCTCTGAATGCCTTCTTTCGGCTGCGGCGGTAGAGTTTCCGCTACTGACACTTTAGGTTGCACACTTGTTTGTTCAGAGTTGAATGGCCGATCCCATGCCGCTGCTAGCTGCGCCGCTTTATGCCACGATCTGCCAGTGTTGATTGCCGTGTCTCCAGCGACAGTATGATTTTATTTTCCAAATAAATCCCATCATTATAGCCAAAAGACACCGCTACTGGCTTCCAGAAAATGGGGTCTAGCTCCCGATGGTAGATCAGAGCATAGAAACGTTTGCAGACAAGGCTGAGTGCGTGTAGCCGTTCTAGCTGAAGCTGTGCAGGAGCAGGTTCATGTCCACGGGGCGGGAGTCCCGTTGGTGCGGGCGTGTAGAGCCGAACGATCTTGATGAGGACCTCCCTTGGAAGATCAAGTATCTGAGCCATAACACAGGAGGTTTCTCAGTATATTCTTCTCGTCTGGAATATTTGCACTGAATTGTAGAGAGCGAAGGGGTAAATCGGGGATATAGGCCCCCCAGTCGTGCGGCTCAGCAGACTTGCATTTGGCGGGGTGCTCGACTTTTTTACTGATCGCGAATTTTACTGATCACATGACCTACCAGATTGGGTCTCGAGGAACAGTTGCTATCAGGGCACAGTCATGTCTCTATAAAATCATCCACCGCGAACTCGACAGCATCTTTTGCATGGAGAAGTCAGATCAGGACTATTAGAAGGATCTGAATCATGGATAGCGTGCCCGAGGTCTTGTTTGCCTCGATGGGCATGTTCATCATCGACGAGATCCACTATCTCGACGGAACCTGTCTCAGAGATATCGTCGGCGGCGCAGGAACATATGCTGCCTACGGAGCCAGGTATTTTCTGCCACCTCCAGCGTCTAAAGGCGTGGGGTGGATCGTGGACGCCGGTAGTGATTTTCCAGAGCAGATTAAGCAGGATTTGCTCGCCCTCGATACCACCCTGATTTTACGGGAGGATAAGTCGAGACTTACGACCAGAGGATGGAATGGATACACAGAGAATGAGCACAGAGGTTGGTTTATGTTTTTGTTTTGACATTTATTGTTACACACACTGACTTGATATCTTGACAGCATTCAAATACATGACGCCAAAGAAGAGACTCACAACCGACGACCTCGAAGGCACACCGCTGATAAAATCCAGAACGTTTCATCTCATCTGCTCCCCCGAGCGCGCCACCAGTTTAATTGAAGGCATTGAAGGACGGAGGACAGCGTTAGGTGCCGGTTTGCCCAAGGCAATTATTGTATGGGAACCAGTACCTGACTTGTGCACGCCTGACCATCTGGAAGCGTGCTACGCCGCTTTACCTTCGGTCGACATCTTATCTCCCAACTCTGCCGAGGCAGCTGCGTTCTTTGGCCAGGACGAGCCCAAGGAGAAAGACGAGATCGAGGCTATCGCGCGTCGCTTTCTGCCATACATGCGCGACGACGCGGCTATCGTGATCCGAGCAGGCAGCTACGGCAGCCTTGTTCTTACAAAGAAATCCGGGAGCACATGGCTCGAGTCGTACCATACGCCGTTCCCCGACCGAGTGGTCGATCCTACCGGGGCGGGAAATACGTTTGTCGGAGCAATGTGCGTGGGCTACGTGCTCTCGGGCGGCGACTTTGTCGAAGCGGCGATTTACGGGAATATAGCTGCCGGATTGTCGATCGAGCAGGTTGGCCTTGCACGGCCTTCGACGGCAGATGGGGTTGAGCTGTGGAACGGCAGCAGGGTCACTGACCGATTGGCAGAGTATAAGAAGCGGATAGGACGGTAGTGAGCTGTCGGTGTGTATATATGTGTAGTATCTGTATTTATAATGCTATTATAGGATCTGACTCTATAATAGTAGAGACCAGCGAGAAGCTCTATCTTCTTACTGACGCTAATGCACGCTCACAGCCTGCATCCAGATCACATGACCTTCAAGCCGCATAACTAAACCCGAACCACTGCAGCCCCGGTTTGAACCGCGGTTGCAGAACCCCTTTGGCGCGCCTCATGCGCCCGGGACCGCCTTCGGCTCTACACGCGCTTCGTCAACACCCGCTGTTCCTTCACCACCGCAAAAGCAATCAACCTGATTCCATCAAGATGGCCGAATTCCCAAACATCCCGGGCTACAACCTGGTCACGCTCATGAAGCGGTATGTATATCTCCTTGTCCTGACTCGCTCGCGATCGGCAGCTCTGACTGACGCTTCTTCTATCGCAGACTCGAGGCCGCAACCTCCCGGCTCGAGGACTTGACCGTTTTCCAGAGCCAATCGATACAATCCTCGCGCGAACCGTCGGCGATCAGCACGCGCGAGCTACCCAGTGCCTTGGCTACCTCGTCCGCTACTCCCGTCGCTGCTGCCACACCCGCCGCGCCCGCCGAGCCCACGCCTGCGCCTGCGCCCGAGCCAGTCGTCGAGCAGATCTCGCCGGCGGTGCAGGAATTCGACGATTATGTAGCCGAGTTTGTGACTCCGTTTGTGGCGCTCAGCAAGGAGATTGACCCGGTTGTTGCCGAGCAGGCGGAGGCGGTCGCGAGTGCGTTCGCGGCCGAGCGCGAGTTTTTGCTGATCGTGTCCAAGGCGAAGAAGCCTGCTGCTTCTGATTCTGCGTTTATGGATCTGTTCAAGCCGATTTCGGAGCAGGTTGTTAGAGTGCAGGATCTGCGCGAGGGGAACCGAAGGTCAAAGTTTTTTAATCATCTGTCGACCGTTAGTGAGGGTATCCCCGCCATTGGATGGATTGGCGTCGAGCCTACGCCTGTGCCGTTCGTGGGGGAGATGAAGGACAGTGCTCAGTTTTATGCCAACCGAGTCATCAAGGAGTACAAGGAAATGTAAGGCATTTGTTTTTGTGTTTGTATACTTTGATCATAGTTGTCTTAACTCTTTGCTCTAGTGACAAGAAGCATGTTGAGTGGGCTCAAGGCTACCTGAAGCTCCTTACCAACCTGCAGGCCTTTGTCAAGAAGAACCACACCACCGGCCCCTCGTGGAACCCCAAGGGCGAAGATCTGGCCACTGTCCTTGCGTCCTCCAAGTCCAAGGAGGCTGCTGCTCCTACTCCGGCAGCTCCGCCCGCTCCCGCCGCCGGTGGCCCTCCTCCACCCCCGCCACCCCCACCTTCTTCTGTCTTCCAGGTGTCTTCCGAGCCCAGTGCTCCCGCTGGCGGTATCGGCGCCGTCTTTGCCGAGATTAACAAGGGTTCCTCTGTGACTTCTGGTCTGAAGAAAGTCGACAAGAGTCAGATGACGCACAAGAACCCTTCGCTGCGAGCCAAGGAGCCCGTTGCGCCGACGACCAAGTCCAAGACTCCGCCGCCGCCTACGAAGCCGCAGAGCTTGAAGCAGAAGAAGCCGCCTCGGATGGAGCTCGAAGGCACGAAGTGGATCATCGAGAACTACGAAAACAACCCCGAAGTGATCGTCGAGGTCGAGATCAACCACGGCGTCTTCATCCACCGCTGCGCAAACTCGACGATCCAGCTCAAGGGCAAGTTCAACGCGCTGACGATCAACGAGTGTAAATCAACCGGCATCCTCATCGAGAGCATGGTCTCGGGCGTGGATGTGATCAAGTCCACCAGCTTTGGCCTGCAAGTGACCGGCAAGCTCCCCACGATCTCGATCGACCAGTGCGACGGAGGCCAGATCTACCTCAGCGACCAGTCGCTCGACGTCGAGATCTACACTTCGAAGTCGTCGGCTATCAACATTAACGTTCCTGATCCGGAGCTTGATGGCGATTTCAAGGAGCAGCCGGTGCCGGAGCAGCTCGTGCACTCGATCAAGGATGGCAAGCTCGTTAGCACTATTGTGGAGCATATGGGTTAGTAGTAGCCTTTTTTGTATAATTCTGTGATGTTGTCTTCACCTATGTGATTCGTTTATGATACAGTCGTTTGTCTCTGTTTTGCATAACTTTTTTGTAGTAGATTTGCTCTGCCTAAACTCAGGGTAAAAGAATATTATAATAAAACATGTTACGTGCTTATATACATGGAAAAGTGCTAAACTCGCGCGTCGACACAACAAACTTTGTACATTCTATTTTCCCATCTCCATCAACCCGCCGATCCGTTCAGGTAAGATCAACTCTGCAAATAACAGATTTACTTTCTCCGTCTGACGTAGAATCGGTAAGCGTTCTGGTGCGCCTCCAAGCTAATCGGAGAGATGACCTCGGAATGTCCCTCTCTGATGACAGGATCACGCATGTAGACTGCGCTACAGCTCTTGAACGAGATCTCAATGTGATGCGGCAGGATGGCGAACGGCGCCAGGAACGGGCGCGGAGTCCAAGGTGTGAAGTAGGGCTTGTCTGGGTCCTCTAGACCATAAGGGCCTTCTTGCCATGGCAAGTCCAGGCCGGTGAACTCCTTTTTGTAGACATACCACCAGTGAGGAGTGAATTGACTGGATGGCGCCAGGAACTCACTGAGAAGCTCCTGGCTCTCGGCGATAGCAAACCCGTGTTCAACCTCGATGAAGTGCTTCACCAGCTCCTTGAACTCATTGGAATCCTGGTTCACGGCTTTAGCAGAGAAAACCTTCTTGTACGCTTCCTTAAGACTGTCGGTCTCGATATGACTGGGCGGAGTCACCTCAGCCGTAGACGTATCGTCCGTAGACGTATCGGACTCCTTGTTGGAAGCCTTGAATTCTTCAAATGCGGTAAGCAGTCCTGAGACCGCAGATTCCTCATAAATCGAGCGGTCAAAGTCCTCCGCCTCCATCTCGGCGATCCTCTTCTTCAAAGTTTCGATAGCCGTAAGTCTGCACTTGCGGTAGAGGGCATCGCCATCCATTAAACCATCGACGGGCATAGGCTGAAACTTTTCATTAAACGCATCCTCCGCGTCTTCTTCGCAATAAGCTAAAAACTGTCTGAAATTTTCCCGCTGCTGTTCGTCAACGAGTTCCGACTTCTCTTGCGACGGCTTCTCGCGACCGACCGCTCGGAGGACACAGTCGGGCTCGACCTGGAATACGTCGCCTGGCCTGAGCGGGTACCGGCAATATTGCATCTAACACGAGGAGAAAATGTCAGCTCAAATACTCCGATGAACGACATGCGCAAAACAGAATATCAACTTACCCGTCGTCCGTTCACCTTCACCTTTCCCTGAGCCACAAACTGCCTCGCCTGTTTCGGACTGCTCGCAAACATAGCTCTGAACACAGCCACGTCCAGTCGTCGCTCGAGCGGCGTGAACAAGTCCATGGCGATGGGGGTCTCCGCCGTCGACTGCCCTGGGTTGTCGTTGTTGAAATTCGCGACGCTCTTCAGATGTGGGTTGAAAACTCCTTGCCACTGGTGCTCTGTGATATGGTCGCCGTGGTACGCACGCGACTCGCGCTTTGATAACCATCGCTGTTTGTACTCGGAGAAGGGCGCGAGGTAGAGATCGTCCTTCTTTGCCAGGTTGTAAAAGTTCTGTTTATGCCACGACGATCGAACAAGCTAGAGACGGTAAAAACATAAAGTAAGCATCAGCTATTACAAAACAGCTTCAGATATCGAGATAAAGCACCACTTACTCCGCGCACGAGCGACTTGAGCGGAACCGATGGCTTCTTCGGCATCTCGCTCGACTACCACTGGACGTGAAAGGAAAGAATGCAAACAAACACAAAAACTAATGCTCAAGCAAGCAATCTCCAGACAGCCGATTGATGGGCTATTCCAATCGTCGCGCTGATTTGCTCAATTGCTCTGCTGGTTCTCGAGCAAGCGACGTCCTGCGGTTTTTCAGAAAAAATTTCGGGATTTGGTTTGCTCGGGTGTGAGAGTTACCCGGATTGAAGGAGTACGACACCCGTGTAAGCGCACAGTGATGGCTCCTACTTGTTTGTTCTACAGTCGAATTCTTTATTCTTTATATCATAGATTCAATGGACAATGGCTGCTTTAATGATATTCTGTCTGAGAGTGATTTGCTGGTTCACTGTAGAGGCTCTTTTGCGGAATAGTCAGAGCGGCACTTCTGCGACGGCAGTCGAGATAGACCCTTCGAATCTGCTACAGACTAGCAACGGATCAAATTCGACATCCGACTCTGAGCTGATTTTCAAAGTACGCCATGAATTCGAGTTCTCGGGGTTCTTCAAATCGGAAGCGAGTGGATCTGATATCCGCTGGGAGGATGTTCAATTAGTCGGGAATGTTTCTGCCGAGCAGCGACTCGGTATCTTGACGACTACCGAATCTACTGACAGCGGAGCGGCGGGTTGGAAGTATATACCCAATGTTCAGGATAAGTGGACGCTTGTCAGTCTAGGAAAGATGTGCGCGAATGCGTACGTGAGGTCGCCGAGCGACGATGGCTGGATAGAGGGTGACAAAGAATGGGAGAAAGTAGATGAGATATTGTATAGCGTCTGAGATTTCTGTGCTAATCTTCTGTCGTTTGAAAGGGTCACGCGATTGGCTGGCAAGGCGATGGTCTCCGTGGTCACGTTTTTGTGGATCTGTTGCTGCGGGTCGTCATTATTGCGTTCAAAGGGACGACGACGCGATTGTCGGTCGATGGCGATGATACGGTTGATAACGACAGATACAATGTAGTGTCGAGCGGGTCTGTTTTTCTGTACAGGTTCAAGAACTAGCTAACACTTTTCTGCTTTGATTCTCTGTGTGCTTTTTCTCATTACAGGACAATCTTTTATTTTCATGCTGTTGTGCTGCGGAAAGCGGCACCTGGGCACCCGAGGTTTGCGACTGCTACAGCTCTTCGCGGTCGTATCTGTGCTCCAACAGTTGTGTTTCCGGGAGTTTGAGAGGAGAGAGCTCTTACTACACGCAATCTTTAAGCGTCTACCAGCATGTGCGGCATATGTATCCCATGTCTTCGATTTGGTTGACAGGCCACTCTCTCGGCGGTGGCATTGCGAGTCTGCTCGGCCGCACGTACAATCTACCTACGATCACGTTTTGTGCGCCCGGTGAGAAGCTAGCTGGCGAAAGACTCGGGATCGCAGGCGGTGCTGAAGACGGACACATCTACCACGTTGGCAACACGGCGGATCCGATCTTCATGGGCGCATGCAACGGCGCGCTGGCGGTGTGCTCGGTTGCAGGGTATGCGCTGGAGACGGGGTGTCATATGGGGTATGAGTGCGTGTATGACACGGTGAATGACAATGAGACGGTGATGTCGGTGGGGAATCATGGGATCCGGAAGATGGTTGAGATCATGGAGGGATATGGGTCTGCGCCGGCGTGCGAGAGGCGGGATGAGTGCAGGGATTGCTTTCTGTGGGATTACGAGGAGTAGGTTTGTTTGTTTGTTGCTAGGAGGAGGTTTTGTAGAATTATACAGGATACAATAGGATACGATAAGAATAACTAGATTACTACAAAATACAGGAATATTACAATAGCGGGCGGAGCAATGTCGTCATAGGAGGAGAAACCCTAATTTCCAAGCGGCCGCCTTAAAGCGCAGATTTGGCTTCTTGAACCTTTCACTTCTTCTCTGCTCTCCAGATGTCATCACGCCTGCTTTCATCTACAATCCGCACTTCTTCCTCTTCGCTCAAGCAATTATCTCGCTCTTTTTCTTCTACTCCTTTCAGAATGGGTGTCACTGTTGATAGCATCGCTCCCGGTAGGTTTGGTGCTGCTGTGTGGTGTGATGGGGGAGAGAGATGAGGTAGATGAGGACCCTGGTGGGCCTCAACCTTTCCTCTTTTCTCTTCTCTCGCAATCAACCTGGTAATTGCATGTACTGACCATTCCTATACGTATAGGTAACGGCGCCGACTTCCCCAAGGCCGGAGACAAGGTCTCCATGCACTACGTCGGAACTCTCGAGAACGGCAAGAAGTTCGACAGCTCCAGAGACAGAGGTGAGCAAGAGTGTTTCACATCTACCGCTTCAATTGCTTTGCTTGCTTAGAAGCTGACATCAATTCTCTCCAGGCAAGCCGTTCGAGACCGTCATTGGCGTCGGCCAGGTCATCAAGGGCTGGGACGAGGGTGTTCCCAAGCTCTCTCTTGGCGAGACCGCCAGACTCACCATCACTGGGTATGTCACGATCATCTCCGATCAGTTATCTATTTAGTGTACTGACCTTGATGTCTTTCAATCTAGTGACTACGCTTACGGATCCAGAGGATTCCCCGGTCTCATTCCTCCCAACGCTACCTTGATCGTACGTACTTCTCGCTCAAGTATCGATTTAAAGTCTATATGCTAACAGTATGATTCAGTTCGAGGTCCAGCTTTTGGGAATCAACGGCAAGAAGGCCTAAATCTTCTGCCAATGACAGAGTGAATGGCCGGTATAGACTTGTTTCTACGATCCTGCTGCCTCTAAAAAGAAGAGGGGAGGTTTCTTTTCCGGCCTGTATAAGGATATTTTGTACTATTTGACCTGAAAAATAAAAGATGCTCGCCTCGAGCGAGCTGATTCTACAGAATATGAAATTAGGCAGAGTGTATAATGTAGTGTAGATTATTTCCTCCGTGAACTGCGTCGGGTAGGCCCGCTGCTTCTAGTTCCAGGAGCTCCAGATCCCGCAGCACTCCTTCCTCGTCCCCGTCTACTGCTCCGACTGACTGCCCGTCTCTTATGTGTCTCTGGCTCATCTTTATCGCTCATCTCTGTAGACCCCTCGTCCTCATCTCCCTCTTCCTCTTCGTCCTGTTCTTCCTCGTTTGCATTGCCGTCGTCCTCTTCGCTTTTTTCCTCCTCTCCCTCGTCTTCGTTCTCATGTGTTTCTTCGCGCTTGGTGTTTCTCGTCGACGCAATTTTATCTGACCGTCGCGATGTAGTATTAGATGCCGTGTTTGAATTTGCAGCAGCCCGGCCGCGCCCACGTTTCGCGCGCGAGGGTGCCGGAACCGGTGTTTTCTCCTGAGGCGTCGAAGCAGCGCGTCCTCGTCGTCTAGTCGTCCGAGGCGCGACTTCCTCCTCTTCCTCCTCCTCGTCCTCTTCTTCCTCTTCTTGCTCGTCCTCGCCCTCGTCGGCGTCATCATCTTCACCCTCCCGCTCGTCGCCGCCGTCTTCGGTCTGATCCGCGTCTTCGCCAGCAGACGCTTCGTTATCGCTCGTCGCGGCCGCGACTTCCCTACTACTCCGCTTCGTGCCGCGCGCAGCAGCAGGTGTCCCAGCGGCGGCCTCATCCGGCGTGGCCGCGACCGGCGTCGATATCTGCGCGGGACTCGTCGCCTGACTATCTGTCGCGCGCGCGTGCTCGATCTGCAGCTCGCCAAAGTCGTCCCAGGGCAGGATGAACTCTGATTTCATTTTCGCCGGGCGCGCGGGCGTGGTGGTGGCGCCGGTGGTGGTGGAGTCGTACTCGTCTTTGGGTTTGGCGGGGCTGCTGCTCGCGCTGTCGGCTTCTTGTTGCTGGATCTCGGCTTGGTGACGGGTTAGCATTGCGGGTGGAGAGGAGGGGATGGGGGATTGTGAGGAGGAGTCTTCGGTCGCGGTTCCGTCTTCCTGTGATGTGAATGCGATTAGAATCTGCACTGGTTTGATTAAGATGTAGGAAATGAAGGAAAGGGTGGACGTACGAGCTCATCGAGACCTTCGAGATCATACAGCGTCGCGAGTTTGTCCCAGATACTCTTAGTCGACAGATACGATCCCTGAACGTTCGAGTTGTTCACCATCTGCCGTATACAAACCATCATAAAATGCTTATTCACACCTACTCCTCCAACGTTAGCAATTCAATACATCATAGCAAACAGTAGATGGAGTCCGCAGAGCAACTGACCTACTGGTTTATACCGACATATCGCCTTAAACAGCGCGGTCTCCTGCTCGATGTTCCACGCATCCGGCGCAACGGTCGTCAACTCCTTCTTGCGCGTCATCCTTGTGCTTGTGAAGTCGCCGCCGTTATGTTGCTGTTCAGTTATTGTTGCTGTTGCTGTTGCTGTTGCTGTTGCTGCACTTGGATATACTTTTGCTCCCGCGAACGTGGACTGCATAAGCAGGATATTATTTTAGATATATGCTGCAATATGTAAGTGATTATGTAATATTTTGTGAAGCTGGCGCAATGGCCAACAGGCAGGCAAGATCTGAATAAACCATTTCTGAGAATAATCAGTAGCGTCAGCAGCAGTTCTTTCTTATTTATCAGGCGAAAGAGACGAGCGCGGGAAGCGGAAGACGACGCGAGGCGGACGCGTCAAAGTAGAGTGAACGCGTCTTTGAGTTAGACAGACGCGTCTTTTATTTCCAATCAAGGGGTTGGCTGCCCCGACGCGTTTTGTCAATTTCCCACTCTGGGCTAATTAACCCTTTGCCATTCACCTCCTCTCGACTTTGTCTTCCTTCCTCCTTTCTGATTCTTCCTTACTTGCTCCCTACTTCTCAGCTCTCAACTACACCTCATCTCTCAATCAGCTACTTCTCATCCCTTTCTTCACCTCACCTCACCTCACCTCACCCTCGACTCACTTCCACTCCCACACCACACACAATGGAGACCCCCGCAGGCCGCGACCTTCAAGACGCCGTTCTCGAAGACCGGACGCGCAAGTTCCAGGAATTTCTCGAAGACAGAACACATGCGACAGACTACCGCGACCTCATCCGGCTCATGCTCGTGCGCGACGAGCGACGGCTCGTCGTCGATCTTGATGAGGTCCGCGACTTTGATCGTGAGTTTTGGCAGGGGTATGTTTTTTTCTTCTTTCCTTCTCTTGTAGTATCAAAAGATGTGGGTAAGAGTTGTGCTGACTAGAGTTGTCTATAGACTACTGGACACCCCCGGCGAGTTTCTACCCGCTGCAGACAGGGCACTCCAGCTAACCGTCGTCGCGATCGCGGAAGCCCGCCACAACGTCGGCGAAAGCGATGTCTTCTACGTCGCCTACCGCGGCAGCTTCGGCGACCACGCCGTCAACCCGCGCACCATCTCGGCCAGCCACGTCGGCAAACTGCTCAGTCTCGAAGGCATCGTGACCCGGTGCTCGCTCGTGCGGCCAAAAGTCGTGCGCTCGGTGCACTACTGCGCAAAGACGGACCGGTTCCATGCGCGCGAGTACTACGACCAGGCGATGGCGAGCACGTCGACGTTTGTCGGCTCGGTGTATCCGACCGAGGACGCGGACGGAAACCCGCTGACGACAGAGTACGGATACTGCACGTACCGCGACCATCAGACAATGTCGATCCAGGAGATGCCCGAGCGCGCGCCCGCAGGCCAGCTGCCGCGCAGCATAGACGTCATTCTCGACGACGACCTGGTCGACACCGTCAAGCCCGGCGACCGCATCCAGCTCGTGGGCATGTACAAGTCTATGGGCAGCCGCTCGAGCTCGAAGGACGGCGGCGGCTCGGCGCAGTTCAAGACGGTCATTCTCGCAAACAATATCGTGCTGCTGTCGTCCAAGGCCAACGGAGGAGTTGCAAGAGCACGTATCTCGGATATCGATGTCCGGAATATCAACAGAGTCGCAAAGAAGCGCAATGTGTTTGAGCTGCTCTCCCAGTCGCTCGCGCCTTCGATCTACGGACACGACTACATCAAGAAGGCGATTTTACTCATGCTTCTCAGCGGTATGGAAAAGAACCTCGAGAACGGAACACATATCCGTGGAGATATCAATATCTTAATGGTCGGAGATCCATCGACTGCCAAATCGCAGCTCCTGCGCTTCGTCCTCAACACGGCTCCCCTCGCCATCGCCACCACCGGCCGCGGCTCGTCCGGCGTCGGTCTCACGGCGGCAGTAACCTCTGACAAAGAAACCGGCGAGCGCAGACTCGAAGCCGGCGCGATGGTGCTCGCGGACCGCGGCGTGGTCTGCATCGACGAGTTCGACAAGATGAGCGACGTCGACCGCGTGGCGATCCACGAAGTCATGGAGCAGCAGACGGTGACGATCGCAAAGGCGGGGATCCACACGTCGCTGAATGCGCGGTGCTCGGTGATTGCGGCGGCGAATCCCGTGTTTGGCCAGTACGATACGCATAAGGACCCGCACCGCAACATCGCGCTGCCGGACTCGCTCTTGTCTAGATTCGATCTGCTGTTTGTCGTCACGGACGAGGTCGAGGACGCGCGCGACAGAGCGATCAGCGAGCATGTCCTGCGCATGCATCGCTATGTCAAGGCCGGGACCGAGGAAGGTATCCCGGTCCGCGAGGACTCAGGCCCGAGCATGCAGGTCGGCGGCGGCTCGACGATGCACCGCGCCGACGACGAGGACGAAGACGACGAGGACATTGAGGCCAACGGCGGCGCGAAGGAGGACGCAGACGAGCACAAGGTGTACGAGAAGTTTGACGCGCTGCTGCACGCGGGCGTCACGACGCGGACAAAGTTTAACGGCCAGCACAAGATCGAGGTGCTGAGCATCCCGTTCATCAAAAAGTACTTGCACTACGCCAAGATGCGCGTGCGGCCGGTGCTCTCGCAGAACGCGGCAGACTACATTGTAAACACCTACGCGGGCCTGCGCAACGACGAGCTCAGCGCGCAGCAGCGCAAGACGTCGCCCATCACCGCGCGCACGCTCGAGACGCTCATCCGTCTTGCGACCGCGCACGCAAAGGCGCGGCTGTCGCAGCGGGTCGAGCGCAAGGACGCCAAAGTCGCCGAGCAGATCCTGCGGTTCGCGCTGTTCAAGGAGGTCGTGCGCGCGGAGCGTAAGAAGCGCCAGCGCGTGAACGAGGACAGCAGCGACGAGGAAGAAGACGAGGACGACGAGGACGACGAGGACGACTCGGCGACGTTCAGGAGCTCAGCCGTGCCGAGCTCGCAGTCTACGCGCCAGCTCCGGGGTAGCAGCAGCAACGGCCGCGCCTACGACGAGTCGATGACTTCAGTCGTCGACGACGAGGACGCGGCGCCGCAGGATAACTTCCAGCTGCTGGCGCAGGCGGTCGAGGCTATGGGTGTGTCTGACGGCGCCGCGGGGAGCAGCAGCATGGCGGGCCAGCAGCCGGGCACAGGGGTGTCGAACTCGCGCGCGCAGCTGTTTACGCGGATCATGGGACAGCTGCTGAACACGCCGCTGTTTGCGGACGAGTACGCGTCTGTCGATGTGCTGGTTGCGGAGGTCAACAAGCGGATGGAGCAGGAGGATTTGTTTAGTGAGCAGGAGGCAACGGCGGCGCTGAGGAAGATGAATGACCGGAACCAGATTATGTTGTCGGGCAATATGGTGTATAAGATTTGAGGAGTTTGCTAGTGTGTTGTTTGTATTTTTTTAGTTGTTTGTATTTGTCTGTTTAATTGTGGGGTAAGCTGTAGGGCTGTTTTATTGCTATTAATGAATTATCAGGGTCAGAAAGGTGTTGTAGTTGTAGATTATGCAAGTAGTCCAGAATAGGTAATTGTCGGGATTCGGATGCGCAGAGGATCCGAGATGGGAGAGGTGATAATTGTGGCGAAGTAGCGTCGTCGCGCGCCGAAGGGTTGTCGTTGGATGACATAATGAGGGGATAAGCGATGGATAAGTGGAAGGTAAGTGGGAGTTGTAGTGGAAGCGCAAGTGATTAGGAAGATAGTAGATGATCGTTGATTATCAGGAAGACTGGGTAAGCCAGGCTTCCTTAAATATTACTCTACAAGATGCCTCATTCTATCCTCTCGCCGGAAGAGATTAGTCTCCACGTTAGCAGGACGAGGAGGCTGGCTCTCGAGGAGTAAGAATGTTAGTAAATGAGTGTGGTTTGTTGACAAGAAGGAACCGTGCGGAGGATGAAGGGATCTTTGATGAGGGGAAACCTCCCTGCTCATGCCTTAGCGTCCTGCGAAGTACTCTTCATGCGGGAGGGTGTAGGCGTGACCTTGTGAAGTGAGGCAGAGGTAATCTCCCGTGGATGGACTGCTGGTTAGGCGTTCTGAGGTGAGGCAAGATGGCTGGGCTCTTGCAGGGATAGATGTAGTAGACGGACAAGCATCGTGAGGTGAGGCAGGATGACAGGTCTCTGACACGGATGAGGGTTTGGAGGAGGCCGGGCAGTTCTGCCTCGCAACCTCATGACACTCCCCCCCCAGGCGACGTCTAGTCAAAGAGGTCGACGGCCTATAAGGAAGTAGTTAGTGTTTTGGTAGCATCCCAGAACTGAATAGCTTGCCAGGGAACGAATTGCGATTCAGCCCAAGAGTTTTCGGATTCTGGTGTATGTTTCCATTTGCATAGGAAGCGGCGACCATTGTTGATGCCAGTAGGTTCCTCAGCAATAATTTTTTCGACTTCGAAGAATTCCATGGGGTCTCGTACATTCTGAGCTCGTTTCGACCTGGTGTGATAGGATGGTTCGGGTTCAGAGATGTTTTGTGAGCCTGGTGGGTAATACTTCTTGATGCGATCAATGTTGACTACCGGGTGACGGCGTCTGTCGTTGAACTGAAGGCGGACATTCTGATTTGCTTCAATTGCAGTGATCACGAAGGGGCCTTCGTATGGATCATCGAAAGCTGATAGATGAGTGGCTCTTCTGCGGAGGAGCACTTGGTCGCCAGCTTTGTAGGGTGGTGGTTGGGCGCGATGTGCATCGTAGGCTCGTTTTTGTTTGACCTGGGCCGCGTGCATTGCGTCCTGAACTCTGAGCCAAACACTTTGTATATCTTCAGTGTAGTGCTGCTCTGGTGCGGCAACGGATGGTGTTATGCCATGAAATGATCTAGGAGTGTAGCCATACAAGGCTTCGAACGGTGACATGCCGATTGAAGTATGCAGGGATTGATTGTAAGCGAACTCGAGTAAGGAAAGATAGGAATCCCATTCCCTTCTCTGTGCTCTGGTCAGCGAATGCTTTATTAAGTTCTTCAGCGTCTCAATTGTGCGTTCAGATTGGCCATCCGTCTGCGGGTGAGAGGCGGTTGACATAAGAGGGGTGATGTTAAACTGGTCGCGGCATCTGTTAACGAACGCGGAGGTGAAGGCACTATCGCGGTCGGAGACAATGGTGTCCGGGAGTCCATGTTTGGTGAAAACGTAGTCGATTAAATCATCGAAGACATCGGCTGCTTTTCTTGTTGATTGCATAGGAATGAAAGTAGCAAATTTTGTGAGTCGATCTACGACCACAAGAATTTGGTTATTCCCGTTAGTTGTTTGTTCGGCGATTATTGCGAAGTCCATGCTAATGGATTTAAAGGGGACATTAGGGATCGGCATTGGTTGTAACATACCTACTGGAGGCTTGTGAGGAACCTTCGTCCGCTGGCATTTGTCGCAGCAGCGAACGAATCTCTCAATGTCTCGGTACATGTTCAGCCAATAGAAGTCCCTTGCTAATTGAGCGTGCAACGCCGCAACACCTGGGTGTCCAGCGGTAACTGAGTCGTGATATTCTTCAAGGAATTTAATTGGAAGATCTGCTCCAGGGATGCATAATCTCCAGGGAGCTGTGTCTTGTAAACGGAGATAGATCAGTCCCTCGCGGTAGTCGTATCGCGAGAGGATGTTGTCCGTGATATGTGTGTTGGATTGGGTTCTGTGTGTCAGCTGATCTATGAGTATTTTCCATTGGGGAATTTTTTGGTACTCTTGTCGAATGGTCTCCAAGTCCACAGGGTAATGGATGGTTAGAGACGCAGGTTGCACATAGATTAGTTTGTTCATAGGGATGCGAGATAGTGCGTCGGCGACGACATTATCTTGGCCTTTGCGGTAATGAAACACTGGATGGTAATCTGCCAACTTCTCGATCCAACGACGTTGTCGGTCGTTAAGAATTGGTTGAGTTGGTAGGAATAATAGAGCCTTGTGGTCGGTATAGACGTCAAATTCCTGACCCACTAAGAAAGGTCTCCAATATAGGCAAGCTTCAACAATAGCGAGGGCCTCTCGATCATGCGTCGGGTAGTTCCTTTGATGTTTGTCAAGCTTCTTAGAGAAGTAGGCAACCGGGTGTTCGTCTTGAACAAGCACGGCGCCAATTGCTACAAGTGAAGCATCAGTCTCGATTGAAAAGCGTTTGCTGAAATCGGGATGGCTGAGTACCGGCGTTGTAGTGAGGGCTTTCTTAACCGCGTCGAACTCGCGTTGGAGATCTTCGTCCCAACGTAGGATCCGTGAGTTAGACGACGCAGCTGTCAAGCGGCTGGAAATATGAGCATAATTTTGCACGAACCGTCGGTAATAATTAACCATACCAAGAAAAGATTGTAAGTCTTTAACAGAGGTAGGCACCGGCCGTTCTAGAATCGCAGAAATGTGTCGAGGGATGGGCTGCAGTCCCGAACCGGAGACAACATGACCTAGAAACTCACAAGAAGATGCACATAGAGTAGTTTTCTTTGGTTTGACGACAAGCGCGTTGTCGGATAGTCGCTTAAGGACCAAGTTAAGGTGTGAAAGGTGATCCTCCATAGTCTCTGAAAAAACTAGGATATCATCCATGTAGACAATCACAAACTGATCGAGCACGTCGGCAAGGATTTGGTTCATGAAGCGTTGGAAAGTTGCTGGCGCGTTGGTGAGACCAAACGGCAGCACGGTGAATTCATATAAGCCATAACGCGTGTTCATGGCGGTTTTGTGTTGGTCTTCGGGGTGCACCGGAATCTGCCAGTAGCCACTGGTCAAGTCCATTTTGGAAAAGATTTTGGCACCACCGATACGATCTAGCAGTTCGTCCAGTCTAGGGATTGGATAGCTGTTGCGGATTGTTTGTTTGTTCAGTGCGCGATAGTCTACGCACATACGGAGGGACCCATCTGTCTTTTTAACAAATAGGACAGGGGCGCCGTAAGGACTTTTAGAAGGTTTTATCATTCCTTCTTTGAGTAGTTTGGTAATTGTGTTTTTTAGTTCTTGCAATTCTTGTTGCGATAATCGGATAATACCTTTACGCGGCGGGTGAGCTTCCTCGCCAGGTTTGAGTTCGATCCGATGTTGGTATTCTCTACTAAGTACCTTTCCCATAGGTACTGTTTCCGAGAAAGTGGTTTGATAATCTTTGAGCAGTTTCTCGACTCTGGATTCATATCCTGCAAGAAATTCCGCTTCGACCGTGAGTCCGTTCATATGCTCTGGGAGGCTGAAGGGAACCGCGTTTTGGGAGATGTCGATACCGTCGATACCTTCCTGAATTCGGATAAGATATACTTCGGTGTTTTGGTTACCAGGTCGATCTTTGAGGTGCTTGGTAAACTGATGCATACTGCAAACTTCGATGGGGTTCTCGACGTTCCCGAATGATGGGCGTTCAGAACTGAAAGGAAGGATTAGGTTGTCTTGTTTTTGTAACATGAGTGTATTGTTTAATGTATTGATAATTCCTCCGTACTTTCTTAAGAAAGGCATACCTAACAACGGTGGACCGTCGAGGCCGGATAGAACGTAGAAATGAAGAGGGAAGTCGTAATCTCCGACTGTTAACGTAATATTAGCTGTTTTGTGGGCAACCACAAGACCATTAGGTGTAGACATGAATCGAGGTTTATCGAATTTGTGGTTTTGGGTTTTAATCCCGTGCGTCGTACAAAACCGAGCACTTACTGCGAAAGAGGAACACCCAGTATCGATAGTAACTGGAATGGTGTTGCCATTTAAATTCATCTGGACACACACGGTGTCAGATTCCTCGGGCAGTAAGGGGTTTGAAGTACTTAGGACTTTGGAGTCGATATAGGTATCGTCCGGGAGAGGGCTCCAACCTGCCAACGTGCGAATGATTCCGCGCGGGACCTGATCAAGGGGGATCATAGAAGGCGGATCCACCTCAGTTAGGGCCAGTTCGCGGAAGTAGGCTGCCTGGACCTTTGCAGGATCGACGGCGGTGTACTTCTGGACGACTGGGGCGTTGGTCGGGGGAGTCGCTGGCAAGGTGGATGTCTGACCGGTTGCGGCAGTCGGCGCTTTGGGGCGCCTCATGCGCTCAAGAAGGGAGGTTACCGGTCTTGATACAACTGCGGGAACTGGCTCGGGCTCGGGTCCGGGGGAAACGCTCGCCGTCGAAGGCGTGGTATCCGCGGGGAGAGGCACCGTCGGGCCGGTGTCTCCCACAGAAGGGTTCCCCGTTCCTTCAGTGGGAACGGGAACCGGGGCAGCCGTCTCCTCAGTGGAAACGGTAGCCGGGACGGAGGCGCTAGCGGCCTCCGTAGGTTGAGATGCTGCCTGAATTGTAGCCGCATCGCTACCATGTGGCGAAGTAGCGTCGTCGCGCGCCGAAGGGTTGTCGTTGGATGACATAATGAGGGGATAAGCGATGGATAAGTGGAAGGTAAGTGGGAGTTGTAGTGGAAGCGCAAGTGATTAGGAAGATAGTAGATGATCGTTGATTATCAGGAAGACTGGGTAAGCCAGGCTTCCTTAAATATTACTCTACAAGATGCCTCATTCTATCCTCTCGCCGGAAGAGATTAGTCTCCACGTTAGCAGGACGAGGAGGCTGGCTCTCGAGGAGTAAGAATGTTAGTAAATGAGTGTGGTTTGTTGACAAGAAGGAACCGTGCGGAGGATGAAGGGATCTTTGATGAGGGGAAACCTCCCTGCTCATGCCTTAGCGTCCTGCGAAGTACTCTTCATGCGGGAGGGTGTAGGCGTGACCTTGTGAAGTGAGGCAGAGGTAATCTCCCGTGGATGGACTGCTGGTTAGGCGTTCTGAGGTGAGGCAAGATGGCTGGGCTCTTGCAGGGATAGATGTAGTAGACGGACAAGCATCGTGAGGTGAGGCAGGATGACAGGTCTCTGACACGGATGAGGGTTTGGAGGAGGCCGGGCAGTTCTGCCTCGCAACCTCATGACAATACTGAAGGGATAGAAGAGGATAAAGACGGACAGGATATGGGCAAGAACAGAAGATAATAAGAACAGAATAAAAACAAGAAGAAGAAATAGAACAATGATATTAAACAGTATAAATACTCAACCAATACGGAAACAGCCAAACAAGATTGAAAAGAAAACTGCGGTCGATAACAGGCCACTGATAAGCCTCATCAAACCGGTTCAGCAGCCGAATACGAGCTGCGAACCCGAGAAATTACTCGGTTCGGACGGCTCGGGCTTTTGTTGCTTCTTCGCGGTGCCCTCCTTCTTTCTTCCTCATCGCTGCTCGCTGCTGTGCCTTGTTTGCAGAAGTTGTTCTTACTCCTCCAGCACCTGCTTCTTCGTCAACTACATCATGGCTGCTGTTGTCGATAACTCCTCGCTGCTCTTTGAAGCTGACGACTCCCTCGCTGCCGTCTCGTCGGGAGTGCTCGCGTCCGTCCTTGCTGGGTTCTCGTGGGGAAGACTTTTCCTTGGCCTCTTTGTTGGCCTCCTTGTTTGGGACCAGAGTGCGTCTTCTTTTGCTTGTTCTCACTCTTAACTCTTATTGTGTGTGGTAGCTGACAATTGTCCTCTCTATCTAGTCTCCTACCTCACCAAGAAGGGAAGCATTGCCGGCCCCCGGTTCAAAATCTACCCCATCATAGGCCCTTTCCTCGAGTCTGTCAACCCCAAGTTTGAGGGCTACATGGCCAAATGGAACAGCGGTCCTCTCAGCTGTGTCTCTGTCTTCCACAAGTAAGTCTCCTCTCACACCTCCCTCTTCTCCTCCTTCTGAAGCAAAGGGAGTAAACAAGTAAACACGCTTACTAACCCTCCAGGTTCGTCGTCATTGCCTCGACGCGCGACCTCGCGCGCAAGATTCTCAACTCGCCCGCGTACGTCAAGCCGTGCGTGGTCGACGTCGCCATCAAGCTCCTCCGCCCGACCAACTGGGTGTTCCTCGACGGCAAGGCGCACGTCGACTACCGCAAGGGTCTCAACGGTCTGTTTACGCGCAAGGCGCTCGGCGTCTACCTCCCCGGCCAGGAGGAGTGCTACGACCGTTACTTCAAGGTCTTCCGCGAGATGTCCAAGGACGGTCCGGTGCCGTACATGCACATCTTCCGTGAAATCAACTGCGCGGTCTCGTGCCGGACGTTCTGCGGGCATTACATCAAGGAGGAGCAGGTCAAGCTCATCTCGGATAACTACTACCTCATCACGCTCGCGCTCGAACTCGTCAACTTCCCCGTCATCCTGCCGTTCACCAAGGCCTGGTACGGAAAGAAAGCGTCCGACATGACGCTCGGGATCTTTGAGGAGTGCGCGGCCAAGGCGCGTGCGGCGATGGAGGCCGGCGAGCCGGTTACCTGTACGATGGACGCGTGGATCCGCGAGATGCTCGACGCGCGCGACAACGCCAAGAGCGACGACGGCAGCTCGGGTGTGTCGATCCGTGTGTTTACAAACAAGGAGATCTCCGAGACGATTTTCACGTTTTTGTTTGCGTCGCAGGACGCGTCGTCGTCGGCGACGACCTGGCTTTTCCAGATCCTTGCCGATCGCCCGGACGTGTTTGCAAAGGTGCGCGAGGAGCAGGAGCGCGTGCGTGGAGGTGACTTCAACAAGCCGCTTTCGCTCGACATGATTGACCAAATGACATTCACCCACCAAGTCGTCAAGGAAGCCCTGCGCTACCGTCCCCCTGTTATCATGGTCCCTTACCTCGTGAAGAAGGACTACCCGATTACGCCGGAATACTCCGTCCCCGCGGGCTCGATGGTGATTCCTACCCTGTACCCCGCCCTGCACGATCCCGAAGTCTACCCGGAGCCGGAGACCTTCAAGCCCGAGCGATGGGAGGGCGATTTGCTCGCAAACAGCGCGGCCAAGAACTGGCTTGTGTTTGGCACGGGACCGCACGTGTGTCTGGGCCAGACCTACGCGGTCATGAACTTCATGGCGATGATTGGAAAGGCGGCGCTGACTATGGACTGGACGCATGTCGTGACGGAGAAGAGCGAGGAGATTAAGGTCTTTGCGACGATCTTCCCCGAGGATAACTGTATCCTGCAGTTCAAGGCGCGCGAACTGCCTGCGTCGGCATAATATAGATCTCTCAATCCCTACTATACATTTTCTTTTTCCTTCTCATCGTGCTTTCTCCTTTTTTTTTATCAGTTCTCAAAGTATATCAAGTATCGAGCAAGGTGCATGACAATGACACCAGGTTATCACGGCTTCTACATCAAGAAAAAACGAAAGAAAAAGATAAATATACGTCGTGTTTAATGCCAGCTCCAAACTTCACATAAAGAGGCGAATTTTCTCTCTCTGTGTATTTTAATTAATCTATCAAACAATCATCACTCTGGCTGCTGCTGCTGCTTTAGAGATTTTATGTGTTTTTCTTTCCTAAGCTGTATTTTCTCCTTCATCTTTACTTGTTTTTTCTTTTTCTTTTATCTTTTTAATAGTGTATTTCTAATTCAACCTTTCTACTTTTATAAATTATACATCGGTCATACACGTTGTAAAAAACATCAGAATACGGTAGATGACAATATAGATCCAACCCGCTCTCTCAGCAGAACCATCACACTCAACTCTTTCTTTTATAAAAAACACACACAAATATAAATTAGAAAAAAAGGAAACTCCGAGCAACTTAAAGCACCACAAACCAGCTTTTCATATACCGACACACAAGAGCAGAAAAAAGAGAGGGACCTCTACTGCTTCCGCACACCTCCTATCAGCATCGGCGCTATCCGTCTCTTCTTCTTCGCGTCCTTCTCTCCCGTCTCCGCCCCCTCGGTCGTCTCCTTCTCCCGTTTCTGAGCCGCGGTGGAGGAGGAGGAGGTACTATGCTCTGCTATATTCGGCACCGGACTTATAATCGGTTTCGGCAGCGGCGCGGCGTCAGCGACGACAGACGACGTCGAGGTCGTTAGTTCAAGGTCGACAGTAGACGCCGGCGTGGGTGGGTAATACGTCCCACTCTCTCTCTCCATCTCAGCCTCCGCCGCTTTCTTCTCATCATCGGCATCGCACTCGCCACCGCCGTACACCTCGCCAAGCTCGCCCGGCTCAAAGACAACGTCCGAGCAAAACCCGTCGGTGGAGGTCATAAACAGCACGCGCCCGTCCACGCTCCACGTCAGGTCGGTAAACGTCGCGTAGTGCAGGTTCGAGACCACGCACAGCGGCGTCGTCTGCTGCGTGTCGTAGATGAACACCGAGTCCTGCGTCGCCACAGCGTACACGATCCGGTACGGCAGCACGAACGCCTGCTGCGCGCCAGCACCAGTCGAGGAGGTTGAGGGAATCGATGGCGGAGGCGGGAGCGCCGATTCTGAAAGGGATGGGATTGCGAGGCCGTCCGGCGCGGAGGAGTCGATTGTGATGTTTGTTGTCTGGCGACGGGATTCGCTTGCGGTCCGCAGCTTGTACTTCACGGGCGAGCAGCGCACGACAGTCGCGGGTTTCTTGAGGAACGGCAGGTGCGCGACAGGAGGCTTGTTGAGCCCCGCGCGCGTGTAGATGTAGACTGTGTTTGTCGTTTCCTCGACGCCGGTCGCGCTGTTTGTGTGCTTGAACTGGCCTGCGGGGGTGAGCAGCAGACTGCCGTCCGGGGTGAAGGTCAGCCGTCTGAAGAAGGAGGTGAGGCCTTCGTTGTGGTAGAGCTGCGACATGCGGAAGCCGAGGTTGGGAGAATCGAGCTGGCGCACGGCCGGGAGGGGAAGCGCGGGGGATGGGGACGGCGAGCGGCGGACAGAGGGGGAGTTGCCGAATGAGGAGCGGCGGGAGTGCGCAGAGAGAGGGGGGGGTTGCATTGAGAAGGATGATGGTGTGTTTGGGGCAGAGGTCGAGGGCGATTCAGAGACCGCGGGCTGTGAGGACTGAGGGGTTGAGACGCTGGCTGGGGCGGCGGCGGCAGCGGAGGAGGAGGTGGTGGAGGATGAGGAGGAAGGGATTGGAGGTGCGACGAAGCTGCTTGGAGCAGAGGTGGCAGATGCCGGAGTCGACGGGGCGGCGGCGGCGGCGTCGACATCGACGACGTGTTTTGCGCCCACAGGAAGCTCGGCTTTTGATATCTTGTGATGCTGCTGCAGCGCAAACTGGCCATCCTTCGACTTGAGGGTGTAGATATGCACGGACCGATCCGAGCTCTGCGTGGCGAGATACTCGTTCAACGGATCCCACGCCACGCCCTGGACATAATGATTATGCTCTGCAATCTGCCGTATGCAAAGCCCCGTGGCGGCGCTGTAGATGCGCGCGACGTTGTCCATCGAGCCCGCGATGAGGTACTGCGAGTCCGGCGACCATGCGAGGTCGTAGATCTCCGCCATCGAGGACCGGCATAGGTGTCTTATGCGCCAGGTTTCGTGGTCGTGCGCGCGCTCGTCGGGGTCTTCGCCAAACGCGTGGCGGGGCTCGTCTGAGTCTGCGAGCGACCAGAGGATGACGTTGCCGTCGTCGCCGGCCGAGGCCAGGATTTCGCCTGGGTGAGTTAGTGTCTGAGAGAGAAGAAGTGTGATTTTGTGAAGGCAGGTAGGACGACACACCACTAAAGTCGAAACGAACAACATTGACGGCCTGGGTGTGTTTGACGAGGGTCGAGAGATATGTGACGGAAGGAAAGAGTCCGTCGTCTGAGAGACTCACGCGCCAGATCTGTAAATACGACGCGTCAGAAGGTGATAATTATGCAATGCCGTAGCTTAATCTCGGCTGGAGATGTAGCAGTAATAACTAAAGCAGTATATAATCTAGAACAGACGCACCCGAACGCTGTTGTCGCCGCCTGCGGTCGCGAGACGGCCGTTGCCAGATCTCGATGGCTGGAAGTGGGCGCTGTAGATGGGTTGGCTGTCGGTGTGCCAGTGAAGGGTGAGAGCGTGGGCCCTCATGCTGGAGCAGAGCAGAGCAGATCAAAGCAAGCAGAGCAAAGCAAAGTGAATTGCAGATACAACTTCTGTCTCTGAGACTGTGAGCAGCAGTAAACAGAGTATCAGAGCAACAGCAGATCCACAACGGCCTCCTCCCTTTCTCTCTGCGCGGCTGGAGGCGGAGTGCTGCGCAACAGTCGCGCGAGGGGTTTGTGTGCTTACAAATACGCAAGGGGCTGGTGTTTGATCACGTGCGTGCTGCGTACACGGTTTAGAGTTTCGGGGCTGGCTGAGCTGCGGCCGAGCAGCTGAGGATGAGGATGAGGATGAGAAGGTGGATACGCCGGAAGCTGTTCAAAGAGACGCTGCTGAGAGTGTTAGTGAGTGTGGAGAATAGCAGAATATCAAAAGAGCAGAGAAGACCAGAAATGAGATGAGATGAAAGCGGCGCCGGTTCTGGCTGGTTCTGGTGCTGATCGAGAAGAACAAACCACAACCACGGTCTCGGAGCGCACTGTTTGGTTAGCACACCGCCAGAGCGCTGGGTCCTGGGTCGTTGCCTTGCCACAACGGTATAGAAGGATGTTGAGATGTTCAAAAGAGGTATGGAAGTGCAGATGAGTGTGGAATTATGATATTAAAGAGGAAAGAATAAAACTTTTGACGCACACTCATGAGGTCAAATAACAATAACCCAAGACCATAGATAAAGAAATAGAAGAGATAAAACAAGAACCAGTACAATAACAAATAACAAATAATCGTCTAAAACAAGTCGTTAACATGATTAAAATGAATAACAAACAATCGCGTGTATAAGATCAAATCAGAGCAATATAAAAAATGGGTTTGAGTTGCACGTGGATTCCACGCCGTCGCACTCACAGAGGCCGACCGATTAACCGAACCCAACCCCGCTCCCACGCGCATTCCCGCTCTTGTTTAAAGACCTGCAACCACGTGCGGAATCAATAAACAAACGCTGACTCAATCTATATTCGCGACGACCAAGACAGATGCGGGCAGCCACGGCGTTGAGGTGGCGGACGGGCCGCTGGAAAGCGGAGACGCGGCATTCAAACTCCCAAAAATAACAAATGTGTGAATAGTAAACCGTCCCATGACACCAAATAAATCGAAATAAATGCAGAAATTAGTGAAGATGCAAGAGATTGTGGACATGTAGTAAGGTCCGTAGTCTATGTATGATGTATGATGTAGAGCTCTTAGCTCGTAGTGCGGAATCCAATGCGCTTTTGATCAAACTAGAGAATAGTCAGCAGTTGCTCTATAATCAAATAAATATCAGCTTGAATAACATCAACTCACATCAAAGACAGATAAAACACCGCGCAGAAAAGGCTCGCCAATAACCCAGAGCCCAGCAAGATCGGCCTCGACAACAGGGCCGACGCAGTATCCAGACGCCTCCTTGACCTTGCCCAGCGACGCATCCTTGATCGGGAACAGCCAGCCCGCGTGCTCGATGTGGATCTTGGGATCCTCAAAGCAGGGATACGACCAGAACCCGTCCGCGAGAGGCTGCGCTCCAGAAATAGCATTGTAAAACATGCGCACGTCTTCGGACGGCGCGAGGATGAACGGCGAGTTGACGTCGATCACGCCCTGGATGTTGTCGATGACGGTGTTGCCGTCAATCATCAGACTCTTGAACAGCATCTGCCAGAACCCGTAGGTCTTGAGCGGAGCGTACAACGGATCGTCGACCTTGTGCGCGACTCCACCGATCGAGAGCACGGCGCCGCCCTTGGGATCGTCTTGGATGTACTCGATCGCGAAGATTGCGTCGGAGAGCTTGTTGGTGGCGACAGCGCTCTCGAAGAAATGCGGCAGTCCGGTCTGCGAGAGCGACGAATGCGCAAGTCCAAGCATGCCTCCGGATGGGTTCAAGGTGCGCACGGTCGAGGGATGCGGAGTGCAGTGCGCAAAGTCGATGGAAAATTTCTGCTCGCCAATCTCAAGGGCCTCGTTCGAGCCGACGCAGTCCTTGAAGACTAGGCGCGAATCGGTGAAGTAGGACTGCGAGTTCTCTGATCTGAAGCGCGTGCCGCGGACAGAAGTCGTGGACTCGACCCAAAAGTCAGACGAGGTCATGTCGATGTCGAAGAAGATGTCCTGCGCGGGCGAGCCCAGTTTGAGGTTGGTGAAAAAGGTACCATCGGCGCCGATAGGAGCGAGCTTGTCGGGAAGAGTGACGGCCTTGCGAACGACTCTGTTGCCCTGGAGTTCGCGCTTTGTGCGGTTGTAGCGCTGGAGGGAGGCCCTGAGCAGAGCACGGAAGCGCTTGAGGTTTGCGACGGAGTCGGGGGTGTAGACGCGGCCGCCGCGACGGCCGACGGCAACTTTGGCGACGACGGATGCGTCGGGGGAGTCGTTGCCGTAGTAGGGCACAGCAGCAGCAGCGAGAGCCGCGAGGAGGAGGAGAGCGAGCGGGAGCAGCCTGAACAACATGATTGCAGGGATTGTTGCGAGCAGGCGGAGGAAGAGGCGGCGGAGGAGGAGAGGATTAAAAGGGATGAGCAGAGCAGGTCGATTGCTTGATGGCTGCACAGCGCTGCCACCCCTAGACCATTCCTGTTTGGGACTAGCGCAAAGTGTAATTGAAACAGAGTTTGCGCAGCAGAACCTCAAGCGCGAGGTTGCGGCTGGAGATATGAAGAGAAGAGAGAAGGTGAAGAGAAGATGAAGAGAAGAGAGAAGATGAAGATGAAGATGAAGAAGAAGAGGAAGATAATAATGATGGAGAAAAACAAGAAGAACAACAAGATCAGAACAAAAACAGAACAAAAGAATTGCATTCAAAATGAGTGAAAAAGAATCCACCGGCTCGAGCTCTGCCTCCCAGTCGACTTCGAACTTCCTCGTTCGCCACACCTGCTGCCTGCTATCGTCCTCAGCTCACATAGCAGACTGCTCATTCTCATTCCCGGTCCTCACAGCAGCTGCATCTTCTTCTCCTCTGCAGCTCCTCACCGCTGTCAGCAGCAGCAGTAGACGCAGCAGCAGCGCGCAGCGGCTCGCAGTTGGCTGCAGGAATGGAAATCCCATATTGAACCATGAGCCATGAAAAACAACCTTCTGTCCACCAGCCGAACTGAACCGAACCATCGAACCCGAACCATTTGAACTCAATCCATCGAAACGAGCTGCCTCTGATATCTCATTTGCCGTAAGATTAGTGACTGTTTCTCCTTCTTCAATCTCGAATAGTTGCAATCTTCTATTTCCGTCGGATCAAACATGAAACAGAGGAAATCATTACCTTCTTCGCCGGTTCTCTTGGTGCCGCATCTTCTTCTCTTCTCTTCTTCGCTTAATATCGCCCTTTATCATCTCATCTGCAGACCCTGCCGCTTTTTGCCGTAGCTTCTTCGTCGTCCTCGCTCCATAGTCTCTTCCTCGCTTCTCTGTCCCTCTTGCCGTCTGTTCTCGCTCCCGCTTGCATAAACCTCCTCCTCCTCCTCCTCCTCCAGGATAGTACTCGGAGGCGTCATCCACCCCCGGTCGTACTTTAGCTCGTACCTCGTCCTTTGATATACCTCTTCCTCCTCCTCCTTCTCCTTTTCGGCCTTGTTTATCCTCGCCTCATTCTCTGCATTCCTCGCCGCTAGCCTCTTAGCCCTCTCCTCGTCATACCACTCCCGGAACCCGTCGTAGTCAATCTCCTTCCGCCGGCTCGCTTCCCGGCTCTCTTCCCGGCCCGCTTCCCTCTCCACCCCATCCTCAAACCCTCTCCCTCTCACACTCACACTCACCCTCGTCTTATTTGCCTCTTTCCGTCGTAGACTTGCCCCGTTAATCTGCAGCACAAACTGCGCCGCCGCAGACGACACCCCGAGCACGATCCCGACTGCGATCCCGATCGAGATCCCCGTGAAGAAAAAGAAATACAACGGGTCCAGCGACGCCAGAATCACTCGCGCAAAACTCATCGCCCGCACGACCGACCACATGAACCGCGCCAGCACCGGGATCGGCCAGAATACTCCGCGTATAATCCGCATCACCAGTCGCAGCGGGATCACAATCGGTGCGCTAAGAATCCGCCATAGCAGCCAGACATACACACTGCTGCTCCACATTCTCAGCCTACTCTTCTTCCTCAGCGTAGATTGTCTTGAAGACTGATTGATTAGTCTGGACTCTGCTGATATAGATCCTTGCTGATAGCTGCTGATCTCCTTTAGGACCCTTGCTCGTCCCAAACTGTCACTGCAAGAACTCACTAATCAATAGCCAAGATATCATCTCTCGTAGCAATCAAGCGCTGATCTCCACCTCATATGCTATTAAACAGCACAATCAACAATCAATAATCACCGTCAATCAGCAGTCATAACACTCAACACCTCCCGCTTTCTGTGAACTACAACTCTTGATCTCCACAAACTCTAATCACTCCAAACTTTAACACTTACCCGGCTCAACTTCATTCCTGCCTCTCATCATCATCATCCTGCCAACTCCACTCCTCCCATCACCACCTCCCCTCGCCCTTCCCCTCTTCCATCTCCACCTGGCCTCTTCTCCATCATGGGCAACTCGTCCTCACACGAGCAGCCGCGCGTGCCAAACGCTGCTCAGTCCGCAGACCAATCCGCCGCGGCGTCGGCGGTCACCAGCCCTGGCGACTTTTCAAATCTCGAAACCACAGACTCGTCCCGGATCGAGTCCTCTTCGTTTATAGACAAGAACGCCGGCGATGACTATTTCTCTGCGCCGCCGACTGCGTCTACTGCTGCCGCCGCTGCCGCTGCTGCTGCTGCTGCTTCTGCCGCTGGCGGCGGCGGTGGTGGTGGTGGTGTGGCTACCTCAGCTGCTGTTCCCACCCGTCCAAAGTCAATAATGAGCTCTGAGAGCATGGACTCCCTCCCGACCGCCTCGCACTGCGAAGAAGCCAGCGTCGACGACGACGAGCTCATCTACCGTCAACGAACAACCGGCCCGGGTCTCGACGACATCCGCGAAGGCCACGTCGAGCACGCCGAAGACGTGAGCAGAGATCTGCAGCGCGTACGGCTGAGCGATACCGCGGATGACACGTCCGTGACTGATAAAGCGGCCGAGGACGTGTCGATTCCGGCGAAGCCGGTGTCGAAGATGCTCTCGGGTGAGGAAATCGATTTTTACTACGGCCAGCCGAGTGAGCAGGCTGTGCCTACTGTTATTAGCTGGATCCATGGCGGCAAAAAGGTGTACGTCACTGGAACATTCACCGGCTGGCGTAAGATGATCAAGCTTGCCAAGAAGTAATTATCCTCTCATTATCTGTGTACTTGTGTACTGCACTCAAATACTAACATAATATTTCCAGCGGCAATGACTTCTCGACCGTCATCAACCTCCCTCCCGGCACCCACCGCATCCGCTTCGTCGTCGACAACGAGCTCCGCTGCTCAGACGCCCTGCCGACCGCCACAGACTCAATGGGCAACCTAGTAAACTACGTCGAAGTCGCAGCCATCGAACTCCCCCCTCTCGAGCGCGAGTCGCAGATCGAAGACGAGCAGTACGAAGACGAAGTGCCCGTCGCGCCCTTGCACTACACAAACGAGATCCCCGACATCTTCACGAACCCGTCCTTGGCCGAGAACCAGATCAACGAGGTGTGCGACGCGCCCCCGTTCCTGCCTCCGCATCTAGAAACCGTCATCTTGAACTCAAACTCGACAGAGAAAGACGACAGCAGCGTGCTGCCGATCCCGAACCATGTCGTCCTGAACCATCTCGCGACAACGTCAATCAAGCATAACGTGCTCGCTGTCGCAAGCGTGTCGCGGTATGCGAGAAAATACGTTACTCAGATCTTATATGCCCCTCTGTGAATAGTCTGCTCATGTATATTTTGTATCTGTCTTTTCATTTTCGTTTATATGGCATGCGGCGTCCTTTGTGATTATTTTTATACTGTTAATACATATACATCATCTAGATCTGTACAAAACTCTAGCTACTTTTACGCCATCCGAGCCCGCTTCGTCGGCCGCGAAGAAATCAACTCCTTTGACTTGTTCACCCGAATCTTCCAGTCCTTAACTTTCTTAATCGTCGCCTCGAGAATGCGTTTCTCACTCAACCTAACCTCGATCGCGTTCCTGAGATTCAGATTCTGATCCGCTTTCGTCTCCAGAATCAGGTTCTCGTCCGTAACAACGTCGGTCTTGTACATATTCATTTTCTTGCGCAGGATCGAAAGCCACAGGTCCTGCTGCTCGGCCGACTTTAGCGACTTGCGCGGGATCGCGCTGACGGCTTCGAAGCCTTGCTTGCGCAGGTCGCGGAACGCGGCGGGCTTGAGCATTAGGATGTAGGTTAGCAGGAGCGCGGAGGTGGGGATCGCGCAGGTCGAGATTGTGATTTGGATTGAGTCGTCGAGGAGGTCTTCGTCTTGCTGCTCGTCGTATTCGAGCATGAAGTCCATCTGGTTGTTGTCAGTCTCCTATTCTTCTCTCTCTACCACAACCACAATTATAAAATCAGAAAAAGAAAGAGTGGCATACCCGTTTCTTCAAATGCAGCTCCGAAAGATTAACCCCAGCGGCATCGATCGCGATCTGCGTCGGGATCTCGACCACGTCGTTCTTCGTCTTTCCGAACCGCGTGTAGCCGTACCGGCGCAGCAGGTCCGCGTTCGGAAGGTCGCCGTACGTGTTGAATATCTGCTCGTCTTTTGCGATCGGTTTTGTCGCGCGCATCTCGAGTTGGTCTTTGGAGTAGAAGAGTTTGGCCTGGATTGCAGTAGAGTTAGTAGGCGGCAGTGTAGGAGGGGTGGTAGAATTGTGGGAGACATACGTTGCAGAGATCAGAGTCTCCGTTGAGCATGTCTGCAAGCGGCACCATCGCTTTCAGAAACTTCTCGTCCTCGTCGTCGTCTTCTTCCTCCACCACTTCCTCAACCTCAACCACCTCATGCTCTTCATCCACCTCCATCGCGTTCTCGCTCTTATCCCCCTCCTCCTCCTCATCCTCCTCGTCCGACTCCGCCTCGGGTAACTTCGTCACGTCCTCTTCCTCGTCCTCGTCCTCAGGATCCCGCTCGACATCAAAGCTGTATGACAGAATCACGCTACCCATCCGATGGTACGCCTCCAAACTGCAATCCACCTTGCCAAACACACCAGGGTACTTGTCCATCAACGGCTTCACCACATCCCTGTACGTCGTCTCCGCCTCCTCCTTCCCCAACTGATCCAGCACCGTCGTTCCCGCCAACTCACCCAGCTCCTCCTCGCTCCAAAACATCGGCGTCGTAAACGCTCTCGGCAGCACATCAAAGTACTTCTTCCACCGACTATCCGCCCGATCCTCCGCCATCATCGTCACAATCAACCCCGTCCACCGATCCAGCTCCGCGATCTCCGGCACCCGCGCCGCGATCCCGCTGTTCTCAACACTCAATATCGTCGTCCGCGGAATCGAAAACAGCACGTCGCCCTCGGCGATCTCGGTCGTCGCGAGCACGGCCCGGCCTTGGTTCTGGGAACGCAGGTCCGCGAGTTTGATTGATGACGAGATCTGAGCGCCGGGCTCGGACTGGAGCCAGGATAGGAAGGCCTGCGAGCGGGCGTCGAAGTCGTCCTGGTTTGTCATTTTCCTTGTCGTTTGATCTGTTGCGAGTGGCCTCTATAGAAGTCTATACAAAGAAACTATAGCTCTTAATTTAAACAGAGTAGTTGTCTATTATACAGAACAACAGAGCACCCCACAATTCTTTGAATAAAAGTCTGGATATCAAAAAAAAAAACCTCGACGAACGCGCGTTGGGAGATGCAAAATAAAAATAATAAAAAAAATAAACTGCGAATTTCCATAGTTCTGATTAAGCAGCTGCCCCAGAATAAGTAGAATAGTACTAAATGTGGTAAAAGTGCTATCCTGGGGATCAGAGTAAGATCAGTGGGAGGATTAGTGCACGCCACACCTGCCTTGATCATCTCTCTTCTTTGCTCCACTCCACTTTTCTCTCCGTTTTTCTTTTATTGAAGACAAGTGATAATACGCAAAGATGGGACGTGCAGAAGTAGGAACGCCGAAATACATCGCAAACAAGATGAAGTCGAAAGGTCTCCAACGACTCCGCTGGTATTGTCAAGGTACGTCATCCCCCGTCTTCCACCTACCCCGAAATCTACCTCTGCTAACACACCACCAGTCTGCGAAAAACAATGCCGCGACGAAAACGGCTTCCGCTGCCACACGCAGTCCGAGGCGCACGTGCGCCAAATGATAATCATCGGCGAAAACCCACAAAAGAAGATCTCCGAGTTCACGCAGCAATTCGTGCGCGACTTTATCGCGCTGCTGCGGTCCTCGCACGGCGAGAAGAAGATCAACGCAAACAAGTTTTACCAGGAGTACATCGCGGACCGGAACCACGTGCACATGAACGCGACGCGGTTCGTGTCGTTGTCGGAGTTTGTAAAGTATTTGGAGAACGAGGGGGTGTGTAAGGTTGAGGTTGATGAGAAGAGTCGCGAGGGCGGGTTCACGATTGCGTATATCGATAATTCGCCCGAGGCGATCAAGAGGCGGGAGATCGCGCAGAAGCGGGAGAGGAGCGGGGATGATGATCTTGAGCGGGAGCGCAGGTTTCTGGCGGAGCAGATCAAGCGGGCGCAGGAGGAGCAGGAGAAGAAGAAAGAGAGCGAGAGTAACAGCAATAGCGGGAGTGAGGAGGTCAATAAGCAGGCGACGAAGGAGTTGCAGAGAGAAGGAGAACAGCCGATTAAGATCGGGTTTAGTCTCGGCGGAGGGAAAGCTTCGGGACTTGCAAAGAGGGCACCGGCTGTGCCGCTGAATAGGCCAAAGAAGCTGCTGAAAATGAAATAGCCTACATGTACATCATCTTTTGTTTTGAGTTATGATCTTTTGTTTCTTTATTTCTTTATTGGGGTTCAGGTGGCGCACTATTTCAATCTATTGTCAACAGCAAATTGTATTATATCAAAAAGTACATAGCTACAGTAAACATCATCTAAGCAAGCGTCTTCTCAACCATGAAGATGCCATACTTCTCCTTCAAGATCTCTCTGAGCGGGTCACAGATCTCAGGGCTGTACGGCGCAAGAATTCCAGTCTGCTTGAAGTATCCGTCCAAGATAAGCTCGGCGGCGACCGCGCACGGCGTGCCGACAAGCTTGGCCATCGACGAGTATCCGCTGGGGTCACCGTAGTCGGCCAAGGTCGACGTTCGCGTCTCGGTCGTGCCGTCGGCCCACTCGATGCCGAACTTGTGCTGCAGCATGACAAAGTCGCGCTCGCCGGGGCCGTACTGCATCAGCTCCTCGAGCGTGGCGCAGAGCGTGTCGAGCGCGTTGCCCTTGGGCGTAATGGGCTTGTCGGAGAACAGACCGAGCCACTTGAGACCGTTGAGGATGGTAGCCTTGGCCTCGGCGCTGGGGAAGGTGGCCTTCGCGTCGACGGCGGCGAGCAGGTCGGCCTCGCTGGTCGAGGCGGCGCCAATGAGCTTGGCGAAGGCCTCCTTCCAGGGAATCGGCGACTTGAGGAACTCCTTCTCGGTGTCGTCGAGCATGCCGAGGTCGACGAGGACGAGGGTGAAGTCGGTGAAACCCTGGTAACGCAGGGTGCCGCGGATGACGGTCTCGGCCTCGGGAATCTTATAGAGATCCTTGTAGATGGTCGAGTCGCGGTTTCCGTACGCAAGGAAAGCGTAGCCGGGGTAGATGAAGTACGGCTTTGCGGACTTCATCAGGTCCTTGCCCTGGATCTCGACCTCCTTGCCGTCCTGGTAGAACTTTGCGTTGTTGCGGAGCGCGAGAAGCACGCCGCGCGACGACCACGAGAACTTGTAGCCGAGCGGGTTGTCGGAGTCCTCGGGCGCGGGCAGACCGCCGCAGTACGACAGGAAGGACTTGACCTTGCCGCCGGCCTGGTGGATCTCGTCGATGGCCTTGACGGCGTACAGGTGGTCGATACCGGGGTCCAGACCAATCTCGTTGAAGATGATGGTGCCGGCCTTCTTCGCACTATACGATAGTTAGAGGCTGTATATCAGATAATGAGAAATGATAGATAAATGAACTAACCTCTCCTCAAGAGCCTTGATAGCGGGCGAGACGTACGAAGTGGTGAGCACGTTCTTGCCAAACTTGATAGCCGCAGCAGCGACGGTCGCGTGGTAAATGTAAGGAATCAAACTACCAGCCATAAGTCAGCACTCTGTCCACCCAACACTTTTTCAAGACAATCGCAAAATACACACCTGATAACAAGATCAGCCTCGGAAACGGCAGCGTCGAGCGCAGCAGGATCGGTGACGTCGAGCGAGACGGCCTTGGTGCTGGCGGAGGAGCCGGCGAGGGCCTGTGCCTTATCGAGAGTACGGCATGCTGCAACGAGTCCAATTAGCCCAATTGTCCCTCTTCAGTCTTCGCTCTTCTTATTCCATCTCTAATTCATGCAGATTTATCATTTATACGTACCAACGGTGACCTCGGTGTTGGGGCGAGCGGCGAGGATGTCGACGGTGGGCTTGGCCACAAAGCCAGAGCCGAGAAGAAGAACTTTTCTGCGGGGAGCACACTTGTCATTAGTTTTGTCCACGCAACAAAATACACTTGGAAATAACCAATCCAAACAACTAAAACCAAGCAAAACACCCCGAATTGACTTACTGAACCATGATTGCGCTAATTCGTAGAATGTATTCAAACTGCGGATGAAAATATTCAGCTCCGGAAGCCAGAACTCTTTCAATTTCACAATTTCCGTGGTAGAAACCCTAACCGCCTCCACTCGGACTTACGAGGCCACTCCGGTCGGGGCCACATTTTCATCTTCGCCTCGAGCGGTCGCCTACGAGAGGCCCGTGGGGACACGGTCCTGCTTTGTGAGGTGCTTATCGCTGGGTGAGGTGTGAGGTGAGAGGGGCAGCGAGATATCAGCGAGAAAAAGCAGATTGAGAGGGTTATAAGGTCTAGAAGAGCTATCTCCTCGCTCTGGTATATCAAATGATATCAGCACTCGTTTGCTGGTGATGAACATACTAGCATCGAAGCAGTCTCTATGTCCATGATTGCGAGTTGCCGACAACATACGTGCTCAGTCATGGAAGATACGTCGGTGAATCTAGTGACTGCATACCTCAAAGCACGAACGAAGGCTACCTGCATCTGAAGTTGATGCCAGACTCATTGACTTGAATATCATCTCTAACTTCTATCAATCCAACCTCCTCATACTCTTTCTTCAACACAAATCACACAACAAACCGAACAACCAGCAGTCCTAGTTCAAGCTGAAAGAAATGCTGCACTGCAACGGCCACCCTGACATTTGCGTCGAACCTGTACAAGACGGGTGCAGATTCCTATCTCCTGTGTTTTGCTGTTCAGCCTTCATAACTTGTCTTTCTATATCGATACACAGATGACTGAAATACTAGTCACATACACTGTCTCCAGCTCTACAAATCATACACATACCTTCTACTCAATCAGCGACATCACTTCTTTCAATTCCTCCTCCTCCTCCACCTACCTCCTCTCCATCACCACACACACTCACCCCATCCTCATCAACAATCCCCTCTCCCTCTCCCCTGCCGCCACAAACCCTCATTTATCAGTAATACCTGCTATAAACCCTCCCTCAGTCATTAACAATCCCTGACCAAAAGTTTCTTTCACCCCACATGTCAGCCGCAAATAGAGCGGCTCACGACCAGACCGTTTACAAGATCTACCATCAGTATAGCTTGAGTGGTTGGTTTGTGGATTGAGTAGTCTATAGAGATGTTGCATTAATGAAACGCTAAAGATAAGGATGTCGAGGAGCTCAGCGAGTAGGTTGCATGGTTGCATCAAAGCCGTACATCTTTGATCAAAAGATGGAAGTAAAAGCGAGGGGAAGAAAATATATACAGAAAAAGTCGTCAAAGTGAAAGAAAAAATGTAGGCACAATATAATACAAAGAGAAGGAAAAGAAGAAACTTTTGAGATAAAAAGACCTAGATTGCGATTGTGCCGATACTCATCAAAAACACCTGCAATGCCAAATGCAGCGACCACATGCCCACTTTCTTCATCCTCCGCGCGCGTTCCTCGTCGTCGCGCACGTTGGTCGCGATTGCTTCGTACACCTCGGCCGAGAGATCGTCCATGAGCCCGCTGTCGAAGATCGTCCAGCTGCCGTCGAACTCGGACAGCTTCTTGACCACGCGGCAGTTGATGGGGATGTACGTGTTGCGGTTGTTGATGTAGGCAATCATCGGCCGGATCAGCGCGTTGTTGATGTACGACAGCTCCGGCGGCATGAGCGGTAAGGCCGCGCGCACGTTGTGAAGCTGGATCCGCAGGTCAAAGACGATATACTTCTCCGGCTGCTTGGGACCGATAGTCGACCCCGACGACGAACTGACCGGCAGCGAAATCACGTCCTCGAGCTCGATCTGGCCGCGGTTGATCTGGTACTGCTGCTTGGCGTACTCAATCATATTCCGCAGCGTCCAGTTCCGGTTCTGGAACTCGTGTTCGTCGTCGTCGATGTCGTAGTCGCGCTCGTGCCGGGTGACGTCTTGCCGCCGCTTCTGCTCACGGTTCAGCAGCGTCTCCTCCCACCGCTCCAGGATATCCTGCATCACCCGCGAGAAGTTCTTGTCTTGGTCTTCGGACGGAATCATCACGTCCGCAATCAGATCGACCTCGCCGTCAGAGATCCAGCTGAACGCGCCCTCTGTCACCCCGCGGTTCAAGTGGTCCATGCTCACGCCGTCGACCCGCAGCCGCGAGGTCTTCTTCCACGTGTAGCGGTCGTCGTCAGGTTGCAGACCGCCGCCGGTACTCGTCAGCGTCTGACGGGGGTGGATAGTAAACAGCGAGTCGTCATACGATCCAGACATGTGGTTTGCGCCCAGGATATCATAAAACAGCCACTGCCGCCGCAGCTGCGGCAGATCGCACGAAAAGATACTAATCTCAAACGGCCGGAAGTTGTCCGGCTGCAGAATCGTCACGAGCGCGTCCTCAAGCACGAAATGCTCAATCTCGAAATCACCTGGCCGATGCACTTTTTTGTATGACCTCGGATCAACCCCCGGTAACCAATGCACATGGGTCCGGTCGATCAGGCCTCGGATACCCTTGACTTCCACATCCGCCAGGATGCCCTTGCCGTTCATCCACTTGCGGAACGAGAGCGTCACGTTGATCGAATCGACTGTTAAATCAAACTGTGTGTAATTCCCATCATCCACAACTTCCTCCTCCAACTCCGGCGCAGGCTCGCCATTGTGAGCAGCAGCAGCCGCAGCCGCAGCAGCGGCCGCCGTAGCTCGTGATCCTTTGACTACCCGATTATCGTTCTTTCCGGGCCGGCGGGAGATAAACACGTTACGGAACGAAATCACGCCGTCGCTCCAGCGTGGGACGATCGCGTTCTCGAATACTACAGTTACACCTGTCTCTTTGGTGAGGTAGTTGCCGATTATTCGTCCAAAGGTTTCTGAATGAGTGTTAGCGGTGGCTGTAGAGATGTAACTACTCAGAATGACTTACCTTGTGCGAAAACGGTGTTACCCGTTAAAATAAACAGCGAAAAGAAAGTCGTTGTCCCGAGCAAGACCCATATCACGTTCCCCAAAATAAGCCATGAAAAGAAGGCAGACATGTCGTCCATATTAAACGGTCGAACCTGCCGAAGCAAAACCCATTTGAATCTAATCTTGAATCTCTCAAACGCGCCCGAAGCGGCTTTCAAAAGCTCTTCTTTAGTCGGCCGGTGAGGCAGTCTTCGGGAGACGGCGCTGCTCCATGTCTCGTGGGAGTGATCTGAGGTCTGTTGCTTGAATGTACTGTCTGCGTGGTCGTGTTGATCTGTGCCGCTACTACTGCTGTGGCCTGAGCCAGACACATCCTCTCCCTGTCTCGCCATCGGATTGGACTCTGACGACTTCCCGACCTTGGCCTCGTTGGCTAATGAAATTTGCTGCCTCATCTGCTTACCGCCTTCCTCGGCGTATCGAGAACAGTAGCTCGTAAACGTCCGCGAGAATGAAAATGCGTGCGGTCCTAGGCCTTTCCGACTGGGATATAGAGGATAAGAGCCCCGGGTACGGCTGAACGCCAGCTGCGATATTCGCACGTGCCTATTTCGCTCATGCAGACGCTGGCAGCAGGCAGTGCTAGACGACAGCTGCGGATGCGCTGATGCAGTTCCAGAGGCACGGGAATAGTGCCGTATTAAGTATAAGAGGTTTGTGGGTTGGGAAGCCAGAAGATCCGGCCTTGAAGTTGCGGTTGAGCGCATTGTGGTGAGCCCACATAGCGAGCGGATGATGTGCTGAGGCTGTCGGGCAGCCATGTTGAACGACGAAGACGAAAAAGAGAAAAAGAAATAAAGATGAGATGCAGAGTAAATAGATGTACAGGAATACGGCGGATACTAGCACTAGTCAAAGAACCGACGGAGCGTGTTGAGACTTGTAGAGATTGATGCTGACGATAAGACCCCGGATTGAGTGGAGTACTAATTTGCACTCCAAGTACTAGAGCAGTTGAATGTCTAGAACTGGGTCTCCGTCAAACGTCCCTATTCAAGATCCGACTGTGAGAGAAAGACTCTTTATCTATATATACAAGAATCAAAGAAGTCAGCATGGGGTAGCAAAAAAATCGCTGATCAAGATGGATCCTGATGCATTTTCGTAGAGTTGACTATGATTGAACGACGATTTGAAGAGAGCAACGCACCAGATCAAGACCAAATAAAAAGGCAGACCTTAAACAAAAAGGCCCTTATAACTCTGCCCAACTACCGAGTGCAATAAGCAAGGCGAAGGGTGTTTCTGTATCCTGTTCTCGCAGAAATACCAGTCTGGATACTCTTCAAGAGATTCCGGCGCCGTCATCGGCGAATCCAGAATCGCTGAAAAAATAATTAAACTTTGGCCAAACTCCCGACCGGCCTGGAGAAGCCGCAGTAGATCTCAGACCGCTGTTTACTATGAGAGTCTGCGTAGTTCTCGGTCCGGGAGTTTGAAAACCTTTTTTATTTTTTTCTCTTGATACTCAGACACAGGCACTTGCAAGACCATATTCTCTACTCTTTCCACATTATCATGCCCGCTCCTACTGCTATCCGGCAAAAGCCCGAGGAAATCGCTCCTCCTGCTCCTGTTCTTGACGACGATGGTCAGTTTCTTCTTTTCTGCTGCTATCACACGCCAGCTAACTCGAATCCTACAGACGACGAGATCCTGATCGATGCTCTATCCACCACCACATCGGCCGCGCCAACAGCAGCCGACGACGTCACCGACGTCTCGACTGCTCCTACATCGACAGTCACCAGCGGCATGCAGCTTGATCTTGACGGACGGCCGCGCTTCGGCACCGCTGCTGAGCAACGGGTATGCTCTTCATCCACTTTCTTTTGCTGTCGCTCGAGGTATGTACTTACCTCTATCAATTATAGACTCGCGTTAGAGCCCAGTCACGGAGAGTGCCTGTGCCTCCGCACAGAATGACACCCTTGAAGAACGCCTGGCCGAAGGTTTATCCGCCATTAGTAGAGCATCTCAAGCTACAGGTTCGCATGAACATTCGCACAAAGACCGTCGAGCTGAGGGTATGTCCGCTCCAATTCCACCCTTCCCCCAATCAAAAGATACAAAGTACTGACATCATGAACCAGACCTGCAAGCAAACCGAAGACACCGGCGCAATCCAGAAAGGCGCGGATTTCATCAAGGCGTTCACCCTAGGCTTCGACGTCGACGACGCCATCGCGCTGCTCAGATTAGACGATCTCTACATCGAGTCCTTTGAAGTCAAAGACGTCAAGACCTTGCAAGGCGACCATCTCGCCCGCGCAATCGGCCGTATCGCGGGAAAAGACGGCAAGACCAAGTTCGCGATCGAGAACGCTACCCGGACGCGTATCGTGCTGGCCGACAGCAAGATCCATATCCTCGGCGGATTCGCAAATATTCGCATGGCGAGAGAGTCCGTCGTCAGTTTGATCCTCGGTAGTCCGCCCGGAAAGGTGTACGGAAACCTTCGCATCGTTGCCTCGAGACTCAAGGAGAGCTTTTGATTGCTTTTTTAGACTAGCGTCGTCGTCGTGCTCTGCATAGTGTGCTATTAGTTTACAATACTAATCAGAAGGGGTTTTCAGGTTTTGTAAAAAAGTTCTGTGCTTCCTTGTCTTTGTTTTTGTCTTTGTCTTTTGCTGGTTCTGTTTGTCATTTTAGCTTATTTAGGTTGGGTTTTTTGGTATTGCTCTTCGCTTTAGAGATACTTGTCTCATAATTTACATTTCTTATCATATGTACATCTGCATTCAAACAAAGATAGACATGGTATTAGTGTCCTTTGCGTAAAACAGTTTGATCTGCGAAAAGTCGCAGTCCTTCGGAAGATCAATGTCCAAAGCCTTTTCGTTAAATCCCGAGGAGTTCACATAGACTTTTCCCGCACTGTCGTCGATCTTCACCGTTGATTCCTCCAAAGCTGTTGAACTGCCACCGACCGTTATCTCGTAGTGATATCTGGGGAAACCAGCCTGCTTTAGCTCCGTCTTGACGATTTTAGGAGAAACCTTTCTGCTCTCGACAATCTCTTGGATCATTGGCTTGTTCGGCGTGCTCTTACTGGGTGGAGCAGGGGCAGCAGCAGCTGTCGACTTTGACGACTTGGCAGAGGCAGGAGCTGGTCTCTCCACAATCTCTTCTATCAACGACTTTGCCTGCGCCGTAGGTTTTGGCTTGACTAGCGGAATCAAGCCCGCGTCGTCCTCTCTATACACCAGATCAGAGCTCGGAGCAGCTTTTTTTCCAGTCCCGTTTTCTTGCGGCGACTTCCCGTTGGAGGTATCCTCTAATATCTTCCTAGCCATGCCATTGAGCGACGCAGCTATACCCGCGTCTTCGGTGTCGGAGCTGTCGTTCAGTATCCGGCTTCTAGAAGGGCGGATGAGGATCTTTGGTGGACGGCCGTTGTTGCCCTTGTATCGTAGCTTTGGAAGTTTGTAGTCTAAAAAATATCAGCATCGGGTTTGGCTTCTAGCACAGCAGCTTTTACGCACCTGGAGACAGCTTCAAGCCGTGGCTGTGGGATACGACCCGCATACAATGCTGTGCGAAAAGCGCAAGTGCCTCGGCACTGCCTTTTGTCAAGTCGAGAAGTTCAGAGTTGATGCAGCAATCAAATACATAGCATTTCTCGCCCTCTGCAGAGAGCATGTCAGTCTGGTTCAGATCATGAGCCGACGAATTGGAAACAGATACGTACTGTTATCGGTTTCGATGGATTCTCCTCCCAGAATCACAGGTACGTCGTCTTGTGGTGCTTCACCGGGAGCTATGGAAAAAACAGACAACGGTTAGCCTCAATACCAGCTCAGACATCACTGTCTAACAACAACCACGTACTATCTGAAAACGGCGCCTTGGGATCCCGGCAGACGTTAATAAAGACCTTTGTTCCCTTTGTCCTCTTTGGCGAGACAGTCGACTCCAGAAGATACGTCTTGACGACAAAGAACGGCTGCGGGTTCAGCTCAATAGGAGCAGCATCCTCTTCCTCGTCCAGGTCTGCAAACTGCGGATCCAACGGAGGCAGGTCTTCAAACATCTTCTTCCTGCCAATATCTTCTACAAGACAGTTCATCAACTTGCTGCAATTTGATCTTCGATACGCGTCTGCGCGGCTCATCACACGTGACCGAGGGCGAGGGTTGGGGCTGAGCCCGCGAGGCCGCGAGTTCCGGCGCAGACGAAACCTCCGCCCGGGTGCCTGCGAGGACGTCATCACCACCTTTGCCCGCCGCCACAGGTTTTTCTTGCCACTACGCCCAGTCTGTTTGATCGTCTGGATTGATCTTGGTTGTTGATTTAGAGAAGACTGCTTGGTATTAGACTGCCTGCGACTTGCTACTATACTCCGCGTTTGAGGATCACAGATACCTGCGATCTCACTTCATACATACGACATCTTACACCCGCTATATCCATAATCAGCTATGAGTTGGTCTGGTTTCCAGAAGGCCGTTAAGCGTGCCGGAACGACGGTATGTGATTGACCTAGTGTGTGCGGATGAATGGTTCTTGCTTGATCGCTGTTGCTCTGGCTGTCTTGTACGCGATGCATGAACCTGTACCGCAGACCATTATTCGTGCTTTTTGTTATATAGTAACATCTGTGTTTTAACATCTCTTCAGGTTATGATGAAAACCGGTCAGATTGAGAAGACTATTGACCGGGAGTTTGAGTTGGAAGAACGACGATTTAGAACGTATGCGCTCGTGACTGCCGTACATTATCTGTGGTATATCTCGTCTCCTTGCTAACACTATCTGCATCTAGTCTCGAGTCTGCCGCCAACAAACTCCAGAAGGAAGCAAAGGGATATCTAGATTCCTTGCGAGGTAAGCCGGTGATCTGTGTATCCCACATCTACGTCGAAGAATTACTAATCAGATATCAGCTATGACTGCTGCGCAAACCCGAATCGCAGAGACCATCGACGCCTTCTACGGCGAATCCGGCGCCAACGACGGCGTCAGCAAATACTATCGCACGGCAGTCGAAGACCTCGACGCGGATACGATCAAGGCACTCGACGGCCCGTACCGCGCGACCGTGCTCGAGCCGATCTCGCGCTTCGTCTCATATTTCCCGGACATCAACGACGCGATCAAGAAGCGGAATCACAAGCTTCTCGACTACGACGCCATGCGGGCCAAGGTGCGCAAGCTCGTCGACAAGCCTGCGGACGATGTCGCGAAGCTGCCCAAGGCTGAGCAGGACGCTGAGATGGCAAAGACCATATACGAAGAACTCAACACGCAGCTTGTGAACGAGCTGCCGCAGTTGATTGACATTCGAGTGCCGTACCTCGACCCTTCGTTTGAGGCGCTGGTCAAGATCCAGCTGCGGTTTTGCTCGGAGGCGTACACGAGAATGGCGCAGGTGCAGCAGTACCTGGACCCGAGTACGAGAGAAGAGTATGCCGGTGGTTACTTGGATACCAGAGTCGAGCAGGTTCTCCAGGGCATGAGAGATCTGTCTATCACGTAAGTTGATTGTGTTGATGTTTGCGATTTGAGCGTCTGCTAACCTCATCTGTTTTATAGTGGCATGTCCTCTGCCTAATCATCTATCAGTTCTATATATCTCGAGCCGATTCCGGTGTCCTATTATTTCTCCTACTATTTCTCCTAATTTCTTCTTCCGTTTAAGATGTTCTTGACTGTCGTTTGTGCTTTGAAATCAGCAGTATTTTTTGTTTGTTAGCATTCTACGTGTCGGTGTACTTAATTCAAGAGTCTTTGTTTCGTCGATCTGAGTAGAAGTCTGATGGTATTGAGTATGATTTGCCTGTAGTTCCATCGAATACCCGTCCTATGACCTTAGAAGCAGAGAAAAACTGGGATAATTGCATTTCTGTAGAAAGTTCGATGACCGACGTCACAATCGTCCAGTGCGGCGGTGGGCATTGGGAATATGGAGATATCGCCACGAGACCTTTCGTATAAAGGCCACGCGTCCAGATCTCGATGTAAATATCGCAGTTATGGATTTCTTACTCTTATAACACACTACTACTCAACAATACATTGACCAATGCGAATCACCAAAGCAAACACAATCTCCTTGCTCTGCCTCGTCCTCTGCATCCTCCCAGCCGTAGCATCCGCCCGCCCAGACTCCCCGAGTCCCAAGATCCTCCCCTCGCAGATCCAGACGCTGACGCTGCGGAAAGATGCAAAGACAAAAGGACGGAGAACTAAGCCCGTTCCGCAGCTGAAGCAGGTGGGTGGCGACGCGAAGGGGCTTTATGAGGTGCCGGTTATGCAGTGTCGGAATATGGGGGCGGGAGATGGAGGGCCTGAGGATGTGCAGTGGAGTTGTACGGCTGATTTGCCGGGGTATTTCAAGTATGTTGGTTTTTGTTTGGAAGGTGGATGGTGGTGGAGATGGTTACTGACGGTGTCATAGGCTCGGCAGCACAGATGTCATTTGCGAAGGATACAATAACGCAGATGATCCATACGTCTTGAAAGGATCCTGTGGAGTAGAGTATACTCTATATCTCACAGAATCAGGCTACCAAAGATACGGCAAGTCTCCGGGCAGTATACCATATAGCACCTACTCCGACAACGGTAAGCTCTCTTCTTCTTGCGCTTTTTCACAGATCGATAGCCTAACAGACTCGACAGACGGATCATCTCTCACAACGCTATTCTGGTTCCTCGCCGCATGCGCGCTCCTCTACGCAGTAAGCATATACTTCTCCAACCCAACCCCACCCGGCACCTCTGCGCCCCCGCGCCGTCGACGAAACAACTTCTTCGGCACCTTCTCCAGCGGCGACAACGACGACGACAACGATCCGCCCCCACCTTACTCCGGCGGCGGCGGCGGAGGAAGCGGGAAGTACTTCTCGACCGCGCAGAGACAGCAACAGCACCAATGGCGACAAACCCAGCAAGACTCGTGGCGCCCTGGGTTTTGGACCGGATTAGGTGCCGGCGCGGTCGGCGCGGGTCTGTATAACCGGTTCACAAACCCGAGCCGGACTACGACCGAGCAGCGCGCGAATTTCTTTAGAGAACGCGCGCTTTATGATGATTATGAGCCGCCGCTTGCGCGGAGAGGAGGCGGTGGTGGGGGGTTTATGAGGAGTAGTAGTGGTGGTAGTGGGGGTTTTGAGGAGGCGCCGACTAGGGAGTCGACAGGGTTTGGAGGGACCAGACGGCGTTGATCTTTGGATAAGTGTAATATATCGATTCAACTAGATGACATTTAAAAAGACAAAACGTATTTATATGCGATCTGGAACATTGCAGACGTTGTAATCCTGGTTTAGGCGTTGGCGGCAGCGACCGCGGACGCGAGCGCGAACGCGACCTTGAACGAGATATTCTCGAGGATGAGTTCCTTGTCGCCGTATCTCTTCTTTGCCCACGAGTACAACGAGCTGTAAGGCATCGTGATCAAGCCTCTGCTTTCCAAAAACTGTAAAACCGCGTCAGAAACGAGAGGGGCCCACGCAAGGAAGACGATCGAGCCCGCGCGATGGAGCAGGGCCGGGTCGATGTTCCAATCAAAGAGCAAGTGGTCACGTACCTGGAGAAACAGATATGTGCTACTACTGACAAAGACAAGCAGCTTGCTCAGCTTGCCGACGAGGTAGCCGACAAAGAGGCCCATGAAGCTACCAATCGACAGCTCGCGGTAGTCGAGCCTCGACTTGCGCACCTCGTTCGCGACCGCCTTTGCGTCGCTGCGCGCGGCCGTGTACAGATCGCGGTCGGTGCTGCGGACGGCAAAGTCGCAGAGCACTTTCGGTTTGCTGAGTTGCAGGTATGCAATGGCAGAGACAGAGGTGCCGGCTGCGAGCAGGGTGGACGACGAGAACTGGCCGCTGGTCTGGCGGGAGCCGGTGCGCATCAACATCTGTCTGGCCGAGGCGGTAAACATCGACGGCATCGACTTTGCTGCGCAGAAGCGGGAGAAGAGCAGGCTGGACATTTTGCTGAGAACTGAGAATGAATTGAGAACAAGCTGAGAGAGAAGGAGGTCAGAATAGAAACAAGAACCGGCTGAAGATCGCCGAACAGATAGCAGGCAGATCCTCGAGGCGGTGTGACAGGGCTGCCGAGGAGGTCAGATAACATGACGTCATTTGGCACCACACCCTTTGCTGACAAGTTAAGGTTCAGAACCCCTGAGTTTCTTTGTTCTGCTTACAATAAACCTGATCACTCATCAGGCTCTTGGTAATCAGCTCCTCGGGATACGAACAGGTATAAAGAGCAGGAAGGTGCTGATTGCTGTTGATAGGAGGAGATTATAGAGACAGACACGAGAATGCCCGCTGCAACCACCTCCTCACCGCCTGCAGCGGCCTACAGACCCTCAGCGTAAGTACACCATCATCTTACCCCACAAACTACCAATCATCCGACATACTCACACCTTTCTGCAGCGCGCTCAAAGTCGTCGAACACGGGTCCGGATCGCTTGCAAAGCTGCCGGAGGTGCTCAAGCTGTTGAATGTGACGAAGCCGTTTATTGTCACCGGCCAGTCGGTTAGGGAGCGCACGCCGATTATTGATAATGTGCTGGGGATACTCGGGAGAGACGATGTCGTGGTTTTTAGCGCGATCAAGCAGCATGCTCCTGTAAGCTATGAGATGCCTCTGTTGTTTGCATTGCGTGGTGATTCTAATCTGTGAGCTTTAGATTGCAGATATCCGAGACGCTTTGCGCATCTTCAAGGAGTCGGGGTCGGACGGTATACTCGCGATCGGAGGCGGTAGCCCGGTGGAGTAAGTCATCCTCACACATCCATATTTCCCCAAGTGCACAGCTAATAATGAACAGCTCTGGAAAAATCATTGCATACCATCTTCTAGAGCAGTCCTCCACCAAAATCCCACTGATCGCAGTCCCGACCACGTTCTCCGTCGCAGAGACCACGCCAGCAGCCGGCTACACGAACGAAGAAGGCCACAAGACTACCGTGCTGGATCCCACGATTGCGCCCGAGGCAATAATTTACGACGCCGAGGTTTTGCAGTATACCCCTTTGCGACTGCTGCTGTCTTCTGGAATTAGGGCGGTGGATCATGCTGTCGAGACGCTTTACGCGACGAATATCTCAGAGGTGCCGTTTAAACCGCTCGCGTTATCAGCACTTTCTGATTTATTCAAGTATCTCCCGCTGCTGAAAGAGGATCCTAAAAATACCGAGATAGGTCAGATGTTGTTTAACGCGGCATTTTTGAGCTTGTTTCCGAGGTATACTCTTGAAGGTGGACTTGGCTTGAGGTATATCTATCGTCTTGAATCTTGCCATTTGAATAGTGTGCTAACGTGCTGCAATACAGCCATAGACTTGGCCATGCGCTCGGTGCCAAATACGGGATTCCCCATGGTACGAACCTATTACCTCTTCTAACTGGACCCACGCTAACTGTATCAAACAGGAATCACATCATGCGCCACCCTCGCCGCCTCTGTAAACTACAAAGCAACAAGCGATCCCTACGCCGCAGCCCAACTCCAACGCGCGATCCCGTTCCTCGGTCTCGATCAAGCTTCAGACGCAGAGACCAGAGGACGCGCGGTGGCTGCTGCGATAGCTCGTCTGGTGGACACGTTGGGACTGACTACGAAACTCGGGGAGTACTCCGTACCGGTCGCAGATGTGCCCAAGATCGCGCTGCACGCGGTTGGAGGGGATCCGGAGAGCCCTGAATATGGTGCTGTGCAGGAGCTTGTTCGGTCGCTTTATTGATCGACGAAAACAATTTGAAGCGAAAAAGGATACTGTTCATTAATAATTGCATACAAATATTATCAACCGTTACACCGAGGAAAAATACAAGAAATAAGCATCAACAAGAAAAACCCATAGAGAAAAGAAGAAAAACAATCACTTGAACTCGTCAAAATCCAAGTCATCATCAAAATTCAATTCCTCATCAAGATCCAGACTCAATCCTTCGAAATCGCTCTCGAGATCAAGCGGCCGCTCGAAATCATGCAGCCCGTCCTCGCCAACCGGCAGATCGAGATCTGCGAGTACTTCCTGCCGCGGTGGCCGGCTCAGTTCTTCCATCTTGCGCGCGACGGCGGTTTTGCCGTCTTTGCCGCGGGGATATAAGTAGTCTGCGATCAGTTCTGGGTCGGTTACAGCTGAGCGGAGGGCGGTGTAGTCGATTGGTTCGTAGTCTGCTGGGACGAAGGGTGATTCTATAAACTGCTTAGCACAACAACAACAACACCTCCTATTCAACTTGTACATACCAGTAGCTCGTGGAGGCATATACTCGATCTCAGGCAATTCTGTCTCCGGCATACTCAAGCTCTCGACCGGCGCCGAAGCGACCTCTTTCCGAGGCGTCGCCTGTCTTGCGCGTCTGCTGCGTCCGGCCGAATTCGACTTGACGGTCGACTTTGCGTTCTTGAGACCCCAGTCCTGCATCGGTGCTATTTTCGACCTCGCATTCGTGTCCTTGCCACCTAGCGGTACTCGTTTTTCTAAACAGTAAGACTGCGTTAGTCGCTGTGGAGTGAGTAGAACACAGAATAGTCGAATGCAGACATACCATTAGGAGTCTTAAACGGCGTCTTTGCACCGCCTTTCTCAAGTGCGCCTTTGTTTGGCTGGAAAGTGATTACTGTGTTTTCATTTGCTTTGGCCCCGAACGGTGTTCGCGCACTGCCGGCTTTCTTTGCGAAGGGCGTCTTTGGCGCTGTGCTCCCGACGGCGTTTTTGCCCGCGAGCGCGAACGCGACCTGGTTTTCCTTGTCGTGGTAGATCTGCGTCATTCTACAACAGAAACAGCACAAAAAGACGAGAGAAATGTAGGCTGTGAGCGGAGAATGGCACGGATGGAGAAGAGAGCAGGATGGTTGTTTACACTGCAGCCCCCGGGCGAGTACGAGCCCCGTTGCTTGCACGTGATCCGGTTACCACGACAACGCGACTTCTTGTGAGCGCGTGAGCGGTGATTTGGCGACACGTCCGCCGGTTGTGCACGTTTATAAGAAAAGCCCCCTTTCTGCCTGCTTCTGCCGCTTCTTCTATCGCTCAGATTCACCAGCCTGTAATCCTGCACTGCGAATCAATTACTACACGAGCATAATCAACAATGTCTATGATGGATAAGCTGAAAGAGGTATGTCTTCTACTCCGCGAGACACGGCGAGGGGAGCGAGCGGTGACTTGAGACTTGATCAGGGCTGCGTCGAGACGCGACCTTGCCCCGTTTCAATCCGATCAATTCCGCGGTTGCTGTCAAATCCTCTTCTTTTTATCGTCTGATGGTCTAACAATGCTATGCAGAGAATCAACACCCTCCGATTGGAGGCCGAGACCGCGCAGGACAAGGCCGACGAAGCCTCGGCGCGCGTCAAGGCGCTCGAGCAGGACGTGCTGACGAAGGAGCAGGAGATCACTTCGCTGACGCACAAGAACTCGCTGCTAGAGGAGGAAGTCGAGAAGCTCGAGAAGCAGTTGAGCGAGGCCAAGTCTGCGGCCGAGGACGGCGCTGCGCACGGCAGTGCGAACGAGACTCTTACGCGCAAGATAAGTCAGCTCGAGGAGGAGCTGGAAGAGGCTGATAAGAACCTGCGCGAGACTACCGAGAAGTGAGTGATAACTGGTTCTTTATCTGTGTTTTATTTCTATTGTTTGCTAACGCATTCTTCTTTCTTACAGGCTCCGTGTGACCGACGTCAAGGCCGAGCAGTACGAGCGCAAGGTCTCAAGTCTGGAGACCGAGGTCGAGTCATGGGAGAAGAAGTTCGAGGAGATGTCTGTCAAGTACGACGAGGCCAAGGCTGAGCTCGAGGAGATCAACAAGCAGCTGGAAGCTTTCTAATTTCTTCTTTCTTTCTTTCTTTCTTTCTCATGTCTTCAATCTTATGTCTTCCAAAACCCACAGTTTTGTATTTCGGATCGATCTCTCAGTCAGTTCTTGTTCTTGTATGAAACATGCAGTACATATATGATTAGATGAATTTACGTTTTGCTTGGTACTTACGAAACCGTAGAGATCAAGATCAGACCAGTCGATCCATCAATCAGTTACAAGATAAGAATGATAAAACTCGTTAAACCGCTCGTCTACTTTGATCCGATACAGTAATACACCAAAAACAAACAACAAAGAAATATAAGATCCACTTATTTAACGCCCAATATATACACATGTCACAAAGCTACTCGGAATGAAGACATGAGCTCAACATCATGAATTTCTCAGCACAGACAGAGAGGTAAACGTATCCAGTGATCACAAAACATATTTCATCAAAAAGCTCTGGAGATTGTCAATTATTTTGTGATCCAATCGTTAGAATAACCCAGAGAGAAAGAAACAGGTCCTTAATCTTCTAGAGGTCTATATATGGTCACCATCGAGTAAATTGTCCAAGTACGCACTCGGCACGCGCTGACCAGGCGCAGGCGCGACATTAAGATTCGTCGCCGTCGAGCGCGAGTAGTTATGAGGACTTTGCGCGCGCGGGAAGGTCGACGAGTGGCGGTTCGACAGATTAGCGGTCGAGGCCGCGTTCGAACCTCCGTAGTATCCGGCCGGGAGGTATGTCGATGCTCGATTGAATTGGCCGATGGTTGAGAGATGGGCGTCGTTGGCGGTGACGGCGCCGCCGGTCATGCCGATCGCGTTCGCGGTCGGGGAGTAGAACGTGTTGCGGTTGAATGACGGGCCGGTCGCGGGCATGAAGTCTTCGTACATTGTCGCAGGGCGGGCGGTGCTCGCCACCTTTCCGTTCTCGTTGAGATCATCGAGAGAGACGTTACTTCCAGCCAAAGCGGCGCCTGACGCAGCAGCAGCACCGCCCCGTTTGCCGCCAAAGAAACCTGATTTGTTCTTCGCATCGGGCTTGTACTCGCCAGGTACGGGAACGTTCTGCAGGGATTTGTGGAGCGAGTACGCAATCAGTCCTCTCCACGCTATAAGCGCCAGGCCGATTCCACCCAGACAGGCTCCAACGGCGATGAACACAGTGCCTTCGGGAGCAGACGACTCTTTGATGAACGGGTTGTCAGTGGTGACCGGGACTGTTGGCGTGGGATACGCGATTGTGGAGCTCGAGGTACTCTGCGCGGTGGAAATGGACGGAGCAGAAGTGGAGGTGGAGGAGCCGCCGTTGAGGGAGTTGGAGGCGGTGATGACGATTTTGCTGGTAGAAGTGGTTGATGAGGATCCGGAGGATTCGGAGGAGGAAGCCGATGAAGTGACGGAGGATGTGGTTGATGAGGTGGCATCAGAGGAAGAGGAGGAGGAGGAGGAGGAGGAGGAGGAGGAGGTAGAGGTAGATGAAGTAGATGAATCAGAGGAAGAGGAAGAATCGGATGAAGAAGATGAAGTAGATGAGGTAGACGATGAGGTAGTTGAAGATGTAGTAGAAGAGGAGGTTGTAGAAGAAGATGAAGATGAGGAGGAGGAGGAGGAGGAAGAAGAGGTTGTCGACGACGTGCTCTGCGCATACGCCAGATTCGAGCAGACCAGAACCGCAAAGATCAAGAAAAGAACCAACGACCGCTTCATCTTGTATTTTATCTCAGATATCTCAACTAAAGTCGACAACCACAGCAGAAGAACCACAGAAAGAAGAAAAGATCCTGCTTGAGCCGAACAGACACAAATGTAAACAAGCAGCCCCTGGCTCTATTTTTAGTGACCCGCCCCTCATTTAGAGTTCTTTATGTGATCCACATCTGTGACTTGTTGTGACTCAGGGCAGGACCGCGCTGCGACCCGCGCCGAGCCGCGTCGCATATACACGGTCCTCGACCACCGCTTCCTTGAAAACCTCTTCCCGACGCAACCACCACTCCACCGCCCGCAATTCAACCATGTCGGCCTCTTTCACCTTCGTGGAGACGCCTGCCGCGCCTCCTCCTCCGCCTGCAAGCGATGCCTGCGGTGTCATGACCACCGACTCGCCCGCCATCAAGAACGCCCCTCTGCCCGCTGATGGTCCTGGGTCCCGTCATTTCAACAACTACCTGCTGTTCTTCCTGCTTTTCTCAATTCCCTACTACTTCACCAGAAAGGTGGGTGGCGGATTCAAGACCTTTGTCTTCTTCTTCATCGTCCTTGGAATCCCCGTCCTGGCCTCGTACTGGTCAATCGTCTCGGCCTTCTCCCCTCGTTTGAACGAGAAGGTCAAGCTCCCTAACAAGGGCGTCGAGCACTACCTCGACTTCCACGACGAGGTGCTCGCAAAGAAGTACTCGGGCCAGAACAAGATCCCGATGGAGACCTTCCACGAGCTCTACTTTGCCAACAAGGTCTCTTTCAAGGGCGATTGTCTCGATGTTCTCGAGTACCGCCACGACTGGGCCAGCTTCCGCTTCACCATCTCTCTGTACAAGTTTTTCCTCACTGGCATGATTCCCGAGGTCATCATGCACACTCGTTCTCAGGGTTTGTTAACCTCTCATTTTGATTGATTGTGATGCAATTGCAATCGATGGCTGCTGCAGCGACAAAAAACTTACACCTCTTATTTGTTTTAGATGAGGAGCAGGTCCGTGATCACTACGACAGAGGTGACGACTTTTACGGCTGGTTCCTTGGCCCGCGTATGATCTACACCTCTGGTGTCATCAACGACATCACCCGCGAAGAGACCCTCGAGGAGATCCAGGACAACAAGCTCCGCATTGTCTGCGAGAAGCTGCAGCTCAAGAAGGGCGAGCGTCTTCTCGACCTCGGCTGCGGCTGGGGCACGCTCGCCAACTTTGCCTCGACCCAGTACGGCGCCCATGTTACCGGCATCACGCTTGGAAAGAACCAGACAAAGTGGGGAAACACCCGTCTCGCTGAATCTGGCATCTCCCCCGACCAGAGCAAGATCCTCTGCCTCGACTACCGCGACACTCCCGTGCCTGTCGAGGGCAAGTACAACAAGATCTCGTGCTTGGAGATGGCTGAGCACGTCGGTGTTCGAAAGTTCGGCTCGTTCCTTAGCCAGGTCTACAACATGCTTGACGACGACGGTCTCTTCATCCTCCAGATCGCTGGCTTGCGCAAGGGCTGGCAGTACGAGGATCTCGTCTGGGGTCTGTTTATGAACAAGTACATTTTCCCCGGCGCGGACGCCTCCACTCCCCTCGGCTTCGTCATCGACAAGCTCGAGGGCGCCGGCTTTGAGATCGCCAGCGTCGACACCATCGGCGTGCACTACTCTGCCACTCTCTGGAAGTGGTACAGAAACTGGATGGCCAACAAGGACAACGTCGTCAACAAGTACGGCATCCGCTGGTTCCGCATCTGGGAGTTCTTCTTGGCCTACTCGACCATCACCTCCCGCCAGGGCGGCGCCACCTGCTTCCAGATCGTGTGCCGCAAGAACTTGAACTCGTACCACAGAGTCAAGGATATTCCTGCTCAGTACGGCCTCAAGGTTCCTCAGCCGCCGACCGGAAACTCCTGGATCAAGAACTAAGCGGCTGCTCGATCAGAGCAATCAAGCTGAACTTCTCAGCATGTGTCTAGATGACAGATATGATATGCAGCTGTATATACGAGAGTTTTAGCAATAGAAATAAATGTCGTACACGCATCTTGTGTAATGATCAAATGTATTTTTTAAACCGAAAACAAAATCCATTCCCATAATCCCATAAACAAAAATGAAGATACAATTAAGAAGAAGCACGCATCTAAAACACCTCCGGCAACCGCTCGACGACATACGAATGCGATCCGACGCTCAACAACGGCACACCGGGAATCTTTCTCAATCTCCGCTTGAGATCGGCATCGTTTGTCGCGACGATATAGCACTTATGCTGCATAACCCGCTGCACGAGACAGTCATCCGCATACGTGCCCTTATGGCTGCACGTTATCCTCTCAATCTGCTCGTCACGGGCTATCCGCAGCGCGATCCGATACCGGGGCCCCAACTTCTCCAATTCGGCCATGACGCAGTCGGTGATGATTGGGATGCATTTCGCGTAGAGCGCGTCCATGAGGCCGCGGAAGAGATCGACTTTCTTTTGGATGCTGAAGTTGAGGAAGTTGGTGTCGATCAGGACTTGGTAGGGTGGCGTGAGGGACTGGTTGTATTGGAAAAAGAGAGCGGAGGACATTTGTGGACTGAGGAGGTGGTTAGCAGACGAGCAGATTTGCATTATCTTGCAGACGAAATCAAGACACATACACTTCTTTCAACAGTTCAGAGTCCTTCAACTTCTTCTCAGGTTCAGCCTTCTTCTGTACTTTCCTAATAACAACATTAGCATCTATTCTTCATCTCATCTTCCTACTAGATCAACTACTCACTTTGCAACCTCCTTGCTGGACATCACCCGCTTCACCTGCGCAAACTTCCGAGTCTTCTTTGCCTTTCCCATTCTGCTTCTTTTTAATATATATCCTCAAGCAGTCTATTTCTCAGTCAACGCACAGAGAAAATAGTCGTCTGGTCCTATGAATTTTTTCTGGATGCCTTTCGCTGTTGGGAGTATCCGCAAGGAAAAAAAATTAGGCCACATTTAAACTTTAATTTGATGACCTAATGTATTAGGAATAGATAGGTTAGGGTATGACTGGAATAAAAGCTACAGGAAGACTTGGATCCTGAAGAAATACTCGTTATATATACAGCAGAATGGCCACTTCACAATTACTTCCGTTAGGTGAGTATTACTCTTCTAGTTGCTAGTGTTATGAAATATTGCAGGAGCTTAGTCTGACGGTTGGTTTACAGAGCTGGTGGATAAGTGCGTGGGTTCAAGGATCTGGGTTGTCATGAAGACCGAGCGAGGTATGTTTGCATGCGAATGAAATATATGCGGTGGTTTCTGGGTGATCCAGGATTGATTCTAACGATGGTTGCTGTGGTTTAGAATTTAGTGGTACTTTGATTGGTTTTGACGACTTTGTCAGTAAGTTATACGCAGCTGTTGCGCTTCAAGAGTGTGAAAGAGATGGTTGCTAACTGCTGCAAAATCAGACATGGTGCTTTCGGACGTTACCGAGTAGTAAGCTCTCTTTTCTCTCTGAATTCAGCTGTCGAGATCATTCGTGGGTGGCTAACAATCAATAGCGATGCCATGGGCAACCAGACGCATCTCTCAAAAATCCTCTTGAACGGAAACAACATATGCATGGTGCGCAGCCTGATCATTCTTCTACACCCGCTCGAGCAATGTTTTATATGCTAACTCTGGCGCTCTAGCTGATCCCAGGAGGTGAACCGACCGGAGACGCGAATGGTGCCGCGGAAGAGTAAACTATTGCTGGGTGTGAACGCGACAGTGTATTATATGGAAATCTTGATCTTTTTATCTGTACGATAGAGCGAGTTTTACGACTGAGAAAATCGCTACTATATTTATATATTCATCCCAAACCCATCTTTCTCTTTCTATCCTACATCACCGACTCTTATCCCCAGTCCCACCAGCAGCAGCAGCCCCAGCAGCAGCGAACTCCGCCCAAGGATACAAAACACCACCGAACCCGAAATGCTGCACGACCGGGAACTTACCCAGCACCTCTGCATTGTACATTTTAAGTAACCCAGAATGAACCTTAACCCAATACTGAACGCCTGAAATGTCGTACAACACCGGTGAATGCTCGAAAAACGGTCCCTTTTTGACCTTTGATGTAGAGTTAGCTTGGGGATCTCTGTATCTGAAGAGAGGGGACGTACCTGATATATGAATGCTATCGCGCCAAAATACATATTCTTCTCCTTAAAATCGTTTATGATCTCCATGCTCATAACCGCAGACGGCCGCGGCATGCCGTACACCGACATCATACTTGGCGCTTTACTCGGCCGCGACGGTCTCGAACTGACCTTTGGCTTCGCTGCCGCGTTTTCTCCTTCAAATTTCTCTTCAACCCCTCTTAATTGCGCGGAGCCAAGGATATATGGTAAATGGAAATGGTCGTCGAGACCCCAGACGCCGTGACTTCCCGCGGGCTCGAGCGAGTAGGTTGTAATCACCTTTCTAACCATTTTGAAATACCGCGAGAAGATCCACAGGATATCCTCTCCGCTCACCGACGTACCACTTTTCTCGTCATCCAGAAGTCCAAGAAACAAACATCCGCCAAAAAACGCCAGAAAACTGAGCTCATGACCGGTCCCGAAATCCAGGCGCTGGACAGATCCGAGCGCGGCTATCAGATATGCCGCCAACTCGTCCTTTGCGTCCAGCGTGACCGATCTAGCTTCGATGATCTCGCCCACCATCGTCAAAATCTCCGTCTCGGCTCGGTGATACCACGTTTTATACGCAGGATTCCCAAACCGCCGCGGTCCACTCACAGGCGGCACCTCATCCACCACGCCCGCCAACCGATCCAATACCGCAGCCACGCTCTGCACGCCCGGCAACAGCCCGTCCGCCGATCCGGGCGCGTCGACTTTCGACACAAGCTCAGATACGTAGTTTAGCAGGAATTGTATCCGCGCATAGGCTGTCGTCGAGTGGAAAAATCGCAGATCTTCGCTGATGTGTATCCGTTTCTCTGGAGCGCTGAAGCGCGCGTCCGGTGGGAGGTGCGGGAAGACTGCTTTGCGGTAGGAAGCCAGATCGATAGGCTCGGTCATTCTGTTTGTTGATCAAAATCCAGTGCTTGGTCTATTCCGACTATACCAGAACTTTGAAGCAGATTGCGGGAGGAGAAGAGCTAGATCAAAGGGCTGAATTTTTATCAGAGACGAGATTACTGATTACTGACGATTAAATCGCGAAAGCCAAGTAAAATTACCCTGACCCCATCTCCAACCAGCCCTGTCGTCATCGGTCCTCTTTGTCTTATTTCCAGGTATATTTGTTCATTGAAAGAAGTACCCAACAGCACATAAAAGGAACGTTCATAGCAAAATAACGCTCGGCGAGAGTATCAACATCGAGCGTTGATAGCCGCGAGCTAGACATCATCTCAACAGACATTATTCGTCGCGAGTTCATCAAACCATCACAAACGCAAACACAAGCACAAACAACAAAAGTATACGCAACGAAATAGCAAAGAAAACAAAATCAAGAGCACTTAAAAAACAACCGTAACAAGTCCAATACACCCTATTACGCCGTAGACAACAAACGAAAGAAGCATCAAGATCAGGTGAAGTACTTCTTATACCCCCTATAAGCATTCTTCGACGCCTTCTCCGTCGGCTTCTTGCTTATATCCCTCAATTCATCAGCCAACCATCGCGTCCATTTAGCAGTTGCTTCTTTAACCTCATTGCCAAATTCTCTGATCACCGGCGCAGACCGTTTCGCAAAGTCAATCGTCTCCTTGCCTGCCTTCTTTGCAAGCTCTGTCGACAACTCAGAGGCCTCTCTCGCCACATGAACAGACTTGACCCATTCACGCTGAAGCTCGGGATACAGCACCTCCTCAGAGTACTTCTTTGCTTCTGCACCGTATCCGACAAGCTTCTGCTGTGAGATTTCGGCTGCAACGCTTAGCTTGGCCGCTTGCTCGGCCAGTTTCTGTTCAGAAAACTTGAAGTAGTCGAAAGCAAGTGACTTGACATTAGAAAGCGCTTCATTCACTTCTGCGACCACGGGTGCTTCGGTCTTCTCAAACTCCAGCAGGTACCACTGCTTAGTATAACGACTCTCAGAGCCGAGGTAGATCTCGATAGTCATATTCACTTCACCCTGTGCGTCCTTTGGATTCAAACTGACCATGACCGTCTTTTCAAGAGGTGTATTCTCAACCGTAAATCTCCTCGACTGCGCATCAATCTCGTAGGCTTCCTTGATTGACTGAATACTAAAGTCTGATACCTTGGAATACATGGGTAAAAGGCTTGATGGGTCCAAAACAGACTTGGGCGCTCGGATCAAGATATCGTTCTGGTGGACAAAGAACTTGAATTCGTGCTCTTCCATTAAAGCCGTCCAGGCATACGAAGCCACCATAACCGAGACCGTGAGGGTAGTTACTGCCTTGACGACAATATTGGAGGGATTCTTTGCCTTGTTTGCCTGTTAGTCCCTGCTCTTTATTCACACAACCACAACATACTTGCTTACAGATTTAACTGAACCAGTCGAGGTATACAGCCCCTGAAGAAAGAGCAGGAGAGAGTTGATCATGTCGTTCACGTATCTAGCAATCTCCAGTAATACTGTGCTTGCAGCGCTAGCAGACCCAGAAGAGAACTGAGAAAGCGGTTCGTCCTCACAGTCACCGGGCTTCTCAGAAATCTCAAATAAGTCTTCCTTCTTGTCGCTGTCGGTGGGTGCACTGGTCGGCATGGTATCAGGAGTACTGACGTCTGTCAGCGTATCTTCCAAAGGCTTTAGGACGTCGGTATTATCGGTACTCTCAGACGATGAGGTCTCAAGAGGCGCTTTATCCAGAATGCTCGCAGATAAAAAATCATTATCCTGCACTACATCCGAACCAGCGATAGGATCGTGAGACAAACCCTCCTCCTCGTCAGCCTCAGGCTGCTCAGATTGGAGATCTGAAGTAGAGAAGTTTCCGACACTAAAGTTCGAGACGTCATCACTAAAGTCGTCATCACCAGTAAACTCAGCACCAGAGACAATGCTAAAAGCATCATCTTCAAAACTATTCTCCGACCCCGCGTCAGCGAGCGAGTCGACACTGGGAGTAGCAGAGCGGGATCGATCCGGACCCGCTCTCGACGACGCCGTCGGAGCCGGCGATCCGCGGCCGCGCGTGGGAATCTTAAACGACATTTCAGACAAAGAAGCTGTGACAGGCAAGTTTGGTAGTGGTGCAGTAGGAGTATCAGGGTTATCTTCAGGACGGTGTATGCGCGTTTCTCACGGGCCTAATATAAAATCGGCAGGCAGCTGTCTGGCGAGATTAGTAGAGAGGCTCGAGCAAGGTAACAATGCTGACACTCAGGGCCAGAACGCACATGAGATTCGTAACAGAGAGAGAATCGCAAGAAGACAAGCAACAGGGAGTTCAGATCAGAGAGAGAGAGAGAGGAAGTGTGACGATGGAGGTCTGGAGGATTCGCTGGGGAAGGTGGAAACTCCCAACGGATTAAGTTTAATAATAAAGTTTCCAATCTGGTCTTTTATCGCCCGCGGAGAGCCGGCCAGACCTGCTGTCTTCAGTATTAATGAGATATTCTGATGAAACAATATGGAGATAATCAGCTATATTTACGGCAGTTTATATAACTTCTAACAAAGAGCTTCTGGATCTGCAGCAGGCAGCAGCGCTCCGACGTTGAGGCACGTCATCTGCCGTGGCGCCGCCATTCGCTTCTCCGTTGTTAACTTACGCTCACGTGTCTTCCTCCTTCACTTATCAACTCTGCTCTGCTCTATTAACTACCTGCTACATGCAAACATCATCATTACTACATCAAAACGCATCCGCCAGCTTCAACCGCGGCGCGACATTCATCGACAACAGCTCCTGGAAAAGAAGCTTAGCCGCGTACGGAATCGTAAGCTTGTACACGTTCTTTGCAGACTTGCAAGTCGTGCACCATCCGTTGTAGCCCATCAGTCCACACTCGCCACAGACGTCGACCTCAAACGCATCCGAAGACAGCATCAGTCGCTCGAGCAGTAGCTGCGACGCGCCGTACGCAATCAAGCAATCGCGCTCCATCTCTCCCAGTCTCAAACCACCGTCGCGCGATCGACCTTCCGTAGGCTGGCGCGTCAGCACCGCTCGCGGACCGCGGGCGCGCGCATGCATCTTGTCCAACACCATGTGCTTCAGCTTTTGGTAGTAAATCGGTCCGAAAAAGATGTACGCCTGCAGACATTCGCCGCTTACACCCGAAGTAAGCATGTCTTTTCCGGAATAGCTGTACCCCTTCTCAATCAAGATCTTCGACATATCTTCAAGCTTGCTGCCGCCAAAAGCAGTTCCGTACTGCAGCGAGCCATCAACAACACCCGCCTTTCCGGACACAAGCTCAATCATCTTCCCGACCGTCATACGCGACGGAAATCCGTGCGGGTTCATGATAATATCGGGGCACACTCCAGAGTCCGAAAACGGCATGTCTTCCTGCTGCACGATAATTCCACACACACCCTTCTGTCCGTGACGAGACGAGAATTTATCACCCAGCTCGGGCCGACGAGTCTGCCGTAGCAAGACCTTCACTAGCGGCTGCTCCGACTCCGAGGCCGTCAGTAGCACTTTGTCGATGTAACTCGGTTCGGGGTTCTTGTACACAACCGGACTATCCTTGTAATCGTCTGCAGATGCAGTCGGTCCGCCTGATGTACCAAGCATACTATCAGAGGCATTCGTAGGCACCTGCTTATTCACGTAAACCATACCGTTGACAACCTGCTCACCCACGCCCGGTAAACCGTCGTTCTCGAGAATAGCATGCTTGTAGATCGGGTTTCCTTCCTGATCCTTCTTGATTCCATCCAGACGATCGTGCGTCTGATTGGAGTACCGTTTCAGCGTCGTCGTATTCTTCCGCAAAACCTGGCATCGGCCAAATCCACGATCGATCGAAGCCTTGTTCAACACCAGCGCATCCTCGATATCATAGCCTGAATAACTCATCACCGCAACCGTAGCATTCTGACCCGCGGGAAGCTTATCATACTGAATGAGTTCAATTGTACGCGTCTTCACCATAGGCTGCTGCGGATACACCATCAGGTATAGCAGAGTATCGATCCTTTGCAGCTGGTTGTATGCAATAGCGCCAATAGCTTGCTTACCCATCGCACATTGATAGGTGTTACGAGGCGACTGGTTATGATGAGGATAAGGAATCAGACCGGCGACCGCTCCGAGGACTGTGAACGGCTCGATTTCCAGGTGAGTAGTGTTCTTGGTGATCTGGTGCTCGTAGATGGCAATCATGCAGTCGTTTTCTTCGTTCACGTCGAGATATTCCACCAGTCCCTTCTTTAAAAAGTCGTCAAACACCATCCGTCCTTCTTTCAAAGCCTTAAAAGTTCTGTTAGTAAACTCTCTGTATTGCACTCGATCAATTCAACTCACCTCGATATGTTTCGGCGTAACCAACGACTTTGACTTCTCAACAATAATCAACGGCCGACAGATCCGTCCACCATCTGTAGCAATATGCACAGCTTTATGGTGATGATTGACATTCAGACTGATAAAAGCCGACACTCGTCCCTTCCGCCGCAGACTTCGAAATCTCTGCACGAACTTGATCGGTGTGCGGGTTATTCCCAGCAAAGTACCGTTGAGAAAGATTCCATATGCACCCGGCGCATGCAGCTCGTGGCCTGTGATTGTCGAGATTCCTTCCGCGCCAAGGACGTGGACTAGCCTTTTAATTGGCTCTTCTTCGTCGTCGGTCGTGATATGTGTCATAAGTGCCAAGTTCTTCACAAGACCACAGGCCTCACCTTCGGGAGTATCGGACGGACATACTACAAATGAATAATGTTAGTACGCAGAAATCTATCAGGATCAAACTAGTAACGTACACATTCCAAACTGCGATGGCTGCAAAGCACGAGGACCAGACACTTTTCTAGTCTTCTCAAACTGACTGGAAATACGCGTCATCATTCCCAACGCACTGATATAACTCAGCCGACTAAGTACATGCGTAACACCCGCGCGCTCCATCTTGAATCGCTTCAATGACCAGTTTCCGGTCGAGATTGCGCGGTTCATACCGGTTGTGATATTGTTGCTGTGGATAGTGATGTTCATGAGCGCGTCAAACTCGCTTGTCCGGTTCGGCTTCTTGAGCACTTTGTCGATACTCGTCTTGAAGTCCTGGTTGAATTTCTTGAACAGATCCTCAAACAAAAGAGACAGGAGCTGGCCTGCCAGTTCCAGTCGCTTGTTTCCGACATAGTCTCTGTCGTCAACGAGCTGAGGGTTCACCATAGCCATCACAACCCGACGCGTCATGATCGCCATGTAGATTGCTTTCTCGCGAAAGTCAAGATCGTTGACCGAAATATGTGCAATCACAGTATTCGCAAGCGCTTCAATACCCTCCTGCAGCGGTGTCAGTCTAGGGCTCATCGGACGACGGCTGGTCTTGACCTTCGATCCAATGTACTCAAGAGCTTGCTGCTGGGTGAAAATATTCAGCTTTGCGCACTCCTCCATGTTGATTGAGAATACCTCCTGGTATCGCAAGTCCGACCCGGCGACTAGTTGGAGAATCTCGAGATCAGAGGGAATTCCACAGGCTTTCAGGGCCAAAACAATAGGAATGTCTTCTGCGATTGAATTGTGCTTCAGATAAATCTTGTTGTGTTTGGTAAGAATGTAGGTTTTCGATTTCCGCTCGTGAGTAGAACTCGTAACCGACGCCTGAAAGATCCCTTTCTTCTCATCCGCCTCGACGATAATTCGATTTTTGCTCAGCTGCTCCTGGACTAGAATCACCTTCTCCGTGCCGTTGACGATGAAATATCCACCAGGATCCAAAGGGCACTCCATCAAAGTCGCCATCTCCTGCTCGTTCTTCCCCGTCAACACGCATCGGGCGCTTCTCAGCATGATCGGCATCCGACCGATCTCCAGCCCCTTGCGAACAACAATCTTTTTCCCTCGGGTGTACTCGACGTCCACGAAAATCGGCGCAGCGTAGGTCAAATCGCGAAGTCGACATTCATGCGGGTGGATGTTCGTGTTCAAACTGTTTTGCTCTTTCCGCTGAGGCATTCCGACGCGGATGTCGAGGTATTTGAGGTAGAACTCTGGATCAACATCGCTCACTACTTTCTCGTTTGCTTTGACGATTTTTTTGATGTCGACGTTCACAAAGTAGTTGAACGAGTCCAAGTGCTGTTTCACCAAGCCTTTGATTTTGAGGAAAGCTGGCAGGAGTAGCCATTTGTCCTACTCACTCATGTTAATCTTTGCTATATATTTGCTGATCAAGATGACAACTCACCTCTGCAGTTTTGATGGGATCGCTAAGACCTTTGCCATGGTACACGGGCTGTAAAAGATCGTTGAACGACGAGTCCGGGTGCGCCCCAGAAGATTTCGCTGCCATCTCAGTCCTTCTTTCTACTCTGCTGATCAAATTCGACCCTCAACCGCGACTTCAGAAGAACAAGCAACCAAAAGAAGATGAGAACCGGACCGTCGAGGTTTTTTTTCTTCCCGCTTACTCCCAAGTTTTGTTAGGCTTCATGATGGGTGAGCCGCAGGTGCGACAGGGAACCAGCTTCCTCAACCGGTTGCGCGTCTCCTGAGCGACTGGTTTGCAACCGGTTGCTTTGGTTTTTCCGTAAAAATATCGAAGACCTCGAGTTAACCGAAAGAGCACGTTCAAGAAAGAGGTCAAAAGATCACAATTGCACGGGAATGCGGGCACATAATCAGCTGTCCAGGCTGCGGTTAGCAGCTCGACAATTCTCTAGTTGCGGTCCGCGACTGAGCGCGAAGAAATCTGCTCCGGCTGCAAAGTCCCAGCATCTGGGCTATCCGCTATACAACATCAAGCACCTGTATGCCAATCCAGACGAGTACATTGCCTCGTGCACCAAACGGAGGCTTCCAGCTGTTGCGGAGACGATTCCGATCATTACAAGTCTTCACCAGGAGGCCAACGAATGTCGCTATAGACGGTCAGAGGTGTATCATGAGCGCAAAGTGCTTCAGCAGCAGATCAAGCAGCCTTCGGTTGAGAACCGGCAACAGATTCTGGCCCGCTTGTCAGAGCTCAAACAGATTGGAGGAGAGGTCGATGACAAGATTGCCGAACTAGAGGAAAAGATAAGAAATTACATGGACTACGTTCCAAATCTGCTTCCTGACGATGCTCCTGTTGATGAGGAAGAAGTTGTCAAATACCTGAACCCAAGTGATCCGTCGTTAGTACCGGAAGCGATTATCAGCGACGACGAGTTCCGAAGGCCTATAGATTACGAAGAAAAGAGGCCGGATCATGTGGATATCGGCGTCGAGTTGGGTATCATTGACCTTACAACAGCCTCAAAGGTCTCGGGTCACGCGTTTTACTACTTGGTCGGCGACGGCGCTCTACTAGAGCAAGCTCTTATACAGTATGCATTGTCAAAGGCGGCGCAGGCTGGGTTCAAGCTTATGGCTCCGCCATCGGTCGTGCGACGCGAATATGCATTGGCATGTGGTTTCCGGCCTCGTGCTGCCGATGGCGAGCGGCAGATTTACAACCTGACGGTCGCGGGTGGAACCGCTGCTGAGGAGGAGAACGCCGCGGGTAGATTATGCTTAACAGGCACGGCAGAGATCCCGCTTGCGGCTTGGGCGAGTGATCGGGCTTTCAAGCCAGACGAGCTCCCGCTTAAGGTTGCCGGTGTGAGCAGGAGTTATCGTGCTGAGGCAGGTGCTCACGGACGAGATACGCGAGGTATCTACCGAGTACACGAGTTCACAAAGGTGGAGCTGTTTGCGTGGGTGTCTGGAGTCAATGAGTCGCTCGAGCCCTGCGAGAAAGAGTCGCCGGCATCCACCGCCATGCTGGAGGAACTCCGAAAGCTGCAGGAAGAAATCCTATCTGATCTCGGCCTGCACTGCAGAGTGCTCAACATGCCAACCACAGACCTAGGCGCATCCGCCTACAAGAAATATGACATTGAGGCATGGATGCCGGGTCGGCAAGGCTGGGGCGAAGTCACCTCCGCTTCCAACTGCACCGACTACCAAGCTCGGAGACTGCATACGCGACTTCGTACTGAAGCAAGCCTTGCACCGGTTCACACACTCAATGGTACCGCAATGGCAGTTCCGCGGGTGATTGCCGCTATTTTGGAGACGTTTTATGATCCTGGTCGGAAGGCGGTGTGGATTCCGGTCCCGTTGAGAAGATTTATGGGGAAATCGTGGATTACGCAGAACTAGAGCCTGAGACGTTGTAAAATATCTAACCCAGCATCACTACTTTGCATTTTTTCTACATATTCTTCACTATGTGAACTGATACTTGTAATCAAACACATGCATCCAAAAGATAGGTAAAATGTCAATGGGAGTCAAAAGCTTGGATGAAAGCCTTTGTTAACATATTACGTCAGCACTAAGTGAATCCATTCACCGTGCTGCCAATCTGGGGCAAGGCCCTCAGGCCCGAGGCGACAGTTCACAGGGTCCGAGCGGTCCATTGAGAAAACCAGCATAAAGCGCGCGATGAACGCGTCTATATCTTGATAGAAAAGCATCTAGGATCAATAGCGAGTTACAGAACCCGGCATTGTCATGGAACTGCTATTTGAAAAAATCTGGGGGAGCGGTGGTGAGTTCAATATGCTGGTTGGGCTCTATCAACGCGACCTCGTCCACGCACGGATGCTCTGGAGTGAAGCTTATTACCGCTTAACGTGCAGGTAGTCTAGTTGGTGCACGGCTACTCGAGGGTTGGATGGGAAAAAAGAATAGCAGATAAGGCGTCTGGAAGGCTGAAGGAGTAAGAGTCAGACCTACTTCTGTCGCTACTCTTGCCTGATATCTCGTTGATAGCCTGATATCTACCTTTGCAAAGCTGTCTGCAATGTCTGCGGCTTCGGATATCGCGATCAGTGACGACGAGGAGAAGGCTGCTATCTATGATGCGGAGACCGCGTCTAACGAGCAGCCGGCTATTATCAGGACCAGTCCTGCGGACGAGGAAAAGCGTATGGAGGAGCAGAAAGACACAGAGGAAGAGAGCAATGCCACCGATCTGCTAGAGACTACGGAGCATGTGTATCCCGAAGGAGGACTAGCAGCATGGTTGACAGTAGCTGGTGCTTTCTGCTGTATGTTTTGTGCTTATGGATGGGCGAATGCTATCGGAGTCTTCCAGGATTACTATAAAACCCACCAGCTGTCTCATCTGTCCGAGTCGACAATCAGTTGGATCGGGTCCCTGAATATCTTCATGATGTACATTTTCGGAATAGTAAGGCCTGACTGATTTCACTTTTCTCCCAAGACTGATACTAACAGCAAAATGAATAGGCTGCTGGCCGAATATTCGACATGATGGGACCTCGATACCCGTTGATGATCGGATCAGTCCTACAAGTCTTGGGGCTCATGATGACCTCGATATGTAATTCATACGGGCCGATCTTGGTTTGCCAGGGTATCATTGCACCGATCGGTGCTGCGTTTGTCTACTACAGCGCGGTCGCGGCCGTACCTACTTATTTCCACCGGAGACGCGGTCTTGCTATGGGAATTGCTTCTTCGGGATCAAGTAAGTCGCTAAAGTTGCAGAGAAATATGTCGACCGCAGCTGCTAATCTTTGTACAGGCGTGGGAACGACCGTATATCCGTTCATCATCCGCCGGCTAACTAAACAAACAACCTTCGGATGGACAATGCGAACCTGCGCGTTTCTCATCGGCGGCCTACTGCTGTTTGGAAACCTGACAATCACCTCCAACGTCAAGCCCCGAGGAACTTGGCGTATGCCGCTCAGTGATATCACGCGTCACTTCAAAGACAAGAACTTCCTAATTCTTTCCTCGAGTATATTCATGGGTTACTGGGGTTTACTCGTTCCGTTCAACTACATGACCACATACGCGCGCTACCGCGGCGTCGACGACGACATGGCCACCTACCTTGTCTCGATCCTTAACGGCACCAGCGCGCTAACCAGAGTCGTCAACGGGTTTTTCAGTGACCGGATAGGCAAGTACAACGTCGATACCGCAGGTCTAGTCCTCGCGGCCGTCATCACCCTCGCTCTCTGGATCCCCGCCCGGGGTTTAGTCTCGCTGATCATCTATGCCATCGTCTACGGCGTCGCCTCCGGAACATTCATCATGGTCAGCCCCGCCTGCTGCGCGCAAATCTCAGAGGTGACTGATATCGGAACCCGAATAGGCCTCTCATTCGGTTTCACCAGTATCGCAGCCTTGACGGGAATTCCCATCGCGGGCGCCATCATCGGCGACGGAAGCAGGGATAGTCAATGGAGAGGCATGATGATTTTCGCGGGTGTTTTGTTGTCGGTCGGGGCTGTGATTCATTGGTTGGGACGTGTTTATAATGTAGGGTGGAAGCTTAATCGAGTATTTTAATGATAAGGAAGTATAGAGGTTTATGTCAGGTTGTTTTCTGTTCGGCTTTGAGCGGAACAATCCTAGGATTTTGATAGGTCGTTTATAGAATGTACAATAACATGCTACCATCTCATTTAAAAGCAAATACTATCAAATTATTACACACGAGGAAAAAAAAAGCCAGAGAAAACTCATCGCAAACACTGCCAAGCTATACATAGTTATATCAAATTTTAATCTGCAAAAGAAGCAAAATCACTCGAGATTCTCGACCTGGAAGAGACCCGTAGTAAAGCAAAGATTCAGGCAATGAGATATATTAGCGGCCATCCCATTCATCGTCCGAGCCGGCTTGAGCCTTTTTCTTCTTTCTGGAAGCCGTGTCGGTGGATTTGCGCTAGCGTATCAATGTCAGTATTATCCTCCGCCTCAAATAAAAGTATATACAGAAACATACCTTCTTGCCGCTGCTAATCTTAACTACAATTGTATCCGGATCCACATTACCCACCGCAACGGCTGGTGCCGCCGGCTTAGGCTTCTGCGCTCGCACCCTCACCATCGCAGGTATTTTCTCTAAAACTCCTTCGGGGAGATACGATGTTCTCGCGACGCGCTGCGCATCAGTCGACGACTGCATCGCTTTGAACAGGTCGCCCGGAAGCGGCACTTTGCCGGGCCACGTCTGCATCGACCAGCCGTGTGCGTCTTCGAACTGACGAATGATGGCCTGGGATAGGTCGGAAAGGTAGTATAACCGCTATCCAAAGTGTTAGTACTCCGTGTCTAAGAAGCATGACAGGTTAACTAAATATATGAAGTGACATACCTCACTGTTCTCAGGAGAAACAGCATCGCGAACCTGCTTCACCCGTTGCGCAAAGTAGAAGATCAGCGAGATGTTGTCCTCGGTCACCGTCGCGTTCAAGTAAAAGACAATGTACTGGGCGATGTCAAGCAAGTCCGCAGGCTCGTTGCCGTAATCTGGATGATGCGCTAGAAGATGCAACAAGCGAGGAAAGCATTTCTCTATCGCCGTGTTCTTTTGTTGTTCTGTTTAATCATACGTTAGTCTAAAACTATTTCTCACCACTATTAAAGAACAGACTGGTACTCACGCTGCTTCACCAAGCGAGCACGTAGCCACTTGACGAGCTCGTCCTTAACCTCCTCATCTGGCTCATACGCCGTCAAAAACACAATCGGGATATACTTATCCGGCAAAAAGTCCTGCGCCAGGTACCGCTTCAACTTATCCACAAACTCCTGCCGCACCTGGAAATCGCGATCTTGCACCAGCAAGGTCAGAGTCGTGATATTCTCTGGCGAGATCATTCGGTCGTAAACCGGGAACTTTGCAAGCTTGAGTAGGAATAAGCCTCCGGCTAATCGTAAGCGCGACTTGAAATGCAGAGGTGTATCGGCGTCCTTTGACATTTCGCCGTCGTTGACGATCAAGGAGTTCAGCAACTTCAGTACAGGCCGCGCAATCTCGACAGCTGTGTCAGAGGTCGCGGCAGCTCGTAGACGATTAACCAGGATCCGCAGCGCAAGAATCTTGGCCTTGCATTCATCTTCCAGTTGCTCATCTTCCACCCATTCTTTATCTTCCTCGGTGGCTTTTGTGCGGTTTTTGACGACCAGGTTCTTGATGAGGAACGAAGTGATCCGGTCAATCTCCGTCTCAACAATAGCAGACGCACCCTTGACCAACTCCGCCAGTGCCGCCAGCTGCGACAAGAAATACGGATCCTCAATGTCGAACTTCGTGCAGAACCCAAGCAAGTCGCGCGCATAGGCATGCTTCTTCTTACTCTGGAGAAGAATCTTGACCGCGTGCTTCGCTTCTCCGGGACTTCCCTTCGTGGCAAACTTCACTAGCGCGTCAAGAAACTGACGATCCTGTGGGAACTCATCAGGGTACTTCCTCGCAAACCCTGCACAGGCCTTGAGTGTATCGACGCTTCCCTGGAATCCCGGCTCGTTCGCAGATATCTCCTGCGCTAGATCTTGAATATGCACTTTCAGTACCTGCGGTGTGAGCTCAGAAATGTGTTTAAGCGTCTCTTGAGCAACGGAGCTAAGAGAACTAGCCGCGTCCTTTGAAATCTCTACGATCGTCGAGATATTGCTGCGATTGTACCAAAGCTGACTGCCTCGGTACATAATCAAAAGCAGCGTCTCCAGAATAGACGAGGAGGACTGGTTAATTCTGTTCTTCAGCTCCGCCAAGGACTTAATCACCGTAGCATACTCCGAGTCCGGACTCGTACAGTCTCTGATCAGCTTATACATGCGTCGATCGTTCAGTTTCACAAACTTCTCCAGATGCGAGGATGCCTTGGCCGCGTCAGGAAGTTGGTCGGCTATGAACTTGATGCCCTTGTCGATCTTGTTCTTTGTCTCCTCCTTTTCTGAATCGTCATCAAGAACTCCACCATTGTATTTTTCGCAAAACAGGATGAAGTTCTGCAGGAAAGAAGAGAGCTGCTTTTGACGCGTAGCTAAGGCCTGGAAAACCTTCTTGGTCTTGGGATCGAGGTACTTCAACAGGTTCAGCATACGAGTCACGCGAGTCTTATCATCCAGTTCAGTGGGTAGAAGATGCTCAAAGATGCAGTAATCCATAAGAGCCGTCGTCTCGGTCTGGTTGACGTACAAAAGATCCAAAATACGATTAGGAATCCACGACAGCTGCGCAATGATATCGACGTCTTGAGCCGCGATGTCTTCTGCTGCCATATCATAAATACTACCCAGAACACGGATCGCCTCTGCTCGAACGCTGTATTTGCGATCTCTCGATCGTTCCGCGAGGTTATTTAGGACTGCCTCGTTTTTGAATTTGCGGACAACCACTTTGTAGTCAAGAGTTCCAATGGCTTTGCAGGAAGCTAGACGAACGCGCTCATCGTTATCAATCAACGTCTTGGCTATGCCTTCCACGGTACCCTCAACGGCATCGGCACGGTTACCGGTGATATATGCGCACCCTTCCGCCCACTTGCTCCTAACCAACGCACTGCGATCGTTCTGCCGTCCAAGCCAAGCTTCCCAGCACGACGCATGCGTGGTCATAAAGTTAACCCTGCCGGGCACTTCTCCCGCAATCAGACCCACAGTCTGCGTAGCCAGAAGTCTGATCTGTGTGCTTTCAGTCAGAATCTCCTGTTCCAGCTGTGGGATCGTCGACTGCAAGACTTCCGGACACGCCTTCCAGATCTCGACTAGGAGATTATGCGCTTTCTTCAGCTCCGTGAGTTCGGACTCGGTTATATCCTGCGACGAAGACTTTGTCGTCAACTCATAGGTAGCTTCAATGAAGTACTGCGCCACGTAGCGAGATATCCGATCGCTGCAATTAATGCAGATAGTCTTGGCCATGTTGTACGCCGGAGGCAGTTGTGTTAGCTGCGTCTGGACTTTGCCGGAATACCCATTAGAATTCTTTGACGGCTGAGTGGTCGTCGCAAGCGGACGTAAGAACTGGGCAAGAATCATCGAAACAACGTGCTGCGAGATAGTCGGGACTTCCTCAACCAGCTGAACCAGGATCTCACCCATGTGAAACTCGAGGTTTTTCATGCCGTCGGGTCTAGCATCACGGTGTCAATAGCAGATTATACAATATCAAAAGCAGCTGATACTTACTTGACAAGATCGAAAAAGTTGCTAAAGATCTCATTCATGATCTCCTCGCTGTTATTAAGATCGGCGACGAGAACAATACTCTTCACTTGAGACAAGCTCTCCAAGAGGTAGCAGTACTGCTGGAAGTACGGAGACTCTGTATTTGCCAGTTCCTTCAACTGCTTCACAAACAAGTCGAAAATGTTCTATAAAGTAAAGCAGTCAGCGATCGTATACTATCGCAGCACTAAACGCACAACTATACCTGTAACTCCGTCATCGTATACGGCGCATCAGGCGCAAACAGCCTGAGAATATCAGCAAGACAGCACGCCGTATACGCACGCACTCCTTTATCCTTATGACGAAGCAAATTCGAAGAAACCAAATCCTTCGCAACCTTCTGCAAGCTCGCGAGATCGACAGCGCTCTGATCGAATCTTTGCAGCTCGCCATGTACCGCCTACGACGGAACGTTAGCACGCTGACCTCTTCGTCGCCACTGAAATCATATTCCTGTTCTGGTATGATCTCAAAATATGCTTACCTGTAACCGCTTGAGTAGCTCTCCAATAGCGATCGGCTTGCCGGCCTTAGGGGCCAGCGGTTTGTCGAATTTCAATACCTCCATTCAGATCTCGCTCTCAGTGTTCAGAGGCAAGCGCGAGACTCCACCTGGCAGTAAACAATATAACGAGTCTTTGCAGTTGTATGATTCAGTCAGCACAATACTCTGTCTAATGCCAATGAGCACAGCTAATCATTCGGAAGAAAGAAAGAAAAGGGGAGAATGCTCAGATCAGTTGGCGACGCGCTGCGGTAGAAACACTTACTCAAGTCCACTTTCGTCACTACACACAACCGCACTATAACAGTAAAGCACTTCTCGCAGCTCTGTTTCACTCACAAACCAAATACACAGATAACCTCAAGTATCGGCAGATTCTGAACGCAACGCAGAGGCCGAGAGTTGAGGAGCGCGATAGACGACGCGTCGACGGTCGTAGTTCGAGCTTGGGTTGCGATCTCGCGTACAAATAAGGTTCTTGCTGTACTACATAATATACACCTAACCCCGAGTTCCTAAAATGGACATTCCAGAATATGTGCAGTAGTTCTACATTCAAATTACAGTATATCTCTTACAATGTATTTTCACGTTCAACAATCTTAGCTATAATCAATACAGCTTCGTCAAAACAGATCTAACTAACCAATCCAGAAACGAAAACAAAAACAAAAACTAATCTTCACAGGCACAGACGTATAAATATAAATCACATCAAGCGCTTTACTTGGCAACAGGCTCAATGTTCCAGATCGACTCTGCGTACTCGTTGATCGCTCGGTCGGACGAGAAGAAGCCCATGTTGGCGACGGCGGTGATACATCTGCTGACCCAGGTAGTCTTGTCCTTGAAGTCCTTGTCGACGAGCTTCTGGGCGTCAAGGTAGGACTGGAAGTCGTCGCTGACGAGGTAGTAATCTCTGTTACCAGTCACAGAGTAGATCAGACTACCGTAGATATCCTTGTCGCCAAACATGCCGCCCTCGATAGCATCGATGACCTTCTGGAGGTCAGGGTTGATGGGCACGTCATTGAATCTGCGCTGGTGACGCAAGTCATCAACAGACTCGGCAAGGTGACCAAACAGGAAGATGTTCTCCTCACCAATCTCACGAGTGATCTCGATGTTGGCACCGTCAACAGTTCCGAGAATAAGACCACCGTTGAGGACAAACTTCATGTTTGAGGTTCCAGACGCCTCAGTACCAGCAGTTGAGATATGCTGCGAGATATCGGAAGCAGGGCAGATGATCTCGGCCTTTGACACGTTGTAGTCTGCAATGAAAACAACCTTAAGAAGATCTCCGATATCAGCATCTTTGTTGACGACCTCACTAACAGAGTTGATGAGCTTGATGATGGTCTTGGCCATGTAGTAACCGGGAGCACTCTTTCCTCCAAAGATGCAGACACGGGGAGTAACATCCTTCTTCTCCTCGGCAGACATAGCCTTGATGGTCAAGTATCTGTGAATCACGCTGAAGATGTTCATCTGCTGTCGCTTGTACTCGTGGATACGCTTGACCTGAACATCAAAGAGTGCATCGACTGAGACATCAATACCATTGTTCTTCTTGATCAAAGCAGCAAGACGAGCCTTGTTGAACTTCTTGATATCAGCCCACTTTTCAATAAACTCAGGATCCTTGGCAAAAGGCTCGACCTTCTTGAGCAACGTAAGATCCTTGAGGAAAGAGTAGCTGCCAACCTTGGAAGCAATGAGCTCCGAAAGCTTGGGGTTCGCCTGGTGCAACCAGCGACGGGGAGTGATACCGTTGGTGACATTCATGAACTTGTCAGTGCCATAGATAGCAACAAAGTCCTTAAAGATGGTGGTCTTGATAAGATCAGAATGGAGCTCGGCAACACCGTTGACCTTGTGGGAGCCGATGATGGCGAGGTACGCCATGCGAACCTGTTGAGGCGAAGACTCCTCGATGATCGAAACACGAGCAAGCATGTCGCGGTCCTTAGGGAACATCTTCTCAACCTTCTGCAAGAAGAAGAGGTTGATGTTGTAAATGATCTCAAGATGACGAGGGAGGAGGTTTCCAAACAAAGGAACGGGCCACTTCTCCAACGCCTCGGGGAGGACGGTATGGTTGGTGTATCCAAAAGTGCTGGTCACAATCTCCCAAGCAGCATCCCACTCAAGACCCTCCATATCAACCAAGATGCGCTGAAGCTCGACAATAGCGATGGTAGGGTGCGTATCGTTAAGCTGGATGGCAATCTGGTCAGAGAAGTCAGACCAAGGACGGTGAGTCTTCTTGAATCGGCGGACGATGTCATTGAGCGAGGCAGCAACCCAGAAGTACTGCTGCTTCAATCGAAGCTCCTTTCCGCTGTAGAAGTTGTCGTTGGGATATAAAACGGCAGAAATGGTCTCGGCCTTCTGCGACTCGCGCACGGAGCTCTCGTAGTCACCAGAGTTGAACTTCTCAAAGTCAAACTCACGGGTAGGCTTACTGGCCCAAAGACGCAGGTTGTTGGTGGTCTCGGTATCGTATCCTGGAACAGGGACATCGTAGGCAATAGCCTGCACCTGCTCACCACCCTCCCAGATGCTCACGGTCTTGCCCTGGTCGTTGGTGTACTTGCGGGTGTAACCGTAGAACATGACGTCGATCGCAATTTCGTAGCGAGGGATTTCCCAAGGGTTGGAGAACGCAAGCCAGTAGTCGGGAGACTCAACCTGGTATCCGTCAACAATGCGCTGCTTGAAGATACCGTACTGGTAACGCAGGCCATAACCCCATCCAGGATAGTTGGTTGACGCAATTGAGTCAACGAAGCAGGCAGCAAGACGTCCAAGACCACCGTTTCCAAGGGCGGCATCGGGCTCCTGCTCGAGAAGGTCCTCGATCTTGAATCCAAGATCATCGACACCAGCTGGAGTAAAAAGATATAAATTAGTTCGAGGAATTTTAGATAGAATAATTGCATTGGCAACATACTCTTGGTAATGTCCTTGACACCAGCGTTGAGCATGGCATTGTCCATGGCGCGACCCATGAGGAACTCAAGGGAGAGGTAGTAGACACGCTTCTGGTCCTTGGTGGTGTGCTTCTGCTGGGTCTTGTTCCAGGCGACGATCAGACGATCGCGGATGGCCTGCGACGCGGCAAGGTAGGCCGCGAGGTCATCGCAGTTGTACATTGATCTAGCAAGAGTAGTCTCGACATGGCGAATGAATTCTTTCTGCACATCGAAGAGCGGTTAGAAATTGGTGTCAGACCGGGCTGAACTATCGCGTCTCGAGTCAACTGATCTGGAGCCCGAGCGTGCCAGGTGACGTCAGTTATTAAAATGGCAGACTTGCGACGTGGCTGAACTGTGGCGCACGATGCACGGCCGTCTGCCTATCAGCGCAAGCTCGAGGAGAGGTGTTCATCTAGCGAAGAAGACGCAATTGCTACCGAATCCCGATGATCGTCGGCTAGACCGGTTCATGCGGGTTGTGTTGGCAAGCACAAGCTGTCTGCTGGCGTGGAAAAGCAGAGGCAGGGCTCCATGATGAGAGCAGCCAGCGGAATGCGAGAAAAGAAGCAATTGCACCGGATCAGCGGGGTTGACAATGAGCATCATTGCAGCAGGATCCGCTGAACAGCACAATGAATTGCATACACTCAAGAATCTCGATAGGCTTCCAAGACTCGAGAGGGAAGACATGATAGAGAGCAGCAAAGAAGCAAATGAAAGGGTACAAAACGTACCTGGAAAGCCTCCTTGTCCTGGAACTCGGTGACGCCGAACTGCTGCCAGAGATCGCGCGAAGCGGCGGGGATGGAAGCCTCAAAGCTCTTGATCTCTTTCGGAGAGAAGCCGGTGGGGGTGCGCTAGAGAATGAGGTATCAGCAAGAGATCAATTGCGGGTATCACACGGCATTGGCCGACACAGCCGTGTAGCGAGTGGGCGTCAGCGAGAAAGATAATTGCTCACTCGGTGCTTGGGACGGGGAAGATCCGCGGCGGAGGGAACGTTAGGAGTGATGCTGGACATTGTTGAGAGAGGAGAGAGAGAAGGAGAGGTGAGGAAGAGGTGAGGAGGGGTGAGTAAGAGGAGGAGGAAGAGGAAGAGCGGAAGGTGGGTCGAAGACGAGATCAAAGACAGAAAAACCCTAAATAATCAAAGCCACAACTTCGATCATGCGCACAGCCACTTTGAAAGCGCAAGCCACATCGCTTTAGGAAGGAAGACTCAGATTCGAACAGCGCCGGTCTTCGAGAACCAGCTGCTCTATGACGAAGATGATGATGAATCCTCTTTTTTTTTGCATTAGCGCACTATTAAGACCGCATTGACAATCGCAATGCATACAATTGCAGCTACGATCAATTGCTAATATGAAACAAGATGCTTTCTTGACTATCTAACAGACTCTCCGCCTAGTTGAGCTTGGACGCCTTCTCGTACAGAAGATCAACAACAGTAGTCATATGTCTGATCGTATCCAGCGCCGCCACATACGTCGCATCCTCGCGGGGCTCATCAAACACCGTCAGCCAGCCATTGCCCTGGTCGAGCACGCCGTAAAACACCTTATCCAAAATCATCTGACTAAGCTTGCCTTCCACCTGGCGCGTATCCAGGCCAACAACCTCCGCCACATGTGTGATCTCCACGCACGAAAACGGCTCAATCACTCGGACCAGGTTCTGCTCCAGCAACGTATCGTACAGCGATGTGAAGTGCGACCGAATGATTGGATCGGACGACAGTTCCGCATGGTAAGTGCTAAGCGCTTCCTCAAACTCCTTCAAGCTGCGGTTCGAGTGCGCCGACGCAACTGCCTTCATTGCCTCCACATCACGTCCAGCATACTTTTGTGCCATCTTACCGCCAAGCAGCGCTAAAAAATATCAGTTAGCCATAGTCAGCAATAGATGGATGTAAACAGGGACAACATACAATGCACATCGTCATTCAAATTAAGCATGATCTTGCAGAGAAGCATGTACTTGAGCACTGAAATCGCTCTCGCGTCTTCCTGGCTCGAATAGCCCTCCAGAGCTTCCACAAAGTACGAAAATCTACATAGATCAATCCATCGTCAGTACACTTAATCTGGCAAAAAATATCCACTCCTTTGCAACATACGCGGTCTTAAAGTCCTTGTCTTCGGCATGGAGAATTCCACTCTGCATATCCAAGTTGGCCTGCATTATCGTTGGACTGAATACATCATATCGGTTAGTTAATGCCACACCCACATATTATTGCCTCAGCTCTTTATGAGTACGCACCAGTAGATAGCATTTGCACTAGTACGCGCGCTGGTCAACGCAGCCCGACTCTTTGGAATATTTCTCAAAGCATGGTAGACCTTGCTCTCAAACAACTCAACCTCAACCAGCACCATCTTATCATCCAACCGCTTCAACTCCTTCAACAGAGTGTTGATCAACGCAAGCGCATCGTAATACGCTCCACTCTCGATATAGAGCGACACAAGACGCGTCTCGAGGCTCTGTCGCAAAAAGTTTCGACGCTCAGAAACTGCCCACTCGATGCACTCCTTGGTCACTCGGATCTGAGTATCCAACGAGTCTGGTAGCTTGCTGAACAGATCCAGCAGTGTACGTACTGTCGATTCGAGTTAGCAATCCATCCATCCCTTTAATATCAGCACTATTGCATAGCAGCTTACTTATTTTAGCCACCTTGGACTTTGCCAGTCCGGACATGATTGACCGAGACGATCGCACGAGCTCTTCCAGCTCCTTGATTTTACTACACCACGCAACAACCGTCAGCATAGCCCACCACCAGCACTGCCAATCATCACAAGACTGCACGTCGCGATAACTCACTTATGATCACGGTACAACGCTCCAAGCTCGTATAAAGCGGTCTCCTGCTCGGCAATCGCCTTCTCGCTGGCGCCGACGGGCTTGGATAGGATCTCCCTGTAGAGGTGCTCCGCCTTTGCGAGATCGCTGCCCTCAGTGGCCAAGCGCGCGGCTTCAAGCGGACTCGTCAATGTAGCCATTTCAAGTTACAAGCAATATGTGTGAATCAATGAAAACGATGAGAAGGATTGAGAATAAACACCAGGATCGATGGTACAGATGGCTGATGCGAGAGAGGCAGCGAGTGGTTGACTGTGGAAGACGATGGGCCGGCGGTGTCACGTTTTCTTTATTTTGGGTGACAACAAACGGAGCCTTCACCTCTCCAACCACCATCACAGCCTAACCCCAGCTCCCTCGCTCTCTACGCGTCGACAGTTTTATCAGATTGAACCTCTGCTCGTCGTTTGTTCATACTGCACTGCGCAATGAGCTACTATCCTCAGCAACCACCGCGTCAGAGCACTCACCGCCCTCACCGCAAGTCCTCGCAGAAGGCAACTCCCTACCCTCCCCAGCCGCCTCCTGTCGCTCCCCATCCGCATGGTGTCCCTCCTCATGTTCAGCCAGGCCAGGCCCAAGCCCCGCAGATTGACAAGCGCTTCGTCAGAAGGCCTGTTGAGCGAAATATCCCGCCAAAAGTTGAGGCTTTGATTCCCGAGGCTAAGCTGTACAAAGACCTGCGCGATGTCGAGCAAAGTATGGATGCCACCATCAGTCGCAAGCGCTTAGACGTCGAAGACATGCTCGCAAAGGGCACAAAGGTACTTTTTTTATTCACTATGGGCGTCTGATTGAATATACTAATGTCTCTGCTTGTCCAGGAGCGCCGAAAACTACTTTTGGTCATCTCAAATACCGCCGTCGATCAACCATGGCAAACTGTTGATCGACTAGACGAAAACGCTTTCGACTTTGACATTGGCACGATCCCGTCCTGGGTTCTCAACATCACCGGCCGTCTGGTTGGTGATGAAACGCCGGTAGACGATCCCAAGCATGTCTTGTTCACCTCCTACTTCCAGAGCATCGCCGTCGAGCTCGATCGCCCCAAAGAGCTCTATCCCGAGGGCAACGTCGTCGTCTGGAGTTCGCATACGAAGCCTGGAATGCCACCTCAGCCGCCTACCGATAACGTGGAGATCAAGCGCAAGGGAGATTCGGACGTCAACGCGCGAATTTCCTTTTATCTAAAAACCTCTCCCGAACGATACAAACTCTCTCCGGCACTTTCCAACGTCCTCGGCGGTCTTCAAGAACAGACTCGACAAGAAGTCGTGATGGGTCTATGGCAGTACGTTAAGTTTCACGGCTTGCAAGACCCCGATGAGAAACGTTCGATCAGCCTAGACGACGGCTTGCGCGAGGTCTTCAACAACCAAGAGCGTCTTTCATTCGCCCAGTTGATCGACTACGTCGGTCCCCATCTTCTCCCTCTGGACCCGGTTGTCGTTGACTTCACCATCCGCGTCGATAAAGACACAATGGCGCGCGGCAACGAGATGACGCGCGAAATCACCGTCGAGGTCGACAGCCCCCGTCGCCAGCAACTCCAAGGCATCCTAGCAAACTGGTACGACAAACAAGACGAGATCCACGCGCTAGACGAGCAGATTGGCATCACAATCCAAGAACTAGCAAACTCAAAGCTGAGAAGAGACTTCTTCACGCAAATGAGCAGCGACCCGGCTGGGTTCATCAACAGATGGATCGGAAGTCAAGCGCGGGACTTGGAAATCGTGTTGGGCGATCGGGAGTTCCAGAACGAAGAGGTCAGACGGGCGGAGTACTATCAGAACGAGGACTTGAAGGAAAGTATCTTTCTCTTGGTCAATGGTCGAAAATAGTCGTTTGTTGTTTGTACGTTAGTTTTGGTTTAGTGTGTTTTCCTGGTCTGCGTTATGGTTAGACAGTGTATGTTTATATATGGTAGTGTAGCTTAATTTATCTGTCTTTATTTCTTCTTTAGTTCCCTATGTTCTTAATGATCCTTGATCCGTCACTAATTCTTGAAGTAAGCTACATTTGTCTCAAACAAAAATCTTAACAAATATTAGTCATCGATTACTCATATTGATCTGTGCGGCTTAGCTCTCCTAACCCAAAGCTCTCAGTTGGGACTTCACCGAACCGGAAAAAAAAATTTCTGTCTACAAAGTCTAGTTCTCGATCTGATTTCCCCTTCTCCACCGCAACTACGAGCATTCCCTCCTCAGTCTTTGAGCTGTCGTTGATTTTTGTGGGACGTGATATATAAACAATGGCGAAAAGCAAGTTAAAAGTTGCGCTGGACCGCGAGCGTGGTGTTGATCGCAGAGCGCTCAAGGAGAAGGAGCAACTGAAGAAGAAGCAGCAGGTGAAGGTACAGAAGAAGACGGGGTCTGCTTCTGTTACTGCTGGAAACGGAGAGGAGCGGAATAGCAAGCGTGCGAAGGTCGATGTGTCTGAGAAGAGTAAGAAGGGAAAGAAGGCGGCTCCTGCTCCTGTTGAGGAGTCTGAAGATGAAAATGAAGAAGAGGAGGAGGATGAGGAGTTTGACGAGGAGATGGAGGGCGACGATGACTCCGAGGAGGAATATGAGGAAGGTGATGATGATGATGATGATGCCGAAGGTCTGAAGAATGAGCTCATGCGCATGATCGATACCGCGAATCTCGAAGATGATCTCTCGAGCGACTCCGAATCTGACGATGAGGACGTCAAGGCTATTGCTGAGGAGCGGAAGAAGGCGACAAAGGCAAAGAAGGAGGAAGTGAAGAGTCAAAAGGTTCCGGCTGCTGAGACTAAGCCTGAGAAGAAGGCTGATAAGAAGGCTGATAAGAAGGCTAGCAAAGCAGAGAAGGCCAACGCCAAAAAGCGCGCCCGTGAAGAGGAAGAGGAAGAAGAGATTGACCCAGAAGATGACGGCATCCCATTCTCAGACGTCCCGACCGATTCCGAAGACGACGACGACTCCGACGCAGCAGCAAAGGACATTGTTCCCTACCAGCGCCTGACCATCAACAACACAAAAGCCCTCGCGTCCTCTCTCTCGTCCATCGCGCTGCCTTACTCCTCCATCCCCTTCTTTGAGCACATGGGTTTCACCGCTTCCGAAGAGCTCAAGATCGACGACGTCGAAAACGAGCTCCAGCGCGAGCTCGCGTTCTACAACCAGGCTCTCGAGGCCGCGACCAAGGGCCGTGGGATCTTGATCAAGGATAAAGTGCCGTTCGCGCGTCCGGAGGATTACTTTGCAGAGATGGTCAAGAGCGATGAGCATATGGAGAAGCTGGCGCGTCATCATACCACGCTTGCTGCTGAGGCTGGCGCACGGAAAGGAGGGGCGAAGCCGGCTGGTACGGGAAAGAGCGCAAAGTCTGGGAAGTCGAAGAAGCCCAGACATAAAAAATAGGCGCGTGAAGAGTAGAATAAGTTTTGAGATGTAACAATCAATATACGATGCATTCATGATACATGTTGTGTACTGCCATATATAGAAGTAGGTAATCGGCTAGGAAAGCAAAGTAGTTTCTAATTTTCTATTATATCAAGTCTATTACAATCAAAGTCTATTACAATCAAAGTCTATTACAAAAAACTCCCCACATTACACTCGTTAACATCAATCATTCTATACATCTATACTTCATTCATAAAACATCACATCATCAAATAAAATTCATCAACATCCTTACGACTAGAATGTAAGTCTGGAAATCTTGGGGTAAGCTCCATCATCGGTCTGGTAAGAGAAACCCACGAGCAAATTCTCTCCAACCTGAGACCCGGCGTCATAGTTTGCCGGCAGAGTGAGAATGCCGTAGTTGTAAGCCGATCCAGACTCGGAGGTCCACATCACAGTATTGTCGGTGGTCCAGGGACCGACAGGCGACGGCGCGGTGAGCACACGGGCCTTGTTGTCGGCGTACTGGTTGAAGAACACGAGGAGGTACTGGTCGTGGTAATCCGAGAAGACGATGTTTCCGGACGAAATCTTCTCCGAAGTGCTGATGACTGCACTGGACTGGCGGCGTTCAGTCATCTCCGGCTTGGTGTCGGACCAGGTGGAGTCCGAGGCATCGTAGTACTCCCAGGTGCTGGTATCAGCAACAGAGATAAGAGGCGCACGGGCAAGGTGAACGTCCTTGCTGCTGGAGTAGGTGTGGTCGAGAGCAAACAGGTAGACGTAATCGCCCGCACGAATGCTGGAGAAGGCGCCGAAAGCGTACTCGTCTTCGGTGGTGAGGTACTGCGCGTCACGGGTGACTGTGAGGACGTTGGTGCTCTGGTCCAGATCGTAGGTGACCATAGTCGAGCCGGCGGTATGGTACTCGGTCTCACTGTCGAACTTCACGATCTCCCAGATGTGTACCGCGCGCGCTCCAGAGGTCGGGACGCAGTTGGTGTAAGTCCAGAGTGCGTACCGGGAGCTGGAGTCGTTGGCATAGAGAGCTTCCTCGGAGGTGAAAGGAATGATATGCGAGAGGCCGTCGGTGTCTGACCAATTGATGTCGTAGACATGTCCGGTCTTGTCAGGATTGACAGCAACAGCAGCAGTGTTGGAGACAAACGCCGTGACTTCGTTCTCGTAGCCTCTGATTTCCGTGTCGCAGAAGAACCAAATGAGCTCGTTGTTCAAGAGACAAGCTCCACCGCCGTCACGGTACATCGTATAGGGAGTAGACGGATCACTTAGATTGCCAAGATCCGTGACGCTGCTGGTCGTGAGAGAGGCATTAAGCGTTCCGGCTTCGAAAGGAGCGTTGGCGTTCCGAAGCAAGGTCGGGGCGTAGGTAGGGAGCGCATAGGATGTCGACGCGACTGTCGCATAAGCCGAGCAGGCAAACGAGAGAACCGCAACAAAAGAGAGTGACTGCATCTTCAAAAGAATGACAAAATGAACAGGAATCTAGAGCGAATTGAGGACCTTGTTTCTTGCCGGACCTCAAGCAGCGACATGGCCTCATTTATATATCCATGAGATATTGCAGAAGGAGAGACAATTCGGCGAAAGAAGATACGGCACGAAGGATGGTGGCATACGAGATGGAAAGCACACCCGGCAAAATTCCGATAAGTTATCCCCTGCCATCGTTCTCTTCCTCGGACAGGTGCTTGGCCACCGTATCACCAGTATTGCTGCTTGAAATCTCTTCCGCCGAAGGCGTGTATGGCGTCGAAGCCCGAAGTCGACGGGGAGCCGAAGAAGTTACGTTGTCGGTCCCTGCTTCAGTCCTTGCCCTAGTGAATGAAACTTTTTCTCCGTTTGCCATCAGAATCCCACTCGCTTAGCTATGACAGAGCGGACGGGGATATAAGCCGGGGATGCACTGTCAAGGCAAGGCAACGACCAAAAGTCGTAAGCTGCTTTCTGTAATTTATCATCTGTAGTAACAACAGGACGCAAATTGCCTAAACCAGAACACCAGGTAAAAACAGTTGCGGTAAATAGGTGTGACCTGGGCACTATAATTCCAGAAATCCAAGCATCCCGAAGGGTCTCTCCGAATGTATACTCAAACTCGATCAACTGTTCAACGCTGAGCGTGAGTTTGTCAGTCTACAACAGTCAGCACCCTGCAAAAGTACTCGGTACTTTCTTGCCACCAGCGGTATAATCAACGCTCTCGAGCGAAACAATCCGAACAGCCTCAACTTTTGTGAAAACAATTCAGCGAGAGGGGTCCAAGGGATCCTGTTCCGGAGAGATTTTCCGCAACTCACTTGCCAGCTCGAGGTGCAGCTCGTACTCGAGATATGGCTTTCAAGCGAGGGCCCTAGATCTTAGAGCCATGCTTGAAGCCTTCCGGGTACCTGGAATGAAATAAAGAACTCAGGTGGAGCCTAGGGCTAGAAAAGAAAGCGCAGCCGTGCCTGCGCCTCCAGCCCGTCTTTGATTTTAAATTTCGAGACAGCAACAGAAACAGCAGAATCATGACAGCAATCCAGCAATCAATCAACCAGCATCACAGAATCAGACGCTTCCACGCAATGTGTGGTAAAGGACAGAACAAGTGGGTCGGGATAATGCGAAATTGCTACCAGCAAATGCCCAGCCAGCCAGCAGACAACGACGCTCGTAAGTAGAGTTTGGATCCCCACTATATAATTAATATTTCTGATAAACCTCTGGAGCCGATTTAAGTCTGGACCCAGTGTCGATGGCGAGGATTCTTTGGTACCAGATAGAAAGGCCGAAACATCACGGTCGGTCTGCGTGCTGACGGGATAGGGATGTGCTCGGCAGTTGGAGGTGGTGGAGTCCTTGCAGTGTGGCACCCGCTCAGCTCGCTCGCTCGCTCGCGTAATGCCATGGCGTGCTGTTGGCGGCAGTAGAAACCGAGAGGACCGAAGAGGATCCAAACAGCTGGCTCATCCTGACCTGGAGGAGCAGCACAGCCATCTTGATGACGATCCAGCGTACAAAAAGTATGTATATATGACCAACGCTGAACCAAGACCGTCGTATAATATACAAACTCATATATACGAGCGTACGAGCACTTATCTCATGGACGTAGATTGTCTAAAGGCCGACCGCAGAAGCAACATCCCTGCTCGGAGACCGCAGCCGTGGAGGCTCTTAGGTCTTCTGCGCACGCCGTTGCAAGCAAGTCTGGTAAGCTCACGCAGTAAGAGCGCGACGTCGTAGGTTTTGCATGGGTAGCTTAATCCCCAGCAGCCATTTTCTCGTACGCAGAGCAGCCAAACCTTCGTCGTCGTGCCAATCTTTGGAACATGCTGCGTATATAAATGATCTTCAAGGTGTAGAAGGGTGACGAACACGTGCAGGGTGTGTATGCTATGGCTGGGGTGATGCGGTGCGATATCTGGTGTCGTATATTGGCTAGAAACCACTTCTTGTGTGATAACCACGGCCGTCTGCCATTGTATATAAACATGATAAATCAGTGTTCAGTTCTTTAACAAACGCAGCCATAATTGTAAAGATATGTGAGAACGCTGGCTGCCGAGTTTGTAGTGCACGCGCGAGAGACACGGCTGATGCCTGGCCCGGAGCCCTAACGCCTTCACCGCTGTCCGAGCCCTCTCCTTTGACGGTGACATCTCGAAACTCTGGCTCAGAGACCCCCACCACCGCTTCCCACAACCGCCTTCTGACGTCTCAAATTGGGCTAACACCGTTCTGCTCCATTGGACCGAGTAGTTTGTTGTTATTTGTTGTATCATATTTTATGTCATTTGCTCCACTTTGACAAGTCCCATCGATGCCCACCATTCCGCCTGAGCCGTTTGACGCGTCGCAGTACGTGCCTATGATAGATGTACGATCCTGGTCCTGACAATTGATAGCTATATGCATGCGTGGGTTATTGTACTAATTGGTGAATATTTGATCTAGGCAATCTTATCAAAGGCCGACCTGGACCAGATCACCGCCCGAAGAGTTCGAAACGCGATACAATCAATATACGATGTTGATTTCACTCCGTTTAAGGTAATCTACCAAGTTCTTGACCCACGTTCGCACTGCTCTGCCTGCAGAGTCTCTCTGTATGCCAACCATGCAATCCTAACTATTCATCCTGCTTTCAACAGAAGCAAATAGATAGCGTTATAGTCGATCGCTTCAACGTGATCCAGGACTCGCTGGAAGATACACACGCGCCCGCCAGCTCAAGCAAAATGACAGTCAAAAAGGAGCACACGTCATCAAGTCGGCCCTCATCCGCCGCCTCGGTATCGAAGAAAGCGACAAGCAGTACCTCGTCGCAGACAAAGTCACGAGTCTCGCTGACGGATGCCGAAATCGCTGAACAGCTTCACAAAGAGCTTAATCAAGGACGAGGAGGTCGCGTGTTGGGCACCACAAGGACAAAACGAAGCAATGCGTCTAGCAACAGCAGCAGCGGAGACGGCAAAAAGAGGAAAGTTAATAGAAATAACCCTTTCAATGCTCGGATGCTGCTGAGTGAGCCATTAGCAGAACTACTGGGACAGACCGAGGTATGCAAGTAACTGATCTCTAGACTATATGAACCAGCCAAGTACTAACTCTTTGTTTAATATTCACAGCTCTCGAGACCTGAATGTGTGAAAGCGATCTGGGCTTATATCAGGGAGAACGATCTTCAAAACCCGCGCGACAAGCGCGAGATTCTCTGCGACGACCGGATGCGTCCCGTGTTTGGTGACAAGACGCACATGTTTACCATGAACAAAATACTTGGCAAGCATCTCTACAGGCGCGAGGACGTCACCGGTGCATCCTCCGAGGTTATGGATAACGATGAGATCGTCAGTAGCGACGAAGACGAGGATGATGAGGATATCGGAGCGATTCTGAAAGGGGAGTGAGACCTGGGACCTCTTCCACGGCGTATAATTTTGATTCCAGAGCATTTCCAGTTTCTTTTTTTCACTTTTTGAGAGTCTTTTTGGTCGTTAGAACTTTGGGTGTTTGTGGATTTTTTCAGTTCTTTGTGTTCTGTACAAATGATGGGCTGTATTCTCTCTCTCTGATGTGCTTTTAATCCCTCGCCCTGCTTTAACATTGTACAATATGCTAGTTGAGTTTTGAACCAGTCTCTGGGGAATTAAAAGTAGAGCGCTATTTGATCTGATTCTACTGAATAGTGACTGATTTTCCTTTCATGAATAGTTTGTGTAGCAGCGGCAGTATAGATTACACTAGCGTTCATATCGTTACTCTGCATTTTTCAAGCCCGAATCCACTATTCGCGATATTTATTATTTAATCAAAGAGATTTCGAGTAGAACACAATACGATTTGAAGGAGTGCAGCGCAGGACCGAAGACAATGTAGAAATTCACAAAAACAGAAATTTGGTGGATTACTAAAACTCAAAATTCCTCCGCCGTCAATACTCGTCTCTGCGACAGATCCCATCTCAAAACAATCAGTTTACACCACCGGTCTGCACAATGGTAACAAGCATTTGGTTCAAATAAATCGAGATGTATACACAGCTATCAAAACATACTGACAGTCATTTTTAGACCGACAAACTCCCGCCCCCTCTTCTCGCACTGTTCGCTCCGCGACCACCCCTGCGATACCTTCCTCCTACCGATGTCGCTCCCGAGAAGCGCTCGACGGCGCAGATTTCCGGCGTCGCAAAGTTCCTCGATATTTTGAATACTCCGGATCCTTCCTATGTGCCGACGGAAAGCCAGACTGAGGCGATCGAGCGGCGGCAGAAGGAAAAGAAGGAGGAGCACGAAAAACGGCTGAAAGAGGCTCTGGAGAAGTGTAAGTTGGTAGCAGTGTTCGATGAGAAGACTTCTTGCGATTTGACTAACGGGATTTGAATGGCTATAGGGAATCCTAAGGAAGATCCGCTTGTGAAGGGAGATCCGTTCCAGACTTTGTTCATTGCGCGACTTGGATATGACGTTACCGAGAAAGATCTCGATGACGAGCTGAGCAAGTTCGGACGAGTAGAGAGGGTGAGAATTTGATTTGATAGCTTGATAATATCTAAGAGGTCTCAACTAATTACCTGTGGTATAGATTCGCATCGTCCGTAATAAAGAATCAAGCAACTCCCGTGGCTACGCATTCGCCGTGTTTGCTCGCGAGCAGGATATGAGAGCTGCCTACAAAGAATTGAACGGTACACGCATCAAGGGTAGACGTGTTCTAGTTGATGTCGAACGTGCGCGAACAGTCAAGAACTGGAAACCCAGGAGACTCGGCGGTGGACTCGGTGGTCGTCACTACACGAAAGCCGCGCTGCTGCGACCTGCTACCCGTGATTCGCGGGACCGAGAGAGAGAACGAGATGGGTTCAGGGGTGGATATCGTGGCGGAAGAGATAATGGACACGAGCATCGCAGCGGGGCAAACGAGTACCCCACGGGTCCGAGGAGCGATAGATTCAGAAACAGAGATAGAGACAGAGACGGTCGTGGTGACAGAGGAGGCCGCGGAGAGCGATCATTTCGCGACGATCGTGGGGACCGGGATAGGTATCGTGATCACCATCGCGAGGATAGGCATGATCGATATGGGTCTGATCGTCGCGACAGCCATCGCGACCGCGACGATCGCCGAGGAGATCGCAGGGGAGGCGATGTGGACGACAGTGACCGGTACAAGCGAATGAGGTACACATAGTGTGCTCATTGACTGTACGTGTAACATTACAATGGATGTAGGTTTCTCTATGTGTATATTAATCTATTCTGACAATTCAATATACATAACATGACATGATGTAAACTAGAACTAGTAAAGTACACAAAATACCCAGACAACACATGGCCAAAAACAGGAAGCAACCAGCCCAACCGAAAACTTTTATAATATCAAATCGAGACTTTAATGGAGGAATAGAAGAAAACTGCGCAGATGCTCAAGTAAGCTACTCGTCGTCGCCCGAGGCATCGTCAAGGTCCACATCTCTGTCCTGACCGACACTCTCGGTGGTATCGATCTCATGAACAACGCCATCTTCCCAGTACGCGACCAACCGGACTTTGAACTCAGAGCACGCGAGGCCAAACAGCTTCAGCAAGCGAGTCTGCTTGGCATCCAAGAGATCGCCTTCTCTGCACACGACGAACTCGTTCTCGATCGTGACCTTGCCGTTTTTCAGAGTAGTAGGCACACCTAGCTGCACACGGAGCGTGCTCTCGAGCGAGTGAGGTAAAGGCAAGTCGTCTTCGGCAGCAATCTGGCCGCCGCGCGAGTATATTATTCCAGCGGGGAGAGTAAAGTCCACAGTAGCGGTCTGTCCGGCGCGCGGGAAATCGTTCTGTGTGTACTCGTCAAAGAACACCTGGACGCTCTCGGGAGACTCGTTTGTCATCAGCAGACCGACGGAGCCCTTGACGTGTCTTGCCAGTTTGCTCAAGCCGTCTCTGGCCTCCTCCTCGCGAGTCAGGCCAAGAGCCTTGGCCATAACCTTTGTCCGTCCAAAGAGTAATCTAGAGGCATTTGTTAGCATTCTGCATGCCGGCTGAAGTAGACAGATACTGTTGTTGAATGACATACCTGCTGCCAGCCCACTGACGACGGACATCTTTGAGGAACGAATTTCGCATGTTGGCGACATCGAAAACCCAGACCTAAGGAAGTCAGCATCCATATTCCACAGCTATTCAATACTATAAGTAAACGCACAAATTTGTAGACCTCCAGACAATCACGGATCTGAGAAAACAGAGTCTCCTTTCCCTCACGACCCTTCTTCTGCGTCTTCGTTAAGGTGACTAAACGGCAGTTAGCAAACCCCGTCCTAGCACAATAGCCACAATAGTACTACATACTAAGCTTAGATCTCTTCGACTTTGGCATTTTGCAAGAATATAATCAACTGATCCGGCGTGGAAACAAGAGAAAGGAAACAAGATATCTGATATTTTTCAGTCTTTTCACTGGGAGTTCTCGCTCGACTAATTTTTTTTTCTTCGTCGCTCAGCTGCGGCGCGGCTGGGGCGATGGCTGTGGCGGTGCTGGAAATGTGGCTGGTGCAACTCCTGAAAATCAAAGACCTCGAAGAGAAGGAAGCTGGTGTGCTGAGTGTGGGTTCGAGAGCGTACGATTGCTTGACTATTACATGTGTGATATTTGCAGAGATTAGGAACGTGCGGGTATCATGAATACTGGTCTATATTAGGGCAAGATCAATCAGCGACACCGTGTGGCTTTGTGCACTTGCTCCGTCTACAACCATCATCAGCTCTATCAGTCGCTCATTCTTCATTCAAACTGGACTGGGCAATGCGATCCTACTTGGAGCACATCCTCGGCAGCTTCTACGCGGCCACAGGATGGAACGTCGACAATCACTATGCGAACCTCACTGCCAGCTCTCGAGGTATGTTGCATCAGCTTACATCCCGTCCTCTTCATATGTGCTTTCTGACGCGCTTCTAGATCTGCTCGACTTTGAGTTACCGTCTGGGTTTATCCTAAACGTATCCTCTTTACCCACCGGAAGTTCAGCATCATCCGGCACGCTCAAAAATCTCGGCGGCGTGGTCGATGGCGCGATATCGTATTTCTATAGTTCTCCGCAAAACATACTTCTCGAGAACAAGCTGCGCTCCGAAAGCGTTGATTTGACTGACTTTCTATGTGGCTACCATCAACTCCATCTTCCTGAACCTGCAGAGGATCCGGTGTATAGAGAGATGTGGAGAGGAGGACGGCGAGTTGATTCCAAATGTGAGTACATTGCCGAAATTTACTGGAAGGTCCTTCACTAACAGCACAGTAGACTCGCTGCTTTATGGGAAATTATACTTGCCCGGAAACACGTTAGAATCCATGCTCATCCGTCAATTTACACCTACAGACCAGATTGTTGTGTCTGCTGTTAGCGACAAACGAATTCAGAACGGGGGAGCAGTGAGTTCACTCTTCAATAAATAAGTAGCCGTGACTTCAGATTCTAATGACTATTCTATAGCTCATGGCACAGCTGCAACACAACTCAGGCCGCTGGTGCAGTGAAATGATATATAGCTCTCATGAAGCACTTTTGGGTTTCAGAGGCTTGTATAATTTCTCTGTTGACTCTCATTTGCCCGAACTCCCTTCAGGAATCGCAAGTATCCCAGGTCTTTCGGCGTCTTCGTTGCTATTCCAGCCGCAGCAGTCCTGGTTTTCCGCCGGAGGCGAGATCTATTACGGAGCACTCAACAAGGCAGCCGGGGTTTCGATCGGACTGCGATATGCCACCACCTCTTCTTTGGTAGGCACTCCTACCACTACTACATTTACACTAAACCCGGTCATGGGCCAGATGTCGGTTGCCTACGCAGTGCAGGCCTCGACGAGCACCTCATTCGCCAGCAGATTTGACTTCAATGCTTTTTCGTACGAGAGCAATCTTACTCTGGGATTTGAGCTTTGGAAGAACAAAAACTCTCGCGATGAAATTGATGACTTTATCGTCTCGGCGCCTGCGATAACAGATCGCAGCGGGGATCAGAGTGAAGCAAAGACAGAAACGCCGGAAACCTTGCAGCCAGAAGTAACTGCCGAGGGTGCGGACACAACACAGCCGATTTCAATGATAGATGACTCAGTGTGGAAAATCCGAGTAGCTACAGACTCTCCGTCCGTCAGGCTTCTCTGGGAAGGCCGAATAAAGGCGTTTTTATTCAGTGTCGGAGCCGATATAAGTCTACATCGGGACCAAGGTATGAAGACGTTTGGGTTAGAACTCCAATACGCTGCATGAGTGTTGTACTACATTGAAATAGCATAGTTGGATGGTATTTTGTATATTACATATTCGATAATCACATCTCGTTTTCAATTCTTGACGCGAAGTATGAATGCTGTTATAAATGTTTGCGGCATATACACGTAAGCTCGAAGCTGTGACTTCCCACACTGGAACGTAATACTGCTTTGAAGAGTTGACTCGACAAGAAACATGACTGAGTCTGACATCTTATTACTGTATTGGAAGGAAATACTGAAAGAAGCAAAACCTTTGAGAGTGTCTGAAATATTATGTAACACATCATTAAGATTTGGCACAAATCCCTTGAAACATATTGTTTTGATCACATGACTTTTGGCCACGAGTATAAAGGCCGCATCCGTGCTCTTCCACGATCGATTCTCCCGCAGCAAATTTTCGTATTTCCAGCACTTCTGTAATCGGATTCGCATCGGCATCAGATCCATATTCGGTTTAACTAATACCGTGCTTTGCTGTTTGAGGAATAATATCTTATCAGGAGCAGTCTTTTGATAGATAGGATTCATCTAGAGGTATTCTGCTGCTCGTATTAGTTCTGTTAGACGCAGTGTAAGTCTCGCCATTAGGTATATCCCCTTTGAAGATCTCAGTACTACGGCTGTAGGTAAATCAATCTTTTTCTATCATTTCTTTATCCTGTTGAATATGCATGAATGAAGCCGGGGCTATCCAGTAGAGTACACGGTAGCTTTGCGATTGCGGTTCGGCGTCGTCCATTGTATGGGTGGCAAATGCAGAGGTCGAACGTACATCATAGGAATAATCGGAATGGACGTGGCTATCTAGCTATCTAGATAGTCGTCGGTTCGCCTTGGTTTAAAAGAGCGGTTCGATGTTACGTCGCAATATGCTCGCCTTTGCCGGTCGCTCTGTCAGACTGCATTGTTCACAGCTACCGTGGAGGTCTACTACGTGGATAGCTTTGCCAGCCCTGGTCCTTCGCCCTCAGATTTACCTACATTTACTCGCCGAAATATCAGTCATGCAAGATTCTAATATGTAATTCTTTCTAGTAGGTTTTTTTCGTGGAATCCCGCTTTCCTGGAAACATCTGCGTTCTGTCTCTGTTCAGTCATATTTCGTGAAATAGCAAAGCTGCAAATTTTATGAGAGAATACATTTGAATACGTAACTTCCTCGATTTTGCGTACATCATAAGTAATAGTTAGCTGTGCTACTTTGTTCTATTCTCAAGAGTGTCGCGTAAGAAGTAAACCGGCACGTCTATATCATTGATTCATTGATCAACGCAACGAACTCGTTTTTCCAAAGCGAATAACGAAAACACACAAGAGCTATTTCATTCTGGGAACGGCGATTTACTATCATAAACTAAAGAAAACAGAGAGTCATGTCTTCCGAAGTCATTACTGAATTTGAAAGTCTCCTGGCGAGCATGCTGGAACTTCGTCCCCCTGGTGTATCAGGCTCGAAGATTCGCAGGCTTTCAGAGATTGCAATGCAAAATGTTCAGGTAATTATTAGCCCATTGGTGCCCCTCGATGTTAACTATCCACATGCGTGTAGCGCCAAAATACAGATATCTAACTCCTCCTTCATTGCTTCTAGTCTGAATCTGTCTTGATTCAAAAACTATATGCCCACTGTAAAAAGGCAGCGCCGAATTATAAACTCGGAGCATTGTACGTTGTCGACGCGATCGTCCGCGGATACTATGATGAAGCGCGGAAACTCGAGACTGAGCCATCTGCTTCGTCGCCTGAGGGAACACCAGCTGCCGCAGTGTATCATATATCCGATGTCATTGACAGCTTGATTGTCGACAGTACTTCAGCACCAGCTGATCAAAAGGTGAGCTCTATAACAATTTCTTCTCTCGCGGGAATATAGTCTAACTTTTTCCAGGATAAAATCGTCAAGCTGATTGATATCTGGGAGCGTGCGAGCACGTTCTCGCCTCAATTGCTCGAGACTCTCCGGAGCCATTTCTCAAAGTCAAGCTCCACCACTCCACCACGCCCGCCTCCTGCATATCTTGTTGGAGCTGGAAACGGCAGCGCACCAGCGTCATCAGCTGCTGCTCCCCCCTCGGCTCCTGCTCCGTCGACATCCTCCATCCTCGAGGCTTTATCTAGCATATCCAAGCCGAGCAGCAGTGCTCCTGCACCCGCTCCTGAAAAGCCTGCCGGCACTCCATCTCTCCAAGATATCATCTCGTCGGCGACCGGAAATACCAGTCACCCGCCTCCGGCTCCGGCGCCGGCTCCCAAGCTAGATTTGGCCAGTTTGCTGTCGAGCGCTACGCAAGGTGCTATTCCTCCAGCTCCTGCTACCTCGAGCGCCCCTCCCGCTCCTGCTGCTCCCGATATGGCTTCACTTCTGCCGCTGCTTTCTGGACAGCAGCAACAGCAGCAGTTCCAACAGCCGCCAATGTCGATCCCTGGGTTCCCTGCTTTCCAGGCCCCACAACCGCAAGCGCCCACTGGTGGTGTCGAGCAGCAGGTGGCTCTGATGCAGCTTTTATTGGCCCAGGGAGTCCCGCTTGCGCAAGTAGCCTCGATTCTCCAGGCAGCGGGCGGTGCTATGCAGATGGCGCAGCCACCAGTGAGCTCGACGCCCTCGTGGCCACCTATGAACTCTGACAGACGCGAGAGAGATCGGAGTAGATCACCGCGCGGCAGACGCTCGCCTGAATACCGCTCGCGCAGTCCTCGCGGGTACAGATCGGCTTCGCCTCCGGGACGAACCTATCCGCGTGCTCCGGTCGAGAAGCGGCCAAGGAACGTGTCGACTGACCCCTCCGTTCCAAGAGGCTGCATCCGGGTTCTGAGTCGCACGCTGTTTGTCGGAGGTGTTCCGGTACACATGTCAGAGGAGAAGCTGATTTCTATCTTTGAGCAGTGCTGCCCGGTCCAGAGTGTGATCATGAACAAGGATAAGCGATGCGCGTTCTTGAAGGTCTACTACAGATCCGATGCGGAGATTATCAAGCGCACGATGGAGACGTACTCGGAAGATGACTACACCCTCCGCTGCAGATGGGGTGTTGGATTCGGCCCCAGAGACTGCTGCGAATACGCAACTGGCGTCTCGACGATTCCCATCGACCGCCTCACCGACGCCGACAAGCGATGGGTCACCACTGCAGAATACGGTGGCACCGGTGGACAGCGATTGGAAGAAGGTCTGGTGATTGAAGAGCCAGACATCGAGATTGGCGCCGGAGTATCAAGCAAGGCAATCAGTCGGCGCATGCCTACGAACCAGGGCGGCGATATGGGACCCAAGTCATCGGCGCCAGACTCCTTTGGCGCGAGAGGCGGCGTGAGACGAGGGCGAAGACGTTAGGTTTTACATAGAGAATAGTTTTCTGAAACCGGGTTTTGTACTCATTAGTGTATTTTGTATTTTGTATTTTGTATTTTGTATTTTTGTAACTCGAGAATCAGGTCCATAAAATGGCGAATATATTCGTAGTCCAAAGCAATGTCAGCAATAGTGTAATACGAGGGGTTTGTGTAGTTACCGGAGTAGGGTTGCCTTTGTTGCCAGCCAGCCTGTAGATTAGAGATTACTGTCGACAGCCAACAACAAAGGCTGGATACACGCTCAGCAGACGCAATTAGCGCTCAATTTTGACTAAAGAAGGGTCATTTGCATCTTTGCGTTGGAAGAAAAGAAATCTACAGCACTACAAAACAAACAGACACAAAGATGGCCGCCATCCGACAACGGCACACGTTCATCGTGCACGACAGTTTCCGGGACACGCCCGAGACACTGAGTCTCACGCCCGAGAGTCTGGAGATGAAGACCGTGCCGGGCGCGCGGCAGGACCGGTATATTGTCTCGAAGCAGCTTGTTAAGGAAAAGGTACGAAGAATTGCATTGCTGAGGCCGGGTGGTTGGGTCCGAATCTGGTTTGAGATGTTGGATTTTGTTTGCTGATATTGATGGTGGTAGGAGATTCTGGATAGTTTGGAAAGCGTGCGGATTGAGATTGGGTCGAGTGAGAATTACGCTCATTTGTCGCCGTTCGACCGGACAATACAGTGGGGAACTCACATCACTGTTGTTCCCGTGGAAGGGTTTGATTGGTAAGAACGAATGGCATTCTCTTGCATGTTTTTGAGACTGCGCTGGTGCTCACATACTGCCCAATACTTTAGGAATCAATTTTGCAAGTTTGTCAATTCGGCAATTAGCCCCTCGATCCCGTGTATCGGCCAAGACTCGTTCATAAGCCTGCCGTTCGGATACTATCTGTACTCAACCTCGACCGATCTCGCGCCTCTGATTTCTTATCTGGAAACAACATACCCGGCGCTCGATCTCAAGAAAGACGATGAAGCATCGACGGCCGCGATTGCCGATCCCTCGGACCTGCTGACAGCAAGCAGCATAAGTATCTCCTTCTCGAAAGCAGAGGACACAGTGCGGAAATACAAAGGACGGTTGGTGACCGAGATATATTGGCAATTCGGAACTTGGTCAAAGACAATAACCCCAGGTCTCGATGAGGAGAATCACAAGGTTGAAGTGGGGTTTTTGGGGAAGATCAAGGATGATCCGGAAGGTGACGTTGCATTTGGCGGCATTCTGGCGGTTATTGGCGAGAACTCGCAGTTTGGTATGTTGAGCTCATGACCTCAGGAGAGAAGCTTGATACTGAATTCTAACTCTTATGATCTTTAGTGCCGACGCTTTTCGACTTTGCGCCTCGACATAGAGGGGTGCAGGGCACAGCAGTCTACAGTCCCTATTTCCGAACTCCGTACGGTCTCCACCCCAAGCACGTGGTCTCCATCTACGGCGACCTGAACGTGCCGCGGACGATGTCGCACAATTACGTCCAGGACGAGGAAACTGGCGAGTTTGAGGATACGATGGAGAGTGCTACATGCGGTCTGTACGGATACTATATATTACCGAGCTTTATTTTCGTGGACAAGTACCAGATCGCGGACCTGGCAGACGCACAGGCAGGCGGGGTGAAGAGAGTTGTCGGGATCTGGGGTGAGACCGATCTTGAGATTCCGGTGTGGATGGTAGATAAGTGGGGAAGCACGATGCTGCTGGAGCTGATCCCACCGTCGGGAGAGGATCTGGAAGCTTTCACGCAGCAGGTCGATATCGAGATCCCGATGCACTCGCGATACGAAGTGCCTGACTGGAATACGACCGCTGTCGTGCACGATATGCCATGGCCGCTGATATTCTGGGCCTGCGACGGCTCGGACGAGAATTCAATGACCATGGGACCGTTCGACAACAACGGTCTCGGCCTGGAAAAGTACTTTGACCCCGGCACATCGTTCCACTACTTGACGCCAAACATGACAATCAGCTCGCCGGACGCGCACACAGAGCTGATCACAGAGCTGAGCATACCGGTCGTGCCGCTCGAGTCTTACAAGTACGTGCAGCCTTGGACTGTGGTTGTGATTTTGGTGGGATGTTTTTGGATTATTTACAAGGCTATTTGTGGGTATGTACGAGACGGCGGGATCAGGAAGAAAGTGGAAGGAGTGGCGCCGGCTAGTCAAGAGGAAGTGGAAAAGAAGAAGCAGGAGCCAAAGTCGGAGTAGGAGGTTGCAGATATCTCAGGTGATGATATGTAATAAAACTTGAGCACATATGTAAATATCTAGGAAAGAGAAAAGTCGAAAAAAATCATCTTCTACTCGGAAGCAGTCGTCTCTTCCACCACTCTCTAAACTCAACAGCCGAGACATCGATCCCAAGCTCGACAAGCTTCTTGTTCGACAGCCGGCAGTCGTAAGGTCTTGTGACCGTTCCGGAGCGTTGGACATCGTCTACGTTGTCGATTCGCTTGAGGTAGGTGGTTGGGACGTCTAGTAGTTCGGCAAAGATCTCGCATATCTCGTATCTGGCGGTGGTGGAGTTAGAATATTAAGTCCTCTGTAAAGGTGCGGTAGGCTTACTTTGTAAATCTCTCGTCGGCGCTGAAGTGTAGAATGGAGGGCCCTGTGCGTTTTGATATGGCAAGGTCTACCAGGTCGTTACTATGACTGTAGCTCAGACAGTATTCTATCCAAATCAAAACTTACCTGCGATATCCTTGACCACGCGCGCAACATCGTGTGTATTTGTCGGATATCTCAATTGCCAATTATCCATTTCCACGACATTATCCTTTTTTGAGTTCTACACGACGTCAGTGAAGATCTCTATCGTTATAATCAATGACAGGAGATACAGACCAGAATAATGTCAACCAAACAGTTGATAGCCGACTCTGAATCATCGTCAGTGTCGCCGTATAGTACCGGCACGCGAAGCACGATGGCATCAGGGTTTTTCTTTAAAACCGCATTTTCGCCTTCGAGTTTGCTTGATCCGTAAAAGTTTGTGGGACTGAGAGAGCTGGTTAGTAGTGCGGGGAAAGACTGTGGAGAGAGAGTAGACTCACTTGGGCTTGTCTTCCGGCTCGTATGGTGGATTCTGACCGTCAAAAACGTAATCTACCGCGCGTATAAGTCACATTTTTCCTGCTGTCAGAAAGTTCAAAGCCGTCTTACCGGTGGATATATAGATCATTGGAATTTTCAACGCAGCCGTCACCCCAGCGACATGTTCCGAGGCCGCAACATTCAGCAGTGTAACTTGATCCGGTCGTTCTTTCGCAACATCCGGTCTCCGCTCTGCAGCCGAGTGGACTACAATCGCAGGTCTGCATGTTTGTAAGCAACGTTAGCAGTCTGACTACTTTCTTTTAGATAGTGGGCAGCCTAGCGTACTTGGTCGACTGTAACAGACTCTCGACGGCGTCGGGATCGGTTAAGTCAAGTTTCACGATATCACCGCTCGCCCTGGTAAAACCTATACAGAACCAATATCAGCAATAAATCAAACAGATAAATACCAACAGAATACTCTACCCGTGCCAATTGCCTCCCATCGCGGCGTATACTCCACAAACCGCTTCAAAATCGCACGGCCTAGTAGGCCCGTTGCACCGGTAACGACGCATGAACGCGTCGGTTCTGAGGTCATTTTTCCTTCTAGTCCGCTGAAAAAAAAGGGTCAATAAGTAGATCTCCTCGAGATCAATTGTTTCTTCCTGATTATCTACAGCGTCAATGGGTCCGCGGGATCAGATCAGATCAAGACTCGACGGGCTGTGTCCCATCATTTACTCGTTGGGAGTTGCGGGGAAATTGTACGCAACTCATAAACCTCCTCAATAACCACCTTCGCGTATTAGATGGGCACAAATATGAATTCTCAGTTACATTATTCATTAGGAACTAGATGCAATATACAAAGGAAAAAAATACATTGATTTACTCAAAGACAAAGAAAATAGAAAGAGTTCGGAGTTCTGTACAGGTGTAGAAGTATAATTGACATATAACTCACTGTAGTTACAGCATACAACAAGGAGCGAATCGAGTTTTCGAAATGAACAAGTAGAAATGCCCTCCAAACATGACAGACAAGCAAAACGAAGAGCAAAAGATGCTTATTAACAACAAAACGTAACGACGTAAAGATAATGAAAAAGAGCATTGCAATCCAAAGAAATCAACTCGATGAGACTGATATAGATTGGATCGCTGGGAACAAGTTCAGACAAATGAGGGAATTGTCTAATCAAGGTAGTGAGTATATGTTATCGGTGATGATAGGAATGAGATTAAATTAGTAGGAAAGTAGAACAATGGTAGCATTCCAACATATCGTCCCTCATCCACCTCGCTCCGTGTTTTCTCGAATGACCATCCCTATCGCTCTCCTCTTCTATCATTTTTATTATATCTGACAAATTCAAAAAATGCTAGTTCATTATTCAGTCCACCCCAGCGCAGTCAAATCCTTTTTCACAGTGTCCTCGGTCTTGATCTTGGCCAGCTGCGTATCCTCGAGCTTCTCGCCCGCGGCCTGTCGCATCTTGAGATCCTCGATCGCGCGCAACTTCTTCATCAGACCGCGGTACTTCTTCTCGTCCTGCGGATTCTCAAACGTCATGCCGTTCTTGGGAGCAGAAAGACCAGGCGGTGGAGCAACAGGAGAAGCCTCGGCGGTCGCGTTCGAGGAAGCGGTCGGAGACGTCGTCGGCGCGGCATCCTTCTGCGCCTTGTCGGCATCCTCCTTTGCCTTCTTCGCCTCTCGCTTCTTCTTGTTCTTCAACGCAGACTTGGACAGCATCTCGTCGCGCTGTTTTTGCAGGCGATCGGAATCCTGGGGACTGAACGCCAGTCCACCTTCGTCCTCGCGCTTGAAATGCAGCGGCGTAGCACTCCCGCGAGCGTGAGGCGGACGGTACGCGCCCGCCGCCTTCACGGGAGCCTTGACTTCAACCAACGCAGCAGACGCGTGCGCCTCGGGAATGATATCCGCCGAGCGCAGGGGATACGTCTCCGCTGGCTCGGGCCTCCACGAGGCAGCAAACAGCTCCGCCATCTCGTTCACATAGACAAGCTTGCCCGAGACATGGAAGATCTTGACGCCGTTGTCGACACGCAGACGGGGAGAGCAGGTAGCAAACATGAGATATTGCCCGTCGGGAGACCATTCGCAGACACTCGTGTTGGAGCCGTCGATGGTGGCGACTTTCTTGAAATCCGCCAGCCGATCGTAAACGTTGACTTCTCCCTGGAGATTTCCAAAGCCAGCGACAATCAAGTATTTGCCGTGTGGCGAGTAGAGTATGGTGTTGCGCGGGCCCAGAGGCAGCGTACGAATCGTCTCGCCTCGGTTGTTGAAAATCATCGTCTTCGCGGGCATGTATCCGTACACGACCGCAAACTCACGCGAGTCCGGCGACCAGGCGACGTCGTGAATGGGACCTTCTTTATCGAGATCGATCCGGCAGTCAAAGTTGCCAGCGATACCCCGCAGATAGAGATTAGACTCGCCATAATAACTCTTGCCGGTCTGGTCGACTTCGGTCTGTGACCAGACGATCAAGCTCGTACCCAGCTTGTTCCATTTCAAGACCACTTTCTCGGCCTTGAACAACGACTTGCTCGACAAGGGCTTTGCAAAACTGGGCGCGTTGTAGACATTGACAAGCGCCGGCTTTCCCTTGAGCTCTGGCACAAAGACGGCAACGTTATAGCTGTTTCCGGGCGAGAGAGCAAATGATGCGATACCGTCCAGATTCAGCTTTTGGGTCGAAGGAGAACCTAGCTTCGAGGTCTCGAAGAACTGGAGCTCGTTCGGTACAAGTCGGGCGCAGAACTTCTCATCGTACGTGAATTGGAAGTTTCTAGACAAAAAAATTAGCAATCCATAAGTCTTCATCTCTATCTTCATCTCTATTAATCTGGAAGCTGAGAACATACGCCATTGTCTGAGCCTTTTGGACAAACTGCGCCAGATTATTTCCAGTAGCAACCTCGAAAATCTTCAAGTTTGCATGCGGAGGCTGGCCCGATTCAACCTTGAGTGGACGCTCCCAGGTCAATAAGTAGGTGCCCTTAGGCGAGAACGCGAGCTCGTAGACATTGGCCAGTTCAATGGTCTGCAGCGAGCGACCGGTTGAGGATTCGACGACGACGACGGATTCGACGGTGGTGTAGGCAAAAAGGCCACCGAATGGGGAGTAACGACATGTACGGGTTGTACCGGAGGGCCTTGGACAGAGTTAGCTGGGGGTGTATCGAGGTCGTGAATGGAAGAAGGTATTCATACTTTTGGAAATCAGAGACCTCGGCGTAGCGGGGAGCGGAATCTATCAGACCTATGGTCTTTGACGTCCGATCTGGATGACGGGTCAGTATGTCGTAATACGTGAGATATTATTGCGGATCAGACATACAGAAAAGTTGAGGTATTGAAGACATAATGAGGATCTATCGAGGAAAGTGTACTGTATCTGGTCGACGAGTTGGGGTTAGCTTTAGGTTGCACAAGGCAGACGACCGAGATCGAGTGACAGGCTTCAGGAAGCGAAGCGATAATCGAGGACATGATCGACGAAACAAGGACGCAGAGAAAGACAGCAACGCAGAGCGATCGACAGGTGAATTCAATGAATTTTACAGCACCAGTTGAGCCCACCCGGGTACGTCACGCTACCTAAGCTCAAGATCAACGGGAAAGATATTCTTACCTCTGGATTCACCACCGGAAGTAGGCAACAATTGAAGACAGGGGTTGACAATGCAAATCGTTATGCGATAGAGACGTGAAATAGAGCTAGATTTCCGAGATCAAACAAGAGGTCGAGTCGAGAAATGTAGGCAGTAGTTGTGAATTTTCTTTTTTTTAGCAGATAGCAGCCACGTATCAAAAGAAGACGAGACTTGACGACGAAGGAATCAGAAATAAAAACCAGATCCAAGAGATCAATCGTCAAAAAAAGAATATCCAAATATACAAGACTCCTGTTCTCAGTCAGTCGCAACCAGCTGAAAGCAGTGTTCTGGCAGAGTTGAATAAGTTCGAGCCGGCCAAAGTTTTCTGCTGTCCTAATTAAGCCTTTTGCTAGACAGAGACCCGGGATTTGCAACGAGAGAACTGACTGCTGAGACGAGGGGTGTGTACTTTGTGTGTTATGTAATGACACAGTAATAATGTTACAGATGATGACAGAGATACTATGACCCTGGTTAGGGTAACTCAATCACTTTAAGGCTCATTTATAGGCAGCAGTGTAGATCTGTGTTCTATTTCAGCAACTTCTAACGTAATCTGCTCTACAGATCAAGCAGATTTGTGTTATAAATAGCAAAATACAGCAACTATTCCAAGCAAAACACACGTAATGCATGTGTCTGTTGTAAGCAAAAATATCTCTCAGCAAAGATTACTCGCACCTAGCAATAAGTAGGACTGATCGGAGTCTCAACCACACTAATCTTCCGTTTGGGCGGCGTCGAGATCTCCTCGCTTTTGACACTGATCATCCCAAGCCTTTGGCTCAAACTCGTTACTGCGCTCGGCGTACAGGAGTCTATCACCATCTCTGAGTTCGAAGATTGGCTATCCGAGATCGGCTGGCTTCTCTGGCTCTGGCTCTGGCTCTGGCTCTGGCTCTGCTGCGGCTGCGAGGGTTTCGTTGCCTTCTCGACAGTGCCTTGCTGCGCCTTTTGTGCCAGGTTGGAATATAGCAGCTCGGCCTACACGTGAATTAAAAAAATATACCGTCAGCAATAATTAAACTCCCGATCAGCTTCATTCTCGTACGGTGGTGATGATGTTCTCAGCTGGGTTGAAGTATTTCTCAGTAAGCCGCGATCTTATTTCGGGCGTATCGACAAGCTTGATGGCGAATATCACCCCGTCGATAAAAATGACCGCTCCTTCGGCATTTAGGAGACGGAGTATCAACTCAGTTTTGGCTGGCGTGGTCCCTGCTCAGGTCAAGATTGCAATTGTAAGCAAAACAAATAAACTTTCAACTCGATGTCGCAGAGAAAAATTTCATTCCAAAACTCCTCTCCACGTAAAATAAGCAAACAGCGATAGTTGTATACCAAGAATTTTCGCCAGACTGCGGGAAAAATCGTGGCCTTGCCGCAGGCTGCCGTAAGCATCGGAGTAAAGTACCTTGACGGCACGTCTGAAAATACCTAGAGTTGCGATCTTGGTCAACCTCGAGCCGGAAACCATTTTCTCGCCCCCGTATCTGCATGAACTGCAAATAAACTCTATCTTTAGAGCCTCATCCTCGGCATGCTGGAAACCGTAGCAGTAGAGATGCTTCCAAGTAGTACAGCGCGAGCATTCTACGAGGTCAAAGAGATCGTCGTGGGCGTGATAACCACACTCGCAAGTAATTAATAAATTCGCGTTGTCGTCGGCTTGCTCGCTGCCGGGGGAGGACAGAGACGATTGCTGCTTCTTCTCCGACTTGACTGAAATGCCAACCGAATCGGTGGTAGGCGCGGCAACGGCGGGCATGTTAAGCCTGTGTGGCGAACGACGGGAGGGACTAGGTCTCCTAGTGGTAGCCGACATTGCTGACGCTCGGCGCGCAGCTTGAGAAGACCCCGAGCGATGTGGTTGGGGTGAGCTTGTCGCATGCTTCTTCTGCCTCTTGGGTTTGGGTGGCGCAGCACCCCGATTGGCATTGGCATTAGCATTGGCGGCGGGAGCAGTAGGCTTTGTGATTTTCTTTTTCGGGCGCGGAACGTTTGGCTGGTGGTGTTGCTGCGGCGTCAGGGTCTTAATTGACGCGACTGATGCTTTGCCTTCTATGGAAGGCAGAATCGAAGGCGTCTGCAGCTGGGAGTCTAACGCTAGTGGCAGGGTCGCGTCCACGCTCTCGGAATGCACAGAAGAGGGTCGGAACTATTTTTCCCATCAGAGTAAGCTCGTTAGTAGAAATATTCAATCGTCAAAGATAGGAAATAAAAAAAAAATCAATTCGCCAGATGGGGAATGCAGGGTGATGCTAGTTAGCTTGCTTGCCATTGCGCTAAGAGCGTCGCGTACTGGGTCTTCTCTCTTGATCATTTTTGGTGGCGGCGGAGCTACTGGAGAAGGCTTGTCGCGCGACGCGTTCGCACGCGTCTTGACATTGGGAATCCCCCACTTGGGCGACACCACGTCGTCGATAGCTTCGTAAACGCGTATTTGCTTGCGACGAGGAGTAGAGCCGATCTGGCTGCTGCCAGCTATTTGCGAGGCTGCGGGAGTGGCAGTGACAGCTTGAGATCCAGATTCAGGATTATTATTGTTTCGCTCCGGTACGCAGGAGAGATTGAGAGCCACCGCATGCCAGCCAGCCGTAAGGCTACCGACCGATTCGCGAACTAGTGGATCGCTATCCTCGGGAAGGGCGAAATACATTGGGCGGTCGGAAGACGCGTCGCGGAAGCCGGGTGGCTGATAATCCGCGGGACAGGAGTCGTTGAAGACAAGCTGGACAGAGACAAAGCGGGAATCGGGCAGCGGAGGTAGGTTCTGCGTAAGCAGGATAAAGCGGCGCATGAGCTGCTGTAGATTTTTACGGACTTCGGCAGGCCTGACGCCGACCTCGAGGGATGCGCCAGAGGAATGGTGTAGGGCGAGAGAGGCGGGTTCGTCGTCGCGGTAGTCTATAGAGAAAGTGTACGACTCCTGAAGGAGCTGGGGACGCGCGGGGTCACAGAAAACCGCGAAAACGGCAGCGGAGAGGTATTTACGTTCGATGGCATCGAATATGCCACGTTCGAGCCAGTCGAGAAGCAGATCAGCTTGGGAGGAGACACCGCGCTTGAGGAGTTTGAGACGGACGTGGTCGCGTAGAGCGGGGTCAGGCTGGAAGCGCTCGTCGTCGTAGTTGTCGTCTGCGAACAGGCCTCTGTAGAAGCATGAGATTGAGAACTGACGATGGATTACTAGATGAGATTACGTGCCTGAGAAAGGTGAGGCAGCCAAAGGACGCGGAGAGGAAGGTCTGGATGTAGTCCTGGGACACGCGCGGGGAGACGAAGGCCTGCTGCTGGTGCTGGAGCTGGAGCTGGTGCTGCAGCTGAGCAGAGGAGGGGCCGACGGTGCGGAGGATCTGCGCCATTGAGATTATTACAGAACTGGATATAGAATAGAATACAGATCTTGATGAACAAGATTGACAACCGGAGTAGGGGACCGGAGAGCGTGGTAGAGCGGAGTGGCGTCACGACAGATTCAGTCAGGCAAACGCGTACAGCGCGCAGCATTAAATTCCTCTGGCCAAAAATGCAGGGATCCCGACCCGGCCCTTAAGCCGACCCGACCCAACCCTAATTTGCGTTGGGCGGGTCGGCAACGCGTGGCACACGCGTGGAGCGCACAGTTCGCCGCGGAGGCCCCCCAAACCTTCGCGAACAGGAGTCGCCACAGGCTTTTGCAGCGGGCGCGGAGGGCAGCGAGGAAGGTGCCTGGTGCCTTGGATATCGTGGCCGAACAGGAACAGCCCGCGGCAGACACCCCGGAAGCGTGCTCTCCCCGCCACTCCATCGCGCGGTCGTATGCGCGGAGTGATACTGAGCAGCTCAGCCAGGCTGGATTCGGGCGCAATCAAAATATAAATAGAAGGCTGCCACACATAATTTTGCCTCTTTGGTCGAGCTGTACTAAATATAGTTTCTGGCTTGAACCCTGACCCCGAGATCACCGTGTCCAAACCCTGACCCGCGCTCGGATTCCGGTCGCCGCTCTCTCTGCAGGCTCTGCTCAAAACTTCTCGCTCCCCTACCACGCTCCTTCCTCTGCTCTTTTTCTCTTCACCTCTCTTCCTCTCTTTACCTCTACCTCTACCTCCTCCTCCTCCCTCCTCCCATCTCATTGCTTCGTTGCCATCTGCTAGAGCACTTGCTTTGGTGTGTATCCTCCTGCTTTCCTTCTTTACCCCTTCTGCTACACGCGTGTCGGCCCGTTTCCCCTGCGCCTCGCCCTCCTGTCACGCTCTCGCCCGACATCCGCGTGCATCCGCAGACTCCTCTTTCTCTGCTCATCCTTCCTCTCGCGCCTCCTTCATATCATCTATTTCATTTTACTTTCTTTCGCATCCATCCAAACCACATCTCTCCCACCGACGTGACTCCTTTCCTCACGTTGCCAAGTGGGCTGAGGCGCGCACGCGTGAACGCAACCCCCCTAGCCGCTTTACTAACCTCCCCTCCTCCACAGGACTTCATCTACTTTCAAGTGGAGAACTAAAGGTACCTCACTCTCTCTCACATCTTCCTACTCCACTCTTTTCTCTCGCCAAAAACCTATCTAACACCCCCTAGCATCATGGCTTCGCATCAGCAATACGAAGAGGCCCCTGACGGCCAACACCAAGAGTACTATGACGATGGCTATGAGCAGCAGCCCTACGACGCCGCCTACGACAACTACGACCAGTACGGCGCCCAGGCTCAGCAGTACGACCAGGCCGCCTACGCCGACGGTCAGTACTACGACCCTGAGGACCCCGCCCAGGCTGACGCCGCCTACCACCAGGGCGCTGGCTACTACCCTGCCGAAGGCCAGGGCGAATACTACGACGAGCAGTATGGCCAGTACCCTGCCGACGCCTACCCCGCCGCTCCTGCCGACGTCTATGGTAAGCATCTCTCCCGCCCAAACTAAAACTCCGATAAAAGTTTTTCCCTTTCTAACTCCCCTTATAGAAGCCCCTGTCCCCGCTAACGTCCCTTACGCGCGCGTGAACAAGGGAAAGCGTCGTGGTCGCGACTCTGAGGAGGACTCCGAGACCTTCTCGGACTTCACCATGCGCTCCGACATGGCGCGTGCCGCCGAGATGGACTACTACGGACGTGGCGATGAGCGTTACCAGCAGTACGACGATGGCACTGGCCAAGCTCGTGCCTACCGTCCCGCGTCCTCGCAGGCCTCGTACAATGGCAATCGCTCTTCCGGCGCTTCCACTCCCGTCTACGGATTGGACTACCAGAACAACTTTGCCAACACGCCTGCTCTGTCGCGTGAGCTCTACCCGACCTGGACTCCTGACAACCAGATCCCCATCACCAAGGAGGAAATCGAGGACATCTTCATCGATCTTACCAACAAGTTCGGTTTCCAGCGCGATTCCATGCGTAACATGTTTGACCACTTCATGGTCCTTCTTGACTCGCGCGCTTCCCGCATGACCCCCAACCAGGCCTTGCTCTCGCTCCACGCCGACTACATCGGTGGTGACAATGCCAACTACAAGAAGTGGTACTTCGCCGCTCACCTCGATCTCGACGACGAGGTTGGATTCCGCAACATGAAGATCGGCTCCAAGAAGCACAACAAGAAGAAGTCAAAGAGCAAATTCTTCTCCAAGAAGAAAGCCAACGTGACTCCGCAGGTTGCCCCTGCCGAGAACATCGAGCAGACTCTTGAGGAGCTTGAGGGCGACAACTCGCTCGAGGCTGCCGAGTACAGATGGAAGACGCGCATGAACCAGATGTCGCAGCACGAGCGCACTCGCCAGATTGCGCTCTACCTCCTCTGCTGGGGTGAAGCTAACCAGGCCCGTTTCTGCCCTGAGCTCTTGTGCTTCGTCTTCCGTTGCGCCGACGACTACTACCACTCTGCTGAGTGCCAGGCCAAGGTTGAGCCCGCTCCTGAGGGCGAGTACCTGGAAGGCATCATCACGCCTATCTACATGTTCTTGCGTGATCAAGGTTACCAGGTCATTGATGGCAAGTACGTCCGCCGTGAGCGCGACCACAACAAGGTCATTGGTTACGACGATGTCAACCAGCTCTTCTGGTACCCCGAGGGTATTCAGCGCATCATCTTGGAGGACGGCACTCGTCTCGTCGATATCCCCGTCGAGGAGCGCTACCCCAAGCTTCGCGAGGTTGACTGGCAGAACGTTTTCTTCAAGACCTACTTGGAGACTCGCTCGTGGTTCCACATGGCTGTCAACTTTAACCGTATCTGGGTTATCCACATCACCATGTTCTGGTTCTACACTGCCTACCACTCTCCCACGCTCTACACCAAGGATTACAATCAGATGATGAACAACCAGCCCAAGTCGCAATTCCGTTGGTCTGCCGTCGGTCTCGGTGGTTCTGTCGCCTCGCTTATTAACATCGTTGCTACCGTCTCCGAGTGGGCCTTCGTTCCCCGCAACTGGGCTGGTGCGCAGCATCTTACTCGTCGTCTCATGTTCATGATCATCATCTTTGCAATCAACTTTGCGCCTGCTGTCTACATCTTTGGCTTTGTTGACCTCGACGAGGATAACAAGGGTGCTCGCGTTCTTGGTGTCGTCCAGTTCGTCATTGCCATTTTCACCTTCATCTACTTCAGTATCATGCCTCTGGGTTCGCTCTTTGGCAATCTTACTTTGAAGAACTCTCGTCGCTATGTTGCCAACCAGACGTTCACTGCTTCGTTCCCTCGTCTTCGCAACAACGATATGTGGATGTCCTACGGTCTCTGGGTTGCTGTCTTCGTTGCCAAGTACGTTGAATCGTACTGGTTCTTGACTCTCTCCATCCGTGATCCCATTCGCAACTTGAGTACTATGAAGATTGATCGATGCACTGGTGAGAAGTACTTTGGAAAGGTTCTTTGCCGTCGTCAGCCTCTGGTGGTCTTGATCATGATGTACATCACTGATCTCGTCCTCTTCTTCTTGGATACCTATCTCTGGTACATTATCTGGAACGCTGCCTTCTCGGTTGCCCGTTCGTTCTACCTTGGTGTCTCTATCCTCACTCCTTGGCGTAACGTCTTCTCCCGTCTTCCCAAGAGAATCTACTCAAAGGTTCTTGCCACGACTGATATGGAGATTAAGTACAAGCCCAAGGTTTTGATCTCCCAGATCTGGAACGCCATCGTCATCTCCATGTACCGTGAGCACTTGCTGGCTATTGATCACGTTCAGAAGCTCCTCTACCATCAGGTATGCAACAAATTATTCCGAACTATTTTTTTTGATTAGCATCACTAACTCATTTGTCAATATAGGTCCCGTCTGAGCAGGAGGGAAAGCGCACTCTTCGTGCTCCTACCTTCTTCGTTGCTCAGGAAGATCACTCCTTCAAGGCTGAGTTCTTCCCTGTTGGCTCTGAGGCTGAACGTCGTATCTCTTTCTTTGCGCAGTCGCTCTCGACTCCTATCCCTGAGCCTCTGCCTGTTGACAACATGCCCACCTTCACTGTCTTGGTTCCCCACTACTCTGAGAAGATTTTGCTGTCGCTCCGTGAGATTATCCGTGAGGACGATCAGTTTGCTCGTGTCACTCTCCTTGAGTACCTCAAGCACCTCCACCCCTCTGAGTGGGAGTGCTTCGTCAAGGACACCAAGATTCTCGCTGAGGAGACTGGAAACTTCAACGGTGGTGCCAACTCTGAGAAGGAAGAGGACAGCGCCAAGTCGAAGATTGATGATTTGCCGTTCTACTGCGTTGGTTTCAAGACTGCTGCTCCCGAGTACACTCTCCGCACTCGTATCTGGGCTTCGCTCCGTTACCAGACTCTCTACCGTACTATTTCTGGATTCATGAACTACTCGCGTGCTATCAAGCTTCTCTACCGTGTTGAGAACCCTGAGGTTGTGCAGATGTTTGGTGGCAACACCGACAAGCTTGAGCGTGAGCTCGAGCGCATGGCCCGCCGCAAGTTCAAGTTCTTGGTTTCGATGCAGCGTCTTGCCAAGTTCAAGCCCGACGAGATGGAGAACACTGAGTTCTTGCTCCGTGCCTACCCTGATCTTCAGATTGCCTACCTCGACGAGGAGTCTCCTCTCAACGAGGGTGACGAGCCCCGTATCTTCTCTGCTTTGATTGACGGACACTGTGAGATCATGGAGAACGGCAAGCGTCGTCCCAAGTTCCGCATTCAGCTCTCGGGTAACCCCATTCTCGGTGACGGAAAGTCTGACAACCAGAACCACGCTTTGATCTTCTACCGCGGTGAATACATCCAGCTTATCGATGCCAACCAGGACAACTATCTCGAGGAATGTCTCAAGATCCGTTCAGTTCTTGCTGAGTTTGAGGAGATGACTCCTGACAACACCAACCCTTACATCCCTGGCGAGCCTGCTTCTGAGTTCAACCCTGTTGCTATTCTTGGTGCTCGTGAGTACATTTTCTCGGAGAACATTGGTATTCTTGGTGACATTGCTGCCGGAAAGGAACAGACCTTTGGTACCTTGTTTGCCCGTACTCTTGCTCAGATTGGTGGAAAGCTGCATTACGGTCATCCTGATTTCCTCAACGGTGTCTTTATGACTACCCGTGGTGGTGTTTCCAAGGCTCAGAAGGGTCTGCACTTGAACGAAGATATTTTTGCTGGTATGAACGCTTTGCTCCGTGGTGGTCGTATCAAACATTGTGAATACTACCAATGCGGTAAGGGACGTGATCTTGGATTTGGTTCGATTCTTAACTTCACCACCAAGATTGGTGCTGGTATGGGAGAGCAGATGCTTTCGCGCGAGTACTACTACCTTGGTACTCAGCTTCCTCTCGATCGCTTCTTGTCTTTCTACTATGCTCATCCCGGTTTCCATATCAACAACTTGTTCATTATCTTGTCTGTGCAGTTCTTCATGCTTGTGCTTTGCAACATTGGTGCTCTTGCGCATGAGACTATTTCTTGCTACTACGATAAGGACTTGCCTATCACCGATCCCGAGATTCCTATTGGTTGCTACGAGACTCAGCCCACTATTGACTGGGTCAAGCGCTGCATTCTGTCTATCTTCATTGTCTTCTTCATTTCGTTCATTCCTTTGATTGTTCAGGAAGTGATGGAGCGTGGAATCTGGCACGCGGCTAAGCGTCTCTGCAAGCACTTTTTGTCTACGTCGCCATTGTTCGAGGTCTTCGTGTGTCAGATCTATGCTCACTCGCTTTTGACTGACTTGAGCTTTGGTGGTGCGCGATACATTGGAACCGGACGTGGATTTGCGTTCACCCGTATTCCGTTCTCTGTGTTGTACTCTCGATTTGCTGGACCTTCGATCTACTTTGGAGCCCGATCGTTTGCGATGCTGCTGTTTGCGACATTGTCAATGTGGAACGCTGCGTTGCTTTGGTTCTGGCTTTCGCTGTTTGCGATGTGCGAGTCGCCGTTTATCTACAACCCGCACCAGTTTGCCTGGACTGATTTCTTCCTCGACTACCGTGATTTCATCAGATGGTTGTCTCGTGGTAACACCAAGTGGCACAAGAACTCGTGGATTGGCTACTGCCGCCTTGTTCGTACCCGCATCACTGGATACAAGCGCAAGACTCTTGGAGACGAGTCCGAGAAGGGCGTTGCTGATGTTCCGCGTGCACACTTTACGACTATCTTCTTTGCTGAGATTGGTGGACCCGTGATTGTTGCTGCTGCGGTTGTTGTGCCGTACTTCTACATCAACGCTCAGACTGGTATCTACAACGCCACTGAGGTCAACTCTGTCTTGCGTCTTGTTATCTGCGTGTTTGGACCTATTGTGATCAACATGGGCTGTCTCGCTGTTTTGTTTGGTCTTGCGTGCTGCGCTGGACCTATTATGGGACTTTGCTGCAAGCAGACTGCTGCGGTGATGGCCGGTGTTGCTCACGGAGTTGCGGTTATTGTTCAGATTGTGTTCTTTGAGGTTATGTGGCTGTTGCAGAACTGGGAGTTCCAGAAGGCGCTCTTGGGTATGATTGCTTCGGTTGCTGTCCAGAGAGTGATTTTCAACTTCTTGACTGTTACTTGCCTCACTCGTGAGTTCAAGCACGATCATTCCAACCGCGCTTGGTGGTCCGGAAAGTGGTACGGCAGCGGTATGGGCTGGGAGGCCTTTACTCAGCCGTCGCGCGAGTTTGTGTGCAAGGTTGTTGAGTTGTCGATGTTTGCCGGAGACTTTATTCTCGGACACTTGCTGTTGTTTGTGTTGGGACCCGCTGTTTGCTTCCCGTACATTGACAAGTGGCACTCGATGATGTTGTTCTGGCTGCGACCTTCGCGCCAGATCCGCCCTCCTATCTTTTCGCTTAAGCAGAACACGCTCCGCAAGCGCATGGTTCGCAAGTACGCGACTTTGTACTTTGGATTGTTTGTGCTGTTTATCGTTTTGATTGTCGCTCCTGCTGTTGCTGGTGAGTTTTGATTTTATTTTATGTGTGATGATTATGAAAAAGAAGCTAACATGATGGAATAGGTAAATACATGCCTGATGACTTTGCGGACAACCTTGGAAGTACTTTCAAGGGACTTGTTCAGCCTAAGGGACAGGACAACAACGATACGTGAGTGACACTGATGATTATTGATAATGATGAAGAAAGAGATGGCTAACGATAGAATATAGTGGTCCTAACGCCCCTGCCTGGGTTCTGTCGTCGTTCAGCAGCATGTCTAAGGCCGCTCACTCGACGTCGTCGTGGTCGCGCGACTCTGAGGCGGAGAGTGCTACTTCCGCGTCATAAACGGAGGAGGAGAAGATAGGACTCAGTCATTCTACGATCTATGGCTGAGGTCTATAGTTCTTCAGAAGAAGAATAACGAAAGGGGTAAATAAGAGAAAAAGGAAAAAAGGCAAAAAAAGAGAAGAAGGAATGAATGGTTGGTCAAATAAGGATTGGTCGACTGTTTGGGCAAGTGTTCTTCGATTACTATTATTATTGTTTGTGTTTTTGTGCTTTTGTTCAAGGAGATAACGGGAAATGAGAAAGGGCGGATAGAAGAAGCAAATTGTATTTTATAGCTGTAATTAGTCAAACTAGTTGTCTTGTTGTGTTGTTTTGTCTTTTACTTGATTCGGAATAACAAAGTATCTTATTATTAGCAGCGCAGAAAGTAAACAAACAGCGCCTGGGTCAGGTCCGAGCAGGGTTTGAGAAGCCACGTGATCTCGGCCAAACTCAAATCAGGTGACGTTGCCAGTTCCAAATCGGGGCCGCGCTCAGCCGGACAGCCGAAAGGGTTTTGTGTCCAAATTAAGTTTTTCTTTTCTGAGTGATTTGCTCGTCCGTCGCTCAGCCATCACCGCTCTCGTCGCCTGTTTTGGTGGTCCTTTTTGTCTCTTTCTTCTCCTCTTCTCTTCTCTACTTCTCTTCTTCTTCTTCTTCTTCTTCTTCTTCTTCTTCTTCTTGTTCATCCTCATCTACCTCGTATCATTCATCACCTCACCTCCGCGATGGTCTCCATCCGCTCCCCCTCCCCTCCCCCAGACCTCTTCCGTAAAGGCCCCTTTCCCTTCCCTCCCCCCGACTCCGCCTTCTTCTCCGCAGACTCACCACATCCCGACTTCGCCCCCTCCTTCCCCCCCGGCGGCGGCCCTCCTCCCCCTCCCTTCCACGGCGGCGCCCCCGGCCACTTCCGCCCCGACAAAAACTCCTTCGGTGCCGGCTCACACGCGCCCCCCTGCTCCGCTCCCGGCTCCGCGATCCCCCAACTCATCGTGCTCGTCTACATCTTCGCCATCTTCTTCCTCGTCATCTCCCGCCGTCTCGAGCGCCCGCGCCGCCGCCTCTCCACATGGGCCAGCGACTGCCTCCGCCAGATCGTCGCCTTCGCGGCCTCGAACTTTGCAGTCATCGCCGTCCTCAGCTCGACCCACGCCCCCGGCCAGGTCCCGTTCGCGTCCTCGCCCGTGCTGTCGTGCCGTGTCCCGACCGTCGCTGATTTTCTTGATACCACGCTCGGCTTGATGCTGTTCTGGCCGGTGCACACGGGACTCTACGCGGTCCTGCGCCTCATCCCGGCCTTCAAATCCCTGCGCTCGGGCGTCTACCAGTCGTCGGTCTCGCTCTTCTTCCTGCAGACCTCGCTGCTCGCGCTGTGTCTTCTCATCGCGAAACTCACGGTCGCGACGATGGTCACCGAGTTCATCGGCCTCGATACCATGGTCGTAAACGTCCTCCTGCGGTGGACATGGCACATCGGTCCCGGCGCCGAGGTACTCATGATCAGAGCGGTCTACCCGCTTCTCTTCGCGACCACGCAGCTGCTCGTCGTCGACCGCATCATCCGCCACAAGTCGCACTCGCTGCTGCGCAAGACCAGCGCGGATTTCTGCGACGAGGCGCAAGAGCCCATGATTCAGAGCGACAACTACTACAGCTTTTCCTCCGCCGCGCCTGGCGCGTCCACCGTCGCCCCCACCCCTGCTCCTGCTACCGAGCAGCGGGCGCCGCTCGAGGTCCTCACCGTTGACCCGCGCACATCCGCAGACCTGCCGTCGTGCGACTTCTTTGAAGCCTCGCCCTCGCCGTCGACACACTCCTCCTCTTCCTCATCCTCCTCCTCCTCCGACGCCTCCTCAACCTGCTCCTCCCCGTCCTCCATCTCGTCATTCACCTCCTCAATCACATACACAGACAACCTCCCCGACCGCTCGCAAATCATGAACGTCCTGCTCACACCGCCCGACCTCGCTCCCGCAGCCACAACCCCCGCTCCGCCGGACTACCCGCTCGCCCTTCCCGAGGACGAGGACCACGCCGGCGAGGAGCTGCCGACTTATGACGACAGTCAACGGCAGGCGCTGCAGGTTCGCGAGCGCGAGAGACAGCGGGTGATGGACGTCAAGCGTCAGCAGAATCTGCTGTAGACAGTGCTTTAACTTCTTTTTTTATTTTTTTACAACTTACGATTTGAATACGAGGAAATACCAAAACAACAAAAAAACACACAGATATATCTTTCATATTTTTTATTTTGCTGGACTGGTTTTTTAGGGAAAATTTAGCCGGAGTACTCATCTTTTTTTTTCTTTTTCATATACTTCTATTTACGAATGCCAGAAGTGCAATCTTTAGTTTTTGTTTTCTGATGATTTGTTTGTGCTTGGTTTTCTTGTTCTGCTATATTATTTCTACTTTTGTGTTTTCGTTTATGTTATTACTATGTGCTTTTGCTGGACCAGTACGTTTCGTCATGTCCTCTAGCGGTTTGGATCGTGACGTATGGCTGTGACGTCGGTTTGCTTCCCGGTTTGTTTCTACGTGCTACGTTGTTTACGTCTAATAGGACTTTGAATATACATTACTTTAACAATAGCTCGATTGATTGCATGTAGGGAGATTTTACAATAGCTGCAGGTGGGAGATGATATGGACGTTTCAGTTACTATATACAAATCGCACAGAGACATACGTTTAATAGGACTTTCAAAATACATCACTTGACAACAGCTACACGTAGGAGATATCATGGACGTTTCAGTTACTATATACAAATCACATCACACAGACGCACCTACACGACGCGCCAGTAGATCGCGGTTCCAAAGTTCCCACACACAACAGACTCCTCGATCTCATACCCCTTCCTACTCTTCCCATGCCCAAGCTGTTTCTGCAAATTCACCGCCTCCTCCGCCTCCGCCGCCTTCTTCGCCGACTGCACGATCGGAATCGGCACAGGGCTGTTGACGCGCTTGCCCGTGCCGAGCTGGAACCAGTCGTTGCCGCCCCAGATTAGAAGCTGGCGCTGCACGGGCGAGGAAGGCGCGGTGATGTTGTCGAGGACGGCTGCGATGTGGCGTTTGCCGACTGAGATGCTGCGGATGGGGATTTCGCGCGTCGCATGGTCTTTTTCAGAGTCTGTGATGTGAGTTAGTCGCTGCTTCGTAGAGTAAACTGTAGAGCAGGCTGTAGAGTAAGGGTGGAAATACGTACACTCGGTTATGCTGCATAATTGCCGGACGCGCTGCGGAGTGCCGAGGGTATGATTAAACCTCCCGGACCCATGCTGCCCATGCAATCCCGCCCCACAAACCCAGACATCCTCCGCCACCCCCTTCTTCCTATTCTGGACCGCAAACAAGCTCGAGTCGCCCCCCGCCGCGATATACCGGCACGAGACATCCGCCGCGCCGCGCGTGTTGTACAGCCGGTCGAGCGAGAGCAGGGCCGGGATCGGGATGAAGGCCGTGTCGACCGAGTAGTCCATCCCGAGCTGGCCGTACAGGTTCGAGCCAAAGACCCATACTCTGCCGTCGGCCGCGCGCGCAAGCGAGTGCTTTGCGCCCGCGGCGATCTGCGCGATCGGGAACCCGCGCAGTGTCGCGACCTCGTGGACTTGTTCGGGGACAATAAAGTCCTCCTCCTCCTCGTGCTGCGATGCCGAGCTACTGCTCTCGCTGCTGCCGAAATGACTGCTCCCGAGCAGCACCGGCACGCCGAGTTGCCCGTCGGTCGAGTACACAGCACGCGACCCCGTCGCGCAACTAAACACGCGACCTGTCGAAGACAGCATAAGCAAATGCGCGTCTCCCGCCGCGATCTGCGCGATCTTCTCGCCGCGACGGAGAGGCACTTGTACAGTCCTGAACGCGTGCGCGCGACTGAAGCCGGCAAACAAGCCGAAGAACCAGCGCTTGTCTTCGTACTTTAGCTCGGTTTGCTCGAGGTCAAGCTTGCTTGCTGGGAGAGAGAAGAGTTTGTTGCCGGAGCGGGTGAGGGCGTAGATGCGGCCTTGCGAGATTTGCACGGTCGCGATGTCTTGCTTGGTTAAGATGCATAGCGGAGTGCTGGAGTTGGCGTCAAAGCCTGTACCCCAGACCAACACGTCTCCTTTGGCTGTCACCGCGGCTGTATCATTAATTGTATGAGTAACTGCTACGAACGTTCATCGAAAGAGCAGATCGAAAACTTACCGCCAACTTTGTCGCCGAGCTGAAGATCGCGGAGTTCCATACCGTCAAAGAACGGGACGCGCTGAGGGGTCTTGATGGCCTCTTGCTTGCTCTGCGGAGCAACGACGCGGGTGCCGTTGTAGCCCCATGCCCAGACTATATTTGATCGGCGTGAGTTACAGAAGAGAAAGGAGATGAGGAAGGAAGAAAGAGGGGAGAAGACGAACCTCCAAAATCAGATAATCGCTGCTCGGCAGAGATAGGACTCGAGTAAGCGTACCAAAGCGAGGCGCCGGCAGCAATTGCCGCCGCTGCAGCTGTACCGACGAGTACTCGCTTCGAAAAGGAGGATGTGGATGAGGACGAGGAAGAGGTGGTGGTGGATACGGGTCTGACGGCGGTGGAGGGCAGACACCGTTTTGTCGCGGCCAGGAAGTGTCTGGAGTAAGAACCCACGGCCTGCGCCCGCCGCCTAAACAACGCGTTTGTCTGAGCCGGAAGCATTCCCTAATAATCTGCTCTCTGCGATAACTTCCTTTCAAGAAAGAGCTGCTGCTGCTGAGATGAGACTGGATTTCTCGAGGAAGCGAAAAAGAGAAAGAAAGTTTTGGGACTGCGGCGCGGAAGGGTTCGGGTTTGAAAAAGTAGAAATTTTCTGTGGAAACTGGGAATCTCCCAACTGCGGGCAGAGAGAAGAAAGCAGATCAAGGAAGAATACGAAGATGGGCTCGATAAGACGATCAAAGACAAAGCGGAGGACTCGGTGAGTATGAATGAGGTGTGCGGAGCTGTGGATAAGAGCTAACGAGAGTAGCGACCTCGACCAGGTGTACAACGACATCGCGGACCCGTCCACGCTGCAAAAGCTGTCGAACCAACCGATAGACGAAGACAAGCCGGGCCTCGGCCAGTTCTACTGCGTCGAGTGCGCAAAGTACTTTGAGACCGACTTTGCCAACACTGTGCACCGGCGGGGCAAGAACCACAAGCGGCGGGTGCGGATGCTGAAGGAGCAGCCGATGTCGCAGGCCGAGATCGACGCGGCGGCGGGCGTGGGAGTGGCAAAGTATGCGGAGTTTGTGAAGAAGTATGAGGAGGAGAAGAGGGAGAAGGATGAGGAGGTGGAGAAGGCGAAGAAGGCGGTGATGGAGGTTGAGTGATGTGCTGTAAATTAGTCGTCTTTGTATACATGATATTGTTGTATTTATGATATTGGATTGGGATGGAGAAAAGTACTATACAGAATATGGAATAAGATACACTCTAGGCAACTTCCTGGAACCCAGTATGTCCTGTACTCATCGAATGCTTCTCGGCCTCGCGCTCGCCGGTGAAGACCGATCCACAGTCCGTACACCTGATCTGGAAACTCGCGACGTCGGTGAAATAATGCCGCTTCATCAAAACCTCAGCCAACTTCTTCGCCGCCGCGAAAACAACCTCACCCGTCTCGTCGTTCACAAACACGGTCTGGTCGAAATCAGACATGACGGCCTCGACGCCCTCGGGCGCGAGCGCAACCGTGTCGTAGTGAATCCCGCTGTAGACGACGACGATAAACGTTGCTTGGCCGTCGTTGAACGAGTCCACGCGCCCGCCGGACGCGACGTCGACAGAGTGTATCGTAACCCCGAAATGCGTCGCCAGCACCGCGAGCTCGATCGCACCGCCCCAGCTCTGCGGCCGCTGGATCCACTCGCAGTACTGCTCGCGCGGCTTACCCAGCACGGCGTCGGAGTACTGCTCTGGGTCGGCGCGGATCGCGGTCGCGACGAGGGTGCGCAGCTCGGGCATTGTGTCGTCGAGGTTGCGGAGGAGCGCGTAGCCTACCGCGCGGAAAAGACACGAGTTGTCGTCTTCCATGACGCGCAGGGTGAGGACCGAGCCTGGCGTGCAGGGCACTGATGGTGGACCTTGGGTGTCTGAGGGTGCTGACCGTGTCTGCGGTGGTCTGGCGGGTGTTGACGCGGGTACCGAGATCTGGCTTAAAAGTGTAGAAATCGAGCTGTCAGACTGCACAGCAGAGGTAGCAGCAGCAGCAGGACCAACGACGACGAGCTGGTCGCCTGAGCGCACGCCGAGGTCAGACAGCGGCCGCAGCCGGTCCGAGATATCGATGGCTTTAGGCGGAAAGCCGGCCTTGATCTCGAGCACGGGCTGCTGGTCGAGCGCGGCAAGCAGGTCGGCAACAGTGCCGGTATCAGCAAGAGTCAACACAACAGACTCGCTGCTCGGAAGACGGGCTTTCAGACGCATTCTGGCTGTGGGGATCTGCTGGTGTTGATCTCTGATTATCAGAAGTGACCGACGTGGAGGCGGGTTCGGTTGTTTAGAGGTCACATGACCGCGGCGGGGCTTTTCTTGTGCGCGGCGGGTGGCACTTTGGTGGACGTCGGAGTCGGCCGGTATCCACTTCTTCCACGCAGATCTCCAACGGACGCAAAATCTGCAACGATTCAGAAGAGCGACGATGAAGAGCCGAACAGGAGCATCGTCAGAAGCGGCTGATCGACCGCGGCTGATCTCGCGGTCAATCGCAGAGCTGTCGGCGATTGCGAACGAGTACGACTTTGATCCGGCGCTGCGGTTGCGGTACTGGATCAGGTCTGCGAGCACGCTTGAGCGGCAGGCGAGGATTTATGACGACGAAAAGGTCTACGATGAGGCGTATATTCTGTATATGCGGTATGCGCAGCTGGTGCTGAATAGTCTGCACACGCATCCGGAGGCGCGGCGGATTCCGGAGAAGGTGTTGCTTGTGAAGCTGACGAAGGTGAGTGTGAAACGATGACTAGAAGGCTTGTGAGAGGAAATGCTGATGTTTGTTTTTAGTCGCTTCCGAGGGTGCTGGAACGGTTGCAGGAGTTGAAGCCGCTGATAGAGGAGGCGCATGGGATGTATGTAGAGCGACAGCAGGCGATTGAGAGCCGGCGACAGGAGCTGGAGGCCGAGCGAAGGAGACATAGCGAGCAGGGAGGTGAGGAGGAGTATGCGAGACAAGAGGTGTCGTATGATATGAGTGGGCTGGGAGTGAGTGAGCATCCCGAGATTCTGGGTAACAAGGCTGAGGTGGAGGTGGATGTCAGACGGGGGCCGGAGGAGGAGTATCCGAAGATTCCGAGTCTGTACGGCGGGATTGGACTGGAGCAGCAGCAGCAGCAGCAGCAGCAGCAGACGTCACTGGCACATCAGCAAGAGCAGCAGCCACCAAGCAGCGCGATCGAGCACAAGCCAGCTGCGCAGACAGAAGGGGGAGCCCCTTTGAGGACAGTGTTTGTGCCCGAAGAGCTGCGGTCAAAGTTCCTTGAACTAGCGTTGCCCAACACGCGCAAGAAGCTGGAGACGTGCGGTATTCTCTGTGGAGTGCTAAACAGAAATGCCTTCTTCGTGACGCATCTGCTGATGCCGAAGCAGGAGGCGACGACGGATACGTGCGCGACGACGGACGAGGAGGGGATGTTTGGGTTTCTGGACGAGCACGAGCTGTTCACGCTGGGGTGGATCCACACGCATCCTACGCAGACGTGCTTTCTGTCGTCGGTGGACCTGCATACGCAGAACAGCTACCAGTTGATGCTATCGGAGGCGATAGCGATAGTGTGTGCGCCGATGCACGAGCCGAGGTGAGTGTTCTCTGCATATTGGATATGTGCTTTTGTTACTGATACAGTGCTGTTCTGTTCTGTTACTGACATCCCGCAGTTGGGGAGTTTTCAGGTTGACAGATCCGCCAGGGATCCGGGCGATTACGAGCTGCCGCAGACCGGGCACGTTTCACCCGCACGAGGAGCGGGATATCTACACGACGTGCCGGATGCCCGCCGGCCATGTTTCGGTGAGGGGAGGATTGCCGTTCAGTGTAGTTGATATGCGGTAGTTATAGAGAATAGTTATGATAATCATAAGAAGAAGAAGAGAAGAAGATAAAGAGTCCGGACCTGAGACTCGGCAAGTCCGCGTCGACGTCAGGGGCTGCGTATAAGGTTTCGGGTTCCTGGAGCTAACCGGATTGGTACTAGTGCGACCCTGGTGGTTTGAGACGAGGCTGCTATAAGCACGGCCAGGCACCCACAGTTTGTTCTTCTTGTTGTTGTGTAGATATCTGCTGCTGTTGCATATTATTGCGTTGATATCTTTTGTGTTGATATCTGTTGTTATATTGTATCTGATATCTATTGCATCTCTGATATAAGAGATATCTGCTCTACTCAGCATGCTCGGCCCCCAGCTACTCCTCCTCCTCCTCTCCCTCTCCATCGCCTCTGCTGCCTCTGCCTCCTCCTCCCTCATCACAGCACCCGCCTCCTCCTACACCTCCATCCCGACCCAGCTCGTGCTCGACACCTCCTCCTTCTCGAGCAGTCGACCCTCCTCGATCTCGATCTCGCACTCCCACTCGCCCCTCACCACAACAACACCCGTCTCCTCCTCATCGACCTCCTTATCCACAACATCCACCTCCTCCACCTCCCGCTACACCCTCACTCCCGTCGCTACCTCCTCCTCATCCTCCTCCTCATCCTCCTCCTCCTCCTCCACCACCTCCTCCTCCTCCACCTCCACCAAAAAGATCATAATCGCAGTCGTCGTCTCCGTCGTCGGCACCCTCCTCCTCTTCGCCCTCATTCTCCTCGTCTTCCTCCGCCGCCGCCGCCGCTACCGCCGCAACCCAAGCTTCTCCGACTCCACAACAGCAACCATCCTCCCTTCCGACTCCGAGGCCAGCGACGCCAGCAGCTGTCCCGTCACAAACCACCACCGCAACCACAACAAAAACCAGGACTCCGGCGTCGTCGACGAAAAACACCTCATGCAGGCCGGCATCCGAAACAAGTCCCTGCCGCCGCCGCCCCTGCCGCTCAAACACAGCAGCCACGCGTCGTCGCCGCCAACAACGCCGCTGTTTGGTCGGTTTTCGAGGAAGTTGGGCGGCGGGCGGAGTCGCTCGTTTGATGTCGAAGAGAATAGCGACCAGGTTGGACTTGCGCGGTGACGATAGACTTTTTTTTGTGTTTCTAAAATGTTTTCATTTATACCAACGGCGTTTGTGGTTTCTTTTTTTGAAGTGAAGTTGTCTAATATACTATTACTATATATATACACCTACTAGACTACTTAAGACTATTAGCACATGCTAGCACATGCTAGCAAACGCGAAGACCCTCAAGCTCAAGTGTAGGTATACAGTATTGAAGGCGGGCTTTATGGTTGAGATTGTTTGATATTTCATTACTATATATATACACCTAGACTACTAAACAATTAGCGAACATTAAGCACACAATGACACAGAACCCAAGCTCAAGTATAGGTATATCAGTATCAAAGGCCGAGTCACCGGCCATCTCATCATAGCCAAGTAATTTATGGCGCAGTCGACCGTCGTGAGATATATAAATATATTTGATCATCATTAAACCTTTGAGTGTGGGTTCTGTATTGTGAGAGGATGAGATGCATACCATAGATGGAGTGTTGATCACTTGGAGTAGAGAGACAGACTAGAGACTATACTGATTAGCACAATTCAACTCTCATCCACATCCACAAGAGTGCGAGTGAATCAGAATTCAAATCTCGTCAATGAAGTCTCCGACATATGCTTGTCATTTGTGTTTTGTTATTCATCATCTTGACAGCTCTTGCTCTTCTCGTGGACGCGCTATAAACATGGATCGACTTACCTATTGATTTATGATGGTATTAGGAGTACATTTCTATCAAAAGAGATAAGCAGCTGCAACCAGAGATATAACAAAGAACAGCACCACAATAAATGAATCTCAATTACATCAAATACAATTCAGTCGCGTGGGTTTTCTAGGCCCACTGTATGCATATCGCTCATGAATCGCCGTTTGGCGTCAGTGCCCAGTGCAAAACTTCATCCCGATGAGAGTACAGAGAAAAAACAAGAAAGAAGAAGAAAAGAAGTAACCTACTAGTAGAGACGTTAGCTGATGCTCAATAAAAATTTCATCATCTCGCTCTTCAATCTCTTCTTTGTGCTTGTAATCAGAAGAGGTGCCAGAGTTTTTTCGACATAAAGATTCAGTCGGTAATTCCAACGTCAAAGGTTCTTCATCAGATGAAGCAGAAGAGAGAAGAGAGAAGAGAGATAACAACACACAAAGACATACCATTAACAGAACAGAAGACTATCTTCCAGCACGGGATATATAAACAACCTACACAACACTATTAGCATCCACTCATCACATACACACCAGATCTGAGCAGGATTCCACATATTCAGTACGAAGCATTTCGGATCATGAGTAATCACAGACTCTAGTTATGACTTTGTTCAAAACTCATCATAATGACAATCCCACCCTGCGTTAAGCAGATATCAGAGTATTAATACATACCATAGTTGTTGACTGCTTAAGCAGTAAGGAAACTGAAAAATTTGCTTGCTTTATAGCGGCCGCGGCTAGGGTTTGGTCTCTGGTCACGAGTTAGGGTTACCGCTGACACAAAACCAGGGCCTCGTGGCCGGTTCCAGAATCTACGCTCACGCAACCAACCTCCGTCGCCATCACCAGAACCTGCTCAGCGGTCGCCAGTCCTGCACTCGTTGATTCGGGGCAGACAACTCGAATATCTTCAAGCAAACAACCTCAATTACTCCGGCGCTCATGAGCAGTCGCCTCCTTCTCTCCTCCGTCGCCCTGCGTCCGGCGCTCTGCCGCGCAATCACCCACTCCGTCTCCAGACAGCCCATCGCCTCCTCCATCCTCCCCGTCCTCCGCCCGCTCCTGCGCCCGCGCCCGCGCCCCTCCTCTCCTCTTTCTCTTGCGCCCTCCTCCCGTCTGATCTCTTCCTGGGCTGCCAGACGGCTCTCCGCAAAGGAAGAGAAAGCAAACCTCCAGAAGAACAACCCCGACGCCCAGGCAGATCTCTATGCTGACCTCCTCGAGCACGGCTACCCGCAGTTCGTCATCGAGCGCTACCAAAACAAGTCTATCGCCCGCAACAAGACTTGCGATGCCTACTACTACGAGGCTATCGCCCGCACCGGCGGCCAGCCCGCCCAGAGCTTAGACTACCAGTCCTCGCGCGCCTCTGCTCCCGCCACCGCCGTCTCCGCATCCTCGGCCGCCGCCGCCGCCTCTGCTCCCGGCTTCATCGGCCGCGCTGCAAACACCGGCGACAAGTTCGACCCGATCCACGTCGTCATCCAGGACGGCAAGGGTTCGCTTGTCTTCCGCTACCTCAAGCTTCTCGCGTCCTTTGCCTTCACCTACTTTGTCATCCTCACCTTGGTCTCCTTCTTCTCCGAGTCGGCTTCGATCTTCAAGGGTCCCCCCAGGCCAACAAGGACACCTCCGTCACGCAGCCCACCGTTCGCTTTTCCGACGTCCACGGCGTTGACGAGGCCCGTGCCGATCTCGAAGAAGTCGTCGACTTCCTTCGCGACCCCGCAAAGTTCACCGGTCTCGGTGGGCGTCTGCCAAAGGGTGTTCTCCTCACCGGCCCTCCCGGTACCGGAAAGACCCTTCTTGCCCGTGCTGTCGCCGGAGAAGCTGGCGTGCCTTTCTTTTTTATGAGCGGCAGTGAGTTTGACGAAATGTACGTCGGAGTCGGCGCAAAGCGTGTCCGCGAGCTCTTTGCCGCCGCAAAGGCAAAGGCTCCTAGTATTGTGTTCATTGACGAACTTGATGCTATTGGAGGAAAGCGTAATTCTCGTGATCAGGCTTATGTCAAGCAGACCCTCAATCAGCTTTTGGTTGATCTTGATGGGTGAGTACACCAGCCACCTGATTATTTAGATGACTCGTTTAACAGTGTTCTATATAGATTCTCGCAGACCACCGGAGTGATTTTCATCGCAGCCACCAACTTTCCCGAACTCCTTGATCCCGCATTGACTCGTCCCGGCCGATTTGACAAGATCGTCAACGTCGATCTTCCCGACGTGCGAGGCCGCATCGCCATCCTCCGCCACCACATGAAGAACGTGATTGCAAACAAGTCCGTCGACGTTGACGCTATCGCCCGCGGTACGCCTGGTTTTTCGGGCGCAGACCTGCAGAACCTCGTCAACCAGGCTGCAATCTATGCATCGCGCCAGAACGCGGTCGCTGTCGACACTCAGCATTTCGAATGGGCAAAGGATAAAATCTTGATGGGCGCCGAAAAGACTACAATGGTGCTCACCGAGGAGTCAAAGAGACTCACTGCGTACCACGAAGCTGGCCACGCTCTCATGGCGATGTACACCCCTGGTGCCACTGCTCTCTACAAAGCGACAATCCTGCCCCGCGGTCGTGCGCTCGGCGTCACCTTCCAGCTTCCCGAGATGGACAAGTACAGTCAGAGCAAGAAGGAGCTGCTAGCGCAGATCGACGTTTGCATGGGCGGCAAGGCTGCCGAGGAATTCATCAACGGGGTCGAGAACGTGACGTCGGGATGTTCTAGTGATTTGCGGCAGGCTACGAAGGTCGCTAGAGCGATGGTCGCCAGCTACGGCATGTCTGAGAAAGTCGGCCCGGTCGAGTTGGCAGAGGACTGGAGCCAGTGGTCGGCGACCACGCGCGAGCTCGCCGAGTCCGAGATCAGAGACGTGCTACAAAAGTCAGAAGACCGAGCACAAAAGCTGCTACGAGACCGGAGTGTCGAGCTCAAGCGTCTGGCCGAGGCGCTTGTTGAGTACGAGACCCTAGACCGACAAGACATCGAGCGCGCTGTCAAGGGCGAAAAGCCAGAGAAGCCGATCCCACCAAAGAAATCGAACCAAATTGTGTCGAAGCCGTCGTCGGCGGGTGGACTCCTGCCCGCTCCGGCGCCTGTTGCGCGTGATAGCACGAGCAGTAGCTAGAACATGACGGGGTTTGATTCATTTGTTGTCGTTTTTCAATTTCAGGAAATCAGTTAAGGATACGGAATCTGGAGCCGCTGGTTAGCTATCGACTTTATATATAACAGCGTCGCGTTCTTTGTTGTTTGTTTTCTTTTCATTCTATTATTATTAATATCCAATAAGCACTCTGCTTTCGTCTGGAGGCGTGTGCGTGTAAATATACTGTCTGCAACAACAATTAATAGTATTCAATCGTAAACAATGAACAATAAAGTGGATCTCATAAAGTGAATCTCAATTACTGGGTTTGAGCCAAACTTAAATCCTGCGCTGGGACGAGAGTCCACACCGCTCTCGAGTCTTCTGTAAACTCTGCCTCCTCGTTCACCCACTCAACCACCGTCTGTTTCCGTCCTTGCCAACCACGCCAATCATCGCAATCAGATCAGTTCGTTGAGGTCACTGGCATTAACTGACTGTGCTGGGCTGACTGATCATCTGGGAATTGGATCGCTGGTTGTTTTGCTGGGCTTTTTTTTGATTGTTGCTGCGAAGGTGCGTTATTGAGATTCGCGATTTGTTTTCAGTTGATCTTTTGATCTTTCTTGGTGAAGAGCAGAGAGGTTGACGCGAATCGTTCTTGAACGTTTAGTAGAATCAACATTGGCAAGCAACTGATCCAGCAAAAACAAAAACAAAACATCCTTGACCACCGCTGAAATCGAAACAAACACCCCCACAACAGCACCACACAACACACACACACACACTACAACAAATGTCGGCAATCGAGGATTCACAGCGAATAGAGGCGCTCGAGTCCGAGTCTCGAAGGCTGACCGAAACTCTCGACAAGAAGAACCGCGAGATTGCGAATCTGAACGCCGAGTTTGAAACCACGCAGACGAGGTTGCAGGAGTCGCGCAAGACCGTGGTCGAGCTTGAGAACAAGCTGCAGCAGGCTGAGGCTGAGAAGCTGAAGAGCAAGGTAAGTATTGATTTTATTTAAGTTTTGTGGGGATCAATGTGATTGACATTAGTGAATCAGTTTCGTGAACAAAACCTCTCACAGGAGATTGAACTTCTCAAAAGCAACAACCAATGGCTAGATTCCGAGCTGTCCGCCAAATCAACCGAATTCTCCACGTTCCGCAAAGAGAAATCCGCTCAGATCTCCAAGCTCAAGACCGAGCTCGACAGCACGCATGCCGACGTAGCAACCCTCACGAGCTCAAAGGAGGCGCTCACGAGCAGAGTCGAAGAGCTGAGCAAGAATCTCGAGACCGCGCTCGTAAAAGTCAAGAGCTTGAGCGACGCAAACTCGGAAATGGAGGAAGGGTTTAGAAAGGAGATGGCTAGTCAGCAGAGACTTGCTGCTCTTTGGGAACGGTCGGCCAACGAGGCCCGCACGCGCGTATCTGAGCTCGAAGAAGCGCTCGAGGCTGAGCGTGAGAAGGAAGGCCAGATGGCCGCTAGCTGGCAGGCTGTCGCAGAGAAGGAATCAGAGCGTGCAGATCAAGCCGAGGCCAAGCTTGCAGCTCTCGAGACCGAGCTCGAAAACCTTCACGCCGAACAGGAGAAGCTCGAAGAGCAACTGCAAGGTCAGCTGCAGCAGTCATCCAGCGCTGATGAGTTTCGTGCTAGTCCTGCTACTCCGTTGCGCAGCGGACCTGGCGGTTCCGGAATGTCGCCCGTCGCCATATTTTCACCCTCGGCGCATGCTATCGCGCAGGTTCAAAAGAGCGGAATCTCACTCACACAGCTCTACACCGACTTTACAAAAGCCAAGCACCAGCTCGAGTACGAGCGCAAGCGCAACAAGACTCTTCAGCAGAACTTTGACGAACTCATTCAAGATCTCGAGGTTCGCGCTCCTATCATCCAGGCCGAGCGCGAGGAAGCCATCCGGCTCAAGAACGAGATTGCAGAAATGTCGGTCTTGCTCGACGAGACTGAGCGCGAGAAGGAGGAGGCGGACGAGAAGGTTGAGGAGCTTGCTGGAAAACTTGCCGACGAGCAGCGCGAGGTTCGCATTTATCGACAGCGTATGTCTATTTGTTTTCCCTATTTTTTTTATTCGTTACTAACAGGTTTACGCAGAGGTGCACGATCTCTCGCGCCAGGTTCAACAACTGGTTGCCGAGCTCCAGTCGCACATCAAAGGTGCCGGTCCTCTCTCACCCGCTGAGCTGGCTGAGCTTCGCCGCCTGATGGAGTCGACTTCGTCAGATGCTGGTGGCGAAGAGTCAGACACCGGAGCTTTAATCTCCGAGAGACTTGTGACATTCAAAAGCATTATCGAGCTTCAACAGCAGAACCAGAACCTGCTGCGCGTGACGCGCGAGCTAGGTAGTAAGCTTGAGCACGAAGAGGCCGAGACGCGTCGACGGATGGAGAATCTCGAGGCGGCGGCGATAGAGGAGAAGCAGAAGGTGATTGACAATCTCGAGCTTGAGCTCAAGCGGACAAAGACCAAGATGGATGCCTACCAGCGCGAGCGTGATATGTTTAGAAGCATGCTTTCTGGCAAGGATCAGGCGCCAGAGCAGCAGGTGGCAGCATTACCTGCGCCAGCACCGGTGTCTGTCGATCACGATAGCGTGCCCAGGTCGACGTACGAGGAAACGCTGGCCAAGTATGAAGAGGCATCGACCAAACTTACAAAGATCGAGACCGAGTACGCCGATCTGCAGGCCCAGTACGACGCCTACAAGACCGAGATGGCGGTCGATCTCAAGTCTGTCAATGACGAGCTTTCGAGAATCTCAGAGGAGCGCTCTACTCTCCAACAGGAGATTGGCCGGTCGCACACACAGCTCGAGCTCTCCAACGAGCGTCTGAAGATCATTACCGAAAACTTCGAAATGACAAAGAAGGAGAACGATCGTCTGCAGGCGCGGGTGGCTGAAGTTAACAAGAACTCTGCCAAACAGGAGACGCTTACGATGCAGCTTGCGAACGAGGTCACCGAGATCAAGACCGAGCTTGAGTCACTACGAAACCAGAACGCCCAGCTGAAGGCCGAAAAGTCTCTGTTTGAGTCAATCAAGCAGAGATTGACGGCCGAGAATGAGACGCTGACGGGCGAGCGCACGAGACTCACCGACTTGATTTCGTTTCTGCAGTCGGTCGAGGCCGAGCGGGAAAAGTCAGATACCGAAGTGCGGAACCGGCTTGTGGCGCAGGTCGAGAGCTTGCAAGGCGAGGTTGCGGAGCACAAGAAGAAGCTCGAGGACGAGACCGACAATCTGCGGAATCTGAACACGAGACGCGAGTTTGAGACGAAGGAGTTCACAGAGAAGATTGAGAAGATCTCTCAGGAACTCGCGTCGACGAAGGAAGCTCTGGCCGAGTCGAAGCAAACCGAAGAGCAGCTCAACACCAAGATTGGCGAACTCACATCCTCGCTTGCGGATGCGGAAGAGAAGGTTACGATGTACAAGCGCCAGATCGAAGAGGAAGGGTTCAGTGTTGTACGCACGCTCGAGAGCGAAGTTGCCGAGCTCAAGACCGCGCTCGAAGCCGCACGCGCCGAACTCGAGGCGTCGAAGGACAATGCCGAGCGTCTGACTGAGATTGCAAAGGCAGCCGAAGACGCGCTCGAGTCGATGAACAGTACTCACGATCAGTACAAGAGTCAAGTTGAGGAGCAGCTCAAGGCCAAGACCGCAGATATCGAGGGTTTGAAGAGTGAAGTTTCGCGTCTTACAAAAGAGCTTGTGGGGTCGACCGAGGAGCTTGCGAAGGTGCAGGAGGCGGCGGTCGAGGAAAAACGTCACCATTCGCTTGTTATGCGCGAGCTGCATGAAGAACTCAGGGAGGCTAAGGCAGCCGAGAAGCGACTTCGAGCGGCCGTCGCGGCGGTGCAGAACGATATCCGCCGACAGGTCGAGATCACGAAGCAGGCACAGGGCAACTACGAGGAAGAGCTTTTGAAGCACGCGGCGGCGGCGCAGGAAGTGCGGAAATTGAAAACCAGGATTAATGACCAGGGCGATCAGATTAGTCGTCTGCGGGCAAAGGCAGAGAGAGCTACTGCCGAGCTGGAAACGAATGTGTCTAGCTGGGAGACGCAAAAACTTGCTTATGAGAAGGAGGTCGAGGAACTCAAGGCGAGGTGTGTATTATTCGAGTTTGTTAGTGGTTATGTTTTTTTGATACTAACTTTTGAGTAGGGCTGAATCGTTGGTTGAGCAGAATAAGTTGCTGCATCACCAGCTTGAGTCGCTCAGCACGCAGGTTACACGTGTCCAGAAGCAGAGACGACTATCAGTAGCTCCTTCAGCCCCTGGAACGCCTATGCGCGGAGGTGCTTGGGTTCCGAGCACGCCAGGGACACCAGCCGATGGACTTATTGCCGCCGCCGCCGCCGTAGAAGCAGCTGAAAGAGCCATACCAGCTCCCGGTACACCAGCAGCGGCGACGGAGACTCAGGAGACTGAGGCTGATGTCAGTGCAGCGGAAGCAGCGGCGGATAGCGCGACGGAAGATCTACATGAGATCATCAAGTTCCTGCGACACGAGAAAGAGCTTGTGGACGCGCAGCTGGAGAGCAAGTTGCAAGAGACGAAGCGGTTGCAACAGAGGCTTGACCACACGCTGTCGGAAGTGCATGATTTGCGAGTCGAGCTAGCGGCAGAGCGGGAGATGCAAGCCACGGCGCCGAAGAGCAGTGCGGAGTACGCGGAGCTGCTGGAGAAGGTTGATAATATCAATATTCTGCGGGAGAGCAATGCGGCGCTGCGGACGGAGACGAGACGGATGACGGATCGGATTAGGTCGCTTGAGAGCCTGGTGACTGATCTGCGCGGGCAGATTAACCCGCTTGAGGATAGGCTTGCGAACGCGAGTGCTGAAGTTGAAGCGAAGCAGTCGAGGATTAAGATTTTGGAGGAGGATAATGAGCGGTGGAAGAGTAGGACGCAGCAGATTCTGCAGAAATATGAGGTGAGTTGTGGTTTGTATGGTGATGTTATTGGATGAGGGTTGCTAACTATGATGTAGCGGATTGATCCTGTTGAGCTGCAAAATCTCAAGGAAGAGGTGGAGAAGCTTAAGGGAGAGATTACAAAGATGACTGCTGAACGAGATGAGCTGCGAACGCAGGCGCAGAAGGCGACGAAGGCTAGAGAGGAAGCGGTTGGCAAGATCAAGGAGGAGCTTGAGAAGGCGGTGAAGGAGAAAGAGGAGGTGGTAAAGAAGAAGGAGGAGGAAGTTGCAAAGTTGAAGGAGGAATTGGAGGGTGCTAGTAAGAGCTTGGCTACAGAGAAGGAGCAGGTAAGTGGTTTAGTAGAGGATGAGGATGGTGCTCAACTGTTGGCTAACATTGGGTGATGTAGGCGGAAGCAGCGAATACCAAGGCAGAGAAGCTACGAGCCGAGTTCAACCGACGATTGCGGGCGATGCGTGACCAGCAAAAGGCCGACAACGAGAAGAACGCGACGGAGGCAGCGACGAAGGCGACAGAGATTGAGGGCTACAAGACGCGGATCAGCGGGCTGGAGGCCGAGACTACGTCGCTGCAGAGTCAGATTGCGGTGAAGGAGACGGAGCTTGAGCAGGCAAAGGTTGCTGCTAGTGCTGCGAGCGCTGCGAGTGCTGCTACTACTGCGCCGGGTACACCTGCGGCAACTGAGACACCTGCTGCGCCAGGTACACCAGTCAGTGTGCCAGTAGCTGCAGATACGGGATCGAACGAGCAAGTTGCAGCGCTGGAGAAGAAGATTGGTGAGCTGACAGGAGAGCTAGAGAAGGCGCAGGCCGAGGTGAAGACGTTGAAGGCTACGAACGAGTCTCTGAGCGGCGAGCTCGCAAAGGCTAAGGAAGAGCTGGCAGCTGCAAAGGCCGAGGCCGAAACCGCCCGGAAGGAGGCCGAGGTAGTGAAGGCTAACGCGGGCGGAGAAGGCGGGTCGGGGGATGGAGCGGCGGCGATGGCAGCATTGCGAGCGGAGCTGGAAGCCAAGCACAAGAGTGAAGTTGAGCAGGCATTGGCAGCGAAAGTGGCAGAGCTTGAGGCGCAGAAGAATGAGATTATCAAGAGTACGAGGGAGGCGGCGCAGAAGGAATCTGGGATGCGGATGCAGCTTTTGCAGAAGAAGGCCGAGAAGGCGGAAAGTGACAAGATTGCAGCGCAGCAGGAGCTGGCGAGGTTGAAGGGTGGGCAGCCTGCTCAACAGCAGCAGCAGCAGCAGCAGCAGCAGCAGCCAGTACAGAGATTACAGGGCCCACAGCATCGTCAGATTCCACAGCCGGGAATGTCTGCTCGTGCACAGCCTTTTACACCCGCAGGACCAGCACAGGCAGGAATGGGCAGCCCGGGATTACAAACAGGAGGTAACTCGCCTACGCCGACTGGAGCTTCAGGTGCGTCGACGCCGGGAGGTAACAAGCCGCCGATGTATATGATTGGTGGGCAGCAAGGAGCAGCGCGGGTGTTAGCAGGAGGAGCACAAGCTAGTCCAGCGGTGCAGCAAGTGCAAGCACAGCCGCAGCAGCCGCAGCAGCAGCAGGGACAGACGCCGGCAGCAAAGGGACTACAGATCCAAGGCGCAGCGACAGGAGCTGCGCCAGCACCACGGAAGCCGGCGATCCAGTCGATTGTGCAGGCGATATCGCAGCCGAGTTCAGCAGGATCATCGCCGCCGCCGGCAGCGGCGGGTGCACAGCCGAGTGGAATTCCGGTGGCAGGCGGCGGAGGCGGAGGCGGGGCAGCGGGGGGATCGCGGCTGCCGACGCTGCAGAGGCCGGGGGTGCAGCATCCGTCTCGGCCAGGCGGAGCCGGATCGCTTGGGTTGCTGGTGCAGCATCTGCAGCCGGGGGCGCGACGAGGGCCGCAGATTATGCGACCGGGCGCGCCACAGGCGGGAGGTGCAGGCGGAGGCGGTGGGGAGGGACCGCAGGGCACGAAGCGGGAGCGCGAGGAGGACGCGAGCGGCGGTGGAGGCAGCGGCGGAGGGAGTGGCGGCGAGGGCGGGGAGGGGAGCGGGGGCAAGCGACGGAAGGAGGAGGCGGAGTAGAAGGCGAAAGCGAAGCAGAAGAGGAAATGCGTTTGTTTGTTTACTGTTTGAAGTAATTGGCGAATTGAATGAATCCGAAAGAGTGAAAGTATTAGGTAATGTGCGGGGCAGGAATAGATAATTTGTGAGAATAAAAAGTGATGGATCGGATCGCGCGCCGTTTGGTTGGTGTCTTAGAACGGTGCATTTGAGTGGGTGGGTTGCGGTGAGGATTATTGAGGATTGTTGAGGTCAATTGAGGTCAATTAGTTGTGATAATGACGATAATATGAGAAGAAGGCAGAGCTGACTGAGTCTCACTGCTCTCACGATGCCTTCGGATGGAGTTCTGCGGAGAGCGATGACGACGACCCCGCCGATCTCAGGATCAGAGGCAGCCGATGAGACAGTGCAGCCAGGCGCGTGGATGTCCACGCTACCCGATAAGCCAACCTCCTGCGATCTGTGTATAAAACCACTGCTCAGATGCCTCTTCCTTGCTCTGATCTGCTGCGTGTATCAAGATAAGATGACAGTCCCCGAGGTCAAAAAGAACGAACAGCAAGAGCACGCGGCGAATTGGGTGCCTATCAACGAGGTGCCGGTCTACACGCCGCGAAAGACGACGATCGTGTGCGCGGGCGCGGGATATGGTGGGCTTATGCTTGCGTATAAGATCCAGGAGGAGCTCAAGTGTGAGGATCTGATCGAGCTCATTATTCTCGAGAAGAATGTTCGTTGTCTCTTGTATCTGTGTTCTAGAGAGATCGGTTACTGATATTAAGATCTATCTAGGACCACGTCGGCGGAACTTGGTACGAGAATCACTACGCGGGTGCAGCATGCGATGTCCCCGCGCACATCTACACGTTCATGTTCGAGCCCAACCCGGACTGGTCGAGTTTCTACGTGGGCTCCCGCGAGATTCTCGAGTACATCACGCGCACGACGAAGAAGTACAATCTCGACAAGAACGTGCAGTTCAGCCGCAAGATCACTAAAGTGGCCTGGGACAACGACACCGGCAAGTGGCATGTCTCTGCGACCGACCTCACGAACTCGTCGACGGTCGGGTACGAGGCTGATGTGTTTGTGGATGCCTCGGGCGTTTTGAACAAGTGGGAGTTCCCCAAGATCAAGGGCATCAACGACTTTAAAGGCCATCTCGTGCACTCGGTCTCATGGGACGACGACCACTCGTACGCAGGCGAGCGCGTGGCAGTCATCGGCAACGGCTCGTCCGCGATCCAGATCATGCCGGTGATTGCAAAGGAGGCGAGCTACGTCGCGAACCTGATCCGCAATCCGACGTGGGTGAGCACCGGGTACGCGGCGCATTTGTCGCGCACGGGCAGGAACTTCAAGTACACAGAGGAGGAGAAGAGGCGGTTCCGCGAGGACCCCGCGCACTTTCTCGAGTACCGGCACCGCATGGAGCACGAGTTCAACAAGTTCTTCTACGCGCTCTTCAACGACTCGCCCGAGCAGCAGGCCGTTCATGAGCAGTTCACCGAGATCATGCGCCAGCGGCTCAACTACGACGAGGAGCTGTGCGCGCGCCTGATCCCGGACTGGAAGGTCGGCTGCCGCAGACTGACGCCGGGCGACAACTATCTCGAGTGCTTTGCGAGCGGCCAGGCCGAGCTGGTGACGCAGCCGATCGACCACATTGGCGAGCACTCGATCGTGCTCACCGACGGGCGCGAGATCGAGGTCGACGCGATCATCGCCGCGACCGGGTTCGACGTGTCGTACCTGCCCAAGTGGCAGACGTCCGGACGCAAGGGCGCGAGTCTGGAGAAGCTGTGGGCGGACGTGCCGACGGCGTACTTTAGCGTGTGCGCGCCGGAGATGCCAAACTACTTTATCGTGAATGGGCCGAACTGCCCGATCGGCCACGGGTCGTTGCTGTCGGTGATGAAGTGGACGATTGACTATGCGGTCGCGTGGACGCAGAAGCTGGCGCGGGAGGACATCAAGTCGTTTGTGCCGAGCGCGGGCGCGGTCGCGGACTACAACGAGTACACGCAGGAGTTCCTGAAGCGCACGGTGTGGACGAGCGGGTGCGTGTCGTGGTATAAGAAGCAGGGACGGGTGACGGCGATGTACGGCGGCAGCATTCTGCATTACAAGCAGATACTGGACAACATCCGGGGCGAGGACTTTGAGATCGAGTACCGGTCGCCGAACCGGTTCCGGTTTATGGGGAACGGGCTGACGAACGCGGAGGTCGAGGGAGGAGACCTGGCGACGTACATCAACAAGTAGGAGAGGAGTGGAGGGGTGGGAGAGAAGAAAGTCCGGAAGCGGCCGGCGAGAGGGAGGAGAGGAGCCGACAGCCGGTGGGATGGCAGGCATCCGACGGGTTGCCGAGGAGGTGAGAGAAGAGATATGGATAGTGAACAGTGAATATATTGCGATTTTGATATAAAATGGTTAGAGTAGTAATAGTAGTAGAAGTAGAAGATATATATACTGCAATTGATCTCAATACAATACAATTGCAATAACAATCGAATACAACAACAACAACACTCCAACAAGGTTATATGGCACTGCTGCGGCGACAGCGCCGATGGACCGATTACATAACCCGCCTCTGCGCTGCTGCTCTGCCCGCCGACCCCACCTCGACTTATAAACAGTCCTCCCGCCTGGCTCCTCCTCCTCCTCCTCCTCCCCTCCATCTCCATCTCCACCCCCAATCCTCATCTTCAATCACCCCCACAATGTCTAACGGATTCGCGACCTCCGGCCCCGACGGCGGCGACGCCATCAACAACATCAAGACCGACATCGTCACCCTCACCCGCTTCATCCTCGACGAGCAGTCCCGCGTCCAGCAGGCGACCGCCACCACCGGCGACTTCACCCTCCTCCTCAACTCGCTGCAGTTCGCCTTCAAGTTCATCTCCCACAACATCCGCCGCGCGACGCTCATCAACCTCGTCGGTCTCGCCGGCGCCACAAACTCCACCGGCGACGACCAAAAGAAGCTCGACGTCATCGGCGACGAGATCTTCATCAACGCCATGCGCGCGTCGGGCAAGGTTAAGGTCCTCGTCTCGGAGGAGCAGGAGGAAATCATCGTCTTTGACGGCGACGGAAAGTACTGCGTCGTCTGCGATCCCATCGACGGCTCCTCCAACCTCGACGCCGGCGTCTCCGTCGGCACCATCTTTGGCGTCTACAAGATCCAGCCCGGTTCGACCGGCACCGTCGCCGACGTCCTCCGTCCCGGAACTGAGATGGTCGCGGCCGGATACACAATGTACGGTGCCTCCGCCAACCTCGTGCTCACCACCGGCAACGGCGTCAACGGCTTCACCCTTGACTCCGCCCTCGGCGAGTTCATCCTCACCCATCCCGACATGAAGATCCCCAAGAAGCGCGCCATCTACTCGGCAAACGAGGGAAACACCGTCTACTGGGACAAGCCCACCCAAGAGTACTTCCACTCCCTCAAGTACCCCGAGGAAGGCAGCAAGCCCTACTCGGCCCGCTACATCGGCTCCATGGTCGCCGATATGCACCGTACCCTGCTCTACGGAGGTATCTTTGCCTACCCTGCCGACTCCAAGAGCAAGAACGGCAAGCTCAGAATCCTCTACGAGTGCTTCCCGATGGCGTTCCTGGTCGAGCAGGCCGGCGGCCTTGCTACCGACGGACGCAAGCGCATCCTCGACATGGTGCCCGAGCACATCCACTCGCGCTCCGGCATCTTCCTGGGTTCCGAGCTCGAGGTCCAGAAGGTCATTGACACCTACAAAAAGTACGATGCTTAGGTTTCTAGTCAATTGTCTTTCTATCGTCTCTATTGTCCCTATCGTCTCTCTGTTTGGGTTGTCTTTTGTCGCATCTCGAATCTCCTCCTCTCTCCTCCTCCTCTTCCTCCCCCTTCTCTACTCACCCCCACCACCCTCGCCACCACCTCACTATCGCATCTTGGGAAACGGATTGTTGATTTCTCCACGTATTATCACTGCCAGTCGTTGACTATACGCACACTCGGACCGGATCAGGATTTTACCAGGCGCGCCAGCACGGTCTGTCGCGCTTGACCTTTCATTCTCTTTTGCTCGTGCTTTATGTAATGTAATTATTATTCAATTAACCTCAATTACTCAATCTCCTTCTCTTTTATTTTCATGATAATCCCTCGCTGTCGTCAGTGCAGAAACAGGACATCGCGCCGGAACTGCTTCGGCCCTCGATTAATCCCGGCCGGCCGGATGCAGCGCCCATTGTCTGATTTCCCCACGCTGCCCGTGCCGCACCGCGGGAGCGTGCAGCTCCTATAATGTCATGAATTATGTAATGTTCTTAGTAAGATGTTAGTAAGAAAGTGCATAGGGTTCGGGCTGGCGCGTCGGGGGCACGCTTTCTGTTGAGGCGCGCGTGGAGGAGAGAGGAGTAGATATTGACGAACATGGCGCGGAAAGGAAGGCCAACAAAGAAAGAGGAGGAGAAGAAGAAGAAGAAGGAGGAGGAGTATGAAGATGAAGAGGAGGATCTCCCGACTGAGATTGATCCCTACGAGGTGCTCGGGGTATCGCGTACCGCTACCAGCGCGGAGATCAAGAAAGCGTATCGCAGACTTGCACTCGTGCACCACCCCGACAAGCAGCAGCAGCAGCAGCAGCAGCAGCAGCAGCAGAAAGAAGACACGCACAAGAAGTTCCAGGAGCTGGTGTTTGCGTACGGCGTGCTTTCAGATGAGGTGAAGCGCAAGAGGTATGATGCGACCGGCAGCTTAGCGGACGCGGACGCGGAAGGCGTGTTTGGCGAGGACGGGTATGGGTGGAAGGAGTTTTATGATGATATGTATGGCAAGAGCGTGACGCAGGAGATGATTGAGGAGGATAAGCGCGAGTATCAGGGTGGGTTTTCTTTTTTTCTTCTATATTTTAGGCAGATCAGGACTAACTCTGTACAGGCTCGGAGGAAGAGAAAGCAGACGTGTTGGAATACTACACCGCTTCAAAAGGCAGCATCGACTACATCTTCGAACACCTCCTGCACTCCTCAATTCTAGAAGACGAACCCCGCATCCGCTCGATCCTCGACGCCGCGCTTGCCGCAGGCGAAATCAGGCCCTACAAAGCCTACACGAGCGAGAGCACCTCGACGCACGCGAAACGGCGGCGGGCGGCCGAGGCGGAGAAAGAGGAGGCGGAGCAGATGGCGGACGAGATTCTGAAGACGAAAGAGGAGCGGAAGAAGTTGAAGAGCGGGAGCGAGGACGATTTGGCGGCGTTGATTCGGATGAGGAATCAGAATCGGATGGGCTCGTTTCTTGATGATTTGGAGAAGAAGTATGCGGGGGGGAAGGAGAGTAAGGCGAAGAAGGGGGGAAGGGGAAGAAGAGGAAGAGTGAGGAGAGTGAGATTAGTGAGGAGGCGTTTCAGGCGGCGCAGAGTAAGATTTTGAAAGGGAAGAAGAGACATTGATTGTTATGTAAAAAATTCAGCGATTTATTATAAGTTGAACTGTAGCGCTTTACAGTGGCGTGTAGCAATCCCAAACCAAAATTCCATTAAAACAAGAAACTAAAACAAGAGAATAAAAACAAAAACTATAGAACCTATGCCAATACACATGCAGTAATTATTCATATTTGCAAAGAAAAGGACCACCATCGAAAAACCCACTTAACAATTGTAGACAAAGCCCAATACCAACCCTCACTCAAATCAGAACGCGAGAGATCAAGGCTCACCCGGCTTTTTATAATTACACGCCACGATCTTGATCTTCTCACCCACCACCTGCTCGTTTCCTTCCATCTTGAAATGCACGTCTTTGATTATAAACGTCCACACGTCGTCGCAGAACCGGTAGATGTCGAGGTGGCCTTTGAATGACAGCCGTGTTGCTTTCGCTTGGTCTGAAAGGATCTCGGTGATGCATCGGTCGAACTGTGGTAGTGTTGTTAGCATAGAACAGTGAGATGGGGGGATATGAAGATAAAGTAACGTACGGTGGATAGGATCTTCATGGCAAGCTGTGGCTGGATCTTGGAGTCCCTAAATTCAAGCATCAGCACTCCGCACTCTGTTCCCCACATTCTCTCTCATCGACGTACTTGATCAATTCATCCAACGCATCAGTCAACGCAACGCCAATGCTAAACGGCACACACGCAAGTCAGTCACCACCTCTCCACCGATCTAGATTCAGCTTGTTTCAAGACTGAGCAATCATGACGTACCTGCTTCGTCGGTATAGTTCGTAGTATGCGTTTCCACTCATCTTTTCTTCTCTTACTGAAAAAACTCCAACCTGTCCAACTGAATCAAAAGCTCAGTATAGTTCTCGCTGATTCCTCTTTTCCAAGCAACAGCACGCAAGCTAGATTCGCAAACACAACAAAAAAAAAAACCTTCACGAGTATAAAGCCCGCTAGTTTCTCTACCTTGCGCAAACTAATTCCAGCTCTCTGTTTGACAACCACGAAGCTATACAAAATCGACTCTGCACGGTAACGCAACCGGAGCTTTCAGAACGTCAGCCGACCGTAACGGGGGCGGTGGGTGGGTACTGTACCGGTAAGGGGTTTGTGGCGATGCTGGGGGATGCCTTGTTCACTTTGTTCACTCCTCTGCGGTGATGTGTACTTGCGCGCTTTTCTGGATTTTGGTTGATTCTGTTTTTCTTAATGAACAGTATGTAAAAGGTGATATGGGAGATGTTGGTTTTATTTCTGTATGAAGACGAGGAATACTGAAATTGAAAGTCTGGAATCTACGGCTCGCTGCTCTGCATCTCGATCTCCACAGCTCCACCCCATTCCACCCCTCCTCACCCCTCCTCACCTCTCTCTCACCCTCCAACCCCTCCACAACCACCTCTCCTCCTCTCGCTCATCAAAACCCCACCAAAAACCCCCCATTCGACCCCTTCTAAGTGTAAACACCTAACCCTGACTGGCTAATGCTATTGGAAATTAAGGTTTATTAGGCATGGTTATGCCTTGGTGGCTTAGTTGGTTAAAGCGTGAGTCTCATAATCTCAAGGTCGTGGGTTCGACTCCCACCCGGGGCAAAGTTTTTTTTTGCCATTTGTTTTTTTTATTTGCTGTTTGTTTGCTTATTTTTTGTTCAAAAGAATTAGAAGACACGTCTAATTGTGTTGGAACAGGTACTGAAATTAAGATAAGATAGTGGTATTAATTAAAGCTCATATCTTCTGCTTCAGCCTCGCCTCCTTACAAGTCGGGCAATCCGGCGACAACCTCATCTTCTCCCTAATAAACGCCAAATGCGTGACCTTCTGCGCCACGCTCTTCATCCCCACCGGCGAGTACCCATCCTTATTCCCCGGCCACACCTCGTCTTCTTCTGCGAACTTCTCCTCCGCGTTGACGTCGTGGTTGGCCTGGATCGCGCGCATCTTCGCCATGAGCGAATGTTCGGAAAACATGTGTCCGCAGGATGGGAATTGTAGGATCGTGTCGGTCGCTTTGAATGATTCGAGATGTTCGATGTCGAACTTGATTCCGCGCGCGCGCCCGCTTCGGAGCTGCGCAGAGTAGCTCTCGACCTCGCCGTTGAGAATCGTCGCCGCGCCCTGCGCAATCGACAGCGTGAGCTCGTACTCGTGCAGGATCTTCTGCAGCGCGCTCTTGAGTCCCTCGATCTGCATGCCTTCCTTAATCCTCCTCACGAGCGTGATCGGATCGATCGCCGTGCCCGCGTTCTCGAGCAGCGCGCGGATGAATTTCGGTTTATCCATGCTGTAGTCTAGAAGGTCGCTCCAGAGCTCTTTGTCGTCCTGCGACTTTGCGAAACTGATTGCTTGGTCGACGTCTTGCAGGCGGTTGATGATCAGCATTAGCGCGCGCTTGTTCTCGCCGGTTTTGCCGAGGATGTAGACGAGCTCCGGGATGTATTCTCTTTTTTCGCAAATCTCAGAGGCCTACAAAACAGCTTGTTAGTTTCGTTTTTAAAAAAATGTAAAGCAAAGCAACTGACCTTCTCGAGATTATAGCTATTACTCTTCTTCAAAAACTCGAGCAACTTCGGCCGATCATAGTCCGCATACAGATTAACCAGCAAATCCGAAAACGCCTGCGACGCAAACGGATCCACCATCTGCAGCTTTTCGAGATACAGAAACGCCATGACCTCCATCCCGGACTTAATCACCTGATCCACCACCCGCTCAGGCAGCAGCTCCAGCCGTCCTTCGACCACCAGATCGACCGCCTCGGCGGATTTCTCTCGGATCACAGACACCGGCGCGGATTCGAGCTCCTGCACGGTGACGTTGATTGTCATGATCTCGGGGATAGACGGAAGCATGGACAGCAGCAGATGTTGGTCTCTGATGAGGTCGATCGCGGCCGGATCTTGGATGTGAAGTAAGTGGCCGATAGCCGCGTTCGGATTCCCGATCGAGACGTAGAGCTTTGCAATGTTCTGCCGCAGCTTGCGGTCGTCTTCGTCCTTGAGCTTATTCTCCATCAGCGCGATGATACTCTTGGTATCATACAGCTCGGTCGGCCATGTATCGAGGAACTTGTAAAGCTGCTCTTTATCGCTGTTCAGATAATATCCCAGCACCATCTCGTAAATCACGCTCGAAAGCTCAGGCGCAGACGTCGGCAAGTGGCTCGCGATATCGGCCACATGCCCACCAGTGACAAACACCCACGCATACCGCTCCCACTCCTGTCTCACCGCGCGCTCGACCTCGCTCTCTTCCTCCTCGGCGTCGTCCAGACTTGCTGCCGCCTGCGTCGTGCGCTGCGGGATCGGCGTCGCGGTCAGCACTTTGCGGAGCGTCAGACCTGCTTCGTGCCACTCGTCGTCCTCGATCAAGGTCTCGACCCACTTGACGCCAATCTCGCGTCTTCGGTTGTCGTCAATCAATCCCGCGCTCATCAGCCACGCTTCTTCATACTTCTTCCGCTCCAGAAGCCACTCAAACCTATCGTTCTCGTCGCGCTCGGTCGCAATTACGCCATCCCGAGCAGACAGCACGTAGAACTTTCGACCAGAGTTGGGCGGCGTCGGGAATCCTTTGCTGTTGGCACTCCACACTCGGAGATGATAGTCATTAGCTCCCAGCCGCTCGTATCCGCGGAGCGACAACTGGTCGGCCGACAACTCCTCGCCTGTGGTGGGAGACACAAGCCGCAGCTCAGGCGTCTCAGCCAGCGGTCGTGGGACTTCTTCTGTGGGCGCCGGTGGTGCGTTGTAAGTTAGAATCAAGAGCGACTCCTCGTCGTACTTGAGCACTCCAGAAACAAGGCCATCGATGCTGAGAATCGTCTCGACCTCGGACTTGCGTTCGCTCATGAGCGACGCCGACGCAGATCCGATAGACCCGCTCTGGCCGATGGGCTTGCTGTCGCCGGTCTTTATCACTTTGATGATCCAGATGGTGTAGGCCCAGCCGACTAGGAATTTGCTCGGCGAGATCCATGAGATTCGTGGTCGGTACAGGTCCGCGCGGGGGGAGTCTTTCGGCAGCGCAATTCTTGATATGCGAGACCTTGTGGGCGCGTGGTAAAGATGAATTCCCTATCGGGCGTTAGCAAGGATCGTCAAATCATTTTATAGAGTAGAGACCTACCGCATCGTTCATCGCCACAATTATATCACCTGTCCAATCGGTGTCATTGATAGGTCCTTCTCCGTGGAACAACGTAGTATCAGTCTGTCTCCCAAGCCACCCCTTCTCTGACAATATCAAGCTGCAAGCCGTGCCCCCCGAGACAAACGTGCGAGTAGTTTGGAAATTCGGATCAAGCGAGACCGCATGCACAGGTCTTAAGAAATCAGACGCCGAGATATCCTTCGGATCATGCACCGACGCAATCACAACCCGGCCATCAAGTGAGGCAGACGCAATCACGGTGCCGTCGGTAGAGAGCGAGAGAATCGAAGCTGAGTGAGCTCTGTAGGTTCGAATTGGTACCAGCTCGGGCGTTGTCACGTACAGCGTTCCGCCGTGGGTTGCAAACACGAGAAAGTCGTCGTGCGCAAGAAATGTCGAGAGGGGGTCGGATGAGAAGAGAGTCGGAGGAAGTTGGACGATTCGAGTGTACTTCAGACGAGGTTCATCTTCGTCTTCGTCGTCCTCATCTTCGTCGTCTTCCTCTTCCTCATCGTCATCTTCATCGTCATCGTCGTCGTCGTCGTCGTCACCCTCCTCAGACTCATCTTCTTCATCATCCTCATCTGACCCATCCTCAACTGCAGCCTCGTCTTCTGACCCCGTACTATCGTCAGCCATTTCTGTATATCCGGCGTTAAACGTAGTAGGCTGCTCCCCATCCTCGTCTGAGGACGAGCCATAGGACTCATCCCTGGCCACCAGCGAATTCCTTTGCACCATTTCCAGCCTCTGATATAGCAAATCAATCCCCGTCCAGCAACCAAAATACACTGCTTATCGGGAGTATAACAACTAATCCGCTGCTGTCTTTGCTAGATGTCTGAGCAATGCGGTTGACGGCGGGCTCTCTTGCCGAGATGGGACAATATCGCTTTAAACTCTAAATTATCAGCCTATAGATTGAATCGGGGCAAGGGTTAGATTGGCCGGATTCGACTTTGTTTTCGGTGGATATCTATTACAAGTTATTGCTGTCGGGATGATGAGTGGGGATTAGAGATTATACGCTATAGCATTGCTAGTGGCGATTTGGACTAAATTATAATATGCTGGATGGAAGTGTTGATAAAGGCTTTATATAAAAGGCAACCAAAGAGGTATGATCTCGTATCGCCAGCCAAGTCTATGACAAGATTGAGATACAAAAAGCTTGAGACTCTACATGAATCCTCGTTTCAACAAAATAGAAAAAGCTGCTGCTGCGTGAATTACTTGAACTTCTCTCCCTGGATCGTGGCGACGACCTTTCGCGAATGTCTCATGCGTCTGAATTCGCACAACCAGATTCCCTGCCATGTGCCGGTGGCCAGTCTACCGTCGCGGATCGGGATGGTAACTGAAGCGCCGATTACTATGTAGCATGCGTTAGATTTCGTTTTGTTTCGTAGGGCTTTCGCTGGCCATTGGACCGGGAAAGTAAACGGCGACGGTAGTGTCATAGATTGGGAATACTTACAGCTACTTCTGACATGAGCAGGCATGTCATCGCTTCCTGTTTTATATAAAAATCAAATCCGTCAGTATTCAAGCAATCTAGAATAAGAATGCAATAAATCCAGCTCTCCACTGACCTTCGGCATCATGTCTATAATTCCAGCTCTCGGGCGCAATCTTCTCAAGCGCATCAGTCATATCCGCGCGCACGTCCGAGTCCCAATTCTCGTTCAAGGTCAGCGCAGCAGAGGTATGCTGCATAAACAGATTGACCAGGCCGACCTTGTAATCTTTGAGCTCAGGTAGATTCTGCACGATTTCGTCGGTGACGAGGTAGCAGCCTCGCGTACGGGGCGACATTGTGATTGTCTTTTGAGACCACGACATTTGTAGCTGCTGGGATTGCTGTGGAGATAGAAAGAGCTTGTGCTGGATGAATTGATAGCAAATGCAAACAGAGATGATGAGAAGAAGACGGTAGAGAATGATTGCGGTTTCTCGATGTTGAGATTCTTTCATTGCCTGACGTCACTGATTACAATCGAACGGAAATGATTTGAAGATTCGTGCATCGGGCACCAATTTAGTTACCACTCGAAGTTCTTGCAGAGATTGATTTAGTTGCTATATTTTTCAGCTTATAGTAGTAGTAGATTCAATTGATAAATTGCATTATATACTTTTGTATTATATTTACATAGAACAGTACAGTTGTTAACGTGAAGAAGGCAGATCCACAGCCTGGGCTGCCGGCAGCAGACAGCAGCCGCACACGTTCGTCCCAAAGCCGCGCAATCCTCATCTACGAACACTCGTTGAACAGTCTCATAGATCAACAATCTCGTAACTCCACGTCGCTTTAACTGAGCAGCTGTCGTATCAGTTCGGCCTGATAGTTCAATAACAAAATGGGACTGATAGGAATCATCTTGCGATGTACTGCGGTCGTCGGCATGATGCAACGAGCTGGGAAACGCAAATCGCTGACTCCGAACGGACTCACGGCTGGCATGATTACAGGCCTCATACATGCAGTTCACCCATGGTCTATCTTCACCATCCTTCTCTTTGGATTTTTCATTACCGGCACAGCATTCACAAAGGTGGGTTATGCGACTCTACCCTCGCTGGTCTATGCTATGAGTGTAATGGTTCTAACCGGATAACCTCCCAGGTTAAAGCGAATATCAAGAAAAAACTCACAGTCTCGCCTACTGGCGGCGCCGGCGGAGAGGGTCCTCGGACTGAAGTTCAAGTGCTGGCAAACTCTGTAATTGCCTCGGTACTCATCCTTCTACATGCGCTCTTTAAAAGATCCCAGTGTTTTGATTCAGATATCCTAGCGATTGGGGTTATCGCGTAAGTGACTTCGCTTCTGGTGGTTGTGGCTACGTACTAACGAGAAATCTTTCCACTCCCTAGACAATACGCCGCAGTCACTGCAGACACATGGTCGTCAGAGCTCGGAATTCTCTCTAGATCGAGACCGATCCTGATCACCACCATGAGGCCCTGTCCACCCGGCACAAACGGTGGAGTCTCACAAACCGGCCTGATCTCGGCTTTTGCAGGAGGAGCGTTTGTTGGTCTATTGACCGCTTTGTTTGCGCCATTCTGTGACTCCTGGTCGTTGGTCTCGCGATTACGACTTATATTTGGCATTGCAATCGTCGGATTCACCGGAAGCATCCTCGATTCGCTTCTAGGTGCGACCCTGCAGCAATCCGTTGCAAACGATAGCGGCGTTATAATCGAAGTTGAAGGTGGAGAGAAGAAGAGACTGAGCGGGAAGATCGTGTCTGGTGCCGACGTCCTGAGTAATAACGGGGTGAACTTGGCAATGGCCTTCGCAACTACGGTTTTGACAATGTTCATTGCTTATGCTTTTTACGGGTTCCATTAAGTTTTTTTTTGTGGCATGATGAGCTATGCAGATTTCATGGGCAAAGAAAGGAACGTGTGCGTAGGTTCTGAGAACCAGGGCTCGCGCGAATCTAAGCTCAATGACTTCTGAGATATACAGTCAACATCATGGCTAGAATCTGTTTAAATGTATTCTAATATAGACTTTTCGGTGATTATCCTGACTTTGCTAGAAATCACTTCTGATAATTAGTTGCATGTTTCCTGGTTTTGTCCATAGACAGGTCGAGAGCTTTCGTGTCCCGTGAAGCTTTCCATCTTTATTGCAATTAGCAAATTTCCTATCCTGTCCACAGACTGCCCCGCTCTACTGTTCTTTACATTGCTACTTTCTGTTGACTTCCATTTGATGGAGCTCCATGCATAGCGAATAAAGCTCCAGCGTTGAGATTCAGCATGCCCGGCGTTGACTCGGACCGTTCGATATTCGGGCGGTGAGGCCTAACTTTTATTCCGTCTTTTTACAATGATTCCGCTCTGAATGTATACGGATGTTGACTGTCCTCAAACAGAGAAGTGTATAAAGAAGACGATATCCACTGGACTATGTCGATTCATGCTGACGCCGGTGTATCTTCCCAAATTCCAGAGACTTGGAGATCTTGATTCAAAGAGGAAAAGTTTAGCTAAATCGAAGAACCCGTAGTTGCTGCTCTTTTCCATCATTTGCATCGCCTTTCTATACTTTGGACGTAGTAGGATCGATGCTTCTCAGAGCTCTATTCTTACGACTAAATCTCGATATTTTAGAGTAAAAGCTGAAAGTCACGCGAAAGAGTTGCATCTGGAGCGCGAAATTGCCTGTTGCCAAACGTAGATCCACGAGCATCTAGATGCAACGAAGGTGCCCAGATCTTTGCCTGATAAAAGTAATTATGCATTTTACGCAAAAGATTATTATCTGTATGTATGTTCCCATCCAGTTCGAAATTGCATAAAGTAGAAACATTGTTGGGGTTCATGGACAACCATGGACAGTAATGTCTATGGTTTTCGTTACTACATTTCAGGCATTCTGTAGCGACGACATCTACCCAAGCGGGAGATTTCGCGAGCTGCTCAAGAGAAATACGAGAGTGGATGTTCTAGACCCTTGATATCTTCGACTGCCAGCAACGCGAACAATGAGCCGCGCTGAGCAGGGTATGGACATAAATGTACCCCTCTTGGACAAGCAGACAAGAGTCCGTTCCCCACGCCGCGGCAAACTCACGGCAGGCAATTAGGTTGGGCGAGAGAGCGCGACGACAGACAGATGCGAATGGCCGCGTCTCGAACGTCGTCTGCGGCAAATCAGCTGCGTCCCAAATTGCACTTTGACCGGATCCCAAAATCCGTCGTCGCTAGAAAAGAGAGAAAAGCTTTGCCGTGCGGTTGCTATTATCCATCCCCACAGAATCTTGCTGGACTTGGTACACTTGGCGTCCCACTGCTCAGAAACCTATTTCTGTTTTCAACGCATCCGGCTCATAACTCCTGGCGGCGTCGTTCGCTCGCTCTAGTCGCTACTCGACAACGAATGAAACAATGATAACTTCATCTTCTCAAGCCACGTTATGGCGCCCTAGCTGAATAGGTGGGCTTCAAAGCGCAAGAAGAACGTTGTGTCTAAGCGCTCGACTGACACGACTCGAACACGCCATGCTCGTGTGCGGGCACATGTACAGACCTCCTGCCCAGCACCGGCACAATGAGCACGTTCCCGAGCGGGTCTTGGATCGTACGGCTGTCGACCAGTCCGGGAAAGCCTTCTCCGATGGACAAAATGGTCACAGCATCCACCAATCCACGCTCTTCTATACGGATCTGATAAAAGGCGCTGTTCATTAAGCTTATAAGATTAAGTTCCCGTGGCGCCCACTACTTGCTGACGACCGAAAGTCTACTTTGTTTTGTCGCGCATTTACTACTACGTCGGGTTGTCTTTCGATACTCAATGGCGCAATGGTGCAGCGTCCAGCGGGAGCTAGAGGAGCCGAACCAGATAAAAGAACAATCAGATTGATCACCATGGGTCTCTTATTTTTATCTGATTGTAAATGTTATGCTTAATGCGGTATTTTTACGCACCGCTCCTTGAAGTCATGATCTCTATTGCAGTTGGCTGGCTCATCGATCAGTGTACCCAACTCGATATAAACACTTCACATGCTGAAAATCTAATTAATTCATGCTCTCTGCATCTATCGTTCAATTATTAAGTTGTCCGGCCTTAGTTTACAAAGCTAAACTTATGAGCCCATCCTTCGTGTGCGCACTGACTATCATTTCGAGTCTCTGGAAAAAGAGTCCAGACTCCAATCGTCTCTTATCCCTGCTGCTCAGCGAAAACTTCTGCAAACATTTAAATATCCCAAACTCCCGAGTCCTCAACCATGAAATCCTCACGCATCAGTTGCTTTACAGTCGGACAATATGGTTCAGCTAGTCGGCTCTCGCAGCGCGGCTGCCGTCGTTGTAGCATCGTTGCTCGGCGCCGTGTCAGCTATTAAGGGCACGCGAAACCTACCCTACTGCGCTTACGCATGTATGGACCTTGCCGGCGGTGTGAATTATGGCTGTACCGACTATTCAGGAAACAATTATGCCTTATGTCTCTGCTCTAACAAGCCGCTCCTCGGGAGTTTCGCTCTCTGTGCAGAACAGCATTGTCCTGATGAGGCCGAAAAGTCGTTTGCTTATGCTCCCAAGTACTGCAGTTTCAAGAGTGTCGACTTTGACTGGACTTATGATGAGGCGCTGCAGTACGGGAAAGACAACCTGAATGCCTCGGCAGATCTCTTCTCTTACGATCTAATGACTTCTACGGTTGAGTTCCCGGACGAGTCTTACCAGGGGTATCTGAAAACAGAGACTGCGTACTACGGAAACGACAAATTCGGAGAGATTTACGGGTACGTCTAAAATCATTTCCTCATTTTGATATGTCGAGTTGCTAACAGGTAGATTGTCTACAGTGGTGCCACGATGATCTTCTGGTTTGGGCTATGCTTCCTTGCCTGTATTCGCAACGTGTTTTACAAATTATTTCCCAAAGCAGCAACTAGGGCTTTCGCGCCAATTACAATGATTCGCAAATACCTCATTGTCCCTGCCTTATTCAATGGAGTACATACGGCACCCGCCCGATTTTTTGGAGTTGGCTACGCTCTTATCCCGTCGCGTGGAGAGACGCTTGCAGTCATCGGCTTCATGATTCTCAACACCGTCTTTCTGTTTGTCAATTACCGCCTCGACAACGACAATATATACTGGCCCGACGCCAAAAACATCCAGTTGTCGCGCTACCTTGCCGACCGTACAGGCATTATGTCTTTTGTTCAGATTCCTCCTCTGATCTTGTTTGGTGGTCGCAACAATTTCTTGATGTGGGCTACCGGCTGGTCGTATCAGTCGTTCATGGTTTATCATCGCTGGATTGCTCGCGTCATGTACATCAATGCTGTTTTGCATTCAGTTGGGTATACTGCCTACTCGCTTTTTTACGGCAAAGAGAATCTCTATGAATCCTTCCAGGAAGGATATTGGAATTGGGGTGTTGCGGTATGCTTGTGCCTCTTTCACAAATCTCTAATAACTTACAGATGCTAACATTTTCTTGACTTGACTAGGCTACAGTTATTGGTGGATTTATCATGCTACAAGCAATCTACACGTTGCGTCACAAATTTTACGAAACTTTCCTGATCATCCATATCGTCTTCGTGGCAGTATTCATCGTCGGGCTATGGTATCACTGCATCGACCTGGGCTGGATGGAATACCTCTACGCTTCGATTGCTATCTGGGGCTTCGATCGTATTGTCCGCGTCATTCGTGTGTTTATCATCGGCGGCCAACTTGACTGCCAAGCTCGAATGGTGGGCGACGTGATCATCCTCGATATCCGCGCCTCGGGTTATAGATGGAGCCCGGGTGCAGGGCAGTACTGCTACATCTACTTCCGCCGCTTCAATTTCTGGGAAAATCATCCGTTTTCGCTCTTAGAGCGAGTGGGTGATCGCTATATCTTTGTCGCGAAGGCGAAGCATGGAATGACCAAAAAGCTGGAGAAGTACGTCTCTGCTCGGCAGTCCGAGGCCATCAATCTGAAAGTCGGTGTCGAGGGCCCTTATGGCGAGAGATTCCCCGTTGATCCGTTTGGCACAGTTGTTCTCATTGCCGGAGGAATTGGTATATCAGCAATATACGGATACGCAAAGGAGCTCAAGCAAAACGCAGTTACTGGGCAACACATTATCCTGCACTGGGTCTGCCACGACGAGCAAACGACTACTGCTCTGACAGAGCAAATCCTCTCTCTGGCAGCCGATAAACATGTTGAAGTACACATTCACCTTTCAGTATCCAGAGCTGAGCTCGACGGCTCAAGCAGCAACTTTGAAAGCGACAAAGACGAAAAAATCGCATCCGACTCAGGTCACTCTGCAAACTCACTTGCACCCTTCACGACAATCGGGCGTCCGGATATGTACGGCCTGATTTCTGACGGAGTTCATAACGCGGACTCCTCGGTAGCGGTGGTGGTGTGTGGACCTTTGTCTATGAACGATGATTGCCGCGCGGCGACAGCTAGTTTGCTGGATGCGAAGGGAAGTCAGAGGGTTGAGTATTTTGAGGAATCGTTTTCGTGGGCTTAGTCTGGGTAGTAATTTCTGGCGGTGTTATTGTTTTGAGATGTCACGGTCTATTTTTGTATCAGAGTTAATAATAACATAGAAATACAAGAAATTGTTATAGTTACATTGAGGATGGCTGTTCTCATCTAGTTTTTCGCGTCATTCTGGTAGGTTTTGAGAATTACTCCAGGCAAACCGTTTACCATCTGTCATATATCACTTAAAAAGTACTTCAGTCCATGTCGTCTAAAACCTATAACTTTACCAAAGCGCCCACAAAAGTCACAGTAGCTACAGTATTGAGATTTTTACCTCTTTCCATCTAGGTGTCGGGGATATCTGTGAAATTATATCTGTAGGGTTTAACTACCTGTCTGCGAATACAGCTTGGTATTATATGATGTTTTTTCGTCGCAATCGTTAAGAAGTAACCGTTCGTGAATAAAATATATGAGCCATAAAGGCTGCAGATTTATTTGAGAAAACTGGATATACTGCGATTTGTATTCGCATATTCAATGCCTTCGTCCACAATAAAAGCACAAAAATAATGCATACTCTAGGATCATAGAGTTTAGGTTTATAAGGGGCAGCAAAAATTTTTAATTAAAAATTGGCGTTAGTGGTTTAGCGGTAAAATTCGTCGTTGCCATCGACGAGCCCCCGGTTCGACTCCGGGCTGACGCAATTTTCTTTTTGCATCTTTTTTTTTTGCGTATTAGATTATACAGATCACGCTGATTGATTTATATAAATGTCAAAAGTAGAGCAGCCGAAATATCATCTATTCTCCAAAGCAAATTATAGTACAGCATCCACCTCCAACACCTAAATATCGTAACTTCACATCCCTAAGCCCAGCACTATAGAATACAAAAACGCCGGTCCCAGCATACATTGCACTCACTAACTCGTGACTGCTTCATCAAAAGCCTGTTTCGCCTTCTTTGCGTACTCGATTTCTTGAGGTCCATACTCGAGAGGCCTGTTTGAGTAGATGACGATCGGGGACTTGTTGCCGGGAAAACTGAGGACTACCCAGGAAGATGTAGTCCTCACCACAAGGGTCTCGATTCCTTTGAAGAGAGAACACTGGATAAGGGATGTTAGAAGGATAGTTTAGATAGTAATTCACGAGCATGCTGACCTTGAAGTTCTGAAGTATTATGACATCACCAACATTGATCTCCCCACTTCGATGACGGCCGTGAATGACAACCTGAGCAGCTGCTTTCGGTTCGCCCAATATTGACGAGTCCATGAGTTTAAGCGTCAGCTTTGAAGAGCTATCTTCATCATCAGAATATTCGGATGGGGTTGGCAAAGATACGCCGGTGATCACAGCGATGATGTGGAAGGAATATCCAACGCGCAGTTCGGAAAGTTGAGTGTAAGATCGGTACTATATGTAAATCGCACAAGTCAGTATGCAGCCGCATTATCGAAATTACCATGAGCTATTCAACTTACATCCGTTGCAAATTCACCATCATTCGAATTCTCGTCCGTCGATTCTTCATCATCCTCGGCGTTCGTCGCAGCTTCGGCCAACTTCTCCAAGTCTAGAAGACGTTTTTCTTCCTTATCGTCGATCATTTCCTCATCCTCATCTTCGTCCTCTGCTTCCTTCTCAGCCGAATCGTCGTCTTTGTCAGTTATCACTTGACTGGCGGCAATGACTTGCTTCTCCAGATCCCGAAGACGAGCCACTTCTGGATCTTCGTCGTTTTCCGATACCAGACTTTCGCTGTCATCATCTTCATCTTGTGTTTCTTCAACAGATGAAGCTTTGGCTGTATCTGTTCGTGAAGTCTCGCTGGATTCAGTTAGAACGAGTGGTACCTCTTTGCTTTGACCGAGGATAATCCTCTCGGCCTCAGCCCACTCTGGAGCGTTGTCATCAATCTCGTCCTCACTCTCCTCCTCAACTTCTGGTTCATTGTCATCGTCACCAGTCTTCTTGTCTGTCTTGCTTTGGCCATGAATAATTCTTTCGGCCTCCGCCCACTCTGGCGCGTTGTCATCAATCTCGTCTTCAGTATCGACCTCAACTTCTGATTCATTGTCATCGTCACCAGTCTTCTCGTCTGTCTTGCTTTGGCCGTGGATAATCCTTTCAGCCTCTGCCCACTCTGGCGCGTTGTCATCAATCTCGTCTTCAGTATCGACCTCAACTTCTGATTCATTGTCATTGTCACCAGTCTTCTCGTCTGTCTTGCTTTGGCCGTGGATAATCCTTTCGGCCTCCGCCCACTCTGGCGCGTTGTCATCAATATCCTCGTCTTCCTGTTCACCAGTCTCCTCATCAGCCAAAACTGCCTCAACGGCTTGAGAGCTAATAGAGACCTGTTCCGTCTTCTCTTGGGTCAATTGCTCGTCTGCAGTGACAGCAGTACCACCTGCTTTCTTCCTCTGTAGCAAAATCCGTTCAGCCTCAGCCCACTCCGGAGCGGTATCACTGATCTCCTCTTCGTCCGATACCTCACTTCCCTCCACATCCAAGATTTCAATTGAGGCTGCATTAGCCTTGGAGATTTCCAACTCCTTAGGGTTTTGGCTTCTTTCTGCGTTCTCAGCCAGTTCGGGAGCGACATCGCCAGCTTCGTCATCGCCGTGCTCTTCTTCCTCGGCTTTGTCAGACTCGACAACCTCAACATCCTCTTCTTCGTCAACAATCAAGACAGCGCTCTCAGGCCCGGCCCCTGTTTGAGAAGACACCACGCTACTTTCAACGATATGTGTCGTTACAGACACCTCAATCTCCTCAGATTTCTCCGAGTCAGATGATTCTACCTGCACGCTTTGCTCCTCTGGAACTGCCGGAGACCAATTCATCTTCTCAGTGTCGGACTCTGGTTCTGAGGAGTATGCTCTCTGAGACGCATACTCAGCGTCGGACTCAACCTCATCAACATCCATCCTGTCTTGCGATTCTTCCCTACTCAAATTATCTGGCTGAGATAACGCCCGAACAGATTCTTCTGCGATTGTGAATGTCGAGACCTCACTGTTCTTCGCAGACTTCTCTGGAGGCGTCTCGTCAATCTGCTGACTATCATTCTCTGAAATAAGCCGCTCAATAACCTCGTATGAAGAACTGGCCAGAATCTCGACGTTGTCGGACGGCTCGGGTTGGCTTATTTCCATGCGCGTCTCAGACACTTGGGTGAAGTTGACCGACTGATCATAGGAAGTTGAGCCCTGTTCATACTTCTTGGCTGTTCCTGATAGCTGTCTTGATTCTTCATCCAAAAACTCCAAAGTCTTTTCTATACTCTGCATAGCCGATAGGTTTTCCATACCACCAGAATCAGCATCATCGACGATCCGAGTTGAGTCGATTTCCACGTATTCAGAATTAACTTCGACAACCATGTCGCCCGCCTGGAACTCTTGCGTATCTGGCTCAGACCCAGGAAGCTGAGTCGCGAAATTCTCGGGTGAATCCGCTTCCTCCTGTAGACTCTCGGCCGGTGCCCCACCGAACGAGACAGAAAGTTGTTCATTATCGTTAACGAGAAGCTGGCTCGTGCTGATAGAGACACGCTCATCGACTAGTACAGTTGTATCAAGAACTTCCTCAGATTCAACATATACCACTGACTCCCGATCAATAATAATAACGAATTCCGTTTCAAGAGGCACGTAGCTCAAAACATCGTCGACAGGCATCTCGATCAAAGGCCCATCGTCCTCGTCATATTCAATGACGATGTCTGCATCATCTGCCGGTTCAATCAAAGGAAATAGCGACGGATCAATCTCAAGATCATCTTCTTCAAAATCGAGACTCGGACTGTGTACAATCTCGACAAGGGGTGTATTTGCTATCGCACTCTCCTCTTCGTCAAATACTTCAATAACTACCCCAACTGTATCAGAGTGATCGTCAGAATCATCGGCATATACCACCAACTTCTGATCGATGATGATGACCATCTCTTCTGTCGGCCTGAGCGATGCGCTAGTCTCATCATCGGGCGGGGCCTCAATCAAAGGGCCGTCGTCCTCATCATATGCTTCAGCTATATCGGACTCATGCGCAGGATCAATCGAGGGAAACAGTGAAGGATCAAGCTCATCATCATCCATGTCATCATTGACCGCTGGAGTATGTACAATCTCGACCAGTGGGGTATTCATCGAGATATCAGCGGGGGCCCCATCTTCATGACGAACCTCAACAACATCAGGATGATTTGCTCCGCTAGATCCAGTTTGTTGGACGTCAAAAGAATCGAGCTCATCGTTACCAGGTCTTTCCGGGATGTTGGTTTCATCTGGGACTTCTTCCAATTCCACATGATGAATAGACGACTCCTGCTGCGAGTCAATTGCCTGAGTGGTCGCAAGCGACGGCTGTGAATCGGTGGCGGCAGAAATTTGAGACTGATTGAATCCAGATGGATATATAGCTTCAAGAGGTTTTCTCTGGTCATTGCCTTCCAAGTTAAAAGCCGGAGCCGGCCCAGCGACACCCGACATCTGGACATCAGCAGGCTCCGACTGTGAAATCATGGCTGAAGCCAAGGGAGTCACATCTTCGGAAGGGAAAGCAAGCATGTTTTCGTTGTCATCCGGCTCTATGCTGGATTCAATAGCAATATGAGGGGCTTCCTCTTCCTCGGGCAAAACAGTACTTTCCACCTGTTCCAGTGCATGCTCAGGATCTCTGGAAATCTCAGTAGATGGCATCGCTGCCGATTCAAACGCCAGTGTTCCAGCCGACGCATAATCGCCCAATTGATCGCGACTCTCATCGGCACTGCCGAGCTGGGTAACAGCTGAGCTTTCGACTCCTGTTTTTGAGGACGAGTTGGAGATCTTCTCTCGCAAGATTTCGTTGTAAAGGTTTGACTGGGCGGCCATCAAGTTATCGGTTTCTCGATCTCTCTGGTCTTCGATGTTGTTGCCCAACGAAGACTCGGCATCCGCGAAGCTTCCAACCTGGGTCGCAACGCTGACATCGTCTATGATCCCAGCTGCCTCTCTCGTCGGTTGCTGTGCAGCATGACTGGCGATCTCAACCGCATTCGATTTTCTGCGCATGAGATCTCTATATAGCTCATTTTCATCACGCAGCAGCTTGGTATCAGGTGGCCCGGCCGGCAGGTGAGTGTTGTTCACATCGACCGAATGAGCCGCTTCAGATGCAGCTGCTGAGCCAAAGAAATTAGTGGGCGACTGAGATGGCGCATCTCCGATTGTGGGTTCTCCAATAGTTTCAGGCGCCGGAGCAGTGGGTGACACGCTCTCATTAGGCCAAACTGAATCTTGCAGTTCTCTTTCACTGGCAGCTAAGTTGGACCCATCGTCAAACACGTAATCAGAAGAGCTTCTGCTGTGTTTCGATCTCTTTGGAAGAGGTCCAGAAAGCTCGTCCTCGAACTCAAACATGGCACCGGAAGTGAAAGAATCGTCCGGAGCAGGTTCCAGAGGCCGCCTAAGTACTATTGGTGGGGTAAACCACGTGTTCGAGGCATCTGCGAGCGATTCAGCTGGTCGTTTCGCTGGAGTCATAGATGATCTATTTGAATTGATTATCTCGGGTTCCATGGACTCATGGTTGGAATCTGACTCGTCTGGATCAGGCTCGTCTTGTAAGTCTGGAGAGATCGATAAAAGGGTCGAATCGGCTAGATCCATCTCGGGATCTGCGGTAGCAACGGTAATTTCTGAATCATTCACCTGTGCCAAAGAAATGTTAGATTTATAAAGACAGTAAGTAATACTGATTGAAGCTGACCTGTAGCATAACCGAGTTCTCCCAAACACAACCCCAATCAGAATCCGCATCACTCTTATTGGCATCTTCATTTCTGTACACCTTCGCCGCCCTTAGCGCAATTTTGACAGTATTTCCAATCTGCAACTGTTTCTCAAGATTTTTTCCCAAGCTCTTCCCTCGGAACGTAAGCTTCATTTCACCCTTATTTATCCGCTCCAAAATATCGCTATCAGAAAGCAGAACCGAGAATTCATGACTAGAAGACGAATACGGCCAAAACAATGACACGACTCCCGTGACGTACGAAGACTGTAGATCTGTACTCTCGGAGACACTGGATATCGCCACATATTGCAGGTCCTCGAAGGACTTTGGAAACTCCGGCTCAATGGCAGCGACGGCTATGCCTTCTTCGGCCATCTCGACGAACTCGCCCGGGTCGGTGTAACAGCTAGACGGGGCTTCTTTTGGACGACAAATTATTGACTCAACTCTGACTATAGTACCAGATCAGCTTGAGTCACAGTCAACGGCACATCCTTCATTGTATCTCCCTTGAATAACCATACCAGACGCGTAGGGCTGGAACTGATCATGGAAACACACAACGAGAGACGAAACCAGTCTGATGCCGCAATTCCACCAGATCAATCAAGAAAATCAAACCACCAAGTACTCACAGCTAAATATATTAATCGACTCGTAAAACAGAAACGTCCAAGATCGTGTGGTTTGGCAACAGTTAAATCAAGAATCAACAAGACAGAGCCGCCGAACCCGCAGACGTCATATACATCATATCGTAGTGGGACATGGCGATAAAACCCTATCCTGCTGCCTTGCTATGGCTCCTTCCAAAGCGCACACCCTACAAGATGGAAGCACATTTTTACAAATATCTCAATCAATCCAGCTTTTAGCCTATAACTAACTACTGCATCTACTTTGTAATAATAGCCGGATCCTAATATTATAAACAGAATAACAAATATCCGCAATGTATGAGGGTTGGGGTCATGTACTCTATATTGGACCAGGCGCTCTTATTAAAGTTAGTAGCTTGATTAGTGTAGTGGTATCATGTATCTTTCCCAAGGATGCGACACGGGTTCGATTCCCGTATCAAGCAACTGATTTTTTGCTTCTACTGCCTCTGTTTTTTTTGCTTGATGGTTTTTATGCTTGAATTCTCTCTCTAGGAGAATGTACAGTATTTTATATCTGCATGAGATGATTTATCTGTGTGGAAACTACTAGATCAGCTTGCGTATCTCGATCCGGTCCAGATGCGTGTATGTTAGATCATATATATTTATAGAACTGAACTGGTAAGAAAGAAAAAAGATTAAAAGGCCACAGACAAGAATAACAAGTTATTTCGGATACATAATAGACTGTGACAATATAAAAACAAAAGATATCGCTAAACAAAGGATAATCTACTCCAGCTACTTTGTAGACTTTCCTGGGGGGTAATAGATAAAATCAAAACACAACTAGAATCAAACAACGCACAATTATCAATACATAAGAAGTAACCATAGCTTACTGCTCCTCCTCCAAAGGCAGCTCGTCGTCGTACTCGATCTCCTCATCGGAGGCAGTGGCCTCCTGGTACTGCTGGTACTCGCTAACCAAGTCGTTCATGTTCGACTCAGCCTCAGTGAACTCCATCTCGTCCATACCCTCACCAGTATACCAGTGAATGAAAGCCTTTCTGCGGAACATAGCAGCGAACTGGTCACCAATACGCTTGAACAGCTCCTGGATCGAAGTCGAGTTTCCGACGAAGGTAGCAGACATCTTGAGACCCTTGGGAGGAATGGCGCAAAGAGCGGTTTGAACGTTGTTGGGGATCCACTCAACGACTAGATTTGATAGGTTAGATATTTGAACTAGCAAGATGCAATACACAATAAAATCACTTACAGTAGGCCGAGTTGTTGTTCTGGACGTTTCTCATGTTGTCCTCAACCTCCTTGATCGAGACCTTTCCACGGAAGAAAGCACCAACGGTAAGGTATCGTCCGTGGCGGGGATCAGCACCAGCCATCATGTTCTTCGAGTCAAACATCTGCTGAGTGAGCTCAGGAACAGTGAGCGAGCGGAAAGAGTACGAGCCCTAAATTCGGTTAATTTTGACGCATCCTAATAGTGCATATAACTAATGAGTGGTACTTACAACCGAAGTCAAAGGCGCGAATCCAACCATGAAGAAGTGAAGTCGAGGGAAAGGAACCATGTTGACAGCGAGCTTTCGGAGGTCGCCTAGATCATTGTTAGTACATGGAAAAGTCTGCAATATCAAAAAAGGCAACACATACTGTTCAGCTCTCCAGGGAATCGGAGAGAGGTGGTGATTCCAGACATGACAGCAGAAACGAGATGGTTAAGATCACCGTACGAAGGCTCAGTGAGCTTGAGAGTACGCGAGCAGATATCGTACAAAGCCTTTTGGATTGTTAGTACCGGGAACTGCAAATAAACGCAAAAGCTATCTTACCTCGTTGTCAATGCAGAAAGTCTCGTCCGAGTTCTCGACAAGCTGGTGAACAGAGAGAGTAGCATTGTAAGGCTCAACAATCTATTTTACGAATCAGTTAGAAAAAGTTGAGTAGATTGAATAAATATGGATTGAATGGTGGAAACGTACAGTGTCGGAAACCTTGGGGGAGGGAACGACGGAGAAAGTGGCCATCATGCGGTCAGGGAACTCTTCTCTGATCTTGGAGATCAAGAGGGTTCCCATACCGGCACCGGTACCACCACCCAGAGAGTGGGTGATCTGGAATCCCTGAAGGCAGTCGCAGCCCTCAGCCTCTCGCCGAACGACGTCGAGAACTGAATCGACCAGCTCGGCACCTTCGGTGTAGTGACCCTTGGCCCAGTTGTTACCGGCACCGGACTGTCCGAAGATGAAGTTGTCGGGTCTGAAGAGGTTGCCAAAGGGACCACTGCGGACGGCATCCATGGTACCAGGCTCGAGATCGACAAGGACAGCACGAGGGACGTACTTTCCACCGGTGGCCTGCGCGTTGTTGTGGTGAGGTTAGAAGTGAGGATTGTGAGGCAGCGAATAAGATAAGAGGCACACCTCGTTGAAGTAAACGTTCATGCGCTCAAGCTGAAGGTCGCTGGTGCCGTGGTAGCTGTGGGGGATGTTAGATGGGATGGCAAAACAGAAGAAAACAATCGGGATCACACGTACGCTCCGGAACCATCGATACCGTGCTCACCGCAGATAGTTTGCCTAGCGAGAAAAGAGAGAGTTTAGTATGAGAACAGTAGAGACGGTTGAGTGGTATTGGATGGAGTGATTACCAGAAAGCGGCACCCTAACGCGAAAAAATTTGATGTTAGCTGGATGAGATCTTGAAGAAGAGAAAAGGCGGCAGGAGGAGCAGCGGGACGCCAAGCGAGGTAGAGGAGGGAAGGAGGTACGTACAATCTGGTTTCCACATTGACCGGCGGATAAGTGGATCTAAGAAAAAAGAAGAGAGAAGGTCAGTAATGAGTCAAGAACAAGACAATAAAAACAGATGCCCGTGTTGTAGGGGGACGCGACAGGAGCGGGAGAGGAAAACACGAGGTGCAAAAGGAGGAGACGCGTCATACAATTTCTCTCATTGCTGAAGGGTGCAATCAAAGGATCGAGAACAGATAGACTGAAGACAGAGAAGAGGAAGAAGAAGTAGAATAGCTCTGCTGGCAAGTGCTCGGGGATGGGATGCGAGAGGAAGCAGGTGGGAGAAAGAGGCGAAAGAGGAGAAGCCGGCGCGGCGAGCAAAGGGGCTCTTTCTGTTTTGTTGTGGTTTGTTTACTTTCGCGTTTCCCGGTTACCCGGCTGTTTACTAAACCTTAATTCACCTTCTCTTCACTTTAACTCCTTCCATTAACTAGAACTACACTCTCATCTTCAACTATCGACTACTCCCTCATGTCTGCTGGGGCGACTCCTCGTCCTCGCTCATGTCCCCTCCAACCTCCCGACACCACTTGTAAACCTGCGCACGGCATCGGTCCGCCCGCAGCAACCCCGCCCGGATCTTGTACAGCGACCGGATAAACTCCTCTCCTCGCTGGGCCGCAATCTGCGCAAGCTGTCTCGTCTCCTGCGCGACGTCCGGCGGAAACCCAAAGTCACGGTCGATCTCCAGTCTCGGCAGTGCAAAGAAGGGTTCGATCTCGTTAGTGGTCTGGTTCCGCGTTATACGCCGGGTCTGCGCATGTCCGGCGTCATCCGCGTCGCTACCCTCCTCTTGCCCGTCCACAGGAAGGCCATTCCCGTTTATCCCATTCTCTGTATCCTCTGCTTTAATTGCACTCTCGGATTTACTACTGTATCCGTTCAGTTTTGTGCTCCCGTCTTCACCCGCAGCCTTGTCTGCGCTCGTATCGCTCGTAGGCGGCTTATCACCTTCTCCATCGTGATCATACAATTCTGGTAGATGCAGGTTCCCGTCGCGGATATAAGTGGGGTTGTCCCCGAGAAACGCCGCTAGTAGTCGGTTTAGTTGCGATACCTGCTTCTGTTCAGTGCAGATCAGGTCCAGAGCACGTCGTGCCAGTGTCGAGATCGTAGTCCGGGTGTAAGCTTTCGAGAGACCAGGGTGTCCCGGTAGCTCTGACGGATGGCCGATAGGTGACAGGATAGCTATTCGATACGTCAGACAAGCTCCACTCGATAATGTCGGTTAAACAGCTCACCTTCCAAATCTATGCCAGCGTATGGGTCATCGTCTTCGTCGACCTCCTCATCCTCGTCGTCGCCATACTCCTCGTCAGAGTCACTATCAGCTGCGCGCTTGTGGGTCGACAGAAGACGAATCACTTGTCTGCGCTTGTTTGCATATTCAACAGCCTGTTTCCAAACACAAACGTCAGCTACAAGCCTGGCATACAAATATCCCACCTTCTCAACTCACCTCTGTTTGTAGTCCCGCCCCGTAAGCCATGCCCAGACGACCCTCGTGCACCGTCCGTGCCTTGCGCTTGAGTTTTCGCCCACGATTCGAGGTAGAAGCGCCTATTGACTCCTCAGAGTCAGAAGCTACATCGCATATAAGTCAGTTCCGGTCTCTGATGCTCGGAAAAAAGAGAGCTCGTGAATCGAAGTAACTTACCATCCTCACGGCGCTCCAAAGCTGCCTTGAATCGCCTATCAAGTTGAAACAGAAGACCGCGGTTAGCACTAGCACTGAGGCACAGAAAACAGCTCTCTCAGTATTCTCACATTATTTCATCGATAACATTTTGATCCACCATTTTGGCCTGTCGTAAATCTCTGGACTGTCGAAACTGGCAAGTCACAGGTTTACCGTCGAAACTGCAGACCGGCCCCCGGCAAGTCGATCAAGGCGAAAACACCTAACCTGGCACTGAGCCGCACGGCACCCAGCTTAGTCATTTTATCAAGATTGATTACTCAGCTACCCGGCTCTCTGTTCGATTCTTCCGGTTCTCTGCCTGAAAGCTGCGCGCGTCGCGAGGTGGATTAACTTGACCGCAGCGCTATTCAGCATCTCAGAAGCTACACATTTGTCAATACGATTGCAGAAGGTTTTGTACAGACTACTGCTACCCGGGGTCTATTTCCAGCATTTATATTGAGGTCTCCTAGTATGGTCGCTTCGCCATAGCAGTCTCATTCAACATTTGTGGCTTTTGTCAGACATATCCGATACCTGATCTATCTCGATTCTGCCCAGATTTCTTCTCATTCTTCGACTCAACCAACAAATTCTGTTCCCTTCCGCAATCCTCGATATTCCCATTAATCGACCCTCAAAATGGATCTCTACCCAGTCGAATACATGTGCCACAATGTGCCATTGATGGCTCTCAGCGGTCTGACAACTTCTCGCATAGCCGAGCGTCTGCTTCTCAATTCCTCAGACTCTGACACGCCGGCTTCTATCGATCCAGAGTTTCCGTACGCTGCAGAGATCTTCAAAGCGTTCATGGACGACTCCATGGGTAAGATTTGGGAGCCAAGTGCTGTCAAATCAAATGCGAAGCCGCAACCAATGTTCCGTGTAATAGCTGTTGATAAAGTGAGCTGCCCCTGTATCCCAAGCTCTAAAAACTATGGCGGATTCAAAACGTGCTAACTCGTTTACTGTGTAACAGAATTACCAGCTCCCACTCAAAAAAGCCTCACCGATGTCTCCAGGCTCGATCTCGTCCGTTTCGTCTGGCCCAAAGTCGACAGAGCTACACTCTCCATTGTCTCCTCTCTCGCCAGAATCGCCTATATACCCCGACGGCATTATCTCACAATTTTGGCTTCGGAAATACCGGAATGCCCTGCCTGCGGTCTATGTCGGATTCTATGAACTATACACAGAAAGCGAGGACGTCAAGACGAAAGTCAATAGTGACGGAGAGCTCATTAAAGAATTGAACGAGCTCAAGAAGTACTTTGCGGAACGCAACGTCAAATTCACTGCCGTCATCGTGAGCAGGAAGTCTATTTTGCAAAGCGTGGATCTGAATGATCGGATATCATATCTCCGGAAAAGTACTGGACTAGATGCGCGATCCGGCCTCTGTTTTATTCCTCCGAGCTCATACGTGGAGACGCAAGTATTTGCCAAAGAGTAAGAAGTCAATCAAGGAACTTCAAGAAGGAGAGTCGGACTAACGCAAATTATAGATTGAAAGCAGCACTGTATCCCACCGCACTTGATTTTTACGGCTCCCTGCTAAAGCACGCGAGGAAGAAACGCGGGCATAACGCATCGCCGCCCTCATCATTGTCTCCAACGCAAGTCCTCTCTCCATTAGGCTGGGAAGTCCGATATGAATTCAAGCAGGCCGTCTTTGCGGAATACAGGCAGGACATGGATCTTGCTATAAAGCTTTATGGAATAGCGTACGAGTCGCTTCTCGAATATTTCGAAACATTGCCGACTGATAGTACCCGCTGGAACGAGGCAAGAGTGATTTTGGATACCGTTGCCTTCAAGGTATGAGTCGCCTTTTCCATTTGATTTATCGTTGCAAATATACTGACAGTGGCTTACTTGTCATAGATCCTAAAATGCAATCTCTACTTGAATCAGCCGGTTATGGCACAGAAAGTTTTCAATGTGCACATGCAGAGCATTGAGGGCCTGGTTGAGAAGACATTTGGTACGACTGAGTCATACAGTTTTTACTGTTGGAAAGCTCTGCAGTATCAGGTCCTAGCTCAGTTGCTCGATTTGGTACCAGAGACAATATCTCCGAGATCGATCCCGTTCGTCGGAGTCGAGACAGAGATAGTAGGCCCAGACTTTCCTCCCTCAAACCTGCTGCATCATGCTGGCTACCAGTATCTCAACGCCGCCAAGCTGACTGAGAAGCGGAAAGCAAAGAGCGGGGAGGTAACGACTGGTGCTCATGATACGTACATGAATCTGCCTCCAGACCGTGAGCTGAACTTTGACCACAACAGTTTGATTCTGAGTTTCCTCGAAAGCGCCTATTCCAGATTCGACAAAAGTGACGGCATCCAGACGCGGATGCAGGCTTATATCGCGCATGAGATTGCGCGTCTGCACTTTTCAGGCAAAAGATTCGCAGATGCGCTCAAGTATTTCCATCTTGCTGAAGGGCTGTACCGTAAAGAGCGGTGGTACGACATTCTTGGCTACATTCTCGGAGACGCCATATATGCTGCCGAGCAAGCTGGGAATAAGGAGGAGCTGGTACGGGTGCAGTTTGAGTTTATGAGTCGAGATCTACAGCCGTGGAACGATAGTGCTGTGGGGATTTCGCGGTTCATTTCTGAATCGGACCAAACGCTTGATGGAAGCATTTTGGACTATGTTGTTAGCTCAGAGAATGTCGTTTGCTTCCGTGAGTCCAGTATTCTTCTTCCTTTTCTCTGTCTGCTTCTGTGACTAACATGAGTTATAGTTGATGCCAATTTTGCATTCATGGCCCCCGAAATTCATGTCTCGTCCACTATCGGTGGACAACTGACCATCCACTCGAAACAGATTGCTTCGGTCGGGAACGTGGTCCCGACTGAGATACAAATCAACTTCAGCGGCTCAATCAAGCCAGTTGTCATCAGGCACGATCCCTCCGCACAGTCTTCTAGAGTGCAAAAACTCGATCTGCAAGACGACGGCGAAGTACAGTCGGCGTCGGCGTCGCTGGAATTCGGACCGGATGAGATGAAAACTTTTGAGATTTCGCAGTCGTTCAAGAAAGTCGAGTCCGTGTCTGGATCCTCAGTTTTGACTACGTTTGCTGAAAAAACGTTTGTTTTGAAAGTGGCGATCGATCTCGAGACTTCGGAACCAGATGATACTCTGGCGCGGTGGTTTGTGGTTGGTATGTGGTCGTCGATCGTATCTAGCTCTTGGTCGTGTGGTTTGCTAACTGGATGAGTAGAAGATGGAAAGCTCGTATCCCAAAGATTGACAGCTTTGAATCCGCGAACGTTGACGTATGTCTTCGAGTCATGTCCTTCACGGCTTTAGTTCCTATTACTAACTCTCTATAGTGTCAAACCCAAGCCTCCCCGACTAGATATAACCTCAAATGTGAAGGGACCAGCTTACATCGACGAAAAGATCTTGCTTCCACTGACAGTCAAAGCCAAAGAAGCCGAGGACATCAAAATGACAATGTCCGCAAAAGTCACAAACGTGGAAGGCCAGATGGAAGTGAAAGGAACCTGGTCGGGAACCGAGGACAGCACTATAGACCTAGGTGTCACCAGCCCGGATTCGGAGCCAATCGTGAAAGACTTTGCGCTCCGAATGCCGGCCGAAAGCTGTGATTTGGTGATGGTGGTCACGGTGAAGTACCAGCTTCTATCGGATCCAAATATTGACATAATCAAGACTCATGTGGTTGACATTCCAGTGATCTTCCCGTTCCAGGTTTCGTATGATCTCACGCCGCAGATATACCCGAACAAATGGCCCAGTCCGTTTTTCATCTACGATCTGCAATCGCACAATCCTCCAATCACAAAACGATGGCGTCTGGCGGCGACGATCGATGCGGTCGATATGCACAATCTCGAGATTGAGGATTACGAGTTCAAGATATCGAATACGACGGGCGTTGATGTGAAACTGCTTGACGGGCCGAAGGAGTTGTCGCGCGGTCCGGCGGCTTCGGATGCCTATACGCACGCATTTGTGCTCGACGTTACGAATAACGATGCCGTTGAGCGACGAGTGGCGAATGCAGACGCCCGCCTGTCTTTGAAGTGGAGACGAAAAGCTGCCGTCAAAGACGAGACTACAGACGGTTTCAACATTTTCAACCTACCAGTCTTGAAACTGACATTCCCTCTCCTGGAACCACGAGTTCTTCTCGACCTCGAGTCCACTTCATCCGAGCTAGTACATCTGGTTTACTACATTGAAAACGCGACAAGCCATATCCTAACCTTCTCAGTCACGCTCGACCTAAACACCGACATGTCGCTCTCCTACCCGCTCCGCCACCAACTCCGCCAGCAGTCCTTCTCCAAAAACCCCGCGGGCGCAACCCGCATCGGCAACAGACCCTCCCACGACGATGAATCCGAAGGCCGGCTGAGCACGTCGCGCGAGAAAGCCGCGCCGCTGCAGCAACACTCGAACTTCAACTACGAAGGCGCAAAGCAAGTCGGCGTCCGCGTCCTTCCTTCCTCATCCCGTCGCCTGGACTATGACCTGTTGCCGCTAGCGGTCACATCCGGCTGGCAAAAAGTGCCGGCGTTGAGGGTGTATGATACGCATTTCAAGAAAACGCTGAGCGTGTTTCCCGCGAGCGATAAGTTCCGTATCGATTTCAAGACTGGTGCGGTTTATGTCAATATCTCGTCGTCGCCCACGGATGAGCTGGCGGAAAAACCGGCGGCGGGTTCAGGAGATTTGTAGTGATATACATGCATGGTCATGAGCTTTTTCTTTTATATTCCTTGGATTGCATTTGAATTATATTGTACTGTTTTATTATACGATTCTCGGGCAATCTAATAGTGCAGCTGGGACTAAAGAAATTCATGTATTAAAATTATTTATACCACTTCTACAAGCCGATAGGCGGCCACCGATATAAGCAAGCAATGTAAAGCCAAAATCAGAAGACTTCCAAATTTTCAGCACTTAGTAAGCCTCTCCCTTCTCGTGCTTGGAGCGACCGTACTTCTTCAAGCGGATGGCCTGGACGGCGATGAATCCGGAGGCGTCGGTAGGCTCAAAGTCACCGATCTCATCCATCGAACTCTCGCTGGCGTCGTAGAGCTTCTCGGTCTCGGACGAGCGGCCGAGGACGATGAAGTTGCCCTTGTAGACGGCGCATCGGACCTGGCCGTTGACGTTCTTCTGCGAAGGCGCAATCATCGAACGAACGTACTCGCACTCGGGGGTGAAGTACATGCCGTTGTAGAGCTGTTTGGAGAAAGTGGTGGTGACGAACTGATCACGGATAGCGCGGACCTCACGGTCGAGGACAAGGCCCTCGAGATCGATGTGAGCCGAGCGCAAGATGGTGAGACCGGGAGTCTCGTAGCAGCCACGGGACTTGAGACCGATGAAGCGGTTCTCGACAATGTCGATACGGCCGACACCGTTGCGGCGGGCGATGGCGTTGGCGGTGAGGAAGAGGTCGACGGGGTCGGTGGCCTCCTTGCCGTTCTCGTAGATGAGCTTGACGGGGATACCCTTCTCAAAGATGAGAGTGAACTCCTCCGGCTTGTCGGGGGCGTCCTGGGGGTCGACAGTGAGCTTCCACATGTCCTTGGGGGGAGTGGTGTTGGGGTCCTCGAGAATACCAGCCTCAAATGAGATATGGGCCAAGTTCTCGTCGGTACTCCAGGGCTTAGCAGCAGTCTGCTGGACGGGGATACCCTTCTCGGCGGCGTAGGCAAGAAGAGCAGAGCGACCGGCGAATCGGTTGAAGAACTCGGGCAGACGCCATGGGGTGATGCACTTGATGTTGGGCTGGAGAGCGTAGAACGAAAGCTCGAATCGAACCTGATCGTTGCCCTTTCCGGTGCAGCCGTGGGTGACAGCAAAGCAGCCCTCCTCCTCGGCAACCTTGATCTGGGCACGAGCAATGATAGGACGAGCGAGCGAGGTTCCGAGAAGGTAGACGTTCTCGTAGATAGCGTTGGTCTGGATGGCAGGGAAGCTGTGAAACAGTCAGGACTCTGGTACTAATCAACAACACCGACTGATAAAAAGATCACCTACCAAAGCTCCTCAATGAATTCCCGGCGGACGTCAACCAAGACGTACTTGGTGGCACCGATCTTCAAAGCCTTAGCACGAGCGGCCTCGAAGTCCTCCTCTATAATCATCATATTAGCACGGATCCCGAGCCCCTTATCACCACGCACAATTCCAACACAATTGAAATCCATCAAACTGGTTCAAACGTACCCTGGCCAATGTCGGCCATGAAGGCAATAACTTCGTATCCCTGCTCGAGAAGCCAAGCAAGGATGACGGAGGTGTCGAGACCACCCGAGTATGCGAGACAGACTTTTCCTTTAGAACCAGCCATTGTTTGTGTAGATGATCTGATTGAAAGAACAGGCAAGTTAGCAAGATGCAACGTAAATCTACACGATTACAGCAGATATATCTCTCGAATCTGTGCACTTACTTGTTTGACAGTGATGAGCCAAGTGATCAGTGGTGGAGAGAGCCAATTATCATTTGAAGCCCGAATTTTTTTCTTTTAGATGAGTCAAAACCTTAACCGGGTCCTTAAATTGCTGATGTCATTATTTAGTCATTGATGTTGGGTTAGGGCGGATATCCGGCCCGACGGGAACAATAGCGAGAAGGACAAGTCTTATGACTATTGTGGAGGCCGTCTGATACGGAGATGGTAGGGATCAGACAGAATAAGAGTATTAGTTGCGAATATCAGTGCAGGAGCTAGTCAATTGAGATATCAACAGGCACAAATGCAGCAGCTCAGCAAGTTCACCGCCTTCCTGGTCTGCACCCTGTGCACCATCCTCTACGTCGGCGTGCTCTACATCCACCCCAACAGCAGACCGAGCGCGACCGTTTCTCGGAATGATGCGACAGTTATCAAGTACCGGGTGATTGCGATTACGATCAGCACATATGTCACCGCAGTCTTCACGACGTGGATCTTGAACGAATGGCGGGTATCGCTCAATCCGCTCTATCTGATGGTGTCTCTCAGAATGCTGCCTATGCCGTCCTTGTTTGAGATTTTTCGATCAGGGTTGCTGATAACTGCCATTCTCTTTGTCGGACCGCTGGTAGAAAAGCTGTTTCTTTCTGGAGGTATATCGGAGCTCAATTATGGCTTTAGAGATATTTTCCGAAGCTGGATCAATATCAGAAACTACATCATTGTAAGTATCAACCGCGCCTCTCTTCTACACGATCTTTAGACTAACAAAGCATAAGGGACCATTCACGGAAGAGATAGTGTTCCGCTCCTGTATCATCTCGATCGAACTGCGCGCCCGGATGTCGCCCACAACCGTCATCTTTGTGGCCCCGCTCTACTTTGGCATCGCACACCTGCACCATGCCTACGAGTCCTACATCCAGAATCCAAACTACCTCAAGCTCGTGATCCTAAACTCGATCTTCCATTTCGCGTTCACGACGATCTTTGGCTGGTACGCGTCCTTTCTCTTCCTGCGCACCGGAAGCTTCTGGCAGCCGTTTGTGGCGCATGTGTTTTGTAACTTGATGGGGGTGCCGAAAGTGGGTGCCAGGCTCGACGGGCCGGCATGGTATACGAGATTGTATCACGGGTTATTGGTGTTTGGGTTGATTGCATTCGCGATGCTCTTAGGACCTTTGACAAAATCATCGAGAGAAATCATGTAGATACAGGAATAGATCAAAGGACGTTTTATATGAGGTATAATACATTAGATTCAACAGTCTTCTATCGGATATTCGGGCGACACAGACGGGCTAAGCATCCAGAGAGCTGCAAGAGCGTTCCTACACCGTCAAGAATTCGCATATGCGTAAATCCAATCTCCTGTAGTAGACGGTTAGCGACGACTTTAGAAATCATAAAGCATTCACAACATACCTTGATATACTCCAGCCGCTCAGGCTCGCTCAGTCCATCAACAGTCTTAACGACTCTGAACATCGTGCCAATGATATCGACAGCACTATATCCCTTATCCCACAATCTCCGTCGGAGGATATCCAACGCGCTGTCGATATCCCCCAGTTGGCACGACTTGATCATAGCCTGTACATCAGCCGGATGCGGGCTGTCGACGATCTTCCACACGTTCTCCTCATTCACATATCCAAATCCCGCCACCGTACTCTGCAAATTATTGATCGCTTGCCGCATATCGCCCTCGGCTGAGAATATAAGCGCTTTCAGACCATCGTCGTTGTACTGCACGCTCTCGGCATCGATAATCTCTTTTAACCGCTTCAGCACCTGCGCATCAGTCAATCTCGCGTACCGCAGGATCGCACACCGGGACTGCAGCGGCTCGATGATCTTATTCGACTGGTTGCACGCAAACGCGAATCGGGTCGTGGACGAGTATATCTCCATCGTGCGACGGAGCGCCTGCTGCGCGGCGGCAGTCATGCTGTCTGCTTCGTCGAGAATTACGATTTTCTGCCGGCCAGGGGGGAGGTTCACATGTTTTTGTGCAAATGTCTTGATTCGGTTCCGGACCGCGTCCACACCTTGAGCAGAAGCGTTAGTATCTGACTCTGTAAACCTATCTGGGGGGTTCCTGATTACCTCGTTCATCGGAAGCGTTCAGTTCCAGCACTCCTTCCTTGTAATTCTCGCCCAACAACTGCCGAGCCAAGCACAACACAGACGTCGTCTTTCCAATTCCCGGCATTCCCTTCACCATTATGTCAGTATTCAGAACAAAAACGAAGGATCGAGAGTGAGCAAAGTCGATATCAAGCTCCTTACCGAGATAATAATATGCGGCATATTTCCATCGCGCGCAATGATCTTCAATCTCTCAACCGTCTCTATGTTTCCGACTATATCATTCAAAAGCACAGGCCGGTACTTCTCGACCCTGGATGTAAACAGTAAGCAACGAGATCCTGGACAGGCAAATGAAAAAGTGGACTTACCACGGCAACTCGATCCCTTCACTTCCATCTTTACCCTTCTTCGACAGACCCTTTGACGGGCCGGTAGAAGACTCGCCCACACTTTCAATCATTTGTGTTTCTAGGATTCAAAGACGTGCAAAGAAATGAAGAGGTTTGAGGTTGATCAAGACAAAAACGCGACGACGCGTTTCTCTGATTGACGCGCTGGGAAAGGGGTGTGGCAGTGCCGTGGCTGATGATTGTGGCTAATACCCTACCATCTACATTAACGGGCTCTACATAGCTTATAACAATAACAAAATGCATTAGACTCTAATTACTACACAGAACATCTGTTTCCCCAAATCAAATCCTCAGACAAACATCTAAAAGATATTACTTTTTTTCGCCATCCTTTATACCCATCTAAATCAAACATCAACTCAGAAAACAGGACTGACCGACGTCAAATCAATCAATACCAATCCTCAGTATTGCTAACCACGCACCGCTCCACGCCCTCGACGGTCTCGGCAAGCTCACCAATCGTATACACCTTCTCGCCGTTCTCCTTCAACAAAGCAACGAGCTCATCAACAGACTCCTTCTTCGCAGCGATGACCATTCCGATGCCCATATTCAAAGTCTTGTTGATATCCTCGACCGGAACGCTTCCAGTCCGTCCGACCCACTTGAACACAGGCAGAACGGGCCATGTGCTTCCGTCGATCTTGGCCGACAGATGCAAAGGCAGCATTCGGGGAACGTTCTCGACCAGACCACCGCCGGTGATATGGGCCATTCCGAGAATGAGTCCCTTCTTGATCGGCGGGAGGAGCGATTTGACGTATATCCTCGTGGGAGTGAGCAAGCTCTCCTGTGTGGATTTTGAAGTGTCCCACGGCGCAGGCTGGTCGTAACCAAGGCCGGCGTACTCGACGATCTTGCGGACGAGCGAGAAGCCGTTCGAGTGCACACCCGCAGAGCCGAGACCGAGCAGCACATCGCCGGCCGCCATCTCGTCAGTTCTCGGGAGAGTCTGGCCACGCTCGACAGCGCCGATGGCTGTTCCACCGGCATCGTAGTCGTCGCCGTGGTAGATACCCGGCATCTCGGCGGTCTCACCGCCAACGAGCGCGCATCCGGCTAAGATACAGCCGTCAGCGACGCCACCGACAAAAGCAGCAGACACATCGAGATCAAGTTGCGAGCAAGCAAAGTAATCGAGGAACATAAGCGGCTCGGCGCCCTGCACGACGAGATCGTTGACGTTCATAGCAACGAGATCGATGCCGACAGTGTTGTTGATTCCAGACAGCTGGGCAATCTTCACTTTTGTGCCGACACCGTCGGTGGCAGCGACAATCAAGGGATCCTTGAATCCAGCGGCCTTCAGGTCGAAAACTCCACCGAATCCACCGAGCTCGGCATCGGCACCGCTGCGCGCGGTCGATTTGACCTTCGCCTTTATTCTCTCGACGAGCTCCGCGCCATCGTCGACGGAAACTCCGGCCTTGGCGTAGGTGAAGACTTCACCCTGCTTCTTCTCCCGGAACGCACGGTAGGCAATGTCCTTGCGGAACTGCATGTCCTTCATGTGGATCTTGTCGACGCCAAGATACGCCTTCTTGACAGCTTCTTCAAGCGAAGGCGCGACAGCCGACGCGGCAATCACGCGACCGCCGTCAGAGACAAGAACGCCGTCGGCGGTGATTGTCGTTCCGGCGTGGAAAATGAACGTTTCGTCGTCATCAAGAGCGTCGAGAGTGATCGGCGACTTCTTCTCGTACTTGCCAGGATATCCGCCCGCGGCAACGACGACAGTGACGCCGAACTGGCCAGTGGTCTCGATAGTGATCGCGTCGAGGCGATGCTCGCAGCAGGCAAGAAAGATCTCCGCCAAATCGGTCTCCTTCGAGAGCAAGGGCAGGATAGACTGAGTCTCGGGGTCACCGAATCGGACGTTGTACTCGAGGACCTTGGGGCCGGAAGCAGTGAGCATGACACCAGTGAAAAGCATACCGACGAACGGGAAACCGTCTTTCCGCATGCCGTCAATCGTAGGCTTGATAATCGTTGTGCGGATCTCCTCAATCAAGGAAGAAGACGCGACCGGAGCGGGAGCGTAGGTGCCCATGCCACCGGTGTTGGGACCGTTGTCGCCGTCAAAGATGCGCTTGTGATCCTGAGCGGGGGGAAGATCGACGACAGTGTATCCGTCAGAGAATGCAAGGATGGAGAGCTCGTCGCCAACCAGGCACTCCTCGATAACGACCTCGTCACCAGCAGCACCGAACGCGCGGTCCTCCATGATCTCCTTCAGCGCGTCGTAGGCCTCCTGCTTGGTAGTGGGGATCAAGACTCCCTTGCCGGCGGCCAGACCGGAGGCCTTGATCACGACGTTGTGGTCGACCGAGGCGACGTAGGCCTTTGCTTCAGCGAAATCGGTAAAGTTCTGTGGGGAAATTTGTTAGAGCTCGCGTAAGCCATGGGATAAGACGACGCGGGGTGTTTACCTTGTACGCAGCAGTGGGGATGTTGTGCTTGGCCATAAAGTCCTTGGAGAAAGTCTTTGAGCCCTCCATGCGGGCAGCGGCCTCTGAGGGACCAAAGACCTTGATACCGACTGAAGATGCGCGTTAGCTCAGGTCTAGACAATGTGAGTAATTAAGACCAATATCCTACCCTTTCTGAAGACGGACTCGATACCGTCAACAAGCGGCTGCTCGGGACCAGGCACCACAAGGTTAACGTCCCTCTCGCCCGCGAACTTGACCAGCCCAGCAAAGTCCGCGCTGTCGATAGCCACGTTCTCGACGTTCTTGAGGCCCTTTGCGGTTCCGCCGTTACCAGGCGCGACCCAGATCTTCTCGACAAGCGGCGACTGCGCGAGCTTCCAGGCCAGCGCGTGCTCGCGGCCGCCGTTGCCTACGAGGAGGATTCGCAGAGACATTGAGGGAGAGGAGGTACAGCTGTACTGTATCAGCAGGTTATCTGATGGTTGGTATCCGATAGCTACTGGGACAAGTTCAAAATTTTTTTTGACTTTCAAGTCCCAGTCGGTGGTTTGGTCATCGCTGACCCGACAAAAGGGTTTTGTGCGCTGCCCGACACCGGCGCTGCTCTTCCAATATCTGAAAATAAATCCTTTCCTCGACCTGCTTCTTGATAGTAGCTGCTTCCGCTCGCTTTTCTCCAGGTCTTTTTTCAATTGTTTCTGTTGGTCACATTTCTGTCGTAATCGCAATCATGTCCCGGGCATTCACCGTCCGAGTACCCTGCTCGTCCGCAAACATAGGCCCCGGCTTCGACGTCGTCGGCCTCGCGCTCTCCATCTTTCTCGAACTCAAGGTCCGCATCGATCCCTCGGCCTCGGGCGTCGAGCAAAATTGCAAGATCGTCAACGTGGGAGAAGGCGCCGCAGACCTGCCTACCCTCGCCGACGAGAACCTCATCACCCGAACGGCGCTCTACGTGCTGAAATGCCACGACATCAGCAGCTTCCCCGCGACAACGTTCGTCACCATCACGAATCCTATCCCCCTCGGCCGCGGCCTGGGCTCTTCCGGCGCCGCAGTAGTTGCTGGCGTTATGCTCGGTAACGCAGTTGGACAGCTCGGACTGTCAAAGGACCGGATGATGGACTACTGTCTCATGATTGAGCGCCACCCCGACAACGTTACCGCGGCCATGATGGGCGGTTTCGTGGGCTCGTATCTGCGCGAACTCGACCCTGTCGACATGGAGCGCAAGGAAATCCCGCTTTCCGAAGTTCTCCCCGAGCCTGCCGGCGGGATCGACACGGGCCTGCAGCCGCCCAAACCACCATATGGAATCGGCCACCACATCAAGTTTGGCTGGGCAAAGGAAGTTAAGGCGATTGCAATCATCCCCAACTACGAGCTCTCGACGGCCTCGTCCCGGTCCGTGTTGCCAAAGACATACGGTGCAAAGGACCTCATCTTCAACCTCCAGCGATTAGCCGTCCTCACCACCGCCCTCACCCGCTCCCCTCCCGACGCAGAGCTCATCTACCAGGCCATGCAAGACAAGGTCCACCAGCCATACCGGAAAACCCTCATCCCGGGCCTTACCGAGATCCTCGCCTCCGTCACGCCAAAGTCCCACCCCGGTCTGTTAGGAATCTGTCTCTCGGGCGCGGGCCCCACTATTCTCGCGCTCGCGACTCATAACTTTGACGCGATCGCGGAGGAAATCGTCGGGCGCTTCAAGAAGGAGGGCGTCGAGTGCGCATGGAAGGTGTTGGAGCCGGCGTATGATGGCGCGGAATATATAGAGGAGTAGCTGTATCATAGCAAAAGTTTTGTCAGTCGGTAGATTTTCTCATAGACTTGTCTATACAATTAGTATCGAATATATAACGTACACAATGAACGATTTATTTTTATAGACTAAATAGACTCAGTAGACTGATTTATTTGAAACCATACATTCTCCCTCTTCCTCGCCCTCAATAATCTAGTACCAATCAGAAAGAAAAACACCACTGTAAAAAATAAAACGAAACATTTTCGCGGAAAAAAAGAATATATCAGAAGAGAAGGAGAAAACACAAGAACAATGCAGACGATCAACAGAGTAAACGATCAAAACCACAAACAAAGAGGAAAGCAGAACATTATGCATAATATTACATACAAAGTAATAGAGAAGAGTTGATAGATTTCGTGCAAGATGCAAACACCCAGATTTGAATATTTAGAAAGCAGTCGATTTAACTAAAGAAGACACTAGCGCACTGCTGGCCTGGAAGTTACGAACAGTACCTGAAGAAATCGTTGTCAGGCTCGCTGGTTGCCCAACTCTCGATAGTGTTCAAGGTAGTGTAGATCATAGAACCCAGACCAAACAAGCAGATGAAGACATCCATCGACTTCATGAACGTGGTGTTTGCGCAAGCACGGTAATGGAGTAAAGGTGGGTAGATATATGTGAGCGGGATGCAAGCAAACGAACCGATAAGCGCGACGAACTTGTCGAGATCGTCCGCACCACCCCAGGCAACGAACGCGGTGATGAGAACGATTCCAGTGCGGAACACGTTCTTGGTCCACTTTGCGCGCATGTCGTGCTTTCCGGACTTGGGGAACCAGGCGTTCTCCATGATGCGAATAGCAGGGAAAAGCTGCAAGGGCGTGGAGAGGAGGATGGCCATCGCGTAGATGAACTGGACAGAGTTGACGAGGCGATTGTCCTGCGGCATGTTGAGAATAACAACTGTCTCGACATTCGATCCGTAAGCGGCGTACGAGAGAATTCCCATGGAGATGTAGACCAGTGTGATGATGGCCATCACAATGCCGATCGCGGCGTAAAACTGCTGAGGCTTATGCATCGACTCGTGGATAGGGATGACTAGACCGATACCCTCGAAGGTGAAGATCGCAGTGCCGATGAACAGAGTCCAATCCTTGCTGTTGAACGCAGCAATATCAGACACTCCGTGCTCGACAAGAACACGACCGTCCCAAAAGTATACGTAAGCGAGACCAAGCAGAATGAAGAAATCCGCAATCAATGCCGACAACGACAGCTTTGAGATATTGCGGACCATCGACAATGGGACGAAAACGATTAATTGCAGGAAAATCAGATAGCGAACAGGGACGAGCACGCGGCAGTCGGTGATGGCCATGATGAACGCTTGCAAGTTCTCGGACGTGAAAACTGTGTACGCAGCAGCGAATCCGATTTGCGAAAGAACAATCGATGTCAGAATCAGCATTCGCACCTTTTTGCCATACAAAATACCACCCATGTCTAGCACAGATTGTTAGTGTGAGATTTCCAAAGATAACAGCGGAATATGGACATACCTCCAAAGCTCGCGTTGACAACCATACGCGAATCAATCAAAAGAATGAAACAGTAGTACGTCAACACGGCGACAAAGAACAAAATCGCAGAAGAAAAGAGCATTCCACCGTTGTAGTATGCCTTAGGCAGGAACAGCACACCGGTTCCTACAAATCCCTTCAACAACAACAGGACAGCCTTTGTGGCACTGGTATCCTGCACAACCTGACCGGAGCGGTGCTTGCTGGCAACGCCAACGGTGCGCTTTCCAAGCAAGCCAGATTCTTCGTCGACCGAGTTTATGGATGAGACCTCGGATCTCATATCAGAGATGCCGGATTCTATAGATGTCCTACTGAGATGACGACGCAGCCGCTGATGCAAACCGTCATCAGCAGTCATAGTACTTCTGATAGTGGATGTTTCACCGTATTCGCTAAACTCGTCACCCTCAGACTGATCGTCGTCATCTTCCTCCAAAGATTCGCCAGCGAAATGACCGTAAACGCTCAGAAACTCGAGGAAGTTGCGAGTCAAGAACGGACGAGGCCGCGGCTGGTTGAATGTCTCTGCGGCAGAAGCCTCGACGATGAGGCCGCTTGCATTTGCACTGCTTTCGCCGACCTGGGCGCCGTTGCTCATCAGGTTCGAACCGTATCCGGTTTGAGACTCGGTGCCGCGCGCTTTCGAGAGCAGGTAATTTCGACGAAAGCCACCAGGGACGTTGATGTTGTGGATGTTGAGCGTGTCATCTTCAACCTGAGGTCTCGGGATATCGCTAAAGGAGCGCGATCGAGGTTTGCGAGTAGGCGCTTGGTCGGCATGGACGCGCTGCCAGTTGTAAAGCTCACGCGTGATATCTCCGCCCTGCAAAGTCAGGTCATAAAAGTTCGGGTCGATGTCGCCCTCAGACTCTTGCTGCTGCTGCTGTTGCGGTGGAGCGGGAGATGCACGAGCCGAGGACTTTGCGGAAGACATGGAGCTTCTTCGCAATTTCGAGAAAGAGTTGGCATATGAAGCGGGTGATGAAGGCTTCGGCGAAACGAGGTGGCGGCCGATAGTGCGGACGAAGGAAGGGTCATAGTCAGCAGAGGAGACGGAGCCGGGGATTGAGTTGTTTGTGACGGCGGTTGATGAGAGTCCGACAGAGCCAAACTGAGGAGTGCTTTTGAGCGCGCTGGCGGATATGGAGGTGTTGGTCGCGGTGTTGGTCGAAGCCTCAGGAGGAGGACCAGGAGAGCCGATTCTGGCAGCGGGAAAAGCAGAGGCCGAGCGGGAGACGGTGTGCTGGGAGTCGAGAGAGGAGACGGCCGAGGTCATTGTGCCCATAGACGACGCCGTAGCGGTTGAGCTATTGCGTCGGTGGGGATATCTATCGACGAAGGCGCCATTGTGGTGAGTTGAATTGAAGATGGTGGGATTGGCGATGTAATTTTGCGAGTAGTGAGAAGATTATGCAGGGAGAGGTTAGAGATGGGGCTTTAAGTGGTGATGAGACTTGACGGTTATGTATACCCAGCCGATTCGGGTTATACAGCTTGGAGACGGCTATTTTCTAGTATATAAATCATCGTGATGGATATCTTTCTATTTTTGAGTAAACAAGAAGATATTCGGTTGAAAAGTAGAGAATCCGCTTGGTGAAAAGGGCAGACAAAGCGAGCAGCGCGAAGAGCACAGAATCAGGGCACGTGCAGCGCTCGGGGCCGCTCAGAAGCTGTCCACGTTAACTCCATATTAGATATCTATACGGCAAGTGGAAGACAAGTACTGTTTGACTGTATAGTAAATGCGAATATCAGATTTAAAAGACATGTTTATTACATTTAAAATCAACAGCAACCGCAGCGAGCGCGTGTGGGTATAAGTATAAACCACACTCAGCTCACGGGCAGTGCACAGTCAGATTAGATAACAGCGCTGCCCATGCTTCTCCGCAAGAGCCTCGACCTCCTCTCCCCATCAACCTCCTTCATACACAGGCACAAACCTTCAGCGAACAGGCCTCTGTCTGTCTGCCTGCTCTGCATTTCCTGCTTCCTCGTAGACTGCCCTCCGCTGTGTCCAGCAACCTGCCCCGCTGCAGGCACGATAGCAGCAGTAGCAGCACGCTACCCGGGCTCCGGCTAGGCGGGCGATAAGCAGGGAGCGTTCTGGGGACCACAGCGCGGGTGGCTTGCACTAGCAGCCCCGCGGAATGTGCCCCAGAACTGCGCGCGGAAGTCCCGACGCCAGCAGCAAACACCCTAAAGCCCAGAGACCCTTCCTTCGCTTCTTCTTCGCAGCTTTTTCCCGTCCTGAACAAGTCCTCCGCCGTCCTGCTCGACCATCTGTCTCTTCCCAGCAGTGCCATGGCCCCTCCCTCGCTCTGGAACAGGCTCAACGCCTGCTACCACCCTCGCCGGCGCGTAATCGAGCAAATGGAGACCGACGAGAAGCCCGTTGATCCCTTAGCTTCCAAGATGGGCACCTTCTCCGGAGTATGTCCTCGTGCTGCTCGCCCTGTTGACGTGTTTCCAGCTCCTAACTGACCCTTTCTTTCTCTGTTTTATAGGTGTTTGTCCCGACAACACTCAATGTCCTCTCCATCCTCATGTTCTTGCGTTTTGGCTTCATCCTCGGCCAGGTCGGTGTCATTGTGATGATTGGTATCGCCCGACCCCCCGACCCATCTGCAGCTCTCATCTTCTGCTCTAGTCGCCGTTCTCCCAGTTAACACCATCCTCCAGCTATCCTCGTCATGTCCTACATCATAGATCTCCTCACAACTCTCTCTATATCCGCCATCTCCACAAACGGAACCGTCCGAGGCGGTGGGGCTTACTACATGATTGCCCGTTCGCTCGGTCCGGAGTTTGGAGGCAGTATCGGTATTGTCTTTTACATCGGCCAGGTGCTCAACGCCGCCCTCAACATTGTCGGTTTTGTCGAGCCGATCTTGTCTAATTTTGGAAATGAGTATGGAATCACGTCCAAGATTCTACCGGAAGGTCGCGTATGTTTTCTCTGCACTATCGATTTTGCTGTCTTCTGGATACTAACTCTCAATCTCAGTGGTTTGAATTTGTCTATGCGACCGCTCTTCTGCTTCTTTGCTCAGGAGCTTGCATGTTAGGCTCTTCAGCATTCACAAAAGCCGGCTACGTCCTATTCGTCATTCTCGTTCTTTCGACCCTCTCCGTCCCCCTCTCTGCATTCTTCACTCACGAGCATTACATTCCCGAATTTGACGTCGTCTACTCCGGTCTCTCACTCGCGACCCTGCAAAACAACACACTGCCGCATTTCACCGCCGGCGCTGCGGGAAGCGAGATCTCAGGCACTGAGAATTTCCAGGACATCTTTGGTATTTTCTTCCCCGCCACCGCGGGTATCTTTGCCGGTGCTAGTATGTCGGGTGACTTGAAGACTCCGGGCAAGAGTATTCCCAAGGGCACGCTCTACGGTCTGCTCATGACTTTCTGCTTCTACGCTCTCGTTATTATCTCGATGGCGGCATCTATCCCCCGTCAGCTTCTTTACACCGACGTTCAGGTGCTGCAGACCGTCAACCTGTCGAAATACGTAATCATCCTCGGCGAGATGTCGACCGCTTTATTCTCGTCTATCGTCGGTATCCTCGGCGCGGCAAAAGTGCTTCAGGCGATTGCACGCGACGATATTCTCCCCCAGCTGCGCATTTTCAAACAAGGAACAAAGATCGGCGACGAGCCGATTTACGCGGTCATCTTCACCTACGTGCTCTGCCAGATCACGATCTTGCTGCCGGTCAATCAGATTGCTAGTCTAGTCACCATGGCGTTCTTGATGACCTTCATTGTCACGAACGTGGCGTGCTTTTTGCTCAAGGTCAGCTCGGCGCCTAATTTCAGGCCGTCGTTCCACTTCTTCAACTCGATCACCGCCCTTGCCGGTGGAATTTTCTGCGTCGCCACGATGTTTGTCGTTGACGGTATCTACGCGAGTATAATCATCGCCGTCCTGATCGGCCTGTTTGTCATCATTCACTATCTGACCCCGCCAAAGTCATGGGGTGATGTCTCGCAGTCGCTGATCTACCATCAAGTCCGTAAATACCTTCTTCGTCTGCGTCAGGATCATGTCAAATTCTGGCGTCCCCAGGTCCTGCTGCTCGTGCACGACCCGCGCACGTCTTGGAATCTGATCCATTTCTGCAACTCGTTGAAGAAGGGTGCGTTGTATATCCTCGGACACGTCGTCGTCATGGAAGATTTCCAGGAAGGCCTAGCCGAGATGAAGAAACTGCAGTCAGCATGGATCAAGCTCCGCGACGTGAGTAAAGTGAAGGCATTCGTGCAGATGGCCGTCGACCCGGACTTTGTATGGGGCGCGCGCAACATTGTGATGCAAGCCGGATTGGGCGGTATGAAGCCCAACATTGCAGTCCTCGGCTTCTTTGACGTTGCGTCGTATCGCAAGCGCGCGGCGTCGGGTGAGCCCTTGACGCCGTTCAGCACAAAGAACGAGGGCAGCCGGCCGCCGGTGGTGCAGCACTCTTCAAAGGGAAAGCTGAAGAACCTGGACTCGCTGCCTACTGACGCCGTCAAGCCGGGCCGGTCGATGTCGGTCACGCAGTACATCAATATTATTGAGGATTTGCTGGCTATGCAGGTCAATGTTGCGCTTGCGCGCGGATTCAATTTCTTGGAGCTTCCGTATAGCTGGGATAAAGAGTCTGGCCAGACAAAGAAGTACATTGATCTCTGGCCGATCCAGATGTCTGCGCACCTTCTCGAGCCCAACGGCGAAGGCTCCGTGCTGTCGACAAACTTTGACACTTACACACTTATTCTCCAGCTCGGCGCGATTCTGCACACGGTTCCGTCGTGGAAGAAGTTCTACAAGACCAGGGTGCTCGTCTTTGTCGAGTACCCCGACGACGTGGACGAGGAGCTAGGACGGGTGCGCACGCTGCTCGAGAGTCTGCGTATCGAGGCTGAGGTCTGCGTATTTTGTCTCTCGGACGGGAAAGTCCCCGCGTACGAGACGATCCTGCACGGTCGTCCGGATACGACTGGACGCGTGACGCAGGCGCTCGAGAGCGAGCCGTGGTGGATCGAGTTGCAGGAAGCGCGCGATCTGCTCGAGCGCGCGGACTTGATCGAACCCGGCGCGCCGATTCCGATGGCGTATCTGAATGGAGAAGTCGCGGTTTTGCCGTCGGCGATCAGAGAGTCGATGTCTACTAGTCCGTCGATGGCGAACCTTGTTGCTATGGCTGGTGGTCCCGATGTTGATATCAAACAGTACTTGAAAAAGAGGCGGCAGACGTTGACAAAGATGCAGAAAGTGGGAATGACGTTTAGCATGCAGACGTCGCGTTTGGCGGACGAGGAAGTCGAGTACGCGATCGAAGACTCGGAGGACGAGGACGAGGACGCGCTTGTGATTGGCATGAGCGATGATGACGGGTACCCATCCGAGAGCACAGGAGTTGCGAGCGGCAGCAGCCGGACCGGCAAAGATCGTGATCTGTCGCCGACAAGCACGGTTCTTTCGAAGCGATCGGGCTCGACTCTCAGCTCGGGCGCGACGCTGTACCGAGCCCAGGCAGCGGCGGCGGATGCGCAGCAGCAGCAGTTGCTGGATGTGCAGGCTAAGAACTTGATTGACATTGAGAGCGAAGCCGAGTCGTCATTGTCAGGGTCTGCGTCGTCGTCTTCGATGAGTGCGACGACGCCGACTGAGCACCACGGTGTGCATCGTCCGAAACTGCTGCATCAATCCTCGCTCGCGACCACGAACGGCACAGCTCGGTCGCGCCGGTCGATCCCGCACTTTAGCGGCCAAACGATGCCGCACTCTGAAGTCCTGGAAGAAGAAGACGAAGCGCAGAAAACGATCCGGTTTGCATCTCACCAGCGCGGGTCTCCCTCGCAGAGCTCGATCCCGCATCAATCCCACAGCACGTCGACTCACCAGCACCAACCGTCGACCTCGGCCGCATCGGTGTCTTCGTCGTCGACGTTCAAGGACCCGCTTGCCCCTTCGACGACGTCGGGCTCGACCTCGCATCTGTCGCGTACGTTTACGAATGTTTCGCGCGTGCCGTACCATGACGACAGATACCTGTCGTTCAACGACCTGCCTGCTCGTGCGCAACACTTGATTCTCAACGACCTGATGCGCACGCAGTCCGAAGACGCGGCGGTGCTGTTTGCGACGCTGCCTGCGCCTGTGCCGGGGACGTATAAGAGCGAGGAGGAGAGTATTGCGTATCTGGAGGAGCTGGATCTGTGGCTGGATGAGTTGCCGCCGACGCTGCTGGTGCACAGTCAGAGCGTTACGGTGACGATGGCTTTGTGATCGGCTCGGTTTGGTTTTATTTGTTCGTTTTCACTGCTTGACGGTATATTTTTATGTAAAAGTTTCATGCTTACGGTCTTATTCATATTATTTCATTGGAGTGAGTGGTGAGTGAGTGTGAGAGGGTTTTGCATCTGTGGTGGATGAGGTTTCATATTTTATTTTACGACTATTTTTATGATCTTGTTGATTTCTGGAAGGTGTATTGTTCCTTACGATATAATGGGGAGGTTTCTTGTGGTGTATTGTTCCTTACGATGTTATGGGGAGGTTTCTTTATCTTATGTGGCTATTTTTTTTCTCACGAGGTTTGGCTTTCTATTCGATCATGATGTATTTCTGGCTATTTTTTTTCTTGTTGGTATTGCTGAGTAGGCGGTATGGCATTGTGATGAGGTCTGGGATTGATTTAGATAGGTTGGTGTTCATTGAATGGTAGCTTGTCATGATCTTTTGATTTGAGATGAGAAGAGGTCGAGAAATCGATTAAGCAAGGATAAATATAGTGGTAATTGATAGCAAACAAACTCCGTTCCCAATAAGCCAAAGAAAAGTCCAAAAGAAGTAGAGATGAGATTATGAGATCACTTGAAATTGAGGAGATCAAAGATTCTGCGCGCGACAGGCCATGTGTACTGGCCATTCGCTGCTTGTTGTTGTTGTTGTTGTTGTTGTTGTTGCTGCTGATACTGCATAGAATCCTCGGCAACCTGATCGCTATTGACAAAGAACAAAACAACAGCGACGACGGCGACCACGACTGCCATCTTAACGGCGGTCGCGACGATGCCGTAGGCCATGCGGACAGCCTGGTTGACGACAAGAAGCGAGAACCATAGGATGACAATTAAGAGTGCGACGGAGAGGAGGTCGGGGTTGTCGGAGGTGAGAGAGCGGAGGGGAGGGAGGACGATGCGGTAGAAGTGGTAGAGGATGAAGTGGGTGTGGGAGTAGAGGGATTGGAGGAGCGGGGATATTGAGGCGAGGTGGGCGAGGGAGTCTTCGAGGGAGACTGCAACCATGATCAGAGAGATGATCAGAGAGCAGGAGTGAGTCAATGCAGGGTATACTGTGGTGTATTGTAGTGGATCAAGAACGCGATAGAGATGCTGATAGTGACTTAGTTGGTGATCTGCTGGATCAGGATGATAATAAGATGTTGTCGATGCGGGGTTTGTAGATAATGAGCCCCATCAAGTGCGGCTGCATGATTACCTCATCACTGACAACCTCATAACATAAGCAAGCGTGACTGCTTTTCAGTGTAGGGTTATCAGCGCCCTCGGGGACGGACGCACGAGATTCAACCTCAGGTCGACCTCGTCGGACGAAACCTACACGTAGTTCTGCTGCTTCTGCTGTTTACACTCCCTTTCTATTCACCGAATTACTCTCCGTTAATAGTCCAAAATGTCGAAGAGTGAAGTTCTGATGCTCCGTGGAACCCTTGAGGGTGAGTCTGCTTTGGTTTGCGAGTGCTGGGGGGTATGGAGTTGGTTGCTAATCAGATGTGTTTTTGTTATAGGTCACGCTGGGTAAGAAATTGGATATGAATAAAGAGAAGAGAAGAGAGGATGATGTAGAGCAAAGGAGGTCTAACAAGTTCGTGCAGATGGGTTACCTCGCTCGCCACTACCCCCGAGAACCCCGATTTGTTGTTGTCTGCCAGCAGAGACAAGACTCTTATCGTCTGGGATCTGTATGTATTGAGAATTAGAGAACACTATCAAAAAGAAGGAGAGTACTGACGAAGATAATATGAAGGACTCGCGATGACAACGCCTACGGTGTCCCCAAGCGCAGCCTGCACGGCCACTCGCACATTGTGCAGGACTGTGTGATCTCGTCCGACGGTCTGTACGCTATCTCTGCGTCGTGGGACAAGACCCTTCGCCTGTGGCAGTTGTCGACCGGCAAGACGATCCACCGATATGTCGGCCACACCTCCGACATTCTGTCGGTCTCGTTCTCGTCCGACAACCGACAAATTGTGTCTGGATCGCGCGACAAGACGATCAAGCTGTGGAACCTCCTCGGTGAGTGCAAGTACACCATCACCGAGAAGGGACACACCGACTGGGTTTCGACCGTGCGATTCTCGCCCAACCCGTCGAACCCGGTTATTGTTTCTGCTGGATGGGACAAGCTTGTGAAGGTTTGGGACCTCGAGCTTGCCGAGTTGGAGACTGACCACATTGGACACACCGGATACATCAACGCGCTCACGATCTCGCCCGATGGAACTCTGTGCGCGTCTGGTGGCAAGGACGGCCAGACGATGCTCTGGGATCTGAACGACTCCAAGCACCTGTACTCGCTCGACGCGGGTGATGAGATCAACGCGCTGACTTTCTCGCCCAACCGATACTGGCTGTGCGCCGCGACTTCGTCGTCGATCAAGATCTTTGACTTGGAGAAGAAGAGCTCTGTTGACGATTTGAAGCCTGATTTCGCGGAGGGCGGCAAGGAGCCGGAGTGCATTAGCTTGGCGTGGAGCTCTGACGGACAGAACTTGTTTGCGGGATACACTGACAACAAGATCCGTGTGTGGCAGATTATGCAGTCGAACTAAGGGAGGGACGATAAAAAAGGGAAAAGTGTGTAGTGTTTGATATTTATAAGTTAATGTAAGTTCAAATAAGAAGAAGTAGAATAAGTAGAAGAAGAGGAAGTAGAATTACCGAAAGTAGAAGTCAAACTACCGAAAGCGGAAGTAAAAGCCAAGAGAATTAAATTTTTATTTTTTTTTTTTTTCTTTTTTGCTTAATTGAGCCTTGTAGAAGTCTCGGCGCCGATGACGCGAGAATACATAAAAGCCTGGATTCTGTTCTGCTTCTCTTCTTCTTCTTCTATTACTTCTTCTACTATTACTACTACTACTACTACTACCTCTACTACTACTACTCCTCCATGTCAAAACCTCGTCACTTTGGCCGCGGTGGCTACGGCAACGTCACCACCGAACCAGATCAAGACTCCTCCCAGGCCCCCGTCCAAGTCTTCACCTCCCCGCAGCAGACCTTCCACGCCGGCCGCGGCGGTTACGGCAACGTCCAGCCCGTGCAGACCATGCCGACCCAGTCGCCCGAGGAATACCTTTCTGAGGTCGACCACGCCATGACCGTCAAGAAAGGCGACGTCTTCAAGATCGGGCGCGGTGGCGCGGGGAACGTCTACGTCGAAGGCGAGAACGGGGCAGAGATCCCTGCCGACAGCGTCGAGCGAGGACGTCCGGCTGGCGAGGCAGATAATTCTCAGAATCAGCAGCAGCAGAACGAAGGCTTTTTCGCCCGCATCGGACGTCGCTTTTCGTCGGGATCAAGAAGTCGCAGTCGCGAGCAGCATCGCGAGCAGCGGGAGCAGAGTAAGTCCCGCGAGCGCCGTGATCAGCCACCGGCTGTCGAGCGACGAAACAGTTGATTTGTATTATGTTGATTCTATTCAATTTAATATGGCGCTCTTCTTTTCCTCTCTCCTGTTTTGTCTCGTTTCCATCCTTTGTCAACCCCAAGCGTAGGCCGTCTTGCTCTTCCTCTTCCTCTGTTTTCGGCGTTTCTCGGTTTAGTCTCTGCTCCGCCCAGACAACTCTCGGCTGAAGCTCAAAAGTTCTGCTTATTCTTTGATTGTCTTCTATCGTTCTCTATTCTCTAATTGTATTCAATAATCCACAACTATTTCCATTCCTATTCTATTCCTGCTCCTACTGCTTCTCCCCGCAGTATCCAGTCAGCCATTATTATAATCCCACAAACCCCTCACTCACCGACACCAACACCCCTTCGCTCGTCCTCGTCTCCTCACCGCTGCTGCTCCCGCTCTTCCTCACCACCCGACCCCGACCGCAATCATGCCCGACTGGTCTGTCGACCCCGACAACCGGCGCCGGCTCATGGAGCTGATGAAGGAGAACAAGACCTGCTTCGACTGCGGCGCGCCCAGTCCGCAGTGGGCCTCGCCCAAGTTCGGCATCTTCATCTGCCTCGACTGCGCGGGCCTGCACCGCGGCCTCGGCGTCCATATCTCGTTCATCCGCTCAATCACGATGGATCAGTTCAAGCCGGAGGAGATGAAGCGCATGGAGATGGGCGGGAATGCCCGCGCAAAGGAGTTCTTTGACGCGGAAGGATACAACGACGGCATGAGCATCAAGGAAAAGTACAACAGCACCTTTGCCGAGGACTATAAAGATAAGGTGGGTTCTTCTTCATCATCCCATGATCGCCTCCTAATCAGCTTCCCCTACTAACCTCCGCAGCTCACCGCCACCGTCGAAGGCCGCGAGTGGGTCCGCTCCGACCGACCACCCCCATCACGCACTCCCTCCCGCACAGCCTCGCCCGCGCTCTCCTCGACCTCCTCGACCTCCCAACAAGCCTCCTCGCTTCCTCCCTCGCAAAAGGTCCGCAACGAAGCCTACTTCTCGCGCCTCGGCCAAGACAACCTCAACCGGCCCGACCACGTGCCGCCGTCGCAGGGCGGCAAGTACGCCGGCTTTGGAAACACCCCGCCGCCAGATATGTCGTCGTCCTCGGCGCAGCTGTCGGTCGACGACTTCACGCGCGATCCGCTCGGCAGTCTGACAAAGGGCTTTGGGTTCCTGTCAAAGAACCTCAACCAGGTCACAGAGACATACATCAAGCCGAACCTCAACCAAGTCACAGAGACATACATCAAGCCCAACGTCAAGAACCTTGCAGACTCGGATCTCGGCTCGAACGCCCGCAAGGCCATGATGCAATTCGGCCAGAAAATGCAGGAAACAGGCCGGTACGGTGTCGAGACTTTCCAGACCTTCACCTCTGAGCAGCGCGCGGCCATGAACCAATCCGGCGGCGGCGGCAGCGGCAGCAGCGGGAGATACTCGCGGGTCGCAAACAGCAGTGATGCGGCTGAAGGTCCCGGCGGTCCGAGATTCACATCGCTGTTTGACGACCTTGGAATCGGCGATGACGCGGATATCGAGGAGGCCTTTGGTATTCCCAAGCCCGGCAAGAAGACGCAGCTTGATGGGCTTGGTGGCAGCGCTGCTAGTAAGAGCGCAAAGATGAGTGGGTTTGGAAGTAGCTATGGAACGTCGAGCGGGTCGGCGAATCCGAACGCTGGGAAGAAGAATGATGATGATAATTGGGGTGATGGATGGGAGTAGCCTTTATGTCTTTTTTGCTGCTACACCTTTCTTTTCTTCGTGTGACATAGTTTTCTTTTCTTCTTCACACTTTTTGGTATTAAATTATTACATACATACATACAATTAACAATATTTTGAAGTATTACTTAGCTAAACTCTCCTGCTCCCTTCCTCCTTATTAAGGCACTACCTGACTTGAAGAAGTACCTGAGCAGGTTATTAGGGTACAAAGGCAACTACACCGCCGACTCAGCGCGATGAAGCTCGACATCGTCGACCTCGTCCTCGTCGTCCTCGGTTCTCTTCGCGGTTCCGACACCGACGATACCCCCGCGCTGGTTCTCGCCCAACCACGGCTTCTCGGCCTCGCCCATCCAGCTTCCGATCATCATGTTGTAGATGATCATACCCGCGACAGTAAACACAAAGCCGACCGGGTAGAGCCAGTAGACGTAGTATCCAAAGACCTTCAGACCGATGAGCAAGCCCCAGAAATCCGACGTCAGCAGCGAGAGGTTATAGAACGCGGCGGAGGACATGCGGAACAAGATCGGCGCGGTGAGGTACAGGAACAGCAAGCAGAGCGTGTATCCGACGAACCAGCCCGCCATGCCTGAGCTCCAGTTTGCGTCACGGATCGAGTCGCGCTCGAAGATGGCGGCCTGGACGCCGTTGATGATCATGCCGTACATGCCCATCTGCGAAAGAACTTCGTAGATCGGGCGCTTGGAGAGCAGGAACTCTTCGAGCGTGTTGGAGACACCGTAGCAGGTCGCGCCGAGGAGCATGAAGAGGTCGCCCTTGACCATGTCGGTCGACGAGTAGTTCTTGTCCGTCAGCAGGTCGCTGACCACCACGAGCACCATGCCGGCGATACACACCGCCGTGCCGAGGACCTGAGACCAGTGGTACCGCACCTTGAGGAAGATGAACGAGAGAATGACGACGACAGCGATAGCCCAGTTGTCGAGCAGCTCGGCGGAGAGGAGGTTGGTGTACTGGTACGCCTTAACGACAAAGTAGTTTCCTTCCACGTCGGCGAACGACAGCAAAAAGTACTTCCACGAGTTGAACACGACCATGCGCCAGTACTTGCTCCATCCGTAGCGGTAGATCGTGTACGGCGTGAAGAACAAGTTGAGAAGCACGTAGTTGAACAGCGTCTGGAAGGCGGGGATGTTGACCGCGTCGTCAGTCAGGTAGGTCGTGAACGTGTTTGTCGCGACGATGCTCAGCGACAGCAACTGTCCGAGAATCAAGATGATCCAGAACCGACGGGTCAAAATGAAAGCAAACATCGGCAGTCGCTCTTTCTTGTTCGGGTCCTCGGTCTCGCTGGCCTGGTCGATCTCGATGATGTTCTCGGTCGACGAGGACGAGGTGGTGGTAGTCGCGGTCGCGGTCTTGCGTACGTCGCTGAGATCGCTCACAGGCCGGCTGAGCTCAACGGAGCCGTAGTAGTCCGTCTGGGAGGGGTCCTCTGCGGTGTTTCTAGTCAAAGACATGTCGTTTGAGAGGAGGGGAGGCTAGAAGAAAGAATAATTAGCACAGCTCATCGGAAGAATTTGAGTGATGGAAGCGCACCAGGAGTAGAATAGTTTATAGCGAGAGAAAGCAAGCACAGTGATGAAGTTGCTACAGTGGTTCTCGCGGTAAAAGACACGAAAGCAGAACCAACCAGGAAGGTCTATCGTGTCTGTGAAGAAGAGAGTAAAAGGTGGTGAATAGAAGAAGAAGAAGAAGAGAAAAGTTCGAGATCAGACAAAGAAGCAGAAGTTTTAAGGTTCAATCTCCTCGGGTGGCTGCAGACTCGCCTTTTCGCTCTTCTCTCTAATTGAGGTCACGTGTAATTACATCAGTACTTAGTCATCTCAAAACCTTAACTGGCTCGCGGCATTTGACTTCTGCTCTGGTCCTGGCTCGAGGCACACGCCTTCACCGCCAAATATCAATATCGCGAGCAGAGATCTGTTGATACCAGGCCATTAACACACCGCAAAGAAGAACAAACAGACATGAACATCCTCAGAACTGCTTCTATCTGCTGATTTGGCTGGGTTCTCTGTCCTCTCTTTCTTGGTGTCATTTCTCGGGCTGCTTGTTTGTGGTTCGTGGCATTTTGTCGCCCTGCTCTTATTCACTCCCCGTCTTCTTCTTCATCATCGTCAGCAGTTCGACCTCGTCTGCTGCTGCAATCCTCTCATCTATCCGGAGTGACCTCTTATAGACTCAGCCGTCCTCACTTCCGCCAGCATCTTCCTACACATCATGGCCCGACGACGCTCGCGCCCCTTATCAATCATCGCCCTCAGCGGCATCGCCATCCTCTGCATCATCTACTTCCTCTCTTCCTCGCACTCCTCCTCCAAAGCCCGCGTGCGCCCGCCTCCCGCCCCCGGCGGCGCAAAATCCATCGTCCACCACCAGATGGACGGCCTCACCAGCTCCTACCGCCCGCTCGCGCATAAAGAACGCGTGCTAATTCTAACCCCCATCACGCGCTTCTACGACGAATACTGGAACAACCTCGTCAACCTAAACTACCCGCACGATCTCATCGAGCTGGGCTTCATCCTCCCGCGCGGCCGCGAAGCGAATCAAGCCATCCAGCGCCTCGACGAGGCCGTCAACGCGCTGCAGACCGGGCCGAAGAAGAACCGGTTTTCAAAAGTGACGATCCTCAGACAAGACTTTGATAGCCCGTTCTCGCAGAGCGAAAAGGACCGCCACGCGCTCAGCAGCCAGAAGGACCGGCGCGCGGCGATGGCGCGCGCGAGAAACTCGCTGTTTTCGACCACGATCACGCCGACCACAAGCTGGATCCTGTGGCTCGATGCCGATATCGTCGAGACCCCTGCCACATTAATCCAGGACCTGACCGCACATAATAAGCCGATCGTGGTCGCAAACTGTTATCAGCGATACGTCGATCACGGAGAGAGCAAAATAAGGCCGTACGATTTCAATACGTGGCAGGATAGCGAGGCCGCGCAGAAAATGGGACAGATGATGGGCGAAGACGATGTCATTTTTGAGGGTATCAATTACTTTTTTTGATCCTGCTCATCGCAAAGCTGACTTTTTACTGTAACAGGATACTCGGAGATGTCGACCCAGCGAAAACAGCTGGCGCACATGTACGCACCCGGCAAAGACGTCAACGAAGAAGTCGCCGTCGACGGCGTAGGAGCGTATGTCCCCCCTCTCTCTCTATCCCACGCACTCTTCTATTTCTTGTGGCTAACTCCGCTAATAGCACCGCACTGATGGTCAAAGCCGAAGTCCACCGCGACGGCGCAATGTTCCCTTCCTTCCCATTCTACCACCTGCTCGAGACCGAGGGATTTGCGCGCATGGCTAAGAGACTAGGGTATCAGGCTTACGGGCTGCCGAATTACCTGGTGTACCATTATAATGAATAAGCAAAGAAAAGAAAAAAAGAGGTGGTAGGGAAAGATGAAAGTATATATATGAATGAGATAAACAGTGTAAAAGTAGGAGGACCGAAGATTAGTTTATGAATGACAATTAATAGAAATAAGAAAACAAAGTATCATCTTTTTTCAATGTAATTGAAGCTGCAACGGAACCATCTGCTATCACCACCATTTACTATACTTGATCTTACAGACACTTCTTTCAATTTTATACATCTTTATCCTGCCATTTAGATTCTATATACATCACTCGTTCTGCTCGATGAACTGGAAACGGCCGCCAAAGCTCTGCTCACTTTCCTCGTCATGCTCTTCTTCGCCGTCTTCCTCCTCAGATTGCTCTGACTCTAAATGATCATACTCTTCATCTTCACCATCCTCTTCACCCCCCTCTACCTCCTCTCCCTCCCCCTTCTCGACATCAACCCACGGCACCGCCCTCCTAACCATCGCCCGACACCTCAAACACTCCCACCCCTCCCCCTCCTGCTCCTCGATCTGCGTCACCAAACACACATAGCAATACACATGTCCGCACTCTTCCGCCGCATACGGATTCGTAATCTCGTTCACCCCGAGCCCGACCGTGCCGGCTTCTAGCGCCGTGATCCGCCGCGTTGAGGCCGCGGCTGAGTCTTGATGGTAGCAGATTGCGCATGTACGCTCAGGGAGGAAAGAGAGCGGGCCTGAGACTACTTGCTCTGCTTTCTTCTCATCCACTTGCTTCTCATCCGTCGTCGGCGGCGGTGGCACTGAAGAACTCCGCCCGCTAAGCAACCTCCCGATCCTCCGCTTCACCCTCGGCAAATGCAACATCGGCAGCACAAAGATCAAAAAACTCGTAAACTCATCCCACACCAGCTGTCTGTTCAAGAACTCAAAGCTCACGTTGCGCGACATCGTCCTGCTCGACGAGATCAGCCGCAGTCTGCAGATCCGGAAGAGCAGAGTCGGGTATCGCCCGTTGTAGAGAAAGGTGAGGAAGTTGAGCAGGTCGAGGAAGGTGTAGATTGATTCGGATTTGTCGAGGAGTGAGGTTAGTGGTTTCTTGAAGTGCGGGGAATGAAGAAGTGAGTGTAGCTTTGACTGGATCTGTGGTTATGTCAGTTTATCGCTCTTTAAGATCAATGTCATCCAGATATCTACTCACATTTCCTCCTCTCTCTTCCCCCTCCTCCTCCCCCTCCTCCTCCTCCTCCTCCTCCCCACCCGCCGCAAACCCCACAGCCGCCCTCCACAGATACTCCCCAAACACAACGACAAACCCGAGCGCGAGCTTCTGCGCTTTCGACGGACTCTTGAGCAGCCTGCTATTCCGCGCGTCCGCCAGCCGCAGGTTCTGCAGCAGCAGTCCGTACGACGCAGAGTTGTCCCAGACTGTAAATTTCCAAAGCACGAGTTTGAGGAGTAAACATAGTTCGGTCGTGTAGTGGTCTTTGATCGCGGACTGCGGATGGGAGAGTTAGTTGATGTCGAGATCAGATCCACGCTTGATCTTGCTCTGGAAACGTCAACAGCAGGGCGGAGAACGTACATGTATAAACTTCGACCCATCCCATATCTGATTCTTGAATATCTCAAACAACTCATCGTCCAAAATCGCCGCGTCGAGCTGCCCGACCCGGTTTGTGGGATACAACCCCTCCGACCCAGCACCACCAGATGACGACGACGGCATCACCGCAGACGATTTCCTCCGCACGGTATCCGACACCCGCTGCAGCGCGTCCGCGAGCGCGTTTATGCTTGGTAACGACAGACTAGGCATCAGTAATCCCCGTTTGTGGACGATTGGAGGAGTGCGGATGGGAGGAGATGACGGAGGATGGACGCGATGTGGAGGTTGGGAGCCGAGGTCCGAGCCGCAGACTCCTCAATTTGGATATCTGCCCTGCAATTCTCATGTTCTGTGTATTTTTAAATGTTTTTTAGGATTATATCTACATAGTAAGAAAAGAGAAGTAGGATATATCACATTGTTGCTCTATACTGTACCGTAAAGCTCAAATCACAACTAATTTTCTCTACACCATCCGATCATTGATCGCCCGACTCATCAACTCCACAAACCGATCCTCCATCGACTGATCCTGCTTCGCCGTCTCGACACCGACCAAAATCCGCTTAATCCCGACGCCGATCTCCGTCGTCCGCGTCTGTTCCTGCACCGTGCTCAGAATCTGCTGCACCCGCTTCCGGCCCGCGTCGGTCTTGGTCTCGGATCCAAAGATCTCGGCGGCTTCGAGAATGACGCCTAGCTCCTGCGGCTTGGCCACGTTCGGAACGCCAATCTGCGCATCAAACGTGTCGAGAATGTCCATCTGCTGCAACACAGAGCGCTCGGTTGTGGTAGCGAGGATGAGCAGACGGCGGCCCTTGGGCGGCTGCTTTCGCATAAGCACCATCAGCGTCTGCAGGACCGAGTTTGAGAATCGCGGACCGATAGGCACCCAATCAACCAGACGCTCGATATTGTCGACGACGACGACGTTGAGCGGCGACTTGTACGCGTCCTCGAAGATCTTGCTGATCGTCGCGACCTTAGCCGCCTCGCTGTAGCCCACCATCGACTCGGGCGAAATCAGCTTGATGAACGGGAACCCGGACGCCAGCCCGATCTTCGCCGCCAGCGCGGTCTTTCCGGCGCCGGCGGGTCCGTGCAGGAGAACAGAGACCAGCGGGGTATGCTCCGACTTGCGCACTTGCTCTGTGTACAGCGAGCCCTCGTCTAGTATACTCTTGATATGCGGCGAGTAGTTTATGATTCCGTTCTGGATGCACGTCGTCAGCTCCTCCTCGTTCACACCAAACGCAGGCTTGACTTCCTCGAGTGCGTGCAAGAAATCCTGACGGTTGACCTTCAGCTTGTCGATATCGTTCGACACGCCCGCGACCGTGCCGACCTTGACGTGCCGGTTGAAGGCAAACGAGGTGGCAGACTTGACGAGACCGTTGAGCTCGGCGCCAGAGAAATTCTTCGTCAACGCCGCGAGCTCGTTGATGTCGACGTCCGAGGCCATCACCTTGTTCTCGCGCATCTTGGTCGTGTGGATCTTCAAAATCTGTCGACGGCCGGTCTCGTCCGGAAGCGAGATCTCCATGTGCACCTCAAGACGACCAGGACGCAGGAGCGCCTCGTCAATCATATCCAGACGGTTAGTCATTCCGATAATCAAAATGTTGTTGAGCTGGTCAACACCGTCCATCTTCGAAAGCAGCTGGTTGACGACCGAGTCCGAGACTCCGGTGCTGTCCCGGCTGCTGCCGCGTTGCTTGCAGATCGCGTCGAGCTCGTCGAAGATGATAATGTGCAGGCCCGACTCTTCGCCTTTCTCCTTGTACTCCTTCTCCGCGTCCGCAAACAGCTTGCGCACGTTCTCCTCCGACTGGCCGACGTACTTACTCAAAATCTCGGGTCCGTTGACGATCTTTGGCTCGCGCGCGTTCAGCATCTTTCCAATCTGTCGCGCCATCAAAGTCTTTCCCGTACCAGGCGGTCCGAACAGCAAGATACCTTTGACGTGCTGGATCCCCAGCTTATCCACCAACCCAGGCGGGAAGATACGACTCGCAAACGCACGACGGAAGATGGCTGAGAACTCAGTGTCCAGACCACCGATGCCCATGTCCTCAAACTTGAAGTTCGGCTGGATGATTGCGTTCGCGGCCGGACGCTTCGACGACGCCTTGAGCTTGATGGGCGAGTCCTGCGCCTTGAAGAAGTTGATCTCGGTATGAGGCGTGAGGATTCCGCGAACATGCGGGCTCGAAGCCGCGGGCGCGGCCGAGGCGCCGCCTTTCTCGCCCAGATCAACGAGCTGCACCGACCGCACGATGATCTTGAACAGCATCGACTTGTAGTCCATAATCATCCTCTGCCCCGGCGCAAGAACCTGGTCGTGGTACAGGGTCGTGAACCACTTTCCGAGCTCGTCCTGGTCGTACTGTTGGTCCGAGATCTTGTTGCGGTTGTTGAACCCGATCTCGACGTCGAGCGAGCCGAGATAGACTTGGCCGCCGGTGCGGAACGGATCAAAGGGCACGATCGTGATTTCCTGGCCTAGAGACCATCCCGCCCACTCTCGCTGAACACCAGACGCACCAACCGTTCCAGGCTGCATTGCTTCCGCTCTAGAATATCACAATCGTTAGTTCAACCTGCTCGTAATCTCGAAATGTAAGAAGCAGCCGCGCGTACTTTGTAGTAAACACAAACATATCGTCAACAATCACATATTGATCCGATCTGAAATCCTGCGGCGAAACAATCAGTCTATTCGACAGCGCGAGCTCGTTCGTCGGCGCAGACATCACGCGCGCCACCCGCGCTCCAGAGGGGACATGCCCTCCTGCGCCGGTGCTCCCGCCCCGGCCGGGCGTGTCGAATGGGGTCGGCACGACGCGGCCAAACGAAGATGGCGAGGGCGAAGTGTTACCAGTTGATCTGCCAAAGGGACTTTTTCCAAACATGGCTGCTGGCTGTGTTTTGTGTGTGGAAGTGGGATTGGATGAGAGATGGGACCGGCTGAGGAGGAGGAGATACTGAGATACGAGGAGATTGTTGGGGTTGTTGTGGGGTGAGAAGTGCGGGTGCTGAGCTGTTTAAGCTGCGTGTTTTTGGACCCGCGATAACATCTACAGCGTGTCCTCTCCGCGACGTCATCCACTTCCTGCAGCTGAGCGATTCATTACAAAACTCCAATTTATTATTCACTAATAAGGATACTTTTACAATTGATTAACATATCTAGGATCCTCACAGCTTTGCCTTGCCACCGCGGAACAGCGATCTAGAACCCGGATCAAACATTAATCAACAAAACTTGAAGAAAAATCAGCGCGCTTCACCTTCTCCCTCGAACAAGCCGTAGAAGATATCCGATGAAGACCGGCGACGTAAGAAGCAAAAGGGTCTTGACATACCCCAGTCTGAAAAATAGACGGCCGACAAAGGTCGTCGGAATTGGACCCTCGCGTGGGAACGCGGCGGTCTTGGTCATGCCTTTCTCGAATAGACTGATGCGTTTCCAGGTGTATGGTGGGTACCGGATCTGCAGCGACGCGTGTCAGCATTTATCCTGTGAGAAATAAGAAAAGAAATTGACTTACAGCTGTGGCGAATTCGGTCCAGAATGGCTCAGTCATAAAAGCATATTTATGAGAAAACGTCTCAAACGAGTTCTTTCCATGGTAGGCACCTATCCCGGACTGTCCTACTCCTCCAAACGGAACCGAGGAGTCTCCCACATGGATCAGAGTACCGTTAACCATCCCGCTTCCGGCCGACACCTGCTGATGAATCTTCTCGATCTCCGCGCGATCTTGGGAAAACACGTAGAGCGCGAGAGGGTGGCTATGATTGTCCCGAACGTAGTCGATTCCTTGCTCGACCGAGTCAATCAAGACGATAGGCAACACCGGTCCGAAAATCTCGTCGACCATAGTCGAGTCGTCCACCGGCGGGTTGAGCACGACCGTCGGCTCGATGAAGCGCGATTCCACATCGGCAGTCTTCGTCCCGCCGATGACGACCTCGCCCTTTGTCTCGTCGATCAGCGTCTTTATGCGCTTATACGCGCCGTCGGAAACAATATGCGCGTAATCCTTAGAGTCCTTGGAAATAACCTCGCCAAAGAGCACGGCCAGCTGCTTCTTAATCTCCGGTACGAGCTTTTTCTCGATCCCGCGCTTGACCAGCAGATAATCCGGCGCGATACAGGTCTGTCCGCCGTTGATGAACCGGCCGTAGACGATCCGCTTGGCGACCAGCGCAAGATTATGCTCGTCGAGCACAAACGTCGGACTCTTCCCGCCAAGCTCAAGCACCACCGGGGTTAATCTCCTGCCCGCCTCCTCGGCAACCATAGCGCCGACGCGGCTGCTGCCGGTGAAGAAGACGAGGTCGTACTTGAGCTGGGTCACGGCGCGCGACTGCGGCAGCGCGCCTAGGACGATGTCGACGACGGAGTTGTCGAGGTGTGTGCGGACGAGTCGTGCGAGAGCCGACGAGGTGTGCGGAGTCAGTTCCGACAGTTTGAGCAGGACGGTGTTGCCGGCGGCGAGTGCGCCGATCAGCGGCACCAGCGCAAGCTGAAGCGGGTAATTAAACGGCACGACGATAAGCACTGTACCCATCGGATTGTATCGGACGGAAGGTCTCATCGCTTTCCAGGTCAGAGATGTGCTCAGCTGTTTCGGTTTCGCCCAGCTCGTCAGGTTATCCACAAAGTCCACACACTCATTCAACGCCATCGACAGTTCAGCGATAAACGTCTCCTGCGGCGGTTTATGGAAATCCTGATAGACGGCATCGAGCAGTGTGGCCTTGTTGTCGAGAATACCATAGTACAGCTTGCGGATCTGATCGAGCCGGAACTCGAGCGGAAGTGTTTTGTTGGAGCGGAAAGTCGATACCAGCTTTGAGTGGATCTTTGGGATCTCCTCGAGAGAAGTGTCCTCCAAGAGCGAAGGCTCTGTCACAGTTGTGGTTGTTGACATTTGTGTGGGATGGTGTGGACTGGTGAAGCAGTTGAAAATGCGGAGTTGGGTTCGAGGTTTTTATATCAACGTCATGGAATCGCGTGCGACCTCGGCTGCCGTCGATCGCCCGCAGTCAAGTCGTCAGCATTTTACACAAACAACAATCTATTTAACTAATAAATATACAGATAATTATTCAATCGAACAACACTCCTTAGCAGCCATATATTCCACATCTCGTCTTGGCCTGAACTCCCAATCGAATCGAATGGAGACGAGACGAGACGATTACCCTCTTTCGGCAACTCTCACACGTGCTATCCTTGCACTCTTCATTCAACTGCAAAATAGTAAAGGAATTCCATTACCACATTCATAAAAAAAAAGCAGCACGAAATAAAAATAGTGAAGCAAAAAAAAGTGAAAGTAGAAAAAAAAAAAAAGATGGCGACGCCGGCAGGACTCGAACCTGCGCTCCCAGAGGGAAAGAGATTTCTAATCTCTCGCCTTAACCGCTCGGCCACAGCGCCTTAATTGAAATTTTATTTTGGCCCTGTTCTATATAAATCTCTTTCAATACTGTTTGATTTGCGGTGATTTGAGGGTGTGAGTGGGTAATTGTTATTATGGAGTGTTTGGGATATGTGGAGAGGGGTTGAGAATGTAATTGAGGGGGATAAGAGTGGGAGAGAGGGAGTAAATGGCCTGGGATACGCGTCAATCGTGGATCTGTTTGATAGACCAGATGTACCTGCTACACAGCGACTTGACCAACACACCCTACCCAGAATCTCTCCTATATATTTATAATAATTACGTGTTCCAAATCTTTAATGCAGAGATTACATATGATCAATTCAAGTGCAGAGATCAACAGCAGCGCGGATCAAAAAATTGCAAACGACGCGAAATAGACTTCACATGTAAACAACCTCGTCGCGCCTCACTCCTCTCTTCCTCCTCCCTCCTCCCTCCTCCACACCACCTACGTCGACACCAACACCACTACTCCCCAGCTATGTCGACCCCAACCCCCTCATCACCAACAGAAGACCTTGCCTCTCTCCGTCTTTTACGCGCGTCGCTAGAGTCAGTACGCTTGCTCACCGCCGCTATCGTTCGCGATCTCGAGGCGTCGCGGGAGAATTACGTCGACAGCGCGAGTATGTTTGTTTGTCTTTTAGAAGCTGTCTCATTTGTGATTGGAAGAGAGTGGTCTGCTGATTTGTGTTTGTGATGTAGAGCAGATGGGTAAGCTAGAGGCGGTGTTGGAACATGTGCAGGCGCGTCAGGAGAAGAGTGGGTGATTTGTTTGTCTTGTCTAGATCCTTTTAGTATCATCACGGTTTGGCGTTTGGTATAATGTTATGTTGTTATGTTGTTTAATGTTTTATTGTAATGATTACTAGTATACATCTATCAGAAGCGCTGCCGGCCAAGCTTAGGCTTCCACTCCAACCCCGGATGACTTTCCGGCGTAGCCTCTGGATCCTCTCTCCAGATCTTTATACTCTTATCCGCCTCGCACGTAATCAACCGCAACCCAGTCTGATCGAACGTGCTCGCAAAGATCCCGCTCTCGGCATCAAGCGAGCCCGGCATGGCCGTCGTCTCAATCTCCTGGAACTTGTGCCCGCTCTTCCAGTCGAAGAACGCCATCGTCCCGTTATCGCCGCCGCTGAACATGACGCCGTCGGAGTTGGTCGAGAGCGTGTTGACGATCGCGTTGTGCTGCGGCTCGTAGTTTTGCATGAACGCGCCCTCCGGCAACTTCCACTGCTTGATGTTATCCGCGCTCCCGCTCGCAAACGTGAACTCGGTCGGATGCGTCGTGAGCGCGCGCACGGATTTCTTGTGGTGCGTCAGCACCGTCTGCGTCTTGCCCGCTGCCAGATCCCACAGGCGCACCTGCGTGTCCATGCTTCCGGTCAGAACCTGCGGGTCCTCGGCCTGGCACTTGACCGAGCTGATTGTTCCCTTGTGGCCCGCGAGCACATGCACCTCTCTGCGCGAGCGCATGTCCCACACGCGCGCGACGCCGTCGCGGCCAGCGGTAACCAGCACGTCGAGCGTCGGATGCAGGTCGAGCGCGTAGACGCCGCTCAGACTGCCGTGGTAGTGTCTAATCACCTTATTCTGCTCCAGATCCCAGCACTTGATCATCTTATCCTCGCCCGCGCTGAACAGGTACGGATGCCGGGGCGACACGGCCAGCCCGCGCACGGTCATGATGTGGCCCGTCAGCGTCAGCTTGAGCGTCCCGCTTGCGAGGTCCCAGATCTTGATCGTGCGGTCGCCCGCGCCGGTCGCGAACCACTGGTTATCCGGCTCGACGCACACGCTGCGCACCCAGCCTAGGTGGCCGGAAATCACCCGCATCAGCTTCCACGGCGCGTGCCACTCCGGCTTGATCTGCGTCACGTTCGCGCGGCGCTCCATGAGTGCGCGGGCGGCGCTTGATTGCGGCTGACGGTGAAGCGTGAGCTGCTGCTGTTGTTGTTGTGATGGTGGTGGAGGTGCAGTCTCGCTGTTGTGTGAGGAAATAGTAAGAGCGCTGGACTCCATCGACGCACGGGGTTGCAGCGATCCCGGCGGCGGCGGCGGCGGTAGAATCTCATTCAAAAGCGGATCGATATCTTTCCGAGCTGCGTCTTCTTTTTTGCGGGTCGCGTTGTTGGCCGGGGGGAGTTTTGCGGCGATGTGTGGCGGGAGAGGGGTGCGGGAGGAAGAGTACTCTGAGCGGAGTTTTGATGTGTATCTTATTCGTTGGCTGGTAGCATAGAGTGAGTAGATGAATACAAAGAAAAGATAGAGAGAGAAAGGAAATACCTCGTAGGCTCATTGTAATCGACAGAAAAGCCGTATGCTTTGCCAAACAGATCACGGCTGCGTTTATTCAACCGCTGATAGCAATAATCGAGTAACATTAGCACAGATCCACAGCACCAAAGAAACAAGTAATCAACAAACCTCAACACGGTCAATATCATCAATCGCAGCCATTTTTTATATGTATATGCAGTATACAAACAGCCTGTGCGGAGGAGGTTGTGAAGAAGGTGGGAGGAGCGAAGGATGGGTTTTTGCGGTGGTCGAGATGAGCCTGAGATTTGTGTTTTTTCTGCTTGAGCCGCGGCGTGCTGCTTTAACTGTTTGCAATTTCCAGATTTATCAGATTCTGTTTGATATCAGTCAGTTTCTATTCGAAGCAATTGATTGCTTTTATCTACATTTTATACAGGAAGATAGATTATTTGATTAAAAGATAAAATGGCCGATCAACAAGGTACGTGCTCACCTCAGTCTGATTCATTCTACTTCATATCTAACGATTTCAATATAATAGTCGATCTATCCCTTCTCTCCCCGCAACAGCTCAGCGAAGTCAAGAGCCAACTCGAGCAAGAATTAGAGCACCTCACGCAGTCGTTTCAGAAACTGCGACAGGCGCAGGCAAAGTTTCAGGAGTGTATCGTGTCGGTTGAGAAGACGACCAAGGCTGAGAATAAAGGTACGAGGGTTGAGCAGAGAAAGAAGATTGAGGGATGCTAATGGAAATGGACAGGCAAAGCGATTCTGGTGCCATTGACGTCGTCGCTGTATGTTCCAGGCACGATTGAGGACGTTGAGAACGTGATTGTCGATGTCGGAACCGGATACTACGTCGAGAAGGTATTCACCCATTCTCTTAACTCAATTGGAAGAATGAAGACTAACGAGAATAACAGAGCCCCAAGGATGCCAAAGTATTCTACGAAACAAAGGTCAGCACGCTACAGAAGAATCTCGGCGATTTGGAAACGATAGTGAACGGCAAGGCCGGCAATCTGCGGGTCGTGGACGAGGGTATGTTGAGTGATGGTTTATGTCGCAGAGGAGATGCTAACGAGCTATATAGTATTGCGGCAGAAGGTTCTTGCTGCACAGCAGGGGAAGACGGCGGCGTGAGTGTACATAGATTTTAATTATAAAGTATAGCATATGAATTTTGTAGAGTATAGATCAACTTTTATGTGGAAGTAGTATATCATATGGAGAGACCCTCACGCTTGGCCACATCAATGATCCACTTGCGCACCTTATCATCAACGCAGACGTCCAAGAAAGAGTGATTCTCGCGATCGAGAATGGTAGGATCGGCCCCAAGCTTCAGCAGCTCGATGACCGCATCACCATGGCCCTCAGCCGAGGCGTGAAAGAGCGCGGTCCAGCCGTCGCGGTCGGTGGGGTTTACAGGCCCGCGCGCGTCGGCGACGAGGAGGTTGATGAGCGGGATGTTGCCGATGGCGGCGGCGCGGTGCAGCGGGATCTGGCCAAGTTTATCCTTGACGCGAGCCGCGGCGGCGTACTTTTCGACGAGTCTGCGCGCGACGTCGATGCGCACGCGCGAGACGGCGTAGTGCAGCGGGGTCTGGCCGGCGGAGGTTTTTGCCGCGAGCGAGGGATCGCGCTGGAGAAGGAGATCGAGGATCTCGAGGGAGCCGACGGAAGCGGCGATGTGGGTCAAGGTCCAGCCGGCTTCGTCGGTGGAGTCGATGTCAAAGTCAGGCGGGGCGGCGGTGAGGAGGAGTTGGGTTATGGGGAGGTTTGCGGAGGAGACGGCCCAGAAGATGGGAGTGCGGTTGTCGTCGTCGCGCTGCGAGACGAGGGCGGGGGAGGAGCGGAGGAGCTCGCGCACGGCGAGATCACGGCCATCGCGGGCGGCGGAGTGGAGGGGGAATGGGTCGGTGTTGTCGGAGTCGGGATCAGCCATGGATGGTGAGGTGGTGAAGGTGAAGGTTGTGGAAGGTGAGCCGCATGAGAGGGAGAGAGAGAGAATTACAAGCTTTACAGAGAGAGAAAATTTAGAGAGTTGGACAGAGTTGAGAGAGAGTCAAAGAGATTAGGAGAGTTGAATACAGAAAGCAAGAACAGAAAGTAGATAGGAGTAGATAAGAGAATAAGAGAAGAAAGATAGAGCAGAAGTAGAATGAGTGGACAGAGAGGGCGGAGATAGGAAGAAGAAGAAGGCGGATAAGAGAGGGAAGAGGTGGCTGGCTGCAGAGCAAATAAGAGGGAATAGATAGAGAGAGATAGAGAGATAGTAGCTAAAGGTTAGTTATGTTGTAACTAGAGCACAGTGATGATATTAATTATATTAATTATATTATAACGATGGATCTAGGATATAGTGAGAGAGATAATATATTATTCACTATATTACAGCTAGGTCTCGTAGACTATAATTTACAGACTAAAACACACAATACGGCGGCTAAGGAGAGCCGGGCTGACAATGAACAAAGAATTTCGGTGACGTCGGCAATATCGGGGTTACGGATGAATACGAAATACGAGCCGTCGTTGCGAGGAGGATCTGTAGGAGGAGAGTAGTAGCAATAGTAGTAGTAGTAGTAGTAGTAGTAACAGAGTAGTAGTAATAGTAGTAATAACAGATGCAATAGCTTGAAATATCTATATCATATAATCTCTCTATATTACACTACTATTGTGTCTGTTCTATGTTCTATACACAACAACACAGCATCGCTACTCAGAGCAGCAACTCCAACAAGGACTCGAAAAATATCTTTTACAGATCGGGTCGGAGTAAGCAGGAATTAGCTCGTCTCTCATTGGCTGCATCTCCACCGCCTTCTCCTTCTCTCTCTCCCTCTCTTGCTCTCTGCTTCACGTATAATCACAATAAACACTCATAAAATCAACTTCTTCAGTCAATTCTGCTTCTATACATACCAGCAACTCCAACAACATATTGTACAGCCGCCGTGGGCAGCAGCAGCCGCGGCACACCCTCACAACTCCCCAGCCAATCACAGCCCGTCCAATTGTCATACGCCCGAGCCGCGCCGCCCAACCTGATCTGGCACTGTTTGGACAGGTCCTAATGCGGCCTAGCGCGCAAATCCAGAAACCCTCTGCCCCGGTGGCCGACTGCGGACGGCTGCTTATTAGAAGCCCGAGAGGCGCTGTTTGGGCCAGAACATCCTGATTTATCAACACCGCCTTTATCTTCCCCGTCCGCCCTTCTTCTCTCTTCTTCGTCTTCATCCTCTCCTCCACTCTTCACTCCTCACATCCACTTCACAATGGCTACCCTCGTCAGATGCCTCTTCGGCTACCAACCTTCCTCCTCCAGAGCGGTCCAGAAGCAGCGCTCCTACTCCTCCATCAACGACGTCGAGTCCGGCCTGCAGCCTAGCCACGCCCGCTCCGCCCTCTCCAACTCCCACATCGTCTACGACCCCGAGGACGAGGCCCGGCCGCTTCTGCAGACCGACCGCGTCACCTCCGTCGGATCGGCCTCCACCCTCATCGACGCCGAGGCCGCTTCCTCCTCCTCCTCCTCTATCACCGCCGCCTCCTCCTTGTCCTCCTCCTCCACCCGCTCGCACTGGTTCTCGCCCCGTCTGATCTCCGACGCCGTCATCGGCCTCTCCGACGGTCTCACCGTCCCCTTCGCTCTCACCGCCGGCCTCTCTTCCCTCGGCAACACAAAGATCGTCGTCACCGGTGGTATCGCCGAGCTTGTTTCGGGCGCCATCAGCATGGGCCTCGGTGGCTACCTCGGTGCAAAGTCAGAGTCTGACTGCTACAAGTCGCAGCTCGAGAGGGAGCGTCTTCTGCTACAGAACGCCCGGCATCTCTCCGAGGAGGCCGTCAGCGAGAGTCTTGCTGAGTACGGCTTCGCCGAGTCTACTGTCTCTGCCATTCTTGGCGACCTCGAGAAGAGCCCCGAGGAGATGGTCAACTTTGTTATGAAGTTTGGGCGTGGTATGGAGGAGCCGCCTATCGGCCGCGAGTTCATCTCCGCTGCCACTATCGGCACTGCCTACTTCCTCGGTGGCTTCGTTCCTCTCTTCCCCTACTTTTTCGTGCACACTGTCCAGCTCGGACTGATTCTGTCGTCGGTTATCATGATTGTCACTCTTTTTGTCTTTGGTGTCGCGAAGACCGTCTTCACTGGTAACACCAGCAAGCTTCATGCTGCCTGGGGCGGAGTTCAAATGGTCATAACAGGAGCCGTAGCCGCAGGCGCAGCTTACGCCATGGTGCGGTTCATAGATACCGCTTGATGCACTTTACTTTTTTCATTCCTTTTTGTTTTGTTTAGAGCCTTTGATAGCTCGGTTGCATATTTGTTATACACACACTCCTTTTATGAAATTGCGCGCGGATGTTGCTTATGTATATGATTTGAAGGATGAAGCCGGTTTGCTGCTGCTGTTGTTGTTTATTTTTTGACGTTGCCATATCATAATGCGTTGTCTTTGTTGTGTCTTGTCTTGTCTTGCTCGTTGTGAATTCGTCTGTTTTGATAGAGGCATGGGTTTAGTTATTGTTTACGCTGGTTTGCTTTCCACTTCTTTTGTACATATTTTGACAATCACTCTCCACTGTCCCGCTGGGCGCGACGGGCAGAATAAAATAATGAATACCTATTACTTCTCTTACTATACTCTACTCTACTATACAGCATACAGACACATGCAGAGATCGCAGGCCTTGATTGGAGCAGCGATAGAGATAATGCGGGCCGATAGAAGAGAGTTTCGATAGAGTTTAACAAGTAACCTTAATCTGGGTCCGCGTACTGCTTTGGGCATCTCGGTGTTACAAAGCAGCCAGGCCAGACCAGGCCGCTGAGGGCAATGGACGGGTTGGGATCACGTCAGGATGAGACGGACTGACGATCGAGGGAGGAGTGAGTCTGGATCTGGGAGCAGGCGTCTGGTGCAGTCGTGGAGGAGTACTCGGACTTGATGAAGGAGAAGTCGTGGCAGACAGTGAGGAATGGTGGAGGTGGAGGGGATGGTTGCCATGGCACTCGTTCTCTGGACTGGATCAAAACAACAACATTTCTCACTCTGCCACGCTTCTCGACCAGCATACACATCTATATAATACCATTCGAATCAGAATCATTATACAAACCCAATTGACCAGTTCACCATCTTCCTATCCACCGTCTTGGTACAGAAAACCACCTGCAAAATACAAGTGCTGCAACAATCACCACCTCAATCAACCAGTGCATTGTCCACATTCCTCGCCTCTTATCGGCCTCCCCTCGTCCTCAACCTTCCCGTACCTTTTCGCTCGTTTCTTTTTTCTTCTCCTATTTTCGAGATTGGAAAAGGTTCGCGGGAAAGCAAAAGCAAAAGCAAAAGCAAAAGTTTACCGGCGCGCAGCGGTGCGGGTGCTCTGACCTCGGTTCTCTGACCTCCGTGGGCTTCATTCGGATATTCCCCCGGCGTGAGATTGTGTAGGGTACGGCTGTATTGCGGTTCTTCTTGTCTTGTCTATCCCGTCAAGGTTGAGTAATCGAGTTAACTATTAGGTAGTTGATCGATGATCTGATTGACTGAAAGTGCTGTCCCTCAAGGTACTCCCCACACTCAGCCATCGTCATACTACAGATTTATTCCCCCTCACATCAAGTCTACTCATCTCGAGAACCAATATAACTGAATTTTTGAACTTCCTGCATCATGATAGAAATACGTTGAGTATTTTACCCACATCAAATATATCACCACAAACCCCACAGCTTACACCACAAACCCTTCCCTTCCCCAAAGCTGATCCGGAGCGCTTTCTCACAAGCCTGAACCTCGAATCAGACACCACCTGTACACCCACAATGTCGGCTCGGAGACTGATCTTTTCGCCGCTGCGACGGCAGAACTTGTATACTCACCGGCCAGTGTTTCCCCTGCGCTCGTTCAAGACCTCTGCGAGAAGCCTCGATGCCGCGCCCGCGGCTGCAACTTCTCCACCACCACCACCCCCGCGCTCTGGCACATTCGGCAGATTCATCAAGGGGTTTTTCAAGTACCTCGTCCTCCCAACTACAGGCTTTGCGGTCTCATACCTTGTAACCTGCAAATTCCTCTACTTCTCCGACCCCGACTCTGCCGCGCAACTCACGGCCGACTACGACGACACGCACATCCCGACCGCGATCGAGATCGCGACCGAGTCCGCGTTCGACAGGCTCGATCTCGTGCAGGAACTGCGCGCGAACCCGGTTTACGAAGAGACACGGCCGCATAGGGATATCCCTGCGCTTGTGCGCGAGCACTCGCTCTCGACGGGCGTGCTGCACGCCGACGACAAGATCCCTGCGTCCTCGCTCGTGTTTGTGAATCGCGCAAAATTAGAGTCGGTAGCGGTGTTTAAAGTCGGCAAGAATCTGTGCGGACATCCCGGGATCGTGCACGGCGGGTTGCTCGCGACGATTCTCGACGAAGGGTTGTGTAATACCGGCTTCTACGCGCTGCCGTCAAACATCGGCGTCACGGCGCGGCTGAAGCTCGACTACCGCGCGCCCGCGTACGCGGACCAGATCTTGGTGCTGAAAGCGCGCGTGACGAAGCACGAGGGGAGGAAGGTCTGGGTCGAGGGGCATATCGAGACTGTGCCGGCGAAGAGCGGACAGAAGCCGCAGGTGCTGGTCGAGAGTGAGGCGATGGTTGTCGAGCCGAAGTGGGCGGGCATGTTGACGCGGATCGTCGATATAAAGTCATAGGTTTTGTATATAGAATGAATAAACTGTATGTAAATGTCTATATCGTACAAACACAATGCAAAAGAGCAAAGAACCCAAAACAAATTATCTACTTTTGAACTTTTAACAATCAATCATCGCCGAGTAAATGCTGATAATCCTCCGCAGAAGCAAACATCGGCAACTCCTTCAACTTGCGCCGTTTCTCTCTCGACCCGGATTTCTTCTTCTCCTTCGGCTCGTCTTCAGCGTCAACGTCGTCGTCGGCCGCGGCGGTGCGTTTCTTGCTCTTGCTGACCTTTGTGTTTAGAGATTCGTTTTCTTGCGCAAACAGAGCGGCCATCTCGTCGTCGTCGTCGGCGCCGGCAATCACGTCTTCTTCATCAGAATCCTCGTCGTCGTCGTCGTCGTCGTCGTCGTCGCTGGAGGCGAATGCGGCTGCCAACGCGCGGTCTTCTTCCGAGTCGTCGTCGTCGTCGATCTCGTCGTCTTCAAAATCGCTCTCGACACCATCTTCCTCGGCGTCCTCGTTCTCATCCTCTGCCTCCTCATTTTCATCCTCCTCATAATCTTCAAACTCAAGATCCTCATCCTCGTCATCACCCGCAAGATCCCCAATCTCCTTATCGCTCCTCATCATCGCTTTCCACACCTCATCCTCATCCAACTCCTGCCCTTCCTCGTCATCAATCTCATCCGCGATATCCCCATCGCTATCCACATTCTCCTCCTCCTGCTCCTCCTCCGCGTCCTTCTTCGGCTTAACCCCCTTACTCACAAAGTACTTTGCAAAGAACTGCTCGTCCAGCCCGACGCCCAACTGACTCCTCTTTGCCTTCTCCGCCTCCGCAGCCCAGTCTACAGCATTCACGCTCTCGATCCCCCGTCGCGCGCTCTTCGTCTTCAGCACAAGCACGTTCTTGCTAACATACCCCGCATTCCCCGCCAAAGGCTGCATGATACTCCCCGCGCCGCCGCTCGGCGCAGTGCTGGCTTTCGTCTTGGGCGCCTTGTACACGAACCGGTCGAGGAAGTGCGTGAGCGTGTGCAGCGCAAGGTCAGGTCGCGCGCCGGGCGCGGTGCCGGCGAGGTAGTGCGTCGCGAAGTGGTTCACTGTTGGATGGAAGTGGCGAGTGAGGGGGAGAAGTTCCCACAAGCACGATGCAGAGGCGTTGGAGTGTAGAGGATCGTGCGTTTTGCCGTTGTATGTCAGCACGGTCGGCTCTGCTTTCACGAGTTTCTGTTCCTCGTGATCGCTCTCCTCGTCGTCTTCGTCGCGCACGTCTTTGAAAACTTCCTCGGCGTCGTCGCCTAGATCTGGTGGATCGGTGATCAGGGTGCGCAAGTACGGCATCGCACTCTCAATCTATACACCTGTTAGCTATATCCATGACACTAAAAAGCAAGAGTAGAACCCACCTCACTCAAGAGATAAATAACACCCGCGCAGAATCCAATATTCAAAGTCTCAGCCGCGACCTGCACAAGTCTCTTTGCGTACGCCTTGACGCGCTCGGGTTTGATATCCGCCTTCATCGCCTTGAACACCAAGTTCAAAAACAGCGCCTGCTTCGACGACACAATCACTCTCGGATCCAGCAGCGACTCGTACAGCGTGTTGTAGAACCGATCGGACTGCACCTGGTTCGCGGACGTGATCTGGAAGAGCAGCATGAGCGCCTGCACGCGCGCGTTGAAGTTGCCGGACCGCGCGACGTCGTAGATCACGTTGAGGTGCGACTTGAAGACGGCTTCGTCGAGCGACGAATAGGGGAACGCGCGGTTGAGACCGGTAAGGATGGCGGACACGAGCCGCATGTTTGCTTCCTCGAGCGCCTCGGGAGATTGCTTGACTGCCTGCTGCGTCGTCGAGGGTTTGGCCTTGTGCTTCTTTTGCTGCTCTTGGAGAACCGCGGCTTTCTTGTCGGATTTCCAGCGGCCTTTCTTCTTCACTTTCTTGTCCTCGACCTTGTTTTCCTTCGCGGCCTTGGTCTCCGCCATCAGCCGCTCAAACACATGGAAGTAAATCTCGATGAGCACGTTGGCGAGGTCCTTGTCCTTGTTTGTAACAATCGTCTGGTTCAGCGTGATCATGCTGTAATACCGCGCGTGGTAATCCGCACCGGGCCGAAACACGAGCTCGGAAATCGCATTCACAATCACGCGCTTCATCGCCGGATGCGCCTGCTCGAGCGTGAGCAGCAGGTGCGACGCGCGCGACGCAACCCGTCTGTCGGCGTCGCCGAGCTTGTTCACGCTCAGTCGCAGCAGGTTCACTTCCTGCTCGGGCTTGTCGCGGATCAGATCGACCAAGTCGCCCAGCACGCTCGTCCGCACGTGCACGATCGCGTCGTGCGAGAGCTGCTCGAGAAGCTGCACGAAGCTAAAGTAGAGCTGCTTGAGCCAGTCCTCGAACGCCCAGAGCAAAGTCCACTGCTTTGCGAGCTTGACTGCCTTTGCATCCAGCGGTGCGTGCTTGACGACGGCGGCGTAGAGCATCGCGAGCGCGGCGTTGTCGCGGTTCGTGAACCACACGAGTTTCCGGTCGGGCAGCACGTTTCCCGCGCCAAACAGATCCCTGAGCGACTCGACTGCTTGCAACGCCGCCGTCCTATTCTTCTTCTTTGCCAGCGCCATCAGGCCGTTGAGTGACCGCGTCGAGTGCAGCGGGCATTCTTGGATCACGAGCGTGAGCGCCGAGATCCGATCAGAGAGCGTACCGGCGGTCGCAATCTCGGTAAAGAACTGGCGCTGCGACGACGACTTGCCAGCCTGGCTGAGATACGCCTCTGTCTCTGTCTCGAGCTCTTCGAGACCGGCCTTGAGCAGCTCGGCCTTAGCCTCGGCGGACAGCTCATCTGCAGTCGCGAACGAATCGGCAACGACGAGCTCGTCAAGCAGATCCGCGGCGTGCCATAGCGGCTGCACGGGGATCAACAGCGGTCGGTGCTGCTTCGGCTTCTGCACAGATTTCTGCAAGACCGAGGGCGATTTGGCGGGCTTTGCGGTGCCGTTGTTGTCGAAACGCGAGTGCTGGTGCTGTTGCTGGTGTCTTTGATTCGAGCGGTTATGGAACTGCTTGCCACCCCCCTGGCGCGCGGTTGAAGCACTCATGACGAGTGAGATAGCAGCTTATTCTTGCCCGTAAAGACAAGAACTGGGCAGAAGAAAGTGCTAAAGAGAACAAAAGCTGTTCTTTTTGCAGAAAACCAGAGCAGAAAAGTCCCAATTTTTTTTTTCTCTTTGCTGTTTCGAGCCTCGATGATGTGAGTCGGGTGTGAGTTGTGAGTGATGTGTGACTCGCAGCTGCAGCTTCCGGTGTTGCCAGCCTCCACCTCGACCTTATCGTCATCATCTCTTCATCATCAATCATCATCATCATCAGAGACAGTAGAGTGGTGCTCCTGTCTGAATAGAATACAATTGAATCTCAGCTCCACTGAAAATGTCGCACTCTTCGCAGTCTCTCGGCCACGTCCCGATCGAGGATCACTCGTTCTCCGCCGACCGCGGCACGCTCGCGCTCGCCCGCGATATCGGCGTCGAGCTCTACGACACCTCTGGTCCAAAGTACACGCTGCGCACGTCGCTTGCCGGCCACGACAAGACGGTGACGGCGGTTGACATTGCGCTGCAGTCGGGCCGGATCGTGACGTGCTCGCAGGACCGCAATGCGCTGGTGTGGGAGCCCGCTGCGGACGGCACGTACAAGCCCACGCTTGTGCTGCTGCGCATCAATCGCGCGGCGACATTTGCGCGCTGGTCGCCGGACGAGAAGAAGTTTGCGGTTGGCTCGGGTGCGCGCGCGATCGCGGTCTGCTACTTTGAGGAGGAGAACGATTGGTGGGTGTCGCGCCATATCAAGAAGCCGCTGCGCTCGACGGTGCTGTCGGTGGAGTGGCATCCGAACTCGGTGCTGCTCGCGGCGGGCAGCACTGATTCGCACGCGCGCGTGTTTTCCGCGTTTGTCAAGGACGTGGATGCGAGGCCGGCGCCGACGGTGTGGGGCGAGCGGGTGCCGTTCCAGACGCTCTGCGGCGACTTTGTGTCTCCGGCCGGCGGGTGGGTGCACGACGCAGCGTTCTCGCCGTCGGGAAACGCGCTCGCGTTTGTGTCGCATGACTCGTCGGTGACGGTGGTGTACCCGTCCGGGCCGGAGCAGCCGCCCGCTGCGATCGTGAACATCACGACGACGATGCTACCGTTCATCTCGCTCGTGTGGTTGTCTGAGAACGAGATTGTGGCGGCGGGCCATGACTGCCACCCGGTTGTGTTTGTGGGATCGGACCAGCAGGGATGGCAGCTCGACCACTCGGTGGACGACCCGCTGAAGGTGAAGAAGAGCTCTGGGAAGGAGAGCTCGGCGTTGAATATGTTTCGACAGATGGATCTGAAGGGCACGCCTACGTCTGCGTCGGAGGACTCGACGCTGCCTACGATTCACCAGAACACGATTACGTATGTTTGCTCTTCTATTGATTACAAGCGCAGCAGAGCTAACAAGATTTATAGGAAACTGCGGGCATACGCCAGCAGCGGCGGCAGAGTGACGAAGGTGTCGTCGACGGGCGTTGATGGGAGGGTTGTGATTTTCAGCGTGTAGATGTATTAATAATCACACAGAATATATTTACATAAACAATGAATAAGCAAGTTAGGGCTCAACCCTACACACTCTGTGACTGTGACTGCTCTTTCAGGAACAGGGTTTCTCGCTGGCGGCGGGCGGGTTGGGACAGACTCAAGTCGTCTGCTCGTCCGCTTCTCGCTCAAACACCGTCTCTCTTCCTACCCCCAACCAACCCCGTCGTCAACATCATCAACAATGGGTATGTGCATTAGAACTCAGTGATTTCGAGTAGCGGAGATGAAAGAGAATACAAGAATATGTGGAAACTAACAGCTCCCAGGTCGCGTCATTCGCAATCAGAGAAAGGGTGCTGGATCCATCTTCACCTCGCACACCCGTCTGCGCAAGGGTGCTGCTAAGCTGCGCACTCTCGACTACGCCGAGCGTCACGGATACATCCGCGGAATCGTCAAGGAGATCATTCACGACCCCGGTCGGGGTGCTCCGCTCGCCAAGGTTGTCTTCCGCGACCCCTACAAGTTCAAGCTCCGCGAGGAGACCTTCATCGCCAACGAGGGCATCTACACCGGCCAGTTCATCTACGCCGGCAAGAAGGCGTCGCTCAACGTCGGAAACGTTCTTCCCCTCGGCTCGGTTCCTGAGGGTACCATTGTGAGCAACGTCGAGGAGAAGGTCGGCGACAGAGGTGCGCTTGCCCGGACTTCGGGCAACTACGCCATCGTCATCGGACACAACCCTGACGAGGGCAAGACCCGCTTGAAGCTTCCCTCGGGAGCCAAGAAGGTTGTTTCGTCCGACGCCCGTGGTGTTGTCGGTGTTGTTGCCGGCGGTGGCCGTGTCGACAAGCCTTTGCTCAAGGCCGGCCGTGCGTTCCACAAGTACAAGGTCAAGAGAAACTCGTGGCCCAGAACCAGAGGTGTGGCTATGAACCCCGTCGACCATCCCCACGGAGGTGGTAACCACCAGCATATCGGTAAGGCGTCGACGATCAACAGAGGAGCTGTTCCTGGACAGAAGGCTGGTCTTATTGCCGCCAGAAGAACAGGTCTGCTCAGAGGTACCCAGAAGACCAAGGATTAAAGAAAAATGTTTTATTATTTTTTATTTATATTTGGTTTTTTCATGTTTATATATATAATGCGACGGGTCATCTAAAAGCAGCAGCAGCAGCAAGAAAGCAAGCAAGCAAAAACGGTGTACTGTATAATCAAGAGAGTTATGAACAGTAAGAGCTTTTATTAAGTACATGAGATTTGATCTCTAGCTATTGTATCATGAGTATTCAGAGTATCTACTCCTTAAAGATCTCAGGAGCAAAGCCTTTGATCTCTTCGAAATCACGAAGCTCGTAGTGACCAGCGAGAGTAGGAGGAGTCTTGTCGAGCGGGTCGAGGTATTGGATTGTTTTCTTCCAGCCGAATTCTTTCGCTGCCTTGATGTTGACTGTTGTGTGTTAGAGAGTAAGAGTAAGAGAGTAGATGGAGAAGAGGGCTTACTGAAGGAGTCATCGATAAAGTAGCATTTGTCTTTTGAAGATACACCTGCCATTTTCATAGCTGAGTCTTGTCAGTATAGATATTGAAGTAGAGAGGGAGTAGTTGACATACCGCGCTCAAACATCTCGGGTTTTGGCTTGCAGATAAGAATCTCCTCTGCGTAGTCACAGAAGGTCACGCCTGGAAGAAGTTAGACTGGAGATAGAAGAGGAGATGAAGGGTAGTAATCCTACCTTCGAAAAGATCCTCGACTTGCAAAGCCTTGACGACGCGCCTAGATAGTGACAACTAAAGGTAAGAACGAGGTAGAGCAGATAGAGATAGGAAGGGAGATGGCACGCACGAGGCATGGGTCTTGTAAGCGTTTGTGAAGAGCCAGAGTTTGACCTTTGATTTATCGATCGACTCGAGGAATTTGCGGAGTTTGGGGTCTGTGGTGAAGTGAGTATTGAGAAGTGAGGAGTGGAGGGGAGGAGAGGAGGGGGAAGGAAGTACCTGGTTTGATGACCTCTGCGATGGGAAGGGCGTCGTCGACTTTGCTGTTGTACTCTAGCGGGTCTGGAGATGTTGTTAGTGAGTTGTTAGTGAGTTGTTACTGAGTAGGATCGATAGTTGGAGGAGGGAATGGTAATACCAATCTCGTGATGGCGGACTGGAGAGATAATCAGTCAGTATCTGTATTCAACATGTTCACTCGACACAGTAGTTCCTACCAAGTCCCTCTATCGCAAGTCCATAGTCCTACAAGTTCCACATTAGCACCTCTTCTTCCTCTCTCTCTCTCTCTCTCTCTCCCACTCACCTTATAATACCGCTGGTGCAGCTCCGAGGCCTCTTCAAAGTTGAGACTGAGCTTCTCCATAAAGTAGTCGTCAATCAGCTTCGCCATGATATCGTGGATCTTGTAGGACCGCGGATACAGGCAGTTGTCGATGTCGAAGAAGAACACGATTCTGTCGTCTGCCATTGTTTCTTTCTATTCTCTTTCTTGTTTATCTGTTTATCTGTTATAAGCAAAGTAGAGTCGATATCTGAGGTCCGGGTGTTTACGTGCCGTGATTAAGGTTTGAACATAAACCCTAAATCGCTACTCCTTCACTTCTCCTTCCTCACTTCTCCTCCTCCTTCCCCTCCTCCTTCCTCACTCTCCCTCACTCCTACTCCCCCTTGTTCTCTGTGCTGCTCAAGATGTCTGAACCAGTGCAACCGCTGTCATCTGCAGGACTTCCTTTCGATCCCGCTGTCGAGGCCCAGAAGCTGCTCGATTTACGCGCAAAGGTCTACGCTGGTGCCTATCCCCAGTTCGCTGTGACCAGCAGCAACAGCAGATCTACTCCTCGTCTTTCTTCTCCTGCTCCTGCTGCTTCTGCTGCTTCTGCCATCCCGACTGCTCCTGCTTCATACTCTGCTTCTTCTCATTCTCATCACCCTGCTCCTCCTGCTCCTCCTGCTCCTTCGCATCCCCACCACCGCCCATACTCCCCTCCTCCTTCTTCTTATGCACCTCCGCCTGCCGCCGCCGCCGCCGCCGCGCCTTACCGCTACGAGGACGACTACCGCGACGGCTACAGATCAGCGCATTATCCTTCCTACCCCGACGATGCGCACAAACGCAAGGCCGCAGACTGGCCCGACGACCCGCGCAAACGCGCCGCCCCTGCCTCGTCCTCTTCCTCTTCCTACCCTTACGCGGCCCATCCGCCTCCCCCTCCCCCTCCTCCTCCCTCATCCATCCCACCCCGGTCTCCCCAGGAACCAGGCCGGCCGTACTACGACGACTACGCGCGTCCGTCGCCGTACTATCCCCCCTCCGCGCCTGCGCCATACAGAACGACCCACGCGCCGCCTCCTCCTCCGCCGCCCGTGCCGTCGTCATACGACTACCGCCCGCGCTCGCCCTCGGGCTCGATCCAAATGAGCACAGCCGTGCTGCCGTCGAACGTGGTCGTCGACGACGGATACACGCGCGACACGCAGCGCGGATACGAGCTGTTCATCCCCTCGGCGGCAAAGAAAGGCAGGTACCTGCCGCAATCCCCGGGCTCGCCTACGCTGTCAGAATCTGGTGCTGGTGCCGGACAAGCGGGGTCGGGATCGCCGCGCGCGGAGGGCTCGTCGTCGAAGTACGGGCAGTATGCGCCGCCGCCGCCACCGCCTCCGCCTCCTCATCAGTCGTATCCGCCTGCGAGAAGGGAGGAGGGGCGTCGATGGGGTGGGTATCCTCCTCCGCCATAGGCGTTGGTGTGTTGGTGTGTTGATGTATAATTATTCCTTAAAATCATATTATTAGTGACATACAAGTAAGCTCAAAGATCTAATATACAAACATAAAAAGAGAAAAAACCAAACATATCGTACCAAAACACACAAGATACACTTCATCTACTCTACTCTACTCACGTCTCGAAAATATTCGAAGGAATGTTATGCAGCAACCACGTCAACGAATGCCATTTCCCATCCGGTCTAATGCGCAACTGCTCGAGTTCATGACAACAGTCCTCCGCGGACTTTCCCAGCTCGATTCCCTTCTCGATCGCGTCGTAGACCGCGCGCTGGCGCTGGAACTTGCGACTTTGCGCGGAGCGGGCGCCGCCGCGCCAGGCGGTGCCGTGCTGGTTCTCGAGGGTGCGGATGGCGGGACCGCCGTTGATGCCGTGCGCGTACTCGATCCACATGTCTTTGACCGAGCGCACGTTGATGGCCATGACGTAGAGCAGGACCGAGGTGTCTGCCCTGCGCTCGGACGGGCGGCGGGGGGTGTGGGAGGGGGGGAAGGGGGGGGCGACTGCTTGCTGCTGTTGTTGTTGTGCTTGCTGTTGCTGCTGTTGTTGCTGCTGCTGCTGCTGCTGCTGTTGTTGTGCCTGCTGTTGTTGTTGAGCCTGTTGCTGTTGCTGCTGCTGTAGCTGCATCTGCTGCAGCTGAAGCTGCGAGGCCGGCTGCTGCTGGCTTGGGATCGGGGGTCCGCGCTGTCCGATCTGAGGTAATGGCGCGAGGTTGTGAAGGGGTTGTAGAGGCGGTTGTAGAGCGGGTGCAAGCTGCGGTGAGGGCTGCATCTGTCGCTGTTGCCGCTGTTGTTGTTGTTGTTGTTGTTGCTGCTGTTGCTGCTGCTGCTGCTGCTGGGGCTGCTGGGGCTGCATCGGCATTGGCATTGGCTGCTGCAGAGCCGCTGGCTGCTCTCTGATCTGGATAATACTCTCGTGCACGCGTTTCGCGGCCGAGTTGATGAGGTCGACGTCGCGCTCGATGTCCGCGACGGCGCGCCCGCCGACGCGTTGCGAGACCGTGTCCGCCACGATCTGGACGTCGAGCATGTGCTGGCGCTTGATAACCTCTGCCTCTGACGCAAAGTCTCTCTTGAGGACCTTGATCTCGTCTCTGAGCAACCCGATCTGGCCGAGCAAGTCGTCGACCTTCTCGCCCACGGCCGACGTGGCCTCGATGTGCTCCGCGCGCTCGGTGCGGACGACCTCGACGAGGTACTGCATCTCGCTCGCGAGCCTGCCAATCACGTTGTTCGTCGACATTGCGGTGTTTTGCATCATGCTCTTGAGCTCGCCGATGGCCGCGCGCATCTGGTCGTCGTTCACCATCATGCCCGCGACGGCCTGGCCGGTTGCTGTGGTCGGTGGCGAATCGTTCAGGATCGAGCGGTCGTCCCAGCGGGGCATCTGCTGCACGGTCTAGTTATCAGAGCAGCTGCGGGATCAACAGAGAAACACGCGACGACGACGCGTTCGGCTTCCGGGGTCGCTTTTGGTTGTTTTGGTTGTTTTGAATTGTCGACTGTCGAGGATCCCGCGTCGAGAGAAGAGTCGCGAGTCGTTGCTGACTAAGAAATGTCACGTGGTCGACACGTCTGTTTTCTGTAGAGCAGTTGAGTGTGTTATTGTAGATATATCTTGGATAGAGCAATTAGTACAATTCACAATGACTTCAGGTAGAAGCAACAGCCTCTCTCTCATCGCAGACATCTCCCCATCCTACTGTCCCTCCCGCGTCCGCAAATGGTTCTCCTCCCGCACCGGCCTCCAGCTCGTGCTCGTGGACCAGGACCGGCCCATCGTCGAGGGCTACTTTGCTGTCGCGACCGAGATCGAGGATGATTCCGGCTGTCCTCATACTCTCGTGAGTCTCTTTATTTCAATTCAAACACTGCTCAATCTCCCCTTCTAACTCCCCCAGGAACACCTCATCTTCATGGGATCCGCCGATCATCCCTACAAAGGCCTCCTCGACACCCTCGGCAACCGCGCCTTCTCCTCCACAAACGCATGGACGGCCACAGACTCAACCGTCTACACCCTCTCCACCGCAGGCTGGCAGGGCTTCCGCTCCCTTCTCCCCGTCTACCTCGACCATCTCGTGCGCCCGACGCTCTCCGACGCGGCCTGCTACACCGAAGTCTACCACGTCGACGGCAAGGGTCATGAGAAGGGCGTCGTCTTTAGCGAAATGCAGGGCGTCGAGAACGAGGCTTCGACCATCGCGAACCTCCACGCAAAGAAGATTCTCTACCCCGACTCATCTGGCTACTCCTCCGAGACCGGCGGCCTCATGGGCGCCCTGCGCGTGCTCACGAACGACCGCATCAGACAATTCTACGAAGCCCTCTACCGCCCCGACAACCTCTGCCTCATCATCGTCGGCTCCGTCGACGCCGACGAGCTTCTCGAGACCGTTGCCGAATTCGACGCCACCCTGCCAGATCTCGACCCTGCCTCTAAAAAACCCCGGCCGTTCGTCGACTCGCCGCCCGTGCCCCGGCTCCAGCAAACGACCGTCAAACTCGTCGATTTCCCAGACAAAGACGAGTCCTCCGGCCACGTCCTCATCTCCTTCCAAGGCCCGCCGGCCACCGACGTGCTCACAAACACGGCGCTTCATGTGCTGCTGACCTACCTCACCGAATCAGACGTCTCGCTGCTCCGCAAGAAGCTAGTCGAGATCGAAGTCCCGCTCGCGACCGAGATCGAGTCTTACACCGAAGACTTCATCGACACCGAACTCGACCTCTGGCTCCGCAACGTGCCCACATCCAAACTCGAGCTCGTGCACGCGACCCTGTTTGACGTTCTTCGCGAGCACGCCGACGCTGCTCGCAACGAGTTTGATCTCGGCCGCATGCGCGACGTCATCCGTCGCGAAAAGCTGCAGTTCATGCTCCATTCCGAGCGGTACCCGTCCACGCTCGCGACCCTGGCAATCACCGACTTTCTCTACGGCGACCGCGAGACTGGAAAGTCACTCGTCAACCTCGTCGGCGACCTCGACGACTACGAGACCGTGCTGGGGTGGGAGGTCAGCGACTGGCTTGATCTGATGCACAAGTGGCTGCTCGACGTTCCGCACGTCGCGATCCTCGCGCAGCCATCGGCTTCGCTGGCCAAGAAAATCAGATTGGACGGCAAAGAGCGCGTGCGCAAGACGCGCGAAGAGCTAGGCGAGCAAGGGCTCGAGCAGCTGGCAAAGAAGCTAAAGTCCGCGCAGGACGAGAATAACCGCAAGATCCCCGACGACCTGCTCGAGCAGTTCCCTGCGCCGGATCCGGCGAAAGTGCGGTTCATTAAGACTGCTACGGGAAGAGCGGGGCTTGCGCTGGCGGAGGGGCAGCAGCAGAGTGGGAGCGAGGTGCAGGAGATTCTTGATAAGGACGGAGCGAGAGAGGCGCCGGTGTATGTGCACTACGAGCACATAAAGTCCAACTTTGCAACCCTGTCGGTCGTGCTTTCGACGTCAGTTGTTCCCGAGGACAAACTCCCGCTGCTCAACATCCTACTCGCCAATTTCTACGCGACCCCGATCGAGCTCGACGACGGCAGCGTGCTGGATTACGAGGCGGTAGTGACGCGACTGAAGCGCGACACGCTCTCAAACTCGTACTCGAGCGGCTACGACGGCGAGTTTGACGAGCTGCTCACACTCGATTTCGAGTTTGTCCCCGAAAACTACGCAAAGGTGGTGGACTGGCTGCGGCTGCTGATGTGGCGGTCAAAGTTCGACGTCGCGAGGCTGCAGATTGTGGTCGAGAAGATGGCGATGGGGATTCCCGAGATGAAGCGTACGGGGACGACGGTGGTGCGGTCTGCGACGCGGAGGCTGCTGTTTACACCGCGGTCGGCGGCGCGGGTGCTCGACGAGCTGGATTTTGAGGATCGGTTGCAGGAGGTCAGCGCGCTGTTGAAGAGTGATCCGCAGGCGGTCGTCGACGAGTTGGAGCAGATCCGAGCCGCGCTGTTCACGGTCGAAAACATGAGACTGATTGTATGCTCTGATGTGACGAAGCTAGTCGATCCCGTGTCGTCGTTCACAAAGATCTTGCTTAAAGACAAGAAGTCAGCAGCAGCAGCCTCGCTCGTGCCAATCACCCGCACGCTCGAGAACCTGACTCCCGAAGGCGCAAGTCTGGGCGGGAAAGCATATCTCCTGCCGGTCCCCTCGACCGAGTCCTCGTACGCAACCGTATTTGCAAACGGCCCGACCGCGTTCGACGACGCGGACGTGCACGCGATCGCGGTCGCATGCTCGTACCTCGAAGCGGTCGAGGGCCCGTTCTGGCGGGGTATCCGCGGCGACGGACTTGCGTACGGCGCCGGGATGCTGCGGTCGATTGAGTCAGGGCGGATCGGGTTCCGGGTGTATCGGGCCGCGGACGCGTTGGTTGCGATTGAGCGGGCGCGGGAGATTGTGGGCGGGTACGCGGCTGGCAAGACTGAGTTTGAAAAGTTGCTGGTCGAGGGAGCTGTGAGCATGATTGTGTCTGCTGCGGCGGAGGCGGATAATAACCCGGTCGACGCGGCGGAGCGCAAGTATTTACAGGAGGTGATTAAGGGATTAGGCAGTGGTGCGAACGAGAAGTTTTTGGCGGGGATCAGGGAGGTTACGAGCGAGGATCTGGTGCGGGTTATGAAGCGGTGGTTTGTGCCGTTGTTTAGGACGGAGAGCGCGAGCGTGTTTGTGGCGTGTAATCCGAGTAAGACGGAGGGGTTGAGGGGGGATTTTGAGAGGTTGGGGTATGAGGTTGTTGTTGATCCGTTTGATAGTTTGAAGAGGGTGGGGGAGGAGGGGAGTGAGGAGGAGAGTGAGGAGGGAAGTGGGGAGGGGAGTGAGGAGGAGGAGGATTCGAGTGATGAGGAGGAGAGCGAGGAGAGTGAGGATAGCGACGATGATAGCGATTAGATGTACATACACACATACACACATACATAAATACAACAACAACAATAACAGCGATATCCATCACTATGTAAACAACAGAACACAATACCACTAATGATCACGACTAACTCCGGCGCGGCTCTTCTTCAGAAGGTTACGTCAGCGCAGGATAAGAAGAAGAAGACGAGCTTAATTGATCTGATCACATCCGCTCACGGCCGCCGCTATCTTCGGGAGTTCCGATGGGGAGAGGATGTATTGTAATTGAGTATGCGGATTGTGTAATTGTGGTGTTATATTATTTTATTAATCATAACTAAGATCCGTGAAGGTGTAAGGTGACAAGAATATGGAAACAGGTAGATAAGAAGTAGATATGAAGATAAAAGACGAGTACGCCCGACCGATAAGAAAGAAGTAAAGAAGAAAGAATAGAAAGAAGATATACATAAGCACACGAAGAGGCACGAATCACTGACTTATACAATCAATTGTATAGATGTGTAAGATAATGCTGGCTTGATATTAATTGCTTTTGGTGCTCGTCGTAAACTGCTCTGCTTTTCGTTGCCTGCTTGCTGCAGGGTTGCTGTGATTGTAAGTATAGTCTATGATAGAAGCATCACTACGCGGTGATTGGGATATCGATCGCGCCAACGGTAGACGAGCTAACGACCACCGGCGGCGAGGTAGGCGGAATATCCTCCGCCGAGATGGTCGACGCGTCCGTGAGCGACGCCGGCGTGGATCCGACAGACGAAGGCAGCTCGGAGGACGGCGTGCTCACGCTGCTGCTGTGCGAACCGCTGTTGCTGTTCTGTGGACACTCGCGGCTGATGTGGCCTTGCTCGCCGCACCGGTAGCAGGTCTTGCCTGCCGTGCTGAGCGGGCCGCCGTTCGGGGCGGTGCAGTCGCGCGAGATGTGGCCTAGTTTGCCGCAGGCGTAGCATTTCATTGCCTGGGCCTGGCAGTCGCGCGCGTAGTGGTTGGGGCCTATAGATGCAATCCAAGGTTAGCATGAAGAAGAGGATATGGAGAAAAAAACAAAGTGTGAAAGTAAAGCTTGGAACTGACCTCCACACTTGTAGCAGGTGGCAGCCCGACCTGGAATATAACCGATCCGGGGAACGAGTCCCGTCCGCATGGGGATCCCTCTGAAGACGGCGGCCTGGGCGGCAGCGGCGGCCGAGTTCTGCATGAGGTACGCGGCCGCGAAGTTGGAGGCGGCCTGGGCGGCGGGGGTGGTGCCAGAGGCGGCGGCGGCGGCGGCGAGGTTGATGCAGTTGCGCGCGACGTGGCCGGGTTGGCCGCAGGAGTAGCAGCGGCCGTTGATGAGCGCGCCGGTCATGCGCAGGGTCGGGCAGTCGGCTTGGACGTGGCCGAGGCCCTGGCAGTGGTAGCATTGTTTGGCTGGGGGGGTTGTTAGTGGGAGTAGAGAGGAGGGGGAGGGGAGCGACGTACTTTCGGTTGTTCGTGGATGGGGACAGGCATTGGACTCGTGGCCTGTTGGGTGGTTAGAGGAGAGTGAGGAGAGTAGAGAGGGTAGAGTAGTCTGATAAGAGATACCTGGAAGCTTGCAGTTATAGCACAACCGCTCTGGTGAGCTGCAGACCTCAGCGAAGTGGCCGATGTTGCCACATCTAGAAGTGTTAGAGGCAATGCAGGTAGAATGAAGATAGAGAGAGCACAGGAGAAGACGTACTTGTAGCATGCTCTCCGGGAAAGGGAAGACATTATGTATGTTGGGTAGTGGTAGATAGGCAGTGACGGAAGGGGTCGTGATAAGGAAGGACTTGGTGAGAAGAGCGCAGTTCAGAGAGGAGAGGAGGAGAGGACTGAAGAGTGAGGTGGTGGTGAAGAGGGAGGCACGGCAGAGGTCAATTACAACACACTTGGGGAAACAAGAAGCCAGGAACGAGCAGAAGAGAGCAGGAAGACGAAGAGGAAGAGGAAGAGGAAGAGGAGGAGACCGGAAATAACATAAAGAGAAATATTCCTCGAGCCGGGAGAGTCCAACGCACGGCGGACGAACCGACGGGAGTCAAAGAGGAGCTTCAGCGTCGGAGGTCGAACCAGTTCTTTCGTTCTTGACCGGTGCACTGTCCTCGTTGTTAGCAGCTCAGCAGCTGCCCGAACTGCTCACTCATCACCAACTCACCAACTCAACGCCGGCTGGCCTGAGCTCTGCTTCTGCTTCTCGTTCTGTCTCCAACCGGTTCGTTCGCTGCTTGTGAATAGCCGCAACGCCCGCGATTATGCATCTCTGTCTTGAATTGAGCATGCATAGTACCTTCTGCTTAACTATTCTCTATATATCTGTTCTCAGTCTCATATCAACAACAACAACAACAACACCTCTACTATCTCTCTCTACTCCTCCGCCGATCACGTCTCGCGTGCTATCGCTGCCCTAAATCGCAATATCTCAAACCCAAACCCTCGCCGGACACCGGTTTATTAAAGTTCTCGGTCTCCGCGATAACGATAACAGGCCCGATAAACGCGCTGCTCGTCGGCCGCGGGTTGGATAAGGCTGGAGAGGTTTGGATAGAGTGGAGGTAGGGTGGAGATGCTGGAATTGTAGTGCAGATTTGTGTTTATGGGCTGGGATCGGGGGGGGGAGTGGAAGAGTGGAGTACTAATCGGGCAGGCTTTATCATCTCTACTACTTCACGGCATTGCTTCTCACCTCACTCAGCTCAGCCCTGGCTGTAAACCTTTCTATTCTCAGATTGCTGCTGCCGTCTGTGCTCGTCCGTGTGTTTGTCTACAGCTTGCATTGATAGGTTGTTGTTGTTGATAGCGATAGCAAGAACTGTAGTCCATAGACTAAGCTACAGACATACTATAGATCAAGTAGAGTAGACCATTGTCAGTTCCATCAATGCCTCCGGCGGGAAATGCGGCGGAGTCATCAGATCTTCCTTCTTATTATAACAGTGCTCACTAGAACACTACTATAACGTAAAGAGTTCCACCCTCCCGTGGGCTGCTGTCGTCCGCCGTGTCGTCGGTAGACCAAACCAGCGCCGCCCTGAACCCCGCAACCAGCCATGCTCCAGTCTTGCCGCTTGCTAATCTGTTTTGTGCCCGGGCGAAGCTTGAACGCGTGCGAAGCTTGGTATGGTACATTATGCTATCTGGAGTTGCTTCTTGTTGTCGATAGGTCATAGTTCGGAGGTTGTGGGATTGTGAGTGTTGTTATCGCATGCACCTCTCTTCTTTATAACACAACTATAACACAACTATACACATCTAATAACTATTCCTCATAGTATTCAGTACTCAACTCACTATCTCCAACCGATCTGCACCCGAACCGAAACACAACCAGACGGCATCGCGCCGCTTGACAAACGCGGTATCGCGCCGCCGGCCTCCCTCTCGCTCTCTTCATTATGTGTCCTGGCTATTGTCTGGGCATTGCGTAAGCAGCTTTATCTGATCTCTGTTTGATCTGTGAATGCTGCGGGTGTCTTGACGCTGTTGATTGATTACGATGATGTCTGCGCCTCTGTTGTTTATTATATACTGCACTGCTTCTACTTTTTTGTAATACTAGAAAATACTCAAAAAGATTAGAAAAATACTAAAATAACACTACAACTTACTAGAAGTAATAACAAGTAATTCACAACACCAGACGAGGGATAATATTCACAGAAAAGACAGTCTTTAATCCCGGTTTACTCTCATTTACTCTCTTATTACTTACTCCCAGCGCACGCCGCTTCACCGCTTTATAAAAAATACTCTTTCTGCAAAAGTACATCCACCTCTGCAGAATACTAGTAGTAGATAGTAAATAGTAACGATTTATGTAGATCTTTAACTATAAATACATCTACCAAAGCAGCACAGCTACAAACGCCAAAATGCATCAACAAACAACCCAACGCCATAATATACACTTCCTCCACACTACACACTCCTACTCAAACACAACAGGCTTCCCATCAACAACCCCCTCGTCGCCATCCCCTTCAAACGCATTAAAACACTCAACAACAACAATCAAACTCTCAAAGAACCCATTCACGCCAACTCTCAGCACGCGATCCGTCGCCGCTGCGAATTCAACCACCAGCTTCGTCACTGCTGTTGCTGCTGTCCTTTGTTCCTCGCTGCCGTTGCTGCTTCTACTGCTGCTGCTGCTGCTGCTGCTGCTGTCGACTGTGTTGCTGTCGATGGACAGACACGGCAGCACGCTCATCTTCAAATCAAATTGATCCGGCTTCAGAACTGGGTCGGGCGAAAGTGCTTTATACGCCAGCGACGCGTATCTGTAGCTCGGGAACGGAATCGTCAGTGTTCTAATTGCTGTTAGCCTTCTTCTCTTCTTCTTCTTCTCTTCTTCTTCTTCTCTTTTTCTTCTCTTCTCCTCCTCTTCCTGCTCTCTTCATCTCTTCTCTTCTGCTCACTGTTCATACCATCACGTATCAAAAGACAATACTCACAATTTACTAGGCAAAATCATCATCTTCTCAATCTCTCTTCTCTTCTTCTCTTCAATCTTATTTCTCCTTTTATCTTCCTCCTCGAAAAAGAATATACACAAAATCAAACTGATCTGGATCACCGCACTACTTAAAACTCCTCACTCAAACGCGATATGAAAAAAAAACTCTCCAAACCCTTCCTATTATTAGAGTTGAACTGCGCTTATGTAACTTATTACTCATACTCTTCTTCTCTGCTATTGTAGTCATAAGCTTGGATTATTTATTTACTTATAGAATAAAAAGAAATAGAAAGAAAGCTCTCAGATACACTCATAATCGCTCAAATACACTGATCGGCCATACATACACATTTCGCTTGCTTCCACGACAACCGTCATCGACGATAATCACTTTTGCAATCGTCATTTCACCACGGCCTCGCTCGTCAATAACTTGAAGTAATAGTAAAAACAAAATCCCTTCTCGACCCTACTAAAACAGATCAAGCAAGGATATAAAGAAAAAGAAAAAAAAGAAAAGCAAACTGAGGAAAATACAAATATACTAGAGTATAACTGAAGCAAGAACGAGCCTGTGAACTAAACTAAAACTAGACGATAAAAATTCAAGGAAAAATAACACGCTTCAAGCATATGGTATATAAGTTACTCCTGAGCCGCCGTCTCCTCAGGCGCAGCCGCGGCTGCCTCCGTCTCGGGCTCGGCCGGCGCGGCCTCAGTCATGTCAGAGGTCCACAACGTCAAGTTATCCCTCAACAGCTGCATTATAAGCGTAGAGTCCTTGTAGCTCTCCTCGCTCAATGTGTCGAGCTCCGCAATCGCGTCGTCAAACGCCTGCTTGGCCAGGTGGCACGCGCGGTCCGGAGAATTTAGAATCTCATAGTAAAACACAGAGAAGTTGAGCGCGAGTCCCAGACGGATCGGGTGCGTAGGAGGAAGGTCCGTCACCGCCACATCAGACGCGGCCTTGTACGCCTCAAGCGACTCGTCCGCCGCGTTCTTCCGCTTGTCCCCAACCGCAAACTCGGCCAGGTAACGGTGGTAGTCGCCCTTCATCTTGTAGTAAAACACCTTTGACTCCCCAGTCTTGGCCGACGGAATAAGGTGCTCGTCCAGAACAGCAAGAATATCCTCGCAGATCTTGGCAAGCTCCTCCTCGATCTTCTGGCGGTACTCCTTGATCAAGCTAACCTGGAGCTCGTTGCCCTTGCTCTCCTCCTTCTGCTCAATCGACGACACAATTCTCCAGGACGCGCGTCGCGCTCCAATCACGTTCTTGTACGCAACTGACAACAGGTTTCGCTCCTCGACGCTCAGCTCCTCGTCGGCAGAAGCAACCTGCTTCATGTTCTCCACCATCTCTATAAAACTTGTTAGTAACTGCATCAACATAGTATCAACTCTACAAACTCACCTTCGTATCGCTCAGCCTGCTCGGCGAGCTTGGCCAAGTACACGGAATCTTCTCGGGAAGTCATGTTACGCAATATCTAAACTAAGAGTCAGAATCTACTCCAGAATCTAATCCCTCCCGTCCGGTCCGCCCGTGCCGCCTGCTATCACACGCGTCGAATGCGCAGCGCAAAAGTCCAGTCATGCAATGCCCAGCACACCAAAGACTGCTGATGTAGATGTAGAGTAACGCAGACCGACGCGCTTCTGTAATTTGCAAAAAAAGACCGCGGGATCGGGTGGTAGTCGGTCAAGAGCGCGGGCGTGCGTGCGTCATCAGCCATAGCGACATCGCCGGCGCCGGAATTTTCGCCAGCGCGCACAGCAATCCAATCGAGGCCCGACAGAGGACCAAACCAAACCAACCCAGCCACGACCAGAAATATATTCAATATCCAGGACGGATTGATCGGCGCAGGATGAGCTTCTGTCCAGATCAAGGCAGGAGTGGTTTTCTTTCGGTCCCCCAGTGAGGCGGTGCAAAACAAACAAACACTCGACCGACGCGCCTCCACCGCACGATCGTTGCGCGATCCGGCGGGTGACAAGAGCATCAGAGCACGCAAATCAGCAGAAACTGAACGATCGAGGAGAAGAAGCGGGATGGAGTGCATGAAGGGGGAAGGGCCGTATGACGACAGTGGCTGGACGAGGACAACTCCGCGGGTCTCCAAGCAAGGGCAATGGAGCTCGCGGGAGGCGGACAAGAACAGAGAGAATAAAGAAGACAGAGCAGAAGACCAACGTACCTGAACCAGAGGGAGTTGGAGGCGGGAAGAAGTGAGGAAGTGAAGATGGAAGACGAAGGGTTGTGGTGAGTGAGCCAGGAGAGGAAGCGGTGGAGTGGAGCCTGACCCCGTCACCCGTCGCGGAGCAGCGGTTTGTGTGCTGTTGACACTGTAAGTGTGGAGTGGCTACGCACTTATGCACTCCTCCTCTCCACGCCCGTCTTCTCTTTCAAGAGTCCCTGATTTTCTGCCTAAAATACTGCTATAGACTACTATAACAAACATATAATACAATCAAACTAATACTCAGCACCAGCGCTGCTCTGCAACGGCGCATAGTCAGTCATGCATATGTGACCCACCCGTGACCCACCCGTGACCCAGCGCCAGCAGCCAACCACCGACCGCTCACCGGCCTCCCGACTTCAACAGAACTTTTGGCTCCTTCCGCAGTTGCTCTTCTTTTATCCCCAACTTCCTGCTCAATTCAACCAGAATAACACATTTATTTACAATGATCTCCTCCGTCTCTCGTATCGCCGCCCGTCGCGCACCCGTCGCCCGTCTCTTCGCTCGCGCCTACTCCTCCGAGGGCGCGACCGGTTCCGTCCGTCCTGGCGGTGAGAAATCAGGCGATAGCTTCCAGGTCAGATCTCTTGTTGTTCAATTGCATTACTTCATAACTAACCTCTGTTGATCATGTAGAAGCGCGAGGCTGCCCAGGAGAACCTCTACGTATGTCAACCCGATCCCACATCACCTGCATAACAGCTGGCCGATCACATCAACTACTCATGCTAACACCTCCACAGGTCCGACAGGTCGAGGCCGAGAAGCTCAAGGCTCTGCGGGAGGCCCTCAAGAAGCAGCGCGAGCACCTCGACACCATCGAGAACCACCTGTAAGTACTCTTGCCATTTGATCTTTTGAAGTAACACACGCTGACTATGCTCCAGCAACGACCTCGAGAAGAAGTAAATGCATCATTTAGTCTAGTCTACAACCATTCTCAAATCTATTCTTTCTTCTCTTTATTATTCTATTTACTTGTCTTACTCCTAAGATCATCCATTACTCGACCAATCAATCAGAAATAATGTTCATGTAAACCCAAACAAAAAAACGCACGTAATGCCGGAAACCACAATTACATAGCACATTTACAAACATATACAAACACTCAAATAAAACGTACAAAGATATACCCAACCATCTCTCTCCTGAACTGCAGAAAGAGGTAAAAGACTTTTGTCATCTATAGATCTGTAAACAAAACTCCAACTTTTCTTTTCTTCTCTCCCTATTCGATCTCCATAGCAGCATCCTCCTCCTCTCCCTCCAGAGCAGGCACCTCAAGCTCCACCGCCCCGATATTCCGAACCCGCACTCCCGCACGCTTCTCATCCAGCAGCTCCAGGATCTCGGCATCGGTGATCTCGTACTCGCTATGCACCCACGACGGCGCAATCTCGCCGCCACTCAAACGCACAAGCTCGCCGCCGTACTTAACCGACGGCGCAAGCAGCACCGTCGTACGCGTGCGCGACGACACCGGCGTGCCTGGCGCGCCTTGCACGGTGAACACGGTCGCAGGCGACAAGATCCCCATCTTGACCAGCGCCGCGACGCCCAGCGGCGCGCCCTCGGTCTCGAGCGCCGAGAGATGGAACGGGAAGACCGACTTGCGGTTGTCGATCTCGGTGAGCACGCCGCGCGCGCTCTTGAGCTTCATGCTCAGCGACTTGCTGTAGTCGCGCGTGAAGATCGTCGGCTTGAGCGCGCGGTGGGGCTTGATTGTCCGCCGCGAGACCTGGAACTCGTTGCGCGGGTTGAGGTCGGCCTGCAAGCCCGAGAAACTGCACATTGCGAGATCAACCACCCACGCCTCACCCAGCTCCGGCGCGGCCTCGGAGTCAATCAGTTTCTTGAGATCTCCTTCCTCCGGATCATCAGTCGCCTCCTCGATCGAGAGCGCACCCCACGCATAGCCCTTGACGTCGACCTCGTGCACGGTATCCTGGCCGACCAAAAACCGCTTGATCCGTCGCACCTGCGAGCCCGGCAAAATCTTCACCTTGAACGCCTTCGCCACGTTCTCGACAACCTCCTTGATCCGCAGCCCGTTCACCTTGCGGGCGCCGAAAAAGCCAGACGGCGTGCCCGCGTGCTGCAGCGTCGTGCCCAGCAGCGTCACCACGGCTTCGGTAGCAAGATGCGTCGCGCACACGACGTCCGCAACAACGCCGGTAGTAGGCGCCGTCTGCTCCAGCACCGGCACAGTAGGCAACACAACCAAAGTGTGCGTCACCAAGGACGAATATCCATCGATATGAACCCCAAGGGAGCTGTTTTAACCTCGTTAGCCTTCCCTCTCCTTCACAGAACAACACAACAACTCACATCTTTGCGATATCCCCGTTCGTCAAGACATACGCATTCTCCCGCTCGACAGGCGAATACCCCCAAATACAATTATTCACGTCCACGCACGTCGGATTCGCAACCCCCTTCTCCTCCACGTTCTTGAAAATCTTCCCACACTCCTCCTCCACCAGATAATTCCCCACCGCGCAGATATCAAACACGTTGCTCAGTCTCTGCTCGCTGATCTCCCGCACAAGCACGCTCACCACCGACTGCGCTATCCGGCCCGCGGCAATGTATTTCAGCGCAATAGGCGCATCCACCGACGCAACGTAGTTCTTCAAATCCTGGCTCTCGCCCGCCTGCTGCTGCTCAGCATCGACAAGCATAATCTCCTGCGTGTCCGACATCTCTATTCTTCTTCTTCTTCGTCTGCTGCTGTATAAGAGCTTCAATAAATCGCACTGCAGAGACACAACAAAATCCCAAACTGTAGTCGCTGGGCTTTGGGAATTTTTTTCTCGCTCAGTTTTTTCAGCCTTCAATTTTTCAGGGGGCGTTGGGTTTGGGTTGGTGACTAATTGATTACATACCAATAACCGAAATGATTATCTAAAACAACTAAACAATATCCAAAATGCTACAATGTAGTCAATGCAATTAGACAACTATGACACTACCAGACACTATGGCGACACACAGAAGCACCATCTACTTCTCATTAATCTTCTCAATCAACTCCTGGATCTGCTGCCGATACATCATCTTCAAATCCTGCACGTCGTCCTGCAACTCATTCACCCGCTCCGTTTTCTCGCCCAACATCTCCAGCGTGGTTTGCTCCCGCACCTTCAACTCCTCCAACTGCGTCCGCAGCTCCGCGCACTCGCTCTCCACGTCCCGCTTCTGCTTGATCTCGCGCAACAGCTCCACCGTCTCCTCGCGCGCCTGATCGCGGTCCCTCGATATGATCGAGAGCTCTTCTTTCGCGGACGCGAGCTCGGATGCTAACCGCCGGATCACAGACGACATCCGCTCGGACGACGACTTTCCAATCGCAGTCGACGCGTTCGAGAGCATATCGTCGACGCCCTGCACGCTGCCCGACGCAGAGTTGTTGTTACTGTCGTCGCCCGACAGCAGCGCGTTGTGCAGGTTGATCTGCTGCGGCAGATCAGCCGACGACGCCGCGTCGTTCAGCGACGCAAACGACGCGTTCGCAGACATCGTCGGCGTGATCCCTCCTATCGCCGGCGACGTCGGCAGCGAGGTGTTCGGCGCTGGCATCGACACGTTGCGCGACATGCGCCGGTGCGAAATCATAGACGGCGCGGTTCCGTTCAGTGATCCGAAACCACTAATCTCGCTAAACGACGACTCGCGCGACAAGTTGAACACCCTGCCGCCATTACCGCCGCCGCCGCCGCTGGTGGTGGGAAACATCGGGAACGAATCCATCGCTCCCATTCCCGACCGCTTTGAAATCACGGGCGACAAAGGAGGCGGCGAGCGCGTCATGTACATTGTAGCTTCTTCGCGGCGCAGCTTCTCTTCCTCCTGCAGCTTGCGCTCGAGCTCCATCTTGTCCTGCTCGAGCTCCCGAATCGCTTTCGCAGACCGCTCGGTCTCCTCATCAATCCGGCTGCGCAGCGACTTGACGACCTCGACCTGCAACTTCAATTCTGCCTCGAGATCGCCAATCACAGTCTGGTTCTGGTCAGACTCTTCCTGCAACTGCCGCGCCCGAGTGGTATCCTCCTGGATCTTCTTTCTCAGCGCCGTCTCGCGCTTCAGAAGCTCGTCGCGCTCGCTCTCGAGCCGCGAGATGCGCGCGAGCAAGGCCGCCTCGATACCTTGCCAGTTCTCGCTCGCGATCGAGTATTGCGATTGTAAGGTCTCAATCTGTCGTGCTAGCTTCGCATGTGAATCGTCCGAGCTGCTCACCGAGAGTTCTTCGGCGTGGATTCGCTCTAGTTCAAGTTTATGTTCCAGGCTCTGTCTGCTGTTAGCTCGTACCTTAAGTATGTAAGGAGAGGTAGTACTCACCGAAATCTCCTCCTTCAATTCATGCTCTCTAGTCTTTGCCCTCTCCGCCTCACGATCCATCTTCGACTGCAAATTAAACTTCTCGAGCGCGAATCGTTCCCGCTCCATCGCCTGCTCAGCCTTAAACTCATCCAACTCGCGCTGCAGCCCGTCCGCGCGCGCTCTCTCCTTCTCGAGCGCATCCGACTGCACTTTAGAAATCGCGTCCTCGGCCAACAAATTCGCATGCGCAAGCTCCTCCCGCAAATTCGAAATCGTGGCCTTGAGCGAATCCCGCTCGCGCTTGAGGATATCGACCTCAGAGTCGGACTTTGCCAGCAGCCGGATCCGCTCAGACTGCTTCCGCTCGATCTCGTTCGCTTTCCGCAGACGGTCGCGAAGTTCGCTGGCTTCTTTCTCCGCGCGTTCTTGCCGCTTCTGCGCGTCTGATACCGCGCGCTCGGACTCGCGCTCGGCCAGGCGTAGCTTTTTGATCAGCGACATGTGCCGAAGTTCGTTTTTGGACAACTGCTCGCCTTCCTGCATCAGCAGTCCAATCTTTTCGTCTTTCTCCGCCAGTCGTTTATCAATCGCACCGGTCTGCCGGTTCTTGTGCGTATAGTCGAGCAGCTGGCTAGACAGATACTTTACTTTTTCTTCAAGAATGCTAATCCGTCCGAGTGAATTCTGCAGCTCCTCTTGCTTCTGCGTGAGTTCGAGTCGTAGCGGTGATTCGTTTGGTGCGTATTCAACCGAAGGTCTGTTTTCCACAACAGCAGCAGGAGCAGCAGATTCGTTGATACTGCTACTGCTGCTCGCCACGGCCTCCATCGCGTCGTTGCTGTCCTTGATCTCGAGCGACCTACCCCGCTCGGCTGATTGTCGTTGATCAGACTCGTCGGCGTCGAGTGATTCCCTTGTACTGCTCGAGACCGCACTCGCGCGGTCACTTGACGGCGCACGCGAGGTCGCAGACGCCGCCGCAGATGCTTTCTGAGCCTGCATTGCGAGCGCTAGCCGCTGCTGCATCGATATGCGACCGGTGGAGGTTGTGTTCGTCGTAGGAGTCGTAGAGGAGGTGGGCTGCGCGGGCGGCACCAAGACGGGGTCGGATTGTCCGCTGCGGGTGACTTCGGCAAGCGCAGGGTCGAGTACTTTATCGATTGATTGCTCGACTGTGCTCACGGCACGCTTGATGAAGGTGCCCCATTGGTAACCGGACAATGAGTTTGTTGCCGCGGCGGACGAGGAGGTGGGCTGCCCGGCTGATCTGGTTGGCGACCGGGATTTCGCAACGCGGGAAGGCGAGGACGAGCGCGGTGGAGAGAGAACGGGGGTCGGGCGGTCGAGAGAGATGGACGGGATCGCGTACGCGGAGGCGGAGGGCTGACCTTGTTGCAGCAGCCGCTCGTCCTTGTCGTCCTGCTTCGTGGGCGCAGACGGCGGAGACAGCGCGACGGGCTCAGAAGCAGGAGCAGGTTCGGAAGACTCGCGATTAGCAGAATCAAGAGGTGGTGAGGAAGGCTGCGGGGCAGGAGAAGAAGCGGCGGCGACAGGGTCTTGTTCGCCGTCGTCTGCGGGCGCAGCCATGACTTAGAAGTAGGTGCAGCACGGAGCAGAGGGGAGATATGAGGAAGAGGAGGGGTGAATGAAGAACAGAGGTCTGAGGCAGTCTAATTGAGGAGTCTGCGCATGCTTCTGCGGGTCTGAGCTGCTGTTTGCTGCGGAAAGGACGGGGAGAAGGTGGTGAAGAGGAGGAAGTTGGCAAAGGCAGAAGCGTCGAAGGGAAGCCGAAGCCAGGAGAGTTTTGGCTTCGTCGTATTCTGTGGCCGCACAGCGTCCGGCTTTGTTTCTCTCAATGCTGAGTCTGCAGCAGCTGTTGATGCTGATGATGATGATGATGATGATAATAATGATGATGATATTCTGCTGAATCTACTGTTTTGTGTGGAATTGAATGTTTGTAAATAGTTTGAATGTGCTCAATATCGAGCGTAGCGACAACTGACCATCCCGCTCTGATATCTGATACCAACGTCCACCTTCCCAAGCACCTTCTCCTCTCTCTGCCTTCTCCCTACGTTCTCTTCTGTTCTCTCTACAGTCTTCTACTCACTCAATTACTCAACCAAACACCTCTTTATTTACCCACTCATCACCAACTCCCCTCCCACCCTCCCCCAGATCACCTTCCTCAACCCTCCCGCGCTCCTCCCCTGCATGCCCCTCGCATCAAGCACTGCACAATCCTGCACCTCCTCTCCCCTCCCTCACCTCCCTCCTCTCCCCTCCCTCCGCGTCATCCTCCGCCTCCGCTTCTCATCACAACATTCCGCCACGCACCCCCAACCTTCAAAACCTCCTGTCTGTGCCGCTGGGCTTCACCTCCTCTGCCGCAGCCCATGCGGCACCGTCCTCGCCAATTGGCAACTCTATAATCTACAAATAATCTACAAATAATCTACAGATAATCAACTGTTCAGCAGCTTCAATTAGATCTACAAAAAACTGCCGACCTCGCCATCGTCCTTCAACGCAGTAACCACATCCGACTCTCGGATATTCAACCTGATCCGACTCATCCTGCTCTGCTGCCGCTCGCTCCGCCCGTTCTGCTGCAGCAACACCCCGCTCTCCACCAACTCTGCGATCCCCCGCTCAAACCCGCGCACCCGCGTCACCGGCCCGTCGCTCACCCGCACCGCCGTACCAAGCAGCACCTCGCCTGGCACGTACTTCTTCGTCTGAGCTCTATACCCAACCTCCTCTTCACCACCCACACCCATCTGTCCGTACGCATCCGTAGGTCCGAATAATAACCCCTCATACGCCGCCAACCCGCCAAAGTTGCGCAACTTCAAATTCATAACTTCCAGCACTGAATCGACCGAGTTCTCCGCCACGCCACTGATCTTTGCTCGCTGGATCAGCGCCACCAGAATCATCTTGCACGTCAGCGGCAGCGACGACAGGAACTGAACGACCGGCGACGAAGTCGTCTCGTTGATCGCCTTCCTGATATGCTGGATCGTGACTCGATGCGCGCGCTGCGGCTGCTGTGCGCCATCAGTCGCCGTCGTTGAAGAAATCGCAGGAACACTCTCCTGCTCCGAGAGCTCCACCGCACGTCGACAGATATCCAGCGCCCGACGCGCATCTCCCGTGACGCTCGCGACCTTCCTGCTCGCAAACTCAATCGCCTCCGGCGCCACAATGTTCCCCTGCACGCCCTTCAACCGCTCCTCGACAATCACCTGCAGCTGCTGATGCGTGTATCCCGCGAACTGGATCCGCGTCAGCCCGAGCCGGCTCGAGATCTTGTTCGACAGCGTCCGCTCCGGCAGATCCATGATGTTTGCAATCGCAACCACAATCAGCTTCGAGTCCGGCAAACTCGGCCAGTTGAAGAAATTGTACATCACGTCCTGCGACTTTGTCACCAGCTGGTCCAGCTCGTCCATCAGCACCACCACCGGCTTCGTCACAAGCTTCGGCGGCCCGCTGAACTCCTCGTCCAGAAACCGCAGCGCGTAGCCCGCATACGTGTTCTTCCCCGATATAGCCTCCCACAGCATCTCGTACGCGTGCGTCGGCTGCGTGATCTTCATCCCGTTGATCTCCACAAACTGGAAATCGAAATGCTCCTTCAAAAACCGCACCACTGATCGCACCGTCGCCGTCTTGCCCGTCCCCGGCGTCCCGCTCACGTACACGCAGCTCCCGGTCTCCTCCATGATTGCAGACTCTAGCGCGGTCTGGATCTCTTCAAACTCTCGCTCTCGACAGGGGAGTGCTTCTGGCGCTGCTGCCACATGTAGACGCGACCGCGCTACGACGTGGGGTGTCACTGGACTCGATTGCGTAGGGGTATCGACCATCCGTCGCGGCAGCGGCGTAAACGATTGTCTATCCAGCGTTAGCTCGTACTCTAACCTCTTTTTCAAAGCATACAGAAGACTCACTTCTTTGGTGTGCGGAACTCGGATCCCGGTGAATCATTATCCGCCAACCTCTCCCGCTTCCTCGGCGTCGTCAAAATCTCCGATCCCTTGCGCTTCCTAGGCGTGCCTTCCACCCCTTCCTCTGTCTTGCGCGGCCTACCAACCTTTCTCTTCTCCGGTGTTGCTAAAGTCGAAGCCTCCGGTAGAGGGTTCTTTCGCGGCCGGCCTGGACCTCGTTTCTGGCTTGACTGAGGATCATCAGACGGTTTGCTTTTGGTAGGTGTCAGGGGTTCGGTAGAGACAGATTTGCGAGGTCTACCAGGCCCCCGTTTGACGGGTTCGACAGCCTCTGTAGTAATAGCATCCTTGCGAGGTCTGCCGCGCCCTCGTTTAACCGCAGGAGTAATAGTACCATCCTTGCGAGGCCGTCCTGGCCCTCTTTTGACAGTCGTCGGAGTTGCAACTTCACCTTCAAGAGGTATCTTCCGAGGTCGTCCCACTGGCCGCTTTACCTTTCTTTGCCTTGTCTTTCTTGGCTCTGTCGTTGTTTGCTCTGCAGTCATTCTCTCTGCATTTATTTGCTCTGCAGTTTTTCGCTTTGTCGCTATTCTTCGCTGATTTGGGGGTATTGTCGGTGTTCCTTCCGCTTGTACTTCTGCATCTGCATCTGCCTCCGACTCTGCCTCTGACTCTGCCTCTGACTCTGATTGTGATTCTGGCTCATCGGGGTCTTCCACATCTTGCCTCTCTCCAGCATCTCCCTCCTCCACCCTCCTCTCTTCCACACCCATCTCCCGCGCCTTCTCCGCGAGCGTATTCCGCAAATACTCCCTCCACCTCTCAATCTCATTCCTCCGGTCAAATTTCGAAAACACAAACGGCGCCGACACCACCTTCTCCTTTTTCTCCGTCCAGTTCTCCCGACGCAGTACTCTGACTGCGTAGTGGCACTGATAACACATTGGATCGGTTTTCAAAGCCGGGGAGGCGTGGCCGCCGCCGTACATGTTTTCGTACATTGTTGGTGAGACGATTGAGATAACGTGGTCGAGCGAGGAAAGTGGTAACCACTCTGTTTCCTCCGAAGCAAAGAGTTCCCGCTGCGTATATAGAGTTAGCATTGCTCAGTCTTAGAAGAGTTGGAAGAGAACGTACATTATGATCATAGCAGACACGCCATCCATTCGGTAGCTCATCCCGTGCCAGTAGCCACTGAACATGCACCTTCATCTCTTTCCTCTTCTTCGTCACCTGCCCATCTCGATCCACACCCGCGATCGCATCCGCCTCCGCAATCTCATCCCTCTCCTCCTCGTCCTCGCGATCCTCACCACCCGTCCACGCAGCAGTTTTTGCAGAGAACAGTTCAAAGTCATTGTCGCCCGCGAACCCGATAATCACGCCGTAGAACCGCCTCTTGATTCCCATATCAACTGCGACGCAATCGCCTATGAAAAACGTCTTTTCCTGTGTCGAAGAGAAATATCTTGCTGCCACCGGTCTCCGCTCCGTCGTTTCTGATGACGATGTCAAAAAAGACTTTGAGACTGGTTTGTATATGTCGTCGGTAATCACTTTCTTCGCCAGTCCATTGAGATCACTCGACTCGAGCAGACGATTTGCTGGAATCCGCGACCGGTCGCCGACAGAGTAGATTAACAGCCATACATAATCCGGCGACAACACCGCCCGTCTCCGCGTCCCATACGACATCCTCGTATCAATCGCAGCTTTCTCAACTACTCAACAAACACTCAAGGTAATTGAGTCGCAGAGTGATGGGCTTGAAAGGGTGAGGCCGATCAAAAGTCTGGCAGGACGTAAATTGAAAAGCGGTGAAATTGAAACTCTAATCTGACGCGAGTACACCACCGCTACACGCACGCGTTAAATCCCTTTTCTGAGCTGGATTTCTTGTCAAAAGAGATACACAACTTCTGTCAATGTAGCTAGTATAAATAACGATTCGGAAAAAAACAATTGACAAAGAAGTTAGCAAAAAAAAATTTTGGACAAGTCCGGAATCGAACCGGAGCCCTCTCGCATGCGAAGCGAGCGCGATAACCAACTACACTACATGCCCGATATATCAAAAAATGAAAAAGTGACCTATGTAAGCTGCTCTCGTATGAAGTATTTTTGGCTGCCAGACTGCTTTTGTAGGGTTGGCAGCCTACGGGTCAATCAGAATTGTGCAATTGCTGGTATCAGCATGCGACTGCTGCAACTAGAAGCACGGCTGAGAGATAGTATAGTACAAGTCTACTAGGATCGCCATCTGCACGTACAGTACTTCAAAATCACGTGCTATTCAATGTGTAAACCATCACAGAGCCACGTTGCAGCTCACGCGAAGGACAGAGCGACGAGAGTGATAGTTTGGTTCACGCACCGAAGAGATGAACAGGGGCGAAGGGGCGCACTCGGGCTGTTACAGAAGAAGGCGAGCAGCGGGAGGCGGATGGCGGTAGAAACCGCATCGACGGGTGGATGGGTGGACTGTGCGGTGCACGCACACACAAAACGCACGCACACTGCGCAGGCGGGAGAGCGAGCGGTGATTACGGCGGCGGAGAGGAGATGCCGAGGCTCAGGATGCGCAGTTTAGAGGCAGGCGCGAGGCAGGCCGTGGCCCGGCGCGAGATCAACGGGTTTGGCGGTGAGAAGTAGGAGGTTGGAGGTTGGGCGGGCGGATATCTAAGGTTTTGATGGCAAGTAGCAGGTCCAAGTACGCGTCCACGGCCAGTCACCGTCCTGCACCGGGGTGCGTGAGCAGAGGAAGTTGACTGATTGCAGCAGCAGTATCTTCACTCTGAGTAGATAATTGTAGAATGTACAATAATCGCAGGATAAACAATCTTAGAATAAGCCAAGGATGGAGGAGCAGAAATCATCCAGAAATCAATCAGTTAATCGGTTTGGGCTTATTTATAGTGGCCTCTCCTCTATCTCCGGTCCGATAGCGAGCCTCTGCCTGCGCTCGTCGCCAGCAGCAGCAGCAGCAGTAGCATCTCAATCTTTATTCTGTAGAATATCCTACCGACATATTCAATCCTTCTCACTCAAAACTGCACTGCGCTGCGAGGGGGCGGACTGTGAATCCACAGCCGGTGGTTGATAGGGTACCGCGGTTAACTGCGCTGCTTCCGCGTACCCGCCCGCCCACGTCGCCACATCTGCCAGCAATCTGTCCTCCGCTCACCACTCACTCGTTCACAACCTCTCTCGCTCTTCCTTCCCACTCTCACCTTCCCTCTTCTTCCGCGCTCTCTTCCTCTGCTCTCTCTCTCCACCACCTGCTGTGCTCTTCTCCACAGCCCTTCCGCACTCGCTCGCCTCCGCTCTTTCGCACCGCAAACCTCTCCCCGCCTTCTTCCCAACGCGCCCGATCCGCGCCTGCCGACGCCGCACCCCTCCATCTTCAATCGATAGCCCGCCCTGCAATGACTTCCAAGCCGTGGTCCGTCGCCTACCCCGAGCCTCCCGGCGACGGTTTCTGGGGCCCTAGGTGTGTATCCTGTCTTTCCTTCTTCTCTTTTTGCTCTGCCTCCACACACTGCATCCCTTCCGGGCGCATCGGCTACCGTCTCATACCCCGGCCCGTTTCCCGGTCTGAAACCCACGGCCGCCGCCGCCGTCGTCCGCAAACCACCTCTCCACAGCTCGCCAAGCCCGCAACGTTTTCTTGCTCTAGTCAATGCTAACATGCTTGCTTTCTTCCCAGAACATCTACCATCGACTGGTGCGAAGAGAACTATGTCGTCTCGCCCTATGTTGCCGAGGCGGTAAATACCGTCACCAACGGCATGTTCAGTACGCTCTCCTCTGACTTGTTCTTCCCCCCCCCCCCCCCCCCCCCCCAGCTAAAATTCACAACACTAACAAAATACACAGTCGCGCTCGCTGCCTACTCCGTGATCAACGCCGTGACACAAAAACTCGAGACCCGCTTCATCCTCACCGCACTGGGCTTCTCGCTCGTCGGCATCGGCTCCTGGCTCTTCCACATGACGCTGCAGTACGAGTACCAGCTGCTCGACGAGCTCCCGATGATCTACGCGACCTGCATCCCCACCTGGGCCGTATTCTCCTACGCGCGCTCGAAGCGCGAAACAGTCTACCTCGGGATCTACATCTTTGTCGGCGCATCGACCCTCACGGCCGTCTACCTCTACTTCAAGGACCCGACGATCCACCAGGCCGGCTACGCCGTCCTCACCGGCATGGTCCTCTTCCGCTCGCTCTACCTCATCGTCACCAAGATCGACGACCCGCTCGTCCGCAAGGACATGTGGAAAACAGTCATCATCGGCATCTGCACCTTCCTCTCCGGCTACGGCCTCTGGATGATCGACATCCACTTCTGCAACTCCCTGCGCTCCGCCCGCCGCTCCGTCGGCATGCCCCTCGGCTTCCTCCTCGAGCTCCACGGATGGTGGCATATCCTCACCGGGTTGGGCGTGTACTACTACCTCGTCTTCCTCGAGTACCTCCGCGTCTGCCTCATCGGCCGCCAGAAGGACTACGTCTACATCTGGGACTTTGGCGTCTTTCCCCACGTCAATCTCAGAAAACCTTCCGTCGAGGACAGCAAAAGCGAGAAGAAGAACAACTAGACCACTCTCTTCCCTCCTTTTTTTTCTTTTTCTTTTTCTTTTCTCTCCACTCTTCTCTCTTATTCTATTCTTTCCTTATGAGTTCAGTATAGTTTTTCGTTTTGCTTTTTGGGAAGCCGCGTAGGTTTAGCGTCTTTTTGTATCGTTTCTACTTGTATACGCTGCGCGCGTGCGTGTTTGCGTTGGGGCTCTTTGCAACCAACCGAATCGATCTGGTTTAAAATATCCATGTTTTCTTCTCTTCCTGCTCTGTGATTACCAGTATTAAAGAAAAAAAGAGTATGCTCTATGCTATTTGGTGTATTTGTAGTCATCACCGCGAGTGCAATCCAGATATATTGAGCTATAGATATTCTTACATCTCTCGCTACATAGACATAACCTATCTACACCATCGCCGCGCTCTGCTCCCACACAACACAGCACAGCATAAACTAAACCAGCAATCATCAACGAAGCAACTCTAGTCTTATTAAACCATAGGAAATAGCAAGATCATCGCCTAACGAGATATCCCGCCTGAGACCCATGCGCGTGATGCGGGTGATGAGCCCTCCCCGCTGCCCCGCCCGCACCTCCACCACCACCGCCAGACCCATTCACAGCGGCGCCGTTGCCGCCGGTCGCGGAAACACCAGCCGGAAGACCTCCTTTCTTCAAAAAGGAGAGGATCTCAAAGATCTCTTCCTTCGCCGGCTCGAGGTTATCCTTGTTCTTCGACGGGCACCGCACGACCACGTTATCGATCTTTGACGAGGAGGAGGAGGAGGATGCGTCGGATGGCTGCGACGACTGATCACTTCCCAGCGACGGCGCTTGCTCGTACGCGTTTGAAAACTTGACAAAGACGTTATATTTCCGCATCAGCTGCTGGATCTGCTGTCCGCTAGGCCCGATGATCGACCGGTGATACATCTCCGGCACGTAAAACGAGATCTCGGCCGGCAGCTCTTCTTCCAGCAACTGGATACCGTACAAGGCCGCAGTGTAGTCCGCCGCCGCCAGCTCGACGTAGAAGTTATACTCGGTAAACGGCACGAACCGGATCCAGACGTGCGAGGTAGACATGATCCGGTTAATCTTGCCGTTTTTCTTACCGGCGATGAATTCGCGCTGGTCGACGCTCAGCTCGAGCCGGAACCGCACCTGGTGCTCGTCCTGCGGCCAGAACGGCAGGCCGCGGATTTGCGAGACGGCAGCTTTTGTGGCCTCGGCGTCGCCGCTGACTTCAAAGGTTCCGCGGAGAAAGGTGATGTCGACCATCGACGAGGCAGACACGCGCTCGAGCGCTTCGTTGATTGCGGCAGCGGGTGGGAGCGAGCGGGGTTGGTTTAGCATGCCGTTCTCGTCCGCGCGTCCTTCGTGGATCCAGTATCCTGCATTGTATATCTCCGTAGTCTACATCATGTCAGTATGTTGTCGATCTTTATGAAATAAAAGAAAGGAGTGACTCACCAACTTTGCAACTAAGCGTATAGTGTTCTCGACAAAGATATGCGAAGAGCACTGAACCCGAACGAGCGACTTTGCAGCACCCAGGCACGGGAATTGAATGAACGCCGCGTTCTTGCGCAGAATCTCTTCGAGCCGGTCAAGCCAGTGCAGCAAGAGATAGTCGATCTTGCTGACAGGAATCAAGAATTCTTTACTGTATGCCGGTATCCGTAAGATCTACAAGATCAGAGTTAGCGTCTGCCAAACATAAGCCACGTCTGCCAAACATAAGAAAATAGAAAAGTAAGACATACAAAGTCATTGAGAAAATCGATTGCCCGACCGACGTCCGCCTCTTGACCAGATATGTAGAGCTCGTCATAGTCGCGTCGAGGATAAGACTTGTCCATTGCGGCGTGCACGCCAGGAAACAGCGTCGGCGCATAGATTTTAGTATTCGTCTCTGCCTCGATCTTGTTGAAGTTTTCGCAGTCGCGGCCGGCCAGCAACGAATGCAGCGAGAGCGGGATCGAGAGCCGGTCGATGAACAAGCGGTTGAGATCATCAATCAATAAGCTCAAACGGGTCTTTGCGTACGCGACGCTTTCGAGATCACCGTAGGCGAGAATGTGATATGGTTTCCAGATATCCTGAGCGTCCTGCGGCGAAGGGTTTTGCGGACGCAGGGATTGATCGAGGGCGGTGACGACGAATATGGAGGTGGTGGTGTATTGCGCGATTTGGTTTAGTTGATCTGCGACCGCGGTCTGCAGCTTGCCGTCTTTGTCGAGGAGTTGGAAGGTGTCGATGCCGATGTGTTTGACGCCCTGCGTTGTCAGACACGCACTCTTGATACAGAAGCAAAAAGTAAACTTACAATGTCATAGTAAGCACGTAGAATACGAGCGCGACTGGTGAGAACAGCAGCACTTGTCCCGCTCAGAGAGACGATGGCCGACTTTGCCAATCGCTTCTCAACAGTGACGGAAGCCGAGACAGAGAGTGTCAGGTCGTCGTTGATCTCCGCGACCACCTTGCGAATTCCCGCCAAATTATCAAACGACCGCTGCTGCTGCTGCTGTGTTGAAATCAGCGGATCATTCCACCGCACGCACGCATTCGCCGACGAAAAGATCGAATCGGCAGGGGCAGTGAACGCCCGATACGGCACCGCGAACGTGGCGGTCATGGTGTCGTAGGATGCGAGCGACGGCGAGGAGGCCGGCGAGGAGGCCCTGCGCGCGGCCGAGTCCGGGGACTGGCTGGGGGTCAGGGTCGCGGAGGCCGTGGTGGGGGTCGCTGGCCGGTCTTCGGTCATTGTGCGGGTGGGGTGGGGATGGTGAGGGAGTTGTTTATTTACTTTTGATTTAGTTTGGGATGAGGGCGTGAGGTAAATAGAGGGTCACGTGGGTAAGATTATGTGATGTGTTACATAATGAATTAAGTTTTCGGAAGCGAGAGTCGCACCGACTAAGAGAGCGAGGATCACGAAGGCGGAGGCGCGGTTTATGTGAAGAGCAGACAAAGAGAAGAGGAGGAGGGAGGAGACAAAGAAGAAGACAGAAGAGCAGGTGCAGAAGCAGAGCAAGAAGACAAGAAGACAGACAGCGGCCTCGGCAAGAGCCAACCCGGGTGTCTATTTCGGTTAGCACGGACGAGCAGAGATGGTCTGGTCCGGGTCTGTCGGGTCGGGAGTCGGCTGCGGACAGAGTTGGGGAGGAGAAGGAGACGACCGAGGATTCGCGGACGGAGGTCTTTCCGGTGGTTAATTCGCTTGTCGTCGTGCTTGTTTGCCTTTTGTAATTGCTGCTGATGAGCCCTGGGGGTGTCTTATATCTATTCTAATATCTAATAGAGAGCCAAGACTGAGTATTGAAGTGCATGTAGGGAGTAGAATACTACAACACAACCACAACTACAACCGCAACTACGACCAGTATAAAACAAAGCAAACAAAACAACAACAAACACCTCAAATAACGAGAACTGACGAGAACACCAGATGAGCCAGAAAACTGAGTCGGAGAATTACGCGCGGTCGGCGAAACTCGGCGCTTCAACAGCACCCGTCCAGCCTTCTCCTGCACTTCCTCCCTTCTTCCTGCAAATAATAGCAAACAGTAAGAACAATAACAATATGATATACAGAACAATAATACATCAATAAAACTACTTCACACCTTGCAGAAACTGCACCAGCGCGGGAGAGCATCTGCGGCCATGACGTAATATCTCGGGGTTCCCAAAAAGCCGACCTTCCGAGGCCACGACGATGCGCAAGAGGCTTAAAAACTTGATCTTTTGATCTTCTGCTTTGTTTTTCTTCTTCTTCTCCGTTTGCCGCTATTGTTCGTAGTCTCTGGTTTACTGTTGTTTGTTTGTTTCTTGTTATATCTGCGGTCTCTCGACTTCCAGCTTGTTCTCGTCTCGCTGAACTTCTCCACTACGCGTCTGCTCATCGCGTGGCCATGACTTCCTCCCTCGGTGTACGTCCTCCTCCTCCTCTTCCTCTCCTCCCCACCTCCTCTCCTCTCTCCTCTCTCCTCCCTCTAACACCATGCAGTACCGCGACGTCGAGTCCTGGTCCCGCCAGGTCGTCGCCCCGGCCCCTTCGCTCTCCCTCCGCAGAGTAGGAACCGCGACCTCGACCGCCTCCTCCTCCTGCCGCTCCCGTCCTCAGTCATCCTCCTCCGCCGCGACCTCTCCCGTGCTCTCCATCTCCAACGACCGCCAGTCCTCTTTCCACATAGCCGCCGCCCAGTCCCCGATATCCTCGCCCCGTCCGTCGCTAGACGTCCAGCTCTCGGGTTCTTGCCCTCGCTCGCGCTCGCTGCCTACTCCAACATCCCAACTCCCTTGTGTCTTTGCTGATTCAAAGCATTCACCACAACTCGACCCCTTCTCACCCTCACCCTCTGCCTCTGCGTCCGCGGCAGCTACTGCCGCCGGCGCGCTCGCCGTCGCTGCCATCTCCGCCATCGCGTCCTCGTCGATCTCCAACAACGACAATAACGCGCTCATTGCTGACCACCCGCTGACATACCCGCACCGCTCTCTCTCCTACTCACAGCCTCCCCGCGACAGTATAGACGAGACCTCCGAGGAAGGTCTCGAGTCTCTTGACGACGAAGAGGAGGACGACGAGGATTTGTCGGTCGCGGAGGGTAGCAGCGGTAATCCTGCGCGCCATCGTCATCATCATCATCGCCATCATCATCATCACCACCACCACCCGCACCACCGTCATCATCACCATCAATCACGTTCCCGTCGACGTCAATACCCTCTTGAAGACGTTGACTCTCCAACAGACCGACCACAGCTCTCTTTACAGACCAATCTCGACGACGAGGACGACGACTACGACGATCTATCCTCCGACCGCCCGATATCCCCGCTCAGCATACCCGCCCACCGCTCTCTATCCTACACACAGAGAGATACATACGCTCCTGCTGAACTCGGCCTTGCTCCTCTCGATCAAACCGAGGAACTCAACGACGACGACGGCGTGTCAGAACATTCGGGCGCGGTTAGCAGAGTACTGTCAAACACCTCAAACACAGGCAGCGTAGTCCACGCCGTCGCGCGGTCGCCTACTGCCCCAGCCGAGCAGGTGCACCATCACCATCATCTGAACTTGCTGCACTTGCACTCGTTGCAACTGCACTCGTCAGGCAATAGTGCGGAGAACGAGCCATCGCCGACGGCGGAGACAGTGCCGGAGAAAAATATACAAAAAACAGCAAGTGCGAGAGATAACCAGGGCAAGCGAAGGAGTCGGATCGAGAGCGCAGGGTGCTGTGTCATTTGCTAAATAGTTCGGAGAGTGTGTAATGTGTATAGCAAACTGTGTATCATATCTGTTGGTTTGCGAGTTGGTTGGATCTCCCTCTTTTTTTATTTAGATTTTTACTTTTGTATATTTGTATGTCCAGCCAGTCACGACCCCTTTGTACATATCCCGAATAGACGGCACATATTTCAATTCATTTCGCATGCATAAGCAGCTTATAACGATGCTGTATGTGGTTAAATCAACGAGCAGAGGAGTGCAGCGAGAGAGAGATTACTAGGGCGTGCTGCACGCAGGGTTGATGCGCGTTTTTGACAGTGCAGATTTGACGAGGAATATGTGACAATGAGCTCCTTGCGTGCCGGATGATTATACGCCCCTTGCTGTAGAGCGATGTATATATATAATGTATCGGTGGTCTTGTATAGCTGTTTTGTAAAACAACAGTCAACAACAGCAGGAAGATCAAGACTACACTACAATGCTACAACTACTACCCACCCTCCTCGCGCTAACGATCGCGACCCTGATCTCCCCCGCGTCCGCGTCCTCGGCCTGCCCGGTCTCGAACGCAGTCTGTCCGGACAACACCAGTTTCTGCTGCCCGATGCAGTCCGAGTGCGTGGTGATGGAGCTGACGGGCGCGGTCGCGTGTTGCAACAAGAACAGCGTATGCGCTACCGCTGCGGCTGCTAGTGCCTGTTCTCTAGACAGTGACCACGACTGCGGTGATTTCTGCTGTCCGGAGGTGTGTTTTTTTTTATTATTAACTTGGTTTGAGAGTGAGACGAGAGCGGGGGCTGACGTATGTGCGTATAGAATACGAGTTGCGATGTCGAGGGCGGAGCGTGTATTCCAGGCCAGGACTGGATAATCACGGAAAACATCTCAATCTCGACAAACAGCAGCACGCTCAGCAGCAGCAGCAGCCAAACATCAAACCTGTCGTCGTCAACAGTACAGCTTGTGTCGTCGACCACCTTCTGGCACCACAGTCGCTCGTCGTCCGCCGCCATGCTCTACGTGAGCAGTAGTAACTACACCATCAGCAATTCCACAATCACCTCCGCGTCCACATCTCGCCCATCCTCCTCCGCAGCAGCACCGTCATACGCATACACCAACCACACGAGCAGCACAAGCAGCAAGAGCTCGACCTACAGCCACAGCAGCAGCGCGAACTTTGGTACCGCGAGCGCAGACCGGTCCGCAGATTGCGTGCGGCCGAGTCTGCTGCTCGGGATCGCGGCCGCGGTCGTGTCGTATGTTTTCATCTAGAGCTGATGCAGGTTAGAGAGCAGGACAGATGTCTATGTCTAGTTAGAGAAATGAATATAAATAGAGCAAGCAAACCACACATAAAAAATTACGCAGCTGCGTATGCGTGTGCGAGTGTGTGCGACCATATAAACCTTAAACGAGGTCTCTCCGCAGTACTCAAGGAACGCGTACTCGTCCATCGCGAGCGCGAACAGGGATCAATAAAGCAGGATAAAGACCATATCCGCAAGAGGAAAGGCGAGCGCGAACCGCAGACAATGGGCCTGAGTCTAAAAAAAGCACAGCCTCTGGCAATGAAGATGAAGGAGGCGGCTGGTTGGATGGTCAACGACCGATTCAGCTTCTTTGTTTGCGGGCGGGCGATGGCGCAGGGCTCTCAGCTGCAACAAACTCTTCCGTACGTCGGACAGGTTTAGTTCACCAGGTCGCCATTCATAAGCTCGGCGGTTTCCTTCTGTTCTCGTGTGTTTTGCTGGTGTTTTATACGTCTGTTGACTGACAAAGATACACACAATGGAGCGACGACAGACTGAAGACTTGGAGGAGTACCCCTCCCCCACCGCCTCTGAATATGCCGTATGCCACCCTCATCCCCCACTCTCCACAACTTATTCTAACCCCCCTCTCTAGCGCTACGGAATCGACGACGACGACAATGACGACAGCAACATCCCAGACCTCTCCCTCGCGCGCGACGCCGGCACCGGCTCGGCCGCAACTGAAAGCCTGCTCATGTCTCCCTCGCGAACACAGTCGCTGACCTCGAGCATGATGGAGTCCGAGGACCAGCACCCCTTCATCCCCGCCTCGTCCGATCTCTCTTCACGCTCGTCTGCGGTTGGCGCAGGCGCGGGCGTCGGCGCAGGCGTCGGCGGTGCGGGTGTGAAAGGCGGAGCGATTGGCGCTGGCAGCGGCGCGGCGGCGGCAGCAGCAGCAGTCTCGCCATTGTCAGAGAAGCGCGCGATGGCTGCAGGCCGACGACAGCGGAGAATATGTGGCATGGCGAGACGGACGTTTATCATTGTGCTGATCGTCGCTATTGCCGTCATCGCGGCTATTGCGGGCGGTGTCGCGGGCGGCGTGTCGCATCATCATAGCAAGAGCAGTTCTGCGAGCTCTGATTCTTCATCGACCAGCAGCAGCGCTAATACTGCGGTTACGGCTACAACGTCAAGCGCTACAACGTCAAGCTCGAATGGAGCGGTGACCAAGACGACTGTCAGCTCATCTCCATCGACTACATCCCCCGATACGACACGCAGCAGTTCTACCTCCGCTGCCGGCGCCATCAAGACTGGGGCATCTACATCCAGCATCTCCAGCACCCCCAGCATATCCCTCTTGTTACCGACCACATCATCATCATTATCAACAACATCTGTGCTTTCCTCAAAATCATCAGCATCAACCTCCAGCCTGGCTTTGGCTTTGACCACCAGCACAACTCCCTCCGCATCCGCAAAGACACCGGTTTCATCAGCAAAGCAAACCACGAGAACCACATCCTCTTTCGTCGCAAAGTCGACATCTCTCTCCGCCTCCGCCTCAGCCTCAACGTCGACAGCCGCTTCCTCCTCTGTACGGACCACTTCAGCTCTCGCGACAACCCCGACCCTCGCCGCCTCGATCTCGGTCGCGCCGGGTCTGACGCTCACAGAAGCCTCAGCGACGTACTCCGCGCTGTTCCTGCTTGAGTCGCCATCCGCGGCTTCTGATAACGTGTTTGCGACGACGTCTGGGACCGCGGTCGAGTACTACAGCGTCGACGCGTCGGGCTCGACTGTTGCCGCCGCGCAGTTCACATCCACAGACGCGCAGGGCAACGCAGCAGTTTACGCGGCCGTGACGACGACCTCCGTGGAGACTGCTGGCACTGCTGTCGCGACGGTGGTGGCGACGCATTATGAGGCGGTGGAGATGACGGTGTATGAAGGCGGGCAGTACGTGATTTACGCGCCGGTGACGGCGACGGTGGGAGAGCAGCCGACGGTGAGTTATGTGGCGGCCTCGACTATTACCGCGTTCACGGTCGACGATACGGTGTATGTCGCGGTCAGCTCTGTGATCTCTGGTAGTGGCGCGACGGCGATTGTCGAGAACGTGTACTATGCGCCAGTTACGGCAGCAGATACAGCAGCAGAAGATGCAGCTACGTCCACAGCAGCTTCAACTTCAGCAGCAGCGGCTATTGGTACAGCAGCAGCAGCAGCAGCAGAGGTCTGAACTGCTCACGAATAGGAATGTGTGGGAATATGTTGCAGCTTAGAGCATTAAAGCGTTAATAATAGATTACTTAATCATCAAGAATGCGAAATACGAGATACGAAGACGGGAGCACGAAGACGAATACGGCGATGGCGTTTTTAGGCGGTCGGGAGCGGATGATTGAATCATTCACGCCACCCGAGGTGTTTATTCAAGTGTCTAGAACAAAGACGATGAAACAGAAGAAGGAGGAGAGAGGAAGTTGAGTAGTTAAAGACAAGAACAGTCTTAATGAATTATCGCGGAGTTAAACAAAGCGGAATCTACGTCATCAACTCGTTCTCCTCCATCGCGCGAGTCCTTCCTGGTCCTGGTCTGGGAGAATACCCAAAACAGGCCAAAACCGGGCTGAAGAGCAGAGACCAGGTCGTCGAAGCTCAGAAGCCCGATGAATACGACGATTCCGCCAAATCCTGCTCTCTGTCACCTTCTCAAGCTTGTCCTGTGCCTCGTTAACTCCCAAAACTATCTTCCTGCTCGGACCATCGTCGGCTTGTAGACCATCGACCTTAAATACCCGCCTTCCTCCTTTGTTCTTTGTTTTCTCTCCGTCTGCTCTCTGTTCTCTCTGTTTCTCCTGCTGTACCAATGACCCCCTTCGCGACCTTCATCGGCCGCGTCTTTGGCCTCAATCCAAAGGTGCGGCCGTATCTCCTCGAGGCCCGCGCTTCTGGCTTCACCATCGGCTTCACAATCACCTTGGCGGTCTTCATGGACATCTTCCTCTACGGCGTAATTGTCCCCATCGCGCCCTTCGCCCTCGCCGAACGCATGGGCGTCCCTGAGGACAGAGTCCAGAAAGACGTCTCCATCTCTGTCTTGGTCTACGCTGCCGGTCTTCTCGGTGTGTCTTGATATCCCCTCCTCCTCCTCTCCTCTCCCCTGCTAACTCTCTCAGCCGGATCGCCTGTCTTTGGCTACCTCTGCGACACGTACCACAACCGTCGCCTCTTCATGATGATCGGCCTCGTCGCCCTCGCCGGCGCAACCCTCATCCTCTGCCTCACCCGCTGCCTCTGGCTCTTCATCGTCGGCCGCCTCGTCCAAGGAGTCTCCGCCGCCTCGGTCTGGACCGTCGGCCTCGCTCTCGTCAGCGACTCCTTCTCCGAAGAGCATATCGGCAAGATGATGGGCATCATTGGCACCGGCATGAGCCTCGGCACTTTCCTTGGCCCGTTCCTCGGCGGCATCGTCTACGATCGGGCGGGATACTACGCCGTCTTTGGCGTCTGCTTTGGCATTATCGCCGTCGACATCTTTCTCCGCTTCTTCATGCTCGAGAAGAAAGACCTCTATCGGTTTCAGTCCGAGTCCGCTGTTGCTGACAACGAGAGCAACGTCGACGAGAGCAACGTCGCCGACAGAGTGACAGACAAAGACGCCAGCGACCAATCCACCTCCGCACCGCAATCAAAAGTACCAGCAGTCATCCGCCTGCTCGGCAACAAACGCATGCTCAACGGCCTCTTCCTCACAATCATCATCGGCTGGGTGCTCACCGGTCTCGAAACGACCCTCCCGCTCCGCGCAGAAGACATCTTCGACTTCTCCTCCCTCGGCACCGGCATGCTCTTCCTCCCCATCGCCATCACCTCCTTCCTCGGGCCCTTGGCCGGATGGTGGACAGACCGCTGCGGCGCGCGCTGGCCGCTCGCAACCGGCTTCTTCTTCTCAACCCCGTTCCTCATCATCCTCCGTCTGCCAGAAGACAACCGCACATCCCAGATCGTGCTCATGTTCGCCCTACTCTCCCTCCTCGGCCTCTCGGCCTCTCTCCTGATCCCGTCCGTGATGGCCGAGATCTCGGTGATTGTCTTTGACGCCGAAGCAAAGCAGCCGGGCATCTTTGGCAAGCACAGCGCCTACGGCCAGGCCTTTGCGTTGTTTAACCTCGCGTACTCGGCCGGCAGCGTGTTTGGGCCTCTGGAAGCAGGCTTTGTTGCCGACGCCGATGGGTTTGGAACTATGGCGTGGTCGCTGGGGATTATCTCGTTTGTGGCTTCTGTGCTTGCTATTTTGTTTACTGGGGGGTATCTTTTTAATCGTAAGGGTGATGATAACGTCACGCAGCAGCAGCAGCAGCAGCAGCAGGAAGAGAGTGAGATTGCAGTGGTTGCGGAAGAGGAAAAAGGAGTTTCGGTGTGATTTTTTGTGTTATTTGAAAGTTGAATATTAGCATTATTGTAATTACCATTCTCAACGCCGTCGATTCACTTTTCAGAAATCAGACAAACCCATGCAAACTTTTCGTTCCCCAAATGCCTATTTTACACCAAGTCCCTTTTTTCAGAAGTTCAACAAAGTCCAGAGGAGCACATCACTCCGCAGCACTTTTCTTCCGCTTCTCCTCTTTATGGCGCAACTTCTTCAACCGCTTCCGCTCATTCTTATCAATCTTCTTCCCCTTCTCCTTCCCATCCCCCTCCTCGTCCTCATCCTCAGCAGCAGCATAGACCGGCCCATCGACCTCCATAGCCTCCACATCTCCTACCTCCTCGTCGTCAGCTTCAAGATCAGCATGCTTCCGTTTCCGAAGCAAAGGCGGCAGACCGAGTAGATCCCTGCTAATCCGGTTCAACTGCTGAATAACCGAGCTGCTCAAACTCGCCATCTTCCCTGCTCCCTGCCCATTTCCCGCCGCAACAGCAGCCACGCTGCTCTCGCCAGCAGCGGAGGAGGAGGAGGGGGTAACAGCAGGATCCTGCACGGTGCCGAGGAAGGAAGCGATTAGTTCCTGCGCTTCGAGGTCGGATAGCTTGTGCAGCGCGGTGACGTGCACGACCGTCACGCCGTTCTCTCTTCGCGTTGTCGTCAGTCCCGACATGTCTTGTCTTCTCTTCTTATTCTGCGTTGTGGGAAGAAGTACTTTGAAGTAGAGAAATAGAGAATATCAGAAGAGACCGTAGAGATTAAAAAAAAAAAAAAAAATAAGCGAGCACTTTGTCAACATCGTCGCGGGTCTCGTGGCTCTGCCCTTTTTTCGTTTTTCTTCCCGGTTCGGCATCGTCGAACACTCCGAGCCAGAATTGCAGTGTTGCGCCAACGAACGAGAAGGAGAGAAGATATAAAAAAGAAAACAAAGAGAGAATAAGAGTAATTGGAATAAGAGAGAATATGCAGGCTGTTTCGATTATCTCGCGGATTGCGCGTGCGCGGGGTGTGACTTCTGCGTGCACGACGTCTACACGGTAAGATATCAGCAACTCTGGTCAATTGATGCTGATATGCTGATTATATTCTAACTGTTTCAAGACTCTTCTCCTCCGTCGTCTGCTCACCCAACTCCCTCGCCTCCGCCCGCTCCTCCCTCATCTCCCCGCACGCCCGCTCCCTCCTCAACTCCTCCCCCTCCCCCTCCACAACAACACCACCATCAACAACCGCACACCTCCCGCCCTCGCTGCTCTCGATCGCAGAACTGGGCCAGCGCCGCTGGAGAGCCCGCGGAAACACGTACCAACCCAGCACATACAAGCGCAAGCACCGCATCGGCTATCTCGCCCGCATGCGCTCAAAGTCCGGGCGCAAGATTATCGCCAGACGGAAGGCTAAGGGGCGCTGGTTTCTTACCCACTAGTTCTTTGTCTATTTATATATATCTCGTCGTCTACAATTGTACATATAATATAATCATTTTTTCATTATCTAGTCTTTATTCTTCGTAGAATCCACAGCTAATCCTCAACCGACGCATACCGGTTACTCATCTCCTTCAGCAAAAACGCATCCGCGCCCAAATCCCTCATCCGCTGACTCACGCTCTCGGCAAGATACAAGCAATCGTTCGACAGATAAAAATTCGCATCAAAACTATCCCCGTAATGCAGCGGCGCCAGCGCGCGATACGCTGCCAACACGTAGCTGATCAGCGCGCGCAGCTGTTTTCCCGCCGCCGCGATCGACGACGTCCGGTACCGCGTCGTCAGATCGACTGAGTCCCGCTCGAGCGACGAAATCAGCGCCAGCAGTTTCTCTGGAACACTCGTCACCACGAAAGTCTCGTTCAGTCCGCCGCCGCCGATACTGCTGCTCCGGCTGCTGCTGCTCGGGGCTGGTGCTGATTTGGGGATTATCAGCGGCTTGATTGATTTCTTGGCCGCTTTGGACGATTGGATTAGTGGCTTTGGTTTTGTCCTCGTCGGTTTCACGGGAGATGGTGGACCTGACGCGAGAACGTCCTCATCAACTCCCCAGTTCCAATCATCAGGCTCATCCTCTTCCTCTTTTTTCTCCGGCTGCTCGTCATCCAGATCGACGTCAAAATCACCCCACCCATCATCCGCTTCGTCGGCTGGAGTATTACCAGCAGCAGGAGTCCCAGGCGTATCCTCCTCCCACTCCTCATTCCAGTCATACTCATCCCCACTACTCTGCTCCACCGCAGAAATCACCTCCAAACTCCTTCGCCCGCCTAACTCCCCTCGCCGCTCAGACGCCTCCTGCACCGCGTCAAACGACGAAAACTCAGCCCCGACCCGCTCCACAATCTTCCGATCACTCTCCGCCGCCCCGCGCACGATCGCCCTCGTCTCAGCCAGCACGGCATCGCACTTCTTCTTGTACCATACTGACGGCACGCGACGCACCCATTCTTCGAGCTCGAGCGCGCGCGTCCACTTGCGATCCCGAAGGAAGCTGTCGAACTTGCGGATCTGCGCCAGCGTGCGCTCAAACCTGGCGAGTTCGGTGTCCAGCGCGAGCGGGATCGCGTCTTGGAGAATCACGTCGATCAGCGTGGTCGTTATGACTGTCGACAGTTCAACCGCCAACGCGTGCGCAATCGGCTCGGGAAACATGTCGTTGATGAACTCGATGAACGTTGATAGATTCTCTAGCACGACGTCAACCGAGCTCCCTCCTTCTTTACCCTCCTCTTTTTCAATCACCAGGCTTGACTTTTTGTCTGAGCTTTTGTCCACCGTCACTGTTAGTGCTGTGGACGCATCGAGTATCTGCGCAAGGATCTTGGTTTTCAGCTGCGTCGTCAACGCTTTCAGTTTTCCTGCATGATCATATCGCTTCAGCGCTTCTGCTATATCCTCCAACGACACATCCGTAAACTCTCCAACTACCAAACTAGTTAGCACCTATCGCACACGCACTATATCAAACAAGGAGAACTCACGGTCGACAGACTTGTACACCGCCACCCTCGAATAATCCACCTGAAACTCGACCGCCTTAGTCCACAGCAAATCCAGCGAGTAAAAAACCTTTGAATCAAGCGCGTTGACCTCCTCTTTCAGACTACTCAGCAACGTGACATGCTCCCAGTCCTCGAACCCCGTTATCTTCGACTCGGCAGATTTCAGCAACGGCACCGTCTGCACGAGCATGCCGGAGCTGAAACATGATCGTAATTCGATCAACGTCGCTTTTATGAACCAGATCTTGTTGAGCGCGTCGATTTTCGTCACGGTCGAGTCGTGCGCGGTCGTCAGGGTGTCGAGTGTGTCTCGCAGCTTGTAGATCTTTTCGTCCGCATTCTACTAGTGTTATTGCTCATGATACTCATTACAAACATAAATGTGAATATAGATACCTCATGCTCCTTCGCAGCCTGCTCGAGCTCTCGAAGCTGAGTCTCTGAACTCTGGATATCAGTATACAGTTCCCGAGACTGCGTCAGGTACGTATCCAAATCCCACGCATTCTCAAACCCAAGCGCTTCAACATCACTCTGTGCCTCTGTTAGTCCTGACATCAATCAACAAAACAATCTGCAAGCAATAGAGGAAGCACACCTTAATCTCAGCGATGGCCTCGTCGACAGCGCGCGAGATTGCAGCCACGTTCGAACGGTCAGAGATTTTCGCGTCCGCGGCAGCCTGCGAGTCTGGGAACCGGCCGTCTTGGATGAATTCGACGAGCGACCGGACCACCACGGCCTCTGAAGCAGCCATCTCGTTTTTTGCGAGAGTAATTGAGGATGTACGTCTACTCTTGAGTGTGGGTGGAGTGTGGTGAAGATGGGCGCGGCTCAGGGCTCGGAGAAGGTTGATGACGTATCCTCACTTTGCAGATTCTACACAGACTACTATTAAACAATAACAACAAGAGATAAACAACAACTAGATAATAAACAAAACAATAACAAAACCCAAGAAATACAACAACAAACAAAATTAATTGAGAATAAATTATGGGAAAAATTCGAGTGCTTCGATCATCTGTCTGCTCGACCAAAGACACTCAAAGACGTATTACCTTCTGAATAGAAACTACACGGTATCTGCTCAATCCAAGTATTCGAGTCTCCTCACAGAACACCCCATCTGCTGCTCACCACTTATCTTATACCCACGCCTCACTCGAGATCTTGACCTATTGTGCTATTCCTCCGTCGATGTTGTGAAAGTCCAGAATTTCAGAGTACATCATTACCTTCCACTGATCGACAGGCAAGTCCGCATCTATATCATTTATTAGCATCTTTGTAATACGCACAAACGCACACTACAACTCACCGTTGAACGACCAATCAAACTTCTCCTCGGCAACAGGCTCGTCGGTCGGATCGTGATAAGGCGCGAGGTACTCGTGCGCCAAAGCCTCGGCGGCCGTGATTCGCTTGCGCGGATCGAAAACGAGCATCTTCTCTAGTAGATCGATCGCCTGAGGATCCGCGTTCTTGAACTTTTGCGACAATGGTATTCTTTGTCTCTTTGGTAGAGACTTGACAAAGCGAAGGGTCTGAATTAGAATATTAGTATGGTTCTGTGACGGCAGATGAAGAGGAGGAATTCTCACATTCTCACTGCAGATTGTGTGTATCACGTCGTCAGGAGGGGTTCCCAGAAGCTCGGTGATGATTGAGAACTGGTTCACATGATCCTTTCCAGGGAACAGGGGCTTTCCGTCCAACATCTCGGCGAAGATACATCCCGCACTCCAGATGTCAACTAGAGAGAGTTAGTATATACAGTGTTGTTTTTAAAGGAGAGGGAAGACTCACCTTCGACGTCGTATTTTTGCCAGGTAAGCATAATTTCTGGTGCACGGTAGTATCTGGTCGAAACGTAACCGGTCATCTGAGGATCCTGGATTCGCGCCAGTCCAAAGTCGCAGATCTGATATAAAATTGGTCAGCATGACGTTTGTTATTGTTAGAAGTAAGAGGAATATGCACCTTCAAATCGCAGTTCTCGTTGACGAGAATGTTGCTCGGTTTCAGATCGCGATGAATTACACCGGCCGAGTGCACGTATTTAAGGCCTCGGAGGATCTGGTAGAGAAAGTACTGGATGAACTGCTTCTCGAGTGGACGGGAGGTTAACAGTCTATGCAAGTCTGTGCCCAGGAGTTCGGTGACAAAGTAGCTAGAGAGAGATTAATAGAGCGACAGAGAGGAAATAGGGATGTAGAGGGACAACATACATGTCCTCGAGAGGGGAGATGAAGATATCGGAAAGCGAGATGACGTTCTCGTGTCGGAGATGCTTGAGCAGCTTGAGCTCACGGTATGTGCGCTTAGAGAGAACGGGGGTGCTGAAAGGCTTCATGATCTTTTTGATGGCGACGGCCTGACCGGTGAGCTGATCGCGGGCAGAGCTGGAGAAGGTTAGTGGTGGGGTGGGCGTAGGAGATGCGGATGAGTAGACGGGCACATACCAGACCAGGCCGAAAGCACCCATTCCGACGGGATTGAGGTCGGAATATCTAGAGAGAGAAGTGAGAATTATTATACTTGTATAAACGACAGATTCAATTCAGAAGAAAGATACCTGCTGGTGATTTCGAAGGAGGTGCCAAAGATCTGAGTTCTTCAGCGGGACTAATGTTAGCAAGGACACAAGACCACTAACAACAAATCTCAAAAGTAACAAAACACACCTGATAAAGTCAGCCATGATGTCGATCAAACCCGGATTATCCGCAGAGCCCCTTGAATGAATAAAAGAAGAGAAGAGGGATGAAGACAGAGGACTGTGGGCAGCGGAGTGGTGATAATCGCAGAGACCGAGCAGCGGAGGAACAGATCAAATAGGGTTCAACCTATTCCGCATCGGGACTAGCTCATCTAGAAATGGACGCAGACAGTTGCACGGCTTTGGAGATTCGAGATGGGAGCGGAGTATTGTAGGAGATATTAGTGAAGAGAAAGAGAGAAGGAAGAAGAGAGATATGAGCTAAAAAAGAATAAGAACCTGCTGAACTTGGATATCTCCAACGCTATCTGAGAGCCCGACAACCAGAGACGATCAGCGCTGCGTGAAGACGAAGCCGGAAAGATCCGCAAGATTAGTCAGAGATGACTAATATTTGATATTGTAAGAAGCATTGCTTTGCTGTTTACTGTTATAAACAGTTTTATTATCTGTTTCTATTCTTTTCCATCATCTTATTCTCCTCTTTATGCTGCACAAACCCGCTGATTCTTCTGCGTTTATCGCGAGCACAAACCCCAAAATTACTGCTGTCGGAACTTAATCAACCTCGACCACCGCTCGCTTCCCATCAACTTCAACATACACTCAACTACTCATCAACTACTACTTCAACTATTTATCGTTGCTTTTACTTCTTTCCACTTCAATTCTCTTCTTCTTCTTCTTTTTCTTCTATTGTTCTTTTTCACTTATTCTTCCTCTTCTCATTCATACCATCTACTTCATCCAACTCATCCTCCTCTTCCGAGTCCTGCACCCTCACATATCCTAATATGCCTTTGATGCCATGAGCGACAACGAATCTTCTACCTCTGACGAAGGCCTCATCGTCGGCGTCTGCGTTGTTGGCTTTCATCACACTCGGTATGTCCTTCTCACTTTCTCTCAATCCTCCTATCCTCTCTTTCTCAATCATCCCCATCCCACCATCACCCCTCTCTCTCTTCAAACCTCACTAACCTCCCCCTCAGCGGCCCCGAAGTCGAATACTGGATCGGCGAAAATGGCAAGGACATGTCCACAAGGTGGCCAAACCTCCCCTTCCAGAGCTTACCCGATGGCTCTCACTCTGTAAGCTTCTTATCGTCCCCCGTCTCCGTCTTATCGCCCAGCATCAACTAATCACCTTCCAATTCCACCCAGCACGAGGAAGATTACTCGTACTTCACCCTCATCTACGAGCCAACCCCAGACGAACCTGACAAGGAAAAGACAACCTACTTTGGCATCTCCTGCAACCGCCAAATCCGCACCACCGAGCTCGTCGTCAAAGCCGCCGACGTCACTCGCTCGACCGTCCAGAAATCCGTCGTCGTCGTCGCCCGCAAACCAATCTTTGGCCCGATCCGCGAAAAGCTGGCGGTCGTCACCCGTGCTTACTTCTTGCAAGCAAACTTCGAAGACCGCACAATCATCAAAAACCTCTACGACAACCTCGTCCAGCTCTTCCACAGCGGCATCTGCGAAGCTGATCTCTACAACGGCATGACCCTGCGCGAACTCGTCCACCGGTTCTCTTGGAAAACTCTTGTGCTTTTCAAAGCGCTTATTCTTGAACCCAAAATCCTCTTCTTTGGATCAAACACTGAGCTCCTTTGCTCAAGCCAATTCTCGCTCGTCAGTCTGATCCCGGGCCTCATCGAGCATCTGCAAGACTGCGCTTCGCCTGCAATGGACTCCTACGAACGCTCTGTTCAGAAATCAACCTCTCTTCGCAGTAGTGACCGCGCTTCCCTTCTCGCGTTTATGGGCCTTCCACTACAAGTCTTTGGCAAAGGCGGGATGTTCAATCCCTACACTCCTCTGCAGCAGCTAGAAACCCTGACCAGCGAAGACACCAAATTCTACCTCATCGGCAGCACAAACTCCCTTCTCCTATCGCAAAAGCACAAGTTCGCCGACATCCTCGTCAACGTCGACGATAACACCGTCGAGATCCTCAACCCCGATCTCGAAGCTCCTCTGCATCTGACGACCAACGATCGCCGCTGGATCGACGGCATCGCTAAAGCTGTCAATGAGTCCTGGACTGATGACGGGGATGGGAATAGTGCTTCGGTCATGTTTGTCGGTAGTGAGGATTATATCCGTTGGCAGTTTGAAGACTACATCATGGCCCTCTTATCTTCCGTCAAGTACGATCAGTTTCTCCAGAAATACGGCAATCCTCCTCCACCAGAAGTTCTCCTGCCCACTATCGGTAAGTCTCCACCATCTTCTCCTCTTGTACACTCCAACTAATCACTCTACATCTACAGAAGGCAACCCCGTCACCGAATTCAACCTCGACTTTGTCTTCCGCTGGAAACGCACAAACAACTACAAAATCTTCCAATCCAACACCGACGAAGAACTCTTCGACGTCGTCGAGCCCCGCCACTCCTACGGCGGCGGCCTATCGCTCGAAGACGTGCAGCGCAAAGTGGCCCAGCAGATGCAAAACCTGGCGCCCGCGCGCGAGGCGCTCGCGAAAACTTTCGTCACTGGCGGACAAAAGGTGTCGACTGCATTTGGGAATTTCTGGAGCGAGATTGAGAGTATGAGAGAGAAAGAACGGATGAGGAAAGAGGTGCAGAAGAAAGAGCAGAAGAAGAAAGCAGCAGCAGCGGCGGCGGCCGAAGCTGAAGAGGACAGGAAAGATGCAGGGTCTCCTGGATCTGGATCAACTATATCTTCCAAGAGATCACAGCGTAAGCAACATCCACTTCACTTCATCTCGAGTCAAGCTAACTTATATAGACATCACCGTCTCGGATCCTTCTTACCTGACAAGCTGGTCACGCTGGGCAGCGGATAAGCGACGCCAGGCATTCGGCAGCACGCGTTCGACCTCCTCATCAAAGCTGAGCTACAAGACCTCATCATCATCCACAACCAAGCCTAGCGAAACCAGAGTTGCGGACGCACCTCTGTCGCGGAAAAGAAGCCAATCAAGCGACCCTGCATCGTCAACAGAGCAAGCTACCACGCCATCCCCCGCCGCTCTAGAATCCGAATTTGAAGAAATCTCGCTTTCTGCTTCCCGATCTAAATCGCCGGACTCTGAACACTCCAGTCTTGACCCCCCTGAAGAAGACGACGACGACCACGACAACATTGACGATGACGATGACGATGATGACGAACATACCTACACGCCTATCTCCAGCGACGACATCAATCCCTGGAAAGGCATTCAACAGCAGTGACCTGCATAGCGCGGGAGTGAAAAAGCATGCATTTGAGAATTAGTACGAGTTTACCTACATTGTTGCATTTTCTTTCGTTTTATCCCACATCACTATTACTATATGCTGTAAAGTCCGTTTCTCATGTACAGTAGTAATTGAAGCTAATGAGCATTTGGAGTTTTCTCAAACATCTTCTTATTCACTATTATTACATTACACTAGAGAAAACACAACTCTCAGAAACACCCAAAAAACTATACATCAATCCTTATCCGGTGACGAAAAAATATTCGAATTTAGATGCGCGACCGCGGGCGGCGAATCCATCGGCGACGAATCAAACCTGGTCTGATAATCCATCGCGCGGTGATTATTCTTTGGCGTCGCCAGCTTCGCCAGCTGCGCCGCCTGTCTGTGCGATGGAAGCTTGGGTTGCTTCGGCGTGGCCTGGATGCCCCATTTCCGATCCAGCACGCGGTGCAGCAGCACGTTTTGCTGTTGATTGCCACCTGTGTAGGTGCGGTTGTAGTTTGTGACCGAGCCGGGCGCACGCATGCCCGCGTAGGGAGAGAACGGGGAGGATTCGGGTGTGTGGAAGGCGGCTGAGTCTTCTTCATCGATTGTGGAGTTTGCAGGTCTGGACGCGTAGCGATTTGGAGTCCGGGGTAGCGCTGCTGTCTTGTTGGGTATGGAGGTCGTGATTGACTGCTTTGGCGGAGACAGCGATAGATCGTCCTCGTCCTCGCCGTAAGAGGTGACCTGCGGCACGGGGATGATCGAATTCGTACTATCAAACGAGCCATTCGCGTGTGTGATTCCCTTGAGCTCAGACCGCATCTCCTCAAACGGAGAAACCATATCGGCCCACTGCATACCGCCCGCATTCTGGGCACGAGACGAAGGATGTGCGCCAGGAGCCTCAGAGGCGTTCACGATATTCGAGCGTTCGGCGAGAACTGCGCGTGGGGTGGATTGGCTGTCGAGATTCAAAGACTTGATGAATTGCGTGGCGCCGGCTAAGGTGGCTTCTATCTCTAGCTCTTCTTCGTCGTCATATTTGAACCGGGCGATTCCGCTTCGTGCTTCTGGTGCTGGGTTGGGCGCGCGAGATTGTTGCTGTTGTCGCTGCTGCTGCTGCTGCTGCTGCTGAGTTCCAACATATGCCACAAACGACGATTCATCGTCATCAACACCAGTCATATTCCCCGCTGAAGAGATATCCTCATCCCGTTCACCATCATAATTCTGACCCGGTGTTTTGACCTCCGTGTTGTAGTCATAGTCCATCGTTGCCGAATACTCGTCGGTGTCAATCTGACTAGCTTCCGCAGTCTGGTTCTGGTACTGATCTGGCTGGGCCTGCTGTCCGTCTTCTGTGTTGAGCTCTTCATAGCCGGCCAGCGAGACGTTTGCGCTAGACTCGAAAAACTCTTTCCAGAACTACTACAGTCAGTAAAATAATAGGAAACCACAAAGAGTACTCTCGTATCAACACACCTTTGACGACTGCCACACCGCCTGCGATTGCACCGCATACTGCTCCACGATCGGCAAGATCGCAGAAGTAATAATCCTATGCGACGTACTGAAATTATGATCAATCTCCTGCAAAGTAAGTGTGATGCTTTGCTCGATCTTCTCGAGCTCCTCCGTCAACGAGCGCGGCACCGACATCGGCGCCTGCGCAGGCGCACGGAGCGAGGCAGCAGAGGCCGCCGTCGTGCTTGTTCGCGAAGTATACGCAATCGACGGCCGCGGCGCCCGGATGCTTTTGCGCGGGTCGAGCGACTGGGTCCTGCGGTCCATGTTGATGTTGGTGGTTGGTGAAGGTGTTGTGTTTTGTTGTTGTGGAGCGACGCGTTTTGTTTTGCTGCGGGTGCGAGACTCATGCGGCGACAAAAGACGCGTTTGTGGCATAAACAAATAAACAAAGTGCGCACACAACGCGTCGCCCGAGTTTGAAACCCATCACCGCCGACAGTTTACTAACCATCTGCAATTGTTCATATTCAGAAGATCCAGCGATTCACGCAGCGAGCAGGATGGACAATGCGCTTCCGGCTACGACGGCATTTTCGACAGTCCATCTCGTGCTGTTCCCGGCCGCGCGAGAGTACTTTGACTGCGCTCACCGCCGGAGCACTCAGCTCAAGACCCGCGAGGACGTCTTTGCGTACTACAAGTTGATTGCTACCGGGGCGCGGTGCTATGAAGCCGTGCTGAAGGTATTTCGTTTGTTTGGGCTGATATGTGGAGTTATTGTTTGCTGATGTGAATTTGAGGAACGCATACCCCCATACGTCGAATGTCTAGCTGCTCTCTGGTACTGCGAGGCGTTGTTTGAGGAAACTAACGGATTCGACGAAGCCGAGGAAGTGCTCAACAAGGCTGTAAGTTCAATGGTTTTTTTTGAATATATTTTGAAAGTTGCTAACATATTTGCTCAGATTGCGCTGGCAGGCAGGGTATGCTTTGGAGATCAACCTCTGATACGAGTCTAATTGCTTTTGATACCGAGTCTAATCGCATTCGATACCTTTAGAACAACCTCCACGACCTCAAGTTCACAATGCTTCACCTATCAGTCCGTATTCTAGCCTCAACAAATATTAAAGCTGCTCAACGACTTCTGACCCAATGTCTCCGAGAAGCAGAGAGGTAAGCAAACCTAACATCTCCTTATCATCTAGCTGATCCTAACTCTGATCTCTATCATACAGCCTGAGCAGCAAAACCTGGTCCTTCTCATTCCACTACCTCTCCGCATCTCTCCACGCAACCGCAAAAGACCACGCCGTCAGCACAGCCGCTCTACGCCCACTCTTCTCCTGCAACTCCAACGAAGTGCGCGCACTTGCCTTCGTCTTCAGCGCATATACTTCCCTCCGCACCGGCGGCATCGCTCAGGCTCGTGACCAACTCAGCCAAGCCCAGCAATGCGAGACCGAATACTCAAACGTCTACATCCCTCAGATCTCAATTCTACGCTTAATTGGCGACATCCTTGCTTTTTTTCTCGAACACGACTTTGCCGGGTCCGCGAGCAGTCTGCAGACTCTGCAGGAAACACTGGACCGGCTACGACAGGCAGAAAACATCAATTGGAGCGAAGACGGCTCGTTCATGGTTGCTCTACCCAAAGACTCCGACGGTCTGACTTCAATCCCGCTCAAATTCAATTGGTTGTCGTTCCCGCAGATCTGGATGCTCTGCCGTCTCTTGACCGGCATCAAGCTCATAAACGCACCACCTAACGAGCCAGATCGCGGCGCGGGGATGTCGAGTGCGCTTTCGCAGTTGCAAGCCGCATGCTCTGACATTGATCGCGATGTATCCGGCGAACATTTCGCATACGCGCCTCCTCTCTTGACGATCCAGCAGGCCGCTGCTCGCTTGGACTTTTACGCAACCGCGAAATGTTACGCTTTATTCTACATCTGTCTCGAAAAGTTCCTGCATTCGAGATTCGACGCGCAAGATTTGATCCGCCTAGTCGACGCCGCGAAATCTGTCCCAGGTCAAAAGCTAAACGACATCTATCCGCTCATCCTATACCTCGCAGGCCTGTACTTCCAACACACCGGAAACCTCACCAGCGCTCACGAATCGTTCACGCTACTCACCAATCTCCTTCCGAAATCATCCGAACTCTCGCTCCTAGCCTCCATCAACCTCATCCTCATCTACCACGGCGACGCCTACCCGAACCTCGAAAAAGCGCGCTCGCTCACAAACGAGCTATACCCTCTAATCTCCGCCTCCTCCAACACCGCCATCAAGCTCGCCTTCTCCGTCCTCAACGCAACCGAAACCTTCAAAACCAACCCCGCCGAGATTCCGAACCGCATCCCCGCGCTCCTCAGCGCTGCCCGCTCGCTCGCAAACACGCAGATGGCAACAGTGATCTTCTACCTCGGCGCGCAATCCTTCCACGAGCATGAAAAGCGCTCGGAAATGTCGACCGCGGGGTTCTTCAGCGCGAAAAAATCCCGAGATGTGCTTTGGTGCTGGATCATGGGCCGGCTCGTCTCTCAGAATCTGAAGATCGAGGGGAAAGAGCTGATTGCTGAACAGCAGGAGGGTACAAACGCTAAAATTCAAGTTCTGGCTAGTCAGTTGATAAACACTCTTCCCGTCAACTTCTAGTATTCCTACTTTTTATCTCATACATAATATCTATCTTTGCATTGGGGATTTTCGAAACGGAGTTACTAGGATTTGCTTACACGATACAAGCGATGACCAAAATAATATATATTCTAATCAAACATACATTAATATCTAACGTGATTTTCTGCTCCATTGTATGCCACAGGCTATTATAAGTGGCCAACAACAGAGCTCGCACAAACAAAACAACGACAGTAAGAAAGAAACGACACGACACTAAGAAATAGAGGCTGGATCAAAAGTCGTCCATCGGCCGATCCACAAGCGTCACGCCTTCAAGTTTATGCGCTGCCTCCTCAACGTCACCCAGTCCACTTTCTTCGCCCACCAAGCTTCGTCCCTGAGAGAACGACGACGAGATACTCGCCCGGTGGTTTGCCTCCTCGCCTTCATCGTCCTCAACACCGGCATCGTCCGGCGTTGCCTTCAAAGTATCCGAAGCCTCGTCCGCCTCGCCGGCTTCCGCAGGCGCACTCTCGGAAGCAGCTGCAACCGCAGCGCTAGGCGACGACACGTTCGACGACGCACGCTTTCTCGAAGAAGGCGTCAACACAAGCTTCACGCTCGGAACACGGTTATGTCCGGGAGTAGGCGACGCGAGACGGTTGCGCGACTTTCCGTTCTCGAGTTTCGCGTCAGGCGAATCTCTACCTCGAGCCTGCAGCATCTGACGATTTCGTTCTTCGACCTGCTGTCTCCGCGAAACATCCGCCGACCGGGCCCGGCGCGCATTATCCATGATCGGACGGCCGTGGTGGAACAGGTCTAGCAAGAAACGGTAGCCAAACCGATCGTCAACCGTCAACGGCGTATCCACCAGCGGCCGGATGAGAACCCGCGACATTTCGTGCGCGAGCTTGAGCTCAAACTCCTCACCGGCGTTGCTGCCGTTCGCCTGAGCGTGCTCCATGGTGACCTTGATAAGTCTCTGGAGATGCTTCGTGATGGCCTTGAGAGTCACCGCGTTGCTCTCTGGAAGCTTGACGAGGATGGTAGAGAGAGGACCGATGATGACTTGCTCGGCGGAACCTTCAGCCTCGACCTCCGGCGTACGGCGCGAGTAGTAGTCCTTAAGCGCATCGTAAAGCGACGGGTCGATAAGACTTCTAGGCAGCTCGTAAAAGTAAAGCTTCAACACTGCAGCGACGACAGGGGCCGGGAATGTCTCAAAGATTGTGCGATACTCGTCATCAGTCAGGGGCTTGCCTGTATTGATGAGTCGACGCAGATCATGGACTTCCTTCAAGGAAACGTTGACCAGCCAAGTGTCTTGAACATCCATGTTTGATGGACTGTTAGCGTAGACAGTGTCGAGATACTGCAGCGTACGCGTGATGATCTTTGGCACAGATTTCTCGTCAATGAATTTATCTTCAAGCCTGATGCCAAAAGTCTGCTGAGAGTCATTGCTCATCAACGCGTTCTCGTACACTGTCACATGCGGCGCAAAGAGACCGGTCTTGTAGCTCTCTATGAGGTACCGCAGATCCTTCTCCGGCTGGATAGTCTCGTGGTAGAGCGAGAGCTCGTCGATCAGTTTGCGCATCTGCGGCATGATGTTTGCGACCGAGATTGAAAAGACGTTGAGAATGTGCTTGATCTGCTCCAGTCGCGCAGTCTCGTAGCTCTCCATCAGCTGGAAGTACCGGAGCAGTCCTTCTTCCAACTCGCAGCGTCCATTGTCTAGCCGAACGACGGCAGCCTTGTACTTTTCATCTGCAAGATGCTCTTCCCGAACAACGCGCTCGTAAGGCGTTTCGTTCTCTGGAATAGGATCGCCACTGAGGGTGGTTGTGCCAGTAGCGGCATTGATGACATTAGTCAAGATTGACTCTCCAAATGTAGAGGTTCTGTTGAGCGACCCAGGGTCCACCCGACCAGCCACTTCATAAGCTTTCGGTCTCCAGGCATAATGGGTCTTGGAGCTGTTGAGGAACGTGTTGCCAATGGCAGCAACCTGCTTCATGAAGCCCGCATCGATGAGGTCCTGTCCAATGTCTTCGGCGGTAGAGGCCTTGACCTTCATGCTGCCGGTGATCCACTCCACAACGTTATCACCCGACATGACGTTCTTGTACTGGCCATAGAATCTTGCCTTGAACTCGGCCTGAGGGATTTCGTCGAGCATCTGCTGAAGCATTGCGGCCATGCGCTCTGCGCTGAACGAGCGGTCGCCAATCTCATAAAAGACTTCCTCCTCGACAGTCTCCTCCAGTTCCTGTTCCTCGGCCTCATCGTCTTCCGCGTCGCCGTCCACAGAACTCGTCCCGGTCGACCGACGAGGAAGTGAAGTTCTTGTGTTTTCGTCGCTGGGAGGTACGATCTTAACGCTCGGGATGGACGTGGTAGAAGACGACGGAGAAGGCGCGATAGGATTCTGAGAGACGATGTTTGTAGACTTGAACGACTGCAACGCTTCGTTCTTTGTCCGGTACACTCTAGCGCATTTGTTCACATCGGCCTTGAGATTCTCGACCTGCTTGATTCCTCGCATCTCTCGGTAATAAGTCTGCTTGACCTTGGTCTCATGGTCGACAGCCCATCGAGCAAACGGCTCGAGTGCCATGTTCCGAATATCCTGAGCAATTCGAATATGCGACTGGCCTTTGCTCGAGATCGTGTTGACCATGCCTTCGTAAGCCTTACGCAGACTGGCGCCGTCGTCACGGCCAAAGCCTTGAGCACGGGGCGCGGCACGCTCGTCGACTTCTTGCAGAGAGATGCCGTAGGACTCCTCGGCTGTCATGAAGGCGGCGAGGAGAGAACTGATCTCATTGTTTTCGTAGAAACCCTGGATCATTTTGTTGTGGAGCGCATTGACGCCTGCAAATGAGCTGTTAGTATCTAGATACTCGAAGGACGGCCAGAGCCACGCTCTGCACGATTTCAATTGATTGATTGAAAAAGTGTCACTTACCAGTCTTGTAGTCCGGCGTCCAGAAGCTGCCACCAAAGGTTTTATTGGAACTAGTCATTGTGGGTGAGAAGCACACGAGAAGGTGAGATTTGGCGCGTATTCACTGAGGGTATCCCGCGTAGCTGAGGTCGAATTAAGGACCGAATTGAGCAGCCAGACGATAGAAACAATTCTAAACAACTTCAAGCACAAACAAGCACTTCCAGAACACGAAATAGCAAACAACAAGCGTCGCTGTCTGCGGAGGAAGAGCAAAAGAGCAGGAAGCCGGTACGCGCGCGTGCAAAGAAGCTGATTCTGGTTCCCCTGTGCACGGCTTTCGCATTTATGCTGGAGTGCGGCTGATTATGATTATGTAACGAATGACTACCGGATTGGGTAAATGGCTTTCTATTTACAACTATCTGAGCAGAATGTAAACAACAGCACTACTTGCGCTGCGTCGCCTTTGTGGGCTGCTCGACGGCCTCGGCGCCGGAGGACGCGACTGCCGTGGCCTCGACGACCTCCTCCTTCTCCTCGCCTCCCTTGGTCTCCGGACTCTCGCCCTCGGGGTTCTCTCCGCTCTGGCCAAACTCGTTCACGCGCGTGGGATCGACTCGGTAGAGCCAGGTCTGGTAAAGGTAGATGAGGAAGATGACGTCGTCGCGCAGCGTCGCGAGACGGTGCAAAATCGGCATCTTGATGACAAACGCAAACAGGTCATCAATGAATGTGTTGAGGAACTTGTACGCCATCGCGCGGCGCGGCATGTGTGCAACGGACTTGAGACGGTAGTTGATGTAAATACTCGGCACGAGCATCAGGAAGCCATATGCGTACACAGATCCCACAAGCGTAGTGATGATGAAGGAGTACCACGACTTGTGAGTGTCATAGATCAGAGAGTAGACTGCGTAAGCACCCAGTAGCGGAATCGATGCGATGTACATATACTTGAACGCAATCTGGTCGTACTCCTGCGTCTTCTTCTCTGTCTCGTTAAGTTCGTGCTTGTCAGTAATCACAAGCTTGTATGGAATAAGTCCGGTCTGTGGCTCTAGCTTGAAATCGAGAATCTTGGTGATCTTCCATGCCTCAACCATAATACCGCTGCCTTGGGTGAACATAACCATATAGCTCGTGTTTTCGTTGTTATCCATCAGATACAGGAAGATAATCGACTGCATAACAACGTTGGCCACAATAGTTCTCACCGAAGTGCCGACCTGATTCTTCTTGTTCTTCCAATGGGAGATGTCGTTCTTGAACGCGAGCATCTCAAACAGTACGTGCAGGATAGACACAGCTACTGTGATAAACATCAGATAAGGGTTTGTCTCGAGTAATATCCGCTTGAGTTCTTCCATATCACCACCACCAGTACCAGTCAATGCCTGCTGCTTGAATCCGGCATCCATGTTGGCTAACAGCTGGAACTTCCAGTACTTCATAGGCACCAACTCCAGATTGATTGGAAGCTCCCTATTCAAGGTCAATAAATGCTTAGATACAAGTAAGAAGGGTGACTTACGAGGAGGTGGAGTTCAGCTCCCACATCTGAGAGTTGAGCTGCCAAAACTGGTTGTAGAAAACGATCGGATCTGGACACTATTAGTAAACGTATTACAAAGATAGCAGGGAGGTCTACTCACAGTAAAAACCATTGATCTCAGACTCATCTCTTCTATCCGTCGCCTCGAGCATCATCCACTGTCTCACGGACGGCAACTGCTTCACAAACGGCAGAGGAGTAGGCTGCACAACTCCCAGCGTAACATCAGGATGCCACATAGCTACCAAAGGCGGCAACTTTTCCGGAAGGCTTCCGCCCATAGCCTCAAACTCTTCTTTGCCAATAATAGCAAGCTGCGCAGTTTCCTCTTCATTCTCTTCCTCTTCGTGATGTCCCAGGAGATGCTTTTGCTTTTTATCAGCTTTCTTCGGGAGGTATTGCGTAAGTCCTGCATTATGTTAGTCGACTGCAAACAGCTGTATTCAAGAAAGGTCTTTGAGCATACTGAAATGTACGGAGTAGGCTTTGTCGGTATCATATTTCGGTGAATCGGGTCTGAACGCATAACCCGGCTCGTTGACATACATGTGCGCAAATATAGACCCGTTCAGACGCATAGGCTGGAAATAACGTCAGAAATCAACACAAAATAAAGAGTATAAAGTCAACTTACCTCGGTAGTCTCGATAATGGCGCTCTTTTGCACTTTATAGTCCATATCCCCATACACAAGATCATATTTCTCAAGAAACGGCTCAACCTCATCGAACTTGTCAAAGAACGGGCCGTCGGTGATATACAATCTAAACTCGTACGGAGTGCCGATCTGCCAGAGCGGGTCGACATTAATCGGCACGACCGGTCGGGGTGGTGGAGCGTCGGCAATCGGCGCCGTGGTCTCCGTCGGGGCGGCGATGTCAGTAGTCGTGGCCGAGACAGCAGCGGCGTCCGTAGGACTACCTGCCTCGTCAGGCTTTAGGAACTTCTGTGTGATTTGGCCTGGTATAGAGCTTATTAGTAAACCAACTGGCTAGTTGCAAGCAAGGGAGTGTAGAGAACGTACCCATGAACCACTGAATACACATCATCATGACTATCGACTTCCACCAGCTCATCTGCGTGAGCGGGTTCTGCGCCGGCATTGCCGCCGCATTGGGGTTCACACGCGGAGGCATATTCCCGAGTAATCAGAGTAATGGGAGATATTTGGAACTGAGGAAGGAATACAGAGACCGGGGGGAGGAAAGGGAAATAAGAGAAGAAGAGAGAAGCTGGGAACGCCGCAAAGGCTGAGGACCGGCCAGCAGTGGGCCTGGATGACTACCAAGCCTTCTGATGAGGTCTTTTGGATTCTACGGTAGATTACAGCTGATTATGTTACTGCTCTAATGTCAATTGACCCGGACAAAGACTCTGTTATCGCTCCTCCGCCGATTTCATCTGCAACCATCTTCTCGACCGCTATCTCTTCCTCGGTCCCGATGATTGAGTGCTGTCAATGTAAGGGTTGACAAATTAGGAAACCCTTATACAGATAAAAGACAATCGCTGGTTGAAGTCGCGTCATCACTGGAAATATGTCGGTGAACAGCGTCCCTCTGTCTAGAGAACATCAGGCATATAAAAGCGAAGAGATGTTAGGGAGAAGAGGCCCTGATGTGAGGATTGGGAAGTGTTTTCAGAAGAGCAGCCCAGCAGCGTTGTCCTTTCCAACACTGCCGTTGAAGCAGACACCCCTGCTTCTCGCTCTCTGATTCTTAACAAAGATATCCCGACTGCTCTACCCCGGTACTATTGAGATATCCTACCCGAAAACTCCACTCCAGAAATTTAGCTTATCAACGTTACTGAGCCAAAGAAACATTGACCATGCTGATTTGAGAGTGAACCTGCACATGGGATATGCTGAACACTCATATGTTCTTTAGACATAGCTGAGGGTCGAACATTCGGCGATAAACTTGTCGAGGATATACTAGAGCTATTTCTATGCGTGGTCATTTCGAGACAGACAAGTAGCTCTACTCATGAAGACGGACTCAGAATATAAGTGCTGTGAATTATGATGTCTCTCTGGATCTAGGCCCCGACTGCGTTCTATGATGACAAGTCGGCTTCCTCACTGCTAGCTGCAGAACCACCGCCTACTTCGATCAAGAAATAGTCCATACATGCTGCTAGAGAAACAGAAACACTCTAACGCCTGATCCCATTCTCCCTATAAGGCAACCGTAAACAAACCGACGCGGCAGAGCTGGTCTGCGCCCTAACCACAAACCTTATTTACGGTTGTTTGGGCAACGCAGAGAAACAAACCCGCTACGCTGCCCAGCCACCTCTGCCAGCCATCTCGGACCGCGAGTAGGTCTCCTTTCTTCTGTCTGAGATCTATCGAATACTGCTGATTGTGCGCTGGCTTCAAGCAGCTGCATTTTTTGATTGTACCGTGGTTTTTTGTTGCTGGAAGTTGTGTCTGAGCAGCTTTGATCTTCACGAACCACGCATCAACGCAGACGCGTTCGCTCTTCTTGATCCTGATTTACGAGCCTGAGTCTATCGACTACTCTTGATCTATCCCACATTTTCATTCTCAGTCGAACTAGAAGGTCTCTACCCGTCCATCCGGGAAGTAATTACAACATGCCTCCTCGACGAAACCCAACCAGTCCCGCGCGTCCGCGGGCGCGAAAGAGCTCTTCGGGCGCTTCGAAATCCCGCTCTGCAAAGACATTACCGTCTAAAAGACCAAGTACGGCCGGCACACAACGTGAGTTCTCTTCACTTGTTTGAGTCTTTATGACCAGAGGTCTAATGCTCGTGTGACCCGCGTGCTATACTCCTCAGTAAACCTGGAAAGAGCTAGCGACTAACTGAACTCATTACCAGCTGGCGAACCCGTCATCCGGGCAAGAAAAATCCGGTATAAACCCGGTACTGTCGCTTTACGCGAAATCCGAAAATACCAAAAAACGACCGATCTCTTGATGCGCAAACTGCCCTTTGCGCGAGTAGTGCGTGAGGTTGCTCATGATTTCTACTCTGGCGACGAGGGCCTTCGGTTCCAGTCGGTTGCGATTCTCGCGCTTCAGGAAGCGGCGGAGGCGTACTTGGTGCACTTGTTTGAAGATACAAATCTGTGCGCTATACATGCCAAGCGTGTGACTATAATGCAAAAGGACATCCAGCTAGCCAGGAGAATCCGGGGTGCGTGGGGAGGCCTGGGTTGAGTATGTGTCTTTTGAAGTAGCTGTTAGGTCTATTGTCTGTTTTTCTTTTTTCCTTTTCTTATCTCTATTTTTTATCATTTGTGTAATTCTACTGGGTGTTTTCGTTTTCTTCTGTAACAATTAGGGCCTGATATTGGAAGTTCTTTACACGTAATCCTATAATTTATTCGCCAGCAAAGTCCAAGCCATAAATTTGACGGACGCTAAGAGAGAGTCAGAGTAGTCCGGCAGTCCGGAGCTCTTTAGATATCATCTATAGTATTAAACTATCAACTAGCAGAACACAGCAGAGATTTCCTAAATTTGGATCGCCGAGGGGATAGATTAATTACTGCCCGTAGCCCTACTATCTAAAGATCTCTCAAAAAAGCCACTAGTATTGAAGTTGTCACTACATATTCCAGATTTTATCACCATATGTTTCTTAAGGCTCTGCTCTGGAAAGCAGCCTGCCTTCTGCTCAACACAAATCAACACAAATAATCACTTAAAATCCCGATTTCAAATCTCTCGACTAAGAAAAAACACGACAGCCAACTCATTCACGATCGTAGAACCCTGCAGATTCATTACACATCATAGACGCAGACCTAAGCCACCGAGATTGATCGTCTAGGTCGTCTCTTATCGATGCTGTAGCCAAAATGAAGTTTCTTGGCCACATCAGAGTCGGAAAGTACGGCAGCAGAGCCGGCGCTTGCGGCCGCGTTGGCAACACTATCAGTTCCAGAGCCAACGGCAACGACGTTAGACGCAGTGGCGTTGTACTTTGTCTGCGCGATGCTGGCTTGGTTGTTGTCGAGATCGTAGACGATGTAGGCTGCGCGAAGGAAGGTGTCGCCGAGGATAGATACTCCGAGACCGGAGCTGTCGACGATCGTCAAGAGACACACTTGCTGGCCATTGGTGTATGTCACTGGCTCATTCTTGGCGTTGGTGCCGGGCAAAAACAACTGCTTGACGGGAACCTTGATCGTGATACCGGCAAACTCAAAGTCGTAGGTAGCATCAGAGTTGACCACCTCCGGGCAAGGAATGATGTAGTAGCCAACCTGGTCGTTCCAAGTTGCGCCGACGGCGTTGGCAAAGTCAGCCTGCACCGAGCTGGGGAGATAGACAAAAGACGTGCCAGAGTCAAGAAGAACAGAGAGTCCCAGGCTGGAGCTGTATTCAGTCGTCGAGCCACTAGCGTCGGTATACGCAGAGCCCTCGAGAGTGACGAAAAACTCAGACGGCGTGGATTCACCCTCATCCGCGATAAAGGGTAGAGTCACCAAACTACCAGAGTATTTCTCCGTATCTATCCCTCCAAACAAAACGCTTCCAGTCTTGGCATTCTGATCGTTAAGCCAGAGGGAGTACACGCGGGACTCGATAAACCCCTGGGACACAAGAAGATCAGGAAGGTTCTGATAGCGGCGCGAAGCTCCAGCTGTGAAAATCACAGCTTCGTTAGTATCATAACCGATGCCCATGATACCTTGCGTAGCATTCGCGTCAGTGGCAATTCCAACCGTAAGATTTGCGACTGTCTTTCCGCCGATGGTAAAGGACTCCGACGCATAGTTTCCCTTGGCGTAGGAGTAGTCACCATATCTGATTGAGAAATCAGTCGAGAGCAAGCTGTAGGTCGACGAGGAGTCTGGATCATAGATTCCAGACTCTGCACAAGGATCAGAGCTCTCCTGACAGATCTTGTTCTCCGCAGACTGGAACCAGACGTCCGAGGATCCGGTATCGATCTGCAAGCGCAAGTCTTGACCGGGCGTACCGACGGTGACGTTGGTGTAGTAGAGATAGTACTCGTTATCAAGATCCTGGCTGACGGTGTTGTTCACGGCGCGCTTGAGAAGTTTCTTCTCGCGCAGACGATCGAGAGTCGGGTTTCTTTGAGAAGAAGAGCGGTCGCGCCAGAAGTCGAGCTGGAGAGTTCCCGACACAGCAGCGAGGCCCGAGCCCGAGAGAGAGAGAGCGGTGAGAAGCAGAGCAAATTTCATGATTGCAAGATGTTGAGCAGGAGATGGTATGTTGAACAGCAGCTCTGGGGATTCTGTGGCAGCTTATAAGATGGTCAATTGCTGGTCAATTGCCGTGGCATCCGAGCGGGGTAGTCGTGTATCACCATTGTCAGTCTCGACTTGTCACAGATTCTGATACTTGACAGGTTGGTGATAATATGAGGTGAGAAGGAATACGACAGATTGCGAGTTTGGGAATGCAAAGAGTACAGGTTTGGGTGAGAAAATACGCCGAGTAACTCTTCGAGTCAAGCTTTAATATATATGATCACAGCTGGCACAGAAAATAGACAAGGAGGATGAAGGAATTGTAATTGATTGAGCAATAATGAATGATCTAGAACTGATATCATTCTAGTTGATTTGATATAGTGAAAAATTTGCTTGGAGCACTAGCAGTACCAGAGAGAAAGAAAAGAAGGATAGACGAGGGACGTGATATCATATGTGAACCGATGAACGAGACGCGATTGAGAACACGGCTGGACTAAGCTTTTGTTTATGAAAAGCTCTTGAGATTAAGACGTCGATCAGCCGTATCACAGCCGTACGGAGCTCCGAAAAGTTTGCTGTTCGTAGCAGATGTAGGCAGTAAGCTTTGAGGAGTTGAGATGATGATTCAAAACAGAGGAGTGATAATGTATGGTATATGTAACAAGCTGAGAAGAATGAACAGAGGTATATTGACACTGGAATGAGAACAAGCACACATAAGCACAAGCACAGAGAACAGAATGAAACCGATATTGGCTTTGGAGAAGAAGCCGCGATATTTGACACGGCTTTGACGTCGACGACCGATGACTGGTGCAAGTTAACCGACACCCTACAAAAAGCGAGCTGGATATGGCTTTAGGGTTAATAGTGTAATATATGACTAATACACATCACGTGCTCTGAAGAATAGCACTGGGAGATTGATGTTCGTATTCGGAAGGGCTCGCATTGATTGATGGTAAGGTAAGTGTCCCTTTTCGATAGGAAGTGAATACTCTTCTTATTAGATTGAAGAAAGGTCGCAGTATTCTTCCTATTCAACTCATTCAAGCACCTGCTGTCAGCATACAAACGACCTCGGACTCGGACTCGGGTTCTCGGGTCGTCGACCAATCCCTACAGAGCTATTACTACTCTTTACTTCATACAAAACCAGTAAATAACCACTTTTTGAGCACAATTGCATGTTGCGTGACTATACTCAACCTCCCCAACCTTCCTCCAACCCGCACCAGCCAAAGCTCAGAACCCACCGCTGCTGCGTCCGGAACCCGAGATCATACGAGGCCGAAGATATGGCCTGGGTGGCGTGGATTAGGGTTCAGATTGCGGCTCGGATACGGATTGCGCGCAGGTCAAAATACTTGTTTCTCTGCTCTTTTCCTCTCGTCGTCCTTCTCTGTGAATAACCGCAAATATAACATTTATAATACCTCGTTGAAGCTGCAATGTCATTCTCTTTCTGGGCTGTCGCGACATTGGTCTTCGGCGTCGTCGCCGTCGTCGTCAACGCGCTCAAGCAGGTGCTCTTCAAGGACCCCAACCGCCCTCCTGTCGTCTTTCACTGGATTCCCGTCTTTGGCTCCGCCGCCTCCTACGGCATGGACCCCTACAAGTTCTTCGAGGACAATCGCAAGAAGTTCGGCGACGTCTTCACCTTCGTCATGCTCGGCCGCCACATCACCGTCGCGCTCGGTCCCCGTGGAAACGACTTTGTCCTGAACGCGAAGCACTCTGATGTCTCGGCTGAGGAGGCCTACGCGCACCTCACCACCCCCGTCTTTGGAAAGGGCGTCATCTACGACTGTCCTAACGCGCGTCTGATGGAGCAGAAGAAGTTTGCAAAGTCCGCGCTCACCACCGGCGCGTTCCGTTCCTACGTGCCTCTTATCGTCAACGAGGTCCGCCAGTACTGGCTCAAGTCGCCCCAGTTCTTTGGCGGCGACAGCAACCGTGCTTCAAACAAGACCCACCTCATGACTGCCATGCCCGAGATGACTATCTTCACTGCCTCCCGCACTCTGCAGGGCCGTGAGGTGCGCGCAAAGTTCGACGAGTCCTTCGCTGACCTCTACCACGACCTCGACCGTGGCTTCACCCCCATTCACTTTGTCTTTCCCAACATTCCTATCCCCGCCACTTTCAACCGCGACAAGGCCCAGCGCAAGATCTCAGATACTTATATGGAGGTCATTCGCGAGCGTCGTCGCACCGGTGACCTTTCCGAGCAGGACGTTCTCAACACGTTCCTGCGCGACGCAGTCTACAAGGACGGCGTTCGTATGAGCGACCGCGAGATTGCAAACATGATGATTGGTATTCTTATGGGTGGCCAGCATACCTCGGCTGCTACTTCTACCTGGGCGTTGATGCACCTTGGTGCCGACAAGGCTCTTCGCGACGCGCTTTACCAGGAGCAGGTCGAGGTCTGCGGTCCCGAGCTCCGCGAGCTTACGTACGATGACCTCCAGAACATGCCTTTGCTCAACAACACTATCCGCGAGACTCTCCGCATGCACCCCCCTCTCCACTCTCTCATGAGATTTGTTCGTCACGACCTGACTATCGAAGGCACCCGCTACGTTGTCCCGCGCGGACACTACGTCCTCGCTGCTCCCGGTGTTCCTATGATTGACTCGCAGTACTTCAAGGAGCCGCTCAAGTTCCAGCCCGAGCGTTGGCTCGAGCAGAAGAACATCATTGATCTTGCTGCGCAGGATCAGGATTACACGGTTGTCTCGAAGGGCGCAAAGTCGCCTTACCTGCCTTTCGGAGCCGGAAGACATCGCTGCATTGGCGAGCAGTTTGCTTATGTTCAGTTGGGAACTATCTTGGCTATGTTTGTCCGCGAGTTTGAGTGGTCATTGCCTAACGGACGCGCTGTTCCCACGCCTGATTATTCGGTATGCCCTCTATATTTTAGATATCATGATAGTCTGAATGATATACTAACTGCTGTTTTTCCTTCTTTTTAGAGCATGGTGACACTTCCTGCCGAGCCCTCGGACATTGTATGGACCAGAAGACGAGTCGGCGAGAAGAAGTACTAAGTGAAATATTTAGAGTGTATCTATAGATCAAGTAAAACGATGACTACAAAACTGAGAACAAGCGACGGCGTTTTCTTCTATATCTAATTTTGATTGTATTTTTAACAGAGTCGAATGTATTTGCGTTGTTGAGTAGCTTAACATTCACACTAAACCCTTAAAGTTGTAAGCGAACGTCGTCGAGTTTTCTCTCGTGGTTCAACAGCCCTTTGATACATCGTGTCGGCAGTCTGTTTGCAAGGATATATAGATATTAGTATCTGGCAGTGTTTGAGATACAGCTTGCTTGTGTGCGTTTGTCTGTTTTGTTGATACAACTGTTTTATATCGCAAAGAGCTCTCTCTACCGTCGACAGTCAACAAAAAAGTCTCCTTGATCCAGCCAAGCTCAGGAACACTCCACCACACACCACCAAAACAATGTCACAAGAAGCTTCATCAGTAAGTGCCCAGGCGCTTCCGATACCAGGAACAATAAGGCGAGCAGGCGTCAGCAGTCGAACAAACAAACCGGTCCCACCACCGCCCGCTCCACCACCAGGAAGACGTGCAATCGGCAGCAGCAGTAACGCTATCGCGATCGACTCGGGACTGGCTGCATATGGAAATCCTTCACAGACGTTGTATATAAATAACCTGAACGACAAGATTCAGAAAGATGGTGAGTGCTGTGGTTAGCTCAGAGTTCAGACGGTTGAAGGGCGAGGTTGCGCAGACGTTTGAAAGACGAGGTTGCTAACTTGAGCATTAGAACTGAAATTGTGTCTGTACACGCTGTTTGCGACGTACGGCACAATTCTCGACGTCGTTGCAGTCAAAACACCGAAAATGCGCGGACAGGCTCACGTAGTGTTTGCAAGTGTACCAAGTGCCACGGCAGCGCTGCGAAGCTTACAGGGATTCTCGTTTTTGGGCAAAGAGATGGTATGTTGTTTAGTACCGACTCGATCGGAAGGAGGAGATGTGTTGCTGACTTGATTGACTATTTTAGCACATTGCGTTTGCCAAGTCAAAATCTAATGTAGTTGCACGGAACGATGGCACGTTCAACTCTTCACAGGCGCTGTTACAGCAAACAACCGCAGCAGCAGCAGCAGCTGTTGATGAGGATGTACCTATGTACGCTGCACCGGCTGACGACGACGACGAAGATAAGGAAGAAGAAGAGGTGAAGCAGGGGACCAAGAGAAGCCGGGAAAACGATAGCGACGAGGAATAGAGTGAATGTATTTATACGGAGATGTACGATAGAGCACAGAAAATGTTTAGCAATCTATAAGGAAGCAGCTTCAATGATGACTACAGCAATCCTACACCAAGCACACTGCCAATGATTCCAAACCACACGACGAGATACTCATCGATAGGTATAGGACGGTCCTGGTTGATTGTCTGCATCACCTCCCCGGTTCGACACGGGTGAACGTAAAACCCGATCAGGTTGGTGATGGGGTTCTCAGCCTGAGATACTGCGCTCATGCCATAGATACCGCTATGCTCAAGTATTGGCTGCGCAGAGTGCGGGATCGTGTACTTGTAAAGCTCGTCGACGAGGGTGATTGCTCGGGTCGAGGAGGTGAGGCCGTCGGTGAGGGTCGAGACGAAATACAGCGTCGGCAGCGCGTAGACGGGAGAGAGCACTATATGGGCCTGCGTGCGAACAGTGAAGTGATCTGTATCGCGAAGGACAGTAAACTCGACAGCATCGGGGCATTCCTGGTAGAGTATTTAGGTGAGATCAAGCCGATAAGACGGAGGTTGATATCAAAGCATACATTGGGGCCCGATAGACGACAAGCCAGCCCTGCACGCTGCAGACGCGGAATCAAGGCCGACGCAGCACGCGCAAACTCATGAGAATCAAGGAACGGGAACGAGCAGGAATAGTCATTGCTCATAAGTAGATTGTTGACAATAAAGCAGAGATTCGCTGTTATTGCAAGAAGCGGATCAGAGCAGCGGGCAAAAGTCAAAGGCGCGGCTCAGCCAAAGCAAAGAACGTTCTTCGCTCACCCACCGCAGTGCTCGTCATCATCTGCTCTCTTCCTCAACTCCGTCTTCAATCCATTATTCTCAGCTATTCTTTCTAGCAGTCGAAGCAATGGTATGTTTTGTTGAATTACGCAGTATTTGATTCAATTCACTACAAGAAAAACGGATAAACGGACCCCGCTAACTCTCAATCTCTCCAGTTTCGCAACTCATACGACAACGATTCCATCACATACTCTCCAACCGGCCGATTATTTCAAGTCAGTTCCTTCGCATTGAATACATTATCGTCAACCACACGGAGACCATCGTGCCCTGGATCGAACTCGGTGAGGAGGTCGGGTGATGGATGGTGCTTTGCGTCACGATCAGCACATCGACCCCTCGTCTGATTCAACCCGGACTCTAGTCAGGTCGTCCAATTATCTGCATCAGTCGCTAACATCACTTTTGTTAATCATCTGAAGGTGGAATATGCTTTGGAGGCAATCAAACAAGGAAGTGCTTCCGTCGGTCTGGTTAGCAAGACACACGCCGTGCTTGTCGCCTTGAAGGTGTGTATCCTATCTCTCCGCAGGCTATAGTCGATCGATCGCAGGCAGTAGCTGACTCTTCCTGAACAACTATAGCGAAATGCCGAAGAGCTGGGATCATACCAAAAGAAGATCATCCGCATCGACAATCATCTTGGTATCGCCCTCGCCGGTCTTGCTCCCGACGCCCGCGTACTTAGGTATGTTTTGAGACATAAGCGACGACCTCGAATCAGTGCTAACCTCATGGTCTAGCAACTTTATGAGACAACAAGCTATGAGCTCAAAGATGATCTACAACCGACCTATCCCCGTCTCACGGGTGGCTAGCGAAATCGGCGACAAGGCTCAGAAAAATACCCAGGTCTACGGAAAGCGTCCCTACGGCGTTGGACTTTTAGTGGCTGGCTACGACGTACGTTCTTCACTCAATCTCTTCAAACCTCAATCTGTTCTAATGTAATCTTACAGGAGACTGGTCCGCATCTGTTTGAGTTCCTCCCGTCCGGTACCGTTCTTGAGTACTTTGGTGCCGCAATCGGCGCCCGCTCGCAGTCCGCTCGCACATATCTCGAGCGCAGCTTCGAGTCCTTTGCCGATTGCTCAGCAGAAGAATTAGTCCTCCACGGCCTTCGTGCGCTGCGCGACACTCTTGCGCAAGACAAAGAGCTCACTATCCAAAACACCAGTATAGGAGTCGTTGGACTCGACAGTCCCTTCAAGCTGTACGATAACGAGGAGGTGGGTGAGTGGTTGGAGAAGCTGGGAGATGTCGGCAGCTCAAGAGGTCGACGACAGGCAGAGGAAGCTGCTGCTGAAGCTGCTGCTGCGTCTGCTGCTGCCGAGGCCGCTGATACTGACGCTCCCACTACCGATGCTCCGGCAGCGGATGATGAAGCTGCTGCTGATTTACCAGCCGAGCCGATTGAAACCGACGATTAAATATGGTTTTTTAATCTAATTTGTTTGTCTGTGTATCGACTTAGATGTGCTATTATCAATAATTTTACATTACTATTTACCAAAACATGTTCTATTTACCTTCCCCTCGATACTCACTGCTAGATCATCTGATGACCTTCATAATATGCTTACCCCGGTTTGCATCATTACCATAAAAGTCATCAGCCATGAACTTCGCATACTCCGGAGTCCTTCTCTCCGGCCTAACCCCCAATTGATCCAATCCCCTAGCCGCATACTCAGGCAAGAACGGCTGCAGCAGAATCGAAGAAATCCGGCCGACCTCGCCCAGCACGAAAATCGTCTGGTATAATAATCTCTTACTCTTAGCTTTCCACGGCTCCGCCAGATCAACGTACCGGTTGGCGGCACCTAAAACCGCCCAGATATCTCTCAACGCACTCGGAGTATCGTGATTGTAATGCATGTGTACGATGAGTTTTTCATAGAGTTCGTTAAGGGAAGTGATCAAGTCGGCCTCCAGTCCTCCGATATATTTGGTTTGCTCGAAGGCTTGGAACGTAGCGAAATCGCCGCCTGTTTGCTCCATAATCTGTGAAACTGCAATTTCGAGAGAGAATGTCTTGGACGTCACTCGGCTGATCAAATTTCCATATTTGCCCACCAAATCAGTGCGTCGTCTCTCGAGAGCGGCCTCGGTCGAGAACGAGCAGTCACGATCGACGATGGCGTGCGAGAGAAGGTAATACCGAGCAGCGTCGGTGTCCAAGAGATTGAGAATGTAGAAAGGATCGACGACGTTGCCGTCAGACTTTGACATCTTTGCACCGTTCATCTGCCAGTGTCCGTGCACGAGGATCCGCTTTGGAATCTGATACCCAGCGGCGAGAAGGAACGCGGGCCAGTACATGGCATGGAAACGGATAATGTCTTTACCAATCACATGCGTATTGGCAGGCCACAACGGGCACTCCTCTGAAGTACTGTAACCGGTCGCGGTCAGGTAATTGACAAGCGCATCAAGCCAGACATAGATTGTCTGAGAGTCATCTCCAGGAACCCGGATACCCCAAGTATACCGCGACGAAGGACGAGAGATACTGAGGTCGCCCGTACTATCAGCGACTTCGGCCTTCACTTCCTTAAACCGTTGTCTCGGCACGACAAATTTTGGGCGAGACTCGTAGATTCCGAGCAGCCTCTGTTTCATCTTTGACATTGCGAAGAAATAGTTTTCTTCAGAGGTCCACTCGACCGTCTTTCCTGTCTCGATCGCAACCCGCTTGGGAAGGCCTGTCGAGTGGTCGACACGCTCTTCCGTGAGATTTTCGGGGTAAAACGTCTCGTCGGACACGCAGTACCATCCCTTGTGCTCTCCTTTGTAGATGTACCCTCTTTCCACCAACCTATTCCAAAACTTGTGCACAGACGCGATATGATCAGGATCCGTAGTTCTGATGAACCGATCGTTTGAGATATTCGCGGCGCTCGCAAGGTTCTTAAACGTCACCGAGACTTCGTCGCAAAACTCCTTGGGGTCTTGCCCTTTCTCTTGGGCTACTTGCTGGACTTTCATTCCGTGCTCGTCCGTGCCAGTGAGCATGTATGTCTCGCGGCCGCGGAATTGCTGCCATCGCTTGAACGTGTCCGCAAGAACCATCGAATACAGATGTCCGACATGAGGTGCTAATGTATAGTGTGAGTGAGAATAAACTGTGTGATGGCAGGAACAGACATACAAGCATTGACGTAGAAGATGGGTGTGGTGATGTAGTAAGGCTTGAATTTCGACGATTGAAAGCGCACACATCTGACAGCAGACAAACCACCGGCAGGTACTCGAACCCGGGCGTGAATACCAGGCGCAGAACGCAATTGCAGCATCATTGTGTATTTATCACCGAGTGCTGGTTGAGAGAGAGGAAGAAGCAGCGTTGAAGTAGAATTTTTGTGAATTGAAGTCGAGTTTCCGGTGCGGCTCCGAGATGAGCTTAACAATTTCAGATATTTCTCACAACTATCATCGCTTTTATAAACAGAACAATGCAGACATGTACCATATCCGCTTTCTCAAAGTCCCGTACATAGTCCCACCTCCTTCAAATACACAGCAGTCATCCTCCAAGACCCCGAAAGCAAATGCAGGAGAAATCACAGTCTCTACAAAGATAACTCTGACGACAGAGCTCGGCGAGAACTTCTTCTACGGCTCTGTTCCTGTCCGCGCTGAGATCGCATATCGACAAAATGCAAATAGCAGTGTGAAAAAACGGAAAAGAGCGGGATCGTCAAAAGACAAAGCAAGCAGCATCTTGCTCGGAGAGACCACAGCTTTGTGGAAAAATGGCATGCGAGCGCTGCAGCTCGACATTTCGATTCCTCGAAAAGTAGTCGAGGAGCTCGCCGCGGACAACGTACAGATCTTTGAGAGGGTGTTTATAAACGCTACAGATGCTGCTGATGAATGTCCGTTGTTTTTCGAGAGTGACGATGTGCCGCTACCACCGACTTTCTTCGAGATCGAGAGCATGCCTTTTAGATTTGGCCAGAACGATGCTGGATCTACGCCGAAGCAAAAGCCAGCAGTTACTATTTCCTACAAGAACGACGATTCGCTTTACGTCAAGAGACATGTCGAGATGGGGCAGAGTGGTACACTGACACTAGCAGAAGAGATCGGAGATAGCATGGCTAAACATTTATGGTGTGTATCTACTCTCAGGTCCTCCGACTTTGCATCTGAGCTAACCTCAATTTCAACCCAAGGGACTCGGGCATATTTCTCTGCAGCTATCTACGAGCATCCAAAGCAAACCAGGAAGAGTTTATCTCACAACTGATCACAGACACCGATCGAAAACAGCAGATACTTGAGATTGGGTGTGGATGCGGTACTGTTGGCATCGCGCTCAGCAAACTGGTCAAAAACAGTCGCGTGCTCCTCACAGATCTGGACTCTGCGAAGGAGGTAGCAGAGCGAAATATTGTCTTGAACCAGGACAGATCGTTGACACCGGTGGAATTTCTGCCGTTTGATTGGGATACGTCGCAGAACGACGAGCAACAGAATGCCGCCGTGCTCGATACGCAGTGGGATATCGTGGTCGCCTGCGACTGCACGTATAACCCGGACAGCTTTACATCTCTGACGGATGTCTTGAAGAGACTGATTGGTGCAGATACTAAACTACTGCTTGTGCACAAAGAGCGGCACGGGAGCGAGAACACAGTGTTTGAGATGCTGGAGCAGAAGAACGTACTGAAGCTGCAGTGGCGCCAACTACTCGAGCCCACTGCGGTCAAATCCCGGGTCGACATACTTGTACATCAGAGTTAATGCAGAATACATGAAGTATTCAACGATTGTAGAAATGCAGGTAAATACACGGATTCGATGAGGGTAACTTCAGGGTTCGGGCTCACGAGAAGGAAAATTTCCAGCAAATCAGTTCCAGGGGCCGGTTGTAGTTAGGAAGCCGGCCACCCTCCTCTCCAGCCATTAACCCGCCGTCGTCGAATGATCCCGCGGTTCCGACTGAGAAAGGTCTAGACGAAGAAGAAGAAGAAACTACGAAATGACCGTCGCGACGACGCTGGACGGAGACGATAGCAGCAGTGCGCTGCTCGAGGATCTGTCGAATAACCAGGTCTTTATCGACCAGCTTAACGCCGCCTCCGTGCAGCTCGCCAGCCAGCAGCTGTATGACGAGCCATCTGGCAATGCTGTAAGTATATTCATGCAGTAGAACACGTTGTGCTTGTTATCTCTTCTAACAAAATATACAGAGTGGTGAGGCCGACGGCGAAGCCAGTTTAGCAGTCGGTAAATATCTACACTTCCTCATCCCGTCAAGCCCATCGACTAATAGAATCCACTCTAGCCCGCGAGGCCTCTGCAATCCCCAACGACCTGGGCGAGTTCGTCAACTCCCATGAAGACTACATCGGCAAAATCACCGCTATCCAGCAAAAGTATTCCGAACTCTTCCAGGAAATGAAGCGGCACGAGCGTGAGCATATGAAGGCCAAGAAGCGCGCCGAGGCGCTCCAGAAAGAACGAGATCTTTACAAGCATGAGGCGAAGAAGGCTTCTGCTGTTCAAGAAACTCTCGAGAGTCTTTGTCGTCAATTACAGAAGGAAAGCGAGCGTATCGAGGTGGGTTTTTTCTTCTCACATCCCACAGACGGCACTTTACTAAGATTCATCGAATATAGGAGGAGGGTCAGAATATGCTGCGAATGGAGGTTCAACATCGCGAGAACCTTTACGCCAAATTCGAAGAGAAGGTTCGTGAGATCGAGTCACAGATGGAACGTCAGTTTTACTACAAATTCAAAGAAGAGGTTGATCAAGACCAGGCCTTGAAAGAGCGTCTGAAGACTTTTTTCGAACAGTACGAGCTTCGGGATGCACAATTCCAGAAACTACTTCGCTCGAAAGAACTCGAGATCCAAGTCCATATGGGCCGTTATGAGCAGATGAAGAAACTCGTGGTGAGCGAGGCCGCGCAGTCAAAGCTACTTCTCCAACAGGTTTCTACATTCACCCAAACCGAGACCGAACTGAGATCTCAACTGAATGTCTATGTCGAGAAATTCAAGCAGGTCGAAGAGACTCTAAACAATTCGAACGAATTATTCCTGACGTTTAGAAAAGAGATGGAGCAGATGACCAAGAAAACAAAGAAACTAGAGAAGGAAAACAAGCAGCTCACCAAGCGTGCCGAAACGATGAACAAGAATGTCTTGGAAATGGCCGAAGAACGCACAAAGCAGCAGAAAGAGGCCGAGAAAAACAAGAAACGCTTGACCCAGCTAGAGAATCTCTGTCGAGCTCTGCAGGCCGAGCGCATCGAACTCGAAAACAAGATTGCCGAAATGGAAGGCGAGCTTCAAGAGTCTTGCGAAGAAGACGACGAGGTCGACTACGAAATTGAAGAGTACGAGGACGACGAGCTCGAGGCTGACGAACTTGACGATGAAGACGACGATGGCGAGTACAGCAACGACGAGTTCAATGAAGAAGACGAGACGGGCGATGGCTACACTACTGCGGACACAGCACACGGGGTTGTTGACTACTCGCGCCACTACCGTTTGGAAAAGGAATCGCTTGAGAGCGCACTTCGCCTATTCGCATCCATGCACGCCGATTGCGGCGACGGCTGTCCGATCCACAACGCCTCGGCTCCAGCTCGCGAGCAACTCCTCCGAATCTTGGAAGAGCACCGTCGAGAGATGAGGATCGACAGCGCCGAGTTCAAGAAGCTGCAGCAGACTCGCGCCAGTGATTAGCCATAGCCGTCTTCTCTCCTGAATTTTCGTTAGTATTGCTACTCTTTTGCGTTTGTTTTCTAATCACGTCTGGGCATGTGTATATATGATTATCCTATAAACCAAATAGATGATTATTCCAAACAGAGTTGATAAGATACTTGTAATTATGTAGAAGGGTTAGGGGAAAGTCAAACGCGTTCTTGACGCGTGCCCAAACGCGTCTGTCTGTGCTGGGGCTCAAACCTTTTCATCTGCTTCCCACCGCACCTTTTCTTCTCCCACTCGTTACTCCCTCTCTCGACCTCTATCGTTCAGTCTTCCAGCTTCTACTTTACCTTGTTTTTATATATTACTACGTCCAAACACCACAATGGTTCGTCTTCTGCCCTGGGCAAAATCCGATGCGCAACCCAACGCAAGCGTCCTCGGGAAACGCGCCCGAAGCGAACTGAACATGTCGTCCCCCCAACGCGCCTACAAGACACGCGCCCAGCTTGCTTCTACCAAAGTCAGCAGTAGTAGCGGTGACAGCAGCGCCAGTTCAGACATGAAGGAAGCAGATATTGCGGTTAGGAAGATACCGGTGTCGAAGGAGAAGAAGGAGAATATCCCGTGCATCCCTGGATCTGTGACGCCGCCGAGAACACCACGAAAGCTCAAGCGCACGGCAGCAGAGATGTCTTGCAGTCCTCAGTCTCCAGACAGATCGAAGCCAGAGCTCTTACGGCAGCAGCAGCAAATCGCTCTTCCGACTCCCCCCTTGACCCCCTCGACTCCTTCAACCCCGTCACTATACAGCACCGCCAAATCCGTCTTCCAGCGCGGTGCACGCTCGACCGCGCCACTCATCTGTCGTGATACAGAACGCGAGGCGATAACCTCGTTTTTGACAACCCACATCGACAACGCGACAGCGGCAAGTCTGTACATAAGCGGGCCTCCCGGGACCGGGAAATCAGCACTGACAGCCGAAGTCATCCACAGCACGTGCGACGGCGATAAGAGCGTGAAGGTCGCAAACATCAACTGTGTCACGATTACAAAACCTGCGCTTGTGTTTGCAAAGATTTACGAGGAGATCACGGGGAGTTCCATTGCGGAAGGAGAATATGGACGTGCGGCCGACCGATTGGAAGAGTACTTTACTCGACGGAAGGCTTCCAGAGGCCAATACAGATCAATGTCAGTACTACTTTACTAGTCTTTATTTTTCGCAAGCTAACGACGAGAACTTTCAGAATAATCACGCTTGACGAAATGGATTACCTGATCACCAAAGACCAAGATGTTCTATACCAGATTTTCGAATGGACCCGTCTACCAAAATCAAACCTCATCCTAATCGGCATCGCCAACGCTCTCAACCTCACATCCCGCTTCCTTCCCAAGCTCAAGGCTCGCAACTTTTCCCCCGAGCTGCTCCGGTTTACGCCCTACACTGCCGACCAAATCGCACAGGTGATCAAATCAAGAATGGAAAACTATCTGGCAACGGTCGAGGATCAGTCTGTTCGATCCATGTCGGAAGGTTTAATCCATCCAGCTGCGATCCAGCTCTGTGCGCGGAAAACTGCCGCAAATACAGGTGACCTTCGCAAGGCGTTCGACATCTGCCGCCGTGGTCTCGATCTTGCAGAAGATGAAGCGCGCAGGAAATACTGCGGCGCGGAAGCTCAAACCGCAGAGGGATACTTCTCCTCCACCCCTACTCGGAAGTCTGTCGCGCCAATTATCATCCCCACTGGCTCTCCAGCACCCAAAGTGACAATCGCACACATTGCAAAGATCTGCTCGACTGCGTTTGGCGGATCCTCGGTCCAGCGCATTCAATCACTGAACCTCCAGCAGAAAGCTATCCTCTGCGCACTAGTAGTGGGAGAAAAACGCAAGAGCACAAGTTTAACTGTTCGCGAGCTTTTTGAGAAATACGGCGCTCTATGTGCGAAGGACAAACTTCTAGATAGTCTGAAAATCAGCGAGTTCAGAGAAGTCGTGAGTGCGCTGGAAGCCTGTGGAGCCGTCTCGCTTTCATCTACAGGATCTGGCCAGAAAGGTGGAGGAAAGCGAGCCAGAGGCAGCAGCGATAGTAGTGACGGACAGCGGATCTCGGCTTCGGTGCAGGAGATTGATTTATTGAGAGCGGTTGAGGATGTAGGAATGCTGAAGAGGTTTTTTAGCGCGGAGTATGATGTGTAATAGAAAGATGTATTTATAGAATATACAAAAAATAGAGTCATAAAGAAACTATCAGAATTTAGAAGTATTTTACAAATAAAAACAATAAGCAAGAAAACTAACCACTCAACTCACAAACCGTTTCGCAGTTCTGAGAGAGCGAATCAAAATCACACTACTTTTACTTAGAATTTCTCCGCAGGAATTTCCGCAGTAGCAAGATCCTCCAAAGCAGACTTGATGATCTGAACACCATTCTCGAGATCCTGCTCCGAGATCACCAAAGGCGGGGCAAGACGGATGATGTTCTCGTGCGTCGGCTTCGTCAGCAGTCCCCTCTCCTTCAACAGCAGACACAGATCCCAAGCCGATCTGCCGTTGGTCTTTGAGTTGTCAATCACGATAGCTGTCAGCAGACCTTTACCGCGAACCTCCTTGATTGCACCTCCTTCCAATGCTTTGAGGCCGTTCTGGAACTTTTCGCCCAGGACTGCTGCTCGCTCAACTAAGTTCTCCTCGACAACCACCTGCAGAGCTGCAATCGATACAGCACAAGCAAGCGGGTTGCCGCCAAAAGTTGAGCCGTGAGTACCAGGCGCAATCGTGAGCATGATCTCTTTGCTGGACAAGACTGCACTGACTGGCAGGACACCTCCCGACAATGCTTTTCCAAGCAGGACAACATCAGGCTTGATTCCATGATGCTCAGAGCACAGCATTTTTCCAGTTCGAGCAATACCGGTCTGGACCTCGTCGCAGATCAAGAGCACGTTGTACTTCTTGCAAAGCTCTGAAACTCGCGGGAAGTAGTCGTCGGGCGGAACCACAACTCCGGCTTCACCCTGGATAGGCTCGACCAAGAACGCGGCAACCTTATCGCCAGCCACTTCAAGCGCTTCTTCGAGATCCTCAATCACGCCGAACCGAATGGCTTTGCTGGTCCCAGGGATCGTTGGACCGACGTTCTGGAGGTACGGTCCATAATCTGTGCGCGCCTCGGGGTCGGTAGACATGGAGATCACACCGAGAGTGCGACCGTGGAAGTTGTCAGCAGCACAAAGAATGATTGCTTCAGACTCTGGGATCTTCTTTTTCAGATAACCCCATTTGCGAGCCAGCTTCAAGCCGGTCTCGACGGCCTCAGCGCCGGTGTTCATGGGCAGCACCATCTCGTATCCAAAGTACTGATTTATATATGTTAGCATTACGTTCGACTGGGTCCAAGTAAATAATGATCAACCAACCTCGGTGATGTAACGAGCGAATTTGGGAAACACGTCGTTTGAAAAGGCGCGGCTACTAAGGGTGACCTTCTGCGCCTGCTCGGTCAGAGCACCAATGATCTTGGGATGGCAATGTCCTTGGTTAACGGCGGAGTAGGCAGATAAGAAGTCGAGGTAATGTTTGCCCTATGTTTAATGTAAGAATACAGCTGTAGGCATGGGCAAGAGAAAGAGAAGTACCTCAGGATCCCAGACGTGGGCTCCTCGGGCGCGCGCAAACACGACGGGCAGTGGATGGTAGTTGTGAGCAGAGTACTGCTGCTCGTAGGCCAAAGCCTGGTCTGTCGACAAGACGGAAGACGCCGGATCGTAAGACGGAGCCATTGCAAGAAGAGGTAAAGAATGAAGAACAAGCAGAGAAGAAGAAAATATACAAAAACGCCGAAGGAAAGCGAGCCGAGAGGAGGAGCGGCGGCAGATCACAGGTGGTCAATTCGAGAGCGATTGGGCCATTGTCCGGTTTAAGGTTTGTAAATTGATGTAAATCCGGTTCGGTTATGCGGTTATGCAGGAGTCGGATTAAGGTTTGAACGCCACTTGACCACTGCTCTCCTCGAGCTCAGTAAAACAAGACAGAATAAGCACAAACAATGCTGCAATCACTCAAAAACACCAAAACAGACGCCTGATTTTACAAAAAGATGCTCCAAAAACAATATCACTTGATCCAACAACATCACTTGCCAGCAGTTTCTTCCTCCTTCGTAGAAGATACCTTCGTAGAAGGTAATACAATCTCCTCATCAGACTCGACCCGTCCCAACTCGGGATCCTCCCCCATCGCCTTTGCCTCTTTTCGAATCTTGCGCTCCTCTAAACCCGCTATTATTCCACCTACAATCGAAGATCCAAATCCGAGACCCATGGTCATACCCGTCAACCATGCCGGTCTGTTGTGTCGATTGTATGCCCACATTCTGCGTAAAGTACTGTTAGCATGTTGATAGTCCCTCACTTCATACCAAAGCACAAAGATAAAACTAACCCGGCAGCCATAACGACTTGGAATATAGAATTCAGCTCATATAGGTACAGAACCGCAGCCAACTGGGCCCAATTTCTCCCCGGAACGTACCAGATATACCGTTTCATAAGTTGACGATCTGTTGCTTCGGTGCCCTTAATCTGTCCTTTGATAAGAAAGTACAAATGCTTCGTGCGTTGGGGCATCAGACCAAAGCCAGTAACACAGAACAAGGCATTTAGAACCTGCGAATCGATCTCAATCCACCGCTTGCCAGGCGTGTCGTTACTTGTCGGGCTATCATGCCGATTCATAGCCGGGGCCGCTCCAATCAAGATTAAAAAGAGCATTCCTCCAAACGCAATCACAAGGCATAGGTAGACAGTGATGAAAAACCCTTTGACTGTGGTGACAAATCCCCACGCATGCTTGAGATAAGTGGCCACAAGAATCTTGGTATGTCGCGGCCTGACTTTGATTTCAGACGCCGATGCTGTACTTAAAACCAGAGAGACGTCGCCAACCGTGCTTTTTCGAAGAATGACCTCTGTAGGAGAAGGAGCGACCGCAACAGACGCAAACGCAGCCGCCATCACTCCAGGATGTGGAACAACCTCTGTTATCCCACCAATAACAGCAGCACCAGCCTGGCTCACCGTCGGCCTTCGCTTCCGTCGTGTCCCGTCCGCGGCAAAAGATCCTATCCGCTTGAATGCCGACGGTATCGGTGGCTCTGAGTTTGTGCGAATATACTGGGGCGGTGTTGACTGACTTCTGTTTCGTCCTCGCGTAGCTGAAAATGGCGATGGCTTCGGCATCGTAAGCGGAGAAACTGGTTCGGACTCTTCTGCTTCCTCCACAAAGGAGTGTCTCATGCTGTTTTCCGACATGATCTTGAGTGAGCCACTTTGTTGCTTTGCAGGTTTCATCAATGACAAGTGTCGAGACCCATAAAACTTCTCTCGAGCACTGCTATCGTCGACCGGTGCTTTCCCATGCGCTGTTCCACTACTTGAATCCTCTGGAATACTTTGCATAACCTGTTTTTCTTCCACAAAAGTCTCCTTCTCCAACGACGAAGCAACTGACGGGATGGGTTCAAGCGAGTGGCCCATAGTCGAAAATTCACTCTCCAGCACCGCATCTGAGAACCGCACGCTCCGGTCAGACCCCACCGACGTCTTCCTCGTCGTCTTCTGAGAACTGCTCGACGCAGCCTCTTTATCGCCCGGCGGCGAGCTGGCTGAATCCATGGGCTGCGAGTGAGTATCGAACAAAGAATCAGCGTCGGCAATTTTAAGTTGCTGGTTTATCTCCGCTTAGCTCTCGCTTTCAACACATTGTTGGCTCCACGTGATTGGCTTAGTCATACACGCGACCCTACGCGTGAGCCCAGCCCTGCCTGCTTCGCGTCCGACCTTCTCCTTTCTGCTCCAATCTTATACAAACGCGTTCTCTCATACATCTGGCGTTTTGAATATACTATAAGAACTATTTGTTATCTCTGACGAGCTCTTTTCTGCTTTCACGCGCTATTATTCTGCCACTGCACACAATGACGATTGACTGTGAGTTAAATGCAACTATCTCGACTTAATGGCTTTATCTAATTCTATAACTATTTCAGCATTTGATACAACTTTTACCGCACAAACGAGAAATGAAACAGTGCTAAAGACCGAGTTCTGCGGCTTGTGAGGCACACATCACAGTCCGGATCGCTTTATATATAAGCCGGACGGGACGCGTGTGCCAGCATGTCGGAGGCTTGCGGACCCTTCAGACAGCTGGAGTGAGTTTTATAGCTACATGTACGACTTTTATAATAAGGTATGTATCTATATTTTTATCTGTTTATTTACGCGCTGACCGAGAAATCAGGAGCGCGTGGAACCGATAGAAAGTCTCGACAAAACCTTTTTCTTTAGGGATTTGCCAGTTGATTTTAGTACCATTCCGGGGCCAGACAGCGACAGCGAGGAGGAGTGGGGGAGTGAGATGGAGTGGGAGAGTGAGATGGAGGAGGAGGAGGAGGAGGAAGAAGAAGAGGAGCTGATTGACCGACTGAATTTAATGCTGGTGGAGCAATGCTTGATACCATTTGGCTACCGAACCAGGTATGACCCAACCGCAAAAAGCCGGAAGAATCCAGTTCACGCGGCAGTTGATCTGCTTATGAAATATCTTCTGCATATAAGTCACTACCGGTTTGTGTATGACCGAACAGACGAAGACTGCTGTACTACCACTGTGTACTACCACTGCTGGCAGGATGAGTCTAAAGTCAGGCATACGCATGTTCCGATTATCCGCGATGAGCAATGGGATGAAGAAAAGTTACCACTGCACCAGTGCGAAAGCATTCTCGCTTTTCAAGTGGATTTGCAGCGGCGGACAGCCCGCTTGACGTTGAGACACCGATCCCATGAGGCATATGTCAGGCAGAACCGAGGTGATGAAGGAGAGGAGAGAGATGGTTTAGTCCTGGCTGAGATATTCCTAAAGGTGGCCGTGATTTTACTAGAACAGGAAGATAAGGGGAATATCAATTTCTTAAGAGCTGCGGAACGTCCCATTAAACGTCTTCACCGGCATCTCTTTGGTTTAGCGAAGGCCACTTCAGGATTAGATGCCCAGACGCACAATGATGATGGGACAGAAGACAGCGATGATGGTGCAAATCGTGGAGTTGCGTGGGCCGATCTTTAGTTGTGTTCAATTATATCTAGCATCATTTTCCATTCTGTTGTCTCTATATCTGTTTATCTTTAGTTGTCTTGGTCAGTGTTGTTCGCCTAGAAGATTTCTTGTTCATAAATATATTCGGTGTAGGGTTTCAAATCTACCGCACGTGACATGACATCAGGCACGTCACGTGGTTCTCCACGAAAATAAAACGGATCCTGCAGCGTATTTTAGTCCGTTGACTAGTATCCTGAACGAAAAAAAATGCTGAGAGCTGCTAATCTTCGTCCTTCTGCCCGTAGAGTCGGGTTGACTGCTGTTAGAGGAATGAAAACTTTGAAGATTGGACTTATTCCGGGAGACGGTATCGGAAAGGAGGTCATTCCGGTATGCGATGAGTATTGTCTAATTTTTTTTCTGGGGCAGTTACTGACTCTATAACTGCAATTATAGGCCGGAAGACAAGTCTTGGAGGCTCTTCCTGAGTCCGACGGTCTCGAGTTCACCTTTGTCGACCTAATTGCCGGCTTTGAGAGCTTCAAGGCCACCGGAGTGGCTCTTCCTGACGAGACGGTCTCGATCTTGAAGAATGAGTGCGACGGTGCACTTTTCGGAGCCGTCAGCTCTCCCACGACCCGCGTCGCAGGCTACTCTTCGCCTATTGTGGCTCTTCGCAAGAAAATGGGACTCTACGCTAACGTCCGCCCGGTGAAGTCTGTTGGAGACGATAGACCGGTCGACATGGTTATTGTTCGCGAAAACACTGAGGATCTGTACGTCAAGGAGGAGACCATCAGAACTCTGGAGGACGGAACCAAGGTGGCCGAGGCTATCAAGCGCATCTCCGAGACGGCTTCGTACAACATTGGAAAGCTGGCGTTTGAGATTGCTTTGCAGCGCGGCGCGGCCCGTGCTGGCGTGCCTTCTCTGCACCCGAACGGCCCGATTGTTACGATCACTCACAAGTCTAATGTGCTGAGCACTACCGACGGTCTTTTCCGGGAGACCGTTCGCAAGGTGTACGAGGAAAACAAGGAGAAGTACGCCAGCGTTGCGGTGCAGGAGCAGATTGTTGACTCGATGGTCTACAGAATGTTCCGCGAGCCCGAGATCTTTGACGTCGTTGTCGCTCCCAACCTCTACGGTGACATTCTTAGCGACGGTGCCGCGGCGCTTGTTGGATCGTTGGGAGTTATTCCCTCGGCCAACGTCGGTGACAGCTTTGTTATTGGCGAGCCCTGCCACGGCAGTGCGCCCGATATCGAGGGCAAGAACATTGCGAACCCGATTGCGACTATCAGATCTACTGCTCTGATGCTTGAGTTTATGGGATATGCTGCGCCTGCGGCGAGAATCCACAAGGCGGTTGATGAGCATATGGTTGAGAAGAAGTTTGCGACCCCTGATTTGGGCGGAAAGTCGACCACGTCCGAGGTCACGAACGACATCATCAAGAGATTGTAAGATATATGTCTATAGAGACTAGTCTATGCTGACTTATGCTTCATTTTTGATTACAATTAGACAGCTTAAAAATATATATTATCAAAATTAAGTCTCCTCGTCAAGCTCGAATACGATGGCAAGGTAGACAAAGTCGGATGACTTTGACTTCAAGACGTATCGTAAAGGCTGGCCGTCCCAGTATTTCATGACGGACATGTTGTAGCCCGGAAGTTTGACAGCGAAGCCATTGCCGTCCGAGTTCATGTCGAGGTATGGATTGTGAAAGTCAAACCAATAAGTTTCGCCGGCCTTGAAGACAAAGCGCTTGCGATGCTCTTCGTCGAGGAAGTACTTCATACGGTCAGCAGAAGAGGACGGGATCATCTCGTCAGGATCGTCACGGTCGACTTCTGTGTTCTTCACCGGACCGATAGAGAGGGTGTCTTCCTTCAGAAACGGACTATCACCGGGAGCGGTGTTGGAGATCACATTCATGCTGCTGACGGCATACCCGAAAAGATACGGCTTGTCGGCATAGACATCACCGGTTGCTGAGGGATCGATGGTGTAGTTGAAGATCTTGTAAGCAAAACTGAAGCCGTAGGGGAGATGGTCTCGGATAGGGCGATCGAAATCGTTGCCAAAGAGAAGATCGTCGAATGAAACGTCCGTATCGAATTTGATACTGAAAGATATAGAGTACTGGTCGTATTTGTGCTCAGGATAACCAAAGTAGGCGCACGTCTTGGGAGAGCCCTCGGGTAGGCCTAGAGACAATTAGCAAGCTGAGCAGCAAGTGAAAGCGTATATTGAACAAGAGACTAGATACCAGAGTAGTTTGGGATGCGGACAGAGACCTGCGCGGTGGACTTTGGACTGGACACCTCGAGGGGAGAGTCGGTGTTGACCGGCACAGGCTTTCTGCTGTCGGCGTCGTAAGCAGAACCAGCCGACACTCGCAAGCGGTAAGGCATGATGTACGTTATAAATTCAATAGACGAACACTGGTTTACTGAGAAGGAAGAAGCTGTTCAGGCGCTGGATATCGGGATCTTGCTGATCAGCGTCGCCCGGGCGTAGATCAGCGCGCGTGCGGCTCGCCAGCCAGGCCCTAACCCGCTATTCACGTGCTGCGATTGAATCGGAGTATTTCCACCGGCCCGGAGAGACGAGGAGCTCTGGACGCAACCCGAGAACAGGGCTGGTTGGGGATTGGAGCGAGGAAGGTGGAGTGATAGTATTGTTTGTATGTTGCTGCTTATTAGTAAATTACTTGCAGACTGCACGCAGAGATAGAAAGTGGTCAAACTGGCTGGTTCAACAGCAGAAACACCGCGAGAATGCGGGGTAGTCGCCGGAGCAGCGGATCTTGGACAGTATTAAATCGATTCAGATCCTTTCTTCTTTTCTACTTCTCATCTTCTTCTTCTTCCTATATTCATCTTGGTTTTTATTAAATCACCAGTATTCACGATGGCAGCCCTGCGTCTGGCCGCCCTCGCAGCCCATCTACAGCCATCACTGACCTCCTCCCAGTCCGCCGCAAATCCACACATCCACGATCTCAACCCAGCCTACTTCCTTCCCCGCGCTGCCGCCATCGAGCCCTCCGCTCCCGCAATCCTCCACTGCGACCGCTCAAACACAACCATCTCCCGCACATACAGCGAGCTCGCCGAACGGGCCCGCAGAGTGTCGGTCTTCCTTCTCCGCAACTACGCTCCCGGCACCAAGATCGGTATCTTATCAAGCAATACACCCATGTTCCTCGAGTGTCTCTACGGCATCGCCGGATCAGGTCTTACCCAAGCATCTTTCAACTATCGTCTCTCTGCGAAAGAGATCAGGGATGTTCTCGAAATCTCGGGTGTCACTGCCGTCTTTGTAGACATCGAATTCCTACCTATCGTCCAGCAAGCGGCAGGCGAGCTCGCTACACCAATTGAACTCATCGTCGATCTTGACTCGGAAGATCCCAAAGACCTCCGCGAGTTTCGTGCAGCCGGGCACTTAAACCTCGTATTCAGCGAGATCATCTCCTCGTTGTCCACAGACACTACTCCCTGGGACTCGCTCCATTACGAAGATCAACCAGAAGACAGTCTTCTCGCTCTCGCATTCACATCCGGGACAACCGGAAAGCCCAAAGCAGTCGAGTATACCCACAGAGGTATGTACTTGGCTGCCATGGCCAACATCATCGAAGCAGAACTCAACCGCTCCTCTTCCGGCTGCCGCTACCTCTGGACGCTACCCATGTTCCACGCCGGCGGCTGGTCCTTCCCTTACGCCGTCACAGCTGTACGTGGGCTACACATCTGTCTTCGCAGAATTGACTATGACCTGGTCTGGCGATATCTCAACGCCGGGCCAGGAAAATCCGCAACTCATTATAACGCGGCCCCGACCGTGAATCTCCAGATATGCGAGCATCCATCGGCCAAGAGAGTCCCTGAACCCGTCATGGTTACTGTTGCGGCCTCTCCACCCTCGCCAGCGCTGTTCAAAAAAATGGTTAGTCTCAACCTTCTTCCGGTGCATACCTATGGAATGACTGAGACCTATGGTCCGATTTCTCGTGGGTATATCTTGTCCGAGTGGGCCAGCGAAAGCGAAGAACAGCAATTCAAGAAGATGGCGAGGCAGGGACATGGCTTCCTCACCTCTAGGAAACTTAGAGTCGTCAAGCAAAAGTCTGAATACTCAAATAATCCCGACTCCCTAGAAGACGTCGCCCGCAATGGATCCGAGATCGGCGAAGTCGTATTCCAGGGAAATATCTGCATGAAAGGATATCACAACGACGAAGAAGCCACCAAAAAAGTCTGGGACGGAGGCTGGCTCCATTCCGGTGATCTGGCTGTCGTCCATCCTGACGGAGCGATTGAGATCTTGGACCGTGGGAAGGACATCATTATTTCTGGAGGCGAAAACATCTCAAGTGTGGCCGTCGAAAACGTTCTCTCGGCCCATCCAGCAATACTGGAAGTTGCCGTCATTGGCATCCCCGACGAGAAGTTTGGTGAGAAACCGAAAGCAATAATCATTCTCCGCCCTGAGGCAAAATCCACCGACCCCGCGACTTTGACCCGAGATTTGATTGCTTTTGCAAGAAAACACCTCGGCGGATTCCAGGTACCTAAAGATTACAGCTTCGTCGAGGACTTACCAAAAACATCAACCGGCAAGATAAGAAAGAAAGAATTGAGAGAAGCCTAGCTGGGAAGATATCAAGCTCAATTTTCAAAGTTGCAGGCCGGAGGAGCTGCTTAGATTTTTTGTCGCGCTGCAGCCTGGGTTTAGTATGCGGCGTGTGGAAGGAAGTATTGAGCACACAGAAAGATCTATTACAGACAATATTACTTCACAGAACCTGCACAAATGGCTCTGTAGAGTCAAAACATACTGCCATAGTAGGAAGAATCTAATTTACAAGCTTAGCTGTCTTTAATTAAACTAGAATAATGCACAATCAACGCGATACAAAACCACACTCCCGCCGCTCAGGATTTTCGCCCTCCAAAACACCTTTCCCTAAACCCAGATGCTCTATCTTCCCCCTCGCATCTCAACATGCTCCGCTTCCTCCGCTTCCTCATCCGTCTCCTCGTCTCCAGTAACCCGACTTCCTAATGTCCCACTCGCCTGCCTCAAGAAAGGCGTACCTTCCCCAACGGCTGAGGCAGCATCTTCCTCATCCTCGTCGTCGGCATCGTTAGAGTCGCTGTCACTATCATCACTAGAGAGCAATGTGTGTCCCAGACCGTTGCTTCCACTCAATCCGTTTCTGAATTGAACAATGCTCTTCACGTTATTAGCAAACGATCGGTTGTGGTTCCAGTTACGGCCACCCTGATAGATGATCCAAAACCATCCCAACGAAACCATTGAAATAACAATGATTCCCGCCGCAGCTCCCAGTGCGATAAGAACTCCATGACGTTGCCACCATGACCGACCATCAGCGACCACAAGAGCCGACATGGGCATCACTGTATCAACAACATAGATTTCCGCCCCACTGCTCGTCATTCCCTTCGACAATATACGCACAGGCTCAAATCTCCATGAGTTGGCAGGGCGATTGTATATACTCAGGATCTGGTCCTCCGAATCTGGTCCCTGACCCTCAGCCTCTAGTACCGTTATGGAAATCCCTGGAACTAGCGAGTCGAAAGCGCTTTCGCCGTCAATGAATCTACCCGAGCGTAAATTCCTGCGACGCAAAATATGAAGACCGAGCTGGGTAGCCAGATTGAGAGTTGCTGTGGTGATCTTCTCGAAGTTCAGTGCGGCGTCGACCGGTGCCAGAATAACATACTGCGAGTCATCTGCCAAGACATCCGTATGAAGTTCAGTAGCCTCCAAAAGATCAACAAATACGTAGATTCCTTCCGCATCCAAGAGCTGACGGGGCGTTATCTCAATGTACTCGGGGATAGGCACAGAGCCAAGGACGTGAATAACGCCCGACTCAAACAAAAGATCGGTATCAGCCAGCTCTACATCGTCTTCAGCTTGAGTGACTGTGCTGACGAAACTCAGCTTCTTTGCATCTTTGCCAGTCTTCAGTCCAATCCTGGAACCAAACGCAGTCTCATAGTCTGTGATCTCGGTAGTGAAGTCGACCGAGTATAGAGGCTGCGTGATCATAAGACTGAGCAGAAGCTGGCGCGCCATCTCAGGTTTCTTCTTGAAATACTTTGTGACACTGCCCAGAGCTGACCAAGCTGCGTCGTTGGGGAAAAACACGGTCCATCCACGTAGGTCGGGCTCATTGAAGATATCCAGATTGCGCATGAACTCCATCATCGTGCTTCCGCCCACAACTGTACCAGCAGCAAGTGACATCTTCGGCGGCATCTCCAGAGGTCTATCAATAGGAACGATCGCTGTGTTGCCAATGACGACAGGGTCGCGCAGAACACGGGCAGCACCGTTCACATAAGTAGCTCCGCCTTGGGTCGTCACCTTGATGCGCTGATGATACCAGTTCATAGACGATGGTTGCAATCTGCTAGGGATAACTCCGGGCAAAAGTTCGGTGATGGGATAATCCACAAAATGATATCCCAAAGTCTTCTCAGAGCTTGGAGAGTCACTACCGTCACTATCAATGGGTGCGAATATAGTCTGAAGGATTTGCGCGTCCACCAACGTTGGCCGATATTTGTGGAAAATCAGCTCTTCGGCAAACTTAACCGCTCCTATGCCGTACAGATACTTCAGAGGGGTGAACGCAAAATATGTCCAAGGAACAATCAGGCTGGGTAGAGTATGCATGACTCCGTTTTGGAACAAAATGTCTGTTTCGATTGTGTCGACCTCGTTGTTGAACCGAATCTTGCCATCCTCTGTTGCTGCTGCGTGAAGCATGTTTCCAGAAAGCAATGGATCTAAAAGAGCTATTAGCAAAGTGATTCATATGTAAAAACTGGTCAAGTTGGTTCTCACAGTCGTTTCCTTCGCCGGTGGTGTCGTTTTGTCTATATAGAGGCGAATACATAAAATGCTCGCCTATTAGTTTTAGCCGATCATCATGACCGGCCGTAGACACCAAATAGTTCAGCTCGATAGGACTGAAATGAGTGAATGCGGCATTGGTAGGTAAAAGGACGGTAGCAGTGTCTTCAGACTCAGCCAAGAGAATGCAGATCCAAGGATGTTGCACAAAGAGTTGAGCAAAGAACTGCATCACGCCAGGACCATTAGCCAGTCTAGAAAGAGCATGGCATAAGGTATCAGGTATCTCGACAAGACTATCGACCACCTGAATGACTCCATTGTCGGCAATCCAGTCGTGACGGACGACGTTGGCGGAGCCGACAACGAGCCGTTTTCCTGTCCCATCTGAAGGTTCACCTGGTTGCGCTTGCACATGCTTGACTTTGATCGGCACCGGATAGTCGGAAGAAGAAGGAGATCGGAGGTGGGAGAAATATACACGATAATCGTCCTCCATCTCGGTCGAGACAATCGGGTCGGTAATGATCAGATACTCGAGTAGTGTCGGCAGGTCCACCGACGGCGGGACCTTGCTCAGGACTTCATTCGTCGGCGCAAAAAATGTGATATTCCGGCCCATATTCAGAACTGGAATAAGACCAGAGCGTTGCAGCACTCGAACCAGCAGTGTAAAGTCGGGGGATGACGACAAGAGGTCGACCACCGATACAGACGCCTGAACAGCTGGTGCAAATAGCACCAAGGCACTCAAGCAGGCCCATATAATCAGATCCCGGACTCTCATATTAGAAGGCGTATACACTCCGGCAGCGTCTTGATCTGATTGAGGAGCAATTAGCGCGCTGATGGCAGCTTGATGACGATTGTATATGCTTGAGGGCTATATTAAGTTGCCTGTCGCTCTTGCTCTTCCAACTCTAAGACCCCCTAATCTCCACTTGTTATCGCAGGTTTGTGGGGTTTTATCAACCGCATTGAGCTCCCAGTGTCGGAATCTTTCATTACGTCAGCACCGGAATCAGCAAACCCAATAGTTAGCTAGAAGATTTAACACTTCTCGAATTCTTCGTCTAAGACTTTCTCATTCTGATTCATAATTTTGAGTATATTCTATTGTATACCGATCAAACTCCAAATTTCGAAAAATGAAACATCACAAATTGAAAACAAACATCTCATTGCATATTTCTCGTCTATAAGACGCACAAAAAAAATCAGAAATCAGGCTGACTCCAAACAAACTCTACAGCAACTAAACATTTGCAGCCTCTAAGCCTTCTCATCGACTTCCTGAACGCCAACGTTTGTATCGCCCTTCTTCATTCCCATTCCACCGTTGGAAGAGATCGAGCCAGACTCGAGATCGCCATCATGGACGTGCTTGGTAACCTCGTCGAAGCCGCTGACTTCGGCCATACCAGCAACCATCTCGATCTGGTTGATACCGCGCTTCTTATCACGACGCTCAAAGAACATGGGAAGAGGAATGAGAACCAACTCGACAACACTAGCGCAAGTAACCCAGATGTAACCGGCCTTGAATCGCGGCGCATCCTTTGTCTGCCAAGCGCAAAGAGGAAGAATCAACTGAGCAAGACAGTACGAGACGTTGATGACGCCGAAAGAGACAGATCGAACTTCGAGATCGTGAGCGAGCGACTCGGCGAACCAGGCAATGACGACGTTGATGGGTCCCTGGGTCAAACCAAGCAACAGGAAGGCGAAGTACTTGGCTCCCTTGCTGATGTCCCAAACCAAGAGCATGATGTTGCACATCAAGACAATAATACCGGAGAACAACATGACATCCCAACGCGAGCCTCTCCAATCCGAGTAGAAAGCAAAGACCATGGCGGAGACGATGGAGATAGCATAGGTGACAGTGGACATGTTCTGGACGAAGGTGTCGCTGTTGGACGGGTCATCACCCAACCACAGAAGGAAAGGAGTAGTGGAAGGATACGGAGTCAACCAGAAGAGACCAGCAAGGCAGAAGAAGACCCATGTTTGCCACGCCCGGCAAGTTCTCCAGACAATGTCCTTGGTAATGTGGCGAGAAGGAGCAAATCCCTCCTTCAGCAGACGAACCTGAGCGAGTTCCTTCTCACGTTCAGTCAACCATCTTGAGTGGCAGTTGGTGGGAACGTTGGGGTAGAAGAAGTATCCGACGGCAGCAATAGGGACGGTGATGATGGTGCAAATGATGAACAGCCATCTCCATCCCTCGAGACCACCGGTTCCATCGAGGTTAGTGAGACAAGCACTCGTCAAGTAACCGGCAATCATAGAGCCGAGGGGGTAGGTGTTGTAGTAGATAGCGTTACGCTTTCCCAACTCGTTCTTGCGATACCAGCAGTTGATGATATGCACGTTGGCGATCCAGCAGGGAGTAGCAGTGACACCGACGAAGAATCGCATGACCATCAGCTGCTCGTAGCTCTTGACGAAAGCGGTACCAAGGGTGAACATGCCCCAGGCAAGCTCGCAGATAGGGATGTAGTAATGGGCGGGAACCATAGTAACAATGATGTTGCAAGGAACCTGGAAGACGGTAGTGGCAGCCCAGTCTTGACATATCGTTAGTAAAGCAGCAGAGTCAGGAACACAGAAGAGCACATACAAACAGAGGTAAGATAGGTCAGGCGATTGCCGTAGAGGTTCAGGTCATCCTCCATACCAGCCTCGAAGGCATTGTCTGTAGTGACCAATTAGTATTTGAACGTTATGATAGCAAAGTCCAGCGCGAGGATAACTTACAGATAGCACCAGTATCGAGGTTGTTGGCCCAGGTAGAAGCGCAGGCAAAGAACAGGATAAGAAGATCAATCTTGTTGAGCAGAACGCGCTCTTCTCTTGAGTACTCCTTCGGGAACCAGCCGATCCACTCGGCGATGGGGTTCATGTAGTAATCCCACATTTTGCAACGATTCTTCACTTGAGGCACAGGAGAGTGGGAGAGGGAAGAAGATGGACGTCGCCGGTAGATGTAGAGCGAACAGGAACAGCGATGGAAGGAGTGACTCAGTCTTTATAGTCGCAGGTCGCAGGACAGCACAGAAGGAAGAGATAAGACAGGTTGGAGATAGGTCAGATACCAAGAGCGTTTTTGAAAGTCGGTCACAATAGTCTGAAACGCTTATCTTTTGATTGGCGTGGTATAGCAAAGGTAGAGTACAGTTACTTTCTGCAACCCACGAGGCGCCGCCACTGAATGAGTGTAGCAGTGTAGCAAGGCGGGTCTCTGTGGCGCACCTATCAGACTGAGATACTCTAGGCGTTCTCTCGCCGCGGCAGTAATGCGAGACACTCGTCTACCTTTGCCGACATGTCTGACGAAGCTGTGTGTTTTTGCTGGCATCAGATACCGTATGTGCAACTGATGACAGAGCACAGCGCAGCAAAGTGTGGAGAGAAGGGGACCTCATCCTCCAGAGCTGGTCTGTGTAGGAGCGCTCGGATAGGAGCACAGTCCGATAAGAGAGGAGGGCGCGATATACGGTGGAGAGCTAATAAGAGGTTGCTGCGCTGAGAGAGAAAGTATCACAGACCACGAGTCAAAACTCAAACGGGGCTTGTGCTCTCGCTGCGGTCCCATTGGCCTATCTGCGGGCTCTGCTGCCGTCTCTGCAGCTACCCACGAGCAGGCTCGGGTACGAGACCGCTAGCCTGAGCATGACTGTCGCCCTCCTCCCCTCTGTAGGACAAGTGGAGTACCGCCAGCAGCTCCCCAGGCTCGCTTGCGGTGCCAAGACAGCGAATGCTGATCATCTTTGCAAATAGACTACAATACACGATACACGATGCACGGCGATTTAAAGATTAGTGTTGGTTATCGATAAGTACTATCGATAAGTGCAGGAGCAAGCTCGACCCATCCAGCTGCGCAGATATTATTTCCATTCCCCCCACTCTCTCAGATTGGCCTAAGCGTGTGCCATATCGCAGACGCGATAAGTGCAGCACTGACCTTCGTCTAGTGCTCGGGGCACAGTCTCTATCAACCTTTGGACTCGAAGGTTTTCAAGGGTCTGTCGCCATCATTAAATCCCGCATCTATCTGTCTGCCTCAGAGTTTGCAGCGCTAGCTCAGCTGCTGGGCTCGAGCCATACCCAGATCAGCTAAGCCGGCCACAGGCTTATCGCAAGGGGTAGGGTATTACCATATCTCGTGCAAACGCTAAAGAGTCAGGACTGCTGCGTATCGGTCGGCCTGAGTCAAGCCGGCTGCTGACTCGAAGCCAGTCCGAAGACTGAGACCACGATATACTTAGGAAGGACGCCTACCCGAAGGACTGATACGCAGTCCGCGCACTGTTTCATCATCGCGGCCCTCAGAGCTTCTCATCGTCTCGCGAAGCTCGCGCGACCACCCGTGCGATCAACCGTGCCCGATAGCGACGATGCACTGACATTATTCCTAAAGTCGTTTTTACTTTTGATAGCAGGCGGTCAGTTCGTCGATATCGAAGGTGACTGATTGGACCCAGCTCCTTCCGGTGATATCCGTGCGTCGGCAGCAGCACCAAACCTGCTGCTTATCGCGCTGCACCCTACCTCGAGCTTCTAATAACAAAGTCAAAGCAAAATAAACAAAAGCGCTGACGTTCATCCAGCCGTGGACTGGGCCAAGTAGAAGTCCTGCCGAATACCATTGTCGCATACAGCAAAACAATGCCCAGCGGAAGCTTGACATGGACTGATCTTTCTGTCATATCGTCCGTAGCGAGTCATTTGACCTGGGCAGGTAGACCGCGCCGCCGTCCCGATAAGTTAGTACTCAACTCCGCGGGCGCCGAAGCAGAGCGGCGGCGCGTTCTAAATCTATGCTTGCGCTTACAGGAATTGCCCACCCAGCCCGCCTCAACCGTACCAGATACCCGGGTCACGTTTCTACTGTCCTCGCAAAGCCTACTTGCAGGACCCAGGCACCATTAAGGCACCTTAGACAGCGTGACTCTTCAAATCATGACTATTGCACTCGGGCCGAACCTTCATCGTAGTCAAAATATCTTCAGAACCAGAAGAGTCGCATGCAGGACCGTGACCACTGACAGGCTAAGACTCAAGTCTGTCTTGTATTCCACAAAGCCAAGCATTGCAAGAATAATATAAAGGAAGCCTACCGAGAGAGCTCTTCCTTCGTTGACTGAGTCGGCAGTCCATTATCACGATGAACAGTCTAACTTCCTGAAGTTAGCACTCAAAGCTGTCTGCAAACACCCCAGCTCTTCGTAGATTTTGCACAAATCCTTCTACATACGGCCACCGCCAACTTGCCGAGGTTCCATTTTTACTATCCTACTTCGCCACCACATGAAGCATGCTGAAACTATAGACCAGTATCGCGCTTCGTGAATGCATTGACCGCCTCCAGCGAGCTGAGCTGTAGCCGAGCATGCCGTTGATGAGCGATATTTATCTGGACCGATTACTCAGGGAGATAAGCCCCCATCGACATACCTCCAGCTGGGTCGGTACACAGTTTTCCCCGCTTGCGTAGTTTTTATCAACGTTATAGTTGGATCTAGTGAATTGACTCTGTCCTCTAGTAGAGCATAACTTATCTGCCTGTCCACTTCCTTATCTGATGATAGCCAGCAGGGCTTGACGCGATATGAACTCCCAATCGAGCACAATCACAAGACTGAAGAAAGGTCGCTGAGCCTATCTCTGAAGTAGATCACATACATATACTGTATATGTAGAGCGAAGGAGTCGAACTAGAACAGTTAGATCATTATTTGATCATACGGTCTTCTATTGCAGACTAGTCTTACAGACTGAGCCATAGCAGTACGTATAATCCCTTCAAGTCAAGTCCTCATTGTCGTTGCGAGAAAAAGCAGCCGACCGTTCCGTAATATCCCTCGATAAGAACCATTGAATCAGCCCAATCAGCTCATTCAGCTGAGACATAACGTAGCTATTGACATGCATGACATATGTATGTATACGATAAAGATTCATATACTCGTCTCAGTGGGCTCCATGATTGTGCACATTTATCAGCTAAAGATATTCTGTACTTTGCTGATAGCTGCGTACGGGCAACCAGATGGTAGACGTCGTAGTGTGAGCCCACCGTGGAAGGGCCAACTATCGTTATGACCGTGCACGTGTAAGTCAGGTGACGCGACTTCATGCTGTCAAATCTGCATTTAGCAGGCCGCCATCGAAGTCACCCCTAAATATGTAGTACGCCCGGTCAATACTTGCTTTGATGTGCATTACTATATTATTATTGTATTATTGTATTACTATAAAGAACTGATACTACGTCACCAAATACCTGCAGAAACTTCTGTAGTCATCCGTGAGCAAGCAACGTTGAAGCCCATCCTTGGCGGATAACCCTACGCAAAGCTTGAAAGAGCAAGTCCCAGCATTTGACTCACCGATCAAGCCATACGCTTTGACCGCACACATCATATATTCAAGATAACATGAGTTGACGATTTAGTAGACTGTAGCCGAAAGCCATCATCAAGTTTGTATTACCATCATTACCCAGAATCCTTCTTATCCATGGACACACCCGTACCAGAATCCAGCAATTCCATTATCCAACTCCTCAGATCTGCAGCGGCAGAAGGCCTCTCGGAATTTAGAGTCATTAGTATTGACCGTAAGTTCTCCTTTGCCTCAGCCAGATCATCATCATCATCTGGAAGAGTGCGCGGATTCGCGTCTGCAAAGTCCTGGGTCGCTGGACTTTTGCTTTCAGCCAACTCAGGATATGCGGAGACAGAAAGAAGAAACTCCTGATCAGCTATTAGTGTCCTTCTGAATACTGAAGGCTCCAAGTCTGAAGTCTCAACTGAGTACGAGGCTAGTGACGACACCACAGAATTGGCGAATGACGATGCACTATTGACTTCGGTATCAAGAGCTGGCAACCTCAGACCTGACGCAAGAGGCTCGTCACATTTCATATCCCAAGGATGCCAATAAGCGCAAAGACAGACCTCGGTGCCCTCTTTGTTGGACGGTGCATTGAGATCTATCATAGGTGTCCTGGTGATAGCCTGATACGTACACAAGCAGAATAGTGACTTATTGTGACATTCTTGGGCCAGCTCAACAGTGCGGGTGGATCCTGATCCGTCTGCCAGATTTCGGGTTAGAAATGCTGCAGTAGATGATCCAGGACTACCTGGAGACTCATGATGATGAACGTAGTTGACATCGATATTAACATCTAAAGCAGCGCACTCCGGAAAAGTTTGTTCCTGCAAAGTGAAATCTGGATCGGTAAATGTTGACTGAGGATACGTAGCATGGTCTTCAGACGGATCTTGATCTTGTAAATCCGACTCAGAATCCGACTGGAAACCCGAGACTGCAGGCTCGGGACAGGGGCATATAGAATCGGACGCAGATGGGGTCGACGACAGCGGACTGGTGTCAGCAGGCGAGTGATCATACGAAAAATAGTCGGTCGGAGAAGTGAGTCTGCGTTCTCGGCGTCTTCGCATCCGTTCTCTCTCTTTCTCACGAAATGAACGCACAACAGCAAGCTCGTCAGCAGTAAGGCGACAGCCAAATCTCTGTTTCCTGATAAGCGTGCGCCCGTATACCATAAAGAGGGGCAGAGAGCTGGCTGTGATCGTGGGCGAAAAGCTGAGAGCCTGTAGTCACCCAGAAAGAGATGAGAGCTGAAGATTGGTATGAAATGATCACTGCCCCTAGAGACAGAACACGGATCAAGATGAACGGGTATCGAGCGGAGACAAAAGACAGAGGGGGATATGACTCAGTATTATTTACACGATCGTCGACGAGGGAGGCACACGCCTATCCTCCTCGTGATCAATTGGTGGTGTCCGGAGTTATGGCGCGGTTTCGTGCATCGGAAGTCTCCGAGAACTACGTTATGCGCCTCTGCCGAAGGAGTAGAAGCGAGGGTCGAAGCGTGCGTTCTCGGCGCAGCACCGGCGAGATTGACGATCCATCAGCACTCCCACCTGACGATATTCGGCCAACTATATTGCTAAGATCCACAAAAAGACAAGATCTCCTTATTTTGCTTGCGTCATGCTTAACTCTTGACCGTATATCCTTCTGTAAGGCCACGACCGCCAAGAACCGGCTCGCTAACTTCTTGGTAGAGTGCGATTAAGCCATTATCAGCCACACCCTTGCACAGCCCCCAGAAAGCATCAGCGACGCAATGTCTTCTACATACAGAATCACCATCGCATGAGTCGTGCACAGCCCCAATGCTATCTGGTCTTTCTCCGGCAAATAATTGCCGGCAAGAGAATAACATACCGTCATATTCCGATATTTACAAGCTTGCTGGGAGCACTCTCAGGAGTTGGATCGTAAAAGACAAAGCTATTATTCTGAATTCCCTGCCATATATGAACGATGATGCAATAGCTTTAATATACAGTTCTAGGTTTTATGGAGCCGATATAGCAGCCTCGAGATCTTCGTCTTGCTTGGCTGCGCTTTCTCCACGATAAAATCCCGGGCTTCCGAGAAGATATAATATTTCGGGATCTTTCGGGATGAACGATATTCTTACGGCGACTACCTTCCCACGCTGGCTTCCCGTACGCGCACGGCGCGTGGCGCGGCATCCCCGCGTGCTCAGCCGCGCGTCTCTTGTGGTTTATCGCTATCGGCAACAATGACGTAGATTCATACCGCAGTTTCTGACAATCGATCTATTCTTCCCGGAGTATGCCATCCATTTCCATGACTCATCCTCAAAAGCGCCGAGAATATCGGGGAATCGGAACTAAGTATCAATTTCTTCAGCTCAACACCCACCGAGTTGGAAGGAAGGAAGTCACCCTCACACATGACCTTGTTATCTCCGACGACCTGAGAATTGTATCTCGGGATGCTCTACCTTAGACCACGCCCTGCTATCTTTCTTTGAACCAGAGATGCAACAGCAGGATCGACGCCTCCTTTCATACGCCGTACAAGCGCTATTATACAAGCGCTACGTATTTAGCTAGTACTCTATACCAACGTCTGCCATAAGATCAAACTATACAGCCATCACAACAAACATGATAGGCCCATTTTAGCGATGATATATAAAACTATAATAAATGGTTTGACCCCACGATATTTTATTCTGACTATAAGCATGCTCAACAAATATATCTTCAACATCCACCATATCAGGAAAACTGTCCTACTTTCAATCCAAACCCGCCCTCTGGCACTGTCTTCAAAGTCGCCGTTTTTGCAAAGTCAACACCTTGCGAATAAACACTGTTCCCCCACCATTCCAGCGAAGTATTAGTGTATTGCAGAGCAAGGAAGATCACAATTCCCCCAAATGCAACTCCTGCCGACAAACCAGAAGTAAGAACGTAATTGTACTTTGTCCACCATCTGACGTATCGGTGCTTGATATACTTGTTGAAAACAAATCCAGCGATAAGACCAGGGGTATAGTACGACAGATTGTAGGTAGAGCCCCATCTACTGAACCCATTGGCAAATAGGATAGGATGGAAATACATCATAACCCTGGGAAAGTAGAGCTTCAAAGCGTATGCCGGGATCGCAATCAAAAATCCAATCAAAAAGCAGTACTTGAGGACCGGATACAACGTGAAAAAGATCCTTTGGGGTCCAATAATGCCATACATGATTGTTTGCGAGTAGAGCTGATGCGGGAAAGTACAGGTGAACTTGTCTGCTTGCGTTGTACTGCAAAAATCCTCAATCGAGTCCATGCAGAACTGCACAACGCCAATGCAGATACAACCTTGTACAAACACCGCAATCATCTGCGCCCGAAATACCGCCCGCGGTGGAAGCTTCATGTAATGTCCTAGCTTCTGATCGGAAATGAACGACTCTCCTTGAACGTCGATGTTATTCCCGTAAAGCCGACAGAGCATATTTGCCATCCCATTACCTGGGCACATGTATCCGGTGATCACGACAGCAAAATAGTAGATATTGAGCTCATATCCCGTGATTGAGTACACCACTGTACTGGGAATCAGCATAGCGATACTCAAAAGCGCAATGACGACGATGCCATATACTGGCGTGCCTGTAGGCCAGTGCGTGACCGCGATGACTCCAAATACGAAAGAAAGAACCAAAACAGAAAGGTACCACCAGTCTGGGACTTCTTTGTACTTCCTCATCATCCTCGTATGAGGGTCGTTAAACTCCGCCATCGTTGAGGTACGCGGATGACGTATGGCAAACCAGAGGTTCCTGAGAGCCTTCCATAGTAGCCGATGCTCCGTCAACATCACATAGGTAAACGCCAGCACATAAAGAGTGAACAGGCCACCATTCAGCAGCAGCGCTCCAGCAGAGATATAGGGAGGCGAGTAATTCAAATAGGCCTCTTCGTTAAGCACGAGATTGCTCGATACCCGACTCGTATTGTACTTTTTTCCGAGATTGTCGTACAAAGTCGCAGAGTTTATGGGCATGTAAGACGTCCATTTGTAGTTCTTCCAGTAGAATCCAATCAAGATGAAAGAACCAAAGACCATTCCAAGGTATCGGTTCACAAGGGAAAAAAAAGGAACCGTCAGTGGCACAGTATAGTTGATCAAGGACCAATCAAAGGTAGAGATCGGATTAAAACCCAATCCAATGTAAGAGCCCGTGATAATTGCCAGATTTTTGTTTTGAGGCGCGATCCATGTCATCCAGTTGAAGTAACTCAAAGCTTTGAATAGGTAGTCGGGGATGAAGAAGTAGAGGAACGACGCGATCAGCACCGTAAAGAAAAACCGGTACCTCGAAATCGTCCAGCCGTGTATATTCGTGCGGCTTTCGGGGACTAGAAGCGCACGATTGAGAGCCAGCGTCGGAAGCACTGTGGGCCACATAGTCTTCACCGGGTAGATTACCCATCGACGCATCATTCCAGCCAATCCAAAACCGAAGAACAGAGTCGATAGGTTCATGACAAACATGAACCCAAACGAAACCCATTTCAAGTTGAAAAACATTTCCAAGCGCATGACGATGATGTATGACGCAAAATTGAGAGTGGTCGCAGCAATGTTCACCATAAGCGTGGCTAACATCTGCTCTTTGTTCGACCATGGTCCAGGATTAAGGCTGATGCGATTCCCGCGGAATACAAAGCCCCAGTCTGGTACTACCTTGGCCCAGAATGTACCACATGGATATAGAAGTAGCTGGATAGCAGTCGACGTGATGCTCAGATGTGGCTGACGTTGTTGGAAAAACTCGTTAACGAAAGCGCCGATTGCAACCCAGATGAGACCGAGAACGTAGGCGCGGATTGTCTCTACCGGAACCGTGGGGTCATCGAATGGATCACAAACAGCTCGCACCTCAGGATATGGCGAATGTGAGTCGATCAGAGCAGCCATAACTCTTACGTCCAAAGCATAAGACTCAAGGTCACCTTGAAAATGCTCGTAGCCCAACGAAAGAGTTCGGATGTATTCAAGGTCCTTGGGTGGAAAATTGACGTCGTCAAAATGCTCGTCGTAGGCCTCTTTCAAGATCTCAAGACCTCTCTCAAGTGTCGTCTCCTGTACCACATTGTACAAGAATTGAGTGACAGGATCAACAGAACCGTCGTCGTCCCAGTATGTATTGGCAAGCTCATTGATACGAGTCAATGTCTTCTCGGCATCCACATCAACGACGGATAAGTCAACTTTCTTCTTCTCGTCGCCGCTAGCGAGCGGCGTGAGGTCGCCAATAATCGACACGATCGGTCTTTTCTCTTTCACCGAGTCACTATCATCTGGAAGAGTGGACGTAGACATTTCGTTCCTTTGAATCGATGTTAGCATGCGGCAACAACATGGGATGCTTCAATACATAAAACTAACCTCTATTTTTTCGACAGTTGGACAGCAACTTTAGCAGTCGAGTGATAGGGAGAATTTCAGCTTCGGCTGATAAACGGAACTTGGTCAAGAGCACTTTCTCAAAACGCTCTAGTCGGGGTGTTTGACGTCTGAGACTGAAGCTATGAAAATCTGTACTAGCAGAATTCGACCATTGTATTTATATAAAGTACAGTAGACGTTTACCAGTTGACCATAAGGCCATGGTTCCGAGTTACGCCATATGTCGCAATGCCACTAGCATTTCAGGCGCCAACGCAAAAAGAAGCCGGGGTATAACTCTATAGATTTGAGTCGTGAAATTCATAGGTCTGATACGAAGATTCGAAACCACCAGAAACAGGATCCTCGGCCGATAGTTTCTTATCATCTTGCCACAGGCAACATTTTAAATATACAACTGCAGATCATGATAACGATACAGTACGCCGAGCAGCATGGCTCCCAAAAAAGCGCTGTTCCAAAGCTTATGATGATGATTGAAGCAGAGTACAGAATCGAGGGAGGACAGTAGAGCTAGCTGAAAATTTTTTGCCTCTGAACTGCTTGGAGTCATCGGTTGACAGCTGTGCTAGCAGCATTGTATGTTCTTTCGACAGCAAGCTCACAGCAGTCTGTTAGCGTGTCCAGCTTCCCAAGCTGTTCATCGAAGACATCTATCACAGACAGGATGGCGTGCTAATGCCTAGACCACAAGACATATAAACAGCCGGTCCCCTCAGAACTTCCCTCACAGTTAATATGCAGCAGCACTTGTATCAGCTCGCAGCCTATCAAATCGAGTTCATTAGTTCTTATCGCGCGATATAACAGAATATATGTATTTTATAGCAAGGATGTGATTCCGACAACTCTTGAATAGTTCGAAGGTTCTCAGTAGAAGCCTGTGCGCGGACAACATACGTCTTGGCAAAGAGTTACTTGGCAAATCCCCAGCAAGATAAGTCAAGCCCACAAAGCAAACATTATGGATCATGCAATTCGGACGATATATGGTGCTGTAGTGCCGAGAGGTCTAAACCGGATCTATAGACATGCATCAATCTTTGGCACGCGACAACGAAGGGCGATAATAATATGACACTGATTATCTACCCCCACTGAGAGCGGACTCCCACTGAGAGCGGGTAGGGTTTGTTGTCACAAACCCACTTGTCGAGCTGGAACTAATGCGCAGCTTGGGAAGCGACAATCAAATCCGCTGCCCCGAAACTTATGTAGCTCAGGTCCTCGGCTGGTGAGACTTTGAATTCGATATGTTCTTGATCTCTTTTGCAGCCGCATTTTTGGCCGCGACATCAGTCATCTCCGCGTTGAAGGTGGAGTCTGAGAAGGAAGTCAGTGCACACATAGAGATAGACTAGACTCTGCGATCTCATTTCTACTCTGTGAAGTAAAAAAGAAATTTATAACAAGCAGCGACTAGCCAGCAGGAATAATATTGCACAGTTTTCCAAGTAGCCGGGAGGAGACGAAGGCATCAGCAGAGAAGAAGCAGATTGGGATTTCCTAGCGACAATCGGTCTCCAGACCTGAGCCGCATGCGCGCTATCATGAACCTCTATCGGAAGTGTAATTGACAACGCGGAGATTCTGGAGTGATAATAATATTGGATGGATGATAGGGAAGTACTGAGGAAGTGCTGGTGCGTCATGGGTTCTACGAGTGTTTTCTACAGGAGAGGAACGATTTGTAAAAAAAAAAAAAAAGAGGTAGACACTAGCAATCAAATGCGGTTCAGAGATGATCCCTAGTGACAACCCGTTGATAATAATATTGATGAAAAGCAAAAACGAAACTGAAAAGACTTGGAAAAGGGTCCAACGAGGACTTGAGAAGCGAGATATACGCGCGGGAGGATCAAGCGACAGAGCCCAGTGAATGATTCGCCTCCAGCTCTGCGCGATTCGGTGATTGTTTCTTTTTTTTGGTTTTTGGCGGGATCAAAGATAACCCTGTTTCACAGAAAAAAAGAGAGGGTATTCCGAGCCAGTACATTGCAGAGGCCATTGGTTTTAACGTCCAGAGGCGACCGTACAGCAGGGAAGATGGTGGTGCAGACAGACAGGTGGGTTACTTCTTGAGGCAGATACCAACATGTGGTGCGATGAGATGACTTCAGCAAGGGCTCCTGTACAATGGGTATAAGATAGAAACGAGGAGGGGTAGACCACTTCTCTCATCGGATGTTGGGGTATTAGCCTGAACAGTAGTCGAAGTATAGGACTCTTCTGGTTCGTTCCAGGGTGGATATATATGCTGCAGAAAGGGTGGACTAGAAAGTGCAACAAGGGTCAGTCGGAGAGTTGCAAAGTAAAACTAACAAGGGCATATACATACGTTGGCCGCTATTGTAGCGAAGCCTTGACCAGCGATTGAAAATCTTTATAAACAAAGCACGATCATAGGCAGTTAAAAACAGAAATCCGTAGGATGATCCGGTGCCTAGCTGGTCCTTATGTTGCCTTTTGTCGATACGAGAGGCGAAGTTGTCGTAGACAAAGTCGAGCCCGTGAAATATCAGGGCGTCGTTGAGGCGGATGCGAGAGAGATCCACGTTAAAGACCGGGGATTGTCTCTCTTCGGGGATCAAGTCGTCGTCGTCGTGGGCGGCGAAGCAAGTGCTGGGCTGAAGGCGTCCGTAGCCTCTCTCGATCGTCGGATAGCCCGCAAAAGCAGATTCGAGCCGCGATTGCGCGTATGTAGGGAGATGTCGGCAGCGACGGTGCATGTAGAACGCAGCAGCAGTATGCGATGCACCGGAGGGGCGTGTTCCCCTCTGGCCGAAAACCATTGTTGGAAAAGCACGGGATGGGTGGGTGTTGCTGAAGTTCAGGGAGTAGTGAGAGGTGAGGAAGAAGAGGAGAAGAGAGAGAGCGGCGGGAGAGCGGACTTTATATTTTCCATTGCCGCCTTGCTCAAACAAAGGCGGGCGGCCTTGTTGCTCGTAAGACGCGTTCCGAGGTCAACAAGGCTTTTGTCACATACGTTCAATAAATATCACGTGACTGTCTGTCACTGCAGTTCACAGCGTTGCCCTCTTTTATTAGAGTAGTGCTCATCTCTGTTCTCCTACCATTGGTATCAGCTCCCACAACTGGGAAAACCGAGATGGTCAACGATAATCGCTTGCATTTGTTCAGGGTTTTGTGTAGATATCTCTTTGTTCAATCTCCAATTGTCTTTACAAAACTCAGCTCAGATACGAGGCCGCCCTTGTTCGAACAAGGCACAAATGGTCAACACATAAGGCTTCGCTCATTCCATTCATCCCCTTTCCTCTTCACAACTCACTACTTCGTCACCTCAGCAGCCACCTTCCCCGTTTCCCTATCCCAAACAATGGCTGGCGGCAAGAAGAAAACACGATCTCTCGAGCATCACAACGTGCTGCTGCGAGCTTCAAGCACGATAGCCGACCGAATCCAACGCACACCTCCTCACTCGCTCTCTTTATCACAAAGTAACTCGATGGCCAAGAGAGGAGACAACGGACGTCATCCGCCCCGCGATCGCGACGAACACTACGACAGCGGAGCACAACGGAAAGATCACATCAAAGCTGGGCAACGGATGGATCGCAGGATCGAGTCCGGGTTTTTATTTCAGACTGCCTATGGTCGTGCTTTCTGGAAAAGATTTTCAGTCGCTGGTTCTCAAGGCTTCGCTGTATAGCAGCCAACGTCAAGAGAGAAGTAGTCCACCTCGACTGTATATCTGTCATATGCCATTGTACAAGATACCCTTGCTAACGTCATCTCATCGAACTAGATGCTGGTATCTGTTCAAAGAAGTAACGCTACTGTCTGTCTGCACCCTTCTCCCTGCTGTACGGGCGTCACTGAATGTTTAATCCTTGGCCTCTGCAAAGTACCAACTCGGAATAGCCTCCATCCTTCTCTGTGGATCAGCATTATCTTTTATCCCGCCGAAAACGAGAAAAAGAGGTACCGACTCGCGCAGAGCTGGAGGCGAATCATAATTTCTCAGGCTCTGCCGCTTGTTTCTCGCGTGTGTAATAGCTCCTGACGTTCTCAATCGATTGATCGCTTCTTTCAGTCTCTAGATTTTTGGTTTTGCTATTCGTTTTGTCTTTTTATTCGAATTTTAAATATATCGGGAGTCAGTGGAGATCATCTCTCATGCCATTTGATTGCTGGTGGCTTCCTTCACCTTATCTATATATACTGTAGCCGTCTTTGTAGATCGCTGTATAATACCGCAGCATTTAATCGACGCCAGCCTTTGCTCTTATAAAAATCCATCAATACTCAATGACATTCTGAGAAGAGCTGCATGTCACAAGGTTTGTCACTGTGATTCCTTGTGTAGTTCTCTGCTCTGGAGCGCCATAAAATAATTCACTCTAGTGGTGTCCTCAGTGCTCAGCTCAAGATGCGAAATTAGCAAGTTGACATCGGCGTAATGGTTTCTAATATCAGAATTCATTTTAAGTTATTTACTCATAAGTACCGGTCTAAGTCTCCAGAAGTGCGCAAAGGAGTGCTTAAAGTCGCCAAAAGTTGAAGCAGTGGTGAGACTGGGATTGCTACAAGGCAAACCCTAATTATCTGAGACCATGTTCTCACTTCCCAGCAACTCTCTCTTGTTCAAGAACAGCTCGAACAGCGCGAGGTACCGTCGCAGCAATAATATATCGTGCATGATTTAATTCAAACAGCGAATCTAGCCTGTATGGATATTTTGTTACCGGCTTTACGAATACAAGAGACTGGAAAGGAGGGTCCGGCGGCAAGGAGAATGACTATTTTGCTAGTTTCCGGTCAACAAGGCTTCGGCTTGCACAGCAATCACGGCCTTCCTTCCGTACCTGACGAAGCCACTCTTTGCTCTTTATTTTTAGCTACCATGTGCGGCCTCCTGCGTTGTTTGCTTGCTATGCCTGGTTATAAAATGTACGTCCCGCGCCCTTCTTTCGTTTCTTCTTCTCTCCCCCCTCATACCTTTCCTTTCGATCAGCACCTCGTTCCCAACCTTCGGCTCTCCCAAAGACCATGGCTTTTTCCGATCTTTACATTCAACAAGCTGCCTTAAGTCTTTTCTTTTCTTCCACTTTTTTCGATCCTGTGCCGCCCACGGAAAGT